AGTTCCCCGGGAGACGCCGGTCGAATCCTGCTAATGCATAGGACGGGGAGGCATCATGGACTGTTGCCCCATACCTGGCGCTGGTGGCGTCATTTGCTGAAAGCTTTGATTCATACCACCACCACCGTGCTGCGGCGCGCTCGCTCCGGTAGAATAGGCGCTCTGCACCGGGGCGTCGTCGTATTCCATCTCGCTCGGAGCGAACGACGTCACCGGCGGCGGTTTCGGCACCTCAGATTCGCGTCGACCACCTCCTCCGTACGGATCGTATGAGTTTGTACTACCACCAGGTGCTCCCGGCACGGAGGGCGGGGCGTAAAAACTCGTATTCGCCGAGCCTTGCGGCGGCAAATGCGCAGACGCCGGCACGGGCGGAGGCGCGCCGTAAAAGCTCGCGTCCGGATTCGTCGGCGGTGGTGGCATCGCCGGAGCAGACATTTGAGCCGGAGCTGGTGGAGGCGTAAACTGCGTTGGCGGAGGAGGCGGTGCGGCAGAGTAGCTCGGTGGCGGTTGAAACGGCTGTTGTTGCTGCTGCGGCGGCGGGGGAGCGGCGAAGGATGTGTTCATCATCGGGTTCATGGGCGGTACCCCACCACCGCCGCCGTAGGAGGACGGTTGCATCGGTGGCGGTTGACGGGAATACCCGTTCGAACGAGGCTGCTGGTGGTACCCTCCAGCGCTAGTACTACTCGCCGCTTTCGACTCCGAGGACGCGCGATCGATTCTTTCCCGCAACAACGCAATGTCCGCGTCTTCTCGACCGTTAATTCCAGCGCCTGGCGCCATATCCAAAAGCGCCAACGCTGACTTTAACTTGCCCGAACTCGCGAGACTTTCCGCTCTGGAAGACAAAAGTCGCGCAAACCCAGGCGTCGCTTGACTCAAGTTTGCCGCGCGCGATAACACGATGGCCTTCTCGAGCAACTGCCACTGCGCCTTCTTGCTCGTAAATTTGGACGACGTCGCGCTCCCTCGAGCGCGCATGGACCAGTGCTTCACGGCATTATCCACATCACCGGCACATACTCTGCACAAAGACGCCTCGTGCGGCATGTTTGCGGCTTGTAACTTCTCGGCGAGTTTCAAACTTAAATCATCCCACGCCTTGGCGTCCGAATACGTGCACAATATCGCCAAAGTCTCTCTCCAATTCGTAATCGGTTCCGATTCTACAAGCTTTTCTAAATTCGCAGAGGCAATGGACTCCGCAAACTGTAAATACCGTCGCGGTGATCTCTCTAAGTGACGCTTTTGTGCTCTTTGCCAAAGTTCTGGACCGGCGGAGGAGGCTAAAACTAACGCGTCTGCGAAACGACCCGCTTTTTCGCACGCTTCCACTGCACCATCGTAATCGCCGACGATGAGGCATCTCTCTATCTCTCTATCCGCCGGTTCGCGTTTCAACACGGGTGCAACTTTTTCTTGTTTTGTCTCTCGCTTCGGGGAGAGCGGCGTAGGTATGGTTGACTTTCGCGGCGACGCTAAACCGGATTGGTTCTTCACGTCTTCCCCTAATCCGTCAAAGAACGCGTTTTCGTCTTCAACAGGAGGTGGCGGCGCAACCATTTGCGATTGTTCGTCTAATCCCGAGGACGACGTCCCTGCGGTGTCATCATTTAAAGTTGCATTTTCTAAAGCGGCTTCGGTCAAGCGCATTTGTTTCGAGCGTTCCAAGTTCTTCAACGCGTCTGAAAAATTCAAATGTTCCAACATACGTCGTCGAGCGTCGTCGGAAAACAAAATCGACATGAACGCCCACGTTTCTTTATCTTCGCTAGAAATCGACGGGTCTTTGCTTTGCGAACGCGCGTCACACAACGCTTTCAATTGTTGTTCATCGTTTGATTTAATAGCCGCTTGAAATTCAGCGTCGATGTCGTTTTCTTCCGCGGCGTCACCACCGCCGTCCGAAACGCCCGCGAGAGAAGTGCCATGTCTCGCACCAGCACTCGCACTTCTACTCTCGTGCTCGTCCGAAACGTCCACGGTGGTGATTTTAACCACACCTGGATTATCGGACCCGAACGAGACGAGTTTACCGCCAAAACCAAACGAGGCGCCCGCCGGGCGTTTCATCCACTTTGGCGCTTTACGCATCGGCTCTCTCGGTTGTTGTTGGTGTTGCTGCTGTTGCGTTCCATTTTGCCCGTATTGTTGATGTTGGTGTTGATGTGCGCTTTGCTTACCGCAATCGTTCAAATTGTGAATGCTAATGGTCCCATCAAAACTTGCCGCGGAAATCTCCCCGGCGGTTTTCTTCGACCACTGCGCGTCAAAGTTCCAATTGGAACTCGCTGGAAACTCCGCCAAAACGCTGCCATCCTTCGCGTCCCACACCAAAGTCCTATTATCTTTACCACTCGACAACAACAAATCCCCATCGTGCGGCGACCAAGCCAAGGACAAAACCCCTTTCGTGTGCCCGACAAACTCGTTCGTCGGCGCGACGCTATTCCTCAAATCCCACACTTGTAACGAACATGACCTATCGTCATCGCTCGCCACAATCAACTGCGTCGCCACGTCTGGATTCCAACTAATCGCCGAACATCTTCTCTTTGACTGCGGATCTACAAACGAAATCACCGGTCTTTGCCTCTTCAAATCCCAGACCACGGTCGTCCCGCTCGTCGTCCCGCAACTCGCCAAAATGTGCGACACTTTCGTATTCCACTGAATCTGCGCGATTTCCCCGGTATGCGGTCCACTCGGTCCACTCACCAACGCTGGATATTTGCTCGGTTTCATCGGGTCGTTGATATCCCAAATGCTCAACTCCCCGTCTCGCCCGCCGCTCGCTAACAAGTTTGAGCTAAACGGATTAAAGTCTAATCCTCTCACCGCCCCAGCGTGCGCGTTTTGCAACGTCGTCAACACGCACCCGGACACTGAATTCGCCGCGGGTAAGTCCTCGTGATTTGCGCCGAAAAATGATGCACCGTTCTCCTCGTTCTCCTCTCTTTTCTTTTGTTTCTTCTGCATCATCATCGCGTTCGGATCGTACAATTGCACCGTCCCGTCCGCTAAACCGCCGGCTAAAATCCCCGCCGGTAACCGCTCGCTCACTTGATCGCCCCAGCACAATCTGTGGAACCGTTCGGTCACCGAAACGCCCGTCCCGACCATTTCGCATTCGTTCGTGTTCGAAGAAGAAGAATCAAAAGAAGAAGCGTTCGAATGATCCACCGAGAACACCTCTAAACTTGCCGTCGTGGAGAAGGAATCGTCCATCGCGCCGGCGACGGTTCCGCAGGCGATTAAAGTCGAGGTCGGGGAGAACGACGTCGTCGCGCATCGACGGATTGTTTTGTTGCCGCCCATTATATATAATACGCGCGTGTGTGTGTTATATAATAACTATAACAACAAGTTGTGAAGAGTGCAATTCGAACGACGATTCAAACGCTCATGATTTAGGGTTGTAGCTTCGCTTTCAATTACAAGGGTGCGGCAGCTTTAGGACGTGTACGTTTACCAAATGGAATTCTCTGATTCTGATTCTGATTCTGATTCTGATTCTGATACGTATAACTCTCCATCTTCGTATCGCCAACCGGGTGGGAGAGGACAGTCGTTGTCGAGGCAGTATTGTACACATTCGGGGTGGTAGTTCTTGCGCGCTTCTCGAACGGCGTCCTCGTCCCAAGGCGCTTTGGCGGTTTCGTGCAAGTACTTCAAACAGTCTAAGTGGCCGTTCTCGGCCGCCCACCGACACGCATCTTCGCAAAATTGATCAAACTTACGCTCAACAAGATATTCGAGTATATGAAGTTGACCATTTCCAGCCGCACAAGTGGCAGTATCCCAATCCCAAGACGCTTTGACTTCTTCGTGTAAGTATTTGAGTACCTCGAGATGACCGTTTTCGGCAGCACTTTCACACGCATACACATTGATAGGACACTCATTCGCAATGCAATACTTCACCATTTCCAGATTACCTTGATGTGCGGCCGTATTAATCGTCTTTTCATTCCACTCACACTTTTTCTCCTCTCGCGCCCACTTGAGCAACTCGAGTTTATTCGTTTCAGCAACTCTCCAGCAGAACCATGTTTGGTTCCACCAACCCGACCACAACGATTTATTCTCCCACACAAACTCCAAAGTCGATATCGACGACATCTCTTTCACTTCAAACTTCCATTTCAAATCCCCCTCACGAGATGATCTCTTAATCAACTTTCTCGTCTCCGTATTCACTCCGTACAAGAATTTCACATCCGTTCGATTCAATCTCGGAAGAATGTGTTTGAAACAAATGTCGTCGTTATTCACGATCAAATCCCACACGTCTCTCTCGCCCATCCGCCTTTTCTGCGCTCTCGTCCTCACCCCGAGAGTATTATACGCAGTAGCAGCAGCAGCAGAAGAAGAAGACTCCATGCTTTCGCGTCGTTTTGTGCTCTCTGATTCTTTAAACGCGCGAATATTTAAATGCGATTTCTTTTTTTTTTTGAAGGAAAGGAAAAGCGACCGTTTCGAAACAATTCGATTTTTGTCTGTCAGTCTGTCGTCCGCATCACTAAAGCACACGCACATAAACTTTGCGAGAAGAAGAAGAAGAAGAAGAACAATCTCATCTCGTTTTGAAATAATAATAATGACGACGAAAGAAGAGGACGAGGACGCGTTGCTCTACGGCGACGTCGGAGATTCCGACGACGAGGAGAAAGAGACGATAAAGAAAGTGCAAACGACAACAACAACAACAACGATTGATCGGAATGATGATGATGATGGAAACGATGATGATGCAGACAAAAAGGATGAAGATGTTGGAGATGAAAGGAACAAGAAGAAGAAGAAGGAGGAGGAGGAAAAAGACAACAACAACGAAGAGGAAGAGAGTAAGAAGAGTAAATCGGTATACGTAGCAAACTTAACGTGGTGGACGTCGGACAAGCAAATAGAACAGTTGGCGAGCGAATTCGGCATCACGAAATCCATCCAATTCTTCACGGAAAAGAAAAACGGGAAATCGAAAGGATGCGCGATCGTGGAGTTTACGAGCTCGCAATCGGCGTTACTGTGCGCGGAGAATTTGAATAAAAGGGCGATAGATGGGAAAGCGTGCGTGGTGACGCTCGCTCCGGTGGTTACCGCTCACTCGGCGAGCGGCGGTATCGGCGGGAGTACGATGATGATGCCGCGTGCGCCGCTCGGGCCGCCGCCAGATACGGCGTGGAAAGGTCCGGTGCCGACGAAAGGAGGAGGAGGACAAGGCGCGCCACCGGTAGTGATGTCGACGACGCAGGCGCAGTTGAACGCGCTGCAGCAGCAACAAAAGATGAAACTGTTGATGATGCAGCAGCAAATGAAGGCGAAGCTGAGCGGCGCGAAGCAGCAGCCAACCTCCTCCACCGCACCTACCGCCGCCTTTAGGAAAAACAACGAGAATAGTAATAATAATAGTCCACCGGCGACGACGACGACGAGAGAGCGACCGAACTCACCGCCGACGATGATGGCGGCAAAGCGTGTAGCCGCCGCCGTCCCAACGAAAGTTCCCTCCGCGCGAGGAGGACGCGGCGGCGGACGAGGTCAGAGAAACAGAGCCGAGTCCCCTCCCGCTGGTCTCATGGGAGGCAGAGGAGGAGGACGAAAGCGCGCTCGAAGATGACGATCGATGATGTTTTCGTCGTTTCTGCTCTCTTTATTAGTCAAGTTTAGTCGTCGGCGTTTGCATTTTTTTAGTAACAACTTTAGCAAGTCCTGTTCAAATTCGCCATAATTTAATACTACCAAACTCTTTCTCTCTCTCTCTCTCTGTGCGCTCGTTCATAAAACTACCACCAAAATGGGTTTAGACGGTTACGTCGGCGATTTCGAGGCGCAGCAAAGAGCCCGGCGATTGCAAGAAGAGCGCGACGAGCGCGTGAAAGAGCTCGAAATGCGAAAATCATCGAGCGGCGTTGGTGTCCCCGGGGCGCCTCCTCCCACCGCTGGCGGCTTCAACAACCGCTCTTCCCTGGTTGGTTTTCGAGGCTCCTCGACCGTGGAAGAGGAAAAAGCGTTCGCCAACCAATCCGTGGGCCTTCTCACCCGAGAAGAGTACGCCGAAAAGCAAGAGAAAGTCAGAGCGACGTTGGACGCAGAACGGAAGAGGAAAGAAGACGTGAAACGAGAAAAACGAGAACGAGAGAAAAAGAAAGAAAAAGAGAGGAAGAAAAAAGAGAAAAATTTACTCAGTTTTAACGACGACGGAGAAGAGGAGGAAGAGGAAGAGCAAGAGGAAGAGAAGAAGGTAAAGAAGAAGAAATGCGTGGGGATGAACCCAGACGCGGACAAATCTCACGTGCCGAACGCGCAAAACGAGGTGGTGAAAGAGGAGCGCCTGTTGCGCGAACACCTCGCGAGAGAGTTTTTGGAGAAGCGAGAGAAACAGATGGAGGAGAATTTGACGGTTACGTTTAGTTACTGGTCCGGAGGAGGTGGGAGGAGGTTTGTGACGGTGAAGCAGAAAGATACGGTGAGGACTTTTTTGAAAATTGCGATGAAGGATTTAGAGGATGAGTTTCGCGAGTTGAGTAAATTAGGCCCGGAGAGCATGATGTACGTGAAGGAAGATTGCATCATTCCGCACGAGTTGACGTTTTACGAGCTCATCTCGAGGAAAGCGAGAGGAAAATCTGGACCGCTGTTTCGTTTCGACGATAAGGAAGACGTGAGGGTAGTTGCAGACGCGACGGTTGAGAAGGAAGATTCCCATCCGGGAAAGATTTTCCACCGTTCTTGGTATGATAAGAACAAACACATTTTTCCGGCGAGCCGATGGGAAGTGTTTGATTTTTCCAAAGATTTTAGCAGCGCGTATACCATTCACGGAGGGATGGGCGAGAAGAAGGCTTGGGAACGATAGATAGATAGATAGATAGATGATTAGAAATTACAAATTACCGCAAACTTTCGTACATCGCTTCGATGACTGGTAAAAACGCCTCCTTCGCTTGCGGTCGTTTCAACTTAAACGTTGGCGTCATCAATCCATTCTCCACGGAAAATAACTCGCCGTGTAAGTGAATCCGTTTCGCGCGTTCAAATCCTTTCAACTTTGATTCGTTCGCAGCCTTATTCATGGAATTGAACACGGCTCTTTTAATCGCTTCGTTCTCGCACATGTCTCTTAGCGTCGGCGCGCCGCCGCCTTTCATCAATCCATTCGCTTTCGCGTATTGCGCTAGAACTTCCTCATCTGGGACGACAATGGCAACTAAGCTCGCTTGCAACGAATCGCCGTACACGAATGATTGCGCAACTAACGGCGACCGACCGTACGCGGCTTCAATCTTTTCCGGCGCGACGTATTCGCCTTGCGCCAATTTGAAAATGTTCTTCTTACGATCGATAATTTTTAACCGACCGCCGGGTAACATCATCCCAATGTCGCCGGTTTTCAACCACCCGTTAACTTCGTCCAAACACTCTCGCGTTTGCTCGTGCGATTTAAAGTAGCCGGCAAAAACTGATGGACCTCTCACGCACACCTCGCCTCGCGGGTACGGTTTATCGCTTTTCCTATAATTCATCTCGGGAACGTCGTCGAGTTTGATCTCGCAACACGGCGCCGGCGCGCCGACGTGACCAGTAGAGAAATCTCGTTCGTTCGTTTTGGAAATGACGCACGCGGATTCCGTCATCCCGTAACCTTCAAAAACGACCGCGCCAAAACATATCCGCAAGAACTCAATGACGTGACCGCCGATGGGTGCGGATCCAGAGGACATGTATCGCACGCGACCTCCCAATTTCGCTTTCAGTTTTGAAAACACGAGTTTTTCCCAAAACGGATTCGGAGGTTTGCCGTTTTCAAACGCGTATTTCTTACTCGCGTAGGCTTTTGCGAACAACATCCGAGCGATTGGCGATCCTTCCGCAACGCCGGCGTTCACTTTATCGTAAATTCTATTCCACAGTCTCGGGACGGAACAAAAAATAGTCGGCTTCAACGCTTGCACGTCGTCCAATAATCCGAGCACGTCGCCGCGATAGAATCCAACCGCAGCACCGCCCATAACGCACACCATAAACGTTACCCGTTCGTAAATGTGCGCCAAAGGTAAATACGACACGTGAATATCCCCGATCCCGATATTCAAATCGTACGAGTACCCGGCGGCGTTGGAGCATAAATTCAAGTGCGTCAACACGACGCCTTTCGGGTCCCCAGTGGTACCACTCGTGTAACAAATCGTCGCCACGTCGTTTTCGTGCGCTCTCACTGGCGCGACTGGTTTCGCGCTTCCTAAAATCAACACCTCCTCGAAAGTTTTAATCGTCACCCTCCCGTTGGCTGTTTTCGCCGGAATCGCCCCGGGCGGTCCGTTTTCGTTCCCGTACACGATGACGAATTTCACCGTCTCGCACCTGTGAATGACGTTCAAAAGCGTGTGCAAAACCACCTTCGAACACGCCACTCCGACGCACTCCGCGTGGTTTAAAATATACTCCACCGCGTCCGGTCCTAACGTATCGTACAAAGGCACGGACACGATATTCTGCCTCGTACACGCCGCCTCGCACGCCACCCACTCCGGTTGGTTAATCGAATACAAACCAAACGTCTGCGAGGACGTGCACCCTAACGCGGTTATCCCAGCCGCTATTTTTGTCCGAACGAGCTCAAAGTCTCCGTACGTGTTGAACTCGTACTTCCCCGGGTGTCCGGTACGTTCGTCCATCGAGCGCGTTCCTAAGAGAGGCCTGTTTGGATACTTCTTAAACGCGGATTCCCAGATATCCCCGAGCGTTTTGCAATCGTCGTCGGGAAACGGAAATCCGGTTAAAAGTTTGTCTTTATGTGATGCGTTTCGGTAGACGGTTTCTCCTTTCGAGAAGACTGGAACCGCGTCGAGCGAAGTTTCCTTCTTTTCATCTCTGTACGTAACGAACGAATTTTGAGACGAAGAAGAAGCCTGTTTCGGTGCCGAATGAGAAGACAAAGAAGAAGAAACAAAGTGGTTTTGGTCAGCGGCAGCGAAACGCAGAGAGAAAGAACAACGGAGAGAAGACGAAGAAGACGACGCCCAAACCGGGTCGTCGTCTTAAAAGCGCAACAAAAGAGAATCCGAGACGATGAGTCATCACGCAATCGAATTTAGTAGTAGTAGTAGTAGTTGCAACAAAAGCGAGTAATAAAAAAGGCACGGAATAAAATAATAACAACAAAAAGGGACGGGTGTTTCCTGTCGCACCATAATTTACTCTCTCTCTCTCTTTCCTTCTCTTTTCTTCGCAACAACAACAACAACAACGAGCGGTAACTGCTTTTGATGTAATTTTTCAGACGTGCGATTTTTCCTTCTTTTTTTTGCTTAGGGTGTCCAACCCTAATAAGAGCTCTTTTCTCTTCTCTCCTTTCTCTCCAATCCATCGTCTGTACAACTTTACGCGCACGGAAAGAGTGTTTATATAATACTACAGACTACGATTCGTTGCGAATTTATAGAACAAGAATAAAGCACACGAACAGACGCTAACGATGAAATTCAACCCAAACGTGTCCTCCTCTCGCCGCAAATCGCGCAAAGCGCACTTCACCGCGCCGTCCAGCGAGAGGCGTAAAATCATGTCCGCATCCTTGAGCCAAGAGTTGAAGAAGCAACACAACTGCCGATCGATTCCGGTGAGGAAAGAAGACGAAGTGAGAATCGTTCGAGGGTCGTTCAAAGGGAAAGAAGGGAAGGTTGTGCAAGTGTACAGGAAGAAGTGGGTGATTCACGTGGATAAGGTGACGAGGGATAAAGTTAATGGTACGTTTATTGAATCCGCTTTCATCTCGTTTTCTTCTAGGGTCAGTTTTGTCTCAAATCGTCGTCGTCTTTATCGTTTCTCTTTCTATTAAACAAGACTATACATGTGTAATAACACTAACGATTGAATCGATTGATATTATTAAAACAAATCACAGGCGCTTCCGTGCAAGTCGGCATCGACCCGTCCAAGTGTGTCATCACCAAGTTGAAGATGGACAAATCGAGAAAGGCGATTTTGGCGAGAAAAGGGTCGGCGGCGACCGAGGACGCCGAAATGGCTGATTAAACAAGAGTAAACGCGTTTAGTTAGCAGAGAGTTAAAGAGAGAGGAAAAAGAGAGTAGACAACAACGAGAGAGAGAATGCGATTTTAGATTTAAACACACTATTTCCCGCGAGATGATGATTACATCCTCATCGAGCGGAGAATATGCTTTTAAGAAGGTTTTTTTACTTGCGTCAAAATGAGTTCAAGAAACCGAAAGTATATTGTCGACGTTTTGTCCTCCGCGGGCGCGAAACGCTTTGCTGTTCCGAGTAGCACGGAATAAGCGAGTTTTCGCGCTTGTGCGTGACACGTCGAAGGCCCAATTTGTGACTCGAAGCCATTCAAACTCGGAAAGTCACGCGCGTGCACGCCCGAAAAGCTTGCCAAACGAGGCGAGCGTTGTCATGATGAGACGTGTACGCGTTGGTTTTTTATACGTTACGTTACGCTTAAACGCTGCTGCTTTTTCCAAATCTGTTCGTTTTTTGTTTTCTCTCGTTCTATTCTTTGTCTTAATCTATCTCTACTCGCTACACTTGTCCTCTCGTCCGAGGACGTTTCTTATCGGTGCGCCCGCGCAAGAAAGCATCTCCAAAGTTCATTTCTGTGCATCATTTGCTCTTGGACGACCCCGAGAGAGGAAGAAATCTCTCGTCCTCATCGAATTCGTCCGTAAAACACACGAAATCATCTCAAGATTCCTTTTCTTCGTTTCTCTCTTTTTTCCTCCGTTTCGCGAGTTCCATCGGCGGAACGAACTTGGAACCAATCAGCGGGACCTTTTCAACGATTGGCACCTTCTCCCAAACGAAGTGCATCAGTTTCTTTCCGTATTTAGATACAGAGAGCAAGAGGAACGGGAGGAGAGATTCGAGCGGGACGCAGCATCCTCCGATACATATCACGGTCATTGTTTTACGTACTCTGCGGCGTGTTTTCTTCTTCGGTTTTGCGGGTTTCTGCGCAACAGGGAAGTTTTTGTTTTGTGCAGGGAAAATTCAAATATCTTCCTCAGAAAGAGAGCTCTTTGTTGTGTGTTATAATGAGAGAGAACACGCGTAAGAACAACACACAAAGGATCGCGTCGTCTTCTGGGGAAGGCGTCGTGACGAGAATGCGGAAGATGGAGGTCAGTCAGAGAGATTCTTTGTGGGATGTGGTCGTGAAGTGGGACGATATTTGTTTCAAACATATTCTCCCGAGGTTGAATGCGACCGATCTTAAATTCTTTTACGAGGTGAATACGGAGACGAGAAAGTTGATTAAGAGATCATCTCGCGCGAAAGATTTAAAAAAGAAGTTTTATATTGGAGAGATGTCGTCGATATCGACTTTGGAGTTTGCGTGGGAGCATAAATCGTTGTGGCCGAGTCTCTTGAAAGACAAAACATATTTCTGCTGGGAAGTTGCTTCCACGAATAAACTCGAGTTGCTCAAGTGGGCGAGAGAAGAGAAAAAGTGTGAGTGGGATGAAGAGACGATTAATATGGCCGCAGGACAAGGTAATCTGGAAATGGTAAAGTATTGCGTTACAAATGAGTGTCCTATCGATGAGATGGCGTGTGCAGAAGCTGCCGGAAACGGTGATCTCGAGGTACTCAAATACTTACGCGAAGAAGTCAAAGCGCCTTGGGATTCGGAAACTGCCGCTGGGGCGGCTGAAAGTGGTCATCTTCACATACTCGAATATCTTGTTGATCGTAAGTATGATGAATTTGACGAATGGGTGTGTCTGTGGGCGGCCAATAAAGGCCACTTAGACTGTTTGAAGTACTTGCACGAAACCGCCAAAGCGCCTTGGGACGAGGACGCCATACGCTCCGCGCACGAGGAAAACCAAACCGAATGTGTACAATACCTCCTCGACAACAACTGTCCTCTCCCAATCGAATGGCGATACGACGACGGAACGTTATACGACGAGTTCTACCAACAGGTCGGATTAAGAGAGCAATAGATAGTTCATTTAGAAATAGTTTAAATATAAACCACATCCGCTCGCATATTCTTCACATTTTTCACTCTCGTTTTGCACACATTCGGTCTCAAATGGAGGAACACCACCAACTCCGGGGCGACGACGACGAATCGCATCGCAACAACCAAACTCACTCCCGATGCACACCTCGAGACAGTGCTCTCCCCCCTCTCGATTGGCACGTGTACTTCCCGAACGTGGAGTACGACGTCACGTCCGATCGACGGTGCGAGCTCGCGAGCAAATTGATCGACGCGTTTTGTCTCGCAACGAACGGGGCGGAATTATTCGACCAGGTAATCATTATATATTGTGTCTTCTCGCGCAGAGACGAGACGAAAAGAGACCTCTCTCTCCCTCTCTCTTTCTCTCGCGTTGGGTGTCTTCTCGCGCGACGTAAACGACGATCTCGAGCTCTTTCATTCGCTTTAATTTTAAGATTTTCAAAAGCGGAAACGACAGCTCTTTCTCTCTCTCTCTCTGCGATAAACTACCATTTTACGATGTTGACTCTCTCTCTCTCTTTTCATCTCTCAAATAAAAAACGACTGCAGACGAAAGCGTTGCACGCGAAATCCATCGTGATTCCGTTCGATTATAAAGCGTTGAAACGTGTACTCGGCGATCGAGTTCCCGATTTGTTCCACGCGCTCGACTTGGCGCCGGACGAAGCGTTTCAAGCGTTGGCGTGCGCTGCGCACGAGTGTTTATTTTATAGCTTACCGAAAGAAGAAAGAGGACGGTTGATCGCGAGTGGGTTTAAGGAGAAGGCGTTCGAAGGTGTGGTGCTGGCCAACGGTGAAAACGACGAGATGATTTCGCGACGAAATAATCGGAACGTCATCGGGAAGGAGTGTAAAGTGACGTGCCACGTGTATAACTTTTCGAGCAAGTTTAAAGTGAGAGATTTTCGAGAGTTGAAATCCAGTTGGCTCGGACGGGTCGTGCAGTTGAAAGGGGTCGTCCAAAAAGCAGACGCGACGAAACCACTGTGTAAGTCTATATTTTTCAAGTGCGAGCAGTGTAAAGAGTCGATTCTGGTGACTTTGGATAAGAGCGGGAATTTCAAGGCGCCGGCGAACTGCGAGACGCCCAAGTGTCGAGGGAAGAAAGGATTTACGCCGGATTTCGAGAGAGCGACGACGGAAGATTGGAGGCGGGTGACGCTGAGAGAAGAGCCGAATTTAGGGAGCGGGGAAGGGATAAGCAGCAGCTCGGACGAAGAAGAAGATGATGATGAAGAAGAAGAATTTGACGAGGAGGAAGAGGAAGAGGAAGATTTTGAACCACTCGATGACGACGAGGAAGGAGGGAGAAAGAAAAAGAAGAGGAGTAAACAAAAACGACGAAAATCGGCGGACGAGTTAGACGCGCGAACGCTCGATCGGGCACCGAAGCACATCGAGTGCGAGCTTTCGGAAACGTTAGTCGATCGCATAGAGACCGCGGGCGAACGCGTGCAAGTGTGCGGCATCGTCCGAAGAGAAGAGTGCGAAGAGCAACGAGGGACGTCTGTTTTAGGCGGCAAGAAAACCGGGTCGGCGATACAACGGTTATACGTAGACGCGGTTTCTGTCATGCCATCAGCCTCTGCTACTGGTAGTGCTGGTGCTGGTTACCAAACGACGAATAACAATCAAACGAGTACGACCAACCGCAAAACGGAAACGTACCAAGAAATAGTTAAATTTAGCGAACGCTGCGCGGACGACCGTTTGAGAGTTTTGGTCAAATCTTTGTGTCCGTCGATTTACGGGCACGAAATTGTCAAGTGCGGCTTGCTTTTGTGCTTGTTCGGTGGCGTAAGAAAAGCCGATAAGAGCAGTAAAAGAAGCAAAAACAGTAGCGGTAAAAACAACAATAAAGAAAACAACAACGCAAACAGCGTCGGCGCGGAGACGAGCTTTGACAACGACAAAGAAAACGAAGAAAACGAAGGGCGCCAAAACGAAAGTCAACGAGTGCATCAGAAACGACGCAGAAGTTCGTTAAACGCGCGGGAACAGCACCAACATAAAAACCACGGTGCCGCTGGAAACGAAACCTTCGCTCGAGGCACCTCGCATTGTCTCGTCGTCGGTGACCCAGGCATGGGTAAATCGCAAATGCTCCGCGCCGCTTCGCGCGTAGCGCCGTTGGCAATACACGTGAGTGGTAAATCCGCCTCGACTGCAGGTTTAACCGCGACTGTGTCTCGAGATCCAACATCCGGCGCGCCAACGTTCGAAGCCGGTGCAGTTGCGTTAGCGCACGGCGGCGTCTGTTGCGTGGATGAGTTTGATAAAATGAAATCCGAACACGCCAGCTTACTCGAAGCCATGGAACAGCAAAGAGTCTCGGTGAACAAAGGCGGCGCCAGGGCGTCTTTACCCGCGCGAACGACCATTTTAGCCGCGGCGAACCCGCATAAAGGGCGATACGATCGATCGAAAAGCGTTCGGGAAAACTTGAAGATGTCCGCGCCATTACTCTCGCGATTCGATTTAGTCTTTGTGCTCACGGACGATCCGGACGAAGAGAGAGACAAGCGCATCGGCGACAACGTGACGCGATTGTGCGGAGGACGAAAAGTCGACGAAAGAACCGGGAAAACCACGAATTTAACGTTTGCGGAGAAGTTTCAGTTGGAGCGAAACAAAAGACGCGAAGCCGAAGCCGCCGCTGCTCTAACGCAACAGCAACGAAGCTCCGTGTCGGCGAGCGAAACGATTTTAACGTCGGCGAAGAAGCAAGCGTCGCAGCGCGTGTTCTCGTTGAACAAGCAAGAAGCATCACCAGATGCCGTCGCTCTGATGAACCTCCCGCCACCGTCCTCGTCTCTTCGCGACGGTGTCGGTTTAAAAGAATACCTCGAACGTAAATCTGAAGAGGACGTCGACGACGACGATAAAGACGCTCTTTATGCAGACTACAAGCGCACCTCCTACGACGACATGCACTCAAAAGACGGCATCGTCTCCACCTCTTTCATGCGGAAATACGTCCGCTACGCGAAAAAATACGTCCACCCAACCCTCTCCTCCGACGCGAAAGAAGTCATCAAAGCCTTCTACCTGGAATTGCGCAAAAACGCGCCCATCAACGACTCCGCTCCGGTGACCGCTCGACAACTCGAGTCGCTCGTCCGCCTCTCCGAAGCTCGAGCTCGAGTCGATTTACGCGAAATCGTCACCGACCGCGACGCCATGGACGCCGTCGAACTCTACTCCCTCTCCATGGCCGACGTCATGCGCGACGACTCCGGAAGGCTCGGCGCGTTTGGCAAACGCACCGGCGTTTCCGGAAAGCGCAAAAACTTCCGCGTCTTCATCGACGCCGTAAACGCCGCCACTCGAAACAAAGGTAACGCGTACTTCTCCGTCGGAGAGTTGCACGCGTTAGTCGAACAAACGCGATTGGATGGAATTAAAGACATCGACGCTTTCATCGAGGCGCTCAATTTAGCCGGCGAGTTGCTCAAGTGCGGACGATTGTACAAAAGTGCAAGCAGCTCTGCTGTTTAATACTATGAATAAGAACAAACGAACGCGATTGGATGGAGTTAAAGACATCGACGCTCTCATCGATTTAGCCGGTGAGTTGCTCAAGTGCGGTCGATTGTTCAAAAGCGCTTCAAGCAGCTCTGCTGTTTAGTACTACTACAGAAGCATTTGTGCTCATAAAATTTGCACGTTTACTGAAGTACTTTACCATCACAGAAGTAAACGCGAGATGGCGTCGTCGTCGTATACGTCGTCGTCTTTTCTTCGCCCCGTCGTCCTCTTTTCAAAAAGTTCTTCTTCTTTGTCTTGTACTTCTCAGCCCGCGAGGTTGATGAAGATGAAACGACGGCCAAATGCATCAGGAAGAAGGCAACAACGCGCAAACGCTTCCTCCTCCTCCTCCAAAGAAGAAGAAAAGACGGAGAAGACAAAAGTCGTCGTTCTCACTCGAGAGGCGGGCAAAAACGAGCAGATGCGAAAGATTTTAGCATCGATTGATGAGGATAAAGACAACGAATTCGTGGTCGAAACGCTCGAGATGCCTCTGGTGGAATCGAAGCGAAACGAGGAAGAGGCGAAAAAATTAGTCGATTTATTGAAATCGAAAACGTTTCGATGGATTATAGTGACCTCACCGGAAGCGGCGAACGTGTTCGCGAAAGCGTGGGCAGACGCCGGGAAACCGGAAGGGTTGAACATTGGAACCGTGGGAGGCGGGACGACGAGAGCGTTGCCGACGAAGGAGGAGATGAAGTGGGCGAGACTGTTTACGCCGTCGAAAGCGTTGGGGGAGGTGTTGGCGGAAGAGTTGCCGTTGGATATAATAGACGGTGATAACGAGAGTAGTAATAGCGAAAGTACCGATAGTAATAGAGAAGTTTTATACCCGTGCTCGAAGAAAGCGGCGAAAACGATCGAGAACGGGTTGAGTTCTCGAGGCTTCATCGTGACTCGATTGAACACGTACAGCACGGAACAAGTCACGAATATACCGAAAGAGGTCCTCGAGCGAGCCGTGGACGCGAGCGTGGTGACGTTCGGAAGCCCGAGCGCGGTAAAAGCGTGGAAAAATTTGACTTTGGAGTTGTTAGAGGAGAGAGGCGGGAAACACCCGACGTATGCGTGCATCGGGCAAACTTCCGCCAACGCGTGCGAAGATTGCGAGTTGCCAGACGTCTGGCACCCGGAAGACCCGGGCATGGAAGGGTGGGCCGAAGTCGTAAAATTATGTTTAGAACAAGACGAGAGCGAGAAGTGGCGAGGTGTATTTTGACGACGGACGATGAGATGCGTATACATCTCAAATTGAGTTAGTTGTTGGAGTTTTCTCATCACTTATGTACACTGTTGTTGGTTTCAAAATAATATATGTATACATACAAATGCGTCATTCCGCGCGCGACGGATGCGTGTAAACTCATCGACGACGTAAACGACGAATTTACGAACTCTCCGCGAGGGCGCGCGGGTCCTTAAATGGACAACAACGTGTTCGTTCACGGCCACGGCGCCGGTAAATCCTCCTCGAATCCTCTTCCCGTCGATCGATGACCCCACGCCAACTCAAACTTCCCATCGCTGGTCTTCTTGAAAAAGCACGACTGCGTGTACACGTCTTCGTTCTTCGTCTGTTTGTAATCAAAGCTCGACTTCGCGATCAACACCGCGTACGCGCAATCTTGCATCACTTCCACGTGCTTAATTTCGACCAATTCCGTCTTCGCTTCCGTGATGTCTCCCGACGACATCATCTCAACCATGATCTCTTTACTCGCCGGGTTCCCGCTCGGGCGAATGAACCACGCGTTTTGGGGCATTTTCGCGAGGAATTCTTCTTTGTTCGCGGTCGTTAACTGGTCTTTGATCAGTTCACGGAGTTGCGTTTCTTCGGTCGACATTTTGCTCGTTGTTGAAAAGCTTTTCTTGGTTGTTGTTGATCTTTGTCTCGGAGAACGAGCGGAAAAAGAGCGGTTTTTGAGTTGTCGCGATGCCGAGGCGAGCGCGAGTGAAACGGAGCGCAAGGTTGTGATCGATGGTGACATGTATATCACGCGAGGAAGTGAGGAATATTAATATTCTCTTCAGAGTCTTTCCCGGAACAAAAGAAGGATGTCCTCTCGTGAAGAATACTCGACGGAAGAGGAACACGAGAGACTGCGAAAGGCTCTCGCATTGCTCGAGAGTAAACCTTTGCATTTGTGGCGTTTGTTCAGGGAGGCGTCGCTGAATGGCGGCGCGTGTCGCGATATCGTGGAGAAGCACGTGATGTGTAAACTCAACGGGACGGATCTCAAATTCTTTTACGAGGTGAATGGAGAAACGAGAAAGTTGATTAAGAGATCAACTCGCAAGGGAGAGTTGAAAGAGAGGTTTAAAGTGAGAGAGATGTCGTCGGTATCGACTTTGGAAGTTGCGTGGGAGAATAGGGATAATAAATCGTTGTGGTCGGGGTGGTGGGACAAAACATGGTTCTGCTGGAAAGTTGCTAAAACGAATAAACTCGAGTTGCTCAAGTGGGCGAGAGAAGAGAAAAAGTGTGATTGGAATGAAAGGACGATTGATGCGGCCGTACGTCAAGGTAATCTGGAAATGGTAAAGTATTGCGTTGCAAATGAGTGTCCTATCAATATGAACGCGTGTGCATATGCTGCCCAAGGCGGTCATCTCGAGGTACTCAAATACTTACACGAAGAAGTCAAAGCGCCTTGGACTTCGGGTACTGCCTCTTTCGCGGCTGAAAGTGCTCAACTTCACATACTCGAATATCTTTTTGAGCGTAAGTATGATAAATATAGCACAGGTGCGTGTGCGTATGCGGCCAAGAACGGTCACTTAGACTGTTTGAAGTACTTACACGAAACAGCCAAAGCGCCTTGGGACGAGGACGCCGTACAAGGAGCGCACAAGAAAAACCACACCGAATGTGTACAATACCTCCTCGACAACAACTGTCCTCTCCCAATCGAATGGCGATACGACAACGGAACGTTATACGACGAGTTCTACCAACCGGTCGGATTAGGAGAGCAATAGATAGTTCATTTAGAAATAGTAATTAAATACCCACGTCGAGCGTAATCTTCACATTTTTTCCTCTCAAGAGTCAAAAGACACATCACACTTTGAGAGAATATTATTCTTCCATGAGCTCAACTGGTACGCCCGGCGTCGGCACGGTCATGCTCGCCATCCCGAGTAAAAAGGTGCGACACTAAACACCGCTTTGTTGTCTTCTTTCCTCCTGATTTCTTCCTCGACGACGACTCTTCGTTCTTTTTGTTTGTTTGCGCGCGCGGGGAAACGAATCGGAAAGGCACCCTCGATTACTGACACTCACGCACGTCTCTTTCTCCCTCTGTTCTTCACTCGTTCTCTCGCACGCGTGGCAATGCGCAACATTTAGGGTGAGTTTGTGGACATAACGACCCCGCTGGAAAAATACATCGCGGAAACCTTCGGCGCGGAAGAGTTGACGCACGCGGAAAGTTCCATCTCGAAATTCGCCCAAATTCGAGACGCCTCCGTGGCATCGACGAACGCGGCGAGCGTGACGGAGGAGACAATTTCAGAACGGCACGCGGAACACATGGAGAATTACTGCAGGTATTACGCCGCGGTGACGGTTTTTGGGAGTCGGTTTCAAGTGAGAGATGATTTTGGATTGAATTGTGGAAAGAGTAGTACTACGAGTACAGCGGCGAATACATCGAGCGAGGAGAACAACGGAGAGTACGAGGACGAAGGGACGAGGACGGGGTTGCATTTACCGTTCGAGTGGAAGGACGCGTTCGCACCTGCGGGTGGCGAGAGGAAAATTGCCGCGAGTTCATCCATCGCGAAGGAGAAATTAGCCATGCTGTATAATTTAGGCGCGTGCGAATCCGCGTTGGCGGCGAAAAGCGATCGATCGACGTTGGACGGGTTGAAAGTCGCTTCCGCGGCGTTTCAAAGAGCGGCGGGGTATTTTCAGTTTTTAGGTCAGTGTGATGATGGGAAGAAAGTGAACGAAACCATGAGTGCGGGGAGTGGCGAACCGACAGCAGCGACGGCGACGGCGACGACTGGGATTGATCGCATTGAAGCCGATTTGAGCGGCAAGATGGCGGCGATTTTAGTCGCTTTGTGTTTAGCGCAAGCGCAAGAGAGCGTTTTTGAGGCGGCGAAATTGAGCGATAAATCGAACGGCGTGTTAGCGAAGTTAGCCATCGCGTGCGCGGATTTGTACGAAGAAGTGCACGAGAAACTGTCGTCGTCGTTGCGAGGCAATCCGAAAGCACCGGTGACGCAAGAGCGGTACGTGCCTAAAATGTGGGCGACGACGACGTTTATTAAAGCGGCTATATTCAACGCCGAAGCGACTGCGAGAGTTTGTGAAACGCTCGTGAACGACGAGGAAACAATCGGGTCGGCGATTACTTTGTTGACGCGATCGAAGGAGCGCTTGGAATCGGCGTTGAGACGAGCGGAGATTCCCACCGCGCCGAAACCCCCAAAGCTGGTCGTGGAAGCCGCCGAAAATATTTTGAGAGATTCGATTAAGTTTGAACTCGGAAAAGCGGTGAGAGATAACGAGTGCGTGTATATGGCCAAAGTTCCATCATACGAAGCGTTGCAGCGCTTACACGACGACGCGAGCGAGAAAGTGACCAACCCGTTGCACTCAAAGTTCGGGGCGAAGATGGTCAAGCCGACATCGGGTGCAGACATCGAAGTTTTCCTCGATCCTTCGAATAAAGACGACGTGAGCGCGTTGTTTGCGCGCATTGTACCGGAAGATTGCGCGAGCTCGGCTTCTTTATACGCGGATAAAGTCGACCGACTTGTTCGCGAACAACTCGAACAACTCGCGTTTGCCTCGGACGAAGCGAGAGTCGCGCTGCGCGAAATGGAACTTCCCGAAACGTACAACGCGTTAAATCGACCGATCCAACTTTCCGAGGAATTAGATGCGGAGGTGAAATTCTTTCGCGATCAGGATGGTGGTATCGACGCCATGCGCGAAACGTTGTCGTTTTCCCGAGACGTTTCGAAACATTGCGAAACGGAACTGGAGGAAATCACGTCTCTTCTAGATATCGAAATGAAAGCGGACGGTGCCGCTCGAAACGCGTACGGTTCGCACAAATATCGCGCGTTACCATCAGATGCGGAAACCACCCGATGGCGACGCGATTTAGAAACTTTTGTGAACAACTCCAAACTCGCCGCCGAATCGGACGAGAAGTTACGATCCGAATTCGCTCGGTGCGAACCGATTTTGCAAATGACCACTTCAGAAAGCATCGCACAAAACGCCCCAAAATTAGAACCGCCGATGCTTCTTGTTGAAGATGCGGAAAGTTTAGCTAAAGAGGTCAGATTAGGATTAGAAAGAATTGAACGAATAGGTCGCGAACGAGAGGAAATTGAAGACGCTATGAAAGCGGTGAAAGCGAGCGATGATATTTTACCGACGCTGGTTGGTAAAATGAAATCGTCCGTCGATTCAGAGACCGCGCAAGGTAAGATATTCAGCGATGAACTTGGAAAGTACGACGAATTAATTGCCGCGGCGCAGAATAACACGTTCGCGCAAGCCGATGCGTTGGCGGAACTGAGGAAGAGTTACATCAAATTCAGCGACATGTACAACGTCTCCTCTCTTCGCGAGAAGGAAATCAAGAGAGACAACACGTTGCGTGAAGCGTTGCGGATTGCAGCAGAATTGTCGCGAGGGATACAGCAAGGCGTTCGCTTTTACGGCGGATTTTCGGATGCCATTGAAAGTCTGAAGAACGAAGTCAAAGTGTGGTGCGAAAATCGCGAAAACGAACGGAAACGTATCGTCGAACGGTTACGAAGAGAAGAAGAAGAGGAGGCGGAACGAGCGAGGATGGCGGAAGAAGTTAGAATAAAGACCGAGCAGATGCGCGTACAGAACGAACGGAGCGTGGCGCATGCAACAGTAACGACCAGTTACTACCCTGGTTCGGAGTATCCGGCACATCATCAACTACAACAGCAACCGCCGCCGCCCTCGAGCTATTACCCGCCGCCGCCTCAACAACAACAACAACACTATCCGCCAACGCAATCATCCTATTATCCTCCGCAACAACAACAACATCATCAACAACAACAACACTATCCGCGTCATCCACCTCCGCCCGCGGACGATGGGTATTATAACCCAGGTGGAGATGAGGGAGGAAATTTCTCCGCGTACGATTTACCTTCCGCCCCTCGAGGAAGATGAGGAGCTTTTTGCAAAAAAAATTAGGTGTTTGGAATTTAGATCAAATGTGTTCAAATGAAAATTACAACAATGTATATCAAACAACAATCGTCGCATCTCTCGATGCGCGCAGTATATTCTATATAAGTTTCTATGTTACTTTTTAAACCTTAACTCAAATCGAAGCTGCCGACGCCTTCGGAGATTGCCAGTTTCAATTTCAATTCCAGCGCTTCTTTGCTCGAGTACGGCGGGAGCTTCAAATAGTTCGCGCACGTCATCGCGCTCGGCAAATCGGCATCGGCCAACTCCGTGCCTTCACTAATCATTTCCGCGGCGTTCATTCCACCACCAACTTCGCTTAAAACGGTCGGTTGTTTGCAAACGACTTTTAATTTTGGGTTCAACGAGGCTAAACCGCCTATCGGTAAGCGAGGGGACCCGGTCGTGAATTTCAAAAACGATCGGCGTTCGGCGTCTGACATGTTGGTTAAAATCTCGCGCAAATTTACCACCGGTTTGGAATTGACTTGGTAGCCATGATCGCATAAGATGTGCTCGCGTAAGTCGCGCTCGCTCCACTTTGTTTGCTCGTCCACGCCACACGTGAGTGCGTCGATTTCAGATAAGGAAAACATGGCAAGTTGCGACGGGTTGGAAACGATGTCGGCAAAACCCTCGCGGCAAGCCTGGAAGAGCGGTTCTACGCCGGCGCCTAAGACATCGTCAACGACCGTTGCGATGTAGCGCGAAGCGTTTTCTGCCGTGACAACTTCGTCTGCAACGGAAGCGCCTTCTATATTCGCACCATCCGGCAACGCGAATTCCAGACACAAATCTTCAATCTTCGCGCCGTCGAGTCTCCCGGACCCGTCTCGAACCGCCGTTTCGAGTTTTTTCAAAGTCGAAAACAGCTCCGGTTCGAGCAATTCGAGGTCGTCTAAACAAAGAGGTAACCCGTACAGCTTCTTGAAAAAGTTCGGGTTAAACTTCACGTCCAATAATCGACCGTCTTGTAAGACTTTGCCGATGGCGCGTCCGACGCATCTGAAAATCTCAATCGCTTTCGAGGCGTTCGGTACCGCACGGAACGGCTTCGGGAACAACCCATGTGGCGCGTTTACGAGGCTTTCAGCGTTGTCTGTCTTCGTCGTCGTTGTCGCGCTATGTTCACTTCGAAATATCCCATGTGAAGCTCTTTGTAAATCTTTTGAAACCAACGCGTAAAATTCATTCGTGGGACCAATGCCAGTCCCAACCTCGTCGTAAAACTCAACCTCTAACACGTGTTTGCGCGTTTGCGGCGAAGAGAATACTTTTATGGCAGAAGACAACGCGTGCTCTCTTCGAATGCGCACCTTTTGCCGTTGTAAACGGCCTACGCGAGCACCTCCTCGCGGATCGCCGCCAGCATTTGCAGCCCCGGCGTTGGCCGCATTGCCGTTGGCCCCGTTGCTCGCCTTACCGTCACCGTGGAGCTGATGCAACGCACGCGCGACGGAGAAAGAGGCGCAATGAAACAGCAAAACGCGCTCGTCGAGTGTGAACAGCCACGGGCACGTCTTTGCAAGCGCAGAGGTCCATTCTGGAACTCTTCGAGCGCACACAGAAAGCGTATCGCGAAGCTGCGCGCGAAGCTTTCCGGAGAGTTTCGGCGCCAAGAACAAGTTTTCGGCGTGCATTTTCGCTGAGGAAAGGTTGGCGATGCGCATTCTGTCCGCGCTGAGCAGCATTTTATCCTCGTCGTCGTCGCCATTTACCAGCATGTTATCAGACGTTTTTTTAGTATGAACAGTAGCAGACTTTATTTTCTCTGGTCCCGCGGTGCGCAAAATCTTCTTCGCGTCTTCCGTAACGAGATGGCACAAGGTCAACGTCGCCAACGCGTCGCGAACAAAGTCGTCCTCCAAACCTTTCACAACATTTGGATGCCCGAATTGCGCGTTGAAAACCGTTGATGCTACCGGGCCTAAAATTGCTTTGACATCGCTTTTCACCGATGGATTCGCGAAGAGGTTTTCCTCCACCACGGTTTCGACGAGCGTCGCCGGTTTCGACGAGTCGTTCGAATCTTCGCCGCCTTCGCTGATAATACCTTTAAATTTCGGGTCGGTAGTGTCCACAATGTCGTAGTATAACACGCACGGTTGTTCCCACAACCGTCCACTCATTGGTTTCACGGAGTCACCGATAGAGACTTGCGTGACTGCGGCTAAGACGTTCTTGGTATCCTGAATGTACGCGTCGCCGTCGTTGACCGAGAAGGCGAGTCGAGGGCGCGCGATGTCGCTCCCCGCGGCGACGGAGGCGAAGGTTCTTCCAGCAGCAGCACCAGGAGCAGACGATGCTTGCGGCGTCGGTACGCGCGCAGTAGCAGCAGTAGCACTTTGCTCTTGTTGCGATGGCGGTGGCGGCGACGGTGACGATGCGGGAGGCGCCGCGATCTCTTCCGCGGATGCCGGCGGATGCGCCGTGTCCTCGCCTTCTGGACCCAACAAATTCTCTTCGTCGTCCTCGTCGTCCATGTAGTCTTCTTCGTGATCCATGTCGTCCATGTCGTCGTCCTCTTCGTCGTGGAAGTCCTCCTCGTCCATATCGTCGTAATCTTCTTCTTCGTCGAAGTCTTCTTCGTCGTGATCCATCTCGCGATCTGGCGCGCTCGCGGATCGGTTTGCGTCGGCGTTCGGCGCAGAGGCGGAAGTATTTGAAGCATTTGGCGGTTGTTGCGCCGGCACTGGTTTCTTCTTCACTCGGGAGTACAAGAATGCTTCGACTGCGCTTAACTGCGCTAACGGTTCAATCATAACCACGCTGTTGCCGTAATCTTCAACTTTGGTCGCGTCGCACTTCGAGGCGCGCTTTAAGCGAACCTTGAGCGGTCTCGCGAGCAAATTCAACCCAGGGTCACCCGCGTTCGCTGAAGGCGCGAGCGAGGACGGTACACCGCTCGAGGCGCGAAATCGCGCGTAGGACGAATCCGAATTTGCCGTCGCGTGTTCTGAAACAGAGATCGGCATGCGTTCTCGCGTTTGTAAGGTCTCCACGAGAAGACGGACGAGCGTTTCAAACGAGCCCGTCGGCGCGTCGCCGGCGGCGCGCGTGAAAATGGCGAGACGCTCCGTCGCTTCTTCACAATCGATGCTCCTTGATTTAGGAGAAGAAGTTTTAGGAGAAGAAGGCACATCTGAGGCACAGAGGAACTTGCGCAAAGTCGACGCCGCGCCGCATTCGGAGAGTTCGAACGCCGAGATTTCGCTCGTCGCCAGCGCTTCGAATATTTTGGCAAACGCCGACGAAAATTCTTTGGCGTCTCGCGGATTCTTGGCCGATTTGCCGCCTTCGCTCGAATCCGAGAGTGGCGCCGTTTTCAGTTTCGCGCACGCCTTGCGAAGTCGATCGAGACCTTCCGAAGCAATCAAGTGCGCTTTTCCCGGCCCAAAGTATTGATTACGAACTTCCGAGCAGATTCGCAAACCTTCTTCTTTTGGATTCGTGGACATTTGAAACTGCGGCTCTCTCGGCGTCGTTGGATGCAAAAGCGTTTTTTCTTCGGATCCAGCGCTCTTTTCGGCGGCTTCTGCGATTAAAAAGTTGTACTCTTTCGCGCGAACCTCCAAAGCGTGCGCTCCGCCTTCTTTTGCAAACCTCTTGATGAATTCGGCTTCTTCTTCTTGAGTATCTTCGTTAGATTTCTCCAACGTCATCGCGCACAACTTTGCAGCTTCCTTCAATAACTCGCCTTGCGGATCGATCAAAGCGCGAGCGACGACGGCGGCGATGGGAGCTTCATCTCTCGCAACGTTCTCAAACGTCTCGATGTCAACCAGTTGCGTCCACGATGTTAACGTCGACAGCGCTTTGCGTTTAATGGTCACATTCGACGGCGACTCCGCGACGTGGCAAAGCGTCGGCGCGAGATATTCGCCGAAAATTGCAACGAGCGAGGCGTTTTCTGGTTTCGCAAAGAGCTTTTGCAAATCCGCCGCGCCGACGACCAGAGAGACGGAGGTTTTCTTGATCTCGTCGTTCCTCTTCACTTGGGATGGTATTAACAACCCAATCAAATGCATGGCGTCGTGCAAATCATCCATCGATTGTACCGGGCTGTATTCGGAAACGCCGACGTTCGCTCGAACGATTTTGCATCTCTCTAAATGTTCGGCCAAAATCTGCGCGACGCCGTTATTCAACAAGAAAATGGACATCTCCGGACGCGCTTCTAAAATTGTCGCGAGAATCTTCACGCACCCTCTGTAAAGCAGGCGGCTGTGTGTTACATTACTCGTGCTGCCAGCAGTGCCAGCCGCTTCGCGCACGATTTCTAAGCACCGTTCGCAGAGCGCGTCTGATAAAATGAGAGAGACGGTTTCGTTCGCCGCCGCCGGGTCCATCTCCGAGGAGGAGGATTTTTCCTTCTTCTTCTTTTGTCTATCGTTGCTAGTCGCGGCGTCGTCCGTTGTTCTTGTCGTCGTCGTCGTCGCCGCCGCCGCCGTTCCGCCTCGTTCTTCTTCTTTCTTAGTAGCAGAAGGTTGTCGATCCAGTAACAACTGTTGTTGTTGTTCTTTTTGTTCTTTTTCCTTTTGAAGCAAAAACGAAACTCTTCGATCGGCTAATTTCTTAGCTTTCACCGACAAAGAGACCAAGCAGTTGCACGCTAAAGTGGCAACTTTTTGATCGTCTCGAACGAGCAAAGAGAGGAGCGTTGGAATAGCGTCGACGGCACCGGGCGATAAGGACTTCGTTGGAAATTCCGAGCACACGTTCGAAGCCATTTGCATCGATACGCCTTGCATGCCGACGCCGAAGAAATCCAAGTGCGCCAAAGCCGCCGTCAACGCACCTGCTTCGGCGGCTTTTGAGCCGTAATATCCTCGAGTAAGTTTTTCAAGCGCGGAGAGCGATTGTTCTGCGACGTCTATGTATTCTATGGCGAAGAGCTTTTGACACAACGTGGGCAGAGCGCCTGCGCGCACAAACGCGCCCCGCGTGTTTGGCAAAATGTCCGCCATGGACGTCATCGCGCGCACCGCCAAGAGCATCAACTCTGGGTTGTGCTCCAAGTTGCAGCAATTCAACAACGCCTTCGCGAACGGCTCCGGCGATAGACTCGTTGCTAAGAGTTCCTCGGAAGATGTGACGACTATTTCGCACAATTCGTTCAAAGCGATGACAATGGCCGTATCGTCGATGCCGCCGTTCTCGGCTTCTCTATCAAACGTCAACGCTTTCAAAACGTCTTTGAGGCGCGCGGAAATCCCGCCGCGAGAACCACCACCCATCCCCTCCATGGCACCACCGAGACGAGAGAGCAACGCGTGAAGTCCTCCATCGTGACGGTCGCCACTGCCTCGGCGTCCTTCGTCCTCCGAGTCGTTGTCGTCGTCCTCGTCGTCCTCGTTCGAGTACTCTTCTTCGTCGTCGTCGTCATCGATGTCTTCGTCATCCTCGTCTTCCTCGTCGTCGTCGTCGTGATAGTCGTCTCCGCCACCGCCGTACTCTTCGTCGTCGGCGTCTTCATCCTCGTCGTCGTCTCCAAAGTCTTCTCCTCGATCGACTTCATCGATGTCGTCTTCGCGCATCATCGAGACGTCTTGCCCTTCCGTCGGCTGCTCGTCGCCTCCCGACCTTTTGCCTCCGCGGTTCTTTTCGTCGGCATCTTCGTTGTCCTTCACCTCCTCTTCTTCCTTCTTCTTCCTCCCGCGCGTGGTTCTTTTCGCCGTCAAAGTCTTCTTCATCTTCTTCTTCTTCTCCTTCTTCTCCGCCTTATCTTTTTTCATCAAAGCGCCAGACGCCGCCGGAAGAGGAAGACCATCATTACCCTTACCTTTCGCCAACGTTTCAAAGCGTTGTTGAGTAGAAAAAGCAGAAGACAACAACAAAGTCGTCTTTTCGCCCTTTTTCATCGTCTTCGTTCTCTTCTCATCGTCGCTCTTTGTTTTCCTCTCGAGCGTGCGACCGTCGCCTTTTTCCTCCTCTTTTGCTTCTTTGACCTTCTTTTCTCCTCGCTGTCGTACCTGTTGTTTTAACGAAGAAGAAGAAGACAACTTCGATGTGGGCGAAGATGCTTTCTTCCCTTTCTTCGTCGGGTTCTTTTGCGCGGAGGCGGATAGAAACAAATTATCTTCGTCGTCGTCGCTTTTCTTCCGTCGTTTTGTCTTCTTCTCGCTCGCATCTTCTTCCTCCTCGAAATCCATCGTCGTTTCCGTCGTCGTCGTCATCTCGTCGTCGTTCTTTTTGCGCTTCTTCTTCTTCTCTCGCGCTAAACTCGTCTTCCTCTGAATCAAAGCTGTTGATTTCGTCGGCAAAGCAGATGTTTTCTTCGTCTTCATTTTCGTCGTTTTTGTCGTCGACTTCTTCTTCTTCATCGTCGACTTTGATGCGGACGACGACGAGCGTCTCGGAATCGTTTCCGCGTTTTCCTTCGTCGTCGTTTCCTTTTCCTCGAGAAGAAGACAACGTTTCTTACTCGTATTACGCATCATCATCGTCTCAAAAAATAGCGCGATACTAAAAGAGAATTGTTGTTGTTGTGTTGTTGTGTTGTTGTTGTGCGAACGGTGATGCGCGCGTGATAGAGAAACGCGCGCAGTAAACGCGTCAGATGTGTGATGTGGCAGCCCCTCTTTTTTGCCTGTTTTTTTTTGCACTTAATAAGCGACCCCACTGTGCTTTGTACTGCGCTGGCAGCGACGGAGTCGTAGAGAGCGCGCGACGGAGCAGAGCGCGAGTAGGAGTAGTACAACAAATAAAAAGCGTGCAACGCTGGGAACAAAAGCGAGCGCGTGACGTAGGAGTAGGAGTCGCGTTACGACGTGAGTGTTATGTAGTTTGGCGGCGTTTTCTCTCTTTCTTTCCGCGGAGTATATCTCTAGTATTTCTCGTATAATGCTTTCATTTATTAGAGCACGCCGGATTGAACGATCACGACGTCTTTCTTCGGCCTATCGCCTCTCCCGGTTTGAGTGCTCTCTACTTTTTTGACGACGTCGAAACCTTCCAACACGTTTCCAAAGACGACGTGTTTCCCCGTCAACCACGGCGTCGCGGCGGTGGTTAAAAAAAACTGCGAACCGTTCGTGTTCGGTCCGGCGTTGGCCATGGCTAAAACGCCAGGCCCGGTGAACGGGATTTTGAAATTCTCGTCCGCGAAGTTTCTGCCGTAGATGGAATACCCGCCGGTTCCGTTCGCGCGTTCGAAATCGCCGCCTTGGAGCATAAAGTTCGGTATCACGCGGTGGAAAATGGAGTTTTGGTACCCGAACCCTTTCGAGTTTGCGCACAACTCTCGAAAGTTCGCCACGGTTTTCGGAACGTCTTCGCCGAATAATCCAATGACGATTCGTCCGGCGTTTTCACCCCCGATGGAGACGTCGAAGTAAACTTTTTCTGTGACCTTATATTCGCACAGGTTCGGGAATGCGGACGCGACGTCTTTCGAATATCCTTCGCACAGTTGTTGTTGCTGCTTCGCAGGCGCTTCATCCGGAATCGTTTTCATCATCATCTCTTCCTCTTCCCCCGCCAAGGTTTCGTTCGCGCTGCTTAAAAAGAAACTGGAAAAAGCAGCGGCTGAAATCGTCGTCGTCATCATTTTCCGTCTCGTGTTGCTTCTTTTTCTCGTCGCATCGCTCTCAATAAAGGTGTTGCGTATATCTTCTTTGTCTTCTTCTTTGTCTTCTTTCACTTCTTCCCTACTCTCGCTGTTCTCGAGCGACGCCTTCGTCATCGTCGGCCTCTTCCCGTTCCGAAAACTTCGAGCAGGTGTTGGAGGTATCATCGTGCGCATTCTCGCGGAAAATATGGAGGATGAAATCATTTCTGTCTGTCTGGTATTCTCCGCGTTGTGTTTCTCGCAAAAAGGTAAAATATGACGTATCCAAAATGTCTCCAATTTATCCATTACGTTTGCGCGCATTAAAACATACATAACTTTAGGACGATACTGTCATGGTTTTTACCACCACCACGACGAAAATGCCATCTCTGTCTGCCGTTTCTGCGAGTTCGTTTTCATCGTTCTCATCGTCGTCGTCCGAGCTTCAGAAGCGGATAAAGAAGAAGACGAACGTCTCGCGAGGACGACGAGGAGGCGCTCGAGGATTACGAGGAGGACGTTTTCATCGGACGACGAAAGCGGAAAGCAACACCAACAACGGCGACGACTCCGTCAAAATCGAGAGGGAAGGGTTAGAACGACGGGAACCGAGGAGAAGAGGTCCGAGGAGGAAGATCGCGCGAGTGGTCGTCAACAAAGAGGAAGAAGAAGAAGACAAAGAAGAAGACAAAGAAGCTTCGAAGCGTTTGGTGAGAGAAGAAGGAAAGACAAATACGAAGACTACAAAGAATACGAAGAAGAAGACATCGATGACGATGACGGAACGATGGCAAAAAGACCCACTCTCGGCGTTGATTTCCATCCCTCGAATCGCGCTCGGGGCGGCGGAAGAATTAATCGTCGAGAAAGGCGGGAACCCGTCCGACGTGTTGGAGGAAATCGGGAGGAACGTGCCGCGATTGGTATCGTCGTCACCGTTTAGTAGTAGTAGTAATAATACTAACGACGGCGACGACGATACCGAGAGTGTTGAGAACATTTTGAGAGATTTAGAAAGAGAGATGGAACGGTTGGAGAGGAAAGGTGCGGACGCGGCGAGACCGATGAGAGAGGCGTTGGTGAAACCGAACTTGGATGAAGAGACGTACGAGAGGTATTTCGCGTACCCTTCATCAAAAGGCGAAGGGGAGGAGGACGACGAAGACGAAGACGAAGACGAGGACGAGGAGGGAGGATTTTACGACGCGAGTAAAGATACCGGGAGCGACGAAGAGGTGGCAAAAGCGGCGAGTGATATCGCGGATGCGTTGAGTGGGATGGATTTAGCGGATTTGTACGCGGAAAAGAAAGAGGAAAAGGGAAGGAGCAAAAGCGAGGAGGGAGAACGAGGAAGGCGGTTGAACGTAATCGCTGAAAGTAACTCGAGAAAGGCAGAGAAGGACGGCGTGTCACCAGAAGCGGTGGAGTATACCATCGAGGAGAACTTATCGAACGTCGTGATGGAAACAGCGACGGTGTCTTCGACGAGACGAAGAGTAGTATCGAGCGCTACCTCTTCTTCAGCGACACCTGCGACGACGATTGAAATCTCAAACAAGTACTATTCTTCCGCCGCGATATCACCGGAAGAACGAAAGGAAGAGAAAAAAGAAAAGGCAACGGTGGTTAGCATCAAAGATACGAGTAGTTACGTACAAAAATTCAACGGTAAATGGAAACGAGACGATCAACTGGACGAATCGAAACTGATGGATTTATTCGAGATGAACCGGTTGTTCCGAGCGGCGAATAGCGCCTTGACGCAGTTGGATGTAGGAGCGACCACTTCAAATTTCTCGCTCAAAGCTTCGTACGGAATCATCTCCGTCAACGAATCGTACGCTTACGATTCGGAAGTGCGCCAAAACAGACGAGATGCGAGATCGGGAGCTCAATTCGGACGAGCGACGTTAGACGCCCAATCGGAATCGATAACGCTCGAGTCGCGATGGACTGAACCTCTCGAAGGAAACATGACGGAAACGTTCGAAGTTGATGAGAATAACCGCCTCGTGCGCAAAGCGAAGGTGACCCTCCTCAACACCAACAAAACCTGGGAAGGCGTTTACGAATACAAGCGCGTGTAATATATGCACATACTAAATCTAAACTAAAGGTAATCCTGGACAAACGTACGCCTTTTCCGGACACTCCACGCGTACCGTCACGTCCACGCAAAACAAAGTCTCCACCCCTTTCCCATCCTTCAACTCGTACCTGTATCTATACTTCCCGCTCGGCGTGTACCACGGCACTTTCGCGCGTCGTCCCGAAACCGTCTGCCTCCCGTGGCCTCCAATCGGGCAGTCCTCCGTCCACTCGCACAACGCGACGGACTCTTTTATCCCTTGATGATTTTGCATCTCCACTTCCTCTTCCACGTTATCATCATTATTATCACTATTACGAGTACGACGACTACGACTAAACCAACTCTGTCGGATCATCTTCCCGGACGTATATTCCTGGTCGCTTTCTAAGGTAAACTTCGTCGCCCCGGAATGCCCGGTTCTGCCGGCGAACGACCCGGGAGATGCCACCGCGTTCAAGACTCGGATTTTTGACGGACTCGTTACGTTGCACAATTGGAACGAGGAATCCCAGGACTCGTGCTTGTGCTCTTTGTTTTCCCAAACGAGCGGTCGTCTTCCTCGCGTTTGTGGTTTCGTAAACATAGATGATGGTTTTTCTTGCGCTGATGCGTTCCCCAATGTGAATGAGAGCAGGAGTAGTCGTAGTGTCAGCAAAGGCATCGAAGGAAGAAAGGAGCTCCAACAACAGAAGGAGCGCATTAGTATTGTTTTTAAGTGCGTGCGACTCCTTTGAACTTTGTTGCGCTCTCTTTTTGTCGCGACTGTTTTAAGCGCGAACTTTGGAGTACGTTTTAGGAGTAAATTCCAATACTTGATAAAATATATTACAACACAGATAAGAGTCTTCCTACAAAGCGACGGCTTCCAAGTCGAACAAAGAGGACCCGACGATTTTACACTTCCTCATCTGTCCTGGCTCTAACTTTTGCCCTCCATTTTCAGCTTCTGAAATGAACACGACGGGGTCGATATCCGGCGCTTCTAAAGCGGTTCTGCCGACCCAGGCGTCCATGTCCTCGTCGAAGTTGTCGACGAGGACGTCCAAGGTTTGACCGACGCGAGATTGGGCGAAACTTTCGGATATTTCTTGTTGTTGCGCGACGAGCTGGTCCCGGCGTAAGGCGCGGAGATCGTCTTTGACTTGGTCCGGGTACTCCGCCGCCGGCGTGCCGTCTTCTTCGGAGTAGGCGAAAGCGCCTAATCGTTCAAATTTAAAGTCGCGGCAAAATTGCATCAACTCTTCGTGTTCTTCCTCGGTTTCGCCCGGGAAACCAGATATGAACGTCGTGCGTAAGGCTAAACCGGGAATTCGATCTCGGAGTTTATATAACAAGTCTTCCGCGTGCTGGCGAGGCGGTCGGTTCATTCGGAGTAAACTCAAATTGGTGATGTGTTGGAGAGGAATGTCGATGTATTTACACACCTGCGGGACGTCCGCGATGGCGGTGATTAACTCGTCCGAGAAGTAACTCGGGTACGCGTATAAAATCCGAATCCATTCGATGCCGTCGACTTCGGCTAACGTTTCCAAAAGCTCGGCTAACCCTCGACCGTCTTGCGCTCGCAAATCCATCCCCCACTGGTTGGTATCTTCCGCGATTAAACACAACTCTTTCGCCCCGAGCTGGCCTAACGCTTTCGCCTCGTCCACGATGGGCTCAAACTTTTTCGATCGAAATTTACCTCTAAACGACGGAATCGCGCAAAACGTGCACTTATGATCGCACCCTTCGGCGACTCGCAAATACGCCGAGTGTTTCGGCGTAATCCGCACTCGATCAATCTCCAAACGAAACGGCGGCGAGTTTCCACCGACCAACGTCTTCTTTTTCGGCAACACCAAATCGTCGTTCGTGATTATGTTTTTACTGCTGGTGCTCGTCGCAGAAGCGCCGATTCTGTTTTGCGACGCGGGATCGAACGGACTCACGATAGTATTTTTGCGTTCCCGCAAACTCTCCTCCACGAGGTCCGGCAACATCCCGTAATTCTCAAACCCGACGATTAAATCCGCCTCCGGTAACTCCTTCTGCAAATCCTCGCCGTACCTTTGCGCCAGACATCCAGTCACGACGATTTTCTTCTTCCCGCCTTTGCTCAGTTTCGACGCTTCCAATATCGCCTCCACCGATTCGCTCTTCGCGTCGTCGATAAACCCGCACGAGTTTATGATGATAGCATCCGCCTCTTCGTGGTTCGTTGTGATGTCGTACCCGTTCTTTTGCATGTCCCCGAGCATAACTTCCGCGTCTACCACGTTTTTCGGGCATCCCAAGCCTACCAAGGACACTTTCAAGTTTTTCTTTTCTGTTGCAATTCCGGTTGGATTGGACGTGGCGGCGACTTTCACGGAATCAAAATTGGAATCGAAACGATTCTTATTTCTTTGCAAGTTTCCGCTGCTTTTTTTAATCTTCTTTCCTCCTCCTCGTTCACTCGCACCACTAGTACACCGCGTGGTGGTGTTGGTCGTTTTGGTTACAGTATTAGAGATCATCATCGTTTTTAATAATAAGGAAGAGTAAACACAAGACACACCTATATAGGTTAACGAACAACAATGGAGCTTTTTTCGAATGGTTTGTTTGTTTGGGCAGTTCTCGAGGCAAAAAAAAGAAAAAAAAGAAAAAAAAGAAAAAGAAAAAAGGCGTTTCTCTTCATTATTATTAGAAGAAGAACTCTCCTTTCCTTGTTTCTCTCTCTCTCTCTCGGCCTCAAGTCGCTAAGGTTTTGAGGCGAAGAAGACTTTGAGAACTTCTTTCTGCCGCGAAGTGCTCGCGTTTTTTGCGCTTTGCTTTCTCAAAAAAGTTTTACTGTAGTAGATGATGAAGCTGAAGATTATTTTTACTCTGGTGTGTTTCGTGTTTAAAATACTAGTCCTGGTATCGCTTTTTTAATAGTAAAGTTGTTTTAGTTTGCGACGAGATATTCGTGAACGCGCGATGTTTTCTTCTTCTTGGTCTTGGTCTTCCGCGTGGTGGTCACCGTTTCCGTCGTCGTCGTTCGCGAGGAGTAGTCCGTCTTTCTCGGCCGCGATGCGGAAAAATTTCATCGTGAAAGCGAGGAACAGACGGTTTTGGTTTTTCGTGGAGACGATCTGTCCGATACTGTTCGTGGTGTTGATGGTCGTGCCTTCGGTTTTAATCGAGGAGAAGACGGTTCAATCGCAATTTTTTATATCGAGGCCTTTGGCAAACGTCGCCTGGGGGGTGACGAGAGGGTTTGAAAGCATGGACGGAGGTAAATATAGAATCGCGTATTCGCCGAGCGAAAACGAGGAGGTTAGAAAAGTCGCGATGAAAGCGGCGCGGCGACTGGTGTGCGAGAATCAACCGATTACGTTCGGCGCGGTGGTTTCGGTAAACGCGAAATACGCTTTGAAATCAAACAGTCCCGAAGAAGGGATGAGCGCGATACCGAACTTGATCGAAGATATTAATAATTTGACGAGATCAAGTGCGAGTGCTTCAATAGTAGATGTTTTGAGGGACGTTATTCCAAAGACGTTTTCTGAACGGGAGGGCGGGAAAGACGTGCCATTTCTCGCGTGCGACGATGCATCCGCTGAGGCGCTTTTGTTTCCCGTATCGTCCGCGCGGAAAGCGGAGGCTTTAGCGATGGATCCGGAGAATAAGATATTGATGGTTGTAAATTTGATCATGGATGATGGCAAAGATATTCGCTACGAGATTCGCGCGAACCAAACTTCCGGGATTGCCTCCGGAAAGACGATATTGTCCGGAGCCTCGAGCGCCCAGAATAATAAAAATCGAAATTCGCCCTTTGCGCACCCGTTTCAAAAGTGGGTCAACGGCGTCAACTACGAGTGGACGAAATATTACGCGTATGCGAACGTACAAAGCGCGTTCAATCGAGCGTTTTTTGAGTATTTTGCGGAAAGAGAAGGGATTTTGAATGCTACCGCGCGCAACCTCACGTCGATCAATATTAAAGCGTCCGCGTTCCCAGAGCACGATACGAACATCGCCGCGACAATTTCGAGCGCCTTCTTCTCCTTAGCGTTCGTCTTTGCCTTCGCCGTTCCACTTTCCAGCATTGCAAAGTCGACTGCCTATGAAAGCGTAAATAACCTTCGTTTACATCAAGAACTGCTCGGTTGTTCTAAATCTACGTATTGGTTGTCTTGGTTTATGGCGCATTACGCGCCGTTGTTCTTAGTCTCGGGGTTTATATCTTTAGTTGGCAAACGCGCGTTCGTATCTATCGACGCGTCTATTGTGTTCGGATTTTTCATCGTATGGTCTGCGCAACTCGTCGCGTTTGGTTTATTCGTCTCCGCCTCGGTTGGATATTTGTTGCAAAAACTCGCGAGAGAGGATGGGACGTCTAGGTCGAACAACAGCTCCTCGACGGCGTCCGTCGCGTCTCTGGTGAGCGTGTTCGTGTACGTCGTCACGTGGGTTTCGGGCGTTACAGCGACGACAAAGCATCCAGATGGAAGTGTTAGTTGGCTTTACGCATGTTTTCTCTCCCCGGCGAGCGCGTTGCACGTGTTTGGCGAAATTGTGAGCGCGTGCGAGAGACACGGCAGCTCGATGTCGTGGAAGACGTTCGCCGACGACGATATGTACCACGACGTCACCGCGAGAGGCGTGTATTTTGTCGCGCTCGTAAATTGGATGGTGTTTGCAATCTTTTTGCGCGCGTTTTTCATACGCGGAGGGTGTCAAAATGTGAGATCAAAATACGTTCTGATGACAAGCGATAACGCCGCGAGTGACGATGCCATTCGAGCGACGAACGTGACAAAACGCATTTTAAGAAACGTTAATTTTCGCGCGAAGAAATCCAGCGTCTGCGCATTACTCGGACACAACGGTGCTGGAAAAACCACTTTAGTGTCCGTGTTAGTTGGTCTTGAGTCTATAAACGAGCAAACGAAAATTGAAACGTCCGGTGAAGTTGGTTTTTGCCCGCAGTTTGACTTTTTGTGGCCGCAACTCACCGTTCGCGAACACTTGCGGTTGCGATTGGCGTTTTCCTCGAAAAGTCGGAGAGCAAGGAATAACGACGAAGAAGAGGAGAATATTCCCTCCTCTGAACCGATTCTCATCCAGACGCTCGCCTCCAAACTCGCCATCTCGAATAAGCTCGACGAACAAATCTCCACGCTTTCCGGCGGACAAAAAAGGAAAGTTTCGCTTTTGTTGTCGCTTTTGAACTCCTCGATTGCTATTCTCGATGAACCGACGGCATCGATGGATCCAGTCTCCAAACGTTTGGCGTGGAAGTTGATCTCGGAGTTTACGAAATCAGATTCTGCAAATAGCGTTGTTTTAGCCACGCATCACATGGACGAAGTTGAGGCGTTAGCGGACGATTTGGTCATCTTGCATAACGGCCAATCCGTGATTGAAAGCGTTTCGGTGGAAGAGATGAAAAAAATGCACGGCGGTGGTGGAGATGAACCGTCGCTGGAAAAGGCGTTTCTTAATTTCATCGCAAAAGCTAAAGAAGAGGAAGGCGAGGAGGATGATATCATCTTACCTTTGGAAGAGGTAGGAGTAGCGGCGGCAACCAGCGGAGACATCGACAACAACGACGACGAGAAGACTACGAAAACGAGGAGAGCTTTGCGACAAGTTCAGGCAATTTTACGCGCGCGATATTTAGTCTGGAAGCGTCAGCCGTTGTTTGCGCTATTTGCCATCCTTAGCTGCGCGATATTTTTCACCATCGGCCTTTCGTTGGCAAAATCCGGTTCGTCGGCGAATGGTTCATCTGCGCTAAGTTCGAGCGAATACGCCGAAGAGATGACGCCGTCAACATTTCTCGGAAAGAGCAAACCCTTGTTTACCATATCTGAATCGTCTCGTCCGTCGCGTCAGCGACAAATGGCATCGCTTCCTATGACTTTCTATGCTGCCGTTCGAACGACGCCGCGCTCGGTCACAAAACAGTACGAGTGTCAAAGAAATTCTTTCCTCTTGCCTGTATGCGGCAATATTTCGGCGTGTGCCGAAAATTTTGAGTGCACGAGTGAAATGAACATCGAAAGCACCATCGATTACGAATTGATGAGACAGGCTGAATTTACCGCGACGCGTTCATGCGGATCGCAAAAATTTCCTTCTCCGTGCGCGTTTTACTACCTCGACTCGACGACGAATACGATGACCATCGCTACCTCACCCACCGCGTACCACGCGATTCCATCTGCGTTGGGCTTACTCGACGAGTCTATTTTTGCGAGCGCGTTCAGAGAGAAAGGTCTGACCTTGACAGCAATTAACGATCCGTTACCTTTGAGTGAAAGTGAATCTGTGTCCTCGAACGCGTTTTCGCACCAGTCCATGTCCTCTACGTTCGTGGCAATGTGCGCAGTCCTTGGATTAAGTATAGCGTCGGCTATACTCACACCAACGCTCGTTCGAGAGAGGACTTTAGGATTTAAGCACGCGCTCCTATGTGCGGGACTGTCGAATAAAGTGTATTGGCTCGGAACGGCGACCTTTGATTTCATTTCGAAGACGTTTCCCGCTTTGCTACTTTCGTTCATCATGTGCCTCGCTTTACGCGAAGAGGAAATAGACGTTTCTTCCACAAGATACGCAGAAACATTGCTTTTTGCATCCATCGCGTTTGCGTTTCAAACGACGCCGATTGCGTACTTATCGTCGTTGTTTTTCTCTGACGACGTGTCTTCTTTTGCTACGCAAGCGGCCAGTTCCTTCTCTGTTGCGGTATTGTCTTTTATCGCGTCTGTCGTGTTGGATGGTCTGGCGTTAGCCGGAGAAGATGTTTCCGTGGTGTGGGATGTTGTTTCTGTTATCTTTTGCGCGTCGCCGCAATACAGTTTCGCTCGTATATTTTACAACCTTTCTCGACGAGAACACGCCATCCCTCGATTCGAGGAGAAGCGCGAAGGAGAGGAAGAAGAAGAAGAAGGTGTCGGTTTCTCGATATTGCTTCCGGATACGAAAACGTTCCTGGAATGGGAAAATAGCGGAAGAGAGTTCTTATTGATGTTTGTTTTCGGTCTCTTCTATTGGTTTGTTTTCGTTGCGTTGGAATGGCGAACCGCGAAACGCATCGAAAACGCTTTTGAAAAAGATACGAGAGAAGATGAATGCGATATGAACGATGGAGCGTTGACTGTGATGAAATTAAAAAAGCAGTATCGCAAAGACCAAGCGCCGTCGGTCGATTCTATATCGTTCAAGGTTTCCGCGAAAGAGGCGTTCGCGTTGTGTGGCGTCAACGGAGCCGGCAAGACGACCTCGTTCGCTATGCTCTCTGGCTTACTATCGAAAACGAACGGCTACGTTCGATGGGCGAGCGCGACTACGTCTTTTGGCTATTGCGCTCAAACAAACGGCGTGGAAGATTTTCTCACGCCACTCGAACATCTCGATTTGTTCGCTTCCGTCGTCACGTCTGCAACAACTTCTTCCTCCTCTTCTTCTCCTTCGCTGTGGTGTGAACGTTTTCAATCGCTACAAAAGCACAAAATCGTGCTCGCGAAAAACTTGAGCGGCGGTGCGAAGCGAGAACTGTGCGTTGCAATCGCCCTTTCCGTCGCCGAAGCTGCGAAACAAACGGTCTCTCCCTCTCATCATCCATCGTTAGTTTTACTTGACGAGCCTACTGCGGGCGTGGACCCGTATGCGAAAACAAAGCTTTGGAAGGCTGTGGAAAACGTTATGAACTCCAATCAAGGCGCCGCGGTCGTCATCACTTCCCACGATGTCTTCGAATGCGAAAAAGTCTGCGCCTCCGTCGGGTTACTCCGCGACGGCAAGTTCCTACTTTGTGGCAACACCTCCGACATCAAAAAAGAGTTTTCCAACGATGCGTTTGCGTCATCCTCGTTAGAAGACGTCTTCATCGCCGTTGTCGAACGGGAAGAAGCATTGGAAGCGTTTTCTCAATCCAATGATGATAACTAAGATATAATCTCTCTCTCTCTCTCTACCACCATCGCAACGCGCTCTTCGCTCCGAGGCCGTCTCGTCTCGAATTCATATCTTGCGCCACGCCTTCACATCCGTCTTCAGCGCTCAACCAAAACCCGCCGATATTATCGTGGTGCAAATAGAATCGATGATGCAACGTAAATGCAGCCGGCCCGTATTTCGTCTTAAAATTCGCCACGCCTTCGCTCTCCAACGCGTCTCCGTCTCTCCATTTTCTCTGTTGATCTGAAAGCCACCCGCTGTACTCCTCGATTTCCTCTTTCGTCCAGCCTTCGTCGTCGTCCTCGTTCGCCAACGAGAGTTGAATCATCATCCCAGATTTCTCTCCAAACGTGGAGACTTTTCTCACCTCTCGCCCGTGAAAGATGGATTCGTTATCCGCGAACGCGCTCTGCTCGTATCCATCCATCATATACATCCGCGAAACGTTCGATTCTTGGACGACGACGTTTCCATCATCTGTTTCTCCAAAATTCCTCGCTTTCGTCTCCAGCCTCTCCCTAAACTTCCTCGTAAAACTTAATCCAAACTTCATGCCTCCGCAAAAGTTAAACGTCGTCGCCGGATGGCTTTCGCAATCCAACATAAATTGCGCCCAGTTTCCGTTATATCTTTCGTTCCGTTCCGTAGAATCCACTAAAAAAGACGGCATCATCATCAACTCTTCTTCTTCTTCTTCTTCTCGTTGTTGATTTTGGATGGCTCTCGGAGACGTCACTCTTTGTCTTCCTGCGTTCCTTTGTCTTCGGGTTTCGGCTTTTAGGTGATGACGAGTTGATGTTGTTAATTGCGCGCGCATTTTGGTTAAAATCGTATCGAAATTGTGCCGTCGTCGTTTCCCTTAAAAAATAAGCGTAACAACAAAGTGCGCGCGTTTGATCGAACGCACACGCGCGACGCGACGCGCTGATTCAACACGCCATCCTTCGAAAGTTCAACGACCGAAATGGATATCGAGAAACTCAGGAAAAAGTTGGGGACTTTGAACGACGACGACCAGTCGTGGCGAAAGATAAAACGAAAACCCAACAGGCGGCGAACAACGGGAACGACGGGAACGAGGAAAGACGAAGAAGAGAAACGAGTGGAGAAAATACAAACGACGCTAAAACTGAAACACCCGTGGAATAAAATCGAGGACGTGGAAGAGGTGAACGTGTACATCGTTTTCAAAGAGAAGATGAAAGTGATCTCGTTCGCGAGCGAAGAAACGAGGAAGAGTTGGAAAAGTTTCGAAGACGAAGAGGTGGAGGAGGAGGAAGAGGAAAAGGTCAAGACGACGAAGAAGAAGAGGCCGCCGGCGCTGGTAAAAGTGATCGCGAGTAAACTCGAGACAAAAAGGTCGTCCACTCAAAAGAAGAAGAAGAAAAGAGATCAACAACAACGTTCGGGGGCGAATGTTTTCATCGTCTCCGGGAGTCAACCGGTCGTCAACGAGTACGATTTAGAGCGCTTGGGCATGACGACGACCGCGTTCGCTCGCGGAGCGGAAAGAATAGAAGAAGAAGAACAAGAACAAGAACAAGAACAAGAGCAGTGAGAAGAGAAAAAACACGTCTAGGACGATTTAAAGATCAGTAAATGGGGACGATGATGATCGAGAGAGAGAAGAGCAATAATCGATCCATCCCCTCCATCCAAGATTTTCCTCCGTGTATTTTTTACTCGCTATATGAACTCCTCTTTTTTCTCTCGTTTTGCTCTTTTTACAAAGGCAGCTGCCAGGTCAAAAATGACTTCATTCGATATCATATCAACACACACACACACCTGCACGAATACAAAATGTTTTCTTTGACTACTTCTACCGTTGCTTCCGCGAAAATCACCTCCAAGGTACGCGAATGCGTTATTATTTTCGTTTCTTTCGGTTCGCGTGGGTATCCTCGACGGCGATTTCGAACACCAATCGCGCGCTTTAAGTACAATCCCAATCGTCTCGTTTTTAAGCCAAGACGGCAAAAAAGATGATTTTTGCGCGGATGATGAGAAGAGTATTTTGATGCGAGCTTTGATATGCGACGTCGCGAACGGAAATGCGGCGTCGCATTCGCGCGCATAAATACTTCTCGCGCGCGAGGTTCGCGCGTTTGATGGGAGATTTCGTCGTCGAAACATCGCGTTTCGCGGAGGAAAAGCGCCGTTTTTGAATTTGTCATCGATATACAGTCACAAAGCGGACCTCTTTCTCGTTATCTCTGATTTCGATCAGAGAAATTCTATTATTTCGATGATGATGATGCTGACACATATGTTCTCTCTCTTTCGTCTTTACGCGATAACTTTAAACAGGTGAACTTCAAGACTTCCAAAAGAGTCGCCACCAAGGCTCGCGCCGGGTTCTCCGTCAACGCCGCTGCGGTACGTTTTTCTTCCTCCATCTCTTGTTTTGGATAGAGTTCACAAAAGACTCCAAAGTGACTCCATACTGACTTTCATCAACGCGTTCTCTCTCCTTTCTTCTTCCTTTTATAAACAGTCTGGCGACACTCTCGACAAGGTTAGAGGTATCATCTCCGAGCAGCTCGGCACCGACCTCGACGCCGTCGCCGCGGATTCTAAGTTTGTCGACTTGGGCGCCGATTCTTTGGACACCGTCGAAATCATGATGGCGTTGGAAGAGCAATTCGAAATCACGCTCGACGAAGAAGGGGCCGAGAAGATTGGCACAGTCCAAGAAGCCGCCGACATGATCCAAACGCAAATCGACGCGTAAATTTAATTCGTCGTTTTAATAATTACAAAACGGTTGATAAATTTAGCGAGAGAGAGAGAGAGGGAGAGAGAGAGAAGAGAGAGAGAGAGAGAGAGAGAGAGAGAGAGACTGCGAGAGATGATGAAATCGAGGCGAAGAGAAAAAGACTCGCCGGACGGATGGCGGCGCGCTCTCTCTTTCTCTTTCTTTTCGAACTAACACTTAGATTTATGGGGGGAAATGTGCATACTAAACTCACTCACACATCAGAGAGCGAGGTTGATATGTATTTTAATATATATAAATAGCCATTTATATTCACACGGAACACGTAAAGTACACCTTTTCAGAGCAACTCTTCTTCTTCATTGTTTCACCGCGTAAAAGTCACGTAAAAAATCTACAACACAATAAACACAACGAACGCTCTTCTGCGAGGACGAACGATATAAGTCACGAGACACATGTCATCCTCCCCTAAATCGCTCGACTCATCCTCTGCCCTCGAGCTCCTCTTCTCTCCCGGCGACAAGAGGAAAGGACGAAAGCGCAAAATCCTTCTCAAATCGATCGAAAAGACGGTCCAGATTTCAATCTCGTTCCTGGTCGCCTTGCTTTGTTTTTACGGGATTTACCGGGCGATCGACGACACGCACCCGGAGACGCTGGCGAAAATACCAAAGTTTGGAAGTAGTGGAGGAGGAGGAGGAGGACATTTTCTTCAACTTCGTCATGATGATGATGAAGTCCCGATGAGTAGTGGTAGTAGTGCTAGAAAGAGATTTAGTGGCAAAAGCAGCAGGCTGGTGGACTCTCTGGCGAACGACCTGTCGCGAGCGAAGACGGCTTTGACGGACGCGAAAATACACGAACGCGCGATCGAGGTGGAGTTGATGGAAACGAGAGCGCGAGAACGATCGATATATCAGGAAGCGGAGACGTTGAAATCGAAATTGATTGGCGCGACGAGAGACCAAGTCGAGGACGTCGTCGAGGACGTGGACGAGTTGTTGAGAGATTGGGAGTTTGAGTTGGGGGATCCGGTGGAGATGGAACACGCGAGCCCACCGCCGAGCGAGGCGATGGTGAAGCACGAGGAGGCGAAAGAGGAAGGGATGGGGAAGAAGGTGAAGGTTGGGGAAAAGGCGTCGGAGTTGACGGCGGCGGAGCGAGAGCAGCAGAGTAAGACCGGTGCCGGTAGTAGCGGAAGTAGTAGCGATAGGAGTAGGAGTAGTACTAGCAGTGGTGATAGTAGTAGTAGTAGAAGTGGTGGTGGTAGTAGTAGTAGCAGCAGCAGCAATAATAATGTTCTCGCTGATGACGCATCGTTAGGGACGTGCGAAGCGCACGAGCACACGGAGTATTGGGGAGCCGTCGTCCTCAACGGCGATAATCATAAAACCGAAGATGCCGGTAAGTGTTGCGACGCGTGTCGAAATCTCAACAGAGCCAGTGGGAATAGATGTAACGTGTGGGTGTACAATCCAAACTCGAAAGCGTGCTGGTTGAAGTTTGAGAAAAACATCAAGGAGATGAAACCGGCGAACTCTGGAGCGGGGGTTCCGTGGGTCGCCGGGAAGTTTACGGACTTGAAGCCGCCGAAACCGCCGCAGCATCCACCGGCAACCGGGAAAAGGTACGAAGATATGCCGCGGTGTTTACACGGCGTCATGACGTCCAGTGGTAACGCGTACATGAATTGGCAGTCGAGAATCATGTATCAGACGTGGCAAAACCACGCCTCGCAACCTGGATCCATCATGAAAGCCTTCACGAGAGTGTTACACAAAGGTCGCGACGACGAGTTAATGGTTGAAATACCGACCATGCGTTTTGAGCCCATTCAAACGCACTGCGACAGTTGGTGCGATTATCCCGTAGCCGATCGGTCCAGTGCCATCGCGCGATGGTCGCAAACCTCTGACTCGGAAACGTGTTCGCACATCGTCATGCTCGAAACCGATCACGTCATCGTGAAATCGCCGCCGGAGTCCATCTTACTCCCACCCGGCCAAGCGTACGGTTTCGAGTTCACGTACATCAACGTTAACCATCCAACCATGCGCTCACACTTTTCGGAAGAGTACGGCGATAAATCCAAAGGAATTATTCCTCGAACTGGAAATTCACCGACCGTTATCACCGCCGAGGATTTACGAAAAGTGGCTCCGAAATGGGCTGAATTCGTCGCGCGCACGGAACAACCGGAAAACGTCAAGAAATCCTTGGGATGGTTGCGAGACATGTACGCGTACGATCTCGCCGCGTTCGTTTCCGGCATCAAGCACACTTTTTACGGCGCCGGCAAACCCGAATCCATCATGGCTCAACCTCCGGCGGATGAAGAACTCGGCGGCGCGTTCATCTTACATTACACCTGGGGCCCAGAAATCTACGACGTAGACGGAACAACTATGCTTTGGAAATTCGACAAACGAGCCTACGGTGGCGGTCAATACCAACGAGGTCCGTATAAACTCGTCAAACTGGAAGATCCTCCCCCGTGGAAAGAAGGCTTAAAATTGCAAACGTTCTTCGCTCCTCGAGCGATATCCGAGAACAAACACGCCTTGATCGCCATGTTGATTACCGAGATTAACGCCGCCATCGATAAGTTACCGAGAGTGCCAAAAGGCCACGACTCCTTGGAAGAGGCGCAAATGTGGGCCTCGAATTAAAGACGAACTCAACGCGTCGTGTGAAGCAGTAGCGGAAGGACTCGAGGAAAGATTTTTTTAATACTACATCAGACTCTTTTGATAGCAGATTCTTCATAAAAAGCGCTCCTCACACAACTATTTATTTAAAAGAAGACAAGAATAAACCGCGAAAGCGGGAACACGTCTCCCACTTCTTTTGGATTCAAAATGCCTCGTCCTCCTCCCTCGCCACGTTTACCTTCTTCCTACTTCGCCTCCGTCCCTCCCGAGAAGAAACGAATCAGTCGCGCGCTCCTCCGATCTGCGTTTTTTCTTTCGATGATTTTCTTCGTTCTGAACCGATTCGAGACATCGAAACCTTTAGATTTGATGTCCATCGCACAGCGAGAAGAGACGAGTTTACCGGAAGAAATCGTCGACGATGAAGGGATGACGCACACTATTGGTGGTGGTGGTGGTGGTGATGCAGGAGGAGAAGAGGATGAAGATGGCAAAGGAGGGGAGTTTAATTTGAAAGATTCCATCGTCCCTTTGAACAGCGATTCGACGTATTGCAACGGGGCGCCCGGCGCGTGGTTCGCCAGAGCGGAGTGGAGCACGAAGAGGAGGTTGATGCGCGAAGGAGGAATAGGAGCGCAAAAGAAAAGTGGTGGTTATGGCGCGAAAATTTGGGACGCGGAAGCGAATAAGTTTTGTTCGTCTCCCGTCGCGACGCGGAGACGACGGTCGTTGCTCGGATTTAGCGACGAGCAGTGCTCGCAAACGTGCAGGAGCGTTGAGAGGGACCACAAGGAGTTGTTGAGTGAAAGAAAGAGACAAGCTCGAGAGGATTTGCTCGATTGCTTGACGTCGGACGCTGGGTGTAAGAAAGTGTTTTCGAGTAAAAAGGAGAGGTGGGAAAATATGGCGAAATTTGCGTTCGCGTTACCGTCGGTGAAGATGTTGACGGAGTATAAGCCGAAGTGTTTTACGGTGAGTAAAGCGAGAGTGTGTTCGAACATGAGAGGGAATAAAGAAACGCCGAACGGGTGGAGCGTGAAATATTTCGATTACTTGAAACCGAGATACGATGTGAAATACAAAGAATTAGGCACTTGCGCAATGGTTGGAAATTCGCCGCACGTCTATCGAGACGGCTTAACGGATGAAAATAGCAAAAGCATCGACAAACACGACAGCGTTTGGAGATTTAACTTACGCTCGGGGTTAGCGAACGATACGAACGTACACAAGAAGTACGGAGTTCGGAAGCCACTGGGGAAAGAGACGCGATTTAGAATGTTCAACAGCATACGAGGACGACAACTCTCGAGAGGTATAAACGTGGACGAGAAGATCCTTCGATCGAAACGTAATTTACGAGAAGAATGGTGGTTTTGGTATTCCACGAGCACGAGTTATTTTCACAACATAAAGAAACGGTTTCAATACGTCCAGACGAGGGTTTTAAGTCCCTCGAGCGTGAATTATATTGTGGATTGTTACATGCAAATGCGGAGAGATTTACTGGATATTGGAGCGCTCGAAGAGGAAGGCCACGCGAATAATAAAAAGCTCATGATGAAGTGTCCGACGTCGTTATCCAGTGGAATCCACTTAGCTTTTATGAGTCAGCACTTGTGTTCGCAAATGGATATGTTTGGAATGTCTTACCACCCGAAACAGGCGGCGAAGGCGGGCTATAGCGGCCACGCGTGGTCTATTGACGTGCGCATGTTTCGATTGATGCACGTCGTCGGTCTCGTGAACGTTTGTACCACGGATAAAAGCTTAGAATAGGAGATGATTTTTTACGCAGCGCATTTAGAAGTCTAGCCGTTTTAGAATAGTAGTAGTAGTAGTAGTAGTAGTAGTAGTGTACAAATACATAAGTACGGTAGAGCTAACCCGCGTTTGAAAACGCCGTCCATTCGTCGCGAGCGCGAAAGTCTCTCCGCGTCAGGGTGATGCTAATAAAAAAGAGGCTATATAAACAAATACATAAAGAAGGAACTTACTGCAGCAAAAACAGAATCAAGATAATCAGCGCAGTAAAGACGGTGATTGCTAAACACACCATCTTATTCCTCGCACTCTTTTGACTCTTATCCGCCTTTGTCAACTCCTTCTGCGCCTCTTTCGTTCTCACCGCCGTACTCACGATATTCGCCTCGATATCGTCAATCATGTTCCCTTGCTCGTTTACCAACACCGCTAAATCTTGGAAAATCTCATTCACTTCGCCAATTTGTTGCTGAATCTCCGCGATGCCTCTCTCTCGTTCCTCGATTAACTGATCGTTAAATCGCATGTCGATTTCCACCGCGGTCATCTCCTTCTGCCCTTGGCTTTTATGTTCCATCAGCAAAGGCGCGTGTTGTTGCTCCTCGTCTACCATTTGCCCGCCTTGGTAAAACTGTCCACCTCGTTCGCCACTCATGGCCACGTCCGCGGCGGCGCTATTGTTGTTCTTCCCTCCAGTCGCTCCGTACCCTTTCTTTTTACTCTTCGCCGCTTCGTTGCCAATCTCCTTTTGCGGTAAAAACGTGCTCTCTCTCTCCGCGCACGCCCTTTGCGCTCTCTGAAAATCCTTCAACGTCGCGTGTAAATCCTTCACCAACTTTTTATGCCTCTCCGCTAAACTTTCCGCGTCGTCCTCGTCCTCGCCCGCTTCGTACTCGTACTCTTGATCTTGCTCCTCGTGCACTAAATCCGTCACCAATCTCGCCAACTTTTTCACCAACACCGAACTCTCTTTCGCCATTTGACCTATCGATTCTCTCAGTTTGTGCAGTTTCGCTCTTTGGTCCTTCGTATCTCGCGCCGTTCCCAGTTGGTCCACGAGTCGTTTAAACGTCGAGACGTTCGTTTGGAGTTGGAAAATGAGCGATTGGACGCGGTTCGCGTGGGTGGAAATCGCCTCGCGTAAGATTCCACTTTTATTCGCATCGTTATCATTCTCGCCGTCGTTCGTCAGGCGAGTGTACGACATTAGTAGTAGTAGTAGTGTTCCCCTTCGTATTCTTCTTCCAAAAGGAGTGTGCTTTCTCTCTCGCTCTTCCTTTGAGTAAACTTTTGTGTGTCTCCTCGCTCTGTTTTTGATGAATTCTGAAGGGACGGACGATTCAAACGAAGGAGAAAAAAGGAGTACAAATGCGTTTAGGGTATATCTCATGGTGCTCTTTTTAAAGGTTTTTACTTTACAACCTCCTCCTCTTCGCCTTCAGGCGCGCCTTCGGGCGCTCGTTCTTCTCCGTCGTCGTCGTCTTCTTCCTCGTCTTCTCCGTCGTCGTCGTCTTGGTCGTCGTCGTCTGGAGGGACAAATCCGAGCTCTTGGCAGACGGTCATTAAAAAATCTAAAACCTTCGTGAAGAAGTGCGCGAGGTGCTTCGTGCTAAACTCCATCTCGTCTTTCAACATTTCCTCGATTCGCTCGACCGGGAGGATGCCAAAATTGACCGGGGTGTACGAACACATCGTGCTCACTTGGTCGGGGAATATGGAGACGTTGAGCGGGTCTTCGCCGGTGATGGCGTGAGTTTTCGGGTCCGCGCCGGCTTCGATGGTGAACGCGAATCCGGTGAGGACGTGTTTGAACTCGTGCTTGTTGTTTTGGTCTTCGCCGAGTTTTCGCCAGCGAAGACCGGAGATGGATTCGAATTGCGGCGGGCCGAAGCTATTCCTGGCGTCAGTCGATGTCAGAGCGACTTTTAAATCGTCGCGAAGTTTTCGGTTGGCTTTTTGAACGGCGAGCATGTCCGTGCCTTTTTGGACGAGCTCTTCTTGCAATTTGAAAATCTCAACTTTCATGTTCCCTTTTTCTTCGGCGAGTTCGTGCGTGCGACCGGCTTCTTTTTGGAAGAAATCTCGGTCTCTTCGTAAATCCGATATTAAAGTCTCCTGCGCCCTTTGTTTCTCCTTCATCGCCTCTTGCATCTTCGTCGCCGCCATGGCGACTTCGTCCACTTTTTTCTTTTTCAAATCGTCGTATTTTCTTTGCAAAGACTCGTACCGTTCTTGCAACATTAGAAATTTTCGACTCTCGGCTCGATCGAACGCTTGCTCCGTTTTCCGTTGCTGGTGCTTGTTTCTGTCTAAAGCCATTTGCGCTTGTTGCATGCCTTGGTGGTAATCATCATCCTCGTCGTAGTTTTGGGTTTTCCTCGGTCGGCCCACGCCTCTCTTCCCCGGCGCCGGTTGTTTCTTTACTTTTTGCGAGGAAGACGGACGTCCTCGTTTTCTATCGTTTCCTTCGTCGTCGCTGCCTTTCGTGTTGTACTTATTGAACGCTTCCCCGTCGTTGTTATAATCGTCGGAATCGTACTCGTCCTCCTCGTCCGAGTAGTACCGCTTGTGCTGCGCTCCTCCTCTACCGCCGCCGCCCAACGCTTTCCGAGCGTTCCCCGCCGCCTCTCGCATGCTCTTATACTTGTTCGAATGGTCCGCTTTCCGCCACCCAACCGGGCGACCTCTTTTCTTCTTTACCACTGGTTGTTCTTGTTGTTGTTGTTGTTGATCCGTCGTCGTCACTAATGTCTTCGTCGCGACGTCTCCTCCTCCTCCTCCTCCTCCTGGGGTGGGCAATTTCCCAGCCGAAGACGGGGTGGATTTCTTCGACGGCGTCGCTGGATTTCTCGCGGCGTTATTATTGCTCAAACTTTCCGTGACCATCTTTTGCGTCGCCTGTTGTTGTTGTTGTTGTTGTTGTTCGCGTTTCATAAAGAGAGAGAGAGAGAGAGAAAAGTGGTGAGCACACGTAAACGCAAATCATTCAAACGGGGAGTAAGTAGTACTAGGACGAAAGAAAAGTTTGAAATGCATCATCATCATCGCGCGAGGATGAGAAGAGAAAAGCAAGAACAAAAAGAAGAAAACAAAACGCACGGTCCACCCGGGAACTTGATCCGTCCCGGCGTAGTCGATTTTCCCGTCCATCGCGCACGCGCGTTTCGGGCGTCCTCCTTCGACGCCCACCATCAGTTTTAGTAGTAGTAGTGCGTACTAATTTTATATAATTTATGATTTTTTTTGGAGAGCGAACGAACCCTTTTCAACGGCTTTTTTCTGCCTCTGCCTTTTTTGCGAGCGTAACGCGAAGAGATCAAAAAAGCTGCTTTGTTGCCCAAAATTTTTTGCCCAAAAGTTGCACAAAAATTCTCTCTGGATCTCTCTAAGGAGATATTTTTCTATCACGCGCGCGCATAAATACACACACGCGGAAGAAAGTTGTTCTCGTTTTATTATTGCCGTTGTTAAATAGCGTTTTCGCGCAAATTCCTTCTTCTCTTCTTCTTCTTCTCTTTCTCTTCGTCTCTTTCTTTTGCCTGCGAGAGAAAAGGTGAAAGAAGCGAGTGAGAATAGAGAGACGATCTCATCGAGAGGTCGTTACGAGCGACAAAGAGAGAGCGAGAGAAAGCATCTCATCATGTCGCGCCGGAGGACGACGACTCGCTCGCGCGAAGAAGAAGAAAGAGCAGACGAGGACGAGGACGGGACGACGACGAACTCGGAGTCGTCGTCTCGGGGCGATGATGATCCGACGACGACGACGACGAGAAGAGGCGGAGACGATGTCGACGAGATGTTGTTGAACCACAACAACAACAACAACAACAACAACACATACGACGTCGGGGAGGAAGAAGAAGACGAAGAGGAGGAATTAGGATATAACAGATTTGGATCGGTCGCCGCAGGTGGTGGTGGTCGAGGTAGAAGAGGACGTCCGCCGTTAAGGCGGAATACGAGCGATTCCGAGGAAGAGCTTCGTCGTCAACAACAGCAACAACGGGGACGGGGCCACGCGCCCTCGAGCGAAGACGACGACGACGAAGAACTTTCCCGAAGCGATAACGATACGCAAATGTCCGTGGATTCTGATACCGAGGGGAGAGGTGGACTGGTTGATAGTGCGTATAATAACGATTTGAACGCGAACACTCGTCGCCGCGCGAGAGAAACGCATAAGAATTACGTGGACGCGCAGTTGGCCAACGCCGCCGCCGCCGGCGAAACAGAAAGAGCGCAAAGGAGGAGTCAGCGTTTACAACAACAAGGTTGGCGGGGCGCTTCCGGTGGTGGTAGTGGTGGTGCTGACTCTTTGTCCCCGTCGTCTTCCTCTTCGGAGGAAGACGAAGGCGAGGAAATTTTACCAACTCAGCTCGAACCGGGCGTTTTCCCGTTGGATGAATTCAACTCGGTTGTCTTGGCGCATAACTCGTATCGGTACATGCGAAATTACCAAGGGTACTATCCGACGAAGATGTTGCCGTGCTTGAAATACATCAACGAAAACTACTTGTGTCTTTACGAGTCCAACGACAAAGAACGCGAGAAAATTCGACCAGAGGAGGTGGAAGCGTTTAGAAAATTTCTCTCGCAAGGCATCCTCGTGAGTAATTTCCACACCGTATTGGAAGAGCTTAAAGCTTCGGCGTGGCCTAGCGACTCCTTGTTGTTTCAATACAACTGCTTAGAAATGTGCTGCGAAGTTGCCGTCATAGCCTCGCAAGCGCTAAATATGTTTTGCATCGATCGCATCTTAATAGAGGCGTGCATCGATAAAGGGGACGATAACGTATTTAGTATGCCGCATAAACCAAACGAAAGTTCTGAGAACAATAGCCGAACCGTAGGTCTTAGCGTCAATGATGGCGAAGATCTCGAAGAACTAGCGCGCGCGTGCGAGATTGAAGAATTAACCGCCATTTTGAGCGCGTTAGCGTTAGGTATGAAATCTTCGTGCGCATTTTACGAGAGATATCGGACGCACAAAGTTCCATCTTTTTCTGATTATAGAACTGATAATGAACTATCGTGGAAAGAGACTGAGGAAGGGAAAACGAGTCATCACAAAGATAGCATCGCGTTCCCAGTCAGGGTTGAAGTACCGGTTGCCACGAAAGGACGACGGAGAGCAGAGAGGGCAAAGATGGACAGGGAGCAAGAGAAAGAAGAAGAAGGAAACGAAAACGTGATGACGAAAGAGATTGTCGTGAAAGCGTGGCCGGCGCATGTCGTCGAAACTTTTGGTCAGCAAGGCGGTTGGACCTGGTTGTTGAGACTTTTGGAAGCTCGAGGTGCGGTGTTTGATAACAAGCGCGATGCATTTACGAGCGGCGAGATGGCTAAAAATTTGATGCCGCCTCGCCTCATGGAGTCTGCCTGCGCGGCTCTGGCCGCAGCGACGGACGTTTTGAACGAGTCGAACGCCAAGATACTAGTCGATACGTTTTTATACTCCGCCTCAAAGGTTACGGAAGCGTTGCACGCGTTGAAAATTGAAAGCGCAAATGAGACGACGAACAAGAAGTCCAAGAAAGGCTCTGCTGCCGCTGAGAATAACAACAATAGCGAGAACAGCGATGTGGCAAAACGGCGAGAAGATGCGATAAAATTTGCATCTATTCTATCGCACGCGTTCATAACTGCACAATTTCGCGATGGCGAGACTATTTCGACACGATCAGTTGAAGGCAAGAGTGTGTTTGTTGAGTTACAAAGAGCAATTATCGTCGCCTCGTTGGGCGTGTCTACGTTCGCCTCGCAACTCGCGGCTCTGAAGGAAATCAAAATAGCGCTGGATATGGTCGATGCGTTCGTTGAGACCGGTATTCAATGGCTCGCTGAAAACGAAATTCTGGAGCACATTCTGCGTCCTACGTATCTTCATCACAGGCAGTACGTCGAACACGTTCGCGACGTCTTGGCGAAGTTAGCGCAACATCCCAATGTCTTAAAACGCGAACATCTCGAACTCATTTGGAACGTTGGTTTCACCGCAGACTCGCATCAAGACGTTAGCATAAACGTCTGTGATATGCTCGGTCAATTAGCGCCGGTTTTATCTGACGAGCACTTAGATTTTGTTTTGACTCGATTCAAAACTTTGGCAGTGAGCGGAAGTTTGGACGGGAAGACGTTGGACACTCTGAAATCGATTGTTACAAACCGAGCGGTTTCGGAAACCTTTGCGAATACTATCTTGGAGCTTCTTTTCGAAGCTTCGTGTGCGAATGAAACGCGGGCGGTATTTTATCTCGGCGCAGAAGTCGATGAGGATGCCAATCCGGAGTACGCATTTCTCTTTGCGTTTTACAAATTTACAGAAAGAGGAGCTGCTGTCCTTGACGTGATGACTTGGATAGACAAGCTCTTGACGCACATAGCGTCTTTCACAAAAGAGGACGGCGGAATGAGTTATAATAGCAACAGCAACAATAGCGCGGTTTCTGTAACGAATACCGATCGATTGGTGGTATCTGCGCGCCTTCTACGGTACATGTTTGATTCGAACAACGACTTTACCACGAGCGACGAGATCCCAGCGAAAGCGGATTCATTAGACAGCACAAGAAACGTAACTGAAATGTGCGTATCTGCGCTCGAGCACTCCAAAGCATTAGATGCACACTATGCGGCGTCCACCGCTGTGCGTGATGATTTTGCTTGGGAAGATGCTCGAATCTTACGATCACAACGAAGAGCGGAAGAGGTGGTGACGTTTTTGCACAACTTCTATGATGCGGCGCAAAGAACGTTGCAGCTCAAGAGCGGAGTTGCACTCAGATTGTGGGACGCTCTCACCGACACAAAAGTTCAAGAAACAGATGCGAAGAGAAACGTGTGGATGACGAAACTTGTTGACTATTGTTCACCAGACGCGATATCAGCGATTCTAGTCGAAAGATTGTTGAAGACGAACGTCGAGACGCAGTGCGACGATAGTTTGTGGGAGGTTTTTTACCCATTCTTTGTCGCAAACGCGATGCACGAAAAATTGATCGAACCAATTGGAAGGTTTAAAGGTGATGGCTTGTGCAGTTTTAGTAGTGAAGAAGATGTGGACGATGACATATACGATGAGATTGGACGAGAGAAAGAACCAAAAGGAGTTAAGTGCAGACGCTTTCAGGAGAAAAGGCAATACCGCTTCGTGAACGAACCCACGGTGGAAGATAAAAATTCAGACTCCAAAAATGGATTGGCTTATTTTTTTGCGATTATCACCGAGTGCCCGAATATTTCGAGCGCGTGTCTTAATACAGCGACAATGAGGCTAATTCGGACGTATCTGAACTCGAACGCGGAAAAAGTGTTTCTTGAGATTTGTGCAAAGAAATTAACGAAAACGTGCGGCCCGGATTTTCAAAGCATAGAAACGCTGAACGAAAGGGATCGATTGAAATGCGCGCGGTTACTCCGCGTGTTGGACGAAGTTCTCGATCGTACGCCCTCGAGTAGTGCCAGCGGTGGCAACGACATTAACGCAGAGTCCATTATTCCGCACGGGAGATCGTTTCGAGGCGATCCGATGTCTATTACCATTTCCATAGGTAATTCTGGGCGGTATCGCGGGGGCGAGAACAACGCCCGCGCCATCTCAACGCACTCGAACGAAACTGTGGAAGACTTTTTGAACAACTTTGCGAGTGCTAATGGTGTTGCGCGGGATTCTTTTAAAGCTATTTGTAACGGGAAGCTCCTGGCGACGGAGACGAGAGAAGGACGGGCGCGCTTGCTTTCGGATTTGAACCTCCCTAATGGGACGGGGTGCGTCCAAGTCATTCCCTCAACTTCAAAAGTCCAAACCGATCGCAACAAGGTGGTGCAAGAGCTTGGCAATACCAAAGAGCTTCCTCGAGTGATGTTATCGAAACAGCCGATGATTTATGAAGTACTCTTTGCGTTATCACGATCGCAATCAGAATTAACGACGGCGAGTCATGGCCCTGATGGCGGTGGCGGGGTTTCGAAAATGGACATCGACACCGCCGATCTCGAAGAGGAGTGTGAAACAGTGCGACGCGCCGCGCGGAAATTACTCGCATCGCTACCAACTGACAAGACTGTTTATGATGAAGTTCTCGGCGCTATCAGCAGCAAAGATTCTGGTACCTCGCTTGGAAAGGTTTTGCACAGTACATTTAGGGGTTCCTTCGCAAAAGTCGCGTACGTTTTAGAAACCGTGGACGCGCTGACGGATTCAATCTTTGCATCTGACGCCGCTGAAGAGCGGAGCAAAAGCTACGCGAGATCGTTTCCAAATGTTGCACCGGTGCTTTTGGATATTCTCGATGATGCTTCCGGCGGAACGACGACAAAAGACGGCAGTAAAGATTCTGAGATCCGGCGTTCGATTTGCGCATCGGTGGTGAGATTGCTCAAACCTTTCACTCTGGATAAGAACAGTGATACTGCGACGATGACTTTGGTAGGAAAGAAGCACGATTTGGTTGAACCGGTAAAATCCATGCATGTGAGTAGTGATACTTCCAACGAGTGCACGATTGAAGGCGTGACGCTTCCGAAAGATGCGCTTCGGGACTTTGCGGTGGCTGCAACCTCGCGCGTTTTGCGCTGCGCGGCCGCTTTTTCAAAATCAAGTGTTCGATCCGAAATCCACATCGCGTATGAATCGATTCAGTTGGCTATGGAGTTTAACAGGATGGCAACATTGAGATGTACTGACTTATCTCAAGCTTCCGTTTTTGCGGAGTTGCAACCAAAAGATGTCTTGGATGCGGTCTTTGGATCCATTTTCTGTGGTACCGCGGACGCCGCCTTTCGGGAGGTGCTCATCAAGACGTTTCTTTTTAACCAAAAAGAATTTTATGCGATTATCAACGGAAGTGGCGTGGATCAAAGCGAAGAAGATAAGGAGAACGAACAGACCGATAATGGTAATAAAAGTCGCGCGCAAGTTCCTCTGTCTATCATCACCGCCATTCAAGATCGACTCGATATCGCCGAAGAAAACGTAGAAACTTCCTTGGAATATTTCAAAGTGCGAAAGATATTTGCTTTGCACATGCCTTCTAAAGAAGGTAACCCGCATATTCTGCAGTTCCTCGAGAGCGCATTTAAGCGCGATGTGGAATGGGTCGTTCAACTCGCGATGGATCCTAGAAGTGCGGCTTCAAATAACGCCTCGGAGACGATCCAAGCCTCAACGACGCAGCGATTGGAGACGATGGCTTACTTTGCAGCGGCTGTGGAGACAATCAGCGTGGAAGACGCCGTGCGCTTAACAAAAGCGATCCTTCTGCGCGGTCTATTTCCAGAACTAGAAACTGTATGCAGAAGTCTGTGTAGTAGACGTTCTGATCCCGATCAAGAAATGATGGAAACTTTGCTCTTAAGCCAAGATTCGCTCCAGATGCTCGCCGCGGGGGAACGAGAATTGTCGACGAAGTTTACCGCGCTCTTCGGGGATCAAGATCGACGCCCGCACGCGTTCTCAGTTTTATCTTCTGTGTGCAAAAAGAGCGCCGATGCTTTGTCCTTAACGCTGAGTTCTTTGTACAGATTACACTTGTTTGACCAAATGGACGAAGAGAACAGAGAAGCCTGCGATTTGTTGCAATTTGAAATGGAAGAGCTGGATGCACTCGAGAACATAGAGTGGGACGTCGAACCAACCGCCGAAGTTAATCGTCAAGTCAGTATCCGAGGTCACCCGCTGCCAAAGAATGTGAGCGCAAAAATTGGACTCGTCAACGCCGGTGCGACGTGTTATATGAATGCTTTGTTTCAGCAACTCTTCGCGCAACCAGGTATTCGCGACAAGATTTTAGCCATCGACGCGAAGGTTGAAGAGGAGGATCAATCCGAGAGTCTTTTTTATCAGACGCAAAAAATGTTTGCTATGCTGAAAGGATCTTCTGTGCACACGTACTACGAGCCTAGCGATTTGTGGCACGCCTTCAAAGACTGGGACGGGGAACCCGTAAACGTAAGAGAACACGAAGACGCGTACGTCTTTTTTACGAGGTTTCAAGAGCAAATAGATTCGCACTACGTCAACGCGATGAAAGAGAAACTTAACATCACGAGTGAAGTTGAAAAACAAGCGAAAGAGGAAGGGCGAGAACTGCCAAAGTTTAAGGGTGCGATTGAAGAAGTTTTAGGAGGGAAGATGGTGTCGCAAATCATCTGTAAGAACTGTCCGAAGCATCGAAGCGAACGCGAAGAAGATTTTTGTCAAATTCAGCTCGCTGTGGGCGGTAAGCATAAAGCGTGCGTTGATGATTCCATGTCGTTGTTAACGACTGGTGAACTCATGGATGCCGACAACCAGTGGGAATGCCCGGAATGCGAGAAGAAAGTTGATGCGACGAAGCGAACGTGCGTCCGCACGTTGCCAGACTCGCTCTGTTTGCACATTCAGCGACTCGAGTACGATTACGCTATGGATCAAAGAAACAAAGTAAAAGATTATTATAGTTTCCCAAAGACTTTGGATATGTACCCATACACGGAAGAAGCACTCGAAAAGGCTGATCAAGCCGCGTTGGAGGCCGAAGAAGAGCTCGGAGCTGGAGGAACAAACGACGACGGTGGCCCGGCGCGACCGGGTACGCCTGGGAATCTTTTGAATCACCATCGTCACACATCGCGAAAGTCTATGCGTAATCTCAACAACAACAAGCAAAACGGTGAATTAGATGGAGGCGATGGAAATGAAAATACCGAGGACGACGAGAAATTGGAATATAGACTTTCTGGCGTCATCGTCCACTCAGGAACTGCTTTTGCGGGGCACTATTACTCATTCATTCGCGATCGCGACGAGAAGACCGGAGAGCTCACCGGAGACGACGATGATCTTGGGACGTGGCGTCGCTACGACGATACTTCTGTCGAACTGTACGATCCAAAGTGTTTAGAAGATGACTGCTTTGGTGGCTCTTATGTACACCAAACGAACAACGTCGGCGAGGAGGCGCAAACGCTCACATACGAAAAACCAAATTCCGCGTACATTTTATTTTACGAGAAGAAAAAGAAGAAGAGTAAGAAAGAATTAAACGATTCACACATGTCCGATATTGCCGAGGTGAGCGCCGGGGTTGTTGATTCGAATATGAATCCAGAGATGGCTTTAATGGTGGAAAAGGACAATCTCCAGGCGACATATCGTGCGAATCTCTTCGAGAAGAGCTATTTCAACTTTGCGCTTGACCAATTGCGCACGGCGCTCGATTTGCTCGTCAACTCTACCTCCGCTAATGCTACTGAGAAGAACGGCACTCCAGTAGCCATTGGAACTAGGAAGACGTCGCGCGTTTCGCAATCTGCCGTTCGAGCGAGCTCGTCCGATGCCGACGGAGACGGTCGGAAGCAACCAAAGGATAACGAAGACGACGCAGAATCTACAAATCTTGGTGCAAAATGCGTTCGATTTGCTTTTCACTTCTATATCAAAGTGTACGCTCGAGCGAGCTTGCAGTTGCAAAAAGACCTGCCGAATGGCGAGGAAATGATCGAATGGCAAGAAGGTTTAGGGAAACTTGTGATGTCTTCACCAACGGCTCGACTTGAATTTATGCGCATCGCCGACAAGTATAAAGTCGATACAATTGCCGCGCTCACGCGCTGTAACCGCGAAGTGATTCGTGAGATACTCGTGAAAATGTTCACTAATTGTTTGAAATTAACGCTCGTATCCAACGATTCAGCTTCCTTCGAACGGTTGCTGGAACAGAAGAAGAATCACGATTTTCAATTGCCACCTGGAGCGGTCACAGAAACGGAATGTCCCGAAGCTTTCGCCGCATACGGGATGATTGATACGTACGCGTGCTTTTTGAGACAATACGCTGATACGGAAGCATCGTATCAAGAAGAGAAAGAAGAGTTGGAGCGCGAGAATAAGTTTAAGCAACGCGCGAAACTCCAATGGGAGAGGAAACGGAACTTTTTTATTAATTCATGCCATGGAAAGCAAGTTTCGGCGGCGATATTTTATGCAATGATTACGTGTCAATCGGCAGCTGGAAAGAACCGCAATGTCAAGGGCGGAGATCAGTTGTTAGTGCACGTGTTGATTCACCACATGAACGTCGTTCCCGGATTAATTTGGAGATACATTGGTGCGCGTTTGAGCGAATCGCAGACGCAAGAAATCGCGACCGAGAAAACGATGCTCCTGAGACTTTTGCGCAGGTTCTTGGAGGAATTACATTTTTGCGACAGCGGTGGTCCTCCTCCTTCGAAATCTAAGGCGTCTTCTTTTGCATCTGGTGACGCCGAACCTCTTCCGGAAGGAGACGACTGTGCTAAAGCGTCGAATGAAATTTCAGATACCTTACTCAGCAATATTGAACCGTTCGCAGACGCGTTCGTTTTCGATAACGAGGAAACCGCGATACAAATACTCGAACGAGCGCAGTGGAACAGCGTCGAGTTCACGAAAAAAGTCGTTGGCGAACTCTTTCGATTTTACACAATCTTTAGCGACCAAAACAACGATGAAACGAAGGCAAATTATCAGCGAGCGAACAAAGCGCTATTTCGATTGATGGACATTGACGACGATTTACGCGCGCAAAGAACAGCACTCATACTCGGGTCTCCCGAGATGCTCACCGAACAAGAAAGAAAGTCCGGGGAATACGACGGCATGTCCATCTTGAGCTTGTTCAAGATTGACGGTTTGGTGATGTCCAATTGGGACACCATCCTTCGGATGTTGCGAGCGTTTGAAGGCAAAAGCGGCAAGTTTACAATCGACGTGGACGATGCGGAAGACGTCGAGGAGATTTCAGATCCAGATCGAATCGTTGCGAAATACATATCCTCAGCGGTGAGAGGAATAGGCCTTCCGATTTGGAACGAACAGTTGACCAGGTTACACGACAAATTCGGCGGTCAGTCGCAGCAGTTTGCGGATAACGTGAAAGCGCTGTATAAATATTTCAATGATAGGGCGTGAAGAGAGGGAGAGAGAGAGATGGACGAAGAAACCGCCACGCACTCTTATCTTTTATAGATACAAATAGTAAGCATTAGCATTACTCAAAACTTTGTGTTATTGTTTTATATACTAAGAATTGTTGTACAAAAACTACCAAGGTACTACTACCGTGTTCTCACGCGAGGTACGTGTAAATTCAAAAGCAGAAGACTTTAAAATGTATATATAGACTTTCTCCTCTGCTTGATTAATTATTATGTCTTCGCCCAATGACGATTGCCCTTCCGATCCTATTAATCCATTGCTCCTTCTCCTGTCTGCTCGGACAAATAAAATACATCACCCCACCGTTCCTGGTCACAATCTCGAACGAGTTCGCGTCTCCGGTCGTCTCCTCCGCCCCTCTCACCGACACGCAATCCCCACTCGCTGCGTCGATCACCCCTCTGCTTTTCGTCATCATCGTCACGTGTTCGTCCAAAAACCAAAACAGTTTCCCTTGCTTCATCACGAAAAACCGTTTCCTCCACGTCTTCACGACCTCGCCTTGTTTCTCCAGCCATCCGGTTTTCTCGTACGGCGGCTCCCAATACTCCACCCCGTCGGTGATGACTCGAGGTTTCACGATTTGCGATATCTTCGCCCCGAGTTTCGAAAACATCTTCTTCCGATTTTTATTATTCTTCTATTCTCTCTCTCTCTTCTTATAATTCAATGTGCCTGAGCTTCCCTCTCGCTCGCCAAAGCGCAATCTCCTCCTCGGTAAACTTCTCGATATTCACGATAGTCCTCCCTTTCACTCTGTTCTTCGTAAACTTCACCTTCCCGTCGACTAAGCTAAACAAAGTGTGATCGGTGCCAATCCCGCAGTTCTCCCCCGGATGCCACTTCGTCCCTCGCTGCCTGGCGATGATGTTCCCCGGTCGAACGAGTTCCCCGCCGTATTTCTTGATGCCTAAAAATTTCGGGTTCGAATCGCGTCCGTTCGACGTGGATCCGCCGGCTTTTTTCGACGCCAATCTCACTCGTATTTGTTGTTGCGGTTGTTCTCCTCCTAAAACGACAAAACTAAATGATGATAATAAAGAAGACAACAAAGAAGCTCTCGTCGTGTTGTTGGTGTTAAAGTTGTTCGTGGTATTATTCTTCAAGCAAAAGCGGAGCATCTTAATCTTCCATCCCAGAAGGAAGAGTTTTTTCTCACGAGTCTCGCGTAAAAGATAAAAAAGTCTCGTCGAGTCAAAAGAGAGTTGTTTGTTTGTTTGTTTGTTTGTTCCTTTTTTTCAAAGCAGCTTTCATTAAAGCTTTCAAAGCTCATCAAAGCTTCTTAAAGCGCTGCCCTTTTATTCTTCTTTTTTCTTCTTTTTCGTTCTTCTCGTTAGACATTACGCGCACAAAAGCACACGCACACAACGAACACAAATCACACACGTATATATTAATATACTAAACGAAGAAGAAGATGCAAATTTTCGTGAAAACCTTGACGGGCAAAACCATCACCTTGGAAGTGGAGTCTTCGGATACCATCGATAACGTGAAAGCGAAGATCCAAGATAAAGAAGGTACGTTTCGTGTAAAGAGTCGTCGTTTGAAATTTTGCCTCCTCGCTCTCTTGGATTCTGCGACGACGATCGAATCGTCACTCGCGCTGCGTTCGAAGAAATCCTCCGAGAGAAGAGAGAGAGAAAAAGAGAGCGCACTCTCTCGCGCGCGTGGTGAGAAAAGAACCACGCGCTTGTGTTTTTTGAGACCACCCGCGGCACTTTTTGCGCGCGCACGTGTGCGCTTCGGAAAGAGAGAGAGAGAGTGAAACGTCGTGTCATTCATGCGTGCGATCTGAGATTACGAATGTTCGACCAAAACCACGCAACGGTGCCTTTTCGACGAAAAGAATCTCTCGAGAGCGAGTTTTTTGGACGACGGTTTTTTGCCTCGAAAGAAGAAGAAAGAAATTTTTTGGGAAGATTTTCTAGGCGCGTCCGGATGATGGATACGTTCTCTCTCTCTCTCTTCTCTCTGAACGAAAGAGAAGAGCGCGCAATGTTGTACGATCTCTGATGATCGCGCTTTAAATTCTCTCTTTGCGTTTTCTTTCGTTTTCTCGGCTTTCGCGCTGACCTTTTTTTCTCCTCTCTTTTTTCTAAAAACAGGAATTCCGCCGGATCAGCAGCGATTGATTTTCGCCGGTAAGCAGTTAGAAGACGGCAGAACGTTGGCCGATTACAACATCCAGAAGGAGTCTACGTTGCACTTGGTGTTGCGTTTGAGAGGCGGGATGCAAATCTTCGTCAAGACTTTGACTGGCAAAACCATCACGTTGGAAGTTGAGTCTTCCGACACCATCGACAACGTCAAGGCGAAGATCCAAGACAAGGAAGGTATCCCGCCGGATCAGCAGCGATTGATTTTCGCCGGTAAGCAGTTAGAAGACGGCAGAACGTTGGCCGATTACAACATCCAGAAGGAGTCTACGTTGCACTTGGTGTTGCGTTTGAGAGGCGGGATGCAAATCTTCGTCAAGACTTTGACTGGCAAAACCATCACGTTGGAAGTCGAGTCTTCCGACACCATCGACAACGTCAAGGCGAAGATCCAAGACAAGGAAGGTATCCCGCCGGATCAGCAGCGATTGATTTTCGCCGGTAAGCAGTTAGAAGACGGCAGAACGTTGGCCGATTACAACATCCAGAAGGAGTCTACGTTGCACTTGGTGTTGCGTTTGAGAGGCGGGATGCAAATCTTCGTCAAGACTTTGACTGGCAAAACCATCACGTTGGAAGTCGAGTCTTCCGACACCATCGACAACGTCAAGGCGAAGATCCAAGACAAGGAAGGTATCCCGCCGGATCAGCAGCGATTGATTTTCGCCGGTAAGCAGTTAGAAGACGGCAGAACGTTGGCCGATTACAACATCCAGAAGGAGTCTACGTTGCACTTGGTGTTGCGTTTACGAGGCGGCGAAGAAAGACAATAAACGAGCGCGTTCTCGTTCTTTCTTTTGGGCGCGCACGAAGATTGTACTACTTTTCATCACATCCTTTCCATCCTTTTTTAGAGAGATAAAACGGCTTGAAATAAGAGCCTTGTAATAGAGAGAGACACTTTATACTGTTTGACGCGCCGAGTATATCTAAAAGAAGGTAGATACACAATACCGTACTACTTTTGAACACCTACTACTACGACCTTTGTATTTCCTCGTTCCAAACGTCATTCGAAACGTGCATTTGAAAAAATGTCTTCTCATCGATGACGACCGAAAAGAAAGAGGAAGACATCGTCCACCTCCTCTCCTCGGACGAGGAGCTCATCCCGATTCCCACGCGAGCCTGTCAGTTTTCTTCGTTTCTCTCGGTCGCGTTGCGACGACGCGAGGACTTTGGCGGTTTCGTTTCGGGAAAACATCAACGAGAAGAAGAGAAGGACTTCATCGTCCTTCGCGTCCCGAACGTGAGCTCGAAAACGTTGTCCATTATCGTCGAGTATTTAAACCATCGTGACTCGATACAAGAACGGAAAGAGATGAAACTGAAACGACGATTACGGAGAAGAGAAGATGGATTTACGAGCAGCAGCAGCAGCAGCTCGAACAACAGCGATGATGATTCTTCGTTCTGTTCGAAGGCTGATGATGAGTTCGTTGGAAAAAAGGGAAAAGGAGAGCAACGATTTCACGTGCCAGCGGAGGAGGCGATGAACGTGATGATGGCGTCGAACTTTTTGGGGTGTTGAATTAGTATTACGCTTCTTCCGTTACATGCCGTTCCATCTGTTGACGGCGCCGTTGCTTTTCATCTTATTCTGCATCTCTTGGGTGTTTGCGGAAATCCGAGCGATATCGACGAGTTCTGCTTCGCAAGTGACTAATAACGTGTCATCCTCCGCGTCGTAGATTTCTCCAGTAGTCACGATGCGGAGTTTGTTGCTCGATATGGATTTGATTTTGCACAGGATGCGACAGGTTCGGTGAAGAGGGAACGGTTTTTTCAGATTGACTTTGAAATTTATAGTCGTAGCGGTTGGAGCGAATTCGCACTTTGCAATTTCCGCCGTGCATTCGTCCAGTATGGTTTCGATCGATCCACCGTGCGCGGTGGTGTACCCGTGTAAACAGATTGCAGCGCCTTCACCGGCTCTGACTGCGCCGTGCAGCTCTCCGTGGTCGCATCCATTTCGAGGGAACCTGTAAAAATGTCGGACGTCCAAACCTGCTTTCGCCGCGGAATCACCGCTGGCCCAGCACCCAGGCGCTACGACAAAATCGTGCGGTCGCTCACACGGCACGTGTTTCATGAACGGAAAATACATAGGGTCCGTGCTGAGTTTAGTCAAGAGCGTGTCGTTTGGCGGGAATAAACCGTTCGGCCGGAATGGAATCCCGGTCGCAAACGCCGCCTTCCGATAATCCTCCGGCGTTAAATCTAAAGTGTTATCAATGACCACTTTCGGTCTGTTCTCAACCAAAGACCTCTCGTCGATCGTAATCTCCCTCGCGCCTCCGGCTTGATTCGAGACCACTTTCCCGTTTTCCAACTCGTTTTGGTAATGCGCTCGAATGTCTTTCTCGGTCACGAATTTCGACATCACCAAATCATCGTCCAAAAAATGTGGTTCTTTCTCCGGGTGTTCCTCTTTGAGTATTTCGTTCAGGGATACTTTTTTGCTCGTCCATTCGTCCATTTCTTTGAATCTGCTCTGATGAATGCGGATTGGGATGATAAAGAAGATGTGAGATGATGATGCTTATTGTGATCAATATTTAAGAAGAATAAAGCGAAAAAAAAAAGAATACGTTACGAAATCAGAACGGACGTTTTTTCATAAAAGCGCAGGAAGAAACAGTCGCACAACAGCGCACAAACGTGAGTAAACGCGCAGATAAGAAAGTTTTGCGAACGGAAAAACCACCACGACCGCCATGGCGAAGAACGACGCGAAGAAGAAGAAACCTATGACGATAATGTCCTGCGCGGACATCTCTTCGAACTTTTCGAAATACGTCAAAACGAACGACTCGAAAGCGCTTTTGAAAGGTTTCCGAGGTTTGTTGTTACGCGAACGAAAAGAAGAAGAGGCGGAGAACGACGAGAACGGGAGAGGAAAAGACGCAATAAACGACGAGGAAAAGTTCTTTTCGGACGCGAAACGCGCGATGGGTTTATCCGATGCCATAGTGAAGGTAGGTTTTATGCGTTCGTGCGGTCGCGTCGAGCGCGCATCGCGCCGGTTTCGACGCGCGCGAAGAGAGAAATCTCTTCTTCTTTTGTCTCTTTGGTCGTTTGAAAATTTTTGTGGGCACCTTAGTTCTCACCCCTATGTGTGTGTTTTCTCTCTCTCTCTCTCTTTTATAACGACAACAACAGGCGCTGGAAGACCTCGAGGAGGATGAAGGCAACATCGAGAAGAACGATAAAGAAGGTCGCCGAAAAGAAGCGGATAACATCACGCTTTTCATTAAACAGGTGACCGAGGCGATGACGGTACACGCGGATAGCGGATTCTTCGCGAAGAAGTATAACGAGAACGCCGACGAGGAAGAGAAAGCGGCGTACAGAGAAGCGTTTTCGGGACTGTTGAGCAGTTTTGCTAACCGCTTTACGAGTGAGATTGAAAGCGACGAAGCGTACGATAACTACGTGACAGCGTTTGGGGACGTTCAATACGTCGTCGTGGACTTGTTGGAAAAGATGGAGGAGAAGGAGAAGGAGAAGTGGGCGCCGATGCTCAACGTGGCGTGCGATATGGCGTTTGATGATAGAACGTGCGTGGAAAACGTGAGACAGTGTTATCGATTGTTGAACAAGTTGATCGAGAAGTGTAAATCAAACTTGAAGAAGCTCGGGGACGAGGTATTGCTCGACCGTTCGAGTAATTCGTCGTCGCCGGAAGGGAGTCAATTGAACGCTTCTCGATTGAAGAAGTTGGCGAGAGCGTTTGAGACGTGCGGTGATTTCGAATGCCAGAAGGAGATCACGATAATTTCTATCCATTTGCTACACAGTAAGAAGTGCGATAGTTTCGATCCGACCACCGAGCACGGGATGAAGACGATAAAGACGCTCTTTCCGAAACGATCGGAGGAGATTTTACTGCTCCAGGAGACGCTCGTGAAACTCGGCGATAGCTGCGAAAGGTTTCCTCTCGTCGTTGACTTTGTTCGACAATCGAACGCTTTGCTTGGATCCCGAGCTTCGGTATTTTCGTACGAGTGCGAAAAGGCAAAATTTGGCGAGTTCGAAGTTGCAGATAATCTCGTGCATTTTAGCAAGTATATGGGTTTGACTTTGAACGTGCGCTTGGAGAAGGGCAAGGATGATGCCACCACCGTGGACGTGATCGAACAGAACATCCGCGTCGCGAATTTTAACAGTTCGACGAACACGCTTACGATTGGCATTTTTCAGAAATGCGAGGGGATGTTGGAACGAGATGTTTTTGACGCGAAAGACGACGGCTGGATCTCATTGACGTTTAAACCGGAAGACGTCCCTGGAGTAAAAAATTGCGTTCGAGTGTACGCGGAAAGCGGATCCTGCAAGGCGATGGAAAAGTTGAGAGACACGCTCGACGCTTCGGCGCGAAAGAAGACGTCCAGAGGAGTTGAGGTGACGTATGATTTGCAAGAGATACTCACGCAACCAGAGTCGACGACGGATTTAATGGAACCAGAACCGTTACCACGCAATCCAACCGCGACGAAGGATCTCGCGGCCGACGAAGAAAAAAATATCGCAAAGAAGGCAACTACGAAGGCAAAAGAAAGCAAAAAGAAAGCGTTGCCAACGCCATCGTTACCAAGCCCTTCATCGAAACCCGTGAGAGCAGCAAAAGCAAAGGCCAACGCGAAATTAGCCGCGCAAAACGCGGCGTACCAAAGCGCGCTGAAGGAAAAAGGAAACGCGGAGAAGATTGCATCCCCGATCGAGGCGAAGAAGACGCAGCAGCAAAAGAAGAAGATTGGAAGTTTGAGAGACATCTTCGCCAACGACAACGACCAAAAAGAAGAAGAGGAAGACGACGAAGAAGGAAACTATGGCAAAAACAGTTTTCTTGACCAAACGGACGAATCGTTGGACGCTGGCGACGAGGACGCAGCAAAAGTTCCCTCCTTCGAGGAGGACGAGGAGGGAGACGCTCTGTTAGAGAAGAAGAAGAAGACGAAGAAGAAGACAAATGAGAGAACTAAAGATCATAACAACAACTACGACGACACTAAAACGCCAAAGGCGACTATAAAGGTTCCGAAAACCGCGCCTCTTCGAAAGCCCGAGAAATCGACCGTGCGCTTTGCTCCGCCGACGAAAGAAACAACTTCACGCGGTATGAAAGCGGCGTTGGCGCCTACGACAACGAAGAATAAGAAGGAAAGTTGGCGAGAAAAAATGAGCAATCTTACGAATACTTTACACGTCGATGACGACGAGGAAAACAACATCGACGCACAACTTGGCAAAAGTGGCAAGTCCGAGAAAGAAACGCTGAGTTATAATAAAGCGAAAATTGGACGAAGATTGAAATTTTCCACAGGGAAGAAGGCAGACGAAGCGTCTACGCTGAAACGTAAGAATCGAGGCGACGACGACGACGACAACAACGACGATTTTGCGTATCGCGACGATGAAGAAGACGAAGACGACGATGGTTTGTTGTTGTTTTCTTCGCAAAACGAATCTGACGAGCGAGTAAAGAAACGAGCTGCGACGGCAACCAAAGTTGTTGGTCTGAAAAGTAGCGACGAAGACTTTGGAATGGAGGAGGAGGAAGACGACGAAGACGACGATCTACCCTCTGCTGCGGCCGCAGAAAACCAATTCGACGCGATTAAAAACGCCATGGAAACGCTTCGACGCACCAAGACGCGCGAAGCTGAATCTAAAGTGCAAAAACTTTCCAAAAGTCTCGAGATGGACTTTGAAAAAGCGTCGAGCAAACTCGCTCGAGAAGTTTCAGAAAACGTCCAAACCTCCAAGCGCTTCATCGACGAGACCGCGCACCAACTCGAAAAAGAGGAGCAGAAAATCCTCGCACGTCTCGAAGATATTACAAAAAAGTTTACCCGAGACTTTGAGCGCGAACGCGACCTCTTACTCGCAGTCAAATCCAAAGGAAAGTCCGCGTACAAAAACGCCAACGCCGCCGTCAAAGCCGTCGTCGAAGAGGCGAACGACGAGTGGAACGCGTTACAAACGAAAATGCGCGAAAAGTCCGCGAAATTCAAACGAGAGTGTAAAAGGATCCGCCGAGAGTGCGCGGAGCAAACCGATTTGAAGAAGATGCTCTTAAACATGGCCGAGATGATTTGATCTTTTTTATTCGAGAGGAGAAAATTGTACGCGGAAAAAGAACGAGAACGAGTTTGAGAAAAAAGAGGAAGAAAAGAGAGACACGCGCAAACAAAGAACGCGCTTTCAAAGGTTCCATTAGGATAGCGCGCATAAACATCATGCATAAATACAAAAGAAAGACACAAACACACACATATCTTCTAAGTTACTGTGACACCCAACTCGATGATCGTCCTTCTTCTTTGGGAAGCGCTTTCTTCACGTATATTTCGCTCTCTCTCATTCCTCCTCGCGTATTTTCCCTCTTTTTGAATGCACTGAACCATTGGCCTTCTTTTCCTCCTCCTTTTCCTCGTTGTCGTGTGGCTCATTTATGGCCCAAAATGCTTCAATCGTCGTTTTCCCACATTTCACAAGAAAGATATAATTCGGCGAATTCGCTCCAAGCTCCAAAACACACACGCGCGCGTTTGTTTGTATCGCTCAAGACACACACGCACACGCACGCGTTGTTAAATAAAGCGTGGCAGCTTTTTTTTGATCGTTGCGGCGCAGAATCAATCGATGATGATCGCTTCTTCTTCTTCCGGGATGAATTCTTCTTCTTCTTCTCGGGGATTATCGTCGACGACGTCGCCTAAAACGCTTCGCGCTTTATCTTCCTCGCAATCATCGTCGTCATCTCAACGAAGATCGAAGAACAGATCGCGCGTCGTCGTGGTCTCCTCTTCCTCTTCTTTTGGTGGTGTTCGTGGTAAAAGAAGAGCGCTTTTGTCTTCCTCTTCTTTCGCGCATCAATCATCTCGCGCGCGAAATCCGCTCGCCGGTTTATCCTCTCGCGGATTCGCTCGAGGATTCGTTCGATATAATTTCCAGGAGGAGGACGACAACGTCTCGTTCGCGACTCTGAACAAGACGAAAAGAAGATTCCAAAACGTGCGCCCGAGAAACAGCAACTTCCCGTCCGGGAACAGCGCGACCGAAATCGAGGACTGCTTATCGGACGAAGAGTGCAAAGATCAACTCATCGAAGGGTTAGAGAAGAGTTTAAGCTCCAGTCGAGAGGAGGAAAAAGAGGAAGAGAAGAAAAAGAAAGAGGAAACGAAAACAAAAACGGCGTTAGTCTCTTCCGCGGAAGGAAGTGAGACGAAACCAAAAAAGCGAGAATTCGTCAACGCGAAAGGGTACGACGGGGACGAGTGTTCCGTGGACGAGGATAACTGCGCGGTGTCGGAACCACCGCTGAACTTTGGCCGATTGCGATCGGTCGGGACTATTTCTCGGTCGTTTGAGATTTGGACGTTTGCGTTTACGTTTGTTATTCGAAGGGTGAGTTTGGGGTTGAAGTGGACGTATAAGGGCGGATACACGGAAGAGAAGAGAACGGCGAGATTGGAACGGTTGGCGAAGTGGTTGAGACTCGGGTTGTTGAGGTTAGGTCCGACGTTTATTAAGGTTGGGCAGCAATTCAGTACGAGGGTGGACGTGTTGAGTCCGCAGTTTATCCGCGAGTTGGAGAAATTGCAAGATCGCGTGCCACCGTTTCCAACGGATATTGCGAGAGAAATTTTAACCGAAGAGTTAGGGAAGCCAATTGACGACGTGTTCGATGACTTTGACGACGTCGCGTTGGCGGCAGCGTCGCTCGGACAAGTGCACTTGGCCAAGTTGAAAACCACGGGGGAGCAAGTCATCATCAAAGTTCAACGACCTGGGTTGAAGGAGATTTTCGACATCGATTTGAAAAACTTGAGAGTGATTGCGAAGTGGTTGCAGTCGGTCGATCCAAAAAACGACGGCGCAAAGAGAGATTGGGTGGCTATTTTCGACGAAACCGCGAGAGTGTTATACGACGAAGTCGATTACACGAACGAGGCGCAAAACGCGACGGATTTCGCGAAACAATTCGAAACGCAAGATTGGATTAAAGTGCCGAAAATCTTTTGGGATTACACTTCTAGACGCGCGATGTGCATGGAGTACGTCCCAGCGACGAAGATTAACGATTTAGCCGGAATTCAAGCCATGAATGTTGATCCGGATCGCATGGCGAGATTGGCGGTGGAGGCGTACCTTCAACAAGTCTTGAGATTTGGATTTTTCCATGCGGATCCGCACCCTGGGAACGTTGCCGTGGATAACAAAGATCCAGAAGGCAAAGGTCGATTGGTCGTTTACGATTACGGCATGATGGGTAGAATTCCAGACGAAACTAGAGCTGGTTTGTTGGACTTATTTTACGCCACCTACGAAGGGTCCTCGAAATCCGCCACCAAAGCGTTGATCAAGATGGGCGTTTTGGTCGATACCGGCGGCGATTTAACCGCGGTAGAAAGAACGGCTGGTTTCTTTTTGGAAGCGTTCGGGAAAAGAATCAACTACCAAGAATCTAAAAGAGCGGAAGATAAAGAGGCGTTCGAAAAGGAATTCAAAGAACCGCGAACGAAGGAAGAGAAGCAAGCGGTCAGAAAGAAAATTTTGACGAACATCGGGGAAGATTTGATGGTGGTGTCTAAAGACCAACCGTTTAGGTTTCCGGCTGAGTTCACTTTTGTGGTGGTGCGTTTTATTGTGTGCTCGATTTGCTTTTTTCACTACTCGTTGTTCGTTTCTTTGTTTGTTTGTTTATTTGTTTGTATATTCGCGCTCGAAAAGGGGGGTATATATACGAAAGAGCGTGTGACGTGCGTTTGCTGTGAAGAAAACTCATCTAGAATTTTATGCACTTCGTGAGACTTTGCGTCGCTGTCGAAAACAAGGCATTGTGGTTTCTCTGAGCAAACAGCACATCACTTCGTCGTGTGTACTCGATCGTCACTGTTCCTTCCTTCCTTCCTATTCTGATGAGCATTCTTACTGACTTTTTTTTATCTCTTTTCTTATATATTACAGAGAGCCTTTAGCGTCCTCGACGGCATCGGCAAAACGCTCAACAAAAAGTTTGATATTGGTGAAATCGCAGCGCCATACGCGCGTAACTTGCTCATCGAAGCCAACCCGGATGCGCTTCCGCCGCAAGTTGTTACCGCGCAGCGCGAATGGTTGAAGAGAGCTGACGCGCAAACGCGAGCGGTTGTGAACTTGTTCAAGGCGCCGGACGCGATCGAGTCCATCGCCGATATCATTCGAAGAATTGAAACCGGTAAGTTGAAAATCAGAGTCCGCGCTTTGGAAGTTGAACGCGCGGTTGAGAGAGTTGCGGTGACGCAAGACATTACTTTGAAAGCGTTGATTGCGTCGTGCATGGCGAACATTGGGTGCGTCTTATGGGTAACCAATCCGGGATTGTATCTGATCCAAGCGAAAATCGCGTTGGGCTTAGCCACCGTGATGATGTTGCAAGCGGTCAAAGGACAGTTGACTTTGAGCAAGATGTTGAAGAAAGAAGCCAAGTACTCCGGAGCGGATTAATACATAAATCAAAATGCATTGTAAACGAGAATTATTATAACAAGTAAGTTTTATAAGTACAATCTCTCTCTGTGTTCTCGTTCGTGTTGGCGTTATTTCTCTCTCTCTCTCTCCTTCGCTCTCTCTTTTCGCTCCATCTAAATATTATTATCATCGTGCACTAAAAATCACAATCTGTGCGGAACTCAAAGTGTTGAGCGTCTGCGTTGTTATTCATGACTCCTGCTTTTTGGTACTGATCGACGCGATGTTCGAAAAAGTTCGCCTTGCCTTGCAACGAAATCGTCTCCATCCAATCGAACGGATTCTGCGCGTTATAATACTTACTCGCGCCCAACTGCACGAGCAAACGATCGGCGACAAACTCGACGTAATCTGACATTAAATCTGCATTCATGCCGACTAACGCGCAGCTCAACGCGTCGCAGACGAATTCTTTTTCGATTGCGACTGCGTTGGAGACAATCTCGTGCAGCTCCTCCTCGCTGAGCTTGTGCTTCAACTCGGAATACAGCTCGCAGGCGAAATCGCAGTGCAACCCTTCGTCTCGACTGATCAACTCGTTGGAAAACGTCAAACCTTTCATCAATCCTCTCTTCTTTAGCCAAAAGATGGCGCAGAAACTGCCGCTGAAGAAAATGCCTTCCACGCATGCGAAACCGACTAAACGTTCGGCAAACCTCGCCGACGAAGACTCGATCCATTTCATCGCCCAATCCGCCTTCTTTTTCACGGTTGGAATCGTATGAATCGCTCGAAACAAATTTCTCTTCTGAATTGGGTCTTTCACGTACGTCTCTAACAACAACGCGTACGTTTCGCTGTGAATATTCTCGATGGATTGCTGAAACGCGTAAAACGCTCTCGCCTCGGGAACCTGAATCTCTTTCATAAACCGCACGCATAAATTCTCCAAGACGATACCGTCCGAGGCGGCGAAAAACGCCAAAACGTGCGTGATAAAATGTTGCTCGTTCTCGTTCAACGTGATCCAATCTCTGTAATCGTACGTCAAATCAATCTCCTCCGCGGTCCAAAAGCTCGCCTCCGCTTTCTTATAATACTCCCAAATTCTCGGGTATTTCATCGGGAACAACGTAAATCGGTCCTCGTTTGGCATCAACAAAGGTTCCTCGGCGTCTAAAGCCGCGTTCACCATCGCTCTTTGCCTTTCTCTCCCTTCCTGCACTCTTTTCGCGTACGGCGAAGAGAAGCAAAACATATCCGCTTGCTCTTCGTCGTCCAAATGGATCGATTTGCGTCCTCCTTTCGGCGTGGACGGTACGTCTTCCTCTTCCTCTTCGCTCGACCACTCGCTCGTCTTCTCGCGACGACGCGGCAGCTCCTGAATCGGCGACGCCGCCACATCTTTCAACTCCCTCTCATATAGAACATCCGCGCTCCCTTTACTGCTCGTCGACGTCGAGTCGTCCGATGATCGATCGTTTTCCGAATCGTCCTCGTCCGCCAAAGTTGTCTCTAGACTCAAAAAATGTTTCCCTGAGTTCAACATCCCTGGTGGTGACGACGACGATCCTTCTAATTTTTCCTCCTTAGTCGTCGTCGTCGTAGTACTCGTAGTACTCGTCGTCGTCGCGCTGCTGCTCTTCTTTCCTTCAAACTCTCCTTCCGTTTCTTCTTCCTCGCAACTGTTCTCGCTCTTGGAATTATCAAACGTTAACTTCCGCTGAATATCTCTCGCTAAAAACGACATATCGTTAACACCAAGAGAGATTTTGAGAGTTCTCGCCAATCCAATTCAATTTTCTACAAAGAAATTCTCTCTCTCTTTCTCTCTCTCTCTCTCTTTTTCTTGTTGCAAAGTATTATTCAAATCGAGATCGATGTATTAATATCTCCCTCTCTCTCTCTCACTCTCTCTCTCTGTGTTCTTTCTTCTTCTTTAAATTATGTGTAATATAAAAGAAGGGACAAAAATCAGTTATTACGAAGTGACGTCTCTGTTGTTTTTGGCGGGAAGTTTGATTTTTTTTTTTGAGAATAAGTTTAGGGTTTTATGAGTGTTAAAAAAAAAAAATTTGACGAACCCCCTTGACAGACATTTCACCCTGCGCTATTTTGCAGAAGAGAGAGAGAGAAAGAAGAAGACACACACAAGGAAGAAGATATACACATATATAAGAATAATACTAATAATAATGGGACGAACGCCGGTGAAGTTAAAAGAAGTGATCTACGGCATTTCCTCGAACAAAGTCGAAATCATGGGCTCCTTAGGCCGAGACGCCTTGAGCGCGATCTCGAAGAAAATAGGAGGCGGATGGTTCGACGTGACCGTGTTCGGGATCGCACCCACCGTGGGGACCGTGATGTAAGTTATATTGTTTTCTCTCATCTATCTTTTGTCAGGTCGTCTTTTGTTGTTGTTTCCGAAAAGGACGGCGTTTTGGTTTCTCTCTCTCTCGTCCTCTTTTTAAACGCAGAACGTGCGACGACGAGGTAAACAAAGACGGGAAAGAGAAAGGAGAAAGAACCCGCGCGATCATCGTCTAACCCTTCTCTCTCTGATCACAAAACAGGTACGCGCTGAACTACAAAGAACAAGAGAAACTCCACCACAGATTCTAATACACAGAGATTGAAGGAACAGTAGAGAGTATATATATATAATAAACCTTGTCGGGCAGCGATCCTGTCGTTTCCCTACAAACAACAGCGAAAGAGGAGAATAGAATGCTTTGAAATTTAGCCGTAGCAGTCAAAGCTTTTCAATACGAAAGAGTGCATTGAATGTATATTTGCGAAACGCGATACACGCGCGATATGAATACGTTTAAGATGATGATTGGTCGTCTTTTTCTTCTTCTCATACTTCGCACGCATGAACAACGCGCTTTTATTATCTCTTCTGTTTCTTTGTCTTCTTCTTTCTTCGAATAGACCTATGCGTTGTCGTTTGCGCTTTCGAAGCGAACTGCTTATTTATGAAAGAAAGAGCAGACGTTTTTGATGGAATCTCTTTACTCTCATCTCCGTTTTGTTCTTCGTTCTTTTTCTCGCTCGCGATTATAGGGAGAAGACGTCGACGAAACGAGAGAGGGGAGAGAGTTACGTAATAAAAGTCTATTCATCGTCTTCTTTGAAGAGAGAGCAAAAGAGAGACAACGCGCAATAGATATAAGATATGACGATAACGACTTCCAATCGGCACTTTCAACATCCACCTGTTGAAGTTGGTGCGATTTCCCCACGCGCGGCGCAATCGAAGAAGAACTCGAAAGCGATTCCCCCAATCTGGGTGGTTTTAGAACTCGCGTGCATCACGTTTTTTTCCGTCGCCGGTGGGCCGTACGGGTTCGAGGACGCCGTCGGTGCCGCCGGCGCGAAGATGGTGATGATTGGTTTACTCGTCGTGCCTTTTATTTGGTCGATACCTTTAGCGCTGATGACGAGCGAACTGTCGTCGATGTTTCCGGAAACGGGAGGGCACATCATTTGGGTACACAAAGCGTTTGGGACGTTTTGGAGTTTACAGAATTCATTGTGGACGTTTTATACGAGCGCGTTGGATAACGCTTTGTATCCCGTCATGTTCGTGGACTATCTGGAGGAAATTTTATATCCGGAAACGGACGATGAGTTAAGATGGCAGTATTCGATGGCGATTAAGGTGATTTTGTTAGGATTTGTGACGAGAGTGAACATTAAAGGGACGGATATTGTCGGGAAGTTTGCCATGGGGTTTGCCATGTTTGTGTTGGCGCCATTTTTGGTGACGATTGTGTTGGGGAGCGGGAGGACCGTTCAAGCCATCGCCGGCGGAACGATTTTATCGAAGAGAAGGAAACCAATCGAGTGGTCGAAATTTTTCGCGGTTATGTTTTGGAACACCAGCGGGTTTGATTGTGCCGGGACGTGCGCGGATGATATTCCGAATCCTGGGTACACGTACCCGAGAGCGTTGATTTTAGCCGTGTTTATGGTTTTCGCGACGTATTCGATTCCAACGCTCGTCGGGTTGGCGTACGTGCCAACGACCGAGGAATGGACGGACGGCACGTTCGTGGACGTGGCCGATGCCGTTGGTGGGGATAAATTAGGGGATTGGTTAGGGTTTACCGGAGCCATTAGTGCGACTGGGATGTTGTGCACGTTGTTGTGCACGACGTCGAGGCAATTAGCCGGGATGTCCATCACCGGGTTGTTTCCGAAAATATTCAACGAGAGACACCCGGTCTACGGGACGCCGCAATATGCTATATACGCAACGAGCGCGTTGTCTTTAGTGTTCACCGGGTTCAACTTTGCCATGTTAGCCGAAGCAGACATGTTGTTTTATTGTTCATCGACGATTTTGAAATTCGGCGCGTTGGTGTCTTTACGATGGCAAATGCCTCACGCGGAGAGACCGTTTAGCATTCCGTTTGGGAATTTAGGTTTATTTGGCGTCGCCATACCGCCCACGTTGGCGTGTTTGAGCGTCGTGTTGACGTGTCAAGGCTCGTGTTTGAAAATTGCTATTCCTGGAATGGTTTTAGGGGTGATTACGTATTACGCCAAAGGCGGCGCTCGAGCCGTGGAGCATATGATTCCGTTAGACGAAGACATCGTAGACATGACGAATGATAGTGGTAAAGGGGATTTAAATATGCGCGAATTTACTTTAGACGACGACGGCGATAATAGTTACGACGACGGCATTGATGCGAGGAAGAATATCAAGATTGAAAGCTTCTCGGTGGGAGAAGAACCGTACGTGGCGCGCTCGCTGGCGAAAACTGTTTCGCTCAAATCGTACCCGACTGAACAAAACGATTCCTTCGATTCGGATGAAGAGGTTAATACTAATGATAATAACGATAGTAGAAATAACGCCGCCGCGAGCAAAATCAATTGAGTAGCAGAGAGAGAGAGAGAGAGAGAGAGAGAGCATAGATAGGAACCGGTCATGCGTGCGCTAGGAAAATTTGTAAAAAGAATTTGCGAGAAAAAAAATAAGCCAGCACAGACCAAAATTAAAACACTTTTCGCCACTTTTTCCTTGCTTTTTGGTTTCAAGGTTTGCGCGTTCGACGCACACTTTTTGAGCGGCGAAAGAAACGGAGAGACTATTGGAAGGGAAGGAAACGAAAATGTCCTCGTGGTTCTCTCGATCGAAGAAGCCTCCCGGTGCTGGTGCGGCGAGCGGGGGCAACGAAGGATACAACGTCCCGGACGACGATTCGGTGGAGGATTCAGACGAGGACGAAGGACACGCGCAGCACACGACGAACAACAACAATAATAACCATCAAATCATAGGACAACAAATCCTGAACGATTTCACGACCCGCGACGAGGAGTACGACCCTGATTTTGAGGCTGATTTAGCGAGAGCGATCAGCGAGTCGTTGTCTATCAAACAAAACGTGAAGGACGAATCTTCTGCGATGTCGCCGGGGTCGAGATACAAAAATAACAAGAACAACAACGCGAGTTTTTCGGGAGCTGTCGCGGGGGGCACTATGGACGATGAATTTGAAAACGATGATGCGGATGATCGTATGAGAAGTAATAATAGTAGGAGAGAACGAGTGACGTCGGAGGAGGAAGATATCGACGTCTTATACGCGAAGAGAGACTCCTTGCGGGACAAATATAGCGGTCTCGCGGCGGCGAAGAAGCTCTGGAACGAATCAAATTTGGACTTTAACGAGCGCGCGTACGCGGATGGATTTTACGCTCCGAGCACGAGTTACGATTGGCCGGAGTGTTTTGAGGACGATGTCATCAGTCAAGGGTCGAGAAAAATGTTACCGGCGTTAGAAAATGTGAAGAAGATAGTACCCGACGTCAGCGACGAGAGAGAGAGCGTTTACGTGGAACAAGGAAGCGATAGAAATTTAGCGTCGTTTATAAATGATGTCGTGGATCGAATCGAAGCGCAGAACCCGCCCGATAGGTGCGCGACGGCTTCAATTTTAGCGAGTGCTGTGTGCGATAAGCTTGGAGGACCAGCGAAGAGTGACTCGGAGTTGAGGGATTTATGGGTCGGCGAGAGACTGCGGTTGCGGAAAAAATATAAATCAATCGCGTTTCCAATTGGAAGCTTAGAGTTTGGATTGATTAGACATCGTGCGTTGCTTTTCAAGGTTGTCGCGGACGCGATAGAAATTCCGTCGAGACTTTTGCGCGGGAAATACTTGATGGGCGGCGACAACGACGACGTCAGTGGTATCGTCGTTTTATGTTCGGGGAGAGAGTTTATTGTTGATTTAATGGAGAATCCAGGAGAGACGTATTCTCCGAACGACGACGCGAACATGCGAAGGATCATGCGCGAATTACAAATGCACAAAACCAAAGATGGCGAGGAAGAGTTTGGCGTAATACCTGGGTTCGAACAATCGCTTCAAATTAGCGGTTTCGCACAGCTCACGCCTGAAAAACTCGCCCTATCGCAACAGCAACAACAGCGAAAAGGAGGACGCCATTCTAGAAATGGGAGCACATTGAGCGATTCTGATGGGAAATTGATTACAGGGATAAATATCGGCACAACGTTACCGCCATCGCTTTCCCCTTCGGAGAACAATAATAAATCTAGCAGCACGGATCGATTGCTTCAAGCCGTAGACCTTACCATTCTCCCGAACGAGATCCTCCTCGGCGAACGCGTCGGTATAGGATCTTTCGGTGAGGTTCACCGAGGTTTATGGCGAGGTACCACTGAAGTCGCCGTCAAACGCATTCTGGATCAAGAATTAAACGACACGATTTTAGAAGAGTTTGCGCTGGAGGTTGATATCATGCGACGGTTGCGACACCCGAACGTTCTTTTACTGATGGGAGTGGTTACGGCCGCGGGGAGTTTATCTATCGTGACTGAGTTTATTCATCGCGGTTCTCTGTTCAAGTTGTTGCATCGCCCACAACCAGAAGCGGTGAAAGCGGCTTTGGCGGAAGATCGGAGAAGAATTCGCTTTTGTATAGACGTGGCAAAGGGGATGCATTATTTACACACGTGCATTCCAATCATCGTCCATCGCGATTTGAAATCGCCGAATTTGTTGGTCGATAAAGATTGGACCGTGAAAGTGTGCGATTTTGGTATGAGCCGAATGAAGAAAAACACGTTTTTATCGTCAAAGTCTAACGCGGGCACGCCGGAATGGATGGCACCAGAAGTTTTACGAAACGAAGAGTCCGACGAGAAATGCGACGTGTATTCCTACGGGGTTATCTTGTGGGAGATTGCAACGATGAAGGAACCGTGGGCAGAGTTGAACGCGATGCAAGTCGTTGGTGCGGTTGGGTTTCAAGGGAAACGTTTAGATTTAGAAAACAACAAGATTTGTCCGGAGATGAAAGAGCTACTCAAGCGATGCTTTTCGGAAAAATCGTCGGGACGACCGAGTTTTCTGGAGTGCTGCGAAAGAACGAAAGAGATTGCTCACCTCATTCACGAAAAGAAAACAAAGCTGTGCGGCTGCGGGAGTGGTGAAAAAGAGCAGCTCTCTGCCGCGCCTGCGGCTACCGCCGATACTGAACCGATGCATCGAAGCACCAGCGATGCGACGAAACATATACTCGATATGTAAATTTCTATTTTTTTGTACAACACTTTGATTTAATTGAAAACGCGCTTACTTAATCAAACGTAACTCTCCGCTTCCGTCGTCCAATTATCGATGAGCGCACCGTTGTTCTCTCCGTCGTCGTCGTCATAATCGTCGAATTTCTCCAACTCTTCGTCGCTCGGCAAGAGAGGTGATAAAGGTTTCCCTGCGATGAACTTTTTAAACACGTGGAGAGAGACTCTCGGTCGGAACTGTGGAATCATGTGACCGCTTCCGTGAACCGTCGCGAACGTTAAATTGTCCTCGTAGTTTGTCACGTGTCCGCCCATTTGCGGTCCAGCAGGTTGTGCCGCGAGTGAAGGCCCGAACAAGAGTGGCTTTTGCGCCAGAACGCTAATGTCCGTCGCAGCCGCGTCAAAAAAATACGGTCGTTGACTTCCACCCCGAACCAGAGGAATACCCACATTCGCGATCGCTTTCCTCGTTCCTTCGTACGAAACGCACGGATCCGTATCTCCGTTCACTACTAATATTCGATCCAACTTTTTCGCGAGTTTTTTATAGAAATCTTTCATGGACGGTACGTTTGGAGCGGCGTTATCGTTACACGCGTCGTAATCAGATTGATAACTCCACTTATCGTTCGGTCCAGGCCATCTATATTTTTTCGACGCGTATGGCGTTTCGTCCACGTGCAAAGCTTTTTTCACGTCCGCTCTGTTCATCCACTCGTTCGTGTAATAATCCAAAGAACCCTCCGGAGCGCCGTCGACTACGGCGGAAGGCCCAAACAAAGATAGATCGTTTATGTATGCCAACCGCCAATCTTGCGAAAAGGCTTTACTCGTGGAGAAGAGGAACTTTGCGTGCGCGACTTTGCACTTTTTCTCGACGCTTTTGCCGCCTTCTGACGATGATGAAAAATCTCTTCTTTTCGCTTCTATTAACTTGGAAAACTTCTTCCCCCACCTCCCGCTGGTCACGCGAGTCATCGGATACCTCAGTTTACACTCGTTCCATAACAACTTGAAATCTTTATCCGGTACGAACCCGTATTTATGCCCGTACCAAAGCATATCCATCGAATCTCGTTGCTCTTTGTTCGACGTGCACGGATCCGCCGTGTTAATCCCGACTAAATTAATCTTCTTTTCCGGAAACTTTTCGTTGTGCTCTACAATCTCCATCGCGAGCGTGGGAACGTAAACACCCGCGTAAGACTCTCCCGCTATATAAAATTCATTCGCTTTCAACTGGGGAAACTTTTCGTGAAAGAAATCCACCATCGCTTCCTTCGCGTCTCGAGCGGTTGATTTGTCTGAGTTCGCGCACCCTATTTCCTCTTGCTTTTCGCAATACGACCACCCGACTCCAGCTGGAGACTCCAACGCGACTAAGTTTACTCCCGCATTCGTCCACGAGTAGTGGTTTTCCATCAAATCTCCTTTACTATCGATAATCAAAGGTCCTTGCTCTTGGAGCATTCCCAGAATCGACGAAGACCCCGGGCCTCCGTTGAGCCACAAAACGACCGGTTTTGTCTCCCAATCTGTTCTCCAGCCTTCCTCACCAACACTTTTCTTCGTGCTCGTGGCCATCCAATAGTGTAACTTCGTCCCGTTATTTTTCGCGTCTAAATACCCGCTGTAATGGGGATGAAATGTCTTCGAATATCCAGGCAACGCGTGAACGAAATCATCACCCGATGATGAATTTGCGGCATCTGAATCTAACGAATCCGACGCATCAACATCAACTTTTCTCGTCCTCGTCTCCCCATAAATACTACTACCACTACTCAAAATTGTTCTTCGCCCTTCCACCCCCGCGCGTGATGAAGAAAACTCCAAAAGCACGCCGCGCACCAAAAGAAGACAAAGAAGAGAGCGAATCATGATGTGTAAAGGAAAAATGGGAGGAGAGAGAGAGACAGTTACACACAAAGAGAAAAAAAGAAGCGAAAAAGGTGAAAAAAAAGAGGTGAAAAAGAGGAGCGTTTTTTGGTTTTGCAGCCGCAGAGAAAAAAAAACGAAAAAATTCAAATCTTCAAAGAACAGCTCTTCGCTCTTCATTTCTGTTCCACATCACACATCTCTCTCTTCTACATACTCTTCTTCTCTACCTTTTGTTTAAACGCGGGTTATATATATATATAAGTAGAGTACACATAAAATGAGCTTTGAAAACAACTTTAACGAGGAAGAAGAAGAGATTTTAAAAGCGACTGTAAAGCTCTCGTTCGCGGCGCAATGTCAACACGCTCACTGGAAAGTCCGATCGAGAGCGTACGAATCGATGGTGTCGTCGTCGTCTTTCGATGATGATTTTGCCAAAGACGGAAAGAAGGAAACGAATACCAACGACTACGAGAAGAATTTCGAAATCATCGACTATTTTAAAGAAGCGATGCATAAAATCGTCTCCGAGACGAACGCGAACGCCTTAGACGTGGCTTTAGAGAGAACGAATCAAAGGTTGAGGAAGATGATCGATCGCGAGTTAGTCTCGTTTTTGTTCACGTCGTCGTCGTCATCGAAAAGCGAGGGTGGTGTGAAAGAATTCGCGGAAGACGTTGGGGCGAAAGTGTTGCCAGCGCTGGTCTCGAAAGCGTTCTTCGGGAGACCGAAAGCGGTGAGTTTTGCCACGGAAACGTTTTGCTTGTTCGTGGAGATGGAACAATCGGAGTTAGCGATCGAGGTGTTATCGAAAGCGAGCGGGCATAAGGTACCGAAAGTCGCTTTGGCAGCGAGTAAGTGTTTAGCGCTCGCGTGCGAACAGTTCGGGTGCGGGAAGAGAGGCGCGTTGAACTGGATGAAGTGTTTAGACGGAGCCAAAGAAGCCATCGGGCATCGAGACGAAAAGGTGAGAAATGAAGGGAAGAGAGTTATCGTGGAGTGCGCGAAATGGGTCGGAGATCAAGTCGTGATGGAGAAGATGAAAGACAAGTTGTCGAAAACGATGAAAGGCGAGGTGGAGGCGTCGTTGGCGAAGGAGACGGCGGACGGGAAAGAAAGAGGTTCGATGAAAGCGACGAGGTTTTTGATTTCGTTGCAAAAAGAGATGAGAACGAAAAAGACGACAACGTCTACGTCTGAAGGTAGTAAAGAAGATAGTGTTACCGAAAAGGTAGAAGCGGTGGCAGGTGCAGACGACTTGAACGAAGATCCGTACGATTCCGCGGAGCCGTTCTCGGTGCTCAAAGCATTGGACAAACCATCCACGGACGAAGATATTCCAAAATTTTGGGAAGCCGTGGTATCTTCGAATTGGCGACACCGCTTACACGCGCTGAAGCAACTCACCGACGCGTGCTCTTCGTCCGCGCGTTTACAAAAAGAAGAGTTCATGGAGCTTCAAAAAGTGCTCAAGAAAGTCATCTCGAAAGACGCCAACGCGAATTGCGTCGCGGAGGCGTCGAAATCGATCGAAAAGTTATGTTTGAACGCGAGAGCGGATTTTAGTAAAGACGCAAAAATGCTGCTCAGTGCTTTACTGGATAAATTAAAAGATAAGAACGCATTCGTGACGAGTGCGATTGCGAACACGTTGGATGCCATTTCATTGCGATGTTTCGCATTTTGCGACTCGCCAGAAGACGTGGTAAAATACGGATTGCAACACAAAGTCGGCAAAGCGAAATTAGAAACTTTGAAATGGTTGACGCGATCGAGCGCGTCGTTTTCATTGCAGGAGGCGAAGAAGACGATTAGTGCGAGCGAATTAGTTGCGACAGTGGTTAAACTTTTAGAGGATAAAGATCCGGAAACGAGGAAGGCTTCGCAGGAGTTTCTCGGCACGCTCGCGGGGAGAGCCGGCGGGATGAAAACACTTTCCTCGCAACATCTCGCCGGAGTGGACGATAGTAAAATGAAAAAAATGAACGAGATATGCGCAAAGATTACGCCAGCGCTGCCATCTGCGAATTCGACGGCGCCAACGAAAGCTGGTGCTGGAGAGAATGTCGCAGCGGCTCCAAAGAGAAAACAAGAGCGAAGCGATAGAAAAAACGCAAGCACGAGCAGTAGCAGCGGCAACAACATCAACAAGAAAAATAACAATAACAACACTGGCTGCTGCGCCGCCGATTTGAGTTTGAAAATTACGGACGCCTTACTCCGCGATACCGCGGATGGTAACTGGAAGCGTCGATCCGCCGCGCTCGACAAGTTGAAATCTATTCTCGACTCAGCGCCGAGTAACATCGAAGTCTTTGGACTCGACGCGCTTTTTTCAGCTTTGCGAGCGAGATTTACGGACTCTAACGCCAACTTAGCATCTCAAGCGTTACAACTTGCCGGACAATTCGCGTTGAAGTGTGGGGAAAACGTCGAGAAAGTTGGACGATTGGTGTTGAGCGATTGCGCGAAACACGTCGGCGACTCCAAGAGATTTGTCAGAGAAGCTGCGTTTTCTTTGATCTCCGATTGGGGCGTCGCCGTTGGTGAAGCTGTAGTTTTAGAACAGTTTGCAAATAAATTCGTCGAGCTCGCGACTTCCTCGTCGAATTCTTCTTCCGTTGGCACTTTGTGTGCGGATGGTAAACGCGAGGCTATGGACTTTTGCCGCGAAACGATAGAGGCTATTGAAAAGAACGCCGCCACGGCCAAAGCGGCGGACGATATCGCGCTTCTCTTACAACCTGCCATGGCGTTTGCCGCGGTTGGCTTTAAGGACAAATCGAGCGACGTTCGCGTAGCAGCTTCGAATCTCTTTGAAACTGCCATGAAAATGGAACGCACGATAGATGCGGCGAGTAGTTCTAGTAATAGCACGACCAGCAGTAGTATAAAGAAGAAGCGCACGGTGACTCGCGAAGACGCGCTGAAAGCCATTGAGAAATTACCGCACGGTTTGTGTTCGGCTATTGACGCGAGAATTAACAAGGAATTTCCCATTGATTTTACCAGCAATGGTGCTATTACTACATCGAGCGCGATGAAGAAACCGGCAGCGCTCAATATCCCGGAAAATTATAAAAATCTGGGCACCGTCGAGAAAGTATTCGTGCCTCCGTCCGCCCAGAAGCCGACGGAAAAGTTCGCCGAAAGAAAAAGTATTTTGGACGACGACAACATGGACGTGGACAATCTCGAGGTTATGTTTGATAATGCGGTCAAAGAAAACGTCTCTCGAAGTTCCAGTGGAGACTTTTTTCAAATGTGTGACTTGAAACAACTCAACGTTGACGGCGGGAAGGACCTCGAACCGCCAGTCACGCCACCGGCGAGACCTTCTATTTGGGACCAAGCGCTCGCGAGAGCCACGGCAGACGAAGACGACGAGTGTGTGGAAGGTTTAAAAGCGTTGTGTCACGAAATGAACGCGCACGCCATGTCGGACGCGTTTAAACACGAGATTTCTGGAACTATCGGACCTTTACTCATGTTTTTATCTGACGAGCTGCCGATTTTCTTTGAAAACGCGGTGAAAGCGAAGAAAAAATGCGAGAAGCACAAAAAGAGTAAAACGAACAAGAAGATCGAGGAAGAGCGAGAGGAGTACGAAACGTTACTGCGTGGCTGTAAGTACGCGTTGATGACTATGCACGCGGTCTTGAAAGAGTCCATCTTAGCGAACGGCGCTTCGGAAGCAACGACCAGAAACGTCCTCGCCTCTGTGCTCTCGCAGTTGGTTTTGGCCATGGATAATAGTTCAAGCATATCTTCTTTTGAATCAACTACAACTGTTTTGGAATCTTCGGATTATTTGAATGCGCTCAACGCGCTCGCAGAGAAAGCCATGGAAAACTTTTCCAAGACGAATTCTATGGTCAGTTTGATCAAGTTGTTATCCGGGGAAGGCGTCCCGGATTTCTCTTCGTTGGGCGACGCTAACGCGGCGACAACGACTACAACTGCGCATCATCTGAGCAAGAAGAACGCTAATGCCGAAAATACCGAAGCAAAAGTAGCTTTGTTTGAAACTTTAGTCGCGAAATGTCTCGTCAAACTCGCGTTTCAGCTCGAAGAGCTCGTGGAATCCGGCATCAACGTCGCCTCAATTTTCTCCGCGGTGCACGAATTTTACTCCTTCAAAGGCGAAGAGTTCATTCTCGAGGGTGAACGCGACGACGAGTACGGGAACAAGAACATTCGAATCGTTCGCGCGGTGGTTCACGAGGTATGCAAACTCATCGGTCCGTCCGCGGAAAAGTACGCCAAGTTAGCTTTGACTGGTATGAACGTAAAAATACCAGAGTTGGAGAGCGAGTCGGATCAACTTCCTTCGTTGTTGCGACAGGTTCGCGCGAGTTTGAAAATCCTTTCCGGAGAGGATGAAATCGAATCGAAAGTTCGAGAGGAACTGTCGGGCATTTTCGCAAAAATCGGCGACAAGGACACGACCGTCCAAGGTCTCGAACAACTGTACGATTTCACCAAGTGCGAGGAGAAAATTTCTCGAGTCGACGTGAACGAACACTTGCGACAGACGAGTTCGGCGTTCCAAGCGTACGTGAACAGAGGTTTGGCGAAAGTTGAGAACAGTCGAAAGAAGAAGCTGTTGTCTGTTTCGTCTTCTACTCCTTCCGCCGCTATCTCTGAAAAGGAAAACGGTGGAAGCTCTTTTGCTTTTCGCGAGACGCCGAGGAACTTTGGGAGCAGTTTCGCTTCACAAGGTAAAAGTACCGGCGGTTCCGCTTCGAAAGGATTCAAGCTTTCCCCGAGAGACGTGAACATCGCAGCAACAACAACAACAACAGCTCCTGCTGCTGAGAAATCACCGGTTGCGAAAGCGAAATCTGCGGCGGAAGAGTTTCGGGAGCGCATGAATGCGTTGACGAAGCGTAAAGCAACGAACTAAATAAACGTCGCTCCCCGCTCGAACCTCTTTCTTCGCGCCCGTCTCGTATGTATGTACACCATGTTCGCAAAATGTTTCAGTAAGAAGTTTAATTATTATTACAATACGCAAAAAAAGAATCTTCCGAGAATAAGCGCGCTTATATATCGGTCCTCCTCGTTTCTCTCTCTCTCTCTTAATTCTTTCTGTTTTTAATGTAATCGGCTAAGCCAATGAGCGGCGCGGCTTTCTTTTGATCGTACACCGATAACTGTTCCTTCGCGCTCTTAATTAACTCATCTGCTATCCTCTGCGACTCCTCCAATCCTAATAAACTCGGGTACGTCGCCTTACCAACCGCGACGTCTTTACCAGCCGTTTTGCCTAACTCCTCGCTCGTCGCCGTGCAATCCAAAATATCATCCACAACTTGAAACGCCAATCCAATATCGTACGCGTACTTCCCCAATCGCTCGATATCCTCTTCGGTTCCGCCACCCAAAATCGCTCCGGAAACCACCGCCGTCTCCAACAACGCCCCAGTCTTGTGCGCGTGAATATACTTCAGCGTTTCCAAACTGACCGGTTTCCCTTCCATCGCCAAACCTTCGCTTTCGATGTCCACAACTTGGCCACCAACGAGTCCTTCCGACCCGACGCACTTCCCAACATCCGCTATCACGCGTAAAATCTTCTCCGCCGGAACCCCTTTTGTCTCTCTCGCGATGTACTCGAACGCGTGCGACAACAACGCGTCGCCGGCTAAAATAGCCATCTCTTCCCCGTACACTTTATGATTCGTCGGCACGCCTCTTCGAAAATCGTCGTTATCCATCATCGGTAAATCGTCGTGGATCAAACTCATCGTGTGGATCATCTCCAGCGCGCACGCCGTTGGCATGACCACTTCTTGTGCGCCTCCAACCATCTCGCACGCCGCGATTGCTAAACACGGACGAATTCTTTTCCCACCGGCGAGTAAAGAATATCTCATGGATTCGTGCAAACGTTCTGGATAAATGGTTGGGACGGAATCGGACAACGCTTGCTCGATCGCCGCGTTCTTTTCTTTCACGTACTTGGCGAAATCAATCTCCGCGTTCGTGTCCGCGACGGCCATCGCCTCGATTCGAAACGTTCTTTTTTCCCTTCGCTTTCCCGTGGCTCTCGAGGAGGAGGAGGAGGAGGAGGAAGAAAACCCAACGAGCGACGACGAGACGTTTCTTTTCGAGGAAGAGGAGGCAGAGGAAGAGGACATCGAAATTCGCGAAGAAAAGGAACTAAAAAACGTCATCGACGACGTCGACGCGACCGTGAAAACGCTCATTTTACGCGCGCACGTGTCAAAGTTTAACTAAAACCACTCGATTTTGTATTTGCGAAATCGAGAATCTCGACTTCTTCTTCTTCGCGCGTCGTGCCTTTGTCGTCTGTTGTGCGCGTTTGGATGAAATGATTTCTTTTCTTGTTGGTGTTTGGATAAAAAAAAAAGAATTTTCGGAAAAAGAAGAGATCTTTTCTTGATGTAAACCCTAGACCCTAAATTCAAAATGTGTCTCTCATTTTTGAAAAGGTGTTGTTCTTTTACACACACGAAAACACCTCTCTGTTCTAACACGAACGATCCTCGCGGGAAACAGACGACGATGACGACGACGACGTCGATGATGATGACGACGAGTAATACTACTACCACGATGAAGCGAACGACGACTTTGAGAGGAACAACAAAGAAGGTTTTTCCTTCTTCTTTTTCGAGAACGAAGAAGAACTCCTCCTCTGTATCCTCGGGAAAGATGATGATGATGATGATGTTTGTTAAATCAACGAGAAGAAGCGGAAGAAGACGAGGAGGAAGCGCGTCGTCGTCTTCCTCTTCTTCCGCGATTGTCTTCTCAGCTGTGGCACCGGCGTCTTCGTCGAAAAAAAAGAAGAAAAACGTTCTGGTCATCGGCTCCGGTGGTCGCGAGCACGCGTTAATCTATCGTTTGCTCCAGTCTGAAACGTGCGAGAAAGTGTTCGCGTTACCGGGGAACGCCGGTATCGCGACGGAGCCGACCGTGACATCCATCGCGGACGTTTCTGAATCGAATCACGCGGATGTGGTGAAATTTTGCAAATCGAACGCTATCGATTTAGTCGTCGTTGGGCCGGAAGCGCCGCTGGTGGACGGGTTAGCGGACAGTTTGAGAGCGGAAAATATCAACGTGTTTGGACCGTCGAAGAAAGCGGCGCAGTTGGAAGGGTCCAAGGAGTTCATGAAGAACTTGTGTAGGAAGTATAACATTCCGACAGCCACGTACGAGGTTTTTAGCGACGCGGAAAAGGCGAAGGAGTACGTGAGAACGGTGACGGGAGCGCCGATTGTGATTAAAACGTCTGGTTTGGCTGCCGGGAAAGGCGTGATTATGGCTGAAACCGTCGAGGAGGCGGAAAAAGCCATCGACGAGCTGATGTTGAATAAACAGTTTGGCGATGCCGGCGATACGATCGTAATCGAGGAGACTTTGTTTGGCGAGGAGGCGTCGTTTTTTGCCGTCGTCGGGGGCGACGTTGCGGTTCCGTTAGCGTCGGCGCAAGACCACAAAAGAGTTGGCGACGGCGATACCGGATTGAACACCGGTGGTATGGGCGCGTATTCGCCAGCTCCAGTGGTCACGAAAGAGATTGAAGAGGACGTGATGAAGAATATCATCGAGCCAACGGTGAGAGGAATGCGTGAAGAAGGGTGCGAGTATAATGGCGTCATCTTTGCCGGGTTGATGATTGACGAGAAAACGAAAAAAGTAAAACTGTTGGAACACAACGTGCGCTTTGGCGATCCCGAGTGCCAAACGTTAATGGCGAGAATGGAAAGCGATTTGTGCCAGCTTTTATACGCCGCAGCGACGAATAATATCACCGACGACGACGTGAAGAGCGTGAAATGGAGCAAAGAACCAGCTGTTAATGTTGTTTTAGCGGCGAAAGGGTACCCGGGAAGTTACTCGAAAGGCGACGAGATTAAAAATTTACAAGGCGCGGAAGAATCGACGGCAAAAACGAAAATCTTTCACGCCGGAACGGCGAGTGGAGAGAATGGGGAGATATTAGCGAACGGTGGTCGAGTTTTGGGGATAACTGCGATGGGTACGTCCGTGAAAGAGGCGACGAAGAACGCGTACGTGGCCATCGATAAAATCGATTGGCCGAACGGTTTCTGTCGAAGCGACATCGCCTATCGAGCAATCGAAAGAGAAGAAGGACGAGGCAAGTGATCATTAGAATAAGAATAATACGTACTTAATTTATATTTATTTATAACTCTCGGGACGGTCCACGTTTACAACTCTTCGTGCGCCTCTTCGAACTCCTTGGCTTTCTTCTTCGCTTCCCTCTCCGCAGCTTTTTCTTCCTTGGACTTAATTTTCGGCAAATCAAACGGAAGTTTTGCGTTCGCTTGAATAAATCTCGTGAAGCCGCCAACCGTTCTCTTCTCCTCTTCGTCCCATGGAACTCTTACACCTTTCTCCCCGGCGGGAAAGAAATAAATCGCCGGGAAACCTTTCGCATCCTTTACTAAAGGATGCTCGTTCGCGGTACCGTCCATATCGCAAATTTTCACCGTCGGCACGTCTTTGAACCTCTTGGCGAGTTTCTTGATTGTCGGCGCGAGTTCTTTGCAGTGCCCGCACCACGGCGCGTACACTTCGAGAAAGACATCCGTTTCGCTGTCGTTGACCATTTCATCAAAGTTTTCGCCGACAACTTTGTACAACGGACCGTAGTTTTCCTCCGGAATAGGTTCGGACTTTAAGTGTTCCTGCAACAAACCCGCTTCGAAAGCTTTGATGAACTGTTGCATGATTGGTTTCGTAATCGTCGGCGCGTTTTCGAGCTTATACTTCTTTTGGCCTTCTTCGATGCGTGGTTTCTCCTTCTCGTCCTTATTCACCGGTTCGGGTTCGCTTGGTTGCGAAAAGATGACCGCTTGCGGTTGGAACTCGTCCTCGCCGACGACCACGTCAAAGTATTCCAAAACACCCTCGGCATCGCTACCTTTAATGTCCACGGTGACGAACAAAATCTTGCCGCTCTTGTTGTCTTCCTTGGAAACTTCCTCGAGGAGGGCGTGGAGTTCTTTCGCAGTTTCCTCGTTCTCGCCGTCGTGAAAGACCAAAACTTGCGCAGTCACGCCAGATTCAAAGACTTTGTTGATGTATTCTTGCTCGAATGGAATGACCCATGGAAGTTGCGCGACGGCGGCAAACTTGGTGATCTCTTTCGCCTCCCATTTCCCGTCGTACTCGGCGAAAGATTTCTGGCCTTTTTCGTTTTCAAACATCAAAACCATCGCCGGGTTGGACGGTCTTTTGAAATTGGTCAGGCCCAATTTGGCAACGTTCGCGCGATTATCTGTGTGCGCTACGTCGAGGCCGTCGAGATCGATATCTTTCGCCATGGCGTAAAAGTCCGCGAAGGCTGGGGAAGAGCCCAATTCGTCGAAAACCGCGATCAAAGTCGCTCGCTTTTCTTCATCTTCGTCTTCATCCTCGTCTTCTTCTTCGCCTTCATCGCCGTCTTCTTTCGCCTCTTTCACTTTCTTCGGCGCCTCTTCGCCGGTGAACACTTTCATCGTCGTCAAATCAACGCTCGGTTCGCCCATTTGACGCTCGACGTAATTCGCGATGGCGTATTGGTCTCTTCCGGATTGGTAATCCTTCTTCAATTCGCCTTTCTCGAACCACTTCATGGTTGGAAACCCTTCCACGCCCAATTCTTTCGCTAGCGCTTCTTCCAAGGTCGCGTCAACTTTGAACAACTTCACGTTCTTACCTTCCAACTTTTCGCTCTCTTTCACAGCTCTCGCGGCGTATTCGTAATGCGGCTCCAACTTTTTACAGTGTCCACACCACGGCGCGTAAAACTCTACTAAAGCTCCGTCCAAGTCTTTCAAAATGGATGTGAAATTCTCCTTCCCTAACGGTTCGACTTCGTACGGACCTTCCGGCATTTCCAACTCTTCCTCTTCTCCTTGGCCGCCGTAGTCGCCGTAGTCGCCGCCGCCGTAGTCGCCCATGCCGCCCATGCCGCCCATGCCGCCCATGCCGCCCATGCCGCCCATGCCGCCCATGCCGCCGTAATCACCGTAGTCTGGACCGTAATCTGGAACGTCGTCGTACGGTTCCGCTGGCCTTAAACCATCGTCATCGTATTCTTGCGCCTGTGTTATGTCATCAAAGCAGAGAAACAAACATTTTGGTGGTTAGTATTTTTCGCACCCCGCGAAAAGAGAGTTTCGATGAAGTGGTTGGTGTTCTTCCCAACATCATCGAGAAGAACCCATTTTTTCCTCCAATCCTACGTTTTCGTCGAAAAGAAGAAACAGAAGAAGAACTTTCGAGAGAAACACCCTTCAAACCGAGATCGACCCCGACAGACAGACAGAACGCGACGTAAACGACGACGCGCCGGAAGGGGAGCGGAGTGTGGAGACCGCGACGATGAGAAAAAAAAAAACAAACAAAGCCGCCAAAACGCGCGACGATGATGATGATTTTGAGAAAAATGATCGAGAAAAAAAACAACACACAAAAACGCTCGTTGGCGTGGTATACCTGGACGACAAAAACAGTTAAAGTCCCAAACAAAAAGCTCGCGACGAAGAGGAAGAGAAGAGTCGTCGTTCTCCTCGAAATCGTCGTCGTCATTTTCGTCGTCATTCTTTTTTTTTTGTGCGCGTGTGATGATGTGATGAGTACCTTGTGATGATGTGTTTTTTAATTTTCTTTTGATGAGAAAAAAAAGGCTGAAAATTTTCAGTCAATCGCTCAAAAATTTTCGTTCGAAAAAACCCGTTGGAAAGCACCAACAAAAATTTTTACGTACGGGAAAGAATAACATCACACATAACGAGATGATGATGTTCTCTTCTTCTTCTTCTTCTTCTTCTTCTCCGAGGAGAGTACTTTTGTTGCGGCCTTCTTGTCGCGGTGGTAATGAGAAGACGAGGAACGAGAACAGTCCTTTTCGAGGAGGAGGAAAAGGAGGAAAAGGAGCGCGACGAACACCAACAACGACAACGAGGACGAGGAGGTTGTTAACTTCTGCTGCTGCGTCATCGAAGGAATCATCGTCCTCTCCGTCGGAAAAGAAGACGAAGACGAGTAAAAGCAGCAGCGATACCATCACCAATATTAATACCACCACGAACACAAAGAAAAAGAAAGGAGAGAAAGAGCGTCAGCAGAAGATAAAGGAGTACTGGAAAGACCGACGGAAAGTGGCGTGCCAAGAGAACGATCCGATGTGTTTAGATATCATGAGAACACCGATGAAGTCGTTCGACGAGATGGAGGAGGAAGAGCAAGAGTTAAACGCACTCGCGCCGGAGTTTATGGACGGGGACGTCGTTTTGGGGAAAGTGAACGACGTGCCTTCGTTTCCAGTGTTTAAAGGGGAGATATTGAACGCACCGGAGGAGACGTTGAATGTGGTGGAGTTTACGTTTTCGTGGTGTCGACCGTGTAAGAAGTTCGCGGCGAAATACGACATGTTCGCGGAATATTACGACAAGGTGAGATTTTTCAAAGTCGTCGGCGATAGCGATCCAGTGTTGGCGACGACGGCGAAGAGCATGAACGTGACGTCTACGCCGCACTTTTTCTTATTCCGAGGCGGGAAGATGGTGGGGTCGTTCACCGGGACGAACGAGGATAATTTTCGCGAGGAGCTGGGGTTCGCCATGAAAGACGAAGAGAAACCTTGAGTCAATCGCCGCGCATAATAATTTCATCATCGCGTATATATAAGAAAAGCGAGAAAGAAAGAAAAGAAGATACTACAATAATAATAATACTAAGTAGTAACAACACGTCTTCACACACTTTATATACTATTAATATCAACGCAAAGCAAAGTACAAAAATAAATAACAAAATCTAATCTACTAGTACATACACTACCGTTCTTTACGTTACTAATCCTCTCCTTTCTCATCGAAACCGAGACGGCGCGAGCGCGCATTTCGGACTCGATCGAACTCGTCGCGCGCCTGTCGCAAACTCTTATCGACGCTCTTAATCGCCGAGAGCGTTTGCTCGCGATCCGCTTTCGAGGAGGTTCGAATGTAAAACGAGTTTTCGGACGCGTCGTCGTCGACTTCGTCGTCTTGATCTCCTATCTTACCAAACTGTTTGCGCGGCGACGGTTTGGGACTATGCGGCGGCGTCACGCCAACTTTCCTACCTCTCCCCAATCGTACGGCTTCGATGATATTTTCCAGCTCGGCAATTCGGCCTCTCAATTCTATCTCGCGTCTGCTAAAATGTTCCTTCATGCTCGACATTTCCTCTCGAGTAGAGATTAATTCGTCCTCCATGCCTTCCGTGGCTTCTATGAACGCTTCTGCTTCTGCCAACTTTGATTTGAGCGAAGAGATTTCGCGCGACGACGCGTTCTTAATCGCCTGCATTGCTTGCGAAACGTGTTCGGAAGCCTCTGCCGAGGCCGAATCCATCGCCTCGATTTCTTGCAAAAGCTGATGCACGCGAACGTTTGCATCCTCGACCTTCTCGAGTAACTCCTCGTTTTCTATTCGCAAAGCCTCGAGCTTTGCTTTGCTTTCTTTTTGTAATCTTTCAATTTCCACTCGAGCTTGTTGCGATATTTCCTCCGAAGTTCCGCTTTCTCTCTTCGCCGCTTCGTACTTTGCCGCGACAGATTTCAATCTCCCATCGAGTTCGGCGACTCGGTCCATTTTCGACGCGAGATCTCTTTTCAACGTTTCAATCTCGAACGTCATTTCCATCTCTTGATCTACGCGTCGTTCGATTTCTTTTTGGATTTGACGTTTCCCTTCGTTTTGAGCATTTTTCAAAGCGCTCTCGAGCGATTGCACTTTTTCGCGCTCGCTATTCAAGCGCGACTTTGCGTCCTCGAGCGCTCGACTCATGGATTCGCGCTCGTTGCTCGCATTCGCGTGCGAAAGAGTCATACTCTTCAATTGAATGGTGAGCTCTTCGCATTTTGCGTTACTCTCCGTGAGTTGCTCGTTGAGTTCGTGCTCCAAAAGCTCGCTCGTCTCGGTGAGTTCTCGGATTTCGCTTCGCAACGCCTCGATTTCATAGCTATTTCTTCTGTTCTCGTCGTCGTCGTCGTCATCGCCGTCGTCATCGGCGCCATTAGCTTTACTCTCTCCAGCGTTCTTATTCTTTTCTTCACTAGTTGCCGATGTGGTATTATTACTATCTCCACCACCACCACCCTTTGAACGTTCTTCGGCAACTCTGGCCGAGATGAACGCCAACTTTACTTCGTCCCGCATGGCATCCGCGAGCGACTTTGGTTCCTTATCGTCCATCATTTCCTGGAACGCCCGCTCGAGCGCTTCGAATCGTTCCTCCACGGTTTGAATGACCGTTCTAAACAGCGCGTTCGCTTTGTTCTCACCTTGTGTCTGCACTAATTCGTTTTGTCTTCCACGTTGTCGTTGTTGTTGTTGTTGTTGTTGTTCCCCTCCTTCCTCTTCTTCTTCGTCCACGGGCGAAGCGGCCGCGACGTCGTAAAACTCCGGATGCCACGTCCAACTCGGCGACTTTGATGCGGTCGCCACGCGCGAATCTAAAACGCCAATCTCGGCGCACGCTTCCGCGAAACCCGTAACTTCCATCTCTAATGAATCCAAGCACGTTAAAACTCTCGACTCTCTCGCCAACGCCTTCTCTAATTCTATTTGTAAATTTTTCTTGCTCTTATTCGCCGCGTCGCGTTCAACTTCGACGACGCCCAGCTTCAATTCAATCGTTTCCAACTCTCGTTTGGATTTTAAAACTTGCGCCGAGGCTGCTTCCAATTCTTTTTTAATCTTCTCTTCGCACGCTTTGTTGACATCCTCCATGGAGGCTTGCAAATTCGTCGCGTTTGCCAGCGCCCACTTTTTCGTCTTGACTCTTTTCCCGCTCGTCGTCTTCTCTTTTCCTTTTTCTTCTTCTTCTTCTTCTTCGCTTCCGCTCTCGTCTTCTTCCGTATCGATATCTTTTTGTTCGTTCGCTATGTTTCTCTGTTCTAATAAAAGCGCCGCTTTCTTCTCGGCGAGCAAACACCTCGTCTCCCATGCGCTCACGTCCATCCTCCATCTCGATGCGTTCGCGTTCAACTCCGTTTTCATCGCCGACATTTCTCGTCTCGCTTCGTCCCTGTCCATCTCCAACGCCTCCCTCGCGCTCTCAATCGCGTTACATTTCTTCTCTTTCATTTCCAAAGCGTACGTCGCCTCTCTCTTTTCTCGTCGCGATACTTCCCATCGCGCCTTGACGACTCTCAACTCGTCTTCGTACGCATCGCGAACGTTCCTCGCTTCCGCACACATCTTTTGTAGCTCCTTCGTCTTTTCAAACGATAGCAATTTCGACGCGTCGATGCCCATCGATATCGCTTCTTCCTTCGAAGTCGATATGCTCTGATAAACGCTCAAAAGTTTCTCCTTTTCTTCGTTTTGTTGTTTCAGTTTCAAAATTTCCGCATCTTTCTCCATCATCTTCCTCGCGTGTTCTACGTGTGTTTCCTTCCCTTTCCCACTAGTAGGGATGGATGCGAGTTCTTCCTCTAACGCGTTCACTTTTATTTTCAGTTCGATGCATTCTCGTTTTAAGTACACCGCATTAGAGGGAGAATAATAAGAATTAGTATTCGTTGTTGTTTCATTACGATTTTCTGAATCCGAATCCGAATCATCTTCTTCCAATAAATCGTCCAAAGTATCCGCGTCTATTTCCTTCTTCTTCTTCTTCTTCTTTCCCTTAAACAACGGGGAAGAGGTTATGTACGCCAGCATTATTATTATTATTGTTTACTCTCTTCAAGCATGTGTGTGTGTGTGTGTTTGAAAGCGCAACAACGCGTTTACTCTGTGTGAATGAAAAAAAAAATCATTCGAAAAATTCTTGACTTTTTTCTGAATTGCACTTTTTGTTTTTTTTGTGGTGGGAGCATTTTCCTCTTGCATGTCTTGAGCTTTTTTTACTCCCCCCCTTGCTTCCCCTCTTTTTAAAAAAAAAGAAAAATTCAGATGCCACACAATTATTACCACACTCGCTCTTTTTGCAGACTCCATCAAAAGCTCTCAAAAACAGCGAAGATAATAATAAGCGATAATGAGAGAAGTAATTTCGTTACACATCGGCCAAGCCGGGATCCAAACCGGGAACTCGTGCTGGGAACTGTTCTGTTTAGGTGCGTTGGACTTCTTTTTTTTTTTGAAAATTTTTGTCTCTCTTTCTTCCAATTTTAAGGGGAATTTGTGACCGTTTGTTCGTTTGTTTTGAATTTTATGTAATGAATTTTGAATATCTCTCCTTCCTTTTCGCGTGATGCAAACAAACAGAACACGGCATAGGTCCGGATGGGCAAATGCCGGAAGACCAGCACGGTCAGCACCAAAACGACGACGCGTTTTCGACGTTTTTCTCCGAAACTGGAGCCGGGAAGCACGTTCCGAGAGCGGTCTTTTTGGATCTCGAACCGACCGTCATCGACGAGGTGAGAACGGGGACGTACAGACAATTGTTCCACCCGGAACAGTTGATTTCCGGCAAGGAAGATGCCGCGAATAACTTTGCCAGAGGGCATTACACCATTGGTAAGGAAATGGTGGACGTGGCGTTGGACAGAATTCGAAAGTTGGCGGATAATTGCACGGGATTGCAAGGCTTTTTGGTCTTCAACGCCGTCGGCGGCGGGACCGGTTCCGGTTTGGGATCTTTGCTTTTAGAACGATTGTCGGTGGATTACGGGAAGAAATCAAAGTTAGGTTTCACGATTTATCCGTCGCCGCAAGTCTCTACCGCGGTGGTTGAACCGTATAACTCGGTTTTGAGCACGCACGCGTTGTTGGAACACACCGACGTGACGGTGATGTTGGACAACGAAGCCGTGTATGATATTTGCAGAAGATCTTTGGACATTGAAAGACCGACGTATACGAACTTGAACAGATTGTTAGCGCAAGTGATTTCGTCGTTGACGGCGAGTTTACGATTTGATGGCGCGTTGAACGTGGACGTGACGGAGTTTCAAACCAACTTGGTGCCGTACCCGAGAATTCACTTCATGTTGTCCTCTTACGCGCCGGTTATTTCCGCGGAAAAAGCCTACCACGAACAGTTGTCGGTGGCGGAAATCACAAACTCCGCGTTTGAACCGCAAGCGATGATGGCCAAGTGCGACCCGAGACACGGCAAATACATGGCGTGCTGTTTGATGTACAGAGGCGACGTCGTCCCGAAGGATGTCAACGCCGCCGTCGCTTCCATTAAGACGAAACGAACCATTCAGTTCGTCGATTGGTGCCCGACTGGTTTCAAGTGCGGCATCAACTACCAACCGCCATCGGTCGTCCCGGGTGGTGATTTGGCGAAAGTCCAAAGAGCCGTCTGCATGATTTCCAACTCTACGGCCATCGCCGAAGTCTTCTCCAGACTCGACCACAAGTTTGACTTGATGTATAGCAAGAGAGCGTTTGTCCACTGGTACGTCGGAGAAGGCATGGAAGAAGGCGAGTTCTCCGAAGCGAGAGAAGACTTGGCAGCTTTGGAAAAAGATTACGCGGAAGTCGGCGCGGAGTCTGCGGATGGCGAAGAGTACGAAGAGGAATACTAAAAGAAAAGAGAGAGAACAACTGGAAGAGAAGAGAAAGCGCAAAAACGCCGGAGCTTATTGTGAGACGTTGCCGGTCGGAAGGCCAAACTATATACACACACACACTATATCATACTAACTTTACTCACTCATATATATAATTACATAATAAAAATACGACGAACAGTATAATAATATACATCGCGCGCGTGTACTCTGGTACTTATTGTTTTTAGGTGAAATGCAGAAATTGACATTTTTGGCATTTTGCGGATGCTCCACACAAAAAAATGGAGGAACTCCAACTCCTCCTCTCTCGGCTACAACCTCCCTCGGATGAAATCGTGCACGAGTGCACTCTGATATCTGAATATAAAGATTTAGATTCGTTGGGGAGGGAAAGAGGAGAGATTTTTGTCGCAGAAAAGGAAGAAGAAGAAGAAGAAGGAAGGATTGGTTTGTCGACACCATCATCATCATCGTCGGAGCGAAGAGAAAATGTGCGTGCGTTTCGCGCTGATTTTCTCTCGAGTTTAACAAAAGTAAGAGAGAGTATTGGATCGAATTTGATCGAGAGAGAAGAGCTTGGAGTGGTGCATTTTGTGGATGAAGATGAAGCAGAGGTCGTTAGGACTCGTGTAAAAAAGAAAGTATTGATTGAAGTGATAGGGGATGAGGATGAAGATGAAGAAAAATCCCCTAACAAGAAGAGCCAAATGTGGAATGATTTTGCGCTGTTATTGTGCGGGATGATGGAAACATCGGATGGAATTCCTTCGTGGTCGAGTAAGCAATGTTCTGATAGAGCGAAAGAGATGCTAGAGGAGTGCTACATCGACGGTAGTAATAGAGGTAGTAATAGTAGTAGTGACGATGACAACGGGAAACGACGTGCCCCTCTCGCCTCGGACGCGCTCGACGGCGAGCGGATGTGGAGAGATTTGAAATCGCACAAAAGTGCGCCGGAAAAGGAGTCTTGGAATACAAAGTTGGCAGATAGGAGGGATGCGAGAGCATTTTATGCGAGCGTGCAAGCGTTGAGTGTGTTGGAGCACGTTCCTTTTGGGGAGCATACGTTTGAGCGGTTTACCTCGATCGCATTGAGAGCGTTGGAGTTTGAAACGCTCGCGACGAAACGTGTTGGGGCACGCATTACGGAGAGGCTTTTGAGCAAGTGTTTGGAGGTTAATGTTAACGGAAGAATTGTTCGCGATACTCGAGGAATTTCGAAAGCCATGTTTGAGCAGCTGAAAAGAAATATGGTTGGCGCAACATCCGCGCTTTTTGCGCCAACATTGCGAGCGTTCGTAGCGTGCGCAAAAGTTCGTAAACACGAATCGCAATCATCGTCGTCGTCAGAAGAGGGTGCGGAATGGCGATATCACGATGCAGTGCTATCGCAAAGCTTGGATTCAGTCTCCTTGCACGTGGACGATTTAAACTTTGTCGCTCCGCTCTTGCGAACAATTCCTGAACTTTGCTCGGAGATGAAACTACGCATCGTTGGTCGATACAAATCATTAATTCCTTCTGTATTAGCGTGGTCGAAAGCCCCGTCGAACGAAATTGCTCTGTTAGCGCTGGAAGCGTTACACGATATCCTCCAATGGACGTGGCCGCGAGCGTACTCGAGGTGCGAAGAGATTTGGGAGAGCATGAAAATAGCTTACGAGGAAGGTCCGAGAATTATCGAAGAAGAGGAAGTTGAGAAAAGAAGACGCGCGGTGGAAAATGTTTTGACTGTACTAAACGCGGCGTGTGGACCTATATTCACTCATATCGCGGTGGAAGAAAAGAAAACCGATGATGTGAAACTTCGCGCTTTTGTCGAGAGGCTGAAAAAATACGAGGGTGATGGACACGGGAATCCTTACATCGGTTTCAAAGAACTTAGCATTAAACCAAAATAGATCTCTAATACTAGATGTAGGTAGTAATATAGATAAATTAGATACGTGACTAACTTTGAACGAGACGGAGACGTAAATGCGCGCTATTTTTTGCCAACTTTTTATGCTTCTCGAAAAGAGTTCGAACTTGTTCGTAATATTGCTTGTGAATGGCCTCTATCGTTTGAGACGTATTGGGTTCTATGGAAACTCCTTTTCCGATTGCATAATACAGCGATTGTCGAGTTGGAAAAGGCGTGAAATATATTCCAACTGGTATAAATGGGAACGGAAACCCAAAATATCGATACGACTTTTTCGATATGAATCGTTTGAATATATTTCTTACTCCGGAACTTTCTCCGAAAGCGACAATTGGTATAATTCGAATCTTCTCCTGATAATCGCTCGCTACATTCATCGCAATCCGAATGAACCCTTTGTGTCTCATGCAGATGACAACTTCGTCTTCATCTACTTTTTGAGCGTGCTCGCACAACTCGCTTTGGCCTCCGGGAACAAACATAACTGATTTTCCCTCGCCCAAACACTTGGAGAACGATTTTCTAGAGACGCTTCGAGCGCCGGTGAAACTAAATATCTCGCGAACTATGGGTATTTTAAAAATTATCGACGCCGCGAGTGTGCACACTTGCCTGTTTGGAAACAAACGTTCGAAGGCCGGGTGCAGATGTAACCACGCGGCAGAATGTGGAATGAATGCGTGAGGGCTGTACCCAAAAATTAACCGACCATTGCCTTCCTCGTCGTCGTCCTCTTCGTCCTCCTCCTTCCCTACATCTCTCACGATAGAAATCTCTCCGTGCCATTCTTCCAAGCCAACCATTAAAACATCTCTCGCAAATTTTCGCACTATTTCTATCGTGTTATCTGCATCGCTTGGAAAGAGTCTGCGCGTGAAAACGGCATACGCCGCTAATAGCGCGACCAGAACCGTCGGCCTCGCGAAAAACGCCAAAGCGAGAAGCATAGAAAAGACAATCAACGGGAGTCCGTGTAAAACAGTCATACTCATCGAAGTTATGAACACCCTCGCAATATCTCTCGCGTTTTCTCCTTTTTCCCAATGATGAAAAGATAACGCCACGCAAAAATGCGACACGAAGGACGTCGCTATGATGAGCGCGAAAAGCTCTTCCACCAACAAGAAATGATGGAGAAAAACAGACGCCACGGAAAGCGCGAAAGCTATCCAAGCGACCGCTTGTAACGTCACGAAAATGTAATTCCCCGCGAAGGGCATGTAGAGCCGATAGCCTCTCTTCCTCCACACCCCCCACGCGTGCGTCAAAGGCGCTAAGAATATCACCGGATAATACACGTAACGCTCGTTAAAGAAAGAAGAAAAAAAAGACACCCGAGACACGAAAAGAAGAAGAAGAAGAAAGCACGTCCACCCAGCCGCCGTTGCGAGCGTAAAAAAACCTTTCTTCTTTTTCCTCGTCGTCGTCATCTCCGGTCTCACTCGTCGTGCCCTCTTTTCGCGATGATGATGATGATTGCGCCGGTGCGTCTTTTGTCTGGGAGACCGCACCCAAAAGGGAAAATTTTTGTATCTTTTTTTAGTATAGTGCTTTCGCGTATTTTTGTGTCTCTCGATTTTTTTTCGTTCAAGATTTTGATCAAATTTTGCGCTTGGTTGCTTTTGGTTGCTTTAAAAAACGCACTCTCGTTTCGCGAGATTTGAGTCACACACACACACGCGCGTAACTAAAAACACGACGGGGTGCTTTTGAGAAAAAGAGAGAGAGAGTGAGAGTGATGTTGTTTTTCTTGTTTGAATAATCGCGAAAATAAGAAGAGGAAAGAGAGACATCATCATCCATTTCTCTTCGTTCTTCTGCTTCTGTTGGTGTTGTTGAGATTGTTTCTGAGAAAAATCATGTCGTCGTCCTCGGACGTGGAGATGGAGGAGAACAGAGAAGAAGACAACGAAGAAAACAGACGCGAGGGGCGAGAGGAAAGCAGTAAAAGAGAAAGAAGGACGACGACTCGAGTCGACGACGACGTGGAAATGACGACGGTGGAAACCATTGCGAAGACGACGGCGAGGGAAGATTTCAAAGCGTTCAAAAAGTCGAACAAGAGGATTTTAGAAGAGTTCCAATCGAAACAGAAAGAAAGAGAGAGATACGAAGAAACGGCGGTGCACTATAAGAAACACTTGAATCGTTTAGATATATTAAAAACAGAAACGATATCGAAGATACCTAATTCGTTACCTAAGTCGGATTATTTAGAGAGGGTGGTGGACTTTCTGCACGAAGCGATACCGCTGCTCGAGCGCGCAGAAAAAGAGGAAGGCGCTGCGAGGAAAGCTTCGGGAGAGGAGTTTATTGGTATTGTGAATGTTTCGGACGACGACGAGGAAGTGCAGAAGAAGAAAGGAGAAGAAGCGTGGAATAAAGTTGGACGGTTAGCGAACGGAGAGCTCGACGAGAAAGTTTATACAGACAAGCCGCGTGAGAAAAGGTCGCCGAAAAAAGCTAACGCTGAGAACACCGATCACCACGGACACGCTGAAAGAGTAGAGAAAGTTCACGAGAAGAATAACAACGACGGATGGAATCGAGGAAATGGCGGCGTTTCTCGTACCAAAACTTTTAGTAGGAAAAAAAATCCGACCAACATTGGACCGGTGAATGGACGCGGCGCATCGATGGTTGAAGCTGCGCGTCTTGGCTTTTCGTCGAACAAGCGGGCAACATCGACACCACGAAGTGCTCCGCGAGCTGTTTCTCCACGGCACGAAATTGAACATTTTTGTCCAGAACAATTCATTCCTAGCGCAGAGAAACGTCCAAAAACGAGAAATGATGTGGGCGGTAGCGGACACAAAGTCAAGGAAAGGATGTTCGGAGTCCGCATTGATGACTTAGAAGAAGACGATCCAATCGAGGACGTCCAACGAATCGGCGATAATAGCAGAGGTAATCGCCCTCGAGGACGCGGACGAGAAACGAGAGAGAAGAAAGAACCGATCGTAGTTGATCTTGTAGATTCTGAAGACGATACAAGTAACAAACCGATTGAAATCGATAGCCCGATACAACAGAGGCGACGGACGACGCGACAAAATGCAGGATTTGTAGGGTCCAGCGTCGCGAGATTTGGTAAATTTACCGCAACGTACCCTAATGATGGATCCAAAGGAGCCGCTTTAATCAACACTAACGATTTGGATTGCTTAGAACCTGGTGAAATGTTAAACGACCAAACGATTGATTTTTACATGAAAAAGATTGCGGTGGAAGATTTTCCCTCGCTTGAAGACAAGGGAAGATGTTTAGTCATGAGTACGTACTTCTATCAGAAGTTGACGCAGAAATCACGTGGAGCCTCAAACATAGCGGAGCGAAAAGATCAGGCATACGAGAGGGTGAAGAATTGGACGAAATCTATCAATATTTTTGACAAGGATTTCATTCTTATTCCAATTCACGCTCAATTACATTGGAGTTTGGCTATTATATCGTATCCTGGATTAGCCGCCAATTCTGCGGAGCGCGTAGAAATGGGGAACATTCCGTGCATTATTCATCTAGACTCGATGGGGACCAATAGCTCGCACTCATTCGATAGTATACGAAAAAATTTGACGCAGTGGCTGCAACGCGAATATAACCGCGTTGAATCTGAACGCACGGGAGGTCTAGTCGAAGACGGAGCAACTCGTATAAACAACGAGACGATGCGTAAATTGAATCCAATCGTTCCATTACAAACGAATGGTTGCGATTGTGGTGTTTTCACGTTACTTTACGCACAAAAATTTATCCAGAACCTTCCGAAAGAGTTCACTTTGGCGGACTTCGAGTCGATTTTTTATGGTAAAGTGAATACAAGGATGAGTTTCCAAAAATTATCACTTCACGAACCATACCGGCTGCTAACGCCTAGAATGCTTGACATGGATAAATTCATCGAACAGAGTTGGAAAGAAGAAATTCGCAAACGCTACGGGTCATCTGAAAAAGAAGAAGCGAAAGAAGAAGTGAAAGAAGAAGAGAACAACATATCATTACATATAGTCGGAGAAAAAGAAGAGGAAGAAGAAGAAGTCAACGATTTGAGAGATGAAGAAGACGAAGACGTGAAACATTTTAAATCAAAAATGCAACCGTCACCGGAAGAAGAAGGCGAAAAGAACAGCGAGAATAAAGAGAACGATTTGAAGAGCAGCGAGGAGGTTGCGATTATTTCCGAAACGGATGGGAAAAGTGGCTGCGAGAAGGAGAAGAAAAGGGAAGAAAAAAAAGAAGAACAAGAGACGCGCATGTCGATTGAAAAAATACTCCAAACTTTCCCAAAAACGTGGATCCAGACGAATTGTCCCGAAATGTTCCGAGAAACTTGGTTTCCCCCGATGGAATGTGCAGAGCAGATGCGTGTTAGGATAAGCTTGATGATCTTGGAAGCGTTACAAGAAAAAATGATATCGAAATACAAAGAACTCGAAGCCATGCAGAACGCTTTGCCGGAAAGTGAAAAAGAAAACGAAGAGAACGCAGTCGTCAAGAATTTTAAAAATGTCACGCAACTCGTCCCTATATTTAGAGATGCAGTCGACGAGAATTTTAAATCCTTGAGCGCTTTGGATAGAAATGTGTGCGAGGCAAAGCTGAAAATGGAGAGATCGGAAAAGAGGAGAATAAACGAATGCCTCCAGAAGATTTTCACCGCTCGCGAGAAGGAGGACGAAAATGTACAGAGGCTTAATAAGCATCTTGAATTACGCGAAGAACGAAAGCGTCAAAAGACCGGTGAATCGAGCGACGATGATGACGCTGTTCGCATAATTGGGTACAAATCTAAACCAGGCAAGCAAGTGCAGACTACGCTTCAACGCTCTGGCGACGAACTTTTCGAAAGAGGCAGAACAATTTGGAAGGATGGTATCCAACCACCGCCACGAAGAGGAGAGCAAGCGAAGACGCGTGCCCCTTCACCGCCACGCACGCGCGGGACTTTGAACGACAGTAACGACATCGCGAAAAAAATGAGGCGCAGTCACAACACGCGTGACCAGTCGTCAAATCAAGAAACGATGAGAGACGCGAGAATCAGACTCTTAACGCAGAAACCTGCGCGAGAGCAGACCCCTCCGGAGAAGAAGGCAGGGTGGTTGCCTGGGAGTATCGTAGACAGGTTCAAACGTAGAGATAAAGAAAGTTAGGATAGAGAGACAACGAAAACAGTAGCAGTACTGAACGCATCCGCGCGAGAATATCGCGACGATGCGGTGAACATTGAGATGTAAAAAGCGCGCGCGCACGAATTAATACACACTTACAACTCTCTCGAATTCCTCACACGCACTCTTCTTCATATAAAATCTTCTTCTCTTGAAAGAAACCACGAGAAATATGCTTCGACGCGCCTGCTTCGATCTTCTCAAAACTCGCGCGCGCGCAGCTTTTGTATCCTCTCCTGAAATTATAGTTGGAGGAGGGAGAATTCAGTCGAGCGCTTTCGCGTCGTCGTCGTCGTCGAAAAAAGACAACGACGATGCGAAAAACGCGGACGACGAGCGTTGGGAAGATTTCCCTCAAACGGAGGAAGAACTCGCCAATCGACGCGCGAAAGCGCTGAGAAACTGGTTAGAAAACGAAGTCGGAGAAGAACGCGCGAGTTTGATGACAATTTTAGGCACGCACAAGGTGAAAGTGCCCGGTGGCGGAGAGGAAGCGAAAGCGTTCATGGACGATTTGTTGTTATGGAAAGCGAAAGGACAGTTGTTAGCGAAAGAAGAGGAAGAAAAGAAGAAGAGTTTCGAGGAAGAGTTCGGGCTACCTTTCGATGAATGAATGATTTAATGTAGCATATAGCACGTGTAGTAGTCCATTATTTATTCCTCGACCTGTTGTTTTCCTCCGCCTGCAAAGTTTACGACGACTGATTTGTGCGCGTTTTCGATGCCGACCATCCTTCGCTCCTCGTTCGCGTTCTCGTACAAAGTGTTTCGCAATCGAGGCACGCGCCCGGCTCGAGTGATCAACGCTTCCATCTCGACGACGTTGAATTCTTGGCCAAACGTAGATCCAGCGGCGCGCGTGATGCTTTCATTCATTAAAACACCGCCGACGTCGTTACATCCGGCGAAAAGTAAGTTTGAGGCGAAAGATGGTCCCATTTTCGGCCAACTCGCTTGAATATTCTTGATGCCTATTGGACCGAGCACTAAACGACCGATGGCGTGCATTAAAACGCACTCGCGCATTGTAGGTCCTTTCCTCGCGCGACCTTTTTCGTATATTGGCGCTTTGAAGTGGACAAACGGTAACGGAACAAACTCGGTGATGCCGTTCGTTTCGCGATGTAGTTCGCGAAGGGCGAGGAGATGCTTGCTCCAAGAAACGTGCGTTTCGGAATCGACGTGACCGAACATAATAGTTGATGTCGTTTTTATGCCAACCTGGTGGGCACTTTTCACCACAGATAACCACTCTTCTGAATTGAGCTTGTCGGGACAGATTTCTTGTCTCACCGCGTCGTCCAGGACTTCAGCCGCGGTGCCCGGCAAAGATCCAAGTCCGGCGTCTTTCAACATTTTCAGATAGTCTTTGATTGGAACGTTCAAAGACGTCGCGCCGTGGTGAATTTCCAGAGGAGAGAACGCGTGCACGTGCATGTTTGGAGCACCTGTTTTAGCTGCTTTCAAGAAGTCGAGATAACTTTCGCCGGTGAAATCAGGGTGTATTCCTCCTTGCATGCAGACTTCCGTGGCGCCTTTGTCCCAGGCCTCTTTCGTGCGTCTCGCTATTTCTTCCGAATCTAAACAATACGGCTTATCTCTCGTGGCCTCCTCGCCAAATTTTCCTTTTGAAAACGCGCAAAAATGACACGTGAACTCGCAAACGTTCGTGTAATTGATATTCCTGTTGATGACATACGAGACGATATCACCGCATTGCTCTTGTCTCAACGCGTCTGCTTTCGAGCATACGAAATCGAAATCGTCGCCGCGCGTTTCAAAGAGCAACGCGACGTCTTCAACCGTCGCCGTCGTGGCCATGCACTTTTCAATCGCGCGATTGATTTTGTTTCTACTTGAGCTAATTCTATCGTTGTTGTTGCTATTGTTGTTGTCTCTACTATTCCTACTGCTACTACCAGGTTCCACTGCGCCGTTCACAGAAACCAAATTTGTAACAGATATCCCATCGCCGTCGTCGCTGGACATTCCCGACGCACGTTCTTCGCTCCCGGGGGACCAATGCATGCCCCGGCCAAAACCGCCGGCGTCGGATAATACTCTCACGTGCGGTGCAACCTCTTCATCTATCCAAGCATTCATTTTCTCTCCTATATAGCGCGGATGCGCTGCTAATCTAGGAACTAAACTTCTACCTTCTTCGCGACAGACTGCGCTGAGCGTTTTCAAAGCCGGCCATTCGCACTCGGGCGAGACGAAATCGGGCGTTACTCCCGGAGATATACCTCCCCAATCGTTAATGCCTGCATTTAGCAACGCCCTCCACCCATCTTCTACTTCTTCACCAGGAGTTAAATTTGGCGGCACTTGAATGGTTACTTTTTCGTCGAAGCATAATCGTGCTAAAGCGACGGCTCGCACGAGCTCGTCCAAAGTAGACTCTCGGTCGTCTTTCATGCGCGTATCCTCCTTCGCTCGAAAGTTTTGGACGATAATTTCGCCTATACAATCACCCCCATCTTCTTCTTCCGCTAATTTTCGAATTTCTAGTAACGATTTCACGCGTTCTTCAGCAGTTTCGCCGATTCCGACGAGAATCCCAGTAGTAAACGGCACCTTGGCCTTTCCGGCGTTTCTTAAAGTGTTCAATCTTACGCTCGGGCGTTTCGATTCACACTCAAAATGCGCCATGCCAGGCTCCATCAAACGTTCTGACGTCGTTTCCACCATTAATCCTTGACTCGCGGATACTTTTTTCAGCAGTTTCAACTCCTCAACCGTCAACACGCCGCAGTTCACGTGCGGAAGCAAACCGGTTTCTTCGAGCACTCTCTTCGCGCACTTGGCGACGTATTCCACCGTAGACGCGCATCCCAATTTTTCTTCCAGTTCTCTCTTTGCCGCTGGATATTTCGCTTCTGGTCGGTCTCCTAACGTAAATAAGCATTCCGTCGCTCCATTTTTCTTCCCTTCTCTCACCACGCTCAGCACTTCCTCTTCCGTCATGAAAATGTTCTTCCTTTTTTTCTCTTCTTCTTTGTCTTCTTCTTCTTCTGGTTCTTTCACGAAAGTGCAATACCCGCACTTATCGCGACAGGCGAACGTCAGCGGGACGAACACTTTCGGAGAGAACGTGACGACGTTCCCAAAATATTTCTCTCTCTTTTCGTTTGCCAATTTTGCGAGCTTCTTCGTCGAAAAACTCGCGCTCATTTCGAGCAACGTTCTGTCCGAGAAATAATAATAACAACCTTCTTCATCATCAACATCATCATCATTTTGGCATCGCGTCCTCGCTCGTGTAGGTCTCGCGCATCCTCCTCTTTTTTCACACACGCCTTTAGCATTGAATCGCCTTCTTTCTCTTCTTCTTTCTGCCGTCGTTCCGTTTTGATTATTATTATTATAATAATAATAACCGTAAAGCGAGGAGGAGGAGAGAGAAGACGACAAAGAAGAAAAAGCCATCTGAGAGGCGAAAAGTGCTGCACACAAGAAAGAATCAAAAAGAAAAAAATTCTGTTTTTTTTCTCGAAAGCAGTTTTAAGCAGCAGCAGAGAGCGCACACAAAGCAGAGAGATCGTCCAAAAAGATTTTTTCAATCTCTCTCTCGCTTTCTCGGAGAGTCGTTCCTTTTATCCCTTAGAGAAAATTGGGGCACCACACTCTCGTTGTATATACACATAATAATCACACACACACTACGCAGATTATAAATGAGAGCGTGCTATCAAACGAGCGCGCACGCGCACGCCACGGCGAGTGGAAGACGCGCGAACCGAGCATCGGCGTCGCGAACTATTCCTCTTCGGGCCATCGCGGAGCCATCATCATCATCCTCTTCTTCTTCGAGCGTGATCGATACGGAAAAGAGTAGTGATACTACTAATAAACAAACGAACGCAAAAACTTTTACAACGAAACGAGGCGAAAACGAAGAAGAGAAGAAACGGAAAGGTTTGTCGTTGGAATTCGCGGACGACAGCTCGTTGAAGATGCCGGATGAATCTTCGGCGTTGAGGAATTTCTGGTACCCAGTCACGTTCGTTTCAAAACTGGAAAAGGCTATCGAGGAGGTTGGAGACGCGAAAACGGTCGTCGAGTGCACGTTTTTCGGAGAAAAATGGGTGATCAAACGACGCCAAGACTTTGAGACCGGAGAGATGAAGTGGGTGTGCATGAACAAAATGGACGAAGGAAACGTTTTACCGTCTCAGGTGCAGGACGGGTTGTTCATGGTGTGGCCTGGGAAGGCGAAACCGAGCGAGGAAATTCCGGAGTGGTTTAAACCGCCGAGCGGATATACCGTGCACGCGGAGTTGGTCATTGAGAACGTCCCAGTCGATGCGGCTTTGTTGATGGAGAATTTGCTGGATCTGGCGCACGCGCCGTTTACGCACACCGGAACTTTCGCGAAAGGATGGGGCGTGCCGAATATGGTGGAGTTTGCAACGAAGCAGTTGAGAAAACCGGGGGACGGATGGCACGATATGGCGACGTTTTTGAGCGGAAGATCCGGAGGCGGGGCGGGATATTCCGCGGAAGGGTCCTGGAAACCTTATCCGATCGATATGAAGTTCATCACGCCGTGCATGGTAGATTCGCACATTGGTATGGCGCAACCCGGCGCCGCCGGGGCGGGAGCGCAGTTCAAAGAAGGAGACACGTGTACGTCGTGCGAGAAACATTTGCACCAGTTGCACGTGTGCGTGCCTCAAGAGGAAGGGAAGACTCGATTGTTGTATAGGATGAGTTTGGATTTCGCGCAGTGGGCGAAATGGGTTCCAGGTATTCAGTTGGTGTGGATGGAGATGGCGAATCAAGTTTTAGGCGAGGATTTGCGGTTAGTCGAAGGGCAACAGGATCGCATGAACAGAGGCGGCAGAGTGTGGGCCAACCCCGTGCAATACGATAAAATTGGTCTCGTGTATCGTAACTGGAGGAATCACGTCGTGAAGCAAGAACAACAACAGACTATGTAAAAATAAAAATTGTGAGAGAGAGAGAGTGCGTGAGGGGAAACATTAAACAAAAAGTGTAATACAAGCGATGAATTTGACAACTATATATAAATGTTTGTGTAGATCATTTCTCTTTTTCTCTCTTTCTCTTTCTCTCTCTCTTTCTCTTTCTCTTTCTCTCTCTCTTTCTCTTTCTCTTTCTCTCTCTCTTTCTCTCTTTGCAGTGATCTGTGTATATAATGGTACAATAATGTGTACAACTTTTTATCGGGCAGCGTCTGTCTGCCGCGAATTTGCTGTTTGAAAATAATACAAAAAAATATGTGGATCTTTTTAGTTTCCGACGACGACACGATGTTGTTGACCGAAGTTATCTTTGTCCGAAGCTTCGTCGTCGCTCGAGGACTTTCCTCGTTTCGAACGTTGTTGTTTCTTTGGCAACTCTTGCTCCTGTTGCTCCTTTTCGTTGGTATCGCTGTGATGGTACGGAGGATGCTTGGAGTTGTTCTCGCCGCCAGAGTTGTTGCCGGCGTCGCGTTCGTCGCTCGATTCGCCGGAATCTTTCCCTTCTTGAGCAGCGGGACCATCTTTGGTAGTATTAGCAGTAGCAGTAATGTTCACCTCAGTAGGAGCTGCTTCATAGTCGGCAGTGCCTTCAATTTCAGTTTTAGACTTCTTCGTACCTTCGAGAATATCTGTTTCTGACCCTGCCGGTCGTTTCAACGATGCCCCTCTTTTGTTCGGCACGTTTCCATTTAACAACTCTTTCCCTTCTCCCGCATAATAAGAATCGTCCATGGTGGAGTGCGATTCGTTCTTTTTCATGGCACTCTTAGCATTCATGGCTGCCTTCTCTTCAGCCGTCATTTGTTTTAAACGATACTTCTGCAAGTGACTCGCAACGTTTTCCCTCGTCAAACCTTCCACGTTCATCATCTGCATGATTGTTTTCGGCACCGCTGCATCCAACCCGAGATGGTTCACCGCGTTCATAAACCTTCTGTGCAACTCATCGTTCCAAACTAAACGGTTTCTGTTCGATTTTGGAACACCTTGCTTCCCTTTCTTCGGCGTGGTTGTCGTCGTCTGTGAATGTGGCGGCGGCTGTTGATACTCGTGCTCTTGATGTTGTTGTTGCTGTTGCTGTTGTTGTTGATGCTGCTGTTGATGAAGATACATTTGTTGTTGATGCTGCTGATTGCTATTGAAGTTGTTGTTCATCATGTTATGAAGATGTTGCTGTTGCTGCTGATGTTGTTGAAACGCATGTTGCGCCGCGAACGAGGGAGAATCTGTATTCGGCTGCCCCATTGACAACGCGGCGGCGTACGCGCTATACGCCGCGCCACTTTGCTGCAAAGCGTTGAAAGCGTTGAACTGATTCAACTGTTGCTGTTGCTGCAAATAACGTTGTCGATGCTCTAATTGCTCCTCCGTGGGTAACACTCTCGTTGCCGTCTTTTTCCCATTCGATACGGAACCGAATGTGTTGTTGGCCGCCGTCGTCACCGTCGTCGTTTGGAAATTGTCGCTCGACATCCCGCTACCGTTTTCGGCTAACCGTGTCGTCGTCATCACCGTCCTCGTATCTTTTTCGTTTTCTTGGTCTTCTGCTGCTGTTGCTGCTGCTACTCCTGCTGCTGCTGCTGCATTGCTCTTCTTTTGGGTGTTGTTCTCGTTCTTATCGTATTCGTCTACCTTTTGCTGCGCGTCTCCTTCGCCGCGTTTCACCAAAAGAGGCGTCGTAGTAGGAGGAGGAGCGGCGGCGTTATCAATTTGATGTCGTGCCCCACTCATACCAGCCGCCGCCGGGAACGTCGGAAACGGTGGCATCCCTACCGGTGGCCATGGAAATGGAAACGGTCCGTTCTGCGCGTTGATCAAATACCTCGTTGGAAACGCCGTTGGATTTTGTTGCATTTGTAAAAAATCGTGAATCGGATTTCCCATGAGGACGTTGTTTTGGGCGTGGTGGTTGGCTGCTCCTCCCGCTGCTCCTCCGTTTGCTCCGTAATTGTTGTATTGCATGAACGCGTTTGAAGACGGATCCATCATTCCAGCATGGTGTGACATCATCATCTGCAGCATCTGTTGTTGTTGATGATGTTGTTGTTGATGATGATGTTGTTGATGATGTTGTTGTTGTTGTTGAAGTGAAAAGACCGGAAAGTGTCGCGGCGTCCATTCGTTTCCCGCCGAGGACGACGGTTGAATAATAGTATTCGAAGGCACTTTTTTATACGAAAATTTAGGCGGCGACAAATGCGGATTCGCGTCCACGGTTTTCGCCGCCGCATTCGCGTGGATCAACGGAATTGAGTAATTTTCCAAAGCTTCATTATTCGATTGATCGTTTCCACCGCGTTTCGGATCTGTAATCTCATCGCAACCAGGTTTTTCATCGCGCTTTTTGTCCTCCTCTTTTTGTTCATTCTTCAAAATTGCCACTTCATGGACGCTTTTTGTAGAAGAAGATGGAGGAGGGAATTTTTTTGCCTTTCCAGATGACGATGCGTTTGTTCGTTTGCGGGTGATGCGCGAAGCTGCCATTGATGGCAGCGCGAGTAGATCTCTTTACTTGAAGTATGTATGAATCAAAAATGTGTATTTTAGATCGAGATAGTGGCGAGTGTTTCGCGTTTTGAGCGCGTGTTTTATGCGGCGCGATGTAGAAAAGAAGAAAAGTGACTTTTTCTGTGAGAGACGCTTTTTTTTCCTTCCTGTGATACGGAGATATTTTTAAATCGAAACACAGGCAGGGCAAAACAGAAGAGCAAAAAAAAACGAAAGAAATGCTGCTTCTTCTGCTTCTGTTCTTTTTTCTTCTGTTCTTCCCCTGTCTTCGTCTTCTTCATTTTTCTTTCCTCCTTCCCCTCGTTGTTTGTTTATTCGAAGAAGAAAGAAGAAAAATGGAAGACGACGGGTTTGGTGGACGAAGAAGACGCGCGTCTCCTTCTTCTCCCGCATCGACGAAGAAAAAGAAGAAGAAGAAAACTTCGTCGTCGTCGTCGTCGCTCCTCCCACTCCTTCTCCGCATCTTCTTCCTCTTCATTTTCGGCGTCGTCGTCCTTTTCGGCGTCGTCCCCGCGCTTTTGACAAAAAATCGATTACTGTCGTCGAAATCGTTTTCGAATCCTTTCATAAACCACCACCAAAACAATGATTTCGTTCCCGAACTTACCTGCGGAGCAAAAGTGGTAGAAAACATCAACGAGGAATACTTACACGACGTGTTGACCGAGTTGAGCAATCAAACGTTTTTTAGACTCTTTCGCGTGGATTTGACGAGAGAGTGTAAGTTTTGGCAAAATTGGCAAAATGGAATTAAAGGAGGAGGAAAAGAGGGGAAGGAAGAGGAGGAAGGGTCGTGTTCGGCCCCTCCTGCTTCGTTTGGGAATGGTAAAGCGAAACCGAGCGAAGATGGGTTATATTTTGAAGAGAGTAACGATAAGAAGGAGGTCAATGCGGACGTTCTTCCGAAGACGACGATGTGTTCGCTCTCGACCGAACCGGCCGGGTTCGACGATATCTTCGGAAGTAGTAGTAGTAGTAGTAGTGCTAGTAGTAGTAAAGCGTCCATTCCTCGAGCGCCGTTTTCAGATCCAGTGGATACGACCATTACGAGTAAAGAAGATAAAACGACGTCTTTTATCGACGAGGAAGATTGTTCGAAGAATCAAACCAGCCCAAAGTTTTGGTTGGATATCTGTACCGCGCCAGAGAACAAGGATACTAGAAAAAAAATAGAAGAAGAGGAAGAGGAACATTCTTCGTACGTAAACTTACGACTGAACCCAGAGCGATGGACGGGGTATAACGGATCGCACGTTTGGAAGGCGATTTACGAGGAAAACTGTTTGAAAGGAGAAAAGAAAGAAGACGGTTTGTGTTATGAAGAGCGCGTTTTGTATCGGTTACTCTCTGGGATGCACGCGAGCGTCAACATTCACGTAGCGTTACACGCGAATCCGCCGCAAAGCGAAGATGAAGAGTGGCTTCCCGATCCTGCGAGATTTGCGCAGCTATTTGAGAACCATCCCGAACGCCTAAAGAATTTACACTTTTCTTTCGTCGTCATGTTGAGAGCTTTGCGGAAAGCGACGCCGGCTTTAGCAAAATTCCCGACCGATTTAGGCCAGGACACGATTGAGGACGAGAAGACGAGGCAGCTGAAAATGAAGCTACTGGATTCGCCGCAAGTTTTAGGGAAGTCATGCGAAGAACTTTTTAACGCCTTTGACGAAGCGCGTTTGTTTAACGACGTTGGAGTCGCCAGCGAAGTGCTCGTGAATAGTGGCGGTAGCGATAAAATGCAGTTCAAGGACATTTTTCGAAATATCACCGAAGTCATCGATTGCGTGGCGTGTCAGAAATGCAGATTACACGGAAAGTTGCAGATTCTTGGCATTGGAACTGCGTTGAAAATCTTGCTCTTACCTGAAGAGGTGCTCATGAACGAAGATGTCATCACAAGATCGGAATTTGTCGCGATGATCAACACAATAGCGAAATTCTCGAGGGCTCTGATGGCGTCGTCGCATTTCGCAAAGACCAAAAATCTTGTACTATGACTTACTTGGTATTAGCCAAATACTCACACGAATAGCGAATAGAAACGAAAAAGATACTGTGTTACTACATACGTCTACATTTATTTATTACATCACGAACATTATTACATGAGTATCTATTATTATTTATAAATAGTATCATCGCTCGACAAAATCTGTCCTAGACACATTTTTCGCTATGCGTTCTACGATTTTTTCGAGTTCGTCGGTATATTCTTTCGATTCGTTCGCCTCTCTGCGCAACTTTTCAATAGTTTTCCGTAAATCCGACGCTTGTTCTCTCGCTATGGCGACTTCGCGCGCGCGCCGTCGCTCGGACTCTTCGCTTTGGTTTTTCCAGCGTCTCGCCGCTTCCAACGCTTCTTCCAACGCTTCCATCTCTTCAGCTTCTAGTTCAAGCTCTTCGGAATCACCATCATCATCATCATCATCATCATCTCCAGTTTCGCTACTGCTACCGGACGTAGACGTAGATGAGATTCCTCTTCGTTTATGTCGTTGTCGCCTTCTGCTATAGTTTTTATTGTCGTTATTTCTAGCATTATTACCTCTATTATCTCCTTCTCTATTACCAATTCCCATCATCCTTCTGTGCACGGCAATATCGCGTATAGCGTCCACAACTCTTTGCGCGACTTCCACCGAAGTTTCGTCTTCGGTAGTCATCAAAGACATTTCGTTGTAGTTATTTTTCAACATACCCGATGCTCTTCGTAAAGCTTCGTTCAAAACTTTCTTACACGCCTGTTCCCTCTCCGCCAATCTTTTCGATTCCGCCTTGACGTCTTCTTTCGAGCTTCGCTCGTCTCGAATTTTCCTTCGACACTCGTCGATAGCAACGTTTGCCGCATCCAACGCTCTTGATTTGCGTTCGAGCGAAGCCTCTTCTCTTTTCAACTTTTCGCTCAATTCATCGATTTTTAACTGTAACGTGTCGTTTCGAATTTTTAATTGTTCGGCGATGGCCTCGTGTTTGCGATACTCGTCCTTCTCTTCATGCGTTTGTTTCAACAGATCTCTCGTTTCCTCCGTCATTCTCATCAAACGTTCGTATGATTGCTGCATTTCGATTAAATCGAGCTCTTTGTCCGAGAGTTGCGAGCGCAACCGCGCAACCGCATCGGACTCTCTCAAAACGTCTTGTTGGTGACGGTATCCTTCTTCTTCGTCGTCGTCGTCGTTGTCTGAATCAGAGAAGGCGGAAGGAGAAGGAGAAGATGATGATGGTGATGACGGAGACGACGGAGATGGAGGCGAAGATGGAGACATCGGCGCGCCCGTCGTCTTAAAACTCGTCGCGCGGCGGCGTTGGTGACTCCTTTTTGAAAAACTTGCATTTTTGTCTTCTTCTTCTTCTTCTTCGATGTTGTTGTTGTTCTTTCGATGAGGACGATGACTCGTCGACGGCGTCGCCCTCAGCGGCGAAACCTCGCTATACATTCGTCCTCCCTGTTCTTCTTCTTCTTCTTCATTTTTGTCATCATCATCATCATCTTCTTCTTCTTTCCGTTCTCTCTCTTCGCGTTCCTTCTCTCGATTTCGAATCGCCCGAAGTTGCTCTAAACGCGCGTCGAAAACCTTCGCCATTCTTTTACTATAATAAAAGTTAAGTGTGTCTTTTACCCTCCACCTTTAGAAGAGCATCACAATTTTACGCGTGTGTTTTTGTTGTTTGTTTGTTGTTGTGTACGCGTCGTTGTCGCGTGTTGTAAAGAGATGATGAGGAGAAGTGATGAGAACAACAACAAGACTGCCACAATTTTGCAGAAACACAGAGCAAACACAAAAAGTGATGAAAGAGACAAAAATGAAAAATTTGTCGAAAGAAATTCAAAAAAGGGGACGAACGTTCCTCACTTGAAACACAAAAGAAAAAAAAATGGATGATTCCATCTCGAGAGGAGGGGTGGAAAAAACGCCTCGCGTTCTCGTCTCCCACAAACGCCCTCGATCGGAAGACGAGGCGTTCAACGACGACGAGTTCGAGGACGATGGGGACTTCGAAGAGATGAACGGTGGTTTCTCTTCGAGGAGGAGGAGGAGGAACAGTAGCACGAATCCCCTTTTGCTCACGGAGAGACAAAAAGCTCCGTCCACGGCGTTTAATTCCTTGAAAATTTTACAAAACTCCTCCTCGTGCAAAAAGAGGGGAAAAAAACTTTTGAACTCGTGTCCCTCGTCTGCGTTTTTGCAACTCCGGTCCTCGTCCTCGGTGATTCGGCAACAACAACAACACGCACGAATGCAAAGGTTTGAACCATCGGGGTCGACGAGAAACACAGCAGCGATGACGACGACCACCACCACCACCACCACCAGGAATATTGCCAAGCAAATGATGATGCAAGCGAATAACGAAACGCCGACTACATCGAGCGCGATATCCAGCGATATCCAGGAAACGCCCGGGTTGGATCTTCGAAGACACTCGTTGAGTAACCCACCGACGACGGGACGGTTTAGGTAAAATTTTTTTCAAATTTTTGAAAATTTTTGTTGTCTCTTTTCTCTGCTTTTTTTAATACTCTGACACCTTTCTCTTTTAATATTAACACAACACACACACACACACATCAAAAACAGGCGAAGAAGAAATAGTACTGGAGGCAATGGAGGAAACGCGTCTTCTGAACCGCATACGGAAGACAAGTTACCTCCGTCCACGGAAGCCGCGATGCGAAGGCGACGAATACGAAGACAGCTCGAGGCGCATCCAGTGGGAGACTACAACTTAAGTCCCGGGGAACACGGAGGCTCGCAATACATTTTATCGCCAGGGCACGAATCAGAAGAAGAAGGAGAAGAAGAAGAAGAAGAAGAAGTGAAGATTGTAAGCGAGGAGGGCAAGGACTTTTTAGCGGCGTTGAGGGAGGAAGAGGATGATGTCGACGCGAGAGCAAAGAAGACGACGACGACAACAACTCCTACTACTTCGACGGCGACGGTGGCATTAGCCGCTACTAAGAAACATAAGCGCATGGCCGTGTTGAATAATCAACCGTCGTTGGAAGTCGATAGCGATGGGAAATTTGTCAGCAACGTCGGGGGCAGCAAATCGAGAGTTTTCTTTCCTATTTTCTCCAAAGGGCAAAAAACTGTGCACCTGGTCCGACACGGTCAAAGCACGTATAACGAAGCCATTTCCGGTCCGGGCAGTTGGGAAGAACCGAAGATTTTTGACGCGCGATTAACAGAATTAGGCGTAAAGCAAGCGAAAGAGTTGGGTAAATTCTTGTCCGAGATACCAAAAGATGCAGTTTGGATAACTTCGCCGTTAACTCGGGCCATGGAGACGTGCGTGTACGGTAGAGAAGCGATGTACGCGTTCGTATCCTCTTCTGAGGAAGAGACAAATTCACCAGATGAAAACACCGCGCCGACGAATGATAACGATAGCAAAGCGAACAATAACATCAATAGCGACGATAACAACACTAGCAATAGGCGGTCGTTATCAGCCTCCTCGAGGAAGAAGGCAAGCACGAAGAAGAAAGTAGCAACAATGAAAGATGAAGAAGAAGAGAAAGAAAACGAAAAGCGACGACACGAAGCGTGGGGACGCTCCGTCATCGTGAGACCGGAAATCACCGAGAAACTCTCCTGCTCCGGCGACATCGGCCGCACCAAACTCGAGCTCATCGAAGATGTCCCCATACTCGCCCAATCCTTATCCAAACTCCCGGATAAAAGCTGGTGGTGGGACACGAACGAGAAACGAAACGACGCCGGTGAAAAAATGTTCAACTCGAACGAACCCGCGCGCGTCTTTCAACGCCGAGTGAGTAAGTTCAAGCAGTGGATTTTAAGCCATCCATCGACGACGTTCGTGGTGTTTGGTCACAGTACCTTCTTCAAGGAAATGGTCGGGAGGAGTTTGAAGAACTGCGAAGTCGCCTCCATACAGTTATAATACTAATTAGAAAGAGAGAGAGAGACAGGAGGGGATATATTTTATTGAAATTTATTCATAGCACTCACATCTGAAATAGAGAAAAGAATGAGAATTCATCACAAAACACACAGACACACGCAAAGAATACGAATAATGTTTCGAACGGTTTCCTCCCAACTGGCGGGACCATCGCAAACGACACCGTCGTCTTCCCACTCGTTTCGTAAACAACGCGAGCATTATTGTTTTCATAATCAGAACAGAAACAGGAAAAGCAGAAGTAGGGATTTCTCCGTGACGTCGTCGGTTAAAGAAGAAGAAGAAAAGGAAAAAGAGTACGATGGTGAGTATCAACGACAGCACATAAACCGCCGTCAAATGACGCTCTCTGCACTCGTATCCACCACCCTTGCTTTTGTCTCGACTACGGTGTCGACCGAGAGCGCGTTTGCGGCTGTCACAAAAAGCAGTCTAACCGACGAAGAAGTATACGATTTGCAATCCGTCGCTGCGGATGCCTACAACCGACAAGACTTTACGAAAGCCAAAGAGGCTTTGACGAAACTGATTGAAAACGAACCAGAATCGGCATCCTGGTTGGAAGGCAGAGCGCAAGTTTTAGTGGACCAGAAACAGTTTAAAGAAGCGATTAGTGATTACTCGAGATGTTTAGAGATTATTCCGACGAAGGATTTAGGAGCAGAGGCGAGGTTGAGAGCGGGGAGAGCGCTTGCGGAGGAAGGAATATACCAATGGGAACCGGCGTTGGTGGATTATAACCGAGCGCTGGAGCTGGCGACTACGGCAGGATTCAGACCAGACCCGTACGTTTTGAACTCTCGAGGAAACGTGAGAGGTTCTTTGAATGATTGGAAAGGGGCGAAGGAGGATTACGAAGGAGCTTTTGCCGCGTTTCAATCCGCGAGCGGCTTCCGCAACGGGAGCTCGACAACGCAAAGATTGGACGGTGCCATCTACGCGCGATCGAACGCGGCTTTGGCGACCGCGGAATTAGGTGACGCAGATTCAGCAATCAAAGAACTCGAAGGTCTCGTTCGAAGAGCTCCGAATTCCACGGATGTTCGCGCTGCGCTCGCGGCGTTGTATTGGGAACAAGGCAAAAGAGAAAGCGCCGAGGATTTATGGAACGACGCGTGTGGTTTATACTTTGGGTGTGCGCAATATAAAGATTTGGATTTCGTGAGACGCATTCGTCGTTGGCCACCTTCCATGGTGAGTAGATTAGAGAATTTCTTGCAAGTACGTTAATATTACTATGAATTCGGAAAAACTAAAAGTTTCCGTTGATGATGATTATAAAAGTGTCTTCTCCATCTTCGTCCTCCCGTACTTCCCGTGTTCTCTTTTACCGACCAAACAACACGCAAAGAAGTCGTTCAAACATTTTTCCGCCTTACCCTCGTGCACTCGTTCAAATCCGAACCGCGCGTAAAGTCTCTCGGCTGGATTCGCGTTCAGCACCTCTAAGGTCAGTTTCTTTTTATTCAACTTTCGAGCGAGTGCTTCCGCGTGCTCGAGTAATCGACCACCGACGCCTTTCCCTCGCGCCTGGGAGGAAACGCAAAGCGTCGAGACGTACGCTTCTTCTGGTTTTGGTGTGTGTATAAAATCGTCCGAGCTCGTTCGCGGATACTCCGTCGCGGATACTTTTACGCATCCGATAACGACGCCGCCGCCCAAATCGCTTTCACCGTTTTCGCCTAAAACTTCGATGGCAACTATAACAGTCTCTAAACTTTCCGGATGCAATCGATAAAATCTCGCAAACTCTTCCTGAGTCCCCAAGCAGTTCGAAAACGAGATGCAGTTACAGAAATCTTTGCTCGCGTAAAAAGTATTCAGCAATTCGTTGCAGCTTTCAAAATATGTTTCCGAGAGCGGTTGGTAGTAAATCATTTCTTCTGGCGTTTTTGTTTGTGTGTCTTTACTCTTCAAAAGGACTCCTACTTCTGGGCGATAAATTCGCGTACTCCTCCGGCGATATCAACTTTTTCATGCTCAGAGCGTGTATTTTGTCCATCTCTCTCTCCAAAGCTTTGGTCACCAGTCTTTGTTTGGTCAAACTATTCTTCCCTTCGAATTTCGGACTCACGCAAAATTGTATCTCAAACGCGCTTCCGCACGATCCAGAGGTGTCTAAGATGGATACGTGAGATGCTTCCAGGTGCGACTTTAAGAGTTCTTCTATTTTGGCTACCGATGACATTCTTCTTTTTCTTCGTCTTCTTCTTCTTCTACTGTGTGTGTGGTTGTGCGTGTGTTTCTAATGAAGAATTCACAAGCTTGTGATTTACATTCCCCTAGAGTTTTTTTTAGGTGTTGTGACATAATATGCGTCACAACGGACGGAGGAGCGACGATGTCCTCCCACGAAGAACATCCAGACGCGCACTTATACGAGTCCGACCGACGGCTCTTTCGCGACCGGATTAGAGAAAATACTACCACGAACAACAACAGTAACGACGACCTGTTGACGACCCATCGGAGAGAGACAGAGCAGTTATTATACGCCTCCGATGCGAGTTTATTTTCCCAAGGCGCAGATTTGTGGCTCTCGGACCGGCTGTTGTACCGAACGAAACGAGATTTTGATGATGAAAGTTTACGGAGAGATGTGGAGAGATTGAGAACAGAGAGTGGTTTCGTGTTTCATACTGCGAGTACGACGAGGAGCGAGAGCAGACGAGGATGTAATAGTAGTAGTAACAGCGGGGAAGGCGACGGTGAAGAAGTTGCTCACTTTTCTGAGTGCGCAATCTGTTTGGCGGAGTTCGCGAACGGCGAACGGTGCATAAAATTAAAGTGCAAACACGTGTATCACGAAACGTGCATAGTAAAAACGTTAGAGAGGGAGAAACGGGAGTGTCCTTTGTGTAGGAGCAAGGATTTGTGAGTGAGTGTAGCTATCGATTGTATCATCATAAGAGTTGTAACGCCGCGCGGCAAAGCTTAATAAAAAAATGCTATGTATCTATTCTATCTATTATTCTCAGCTTTAACTAACTCGTCATGGAGAATATTAATCAAACCAATCGGATTGTCGCTATGAACCCAATGACCAGCTCTTTCCAATACGTGATAGCTTACTTTCTCCTCCTGTTTCAGCATCTCGATGCGCTTCATCGCGTCTGGCTTCCAATCGGATGACTTTTCAGCCTTTACGATGTGGACGTGCACGTCATCGTGATCTTTCTCTTCCAGCGCGTGCCACAAAGCAGTTTGTTGAAAGCTTTCGTATAAGTCTCTCAATATTTTTCTGTCAAATTGCCACGTCAGGCTCGTTTTAGTCGTATCGTCGTTACCTTCTACATGCGCGCCGCCGGGATTGGCGAGAACGAGATTGGAACCTAGCCAATCGATAATACCGCTGGATATTTGTAACGGCGCTAACTGGGCTTTTAGATACTCCCTATTTGGAACAACTTCTGGTAACTTCTCCGTCGCTTTTAAAATAAATTCAGCCCCGAACATATCCTTCTCCACTTCATACGGTACCGAATCTAGCGTAAATACCAACCGTCGTTTTTTTGCGCTCGACGACGACAACGACGTCAACGATTGACTATATTCTAACGCTATCTTCCCTCCTAGCGAATGCCCAATGACAACATCCGGAACTATTTCGTGATGTTTACTGTATCTTTCGATATCCTTCGCAGCATTTATAATCGTGTGTGGCGCGTAATCGTGAAATCTCGGCGAATTTCCGTGGCCTCTTATGTCAATCAAGTGAAAGCGAAACGCAGTTTTGGGGAGTGATTCTCTCAACTTTTCCGAGAGCATAGTGATCGGTCCCCGCCAGTTCTTTCCTTGGCCCATTAACCCGTGCAGAACGTACACGTTCCTCTTGTCCTCTTCGTCGTCATTTATCGCGTGCGTGGTTGGGATTATCTGAGAAGCGAGTACTTTTTCCGCGACTTTGTTGGTGGTGGTGTTGACAGTTGAGTACGAAGTCGACGCTCCCGAGTCAAAAGCGACTCTGCTTTTAACGGCAGCGGTTGTTTTTTCATGAACACTGTCTCCAAAAACGCACGGAGGAGAAAGCGCGGCAAAGATTCTCTTCTTCACTCCATGCTGCCGCCGGACGAGCATGAGTGTCGTGAGTATTGTGCGTGTTTTTGCGTTTGTGGAGATTCGTTTTGTTTTGTTCGAGGTGTTGAAAAAACTTGTACAATAAAAAAGTTCTACGACCAGTGTATGAGTACATGTAGCTGTCTTTTGTGTGTGTCTTTGACTTCTCTTCTTCTTTCTCTTCTTCTTTCTTTGCAACTCATCTCCCAACGAGTCGCTCGAGCACGTGAACCGCCCCGTCCCTGAGTTTCTGCAACGGACTCTGCTGTCGTTCTTTTTCTTCGCCGCTGAAATCCCAACCTTCTTCGTCGAGCGCTTTTTGCACCGCTGCTGGATCATCTATACTCTTCGCCATCTGCAATCGAGTGACTCCCTTGATTGACGCGTTTGGTGCTTTCTTCCTGAACAACGCGACCAAAACTTTGCGAGGGAGAAGTAGTGCATTTGCGTTTGCACCCGCACGAACCATGATTCTTTTGTGTTTGTATCGCACATCTTCAAAGTTCAATCCGGTGAAAAGCCCGTTGTGGAGAGCTTCGTCGAGCACGATCTTCTTCCATCTCCCGTAGCCATGCTTTTCGACACCATCTAAAAGTCTCTCATCATGTTCCTCTGCGTTCCACGCCAAAAATTTCTCGTCTCTCTTTCTTTTTCGAGCTTCTTCTTCCTCTTCCTCCTCTTCCTTTTCCTCTTCCGATTCTTCTTGTTCTTCTTCTTGTTCATCTTCTACTTCTACTTCTTCTCCTTCTTCTTCTTCTTCTTCTTCTTCTTCTTCTTCTTCTTCTTCTTCGTCCTCCTCCTCCTCCTCCTCTTCTTCTTCTTCCTCTGAAGGAGGAAATTCGTACGGATCGTCGTTCTGCAATTCTGTGTCGAACTGGATGTCCCGCGCGTTCACAGTTTTGCCGCCCTTTCTCCCGTCTATTTTGATTTTTATCTTTTTGAATATCTCCGGCTGTCTTTCAGCGTTGTTGTTCTTCGCTGTCGCGCCGAGTGGTCGTTTCTTATTGTCCTTCGCAAAAATGTTCACATTTTTTGGAGTGACGATTCTGTTTGGCGTTGCCGACGCGCCGAGTGGTCGTTTCTTATTGTCCTTCGCAAAAATGTTCACATTTTTTGGAGTGACGATTCTGTTTGGCGTTTGTTCGAACTCGTCCTCGCTATCATCGTCGACTTCTGGATCTTTACCACCTCTCATGCTCTCGAGGTTGTGTTCCAAGTCTTTGTCCGCTCGTATCAATATTTTATCCTCGTCCAAATTTGGGGAATACTTCTCGTGCGAAATATCCATGCTCGCCTCGTGTAAAAACGTGGGTCCCAACGCTACTTTCGCTCGTTTATAGTACGCTTTCAGCTCCACCAAAAGCTCGTTCACGCTATCTTCAAAGTGCGTTCCTGTTATTCTGCTGTTCTTGCCGCTCCTCTTCAGTTCATCCGTTGAGTTCAAGTTATCTTGAAGTTGCTTTCCTGGACTCAGCGGCCCGTCCCCGCCGAACGTGTCCAAGTCAAACTTTTCCGTCGTCTTCTTGTCCGTATTGATGCGCTCAATCTCCAGTAATCTTTGCCCAATCTCATCTAGCCTCTCTAACTCGTCTCTGACCCCGTCCATTTTCCCTTGCGGCGTCTCCTTTAACTCCGCGTACACTTGAGACTCCCACACGCGTTTGAACTCGTTCAGTTGTCTCTCGATTACCAACTGCACCATGTGCGAAACAAACGCCAACGCCATGATTTTCTTGTGCGGACGCATGCGCTCGTCCAATTTCTCTTCTCCTTTCAAATCCATCGTGTATAAAATCTTCAACAAAATCGGATACAACTTCAACGACCGTTCCTGCCAATCCCAATTGGCTCCGTCCTCCCCACAAACGTATTTCATTTCCTCCAAAAGTATTCGGATTGATAAAACTCTCGGCATACCCAACGAAGAATCGTCCTCGTCTAATTGCTGCGTCGCAATCTTGCAATACTCAACTTTCAACGACCACGGAATGTGCTCGCTGTCCGTGATAAACTCGAGCATCCAGAGAATTTTCAACCGCGTTCGACTGACAGATTCGTTCAGTTGTTCTTTTCTCGAGAGGGGTTTCTTTTTTTTACCAATTTGAGGAGGAGGAGATGGACTCACTGCTCGCTCTGGTGGATGGACGACTGCAGGAGGAGGGTCAACCACCACCCGCGAGCTTCGCGGCAGGGCTTTACTCGAGGGTCCTCGCTTCGCGGTTTGCTTCACGCGCATCTTCTTCTTCTTCTCTGCTTAAATTATTAGTATGAATTTTGTGTGTGTGATGTGAATGAGAAGAAGAGACTTGTTGAACGATTTTTTTTGACTGAACAGCTGAACCAGAAACCTAAATTTCGCCTCTTCTAAATTTTTCTTTTTCTCTCTCTCTCGTCACCAGTGTCAGTCTCTCTCTGCTTCAATGAAACAAGTACACCACAACTCATAAACCCACCATCCACACAAATATGTGCTTTTCATCACGATGAGTTTAATACGTAATACATAAAATGAGCCTTCGAAGCAGAGGAGCAACTGTTAAACGCGCGTTCGTGTTTCTCGTTTCGACCGTCGCGACGTATTCTATTTTGCACTATTTAGGGGGACTGGAGGAAGAAGGTGATTTTACGTCGCACGCGTCATCATCATTCGACGACGTCGTCGACGCGCATCCTCACAACATTCGAGACGAGTTACATGCTGATAGTAATGTGTTCATGTCCTCCGCGTCACCTTCTCCTTCTCCTCCACCGCCTGTGCCACCGTCAACAACAACAACAACAACAAAAGAAGAAGAAAAGAAATGGTCCCATCCCACATCCATGAGGCGAAAACCAACCGCGGAGGAAATAGAACAAGGTAAGGGCAAATTTCACGTCATGCTGACTGCAAACGAGCAATCCTACGTCGCTTGGCAATCTAGAATTATGTACCAGAGATACTTGAAACTTTTGAGCAGCGAAGACTCGGGCGCGTTTGGCGGGTTTACGAGAGTGTTGCACAGCGAACGCGCAGATATATTGATGGATGAAATTCCAAGCGTGGTAGTTGATCCGTTACCGAAAGGTGTCGATGAAGGGTATGTGGTTTTAAATCGGCCATACGCAATCAAGCAGTGGTTGGAGAAGTATAATTTCGCGGAAGAGTATGTCTTCATGACCGAACCGGACCATTTATATTTAAGACCGATTCCGTTGTTGGCGCAACCAAAACTCGCCGCTGCTTTTCCATTCTTTTACATCAATCCGAAAGATCCGAAATTCACTCCTATTGTACAAAAATTTAACAAAGTAAACGCGGATTTGAAAGATTTTGCGCCGATTGGGAATTCGCCGGTGATGATTCACAAGGATGAACTGAAGAAAGTCTGTACGGTTTGGGACACTTTAGCGATTAAAATGAAACAGGACCCGGAAACTAACTCGGCGTTCGGATGGGTCTTAGAAATGTGGGCGTATAGCATCGCCTCCGCGCAAGTTGGCGTGAAGTACGATTTAGTTCCGGAATTCATGTTGCAACCGCCATGGGATAAAACCGAAGAAGTTCCGGGCGGGAAGAAAGGATACATTCTTCACTATACGTACGGCCAAGATTTCAACGAAAAAGGAAAGTTTACCCCAGGTAAAGTTGGAAAATGGCATTGGGATAAGAGAGATTTCACGTGGAAGAAACCTCCGAAAGAAGGCTTTGAGATGCCGCCGGAAGGGACTCACCCTTTGACCATCAAGCTGATGGAAATGATAAACGACGGCATACGATCCATCCCGAATTGGTGATTTTAGAGTATTAGTCATGTAGAAAGAGAGAGAGCTGCCTAGTTCACATAGATTCTTACTGCACGTGCTCTTTGCGCATTCGCCTCTTCCACTTATCTCTTTTCACCAGTCTTTCAACAGTTTTTTCAGTCTTTCGTCAGCGTCATATTTTTATCACATCTTTCTTTCTTGGAACACACGCTGCTGCAAAGAGAGAGAGTGAGTGAGAGCGAAATCTAGAAGAAGAAGAAGAAGAAGAAGAAGCAACATCTTCTGTAATGTGAACGCAGAGGCAATTGCAAGAGGAATACCAAACAAACAGTAATAGGAAGAAAAAGAGAGAGAGACAAGAAGAAAGTCGTTACGAGATAAAGAAGAGATGGAGGAAGATTTATTTCTAAAGCGAGAAGTTTTAGAAAAGTTACGGCGAAGAAACGAAGAAGAAGTCCTTCCGTTCGTAGAGATCTTCGCGTCTCACAGGAAAGCGCGCAAACGATGCGAAAAGTTACAGCACGAGGTTCAACAGTTGAGAAATAAAACCGCAGAGTTGAGCGGGAAAAATGTTGGACTGATGAGTGCTTTAACGAGAGCGCAAGAAGAAAACGCGAAAGCGAAAACGAGCAAAGAAAATTCCGCGAAAGTCTCGAGATTGCAGGAAGAATTGACCGAGGCGCACAAGAAAAATGTGGAAGTTATGGAAATGGCATCGACTGCGAATCGCGAAAAAGAGAAAGCAAAGACTGAGTTGGAAACAACGTCGAACGAGTTAAAAAACGCGAAAGCGGCTTTGAAAAATTTACGCGATTCGTGCGCAAACTTGGAGAATGAATTGAAAACGGCGCAGAAAGCGGCGGAGATCGCCGGAGCAGAAGTGGAAGCGAGGCAGGAAGATAAACTGACGGCAATCGCGCGCGTAGAAGAATTGAAAAAGGAAAATCAACAACTCGTAGAAAGAGTGATGGAGATGAAAATGAAAGAAGCGGAGAAGATGAACGAAATCAATGAGTTATACGAAGACTTGCAGAGACAAAAGAAGGCAAGCGAATTGAAATCGATTGCGAACGAAATGAACGCGACGGCATCCGCAAGTATGCGTGGTCTATCGTTGGATTCGTCCTCGTCTCCTGGTTTTGGAGATTCGTTCGCGGGAAGTATTCCGAGTCGAGAACAGTTTCACTGTCAGGCGAATCAAGGCGCGACTCATCGAGTGTCTTTCTTCAGATCGGGTGAAATATTAGGAACGTGTGGAGACGACAAGCGCGTCGCATTGGTGAATGCAAATTCAGGGCAAGTTTCTTCGTATTTAGAGGGTGCTTTAGGAAGTCTTTTGGATCTCTCATTCTCCCCGGATGATAACTTCTGTTTGGGATGCGGCACTGATAAAGCTATTCAGCTCTGGGAACTATCGAGTGGACGCGTGCGACATCGAATGACTGGACACGCGGATAAAGTCGTCGGTGTGGAATTTTGTCGCATGGATAAGCAAAGAGCGATTTCGTGCTCGCACGATCGAACCATTCGAGAGTGGGATTTACACAAAGGCATATGTTTGACTTCTACGCCGTGCGCTTCAAACGTGAACACGGTCGTGTATGGGGACACTTCCCAATTCGTCTTGAGTGGTCATTTAGACGGTGGTGTGAGGATTTGGGATCTGCGATCGCGCGGTGGACTACCTACAAATGAGAAGAAAGCTGTTCACGAGCAGCAAGTAACCTCGATACAGCTGTTACCAAACGAACGCGAAATTTTGACATGCGGGCGCGACAACGTGATTCGAATATTAGATTGCAGAACCCTAGAGGTTTCCGCGGAATTCTCTGCTTCGAATTTCCGCGTTGGAACGAATTGGACGAACCCGTCTTTTTCGCCGAATCAATCGCATATCGCTTGCGGCGGCGCAGATGGAGCCGTTTTTATCTGGTCAGCGACCGATCGCGTGCTGAGAACGACGTTGCGGAAGCACAACGCTGTCGTCGCGACGACCGCATGGAGCCCATCTGGATTAGCGAGTTGCGATAAAAACGGGAAATGTATCTTATGGAGTTGATCGCTTATATTAGAATCTAGTACAGTTAGCATATTATATAAGATTACGAACACTATTGTTTTTTTTCAAAGAGAGTGTCAAATTAAAGAGCGCTAATGGTTGAAATATCCTCACTGGTCGACAGCAACGTCTTCATGGATTGAAGGTTTTCCGACCAATTCGACAGGCTATTTTTCAACTCGCTCCATTGGTCCCTCCCAAACACTCTTTGCGTGGCTCGAGTGATTATGCATACCTCTCTGACTTGATCCAATTTTGCGTCTACTAAACCGGAAGAGATGCCGCGAACAACCCACTCTTCGCATTCTTTCGAGTCAATCTTCAACTTGTCGCAAATTTCTTTGTACGAGACTTCACCCCCACCGTTTCGAATGCCACCTAACGACATTAATCGCATTTTCGTCAGCGTTTCCTCCTCGTTCAGACCGAGATCTTTCAAAACTGCCCCGTTGCTCTTCGCAAACGCCAAGTAATCCGAAACGTCTTTCGTTAAAAATATTTCCAACAACTCAAACACCTTCCCGTTGGACGATTTCAACGCTTGAATGGCTTTATAATCCAGCAAATCGCAGCTAAAGCTTGTTTTCAAGCGGATGAAACTCGCGATGGCATCTTTGGCCGCCGCTGAAGATTCTCCGAGAGCGCTTTCGCTGTTTTCAAACGTTGCCAAATATTTCAACATAAACTCCATCGCCTTCTCCTCTTTACCACCCATACCGCTCAATAAATTCGCAATCTCTAAATACACGTTTCTCTCCGACCCGTTGTTATTATTCATCTGTTTCCACTCCTCCATGGACTCCTCCACGTGTCCGACTAAAGTTCCCACCACGTGTTCCATGTTTGCTTTTTTCACGTATTCGATTATTCGACAAAACAACTTAAACTTCGTCTCTAAATCGCTCGCCAGGTTGTATAACTGCATCAAAATTCTCGATCTCGACTCCACTTTCGACGTCGCGCTCTCCATCGCCTTCTCTGCGATCATATCGAACGCTTTCTTTCTCTCCGTTTCCACTTCAAATCTTTCCGCGACCGTGGCGGCGATGATAAACACCGTCTCCACGTCCTGCGCTTTCGCATCGCTGAACAACTTATCGTTGTTCTCCAACAACTTTCCAATTAACTGGCAATCCATCGGTAACTTCGAGCACTCCTCCGCGTGTTTCTCCGCCTCCTTTGCCGTTTTCTTAGTCGTAGTACTCTCGTCGTCTTCTTTCCAGTCTTTTTGGTAATCGCCCCCGTGGGCAATCGTGTACACGAATCTCGCCGCGTTCGCGATCGGTTCTTTGTCGTCTTGGCCGACCACCACGCACGTTTGTTTGTGTGTTGACATCGTGAGAGATGGAGAAAAGTCTCTGTTGTTCGCGTTTACGCGTGTGTGTGTTCTATTTCTTCTTTTCTTTCTGAAGAAGAAGAATGTAGTCACGTTTCCACAGCCCTAGAGTCTCATCTCTCCTTTTTCTCGCCTTTTTTTGCTTTGCCCCTTCTTTGGGTCGACGACGAGCTCGTCGTCGTACAACTTTCAAAAAAAAAATCTTCTCATTCTCATCAACACTCTCTTCTTGCAAAGAATTTCCTTATCTCATCAGTACTCTCTCGTCGTCGTCGTAAAAAGAAGAAGAAGAAGAAGGAGAAGAATGGCATCATCGTTCTCGAGAAGAGATTTGGTGTCGAGATTGTTGGTGAATGAATCATCGAATGCTACGACGAATTCTTCTTTGTCGTTGTTTTCAACGAACCCATCACTTCAAGAAAATCAGCAATACGGAGGAGGAGCTTCGGCGATATCGACGACGACCACTGGGGTTGAAGATTTGGAACGAGACATCTGGCCGCAAATTGTGGACGGGAACGCGTTCGAGAATCAACTGATTGTTTTGAACTTCCTCCCTACTGGGTGCGAAGGTATCGACGACGTTTTAGCGGGAGGGACCTCGGAAACTGGTGAAAGCTTAGGAGGTGGTTTACGACAAGGCCAAGTGACGGAAATTACCGGCGAGTGTGGGAGCGGGAAGACGCAGCTGTGCTTGTCCGCGGCAGCGAGTGCGGCAACGTTAGGGCACAGAGTCGTGTTTGTGGATACGAATGGGGTTTTCTCGGCGGAAAGGATCAAAGCGTTTCATCGGAATTTTTGGTCCGACGAGGCGACGGAGGAGGAGATTACCGCGCACTTGGATAAAACGTTAGAGTTGATTGCAGTGCACGACGTTCACGACGTGTTTACGCTTTTACATTTGCTGGATCAGTTGCAACAAGATGCAAGCGAGGAAGACGATAATCCGGAGAAGTCAGATACGATGGGTTTGTTGGTGATTGACTCGTTGTCGCTTTTGTTGGCACCTCTATTAACGAGAGCGCACCATCAAGGCCACACGGTGATGACGATGGTGGCAGTGATGTTGAAAGCGATCGCATCGGAGAGGAAAGCGGCGGTTTTATACACGAACCATACCGTGGCGGACAGTTCCTCGACTGGGGATTTCAATAGCGTTGGAAATTATGGCGCGCATAAATATCACCAACAACAAAATACGACGAGAGAAACGACGACGAGTAGTTTGAAACCAGCTCTCGGCGTGCGATGGACGTCTGTCCCTCACCGTCGCTTGCAGCTCTCCAAAGTCAACGTACATCAAGAAGGTGAATTCGCTACCGTGGGAGGAGAATTTACAAACCCTCCGGAATGTACAAAAATAAAAGCCGAGGTTGTTTACGGAGGCGTGCAAAACAAAAACGGCGGTTGTTATTTTCAAATCCAACAAAACTCTCTGCAAACCTTGCCTCAAAGCTTTGTTTAGGCAGAAAAGCAGCGCTGTATAAAAGAAGACGTATCATATTATTAGCCCGCGTGCACGCGTAGATTTAGCACAGCAGCGCGAGTAGTTTCTCGATTGAGGATTTGTACTAATATAAAATAAAGAAAGAGCAAAGCACATTGCACGTGCGTCGTAACCCTCAAAAAAAAAGTGTGCGTCTGCGCGCTCGAATTTTAACTCCCATTTTGAAGATGATGTTGATGTCAGCAACCACACCATCAACTTCAACGATTACGACGAGTAGTCGTCGTACGTTCTTCCCTGAATCCTCCGCCACGGTCGCGCGTTTGCGACGACACGCACTGCGACGACCAGGGACTACGACGACGACGACGACTGAATGCGCAGCTCGAAAAGAAGATAAAAATGGTTGTTTGGAAAGAAGAAGAAGAAGAAGAAAAAGCGTCGCACTTCACTCCTGGAAAGGAGGAGGAGGAGGAAAACGCGGTGGAGATAACGCGTTGGAACCGCCGAACGCTATTCTGGAAAACTTTGCATCGGACACGAACAACGAAGAAGACGTCATCAACGCTCCAGCGACTTTAATTAACCCACTGCTGAAGAAACAGAAAGACGCGACGAACGAGGAGGAAGAGAGCGAAAGAGTCAAAGCAAAGCCAATCGTCAATCCGGAAGATTTTACGTTGCAACCGGGAGAAGTGTCGAAGTTTAAAGCTCCGACGACGACGGTTGAAGATTTACAGCTCTCCGGGTGGTATTTGAAGGCCATCTTGACTGCGGATGTGTACGACGTGGTGGTCGAGACGCCGCTGGAACTCGCCGCTCGATTATCAGAGAGAGTGACGGCGAGCGTACCAATGACACCAGGAGGAGACGCGCAAAAACAGAAGCGAATATTCTTAAAAAGAGAGGATTTACAGCAAGTCTTTTCGTTTAAGATTCGTGGAGCGTATAACAAGATTAAGAATTTGAAGAAGGAGGAGTTGGAGAGAGGAATTATAACCGCGAGCGCCGGGAACCACGCGCAAGGCGTCGCTTTGAGCGCAAAGACGTTGGGTATTAAAGCTGTGGTGGCTATGCCAGTAACTACTCCGAAAATTAAAGTAGAAGCCGTTCGAAGACTCGGTGGTGATGTTGTTCTCATTGGCGAGAACTTTGACGAAACCGCAGCGTACGCGAAGAAACGATCCGTAGACGACGAGATGACATTCATTCCACCGTTCGATGAACCGTACGTCATTGCTGGCCAAGGTACTTGTGGGGTCGAAATTTTGCGACAATTACCGACGGCCAAAGCGGTATTTATTCCCATCGGAGGTGGAGGTTTGATTGCGGGCGTGGCGACGTATTTGAAGACGATTGCGCCAAAGATAAAAATTATTGGCGTCGAGCCGAGCGGCGCAAACGCCATGGCACAGAGTCTCGACAGAGGCGAGCTCGTGAAACTATCCAAGGTTGATGGTTTTGCAGATGGGGTTGCTGTCAAAGAGGTTGGCGTGAATTGCTTTCAGCTTTGTCAACAATGCGTCGACGGGGTGATGATGGTTCGTACCGATCAAACTTGCGCGGCGTTGAAGGACGTATTCGAAGATACGCGTTCGATTTTAGAGCCGTCTGGGGCGCTTGCCGTCGCCGGTGCGAAAGAGTGGTTGAATGCGAATCCAGATTTTGAAGGCGACGTTGTTTGTATTACGTCCGGGGCAAACATGAACTTTGACAGATTGAGAGTCATCTCGGAAATTGCCGACGGTGGTTCCGGTACGGAAGCGACTTTGATTTCCGCGATTCCCGAAGAAAATGGCTCATTTAAAAGGTTCGTCACCTTAGTCGGCGAGGATACAAACTTCACGGAGTTTAAATATAGAGTTCAGAATCTTAGTGGCGATGGTAAGAAGAGTTTAGCGAAAGTTTTATATTCGGTGAATGTAGAGAGCGAGACGCAACTCCAAGCATGCATAGCGCGCTTGAGGTCGAACGGTATTCCTACGGAGGATTTCACTAAGGATGAAACGACGCAAACGCACTTGAGAAATATAACTGGTGGTGCTTCGAGTATTCCGAACGAGCGATTATATAACATCGCTATTCCAGAGAGAGCGGGAGCGTTGGCAAACTTTTTAGATTTCATATCGCCGAGATGGAACGTGTCGATGACCCATTATCGTGCAGGAGGACAACGAGAAGCGTCCGTCCTCGTGGGAATTCAAGTTCCGGACAGTGAATTAGCGGAGATTGAAGCAGCTTTAGATGGGTGCGGTTACGAATACTCGTGCTTGCAAAGCAACGCGGCTTACAACATGCTCTTTGAAGATAATTGAATATGTAATCAAACTATTTTATGTAGAATCAGTAGAAAAATATTGTCGGCGGTCAGACTATAATTTTAAAATCAATTCTAGGAATCGTCACGTGGTAACATCCAATATCCACATCGAACTTCGGTTTTCGCTTACTCTCTATGACTCCTTCCGCATCGGGCGCTCTTTTCTTCACGTCCCATCGGACCGCCGCGGAGACTCTTTCGTGCGGCTTCACCTCGTACTTCCTCAAACTCTTTGTCGCTTGGTCCCAATGCCTCGACGCTATTCTATAATTGAACGAAAACTTCGAATCCTCCGGGTCCTCTGGTCTATGTTTATACCCCGCCACACCTTGTAAGGTTAAATACTCTCCGAGATTGAATCGTTTCGAAAAGACGTCGACTTCGCCTTCCTCGACGGAGACTTCAATTTTCTTCACCGGGTTCGTGTACCATTTATTATCTATGCCGTCCTCACCGAACGAAGAGTGGGAGACAAAAAGTTTCGGTTCAATTTCCAGTCGATAGTCTACTTGTGCGTTTCTAATGTCCATTTTTACCGCTAAGTTTGCCTTCGGAGTGCTGTTTTGGGATGGAAAGAAAAAATTTTACTCGTGAGTCAAGAACTTGTTGCTTTTGTTTGTTGTTGTTGTTAAAAGCGCTCTTTCGTGTGGAACACTAAGGAAACGAACACGGAGAGAGAAGAAAGAGAAAGAGAAAGAGAAAGAGAAGAAAAGGAACGCGCGCTCTCTCGCGCTTTACTCACAGCGTCTTAACTTTCAACCGATAATCCGGTCTGCACGAAATCGTGTACGCGTCTTGCGCGTTGTTGATGAGCTTCTCGAATCCTCTTTGCAAACGCTCGACGATGTGAACGTCCTCAAAAGAAGAAGAAGAAGGAGAAGAGGAGGAGTTTGATAAACTGTCCATCTCGTCGCTGTCGTATCTGTACGAGTCTCGAGTGTCTCTCAACGACAAAGACGAGGAGAAGTCGTCTTTATCGTCCCCGTAGTTCATTTAAAAGTGTTGTGTGTGTGTGTGTGTGTGTGTATTATAAAGAAGAAAGCGTTAGAAAAGCGAATATACGAGAGAAAAAGCTTCAGAAATCTTCAAATTGTGACGCGCTTGTTCTTAGTAGTATTACAGTAGTATTAATGCTCGATATGATGATGAAACTGAGACCGTGGGGCTGCTGCCGTTGCGCGTCGTCGAGGTCAACGATTGAGAGCAGCCACCAAGTCGTTCTTCGACGCGTCGTTTACGTCGCTTCTTCTTCTACTTTTACTTCTTCTTCGGCCGCCACGAACAACAACTGGATGAGAGATTCGAGAACGAAGACGATTGAGACGACGATGATGATGCGTAAGTCGAGGACAAGGAATGGAGGAAGAGTTAAAATGTTCTCGACTTCTGGGTCTTCTTTGTCCTCGCTGAGTGCGAGCAGTGCGGATGAGAAGAACGACAAGTATTACAAGCAGATGATTCTGTTACAAAAACAACCACAGCAGTCGAGAAGAAATACCAAGTTGGACGTTCGAGCGTTCGCTTCGGGATCAAAAGGAGGTGACGGCGACAAAAAGAAAAACAAAGCGACGAAGAAAAAGAAGGTCACGAAAGAACAACGAGAAGAAGAAGGAGAAGAAGACGGCGACATCGCCTGGGAAGAAGAAGGCGACGAGGAAGAAGAAGTAGAAGCGGAAGATATCAACGTCGTTTACGCGGACTACGATGAGAAAGACGTGCAAGGAGGAAACATCGATACTGCGAGTACACCTTGGGGTGAGCTCGCATTAGAATGCGTGAAAGTGGTATTAAGTGAGGAGAAGAATATCGAGGAATTTGAAGGCAACCTTCAACTGTTTGCGTTTAAAGCGATACCGAGCACGAAGCGCATCATGATTTCTGTGGATGATTTGGACGACCAATATGGTTCACCGAATTTGGACGATTTGATTGCCGTGTCGAGGAAGCTGAACGAGCTCGCAGAGTCGAAAGGATTTCCAGACGACGTTGCTATTGAAGTTGCGTCTCCGGGAGCGGAGCGAAAGTTGACGATACCGGAAGATCTATTGAGGTTTCGCGAGTTGAAAATGAAAGTGATTTATAACGACGATGAAAACGACAACCCGGAAAACGAGACGATGATATTAAACGTAGAAGATTTTGAAGAGGAAAGTGGGCTAGTTGTGTTTAGATTGGCGGACGTGCAAGAGAATAGACCTCCTAAGAAAGGCATGCCAATGTCAAAAAAGAAGAAGGAGTGGAGGAAAAAGGTCAAGTACGTTGACATTGCTTCTGCGAACTTGTACATAGACACGGCGATTTGATGAGAGATTTGAAGCGTGCGCGTTTACTTTTATATATAGCCTGTAATTGCTGTTGTATTCTTAATTTACATAAGTTATTAGTCATGCTCTATGATCTCTCTCCTTCTTATTCAAACACACATACACACACAGCGGCAACACGTCTAAGCAATAATTAAAAATAGGTACAGTGTGGTACAAACATTTTACTACTATTTCTTCCAATTTTCGGAGCCCGTTCCGCCTAACTGTTTGGAGACAAACTCAAACAAACTCCACGTAATCGCCTGTTGAAATGTCCTTCTGGCGATTCTCGGTACCGCTCCAACGTACAATCCTCTCAACCCTTTTTCTGCTAAAATCGAACTAAAAGTCACCATCGGTTTAATATTCCTATCTAAATTTCTCTGAATTTGTAGTCTCGTTCGCAACACGTCCGGCGGTTGCGTGAGAAACGTGGCGAACCCGCCAGCGAACGCCCCGCACAACAGCGTGTCGTACGACGACACTTCCCTCCCCTGCTTCTCCGCCAACGACGCCGTGAATTCTCTCGCTTTCATAAATACTAACAAGTTCAATCCGGAAAACGGCGCGTCTCTTAAAATTGTCGGGACAATCCCGCTAAACAAACCTTTCGCGCCTTCCTTCTTGGTGATATCCACCAACATTCTACCTACCGACCTTTTATATTCCGGTCCACCGCCGTATTCTAATCTCGTTTTTACCACCGATATCGGGTTTAACAAAGTTGCAATCGACGCTCTCGATACCGCCCCAACCATAAACGTTTGCACGCTATTCTCAAATTCCGATTGTTTCTTCTCGCCGTTCGCGTATTTCTTCTTTTGCCACTGCTTCACCTCTTTTTGCATCTTGTCCAAAACGAAGAAATATAAGCCAGCCCCGGCGGTCGTTCGTATGCACGACGCGGACACTCCGCTCCACAGAGCTAAAACCCCTTGCGTTCTCACCACTCTGGAAGCGGTGGAGAATATGTTATTCGCACCACCTTGTCCTCCTGGTACTTGCATGCGCGTTTTTATAACTTCAAACGGTTGCAACGTGGCCGAGGCGACGAGACCGGCCGAGGCGCCTCCAACGAAAGAAGATGGGTTCCAACCACCACCACTGCTACTTTTATTGTTTGTCTCCGATGGGGAGTCCTTTTTTGTACTCTTACTCTTATTAGTAGTAGTAGTACTGGCCCCCCCGTCGTTCATTCTCTTCACCATTGTTAGTTATTCTGATGATGATCCAAACATCATCTGAAGATGATGGATGAATGCTGTTTTTCAACTCAATCGTCCCAAAATTTTCAAAACTCCACAAAACAGGTGCTTGGTGTCAATTTTTAGCAACAACAACAACAACAACAACAACAAGTATGCCACCGATCGCTTGGAAAGAAGCGCAACAGCTGTGGAACAACAACGAGAATAATAAAGAGAACGGAAGAGGAGAATTCTTAATCGCGATGCACAAGTACGATCGAGCGATTAAAACGTTAGACGCGAAGCAAATGCAGTTACATAAAGAAGGGAAAAACAAGACGAAAATCAAACTGGAGGAAAAGCATAGATTGATTTACGACACGATCGCAAAGGAGTGCAGGAAAAGAGGACACATGAACCTCTCGGACGTGAAGGCTGTGTACGCTTTTAAAATGACGAGAGGGAAATATCGACCGATGTTGATGAAATACCCGGAAGAATGGAACGCGAAAGCGATTGAACGGCAGACTAAAAAAGCGTTCGAGATGTGTGCTCAAATGAACGATAGTTCAGATTTTCGAAACGGGAAGAAAATATTGAACGTGCTTTCGTGCTTTTTGAAACAGCCCGGGATGAAAGGGATTGGCACAGCGACGGCTAGTTTGATTTTGTCCGTATACGACGTCAGGTTTCCTTTTTTATCGGACGAGGCCTTAGCTGTGGTGATTCCATCTTACGGAAAAGATCCGTACACACCGCTCAACTACGCAAACTTTGTCTCGCAAATCCAAAAGAAACGCGCGAAATTATTAGGGGAGAAGAACATTCACGATAAAGACGCGATATCGCACAGCGATATCGAAAAAGCGTTGTGGACGGTAGCGAGCGTCAATCTGGAAAAATAGTAGAACAGCATCTAGAAATAGAACGGCGCCGAGCGGCATTTGCTTTCATAAAATACATAGTAGTCACATTTTGAAAAACGTACGTCCTGCTTTCATTTTTACTAATCACGACTTTCCGAAGACCGTTTCTTTTCTTCGTGAATCTCAAGAGCGTTCATCAGCGTATCGACTAATAACTTTTGCGAAAGTGGTTTCATCACATACTTGTCCATGCCAGCTTCTTTACAGATATCCTGAGTCATAGAGATGATACCCGAAGACACAGCGACGATTGGAATGTTTGCAAAGTACCCGTCGGCGTTTTCAAGTTTTCGAATCTCTCTCGTAGCTTCTAAACCATCCATGACGGGCATTTGACAATCCATCAATATCAAGTCGAACAATTCTTCCTTCTTCTCTAGCTTTTTACAGACATCGACCGCTTCTCGACCGTTTGATGCTATCGTCAATTCAACTTTACCAATCTTGCGCATGAGCGCTTTGACAATCATCTGTGTCGGCAAAGAATCCTCGGCGTATAATATCCGCAAAGTCTTCTCGATATTCAACACCGGTTTAGAGTGCTTGGCATCATCGAGCTTGGATTCGGCGATTTGTTGAATGACTTCTTCGGTTTGTCGATTTCTATATTCCGCGACTTCAACGACAGAAGCTCTGGAAGATTCATCAAATTCGAGCGCTTCGAGCATATCGGTCACCGTAACAGCTAGGCATTCCACTTCACCTTTAGCTCGAACGGTTGCGTTTCTATATCCGACGCCTGGAGTTTTCTTATCTTTCCGCTTTTCAATCGCCGTTAGGAAGGCTAATTCACCGACGATTTCGCCAGCGTATCTAATACACAGAACGTCCTCGTTGTCGTTATTTTTGCTACTGCTATCATCTACCACCGCCGCCGCTTCTAACAACGCATCCATCAGCACCTCGCACTCGCCTTTATTTATGAAATACATTCTATCTCCTACTTCCCCTTTACGCATCAAAACTTCCCCATCCTTGAACCTTTCTATTCTAAACGCTGGTTGTAAAATAGCTGCCAAAGGATTCGTACGCACGGCGTTGTCGATATCTTCTTCGGTAACTTCCAACTTCATCGAAGGTGATTTCGTTCTCGGTCGTCCCAAAGGCTTTTTCCCTTCCTCGGTCACCCACGGATGTTCCATCATCCCAGCAATCGATATGCGTTCTTTCGGATCGACGACTAACATTTTTCGCAACATATCTTTCAACAAATTTGATAATTTCGGGGGCGGCGGTGAAGGTACGGTTGTTGCGTTGACAATGGCATCTGCGTCTTCGTCTGGGAATTTCAACTCTGTGCTCTTCGCCATCGCAACAATTTGGAAAACCGTCTTTCCTGTAAACGGCAACCGCGCGGTTGCCATGTTATACAAACAGACGCCCAACGACCAAACATCGCTCGGCATCGGATCGTACCCGGTTTCGTCCAACATCTCTGGAGCTAAAAACGCGGGTGTTCCGGCTAAACGAGTCGATCTGGTCACCCCGGTCAACTCGGAATCTACGCTCACACCGAAATCGCACAGTTTCACGCCATCTGCCATTTTCAACATGTTCTCTGGTTTCAAATCCATGTGCGCAATTTCTAACGAGTGCAAGTAATCTAATCCTAAAACGATATCTCTCGCGTATCCGTGTAAAACTTTCTCTGATAGCGGCACTCTGTTGAATCGTGTAAAAATAGGCCCTCCGGGCGCGTACTCGAGGACCAAAATCAATTCGTTACTCACCGTATCGTCGATGACTTCGTGCAATTTTAACACGTGCGGATGCGAAAGCTTCTTCAAAATAGCAATTTCTTTCCTCACCGCCGCCTCTGCTACTCTCACCCGTTCGTTTCGTATCTTCAGCGCGTATAAATTATTATCCATCTTGTTCAACCCGAGTTTCACTTTCGCGTGCGCGCCTCGTCCCAAATCTTTAATCATAATGTATTGATTCAACTGCTCGTGCTCTTTATCGTCCATGATAATCGAGAGTTTCTGGACTGATGGTGTGAGTTTTAACGAACCTAATCGTCGATTTGCCACCTGTGGAGGTGTTTTCATTTGCGCGTTGTAATTCGTGGAAGAGGTGGAGGAAGTGGACGACCCTGTATTGGAGGAAAGCGAGTTCCGATCGTTTTCCTCCTCGTTGTTGTTGGCGCTCCCACTCGTCTTCTTCTTCTTATCCCTCTCGGAATCCTTATTCCTCTTATTATTCTTATTCTTATTCGTCTCATCTTTTCTCGAGTTGTCTTCGTACGTTTCCGTTTTATCCGTGTTCATCTTCTCGTCGTTTTCTTCGTTCTCGACGTTCTCCAGCGTCACCTGATTGGTTTTTTCCGATATCTCATCACCATCGTCGTCAAACAAAACTTTCTCTTCTTCTGTTTCTGTTGCTTTCGGGGCAAAGCAATAGAAACAGGAGGAGAAGAAGGACATCTTCTTCTCTCCGTTCTTCGTTTATTCTCCTCTTCGCGCGATGGACTGTGAGCGCTTTTAAAGAGTGAAGACAAAGAAGAAGGAACGGGGGGGAAATTTTCTAATAATCCGAAACTCTCACTCCCCTCTCTTCAGAAGAAAGTCGTCAAAGACACATGCGGCATAAAAAAAAGGGGCGAAGAGGGGGACAACTTTTTAACAACCACACAAGAGAACATAAAACAACTCATAAACAACAACTGAGAGAAGAGAGAAGAGAGAGAGAGAAGAGAGAAACCCTAATAAGAGAAGAGAGAAGCGCCATTTATTATTACGAACGAGAAGACAACTAGTATTATGGACGTTGAAGGAGAGTGCAAACAACTGATACTCGCCATCGAAAGGATATCCACCGCCGAGAACAAGAAATCGTGCACTTTTGGTGCTTTATTTCGAGACGATGCGGTACAGAACGAGTTCGAAGCATTAAACGGAACTCTACGAGCGGCAAAGAAGAGAAAAATGATCAGCTTTGAAGGAGAGATGTTGTTGCAAGGAGCGCACGATGACGTGGTGATAACTGTGCTTTAGATTTAGAGCGACGTATGTATGTAGTAAGTAGCTAAAAATATATAGTCAACGACATCAAGCCGACGATGATGAAGTGAATAAGCCGTCCTCGCGGAACCACTTCAAAAGGAGCTGGTTAACTTCCTCTGGAGCGTCGTCTTGGACGCAGTGTCCTTGCCCTTCGAGTTCAATGAACGACGTCTTTCTTTGACTGGTTCGCGTTCGCGGCAAGTTTTGAAAGTATTGCCCGAGAGGGAAATCCAAGGGCGTGATTCGATCCTCACTGCCCCAGATGATAAATATCGGGCACGTCACCGCATCCATCAACTCTTCCGGTCTTGGTCCAGGATTTCCAGTGAGAATATTTACAAAGACGGGCAATGCGCCTTCATTCTCTGCGGCTTTGCATATGGATTTTACCAACGCATCGTCCACGCGAGCAGGATTTTTATAAACTCCCGCGAGCGCATTTCGGACGCTTTCTTCAGAGCGCACGTTGTCAAAAATCTTCGTCGCGACGGGTTCTATTTTCAAAATCGTGTCGATTATCGCCAGAACTACTTTAAAAATTGGTCCAACGAGTTTGTATTGCCACGCAAACCCGTCAAAATCGCCCGGCATTTGCTTCACTTTGTTGTTCATCCCGCCCGCGCAATTGATTAGGCAAATACCTTTAACCAACTCGGGCGTTTCGCTGGCCACGTGCACCGCAGCTAAGGAACCGATTGAATTACCCACTAATGCTACTGGTTCTTTGACAACCTCAGATATAAAGTTTGCAACTTGGTCTCTCCAAAATTCCATGGAAAAATCCACTCCGCTCGGTTTCGAGCTTGAACCGAAACCAACCAAGTCGATGGAAAACACTCGATGGTTCGGCAACTCGATGTCTCTGTATTGAAACCCGGAGACGCCAAAACCGTGAATTAATAAAACACACGGCCCATCTTTCGATCCTGATTCTCTGTACGCCACTTCGTGTCCTTGCCAAGTGTGGTATTTAATCTCGCTTTCTTTCACTTTTGTTGTTGTTGAAGAGGATGACGAGACGAAGAAGATATTTTTATTCATCATCATTCGTTTTCTGTTCTTGATGTTATTTCTTCTTCTCGAGGCAAAGGAGGTGGGAAGAGATGTGGATGATGATAAAGAAGAAGAAGAAGGAGAAGAAGAAGAAGTCGTGGGATTGAACTGTCCTCTCATCAAAGTGCCTGTCGTCGTCCTCATGATTTATAAATAATAAATTAAGATGAGATGAGTGTAGGAGTAGGAGTAGGTGATGAAATGACGTTTTGAAACCTAAAAATCGAGAGGAAAAAATCGACGCTTCACAAAATCTCGTTTTCGTCATGTGTAGTGATTGATGAGTGGTGATGGAAGTCACGCGACGACGGGATCGGCGTACGTGAAACAGTTCTTCGACCCGGCGCACGGAGACTCCGGTCCGAGAGAGAAAATTGACGTGCTCGTGTCCAAAATTCAACGACTGAGTACTCAGTCGTCCTCAAGCGGCGTGAAAGAGAGAAACACTGATGAGCAGCAAAAGAAGATACATTATTGGAGGGCGAAAATGTTCTTGAAAGTTGCGAAATTGTACACAGAAAAAGCGTGGGTGCAACAAAAGAAACCTCGGAAGTTTTTTCTCCTCTTTCGCGGGTTCGATGTGACGAGTTCGAAAGAGACTCTGGTGGAATATAAGAAGAACTACTTACAGTTGAGCTTGTCCTCCATCGAACGAGCGCTGGATTTGCAACAACACGCCACGAACGAGTATTACTACTACGAGTGCGTAAAGTTGAAAGCCCATATTTTGTGCACCTTGAGCGCCTGCGACGAGTATTCGGAAAGGAGAAGGTGCGAACAAGCGTTGGAGTGCTTGTTATTACTCAACGAACTCGAAGAAAAAGAAAAAGAAAAGGGAGAAGAAACAGATACGAAGAAGATGATCATGCACATCGCGCACGCCGTCGCTGAGAAGAAGGGAAGCTGGGAAAATCTCGTGCGTCTGGAAAAACGTTTTGAAGAAGATTACGAAAGCGAGAGAAAAGAAGCCGCCGCGAAAGAGGAAGTGGAAGAGGAAGAAAACAGCGTAGCAAAAGCCTACGAGTACAGGGACGACTATTCTAACTATTTCAACGAGTTAGAGTACGACAGAGACGATGACAGAGAGGCTTTAGAGAGAATCATAGATAGTATAGTTATTAGGTGAGAAGGTGAATATTTTTATTTTATTTTTTGACGCGTCATAAAATCATGTCCTCCCTCCACCCAAACAACAACAAGCGCAAACAGAAATCTCTGACGTCGTTTTTCACCTCCTCGGCGAAGAAGAAAGAGAAGAAAGATGACGAAGAGAAAGAAAACCTAACAACAGAAGAACCAAAGAAAATGGAAGGGGAATCAACTGTGAAGGAAAATGCTGCTGCTGCTGTCGTCGTTCAAGGAGGAGAGTTGGAAAGTTTGTTCACGGAGAAGACGTGGTTGGATGTTTTCGCGGAGAACGAATTTCAAAAATCATACTTCAAACAACTCAGCGCTTTCCTCTCGAACGAGTTTAAAACGCAGAAAGTGTTTCCTCCGAAAGAACACATCTTTCGATGCTTCAACACGCTTCCGATTGATAAAGTGAAAGTGGTAATTATAGGTCAAGATCCGTATCATAACTATAATCAAGCGATGGGTCTCTGCTTTAGCGTCAACAAAGGCATTCAAACGCCCGGTTCTCTGCTGAACATGTACAAAGAACTGAAATCGGATTTGAACTGCAGGATTCCCACGCACGGGGACTTATCGAAGTGGCAATCGCAAGGAATACTGATGCTCAACACGAGTTTAACCGTTCGTGCGCACAACGCGAACTCACACTCCAAAAAAGGTTGGGAGCAGTTTACGGACAAAGCCATCGAAGAGTTGGCGAAAGCGAGGAAGAATATTGTGTTTTTGTTATGGGGGAAGAACGCGCAAGATAAGGAAAAACTGATTAAAAGGAGCGGGAGAGAACACTTGGTGTTGAAATCGGCGCATCCCTCCGGATTATCCGCGCACAGAGGGTTTTTTGGGAACAAACACTTTTCGCAAACCAACGCGTATTTGAAGAAAAATATGATTGAACCTATAGACTGGCAAATAGAATCCGCGACGTATCGATAATGTTGTTGTAATAGATAGAAACACGTACTTTTTTGTACTTATGATAAAAAATATTGTAATTTACTTTCGAATCCCACCTTCCTTGTCGTAATTCTCCAAGAACCACTTCACCGTCGTATCGATGGCTTCGTTAAACGGCGTAAACTTAAAATCCGGATTCAACTTCATCAACTTCGCGTTATTCGCCGTCTTTTTATATTGCCCGTCCGCTTTCGTCGTATCGAATTTAACCTTCTCGTCTGGAATACCCAACGCCCGAGACACTCCGTATGCGACGTCTTTAATCGTCATCTCGTCCGCTTCCCCGACGGATAAAATAATCGGATCCGCCTCGTCATAACTTCGCAACGTCCAAATCATCAACTTTGCTAAATCGATGGAAAAAATAAACTGTCTCAACGGTGTCCCGGATCCCCAAATCACAAAGTCCTCTCCTTTTTCCTTGCATAAATACCCTCGATGAATCAACCCCGGGATGACGTGCGAGTTTTCCAGGTGAAAGTTATCATACTTCCCGAAAATGTTCGTCGGAATAACCGCGGTGAAGTTGCACCCGAACTGCGCTTTGTACATTCTGTTTTGCACGTCCACCATTCTCTTGGCGTAAGCGTACCCTTCGTTGGAAAAGTGCGGCGGTCCGTTGTGAATCATCGTTTCATCGATTGGAAAGGTTGTTTTATCCGGAAAAATACACGTGGACAAGCACGAGACTAACTTTTCCACTCCCCTCTTTTGACACTCTTGAAAGATGTTATCGTTCATCATGATGTTCTCTCTCCAAAACTCAACTTTATACTTCATGTTGGCGAATAATCCACCAACTTTCGCGGCTAAATGAATCACGTGCGTTGGTTTAAATTTATCGAACATGTCGGAAACTTCTTTCGGGTCGCACAAGTTCGCATCTTTCGAACTCATATAAAACCATTCCTCGTTCGATGGTTTTTCTGACTCGATGACTTCTCGAATCGCAGAACCGACTAAACCAGTCCCGCCGGTGACTAACACTCTCTTCTTCATATCGCCGCTCATTTTATTTATTTATTTATTATATATGTATGTATGTATATATGGTGGTGCGTGTGAGTGAGTGAGCGCGCGCGTGTGTGTTCGTCGTGTGCTTTGGTCTCTTCGCTGATGCTACTATAAAATGGAGATTGGAGATTGATTTGTCCGAGACCGAGAAAACAGGAGACGAGAGGAAGAGGGTGTTGAGGTCGTCTGTCGTCTTTTTTTCGTCGTCGTCATTCCTCTCGTACAAACCCGTACAAAAAGACTCTCACACCTCATCTCCTAATAATAACAACAACAAAATCTATAATAATAATGTCAGCAGCTTTAATGAGAAGATTCATCATCGCGAGTGCTCGCAGCAGCAATATCAGCAGCACTTCTTCATCATCATCGACAACGTGTTCCTCGTTCGCGTGCTCCACCTCCACGACGACGAGGGGAAGAAACAGCTCTAAAATGCTTCGTTTTTCCACTTTTGCGCAACACAACTTCAACGACGACGCGCATCATCATCATCATCATCGTCATCATCATCGTCAACAGCAACGCGTGACGACAATGATAAAGAAGAGTGGTGGTAATTCCTATTATCGCGCGTCACCGATTTTGAAAATGTCCGCGTCGGATAATAACATCACCTCCGATTTAATCGAATCCATGAGAGTGAACATTCGAGAACAGTTGGAAGCGGAAAGCGTGGAAGTGATGGACTTATCTGGGAACGGGAGACACGTGGCTATAAAAGTGGTGTCAGAAAAATTTGAAGGCAAATCCGCTGTAAATCGACAACGGATGGTGTATAAAGCGATATGGATGGAATTGCAAGACCAAGTGCACGCGGTGAACGAAATGGTCACGAACACTCCGGAGGAAGAGAAGAAGGAGAATCCTTAATCTTATGCGTGATAATATGTACGTGAGCGTGTGTATTTATCTACCTAGGTAATATATCTATCTATTATGTTATTCGTGTGCTATCATTTTAATCTTAACCTAAGGCCCACCCGCTACTTCTATCGACATTTTTTTGTTGACTTGCGCCACCTCCCATCATCACGCCTCGTTTCTTCTCTTTCTTCTTCTTACCCCAGGTCTTGACGCCGTCTCTCTTCATATCTTTAACGCGTTTCAGTATGTCCTTCGCGGAGTTGAAAGTCCCTCCTGTGGGCATTTCGCACGTGAAACACGTCTTCTCTTTCTTTGCGCTATCGTTTCTCAAAGCACACGCTTCGCAAAAGTAGTGCTTACACTTCGTCACGACTGGGTTCCGCACGTCCATCCAAGATTCAGAGCACATTTGACATTCTCCCGGAATGTCACCGTCGAAGGTTTCGTCGTCCTCTTCGTCATCGTCTGGGTTCAAATCTACTTCTTCACCGTCACTATTCAACGCTTTCTCCATCTTTTCTAACGCCGCTTGCTTCTCTTTTTGTTCTTGGAGTTTCCGTTCCCAATCTTTGTCCAACTGCCAGCCTTGCTTGTAATCGCCTCGATCGTGGACAAATTTGCAAGCGTCGCCGTAGCCACAATATCCCGTGTCCTTGTAATCTTTACAAATATCTGGTTTGTAATCCATGACGTAAGTCGTTCGAACGTTCGCGGAGGCTCGAGCGGGACCGTGCGCTCCACCGCCTTTTTCGTTTGCTATGGTTTGTTCCTTACGAAAACCGGCGCGATAGTCCGTGTACGCGTTTGTTCCTCGATACACCTTATCGTCCTCGACAACGGCTCCACACATCACGTCCTTGTTATTTTCATTATTCTGCTTTAATCGCTCCGCGGCTAACTTTAACTTTTGCTCTCTCAAAGCTCGACCGTCTCGGTCCCTCGCCGTGTCTATTTCAATCTCGCGAGTGGCTCCGCCGTCGTCTCTAATTTGCACGGACCGATCCCCTTCGTACGCAAATACGCGCTTCTCGTGTATTTTCGAAGAAGAAGCTTTGGAAGAACCGCCAAGTAGAGATTGGTATTGTTTGCCGTTGTTGTTTCTTTCTTCTTCTCTTCTTTCTCGTTCTCTGTTGTCGTCGTCTGCGTTAACGTTGGAAGAATTCACCTTCTTTGCCAATTCGTCGTTTTCATCGTCGCCTTTCGTTCCTTTGCGCTTTCGTACGTTTGCCCTACTCTTCTTCTTGAACGTGACCGCAACTACTTCCTCTTTCTCTTCCTCGTCTTCTTCCGCGGGTTTGCCCGGTTCTGCCATCTTCTTTCTCTTCTTCTTTTGCCAGGAAGAGGCAGCTGGAAAAGTTTTGAAGAAAGAAGGAGAGAATCTTTCTTGTTGCAAGAATCTTTTTAAAAAAATTAATTTAACTTTCGCATATGTATTTAGTTGTATCTCATCCTTAAGCTTTTTTAATATGACAGAAATTAAATAACAAGTCTAATTGAGTCGTAAATATTATGAAAATATCGAAAATATTGGGAATAAATTGAATCAATAATTTATATTCTTAAATATATTTTTTCCATTCTAATTCAATAATTCCCGAGATATTTTATTATATATTGGACGATAAATATATTTCTATATTTATTACGTCATTAAGGTCCGAATTTATCCTTGTAAACTTGGGAAATGGTTTCTGAGTATGCAGAAAAAAAATTTAAAAAAGAATTAAATTTGAGGAAAAGAGAAAGCGAATACTTTTTGGGAAGATTTTTTCACGCATAAAAATTAAATAATATATACGAGTGATTTGAATAGATTAAGTTCGTAAGAATCCGTCGGGATAAGGATATAAATGTTTTTCATTTCAGATTTAATTTTTTAGTGAAAAAAAAAGAAGAAACGAAGAACTGGTCTGGTGCGCGAGAAACTTCGAAACGCGAGAAACTTCAGAAAAAACCACTTGCAAGTGGACTTCTTTCCCTCTTCCCACTTCTCCCTATTTACTCGGAATGGAAGGAGATCATTCTCATTAAGCCATAAATAAGATCAGTAATAGTAATCAAACCATGGACGCCAAGTTACAATCGATAGCTTCGCTACAAAACGACTCCGAGAAAGTTGTTCGATATACGGAATTGTTGCGAGAAATTTCGATCGACGCCTCGGACGAAAAGAGTCTTGTCGAACAGTTTGTCGCGCACCTCCTCTCCGTCCCTTCTTTGCAAGTGAGCAAGCAAGTGTTTCAGCACTTCTCGTCTTCTTTGGAGAGTTCCATGTGCAAATTAGACGATTCATACAAGTTCACTCTTTTTGTAAAGTTCGCCAAGTACTTGTTGGAACAATCTTCTTCTTCTTCAACTGTCGTCAGTGACGAAGGGGTAGACGAGTCGTCCGTGGCGAATTCGGAAATGTACTTGAATCGAGCCAAGTTTCTTTTGAGTAAATGTAAAGACGAAGAGAGTATGAGAGACTTTAAACTGTGCGATGCAATCATTTCGGATCTGAAAGGACGTTTTGTCGAAGCTGGATTGGGGTACTTAGCTTTGAAGGATTTCCGAAACGCTGCGATATGCGCGACGTTGAGCAAAGACAGTTACCAAAAGACTCGACTGATTGCGAAACTTTTAGCGCCTCCTTCTGTGGCGGCGGTGATGAAAGCAAAAGGAGAAGAAGACACAACGATGGCAACAGACGACGGAGATAACGACGAAGAAGGTTTGTTGAACATATTAAAATCCATTCAGCTCGGACGGATTGTAGATGCAGACGCCATCAAGAGCAAATTGACGAAACCACACCACCTGAACGCCTTCGTCGCCGTCAACTTGGAGCATAACTTACTCTGTGTGAGTAAGTTGTACAAATCGATAACGTTAGTCGAGTTGTCCAACATTTTAAAAGTGAACGAACGCGAGGCGGAAAGAAAAGGAATCGAGATGATCAGTCAAGGGAAATTCAAAGGCGTTTTTGACCAAGAAGTTGGATTGTTGGAGTTTTTGAAGAACGAAGAGGAGGAGGAGGTCCACGCTTTGCGAACGCTGACCGACAAAATCGCGCAGGTGTGCGACTTGATTACGAAAAGTAAAAGCAAGGACGGCGTGCGAGCTTGAGGAGGTGAAATTGTAGAAGCAGCAGCAGCAACAGCATAGGTTATTCTTAGAAATGTAGTTAATATAGAAAAAGAGAGACAAAATCAATTTAAAATACAACTGTACACTGTTACACTATTCACTAATCCGCTATTCCTACAAGTTCCTCTCTTTCTCACACGAAATATCGCTCCTCCTCCTCGTCTTCTTTCTTCAGCCTCTTTTGCGATTTGCGTCCGTTGCGGTAGCCGACCCACCACAAATCGTGCAACTCCTTTTCGTTTTCGCACGAATAGCCTTGCTCGAACGCGTTGAGAATGTACCCGCGTTCACCAAAGTTTGGTTCGTTCTCTAACCCAAACTCATCGTCCGCGGTTGCGCCGGCTAACTCCCGCGTGCACCTGTCCTCTTCAACTATGGTAGTTCCATTATCGTCCATGGACGTTATTCCACTAATTCCACACACGTACGTGTCATCGATTAGGATGCGAGCGTCGCATCGAGGGCCGCATCGATGCTCTCTGCCAGTCTTCTCGCACAAGAATATTCCACCTATTCGATGATAGGAACACCCCCAGCTTTTCCCGCACTTGTGCTTCATGCGTTCTTCTTCTTCCACTTTTGATGGTACTGAGAAACCTTTTCTTTCCTTCCAAAACCGAATTGCGCCTTCCACGTTCTTCGCGGTAGATACCGACGCCGCGATTAAAACGTCGTTTGCTGGATCTGGCACCTCGCTTCGCTTTGAGGCTTGCACGTCCGCGTATATCTGCTTTTGAGATTCCGGCACGTTAAGTAACGCGTTGTGTAAATCCTTCTCGTCTCTCTCAAAGTATCTATTCCGAAATGTTTTGCTTCCTCGTTTTCGTTTTCGATTTGATTCGTGTTGCTCTTGTTCTTGTTGTTCTTCTTCTTTTCGTTTATTCTCTTCTTCGTCTTCATCATCATCGCTGCCAGTTGTTGTTGATGAGGTTGATTTTTCACTTCGCCACCGGTCGAAATACAATCGCTTCCAGATTGAATCTCTCCTCGCAACTTGCCTGAATATCTTACACGTTTGGCCAGAATTCGCCACGTCTTCCGCGCTGAGGTGTTTGAATACGTGCTCGATGATTTCTGAAGGAATAAACTTCCCTAAAAATGAGTTCAATACCAACACCTTCTTCTTCTTCTCCTTCTTTTGTTTTTGTTTTTGTTGTTGAGAGAACTTCACCATCATCTGGAGAGTCAGCTCGTTGGCGAAGAGCTCGTCTTCCTCGTCGTCTTTATCGTCGTCGTCGTTCTCATCTTTTTCTTTTTCTTTTTCTCCTTCTCGCTTCATGATGGGTGTCAATCGCGAGCGCGGAGAGAGTCTCGTCAGAAATGTTTTGCTCTTCTGTGTTCTACCCCGAGATGATGTTTTTTGAGGACAGTTGGGGAGAAAATAGGGGAGTTTTGGAAAAAGCGGAAAAATACTTCTTAAAACTTTGAAGTATTCGTTTTAGCTGAGAGAGAGAGAGAGAGAGAGAGAGAGATGAATGCGCGACAGAGAGAGAGAGAGAGAGAAAGGAAAAGAGAGACGTGATTATTTGAACGTCGACATCTGAACATCAAGACGAGACCGGGAACGAATGAGTGGGCTTGTGATTGGTAAAGACGACGACGAAAAATGCTGACGCTTCGTCTTAACGAACTCTCTGTTGATTATGCGGGGTCAACGATGAACAGAGGAAGAAGAAGGAGAAGAACGACAACAATAACAACGACAACAACGACTGTGCCAAAGAAAATTATCACCGCTCGTTCTTACCAGAATAGCAATCTCGAAGGATGTAAAAGAACAAACAGAAAACGACGACAAGGTTGGGAAATGTACATATCCTCGTTCGCTGGGACAGGAGGATTTGCGTCAGAGGACGAAGAAGGGAAACGACGAAGAGAGCAAGCGAGAGACTTGGTTCGTAATTTGTTAGACGCGTCATTCTTATCGTCAAATACTAATGGATGCAAACTTATTCCGTGCGATCGACCACCGTCGTCTTTATTAACAGGGTCTTTGCAACTGACGTATCGAGAACGCTCGGTCCCAGATGTTGAAAATTCCTTTATGCACAAATGTCAATTAGTTTCGTCTGCTTCATCGTCACCACCCATGGCAAGAAGATTTAGGTGTAGAAAAGCGAACAAATACATCGCACATTTGTTCTTTCAGATTTCAAAGCACAGTGCTGAGGCGGATATTCAGCTTTCTCGTTTCGATTTGTTTCATGGACACGTGTTCAAAAACGAAGACGTCGTTGGCATTTTATTTCACGCAAAAGAGTACTGTCGCTTCGACGAGAATACGTTCAATGTGGATTTGGGGTACTGTCAAATTGAGAGCTATGTTAAATATAACCCAAAACAAATGGAAAAGAGAAATATTATATGGGTAGCTTCTCTCCAAAGAGGAGGAGGAGGAGGAGGAGGAGGAGAAGGAAGAGACGATGAGTTGCGCTACTCCATGGCAGTTCTCGATACTTCTCACTACTCCGAGCTCCTCTTCTCAGGTCAATCAGACTTTCATACAGTATACGAAGGCGACTTCGGCGACGTTCTAGGTGACGTGTTCTATTTCGATGCGTTGAAAAATCGGAAACCTCAGGAGCGAGTTATTGTTGCAACATCGACTAGTGCTAAAAATAGAAAGAAAGAAGGAAGTTTTGAGATTTGACCGCAACGCAACACAAATTTTGTTCGGTATCTCATTTACAAACGTTTTGATAATGGCTCGGACGATCCTTGACATCGCAAGAAAATGTGTAAAAAAAGCAGGTTTAGATGCTTACGAGCCGTCGGATGTGCCAGTCCGCGCGCTCCTGCTCGTGAAGATTGGTAAAAATGAAGGAGAAAGAGACAATATCGAACATGCAAAGACCACTTTTGAGAAGAAAATACTATCTGAAAGTAGAATAAACAGTGCAAAAGAGACGGGAAGAACGTACATATATACTGAATCTCGGACACTTTGTGCACTAGTCGATTCCTCAGCTGTTCAAATACGAAATATTATGGAAAATCTTTGCCGCGTTGTCGTTGGTCAACCCGGCCTCTTTTGTTTTGCGAGAGTTTTAAGCGTTTATAAAATACCGCCTTCTCAAAGTAAAGACTGCTTCCGCGATTATCAAACGAAAGTGGTTACAAAATCCGCTCAAGAACAGGAGCAAAAGCGTCAAGAAGAAGAAAAACAGCAAATCTTAATCGTGGAAGAACAAGCGGAAGATTTATCACGAAACATAGAAGAAGACGAAGCTTCTGAAATATCGTCGTCTTTCGAGGAGGGAGAAGAAAAAGAAGAAAAAGAGGAAGACCAAAGAGGGATCGCGAGAGCTGCGTGCATTGAAACGTGCGTTCGTTTGGGTTCAGGTATGCTCAAGAAAAAATCCAGAGTAGGTCCGATGAATTTTGATTTCGATAGTTTACTCCAATCCGAATTCATACCTACGCTTGAGGAATATCTAAAACTCTTCGCTAGTAAGCGTCTAATTCTAAACAGAGACGACGATTTCATCTTTCCTATTGTATCATAATAAGATCAAGTGTGTATTACTTTATACTATTTCTTATGCAGTTGCGTCTCTCTATTCTTTGTTGTTATTACACTGAGCGGTTTCATATGCTCTTGTCGATGTCTCTCTCTCTTAATTAATATGTATGTTAACTTTCTTGTCTCTTGTCTCTTCTCTTTATCACGCTTTTAATTCTTCTATTCGTCTACTTCAATTTAATCTCTTTCAAGCGTTCTTGCAAATAATCGTCCGAACTGATCGGTTCAGGATACCTGTTCGGTCTATCCTCTGACACGCACGACTCTAACGTATCAATCACGTAATCCGGGTTTGGATGCAAAAAATACGGCATCGAAAATCTAGGAATGTGCGCTCGTTCCTTTGGCGGGTTCACCACCCTGTGGGTCGTACTCGGCAAGACGTGATTGGTCAACCTTTGCAACATATCGCCGATGTTGCACGTCACACACCCTGGTGCCGGGTTCACGTCCAACCATTTTCCATCCTTCCTTAAGATTTGTAATCCACCTTCATCGGCTCCTAACAATAATGTAATCAAGTTAATATCCTCGTGCGCGCCGGCTCTGACGTGCCCCGCCGACTCTTCGGCGATAGGCGGGTAGTGAATGATTCGCAAAATAGAGTTTCCTTCGTCTACTTTATCGTCGAAGAAATGTCTGTCTTGCTTCAAATACACCGCTAACGCTTGTAAAACTCTGTTCCCAAGTTCATCTAAAGAGTAGAAAATGTGTTTCGCAGACTCTGTAAATCCTTCGATTTCGTTCACCTCTACGTTTGGAGGCATGAATTTCTCAAATTTATGTCCTTTTGTTGGTAAATCGCGCCCTTGATGCCAAAACTCTTTCAAATCTGATTTGGTCGCTCCTTTCGCGGTCTCCCTACCGAACGCAGTAAATCCTCTCGCCCCACCTTTCCCTGGCAAGTGATACTTCTCCTTCTCCTCTTGACTCAAATCTTCAAAAAAAGATTTCGATAACCGAAAAGCTCGTTCGATGTCTGTTTGCGCCACTCCGTGGTTTTCTAAGATGACGAAGCCGTATTTCTCATACGCTTCGCCGAGTTTATTCACAAACTGATCGAAATCAGTCTCGTATAAAGTCAAAGAGACGGTTGGGACGAAATCATCTTCTTCGCCTTCTTCTTCAACTCCTCCTCCCACGATGATGGTCATAGTCGTCCCTTTCTTTCTTTCTTTTTTGTCGTGTGCTTTTGGCTTCTGCTTGGTCCTTTTTTCGAATTTTTTGGTTGCTTTGCGGCAAAAGAAGGTAAAATTTAGGTTTAGAGCTGCTCGCTTAAACCATATCCAAGACCACGTCAGTCCTTTCCTGTCATCTTACCAGACAGAGAAAAAAAGCACACGACGCGCTCGAAGAACGAACACTCTACTCTCTTCTCACATATTCACACATCATCGTCTTATTTATTTGCATACTCTCATGATGAGCGTAATGATGATGGCTTCAGCCGAACCGACGGCCGCAGGGATGGCTTCGTCGTCGTCGTCGTCGAGAAGACGACGGGGACGAAGCTTCGTGACGGCTTCGGTTTCATCGGCTTCATCGTCGTCTTCTTCGTCTTCATCACATCCGACCACTCGTTCTAACACGAGAGAACGATACGGCGCTAATGTCAACGCAACTGTCACTCACATACATTCGAGAAGAGGCGGACTGCTTGCGGCGAACGCGGCGGCTGGGCCGGCGCCGGATTTCTTAGTCGCCAAACTCGACGCCAACGAAAAGATGCACAAGGAGTTGATGGATAAGTTAGCCGACCCGGCGGTCCAAGGGGACTCGAAGGAGTTTCAAAAGGTTTCCAAAGCCATGGGGGCGCTGCAAGATGTTGTTCACACGTATCAGAAGTACAAGGAGTGTTTACAAGGGAGCGAGGAGGCGAAGGCGATGGCGAAAGAAGCCGCCGGAGACGACGAGATGGTCGCCATGGCAAAGGAAGAGGCGGATAGTTTGATGCAAGAAGCAGAGACATTAGTCGACCAGTTGACGTTATCTTTGTTACCAACGGATCCGTTGGACTCAAAAAATATTATGTTAGAAATGCGAGCGGGGACCGGTGGCGACGAGGCGGCTATCTTCGTTGGCGATTTGCACAGGATGTATACTAGATTCGCGCAAACGGAAGGATGGAAAATGGAGACGGTGTCGTCCTCGTCCGGTGATTTTGGCGGATATAAAGAAATCGTAGTTGAAATTAAAGGCGAAAACGTGTATTCGCAATTGAAATGGGAGGCTGGAGTTCATCGAGTGCAAAGAGTTCCGTCGACAGATGCGCAAGGTAGAATCCAAACGTCGACGGCAACTGTCGCGGTGATGCCGGAAGCGGACGAAGTTGAAGTTGAAATAAAAGACGAAGATTTGGAAATCCAAACTGCGAGATCCGGTGGAGCGGGTGGCCAAAACGTGAATAAGGTCGAAACGGCGATTGATATGTTCCACAAACCGTCCGGAATTAGAGTTTTTTGCTCCGAGCAACGAACGCAGTTGAAGAACCGCATTCGAGCCATGCAAATTTTAAGGAACAAGTTGTTCGAGATACAGTTAGAAGAAAGAAACAAAGAAATAGCAGGGGCTAGAAAAGCGCAAGTTGGTTCTGGCGCTCGGTCAGAAAAGATTCGCACGTATAACTGGAAAGACTCGAGAGTTTCTGACCACAGATTGCAAAAGAACTTCCCGCTCGAAAACTTTATGAACGGTGAAATCAAAGACTCCATCGCGTCTTGTCAATCTCTCGAGCAACAAGATCGGTTAGCGGAGTTGAACGCAGAGTTGATGGCGGAAAAGTAATGACGTTGATGAACTTTTATGAGTATTGTAACGTATGAATACCGAGCTCTTTCTTCTTCCTCCTATCCCATCGCATTATCGTTCTCGATATATTTTTAGAATTGTGCTTTTCTTCTCACGAAAACAAAACGTTCAGAAAGTACTTCCTCAAAAAAGTTTGACCCGCTCTCGCGCTTTCTCCTTCGAACACAAGCACAATCGGCATGGACGATGATGTAGCAGCGAACGCAACATCTCATTCACTCCGGGTCGATTTGAAGCGTAACTATGGTTTAAACAGCGTCAGACGTGACAATGTCGCCTTCGTGGACCACGAAACCATCGCGTTCTCCGTTGGAAATTTGGTCCAGTTTTTGCGCGTAAAAAATACGACCGCGAAAGAAGGGGAAGAGAACTTCTTTATGCGCTCGCGTCGATTACGGGGGATTGGGGCAATTGCCGTGCATCCAGAGCGAACATTTGTTGCGCTCTGCGAAGGTGAGATCGGTTGCGTGAACGAGAGGAGAGAGGAAGAGGAAGAAGACGAGTGTGCTCGCGTCGACGTGTACGCGTATCCGTCTCTCGTGTTGAAAAAAACTTTAAGAGGAGGTGCGAAATCGAAATACGCGCTCGCAAAATTCTCGCCGGATGGGACCATGTTAGCAACGGTTTCGAGCGCGCCAGACTATTTGTTGACTATTTGGAATTGGGAAAACGAATCGTCCATTTTACGTTGCAAAGCGTTCTCGCAAGAAGTTTTCGGTTTATCGTTCTCACTGACTGTATACGGGCAGTTGACGACGTGGGGGACCGGTCACGTTAGATTTTGGAAGATGGCTGATACTTTTACCGGATTAAAGTTACACGGATCACTTGGGAAGTTTGGAGCGGAGCCATTGTCGGATGTTTGTGCGACGTGTGAATCGGGCGATGGAAAGATAACTTTGAGCGGGACAGGATCGGGTGCGATATTGGCGTGGAGTGGCGGATTAATCGAAACTAAGTTTTGTATCGACGAGGAGATTACATGTCACGATGGCGCGATAAACTCCATGCATTTGCGCAGAGTCATGATGCGGGATGAAATGCGAGAGCAACAGCAGCGCGTGCAACTTATTACTGCGGGAGAAGATGGATACGTGCGAGCCTGGGATGCGGATGAAATTTGGACCATTGTGGAGACGCCGGAGACACCGTTCGTGCAGAAGATCAAGCCAATATTCGAGTATTATCTCGGGGACACGGTAAGCTGTAAGAATTTAATCGTCAGCGACGATAGCAACAATAACAAGCTCGTCGTTCAGAACGCATGCGGTAGTTTACTCGAATTAGACCTTGCTGACGGAACATCGCAAGAAATATTTGAGGCGCACTCAGGGGCAATTGCGGGATGCGACGTTTCCTTCGTGAGCCCGCATTTTTTCACAACCGGTGACGATAAGACGGTTCGATGCTACGACTACTCTCAGTGCAAGCTTCTTTTCACGTCAAGATTCCAAGCGCGAGGGACTGTTTTGAAAGTCTTCCCGAAAGTAGTAGATACGTCCTCGCGGTTAGTTTTAGTTGGTTTCAGTGACGGTGTCGTTCGCGTGCTTTTACGAAGCGAAGCGTCGTTTATAGTTTTAGAGAGCGTCAAACCACACACAGACGCCATCGTATCGATAGATTGGAATTCAGAAGGGTCCAAATTTGCGACTGCATCGAAAGATAAGACGATATTCTTGTTTACTGTGGAAGCGAAAGGAAAACTTGCGCCGATTGGTTTTGTTCGACTCGATAAAGTCCCAAAGCATATCGAGTACGATAAGTCAAAGAGTACCGCAGACAAGAATGTCATAGACATTCATTTTCAAAAGAAGGGCGATAAGGTAGCTCGTCTTCTTTCGACAAATTTGCCGAAGATCAGTACGGATACTTTCGAGCTCGAAGCCTGTTTCGTATCGATCGAAAATACTTCTGTCGAAGAAGTGTGTTGTTCGCAAACCTCTCATTCCGGCAGGTTTCTAGTTCAAGGGTTTGTAAATGGTTCCGTATCGTTGCGTATTTTGAATCAAAATAGAAGTGAAGAGAAGGAAGGCGAAGAAGAGGCTGATTTCGCTCATGAGGAGCAAGTCTGGGTCGAAAAGAAGGTTCACGTATCGAAAATTACAGGTGTAGCTGTAACATACGACGATCAATATCTCGTGAGCGCGAGCGAAGACGGATCGTTGCTTTTGTTTGAGTTGAAATCAAAGTTTGGTTCTTATAAAGTACCGGAAGGATTGCGTGAAAGTAATTTAGATTATGGGAAGGCAATCGCTGAAGATATCGAGATTGACGAGTTTCCTTCTATGGAGCAAGCGAAAACGTTGGCGAGAGAGTCGCAGATTTCCAACGACGCAGAGAAGACGAGAAAGCGAACATTAGAGAAATTAAACGAGCTTCGTAAAGAATTTAAGTCGTTGATCGAAGCAAATAAGAAATTGAAAAGTGTTGACATACTTCCTGAATCTGCTTTTGAGGTGGATGTGGATCTTCTTGAAATCATGAAAAAGAAAACAGCTGTCGATGTCGAACGCGGAGAGAGAGAAATGGCATGTAGACTTGAACGTGCTGAAATTATTCTAGAAAGGCTTAAAAAGCGGTATCGAGACGATGTTGAAGCTTGTTGTGAAGAGCTGCATGCGCATTTTGAAGCGAATATCGATGATGAAGCGACGAGTCGATACGAGTTTTCGTGCGAGTCCTTCAGTTTGATGAAAGAGGACTCCAGCGAGGAGGACGAAGACGAGGATCAAGATTTCGACGAAAGGGCCGTATTACCAGCCGGAGATGCTTCTATAATTTCTGACGAAACTTCCACAATCACATCAAATGTTGAGGCTCCGAGAGTGAGCGACATTTACGAAGAAATTAGCAGAGAAAAGAGCGATCTCACATCTCAAGAGATACGAAGAATAGAGCGTCAAAAGCGATCGGAAGAGATGGCTGCGTTCGAGCTCACAAGACCAATCGACGAGTCCGAAACGAATATCGAAGATGATTTAGAAATAATCGAAGCTCGCAACCGCATAAGTGATTTCCCGTTGAAGTCGGATCCTCTAGCAACGATAGTGAAAGAAAAGCGAGCAAACGTGGAATTGAAAGACGATGCGTTGACTCGAGTCAATGCAAAAATTCGAGAGATAAAAGTCGCGTTCAATGCAGAGTTCCAAGCGTTGAAAGACGAAAGCGCAACACTGCCAAACGACGAATACAACGATAAATTAAGAAAGTTGTGCCTATCGAAAGCAATAGCGGCGCGAAAGTGCAAATCTCTCGAGTTGCAAAGATTCATTCTCGAGCGTGAACTCGAAATAATCGAGAAGAAGCACGACGCCGGTGATATAGCCTGGGAAAAGAAACTTTACGCTGCCGAAGAGAACATGCGCGCAAAGAAAGCGTCGGTAAAGAAATACACGAAACGATACAAAGAACGCGAGACTAATTTGATCCACGCCGACAACGCCTTGCAGAATTTGATGAAAGTTTATGAAAACAGTTTACCGCCAGGCGCCCCGAGAGCCAAACTGTTCAAAGTGTTTATGCGCGACATTGAAGATGGAATCGAAGAAAAATGCCCGACCGGATGCGAAGAAGACGTATACGAAAGAGTGGTGCAGTTACGGACGAAGCGTCGCGAGCTCGAAGCGGCAAAAGTCGATGCCATGAACGAGTCCGAGAAAGCGAAGACGTTTTTAGAAGAAAAAGTAAAGGAGATGGAAGTTGCCGTGGCGGCTTTGAAAGATACTACTGCGGATAAAGAAGTGTTCGAGAAGAAGAAGCAAGCAGATCTGAACCAAATAGAAATTTACGTCACTTTGAAAGCGCACGAGATTCTTCATTTTGACGCAGACTCGACGGATTCCGTTTCGAGTGTGAAGCTGGGATCTGCCGAAAACGGTTTGGTTTTTGCAAACTCGGCGATCGAGAAGTTGAAGCTCGAGATTGAACATCTGAATGGTGAAATATCGTCCCTTAAAAAGTCCCAGCAAGAACTGAAGAAACAATTTGCGGCTTTAGAGATTGAACGAAAAGAAGAAGAAGTGAAAGAGCGCGACTTAGAGGCGAAAGAGATAGATGTCCAGATGCGAAAATTTGGTCAAATTGTCGATTTAGACGCGTTGGACACCATGGCGAGAGAAGCGAGAGGGGGCGAAGAATTGAAGATTAAGTTAAGAGCGCAGGAAACCTATCACGCGAAAGAAGCTGCGGAGTGGAGAAAGTCCATCCAGCAAAGTAACGACGAGTACACAGCGCTCATTGAACAGCACACTTTGCTTTTGCAAAAAATAGCCGCTTCGAAAAGAGCGCTATTGACGAAAAAGAGAGGAGCAGTTGCAAGCTAACTACGCGTAACTTTTAAGTTTCTGAATGATGAAGACTACTGTAAATATTAATCTATTCTGCTATAATCTAAAGCGTGCGTTAAAAATCTATCTATAAAAGTGAAACAGAAGGCGGAGCAGTTGCAGTTCCGTTTTGCGGGTTGGTTTGTCCTCCTCCTCGTTCAGAAACGGTCAAGTCCTCAAAGCCTGCAAAAGCGTCGTTCTGATTATTTGGCACTTGTTGTTGCTCGAACATCTTCATCCGTTCCGCTATGCTAACTCCTACTTTTGGCAGTTGCTCTCGTTGATTTCGCTCTTCTTGTTCTCCATCGCTTACTTCTTCTGCTGTCGTTTCCATCGTCGTTTCTGTCGTCTTCGTTATCGTGTCTTTTTCTTCTCCCTCTTCGCTCCTCCCAACGTTTTCTGTTTCTTTTGGTCTTGTTTTTACAGGCATCGCTTTTGACACTCCTCCTCCAAATGCAATCGCCACCGCGACTTTGAACTCGGCATCTGTGAGAGACAAAAGCTCCAACGCAGAAGACGACTTCTGTTTTTGTTTTTGTTGTTTTTGTTTTTGTTGTTGTTGTTTAACAGTTGTCGTCACCGTTGGAGTTGGTTTCAGAGTTTCTTCTTCTTTCCCAGCGTTCTCAAAATCACCAAAGTCGTCGTCGTCGTCCTCCAAAGCGTTCTCATCATCGACTGACATTTGTTTATTCGCGCTCTTCTTCTCTCTCTCTCTCTCTCTCTCTCTCTCTCTCTCTCTCTCTCTCTCTTTTTCTCGGGCTCTCGCCGCACGTAACAAATGATGAGAGAAGAAGAAGTTTTATGACGAGAGGCGGGCTGAATTTTTCTTTTTCCTCTCTGCTTTTTCCTTGTTGGTTTCCTTCATTCAGCCGACGCCTGTGAGCGAAAGAAAGGCTACAGAAGGAGAGAGAGAGAGAGAGGAAGAGAGAGAGGAAGAGAGAGAGACGAGGGAGGAAGAGAGTTTTGAGAGGAAAATAGATAGATAGTTAAGAGAGTAAAGAAGATGACAGACACTTGGCAACTTTCCGCGGTGGCGAGTTTAGTCGAGGACATCGACAAGAAAATTCTCGTCGTTCTGAGAGACAACTCGAACATCGTCGGGACGTTGCGATCGTTCGACCAGTTTGCGAACATTGTTTTAGAAAACGCGGTGGAACGAATGATCGTTGGAACGCACTATTCAGACGTACCTCTCGGATTATACATCGTGAGGGGAGAAAATGTCGTTTTAATGGGAGATGTAGACGAAGCCATCGAGTTGAAAGGATTGACGTGGGTCGAGAACGACGAGATTCGACGAATGAAGGATGCGGAAATGGAAGCGGACAAAATGCACGGACTGATTGCGAGGAATTTGGACATGTTGTTAGACGACTAAAATGTCACACAAATCATTTCGATGTCTCGCTCTGAAATAGAACAAGAACGGTAAGTATATTTTTATATCGAGCGCGCGATGCGGAGTATGTATATCGCACGTATATGTGAAATAACAAGAAGAAAAGCTATGATGGACAACATACCATGCTAATACTGATACTCCGTCTTTTACGGGCGTTGTAAATGTAAACCGATCGATAGGACTGAGCTTTGCCCTGTTATATAATTGCATATATGTGCGAATACATATCTCTCGTTGTTGGTAGTAGCTGCAATGACGAACTTTGCACGTGGAAGTGCTCGTGGTGATCTTCTGTGAGCCAACGATAATAACCAATGGATCCTTCAGAGCAGTCTTCAAAAACATTTGTTTCGCTCGTTTTATTTTGCGCACGTTGTTATATCTCTGACTCACGTCCGTCCTTTCACCAATTCACGACTACAGAGCAGGAACAAAAGAAAAGGATAGAATTCACACGAAAAAGGAGCGCTTTTTAAAGTTCCGTGAGTTCTCATAGTAATACAAAGAATAAGTTCCGGAGCGTTTTTGTTGTATATCCGAGTTATAAATTTTCATTTACAAAGCTTTATTCGTACAAAGTTTTACAATTTAGTTTTCTCCGGGTAGCTCGCCATTTCGGCAACACCACACATACCCGAAGGACTCTCAACATCTCTCGCGATCCGGATGTAGCCTCCTTCTCCCCACTGCTCGCTCCACGAGTTTTTAATTTTCCAATATTTCTTCGTCGCGCCCGGGATGATGACGTTTGAGCTGTTGTGATCGATGCCATAACCAACGACTAAAACGCCATGGTCAAGCTGCGTGCCACAATCTTCGGCGTGATACACACCTCCTCCGTATAATTGGAACGATCGCTGGTCGGCTTCAATCGCAACCGAGACGGGCTGTTGTGACACGGCTTTTTTCAAAGCGGTTTCGTCGTTCGACGGCACGTCGTTAAATCCATCGATCGAGGCAATGTGCAATAAAGTTTTTCTCGTTTTGCAGTCATCGAAGGAAGCCTTGTACTGGTACTGCTTTTCGCTGTCAACGCCTCCGTTTTCAACGATCCATTCGAAAGCATTATCCATTAAACCACCATTGCAGCCTTGATTGCCTCCTTCTCTGGCGCACGACACCAACTCTTGTTCGGACAAAGAGACGAGCTTTCCAGTTCTAATCGCGTTTATGCCTTCCACCGCCCCAATCGCGGAGAACGCCCAACACGACCCACACGAGCCTTGATTTTTTGGCGTTGTGATGACACCTTCATCGACCCAATCGATAGACTCCGGCGCTTCCACTCCTTCGTATTCCCACAGGGAAACGTCTTTGGCCGCCTCCCCGGAATCTTTCTTTCGCCGTAAAGATTTTTTAAACCCGAGCATCTTTCGGTACTCCTCTCTCGTGTGCGCGGCAAACTTATTCATCTCGACGTAATGCGAGACTTTCCCGGCGACATATTTCGCGTTGTGTTCGAGCACGAACAAATAATTCTCTCCGAAAATCTTTAATCGTTTCAATCGTTCCTCCGCGTTTGCGATTTCTTTATCGTATTTCACCAACCACGCGTCAAAGGCGTCCTCGATCTTACTCTCTCGGAGAACTCGCTTATCATCATCGTTTCGCAGAACTAACTCGACTTCATCAGTCTTCTCGTTGATGGTATTTTCAGGCTCGAGACGAATCGCCGTCGTCGCGGTCGGGAGAAACGAGAGGGAAAGAATCGCTAACGTCGTTAAAAGGAGGAAGAAGAACGACTGATGAAGTGCTGGTGTTTTCTTCATCATTTTTGTCTCTTCGCGTTTCAAACCGTTGTTTTTGCGACGTCGACGGTGCCTTTCTTAATAAATGAAGTCTTTTTCTTCTTCTCTTTAAGAAAGAATCACTCGCGTTTTGCGCGCTCGCCCGAAGAAAGAGTTGAATATGTTGTGTTCTATTTGTGCGCGTGCGTGCGTGCGCGTGTGTATATATTTTAAACGCGCAAAAGCGAAAAGAATAATAGCGTGGAGACGAAGTTTTTTATTCGTTTCGAAGCGACAAGCGACAGAGACTCACTTTTTCAGTCACGCGAAGGCAAGACCCAAACGAGCAAATTCCAAACAGGAATCTTTCGTCAGAAACAGAAGTTCGTCCAGTGACATAGAGAACGAAAGGTACGCACACACAGTTTTGTTACGAGCACACAACACGCGTGCACGCGTCGAATAACACTCTCCAAACGCAACGATATCGCCATTTACGGCGCGTTCGATTCGCGAGCGTGGATACGTAGTGAAAGACGATTGTCTCCGTTGTTTTCTTTTTGCGCGCGTACATTTTTTGCCTGTGTTTTTGACCCTCGCCGCGAGTCCGGAAATGCGTGGGTATTGGGTACATGCGAACGTATACGTTGAGATTTAGGGCGGTAAACAGAACGTTTAATCGCGTTTACGTTTGATTACGCGCTCTTTTCTGTTGACTGTTGCGTTTGTGTGTCGCCAAGTAGAGCGCGTTCGAGTTCCATTCTTTGGACCCAAAATGGGAGAAAAAGGCAGAGAAAGAAATGCATGACACTTTTGATTTACACACTAGTTATACTCACATCTCACTCTTTACGTCTTTCCTGAACAACAGATGCCGCCGAAAGCGCCAGAGTCAAAGGCCGCGAAGTTAGCGAAAGCTGCCGCGGGGGGTAAAGCCAAAAAGAAGAAGTGGTCCAAAGGGAAATCCAAGGAGAAGGCGCAAAACCAGGTCTTGTTTGAACAATCCACTTACGATAAGTTACTCGCGGAAGTCCCGAAATACAAGATGATCACCGTATCCATCTTGTGCGATCGTTTGAGAATCACGTGCTCGTTAGCCAGAAAAGGTATTGCTATCTTGGTCGCCAAGGGTTTGATCAAGCCGGTCGTTAGACACTCGCAACAAGACGTTTATACGAGAGCAATTGCCGAAGCGTAAAACAAATATACTACATTTATTAGAGTTGGATTAGAAAACATAGCTTAAAGAAGACTATTATTCGTGTGATGAATACATATCATATCATATAATTGTTCGTAAACACATTAATATATCATCGTTCTGTGAAACATGCTTCCCCCGTTCTTTTCCTTCTCGCGTCTTGCCGTTTTCTTTATTTTTTGCAGACGAGCGAAACGTCGTCACTTCGCAGACAAACACATCTGATTATCTCAACGCTGAAAAAGAAACGATTCTTTGCAGCAAATGTCACGTGGAGTCACACAACCTCTCGCATCCATCGCAGAAGTCCGCAGGTTTACTCGTTCTTCTCGTGTGCCCTCATGCACGAGCAACGCTGCCGCGACTTCTTCTTCCTCTTCTTCTTCTTCCCAAAAAAGCAGTTACGAGTCGTCGCATTGGAATGAAAGATATGAGAAAGAGTCACACGAATGGATGTGGACGTTCACGGATGAAGAAAATGACGAGATTGAACTTGCCTTGCGACATTTCAGAGCTACAAATTTGGACGTAATGGACGTTACCGCGGAAACATTCCCGTTGAGTTCGTCTTTTCAAAACAAGCTATTGGCTATGAGGGACGAAATCCTCCAAGGGAGAGGTTTCGCAGTGCAAAGAGGACTGACCGTGGGGCGATATTCGAACAAAGATATTTGCACAATATTTTGTGCGATTGGAAAAATAATGGGCATACCAGTGAGCCAGAATAAATTCGGTCACGTGTTAGGGCACGTCTATGATTTAGGAAATGATCCGCTTTCGCCTTCAACACGACTGTATACGACCAGCGCTGCGCAACCTTTCCATACTGATTCTGCAGATATAGTTGGGTTGCTCTGTATTCGAAATGCCCCAGTGGGAGGTGACTCCCAATGGGTATCCTCTGTTCGCTGCTACGAAGAGATAAAGAGAGAGCGAGCAGATTTAGCAGAAGTTTTGTTGCAACCGTTTTTTGTTTCTCGAAAAGGCGAGATACCACCGGGATGCGGGCCTACTTACGAGATGGCTGTCTTTCACGAAGTAGAAGACGATCGAACGGGCGAGAAAAATATAATCGGTATCTACGATCGATCCTTCATAGACGCAGCTCAGACGATAGAGGGAACTCCAAAATTAACTAGTTTACAAATCGAAGCCTTAAACTACCTCGACGCGCTCTGCGTAAAACGACAGATTGAGATGCGCTTACAATCTGGAGACATCCAATGGCTGCACAACCACACGACTTTCCACGCGCGCAGCGCTTTCAAAAAAAGCGAGTTCCCGAGACATTTATTGCGCCTCTGGCTTTCGCCCGAAAACGGAATTAAACTCCCAGACGCGTTCAAAACGAGATTCAACTCGACTGAACGAGGGAGTCCAAACCGCGGCGGCATCAAAATCAAGGACGATGTGAAACTCGTTTGCCCGTTAGAACCGTAGTTTTTAGTAGACACACACCATTTGTACCTGTACCAACACAAATTCATATTATTTTTATAAAATTGAAGGCACCTGTAACAAAGTAACGCCTCAAAAATATAATGTCGACCAGCGGCGGATACGGTGGTAAAACCATCGTCGTCACCACAGCGGCAGTTGGTGCGTTCGTTGCCACCGTCGGCGCCGTGTTTGCGTACACCAACAGCGAAGAGTACCAATCTTCTTCCTCCTCTTCTTCTTCTTCCTCATCGAATTGGAAAAGAAAAATCCTCGACTCGTTTTTAACGACCTCTTCGTACGTGACGAATAAAGCGAGTCAAATGAAATCCGAACACCGAAGAAGAGAGAAGAAAATGCTCACGACTCAAATGTGGTTCGATGGATGCGACGAGTCAGGCCGTATTGTAAACCCAGAGGCCATGAGGAAGATTATCATCGAAGGCGGTATCGAATCCGCGTTGCGTCAAGAAGTGTACCCGTTCTTGTTGAACATAAGGGACCCGAAGGACTCCGCGGTGGAAGTTGAACAGGCGAAACAGATGCGGAAAGTCAAATACGACGCGTTGAGGAAACGATGTAAAGAGCTGGAACTGATGATGAAGAGTGGAAAGGCGTATAGTAAAGACTCGTTACCTCCGAGAGATTTGGGCGTCTTCACGGAAAATGCCCCTGTAATCAAAGCGGATGCGCCGAGAACGACTTTTGTATACGGAGAATTCGCGGCAACGTACGACGCGTGCGACGACGCGAATACCGCCGCGCTATTAGAAAAGGATTTGAACGTTTTGAGTAGTGGTGATAAAAAGAATAGTAAGAAAAAATCATGGGAAGTAGTGCAGACACAGCGGTGTCGGAAAATCTTGGAAGCTTTCGCGCTTTATGATCCAACAGTTGGGTATTGTCAAGGAATGAACGAGTTGGCGGCTGGATTTTTACGAGACTGCGTGGATGAATCCGAAGCGTTTTGGTGCTTCGCGCATTTTACTTCCGGAGCGTTTAGAAGTCATTTTGTCATCTCCGGACATGCGCATTTAGACGGCGGCATTTCAGAACGCTTGCTCGCTTTGTCGACAATTTTTCAAATATGCGATAAACCGCTTTGGAAACATCTCCACTCTTTGAATAGCGAGAACTGCATGTTTGCATTTCGATCGGTTGTTGTGTTACTTTCGCGTGAATTGGACGTCTCTTCAACGATATTTCTTTGGGACGTGTTGATGGCGACGAGAGATTTCGCCCCAACTGCTGAAGCGACGGCGATGTCGGCGGCTGCGGCGGTGTACGAAGAACGTAACAATTCACAATTCGATGGCGACTCAGACATTTTAGAAGTTTTAACGGTCGGTGGAGGACGATTGTTTTTACACGTCGTAGCAGCTGCGTTTCTAGAAATGCGGCACAGTGTGTTTTCCTGCAAAAATTACGACGACCTGTTGCAGCTGTGTAGCCGCATGCCAGCGCAACAGTTTAGCGTTTCGAGACTCTTGGCGAAAGCGAAGGTATTGCTCAGCAAAACAAGAGGCGTGGGCGAAGCAAAAGTTTCCCAAAACGTGGCGGCAGCCGCGCTTTTTTAGTTTTTGAATTAGTATCGTTACAAATAATTTACGGCTTTATCGCCAACCGCATACTCGCCTTGAATGTCAGTAGGCGCCATTTTCGAACCTTTTTCAGGAATGCCAGACAAATCGACGCATTTAACCTCACCTAACTCAAACGGATAATCTAAATGGTGTCTCCCCAAATCGGTTCCATATAACGCCGCACAAAAACACGACAGTGTATCCGCATGCGAAACCAATACGATATCCGTGCCGAAATATGTAGCCTCTAATCTCGTGAACGCTTCGAGCGTCCTTCTGTACAAATCTCTCACCGACTCAACGCTTGCAGACGGCTGCAAAGAGTCCGACACAGGTGGAGGCGTCGATAGAGGATCTTTCAAATCATTTTCCCAGACTTCTTTCCAATTTGATTGGTCCTGGAAATCTAAACTTCCCATCTTTCTCGGGTCCAACAAACCGCTGAACTCTGTCCTCACTTCGCTAAAGAGTAATCCTAAGTCTTCTCGCATAACCAGCGCCGTTTGGAACGACCGCTGAAAATTACTCGTGTATAACCACGACGGCGAACCGTCGTACTCTTCGACAATAATTCTCGCAGCTTCGTGCACTTGTTCCACGCCTTTTGCGGTCAATCCGTAAGTGGTGTCATATTTATAACTCGGATTCGATAATATCTGATTTCGTACGTCTAACGTACTCTCCCCGTGTCTGACGAGGAAGTATCTGTTGTGCAATCGACTGGGTAAATCAATGAACGCTTTCGCTTCTTCCGTGTTGTCGTAATATTTCGTTCCTAAAACCAATCCACTCGCTGCTAACAAAGCTTTCCGTCTGTTCGTCGTCGTCCTGGTCGTCTTCTCGCTCGGAGTAACCACATTTCCAATCGGGGACGAACACGAAGCGCCTCTCGAATTCAACCGGCGATTAGATGAGCGATTCTCTCCTCGTCGTCGGTTTGTGCGATGTTCATCATTTCGAAATAAACCTCTTCTTCTTTGCCTGTTAAATACGTATGCTGTTTCTACCTGGGCTGCTTTCGTCGTCGTCGTCGTTCGAGTCATCGTGTTTGCGAATATTTAAAAATTGAACCACCTCAAAGAGCAAAAGATATGACGAAGGACAGAAAAAGTGAGAATTCAAGGAAAAGCGCGGGAGTGCACAGCCAGCACAGAGCGACAAAAAAAGGTGCACGGAAAAAATTAAAGAGAAAAAAGAAAGAAGAATGGGGAAGAAACGACCGCCATCTTCGGATGAAGAGGAGGATGAAGAGGACGAGGAAGAGGAAGAGGAATTAAACTTGGAAGCGTTTGAAGATTCAGAGGAAGAAGAGTACGATTCAGACGTGCGTATTTCGTAGAAATATATTTGTAAAGCTTTCGGAATGCAAAAAGCAGCCGCCATTGGTTTCTTTCTTTTTATCCTTCGCGTTCCTCTAACGCGCGATTCTTCTCTCATCTCTCCTTCGCTCGCGCATTGGTTTATACGCATTTTGCGCGCATAACTGACCCATCTTCTTTTCTCTCCTTTTTTTAAATGCCGACAAAACAAACAGGAGGAACTCGAAGCAGAAATGAAAGCGTTAGAAAGCATACAAGCAGATCGACGGAAACAGCAACACTCGAATCACCCCTCGCACTCTTCTCGCGACGCGAACAAAGTTTTCGTCAACAACAAAACGGGATTGAAGCAATCTTTGGAAGATTTTCAGTGGACGAATAAAGCGAATTGGTTCGACCATCTCGTCGTCGTTGGAGAGAACAGAGAGGAAAAGTTAGAAACGGTGGATGATGATCTCACTCGAGAGACGTTCTTTTACGAACGGGCGTTGGAGTCGGCGAACCAGGCGGTGAAGAAGTTGAAGAAACTCGGAGTTCCAGTGAAGAGACCGCACGATTATTACGCGGAGATGGTGAAATCGGACGAACACATGAAGAAAGTCCGCTCGGAGTTGATGTATGAGCAGCAACAGTTAGAAATTAGAGACGAGAGACGAAAGACGAGAGAGGCAAAGAGATACGGCAAGCAAGTCCAAGCCGAAAAAGTGAAGCAACGAACGCTGGCGAAGAAGGAAGCTATTAAAGACTTAGATAAATGGAGGTCGCAGAGGAAGAAGTCTGGGTTCGCAGACGACGGGAAGGCGCCGTTTGAAGGTGCCGGCGGAGATGTGAAGAGAAAAAGAGAAACCCGAGACTCTAAGTTTGGTTTTGGCGGCAAAAAGAGGGTGCGTCGTTTTATTTTGTGTTGTTCTTTCAAAGAATTCGTCTCGTTTCTTCCATTTCGTTTAGGCGGATATAGGGGGTGCTGCCCGCATCCCCTGCATCAATGCGACTGGGGCATCGAAAACTTCCACGGTGTATATCCCTGCTCAAACGCCTTACATAGACCGGCGGTTGTAGGCGTCAGCAATTTATTTTGTTTTCGCCTCCCTAACCGGGGTGAGCATATTCCATTGCCTAGGCAAAGCGGCGTCGCTGCAGTTATGTCACGGGACAGACCATGCTATCTATATTCTTCTTCTCTTTCTCTTTCTTTCTCGTTTACTTGTTTAGTCCTTCGTCATCCATGAAAAATATTAACGACGCGTTCATCTCTGTTCTATTTCTTTTCTACACGCAGGGAATGAAACGAAACGATAAGAATTCGGCAAGGGACATGTCTGATTACAAACCGGCGAGTTTCGATCGAGGAGGCAACGGCAAATACGCATCCGGCGGCGGTGGTCGAAAAGGAGGTAAAGGAAAGAAAAGATGAAAAAACTTGCTTGAAAGCCAACTACAGTAGCATTTGTTATTAGCATTACCTTAATTATACACAATACATTTGATTTAATATTCCTACAACTATCACGTCAAAAAGCGCTCGTCAAACTTCCCATCCGCGTCGAATCTGCATTCGTCTTTCTTGCCCAACAAATTGTATCTATTACTCGCTACCGCCGTATACACTGTATCCCGTATAAATGTCGGCACAAACGCATTCGCAACTTTCGCAAACGGAGATAACGGTATCCCGTAAAAGTTCCCGAGTTTTGCGCCGATCCTTAATACCGCATCCGATTTGAAATAGAATTTTAACTCGTTGTTGTTGTTGTTGTTGTTGCTCTGTCCTTCGCCTTTTTCGACCAGCACTATCGAGCTGATATCATCCCGTCTCTTCCCAGCTTTCTCTAATAACGTTTTTCCTAGTTCCGATTGCAAGGCTGCGAACCGTAACGCGCCGTCTGGCGTGTTGTCCGTATCCAAAACGAAATTCACTCCTCCGTGGCACAAGTTACACACGCCGTCGAATAATATTACCGGTCGAGAATCTGAATCGGAGAAAACGTCCTCGAGAAGGTTGGTTTTTGAGAACGATGACGACGACACAGAAGCTTTGACGATGTTCTTCTTTCTTTTCGATGAAGATGACGTTGACGAGAGTCGACGAGAACTTCTTCTCGGTGTGTTCTTCTTCGTGATTTTGTTCGTCGTACGATTCCTCTTTGAATTGAACGTCATTTGTGATGCGCGAGTTGTACATTCCATTGACTCTCTCTCGCTCTTTTTCTCTCTCCTACGTAGGAGGTGTTCACGCGCGGGCGAGAGGAAAAATGAAGAGAAGAAAGAAGCTTTTGGTTGGTGAATGCTAAAAAACACTAGTCTTTGGTCATTATTAAATTAAAACGTTTCGTCGTCAAAGAACATCTCGCGCTTAGCTAAGTATGGCACCGAATCTGGGTTGTATACCCAAGCGACCAATGCACCGTTGGAGCTATGAATCGTGAGTTCTCTCGTATCTTCGGTCCCGTCGACGGGGTCGTTGTACGCTTGGATAAATTTACTCATCGGTTCGATGAATGTCTCTCTGGCGTGTTCTTTCAAACCTTCCGCGGACATCATGTACTTTACGAATGCAGACGCGCGTTTAGAAATTTTTTCGCATTCTCCTGGGTTTGATTTCGCCCAATTCAATTGCTTGTCTAAATCCGACAAGTCTGTGCTCACCGGAATGTAATGTTTCCACGCCTCGATTTTGCCATAAAACGAATCTTTCATTGGAGTTTCGTGATGAAAGAGAACCCCAGGCATGCCCATGGCCCAAAACGTTGTCTTCCACGAGGTCCCACCGCCACCGCCGAGATCCAGCAAGTACTTGTACTGCGCGTAATCGCATGCCGTTTTCGTTTCCTTAGAAAATGTGGGGAGCGTATTTTCAATACACAACGTCGGCGGCGCGTTTGGGTTGGAATCTGTGAATTTAATGTCGTAATCGTCTTGGTTCACCGCCGCGTGAACAACCGCGCGTAAGCGTGGTGGTAGGCGATCGTTAAACGCTTTCCCGCTGTTACTCCCAGAATTAAGAATGGCGTTTACGATGTCTCCAGCGATCGCACCGCAGAGATTGTGATTGTCTAAAAACTTCGTTCCGCTCGTCGTTCCTACAGACGGGTACATCTCCAAAAACGGCCAGTCGCTCCCTCGCCAAAACATCTTCGGTATCAAACTATCAAACGAAGCCGTACTTTCTGTAAACATTTTATCTTCCTTACACTGTCCTGGACTACTGAACCACTCGCACTGACCATACTGCTCCGGCGCAAATGCGTGAGCTATGCACGGTGTAAATGGCAAAGTTGGCGCCTGGATCAATCCGGAAATCTTCGAAGAATCTTTTGGCACGGTGCCAAACGAAAATATCGGCGCTTTACTCTGTCCACATCCGCTCGCGCTATCGACGCATGCGTTTCGAGGGTAATCCTGTGTCGCCCACCCGAAGTGGATAGGTTTGTCCACGTCCGAAAACTCTGCTTTCATGACCGCTTTTATAAACATATCTGCCCCTGTTGAACGGTCATCGAGACTTTGTGCCCCAGATGGTGTAATCGTCCAAGATTGGCCATTTTCTTTCGACCCTCCCCATTCAAACACGTGCATCGGCATTCTCATTTGCTCCGGTTGCGTCAAGTCCCTCGCTTCCAACACGTCCTCGTACGATATAGACGACGGCGCTTGCCAATCAAAATCAAACGAAGAACGGCTGTCTTCTCTCACTGAATCGAAGCTGCTCTTCAAAAACGATCCCATAGCGACTAAGGCGCACCCACCAACCGTAATCATAAACATGGTGTTGCAAAACACTTTCGCAGTTATCCCGTCCTTTTCCTCTAAATCCTCGGCTTTATTCAGACCATCATTTCTACTCCTACTTCTCTTCGACGACGAAGACGACGATGCCAACAAGCTTTCTCGCTCTCGATTCGAGCCTATTTCATTTCTATACCGCGTTGTCATTTGTTCTCTATTATTCTCCCTCTTTCTCTCAACAAAGAAGAAAAAAGGGTGTCGTTTTGCGGGGGGGGGCTCTTTTTATTGGAAATGTGCGCGGCCTCCTTTTTTACTGCCGATGGGTGTTGTCCACAGAACGAGAGAGAAAAAGAAAAACAAGCGCGCCAAAAGCGTTTGTTCTCTCGCGCAAAAGGGTAAAAGTGGCAAGAAAGCTTCTCTTCTCGCGTCGGTCGATCGCTTTTGTGTGATGTGTTGTTTTCAATGCGAGGTAAATACACACAGGCAAAAGCGCGCGCGCGATTATTTTGAAGTACGAGTGAATGAAAGAGTGAAAGCTTCTTGTGTGTTTTTGTCGACCCCAACTGCCCAAAAAAAGAAGCAAAAACCACAAACAGAACGAAAGAAAAACCACAAGGATATTACAACGTAATAAAAAGCACTTGATGCATTATTAATGCCATCATCAAAATCTAAATGAGCAGCCGAAGTGGTGGTGGCGCGATATTATTAATCTCCTCATCGGGCGCGTTGTTCTCGAGAAGCCCCTCTACTACCGCGACGAGGACGAGGACGAGGACGAAGACGACGACAAAGTTTGTTCTTCTTCAACGTTGTTGTTTTCATCATCAAAATCATCATCGAAAAGAAATGGGAAACAGGGCGACGAGGACGGCGAGAACGAGAACTGGTTGTTCAACCATGAGGGCGTCGGCAACGAACGAAACGGATCTTCAAAGCGACGACGACGATAGTGCTGTTATTAATGAGAGAAGGAAAGCAAAAGTATTAGTCGTTGGCGCCGGGGCGTCTGGTTTAGTCTGCGCGAAAGAGTTGCGACAACGAGGACACGAGGTGAGAGTTTTTGAAACGAAGAGTAACTTGGGCGGCGTGTGGTTACACGCCACCGCAAATAACGAGAACAAAACCACGAAAACGGCCATGTACGATTCGTTGCGGACGAACTTACCGAGAGAGGTGATGGGTTACGAAGCATTTCCGTTTATTGCTTCTTCTTCCTCTTCTTCATCCGTCGACGCGCGACGGTTTTGCTCGCACAAAGAAGTACAAGGGTATTTGCAAGAGTTTGCAAAAAACTTTAGACTGTTCGATGTTCTCGAGTTTAACACGACCGTGAAAGAGTGCAGAAAGAAAAAAGATGGGGAGGAGAAATTAGCAGAACGCGAAGAAGAATTCGGCCCGAAATGGACGGTGAAATATGAACAAGGAGAGAAGAAAGAGCTCAAGCGGGACACGTTCGACGCCATCGTCGTGGCAAATGGACATTACTCGAAACCGAGAAGTGCTCGGTTTCTTGGAGCAGACGTGTTTCCTGGAAAGCAAATGCACTCATCGACGTATAAAGAACCTTCGGTGTTCACGAATCAAAATGTCGTTCTGATTGGCGCGCAAGCCTCTGGCGAAGATATCTCGCGAGATATCGCAACAAAGGCGAAGAGTGTGTATTTGAGCGCAAAGACATGGCAAAATGCAGAGTGGGGGTCGAATCCAAACATATCGGAGAACTTGTTTCGGAAACCAAACGTTAAAGCGCTTCTAGAGAACGGTTCGGTAGAATTTGAAGATGGGAGCGTAGTTGAAAACGTCGATGCGATCGTGTACTGCATCGGATACGAGTACGATTTTCCATTCTTGGATCCAAAAGATGCAAATTTTTCAGTCGATGATAATTACGTCAATCCTTTGTATGAACACTTATTCGTCCCGGAAAACCGATCGAGTTTATCTTTTGTCGGTTTGTGTTGGAAAGTAGTCCCGTTCCCACAGTTTGAGTTGCAAGCGAAGTGGATTGCAAAGCTTTTATCTGGGGAATTGAAGCTACCGCCGACGAAGGAAATGAAGATACACGTGGAAAATTTCGAAAACGATCGTAAAAGTCAAAATATCCCCAAGCGGCACTGGCACTGCTTAGGCGCCGAACAGTTTGCATATAACGATAGAATAGCCGAGTACGCCAAGGAAACAAAATTAAAGGAATGGAGGTGGGAGATGTACGAAAAAACAGGAATCAATAAGAGAACAAACCCAGAAAAGTACCGAGAAGAACACAACGACGGAGAAGTTTTGGAGAAAGCAATGAATGAAGAGTTGACGATGATGATGATGAGCATCAGCAGCGAAGGCACTCGTCGAGGGGACTCTCAAGTCGTTAACGCGCTCGCAAAAGAGAACGGAAAGGAGAAAAACGAAGCAAGCAGCGATCCCCCGTTATCGGCATCTGAAAGAGAAATAGTAGAAAGCCAACTGAACGCTTTATCGGACTCGCAAATGAAACAAGTGAAAATTTACTCTTCGCTTCTGTTGGAATGGAATCAGAAAATGAACTTAACTGGCGCGAAAACAGAAAACGACGTCTTGGAGCGTCACGTCGCAGACTCACTATCCATCATAGAAGCCATTGAAAATACGTGTCCTAATAGCAAAGACACCTCGAAACCGTTCAAGATAATCGACGTTGGCACGGGCGCTGGATTTCCAGGAATGGTTTTAGCCATCGCACGTCCGCATTGGGAAATATCCCTCTTGGACTCGCTGCAAAAGAGAACTAAATTCTTAGATCACGTTGCCGATTCGGCGGGAATAAAAAATGTGAAAACAATTTGGAGCAGAGCTGAAGATGCGGGTAAATTTGAGTCCGAACATCGCGAACAGTTTGATGTTGCGACGGCGCGCGCGGTTGCCGATTTGCGCTTATTGTCGGAGCTTTGCATTCCGTTCGTGAAAGTCGGTGGCGCTTGGATTGCGATGAAAAATCAATCTGGTTTGGAAGAAATTGAATCGGCGTCAAAAGCGGTCGAGATATTAGGTGGAGAAGCGATGTCGTATCAGGAAGTTCAAAGTATTGGTCCGGATGGAAATTTGCGAACTGTTGTGACAAGTTACAAGCTCACGGAAACGGACAAAAAATATCCCAGAAGGGCGGGCACTCCGCAGAAAAAACCTTTATGATGCTTATAGAGCGCGCGATAGTAGTAAATATAGCATTAGCTAATTGTACCTAGGTACCACGTATATCTAGAAGTAATTCAAAATTCGAATAAGTTAACGGTGAATCCATTTTCTTTAGTATTTTGCGAATTAAAAGAAGCTAGCGATTTTAGAGAACACGTTACTTTGCTCATTCGATTCGTCTTTGAGATCTTGAATAACGCCCCAATCAACTTCGCCCTTCTCTGCGTCTCGACCAGATCCTCCTCTCAAAGCGGGTAAACTGACCGGTAAATAAGAGAATCGTAACGTTTCGCTCGCAGTGGAGGTAGTGCTGGACGTGGGCGTTCGTTTCTTGCTCGCAGCTGTGGACACGTCTTTGTGCAACTTGTATAGTTGCACAAAAGAACCGAGCAACACGGAACAGCGAACATAACATCTTGCTTCATTTCCCCATAAATACGGTTCATACGTAGCCCAGTCGATTGGATCGAGACCCTTGATGAGAGATTGTGTAATGACTCGCGCCTTTTCATTTGCGAGCTTTGGAGCCTCCGGGCTCGGTTTCATGCCACCGGCCAAGAAATCGTGGACCAGACGTTGATCGAAGAGCATTTGTAACGCCCCTTTCTCCGATAACTCCGTATTATTAAGGAGCTGCACTTTTTTAGAAACTGATGAATCCGAAAGTCCGAGAAAGTTCGCATAAGCGGACATAGCACCATTACCAAGTGCATCGGCGAAATGTTTCAAGGCTCTTTTCGACAGCACATGTCCTCCCGCTTTACTCACAAGTCTCGAAGCCTTGTGCAACATTTCCAAAACATAGCTCGATGGTAACGCCGGAAGCTCGATGGTGACATCGTCGGATGTTCCAAGAGCGATGGTTTCCCAATCGTGTGGAGCATGAGCCAATTCTAACTGATCGTCGTTTAACAAGTTTTCCTCCAAGTCTTTCACACAGAGAGAAGATACAAAGTCGACCCAAATGCTAAACGCTTCGTCCGATGCTAAAAGCAAAGCTTCGTTCACTTCAGTTAATATTCTATTACTTTCACTTTGCCGCGGTATTTTCGAAGCAGCTGCTCTACCGCTACCACTACCGCTCGATGTTTTGACATTGTACCACTCCGACGCAGGTCCAAGAATGAGGGCGATCTCGCCAGAGTGCGTCGCGATAACATGCGCAAGTCTTCCGCACAACAAAGCTTTTTCGACGACAACATCTTTCGTGCGATTTCGTTTTACAGAATCTCTTTTAATCTCCGCAACCTTTTGGCTCAAAAACGAAGAAAAGCCGACGATACCTCTCGCCGCTTCTCCTTTCACGAAAGGCTCTAAAAATTGAATGCGTTTCTCGTCGTACGCCGAAGTAGAATATGAGCTCGCAGATTTCCCGCCGTGTCGAGCGAGTAACAAGGCGTCCTCTCGCGCACTTTTCAAGCTCTGATCAATTTTTGATGCCAAAGTGCGAGCTAAACTCAAACCTGGAGGAGCTCCGGAGGTGTTGCTATTATTGGAATCCTCAGTAAGCCAAAAGTCTGTGTTTTCTCCAGCTTTGATGTTTTCCATTATCGATTCTTCTTTTAAGGCGTCATTGAGTAATTTCCTCGCGGAAACATGCGCTAAAGTGTTCGCGAGTAAAGTTTTACCGCGCTCTAACATTGGTTCCTCGAAAAGAGTCGTCAAAATATTTATATCCTTATCGAGAAATGCGAGCGAGAATTCAGACCACGTCGAAGTCGTTATGGTCGCATCTTTACTTTTCTTTCCAGAACTCAACTTTTTCAGATGCGCTCTTTCAACCTTTTCGCACGTTTCGTTTGCATTTCTTTCTGCTTCAGCTACGCGTGAGCACTTATCTAACCCCTCAAATACCTTCTTGCCCCTAGCTTTCGCATCGGCGGCAACATCAGCGAGCCAACTTTGTATGGATGAAGAAACGCTTTCCTTCGATTCCGCCACTGTGCTCCTCTCACGAGCGCTTATAGATTCGTGCCACAATTCGTCTTCTCTTACTGGTTCAGAAACGCCTGAAAACTGAGAGTTCCCTTCCATTGGTCGTTGATTTAATGTCTGAAAGAACAATGGCGTTCCTTTCTCGCTATCTTCGTTCTCAACGAAGAGTTTTCGAGCTAACCTAGTTGCTTTTCGAATCTCTGCGCATATTAAACCTAAAGCTTTTCCCAGCCTGAGCGCATCTGATTCACTGTTCAACTTGCGCAAACTCGCTCTAACCCACGCCCGTCTCGATTGTAGCAATATTTGCAACAGTACTCTTGGTTCTTTAATGTCTTCGACGACGTATACGGCACACAAAGCCGAAGCAACTTGCTCCGGCGTGTCCGTGACGCGTTGCAAAGCCAGACGAGATTTTTTCGAGATTTGCCCGGAAAACGAATGCAACGCGTTCGCTTGCGCGGTGATCAATGGAAACGTCTTAAAGATTCGCTCGTCTGCCTTCATCTTCTCTTGCAAGCACGCCAGAATGATTTTACTCGCTCCGAACCGTTTCGCCGCTTCGTAGCACGATCCAGCTTCCAAGTATCCCCAAATTTGCTCCGGAGAGTCCACCAAGTACTTCACGCGAGACCCCGCGGCGTATAACACGTCTCGCAACTCTTGATCGATTTGTTCGTTTTGATTTTCCCCCCTAGTTCTGTCCGCGTTGTTACCGCTTTTGTTCGTTCTCGAAACTTCCTCTGCTTCTTCGCTCACGTCTAACGTTCCAAACACTTTTACCAACTCCTTGATTTCTGTGATGCACTCGCTCAACTTTCCCGTTTCTTCGCTCATCTGCACGAGATCGTCCGCGTTCGCGATGGCATCTTTATAACTCGACCCGATAATTTGCCTCAACTCTTCTTGCTTATCGTCGGCTTCTTTCCGAGTTCGAACTTCAATTTCTCTCACCTCTTTCACCGAACGCGATTCGAAAATCTCTTCGACTGCTTTCAAGACTTGAGGAGAGAAGGTCTCTTGTTGTTGTTCTTTTTTGGTCGTTTCCTTGCCAGCGTCGCCGTTCATCGCCTCGAACGCGGCGCCGTGGGAAGACGCGGACGCTTTGTTGGCTTCCATCTTCTCCTCGACCATCATCATGGTGATCCTGCGCGAGACCGAAAAAAAAAGTGAGGTTGAGCAGAAGCGCTGAAAAAATGAGAAAAAAAAAAAAAGCGGCCGAGGTCCAAAAAAATTTAAGTTACACACGTATATATTAATACAGGTGGTACCGGGTACCTCATGCGTATTTTTATTCAAAACTATTAAACCCAAGCAGCCCACCCGTGATACATCTTGGATAACTTCTCTTCATCTTGCGCGTCGTGCAAGAGCTGCTGTACTTGACCTTCGACGGAACGGATTTCGCCTTCCTCGTAGCCGTCAAGTTTTTGCTTGACGCGAAGCAAAGCGCGCTCGGCATCCAAGTTCCCGGTTTGCGCTGCTAAACCGTCGTCTGCTTCTTCGACGGACGCTCCGGTTCTTTGCCGTTTTGAGCTTACTGCCCATTTCACGATCGGATCGTAAACTAATACCGCTATGATGGTTGTCAGAGCATCTTTGTTTGCCCGCAAAACTTTCATGGTTTCTTCGCAGCATCTTCGCATGACGCCTTCGACTCCACACGCTCCCATGCCATCCACTAAATCTCTCGTCAGCCGAAAAGGGACCCTTTCTGGGGTTTTTAAGTACAAACCTTGCTCGAACGCGATGCCCAAGTCAATGTGCACAACTTCAGCGGTTTTGTTATCAATCAAAATGTTCGAATTGTGGCGATCGCCCAATCCAATAACGTAACCAACCATGCTATTCACAGCCACCGATCGAGTGTATTGTAATCGCGCAGCGTGCCATTGCGCTGGTAACGCAAAATTTTCTAGGAAGAGGTGATGCATGACTGGTTTGAATTTGTCACAAATTTCGTCGTAGGTTGCGCGAAGGCTGTTCAAGGATATTGCTTGCATCATCATCTCTCGACATTTATCTGATTTCAAATCGTTTGGTCGGTAGCGCTCATGAGCAGATCGAACGCCTCCTTCACCGTTGACTAAGTAACTTGCAAGTGTCATGGTATCGTCGACCCATTCCAAAAGGCCAGCTTCCGGAGTAAATGGGATTACTTTGTAAGTCCTGACGCGTAATTTTCGTGCGCCTTGGGTCGTTTTCAGTAAAGAGTTGGTCAATTTGAAGTACTGCTGCATGACCGCGTCTTGCCGCAAGTCATCGTTGCCAGATTTTGCGAGCTGTTTGTAAACATTTCCGTCTGATCCGTAACACTCGACTAATTTAGGCTGATTGATACCACCAACGAGTCTGCAGTTTTCACCAAAGTGCCGAAAAGTTGCGATACCAGAATTTGCGAGATTGTATTCACAATCAAAGTCGACTGGCACGTCGGCCGTTAAGACGGGTAGTAAATCTAAGTCACTCAGCGCCCTTTTCTTCACTTGCGATGGAATAGGATACGGGTTTCTCGATTTGCTCTTATCGATGCGGTTCTGCGCAAGTAAAATATACGCTTCGATCATCTTTTCCATTTGCTCAATCATAGGCCTAAATTTGCCATCCTTATTTCGAATTCTCTCGATAATTTCGTTAGCAACTATGACTTTAGGATCATCAGTAGCAGAGGACCGCATCTGAGCAAATACATGGTATAAAACATGGTATGGATGATCAGAGGCCATTTTCATGACCAGATCTGTCATGTTCTGCATGTACGATTCGTCGACGCCATCGACTCCTAATCTGGAAACAATCTGATGAGTCAGCTCGAGCCAATTGTGGGTCAGGACCGTATCAATTACTTTTCGGATCTCACTGTTCAAGATAGGAGCAACGTCGTCGCTGTATTCACGACTTCTGTCCGAACTTCCTCCGCAGTTGTTTATCCACAGTTCGAAAAATCGAAAAACTGCTCTTCGAACATAAAAATCTCCGCAATTTAAGCTCCTGCGGTAGTTTTGAATGGTCAAGACTAACCAATTGTCTAAACTTAAAACTAATGTAGTAGATTCTTCACAGTCTGCGGTGACTTGCGTGTGCAAAGGTTGTACTTTGCGAGTTAGTTCACGAACTTCTTGTTCCCATTTCGCTTTGTTGGAACTTCTCATCGCAACATTGTCCCGAGTCGTTCTGAGTTGTTGCTCGAGGCGAAAGTATTCTTCCTCGTTCAGTCTCTTGAGTTCCTCCTGCTTTAGCCACTCTGTACTTTTCAATCGGGCGTCTATAGACTTGTATTGAGAATATGCGAATGTCGCCAAGCGAAAGTATGCCTTTGCAATCTTCCTATTATTCTTCACATCTGCTGTTCGAACACTTTTTGTCATCCCACGAACGGCAGAAAACATTTGAGCGTATACCTGGTTGGAAGATTCAGATCGTGTTTGATGCTGCCATTTCGATAAAAGTGTCAAAACTTCAAAGAAAATATCGGGAGCAGAATTCATTGTAGGGGGTAAATGTGCAACATGTCCTGCTTCATCGCATACTTCGTTCTGTAGTCGCGCAAGTTTGATCTTGGGCGAATATCCTTCGATTAAAGACTTTGCAAGTGCAATAGCCGCGGTCTTCCTTCCCATTGCCCAGGATAACTTAGCTTCTTCTACCTTCCAAGTTGCGAGAGAGGAGTGCAGAACTGAATTACTGCACCTTTTTGCGTCGCTCGGTCTCGGTGTTGTTTCCGCAACTAGACGAAGTTCCCTAACAGCTTGCAATGCTTCATCAAAAGCACCTGCTTTCCGAGCAATCGTGACAGTTAACAGGAGCTGTTTAGCGAGCGCTTCCTTATACCCGAAGGCTCTTAAAATTGTTCCTCGAACCGCCAGAAGAGGTTCTGAGATTGAATACGGAGTGATATTTTCCATATCAGTCTTTCCTCCCAAAGATGAATAGTTTACAAGTAGTGTCCTCGACCATTCTTCCTCCAAGCACTTCAGCTGTTCGTCTAGAAGTTCTGGATCCTGTTTGACATTATTACACAGAACCAACGAGTTGTAAATATCATGCAGTGACCGTAAACGAATAATAATTCTATTCATCGTGTCTGCCGATTCAGGACATTCTGCTACTGAGCTGCGAACAAGTCTGGATCCAGCAGCTTGAACAAGAGAAAAGGCGACTTGTAAATCGCCACTTGATAGTGCTCTCAACGAAGAGTGTACGTCCTTATGAAACTTGCCATCAAGTGTAAGAGAAAGTACTGCAGAATCAACCCTGGAATCGTTATCATGATGTCCCTCTTTAGCAGCCTCGTTGTTCGTAATCTCTCCTTGCAAGAACTCAGGACTTAAATCCCATTGCCCAGATCGCCAAGCAGCTTCAAACTGCGCTTCTGCAAGTTCTGGCCTAATTGCCTCAACATCAGAGCTGAGTGATTTGGCATATAAATCCAAAGTGTGCAAACATCCTAAACGCCTAAGTGACTTCATAATTCTTGCTTGAGATTTCACGTACTCAGAGTCACCCCTCTTTCGCACGCGCCGTCCATTGTTATTCCTGCTACTGGCAGCAATTATTCTACAATTCAAATCATGTCCCGCCAGTACTTGTGCCCACGAACCTTCATGCTCGCTCAATCTTAATTGTAACTGCAACGCGTTAGTTCTATTCAGACCGTGCATACCGTCCGGTTCGTTCAAGCATTCTTGTGCTTCGATCAATATTCGAAGATGTCGCGGTACTCCGTTGACCGAATCCTTTTTATCAACGCTTTCGTGTTGATCCAGCTTTACAGTCTGTCTAGTATGCTCAAGCCAAGCCTCAACCAGGAGTGTCGCGGTGAATGGTGCACCAACAGTAATCGCCGCATCGGCAGCATCTAAATAGTCTACATTTACCCAATACGCATGCGTCCATCTCTCTGGCGGTGTTCCTTTGGATGCTTTTCTACCTCCCATACTCTTCCGACCACCACCACCACCCGAGTCTAATGTGACAAGCGCTCTTGCACGTCGAGCTCTTATACTATCCAAAGCTTTCAGCATCGTCTGACATGCACGTTTACCGTTCATATCTGCTGCATCCTGCAAGCAGCGCGAAACGCCTATCGATATGAGTCTATGGTTCTGAGCCTCTTCCGCCGAACTTGTGTCTTTGCGCTCAGGATGGTTTTCGGCTATATCAGCTAAGACTGCAGGGAAAATCAGCTCTGCCAATTCCGCATTCTTGAATGCCGTGATACGACACAGTTTCAGAAATGGAGATTTGCAGTGTGGTATTAATGTCGAGACCAACCTACATATCCACTCACCGTGGCGCTTTTTCATCTCTGCCCCGCTCTTTGGACTTTCTTGATATCGATTTGCAGGTGCCCACAATGCCGGAGAATCCAAAGAAAACATTTGCCCACTATTCTCGTTACAAAGCGCTTTGTCAATCTCACGGTCGTACTTGTCTTGTGCAACTAGCGCACCTTTCTCGGTTTGTTGGACAAACGGTTGGAGATATTCTTTCGTCATCGGATCAAGTCCTTTCAAAGCCTCCAAAGCAGCTTTAGATCCGAGAATTAATCGAGCCGTACGCATAGAACCGATGACAGTGTCTGAGTTATGAGAACATGTCAAATCTGAAATCATAGTCAGAGCTTCTCCAGCTAGTTTGCTCTCGTCAAAGTCTTTATCCATCATTTGTTTGACATGGCGATCTATGGGCGAGAAAAATGCAGAAATATTCGGATTGAGAGGACCAAACATTCCTAGTATTTGAGCAGCGACGGTCAATAATTCTTCATCTCCAACTGATTCAGCGTGTTCAGCGAACTGCCATGCCAGTCCTTCTAATGAATCAGCTTGGTTAAACTTCATGTCACGTCGTAATTCGTCCCGTATTGTATTTACCTGCTCTCCCTGCTCAGCTATTTGTACCTTCTGGACATTCACAACGAGCTCTGGATCGTTGATTATTGCTCGACCTCCACTGAGTAGTGTTTGCGTGCGAGCTACGGGAGGTAAGCCATTTGATGAGTGTATCAAGAACGCCAAATAATATTTCAATCCGTTTGAATCTGGTTTACGAGACTCGGTTTCTGGCAAAAGTTCAGAAGCACGCTTCAGAAGCGGGTTCTTTTTCAGTTCCTCACTCGATATTGGAGAAACATATTCCATAGCTTGCAATACGTTATACGCACATTTCTTATCTGATGGAAATCGATCTGCTCGGGGCTTTTTGTCTACAAAGCAAAAGTCAAGGAGATCTGCAACAAGTGCCGCCGACACCGCCGCACTCGCTTTCTTGTTTCTCGTTGCGTTCAATAAGGTACACATGAGCGGCTGGAGCTGTTCTAGAAATGTAACATTTGACAATCTTGCGCGTTGCTCTACATCTTTCTCAGCTCCTGCCTTCGCTAGGCACTGAACTTCTGGACTTTGTAGAACGTCAACCAAAATGATCTTCAACAATTCAACGCATTCAACACCTAATACTTCATCCTCAACATACGGCATCAAAACGTGTATGAAGTATCTCATCGTAGGAGGAGAAGTAACACTCGTCGAAAGCGCTTGTATTAATGTCTTAATACCTGCAAAAGTTTGCTTTCGAAGTCGCGAACTTGGGGCTTGGTCAAGGGAGTAGTGCAGATGTGCGAGACATCGTAGGGGTCGATCGTTACCCCAGATGTCCCATTCTTTCCCAGCTTGAGATGCTATCCTTTTGATAGCTTCAATTACATCAGATGGGTGCACATAACCTGGCGCAACGTTTCCTACTCCAGCTTCATCACTAGTTGGTTCATCTACAGTATCTAACATCTCTTTCACTATGTCCCCGAGTCTGTCTGACATTTCCGATAGCATTTTTTCTTCCTGATAATCGAAGCCTCGCAACAAAGCTTCGGATTTAAATGCCTTGACGCACCGTTTCTCCGGAGGATTTGAATAAGCTCCTGGATGAATTCGAGCCATAATTGCAGAAAAATGCTGTTTAATCAAATATGCTCCATCATCAGAGTAACCGCAACCTTTGGCAACTTTAGTCACACCATCCGCGTCACATTTCAGTATCAACGCTGGCAAAAGCATATTTGCCCAAAGATGTGCAATTTCTCGCATCGATGATTCCGTCTCAGGAGACATTTGACTCGAACCGGGAAGAAACGTCGTTAAGCCACCTTTTCTGAAGTCAATTGCAAACAGATCCGGATTGTCAAACAGTTTATCTAGTGGTAAAGATGCCATCACCCATAAGTAACTAATAGAACGAGAGTGCCTTCGTATATACGATTTCCTATTTGCGGCTCCGCTGTATTCCATTAATTCATCGATTGCACGGACGGAAACTGCGCGTTGCCTTACATCTCGCACGGCAGCATGCGCGCAAATCATGAACACGCTCCATGGCTCGATCACATCACTTGCAATACCCATTGCCGCTATAGCATATAGTGCACTTGCTTCAATTTCTGGAGTCGTCCCTTCAGCAGGTTTTTCGAGATAAGGACCTGCTTCTATCTTTTCTGAAGAGCCCGGAGCTGGGCAAGCAACTCGAAACTGTGGCAATATGCGTTCCCTGAAGATATCCAAAACATCTGCGTTGTCATACTGTGCGAGCGTAGCCGCTAACGCAAATCCAGCTGAGCACCGAACTTTGAATGAATCGTCTTCCACAAGCACGCATAAAACATCTCCAAATGCAGGCTGAAACGCGTCAACCGAGAGTCTGTGTAATGATTCGATTGTAGAGGCCAATTGTACCCGGCAATCTGCCTGAGCTAGTTCGATAAGATCGCAGATACTTTCATCTTTCATCTTATTTGGATCAATTCCAATGATTTTTTGAACCAATTCAATAATCCTTGGAAAGTATTCAGAACCCAAAGATTCGGCAGCGCCTGATGATTTCTGATCGTGAAGGCGTTTCGAGCGCGAAAAATGATTAACAAAGGTTTCAATACGTTCAAGGATCCATTTCCGTGCCGATATAGGCATCCCTGCACTAGTTTTTGAGTTTTCAGCAAGTCTTTGTAAAGCCTCAAGAGCTTCTATGGTTATCTCGATAGCAAAGGGCACATCAGGCCCTATCAACTCACATATGACTTCAAGAGTACACTCCGCTGGTATACCAACACCAGTTACTCCTCGAGGTATGACGTCACTCGGGGGTACAGCTAATTGAAGTATTGAAGTGAGCTTCTCTGCCGCAGCATTAGCGTCTATTTTACTGTACGCGCGCAAAGCGTTCACTCCAGCAACGACCATTCTTTCGAACGAAGAAATTGTACTTTCTGCACGTTGAGAAAATACATTCGACGTGGTATTATTATACGACTGAGTCGAACCTCCCGTTTGATTAATCGTTCCTCGAGGAAGACCCTCGTCTAATTCGTCATCAAACAATTCTTGGGTGCTTTTGTTTTGTCCAGTAGCCGCTCGCTGCGATTGAGATAGCCCTCGCTGTCTCCCAAAAGACTCGTTTGGCACATCGCGATCGCTTTTCACTCGCTTTGATGATTGTTCCCAAGTTGTTTTCACTCTATCAACGGATACACGCACAGATTCGGTTATGGATATGCCCAAATCTTGTATAGATTGACTCAGCCGGGAATTCTCACCTACAAGTTTTGGCTCAATTTTCTGAATATTTGCAATTGCATTGAAAAGTGAAGGAAGCCTGTCTAATACTGAACAACAACTACTGGTCTTTTCGGACGAAGACAAAGCCATAGCAGAGTCTTTCAGAGCGCTTGCATGTCTAGAAATAGCGTTCGAAACGGCTGAAATTACCGACTGACTACTTTCTCTCCACTGTTTCTCTCCAGGCGTGACTTTCTGAGCGTCGCAAAGATACAAAGCATTTATTTCTAAAGCAACAGACGCCAATTGGAACGCTTCCTCGGATGAAAGATCGGTGTCTTCTAGTCCATTTCGGAAAACCGTGACTAGCGCATCGCACATCACCGTAGTAGCAATAGTAGAAGGTATTTCGGATGCTTTTGGTTTCAAAGTCAAGGCAGAAATCGTTTCGTTACTATTATTGGTTGTTGAGCAATCTGCCTCCTCAGCCATGGTTTGTTTGAATCGTGAGAAAAGATTCGAAACAAAGGCGAGATCTCTGATTTCTCTTTGAACTTGAACTTGTTCTTCGTCTGCACCGTCAATCCAATCTTTTGTGTCGATAGTATCAACTTTTGATCCCATACTCGTCACGGTGCGAATTGTCCGAACAATCGTCTCCAATTTTTTCAACATCAACTCTTTCTCAATAAAAGGATTTCTCTTTCTATAAAAGATTAGCTTATCTCGAGGCGATGAATCCAGCAAACTAAGTATCCATCGGAATCTATTTGCGACATTCGTAGTCGAATTTCTATCACTGCTAAATTTACCAAAAAGAACGAAAGAATGCTCTGGATTCATACTCGCAATTGTTTCTAAAGCGGCTATCGTTGGCGGCTGTTCCATATCGAAAGGATAAAGTTTCCAGAACTCAGAAGATACGGGAGCTGCAACGAGATCTGCGACTGTCATTGCGGATATTAAGCGCAAGGATGCACTTGAAATCGCATTATCCGTTGCCAATGCAGGAAGCCATTTGCATGCAAAATCTCGAGCTTCTGTCCATAGCACCTTATCTGTCGTTGATATTGAAAGAGTCTTTGAGTTGTCTTCGTTGCGGAATCTTATGACGATTGCGAGCTGTTCCAAAGCTCTTGTAAGCCACAAAATATGACCACGTGCATGCGCATCAGTGCCACTTACTGCGTAGATTGTTCGCAATTTTTGGTTTAGCAAACTGGCCCAATTTCGAAGAGTACTATCTGGGAAAATGCGTTCATCTATCCCGCTGTTGCAGAGGAAGGCGCAAACTACTGGGCCCCATTCTTTGGAATGTTCTCCGCAAATTCTACTAATCAAAGTTGAAATACTCACCGAATTAGGGTAATTACTCATAGTCTTTGCTCGTTTTGAATCGTGGCTGATGGTAGTATTATCGTCTAGATCAATCAGAACATTCTTGTGCAATCTTGAGTGCGCGGCGAGAACGTCGGCGAGTAATTCACACATTGACCATTGGGCGGCCTTTACGCGATACTCATTATCATAATCACCACCGCGTTCATATGAAGTAGCATTGCTTTGTTGCAATTGCAAATATGAACTTTCAATTTCCTTTTCTAACGTCACGGCCAATTCTCGAAGTGCTTTTTCATCCTCCAGACCTCCTAATTTTAGTTGAATGCGTGAGTAGGTTACTAGGTGATCACGCAATTTTTTATCTCTCGCATTTTTGGTTTTGAAAGCCCAAAGTAAGAAATGCGCAACATCGTCGTGGATTTCTTTTGAGTTCGACTGACAATCGATTCCGTTTCTCGCCAGAACTAGATTCAAACCGAGCATCAAACTTGCAGGAAGTTTCGTATCTTCTTTCAATGTTTTCAAACTCGTTGCAAAGAACTTGAGTAATCTCAAAGCGTATTGTGAAGCAATATCGGAAGGATAAGACTTTAAGAGCTGATTCAGAGTCGACGCGGACTTATACATCCCATCTTTACTGATGGCACTAGCGTCTAGATCGTCCGAACCCATCGACTCATCGCCTTCTTCCTCGTCATTGCGCTTCCGTTCGATTTGCTGTACAAAAAATTCACACAATCCTTCGAACACATCTGCTTGCAATTTTGTGCAGTACTCTGGAACAATTAAGAGATGCGTTCGAAGTAAATGCGAATAATCTGTTGCGAATTCTGCTCCCGCTTCCTCCAAGACATCTACTACGTGCTCGAAAATTTTCTTCGCGCGCTTCAAAAGCGGCAACTGTACACCCGCAACTTTCTTCCTTTCTTCTACCGTCTTGACAACTTCCCTCAATATAGAAGTTATATTTTTATCGCACGCTTTACTCTTGCTTCTGTGTGATTCAATTTCTGCATTCACATATGACACAACGGAGCTCACGATACCTGACCAAGTGTGTCGCAAACTCACGTCTTCAGACTGAGCTGTAAAGTCATTCGTGCGTCTGTCCAGATATTGCAGAAAATCTCTCGAACCGAGATGGTTTTTAAGCTCTTTGATGCCCTCCTGTATGTGAAAGTGAGAATTGCGTTAGTGCGAGGATATTTGAGCATAAATATTAAGTTGTGAAAAAGAAATAAGCGCAAGTCATCAATATCTGAAACCTTTCTCTTCCGGTGGTTGAATCCTGTTAAAAGCGCGATTTGTGCACTCGGAGAAAAATCGGAAGAAGAAGAAGAAGAGAAAATCTTTCGCGCAAGCAAAAGTCCGCCCAAAGGAAGATGATTTGACAACTAACCTTTCGTTTACTGATTTTATCGCTCTTTAGTAATGCGTGGAGCTCATCTAAGGCCGAAGATCTAGGATCTAAGTCTGGCGCTGCCATTTGGCCTCGCGAGAGACCGCAAGGATTTGAATTTATGAATTGTGGTGAAGATGGAGGAAGGTGTGAGAAAACACGAAAATACGAAAAAAATTACCTAAAATTACTGGTAGGTGTTTTTGCTCTCGCTATTAAAAGATGTCAAATATTCTCGTTCGCCGTTCTTCATCACAGCCAAGATTTCCATCCTGTCCAGCTGTTCGCGAGTATGCGAGGATCGGTGGCCATGTCCATGAGGCACTCGACTTGTTCGTCTACGTCTTTGCACGTCTCTCCAGCTTGTGCTCTCACACCGTCGTCGTCACCAATGATAAGCCTTTGAAGTCCTTCCCAGTGCGCGGATTGACCATGCTTTGGCTTGCACTGCTCGATGCATATGAAGGCTGGATTAGCGAGAGATAACTTTGAGCGCGCATGCATGACACGCATCTCGACGTGCTTTTCCACATCGTCTCCTTTTTGTGTTTCCCGAGTCCAATCTAAAATTGGGTCCCGGATAAAAATGTCCATAGCGCCTTCCAATAAATTTTTACCCGATTGCAAAGCGGTCAAAACTCTTGCCATATCTGCCTCCAACCATTCCTTCGCATCCAAAGGTTCTAAAGCACCAAGAAATGTGCGCGTTGCTCTAAATGGCACAATCTCAGGTATCGGCAATGTTGATGTTCCGGTTCCAAACGCGTAACCAAAGTCAACATGTATGAGAGACCCGTGAGCAACATCGAGCAAAATATTTTCACAGTGTCGATCACCTAACCCAACAATCCATCCGGAGATTGAAGATGCCGCAAGAGATGCCGCAAAAACTCTCCTAGCTGCCAGGAAGGCTTCCGGACATCCGCTCGATACTTGAAGTTTCTGCCGTATGGCGTCCTTAGCGGGAGAATGTCCTGGATGACCCAATCCACGAAGAACTTTTTTGCTCGCATTCAGTTCGGCGTTTGCCATAGCGGTGAGATAGTCGTCATGAGCCGGTCGCGGTACTTTTGTAAGATCACACATCACACCCATTTTGTCTTCCTGGATAAGCGCATCTCCGTCAATTTCTTTGCGTTTTTTCCCGCTCAAACCAAACATACCTCTCGCTTTAATAAAAGCTTCGTGTCGCGCGGAAACATTTCCTATATTCTTTTTCGCATCATCGCTTGAATTCAAGAGTATCCGACCAACAGGTTCCGTGCCATGGACAAACTCAATCAATCCACTGCGTCGCGTCAGGGGTAGGACGTGGAAAGTTCGAATCCTGAGCGCTTTTGCTCTAGCAGATGGAGATTGTGTCAAGAGCGAATCCATCGCGCGATACAATCTTTGAATCCGCTCATCCTGTCGCAAATCTTCCGAACCTTTCGCAATAAATGCGTATTCTCTGCCATCCGAACCACGAAGTGTAATTTTCTTTGGTTTCTGTTTCGACTGTGTGAATATGGTTGCGTTTGTTTCAAAACTTACGATCTTCGCATGCCAAGTTGGATCGGGAGCCTGTGAGAGCGAATCGTATTGTCCTGGTATTTCAAGATTCGCCATAAACTGTTCTTTGACGTTACCGTATGATCTTTGCTCAAAAGAAGAGAAAAATAGAGAAAATCTTCCTAGTGGGAGCGTAGACGCCGACTCGAATACTTCGTTTCCGCCCTTTTTCCATCTTTTTTCGATCTCAAATACTGCATCTTGAAGCAACTTTGAAATGGCAGACGTATTCGGGTTGATCGATCTCGATCTTGTAATTTCTACGAGAATTGGTTTTGCGAGCTTTCCGAATGTCGCATTAATGGGACCCAAGTTCGCCTCATCAGGATTTGCTACATCCTCGAGCATTTCATTCAGTAACATTGACAATTTCTTTGAGTCTGGGGGCAAACCTTCTTTGTGCTCCATGAGTTCGATTTCCTTCCACCACCATTTCAATCTAGCCATCGGGAAATCGAGAAGCGTAATGGCCCGTTCGAATTGAAGTGCAGCCTGTGAATTCAATAAGACTTCGCCTATTTTAAGAGCTGCAAGAGTCAAGTTGTTCTTTCCGAGCGAAAAATGGGGCCTCATAGCAGCCGGATACGCATCAACGAGTCGAGTCATGAGCGGAGACACCGCATCGTATGACGATTCGGATGAGAGTAGAACAACAAGTTCAGAAATCCAGTCGAGAAAATACCAAGCCGCTGTGTTTCTTACGCCACTAACAAATTCTAAAAGTATTGGACTTTTCCCTGTCGTGGCGCGCAAAAGTGCAAGAACTCTGGGTAACAAATGTCGCGCTTTTTCGCATGCTTTAGATCTTGTTTTCATTGCCCTCAGCACGTGCTTTACGAGAGTAGCGCTCAGCGTATCGAAGTCCATCGTCATAGAATCTTCGAATCGAATGAGAAGCTCGTCACAAAAACGCGCAAGGTTCAAGGAAGCTTTTGATGAAAGCTTCACGTTGTTCTCAGCTTCGGCGCAGGATTCTGCCGCAGAGTAACAGCTTATTGTTTCGTGGGCTAGATTTTCTACGCGATTTTTGTCTTTCGTAAACATGCAAAGTTTTTCGCAAATTGAGCCTTCTATGTTTTTTACATCTGCCATGTGCGGCGCGATCACGAACGATTTTTCTAGGTCTTCTCTGTTTCGGATCGTGGATAAAATGGATTCCAAATCTTCCGCATCGTTCGTAACTGATAATTTCCCTTTGAGCTTAGCTTTTGCATACTTCCATTCTTTCTCTTTGTCCGAATTTTTAATCGCTTCGCCATATTTCTGCAAGAACTTCAAAGACAATTTTGTTTCTCCAACTCTCCGCAAACCTCGACTTGCGTGCCAGCAGGCATCAATATTAGCCTGTTTAATCGAATTCTTTGATGTCTGCTTCGCGAGGTGCGATAGAGCTTCCAAACAGATGGATCGAAACGATGATACACGCTCCCATACTTCAACAGAATCGTAACTTGTAGAAGGCCACCTCATTTGCCATTTTGACAGCGTGCTCTTTAAACCTTTCTCAAATTCAGCCATCTCATTTTTTGAGATGGGGATCCTCGACAACGTTGCGCAGTGCAACACTTCCTCAATTTCAACGCACGGTTGTAGAGACTGCAAGAGCGCACGACGAACAGCAACTGCTTTTGGGTGCGTTGAAGACCAGCGCGTAGCAAATCTGTCGCGAACGTCTCGAATAATAGTTTTGGAAGTATCTTCGAGTTCATTTACGAAAGCTCTGACAGCAAATTCAACGCCTAAATCTTGTAGTAATAAGGCGTGCCTTGTGTAGTCTTCGTCCGCCTTATCCGTACCACTTTTATATAGGAAGTCCAAAAACCCGCCCATATTTAGTGTCGGCTCTCTCAAGGCAATTCTAATGGCAGCTGCGCTCATATCTCCACCGGAAGCTTCACCAGAAACACCCCTAAGTTCTTCGCCGCTAACTGTTAGCAAATTCGATGTTTGGCGCCACTCTCCAGCTTTAACGCATCTCTTCACATTTTCATCGAATTCGTTGAAAGCAGATGACCATTCACCTAGCCGTTCTGCGCATCGAGTACGTTCTCGCGTCCAGAAGCGCCATTCTACAGTTTCTGTATTGGTATTGTTTTGCTTCATTTTTTTGTAGATTTTACCCGCTTTTTTTGCATCTCCTGCTAATTGCGCTTTGAGCGCAGAATGCGTCTGTTCATCATCGTCGAATGCTTTAGCTACAGATAATAAAGCAGCATCTCCATCACCAGTGGCGCGATGCAAAGCAGCCATAGCGCGCCATGTGAAATTAGTGGAGTTATCCGCAGAATCTTCTGTTAATGCAGTTGATTTTTTGCCCATCAAAGTTGATTCCAAAGCTATGATGCCACCAGCTAAACAATCCCCTGCAAATGCAATGCGTCGTAAATCTTTCGGTGATACTCTCGACTCTTTATCAGCAGCAGAAGCTCTCAGCACCCATGATGCGAGAAATACGTTAGAACCCTTGATACTTTTAGCGAATGCGTACAAAAGATTCCGTGCCTGTTCTCGTTGTGATCCACCTGGAACTGCATTTTTCCAAGGCTCATTCGTCTCTTTTATCGTCAAGCGAGACTTTTCCGATTGGGCCGCGTTCCACAACGCTGATAATAGCAATGCCGAAATCGCATGATCGCGCTTCGCAAGCGAAACTAATGGTGCAAGAATTTCAGCGCGTGAAATTTTGACATCTGGGAGCTCCCCGTCGCGATATCGTCTGACTAAGTGCACCGCATGTTTTCTTTGCTCTCTGCTGTGCTTCTGAAGAGCACGATATTTTCGAGCCTCCAATGATGTTGCAGTTTCGTCCTTGCGCTTGTAGTAGTCTTGTGAAATCGTCCTTTTTGCCGGCCATTTAGAAGATCCGTCTATTGTTGTTTGTTTTTGATGATGCGTGACTTGCGTCTGCGGAACGGGAGGCAATGTGGACCCAAAAAGAGGATCTCGTTGCAGCGTGCCACTTTGTGCTTGCTCACCAATCAACCACTCTGGTAAATCACCAGATTCTTCCATTCCTAGAGTAGACGATGAGAACATTATCCTAGAACCTCCGCTTCGTACTTTCGTAACGTCGGAAACCAGCGTTGCCGCTTGCGCCTGTTGAGTGGCTATTGCTAACGTTCCCAGAGCAGCCGGTGTCGCACGAATGAGCCCTGGTGCAGGCTTATGCGGTACTCCGACCACATTTCCTGGAACAAATCGACGTCCAGATCCAGGCAAACCACTTGATGAAGTTAATGTCATTTGGGTACCCATTGTTGAAAATAACGGCGTCATTGGCAAGCTAGAGCCTTGCCAGTCCGTATTTATGTTAAGTTCGGTGAGTTCACAATCTGCCAAATCGTCTTCAGCGACAGTCTGTTCGTAGTCTTGATGCGTTTCAGGAATAGCAAGTACTAACGCACAAGTTGCCTTTATCCACGAGTCCTCCGCACTCGCAGATGGCGGTGTTTTCATAAGATCTAGTAGTCTCTCACCCAAGGTGTACACGTGATTGACCTTTTCCCAATGTTCTCTAGCAGCAGCCCGCCCTGCACCTTCATTTGGATCAGCCATTGCACGAAACAAGGGTCCCATAACAACGCCTTCTTTTCTAAATTCGGGGAATGCATGCAAAACAGCGGCGCATAACTTTGCCTGTGCAGCTCGTACTCTTGTTGCTACTGGCGACGAAGATTGAAAAACACGGTCAATTTTATTCATTACGACAAGCCAAAGACGTTTTGACTCGCTATTCAGTAATTCCGCATCGCAAGCATCTTCCGAAGCATTGGTGGCCTCCGATGACGCAAATAACACTCCCCGGGCGAGAATTTCCATCAAAAGAGCATGAGTTTGAGGGTCTCTGTTATCTAAGAATGATTTCATCCTCGGAAGCAGTTGCTTGGCGCATTCAATATTATTTTCGCTACTAATTATATCGTGAGATAAAGCGCACAAAGCGACATAACGCGGTTCGCCGTAAATTTTGTCCAAAGAGCTTTGCACTATACTTGCAAAATCAGTTTCATATGGATAAGGAGGGTAATGCTTTGATATTCGATCCAGAGCTATCAAAAAAAGATCGAGTTTGTGTTGCTTTAAAGTGTGAAGACGCGCGGACAAGTCACGAACCCACGCTTCTTCCTCCTCCTCACTCGTTTCCAGAGCCATCCGTTTTTCTGCTCGTTTTGCCAGTGCGAATCCAACAAGTGATGCTGCTGCTTCATGACATTTCCGACCCGAAGTTGCATCTGGTTTCATCAGGCAATGATGAACCACCGCTCTTGTCAGCGTGATATCTGATCTCCAATCATTTTCATGACTTTGCGTTTCTGAACTAAATTTTACGACCGTTTTCTTTCCGGTAATATCCAGAATACCATCTGCAACAAAAGCGCCAATCATTTGAACACCCGCGATTCGTCGAAGTCGACCCGTTTCCTCTTGACTCGGTGTTTTCACCAATGTCTGCAATTCTTTCAAAGCGTCGTAGAACGTGTTGTATACCGTATTCGAATCGAAGTTTGACAATATATAGTCTCGTAGTTTACGCGCTAAACGCGTTCCGAGCGCGACGTTCTCACGAAGTTCGACCACGGAACCAGTCGGTGAGTTACGAATCACGAAACAAAGCAGATTAGAAAGCGCACACCTTGTGTCAACAGTCCACGTTTCTGTGCACTCCAATGCCATCACTATTATTTCCCGGCAAGGAGATGGAATGATATTTTCGCGCTGAAAGTGGGTTTTTGATCCTTCAGTGGACTCATTGCAATATTTTGATACATCAATCAGTGCGATAACTACAGCGCTTAAAAGATCTGGTGCTATCGTTCGAAAAAGAGACATCTCAGTATTTGATTCGTTATTCTTTGCGTTTTTCGCTGGATTAAACGCTTGAATTGAAACGCGCTGCGCTCTCAACACCGCTTTTGCTATTGCAAATCTGATATGAGGTAACAATTGCACGTCCTTCAGCAACATTACTATGCGGCCAATTAAAGTGCTCCCAGAAAGAGAGAGATCTTCTGGAGCACCCTGCATCGCGATATCTAGTAAAAAATAAAAGCCATTGGAAACAGAAAATGCTTCCAAATTATCACGGATTGAATGTGATAAGGACTCCGCGGATTCTTGCGGATAACATGCATCCATTCTTGGATGAGACACATTATTTTTAGCTAGCTCCGTTGGTTCCGCATTAGTTTTTATTGTCAACGTGGGATCGAGATTCAATAGCGTGGAAGAAAGCATTGTAAACGGAAGTGCATTTTCTCCCTCCGCTTTGCTCGCATCTTGCAACACTCCAGGTGTTTCGTATTTTGACCATATCGGTTCCATATAGCATGGAGAATTCCCATCAATCAAGCCATTGAACCGCTGTGCATCGCCTTGTAGAAGAGTATTGAAAAACTTCACTATTTTTTCTTTTGTCTGTGTTCGATTGAGTAGCGCAGAGAATGTCTCAAAACAAACTTGCCGAATACGCAGACAAAGTTCCTTATCTACTTCAAAAATAGTCTTACCAGATGCGCCTTTCCCTTTAATTTCGACGAGTGCACGCGTCGAAACTATTTGATTAAGATTTTTCTGCTTCTCCGCTGTATTTTGCAATTTTGGGCGAACATTCGCAATCTGCTCTTTCGAGCACTGCTGGTAAAGTCCATTCATAATTATAAATGCATTCAATACGTTCGTAGCATCAGCATCTGTGTTCGATTCGCCTCTATTGTTGCGCTCTAAGACTTCCACGATCGCATCCACTCGTTCGGATATGAAAGTGCAGACCGCGGATGAACTTGAATTCATTAAAATCACGCTCAAAAGTCGACCGCACACCCTTTTCTGGTACGTTTCTCTATCTTTCTCGAACGCTAAGATGAACAACTCTACCGCAAGCGCTTCATCCCACGCGTTTTCAACCGAGTTCATCGCCTTTGTCATAAACTTTAACGTCTGATCACTGTATTTATCTTCAATCAGTGGAAGCACAACGCGCATGAGATGGCTTTTTGAACACGATTCTCGAAACGACCGAAGGATCGCATCTTTCGTTCCTTCGGCGACGCCAGAGGAGTCCCATGGATCCAATTCTACTGCCTTGACATGTTTCACAAGATCTGTCAACGCTTCTATGACAATAGCAGAACACACGTTGTTCCTGTCTATTCCATCCTGGAGTAAAATCTGCATTGAAATTCGTGTGGCTTCTATCCGTGCTGAGGAACTCGAATCTAGTCGCAAACATGTTGCCAACGCGTCTCCTATAAAGTATGCCGCATTTTCTTGTTCCTTCTTCTCTTTCTCATGGTTAACCTCGGTGTGGAATAACACTCGATTTTTCTTCAATGATGCATCAAGAATCAGCGCACGTTCAATAATAGCTAACGCTCTGCGCTGGCACCTCGCGATGATATCATTTGATCGAGATGAGTCAGATTTAACAAGTGGATCGAGGATAAGTATGTGTTTCGTAAACGCAAGCAAGACTGAACGTGCGTGTATTCCCGCATCTGTAAGCACTGATATCAGTAGAAGCGTCGCAATCCTTCCACCCGGCGAGGAAATGTCGTTCGCCGCTCGATCTAGAATTGATGTGGCATACTTCTCAAAATCAAATGTGACGTAATTCGTAATCAATTTGTGGAAGGATAAGTAAAACAATTCACCCTTTTCTTGCTCGAGGCGAGCAATCTTCTCCTTTTTTCTGCGTTGGGTGGACGCCATGCCAGCATTTTGTTGTGCACTTGTGAAAAATGACCCGTCCTCCAATTCATCGTCTCTTCTTAAAATAATTTCCATGATTCGATGAGCGTCAATACCAAGTTGAAACGCTAAACGCAAAATTTCAGTTCCTACAGCTTTTTGTCTTGGATTGGCTGATTTACCTAGATTATACACAACCATTACTAATCTCTCACCGATAACTCCGCTCTGCATCTCTTCCTGCGGTAAAATACCTCGTAGCAATTTAATTTCGAATAGCTTTCTGTAGCCCGTGACCAATCTCACAGCTTTGGAACACCCTGAAGTGCTTGAGAGATTCACGCAGCCAAGATCACCTGTTGAATCTTTGCTCACTCCTAACCTAAGATCTTCTAGAACTTTGGTGTTCATCTCCTTCAAATACGGAGGCAATCTGTCTCCATATTCTTTGACGAGTAAATTCAGCTCCTTCAAAACTCCAGCCGAAGTCGCTGAAATGCGTGCTTCTTCTTGCGGTTCAGTTTCAAATGACTCCAGCGACAAGAATGATTTCACGAGGACCTTGACAAAGCCATTGGTTTCGACAACTTCTTTCAGAGCTAGATTTTGGGAAGCTTTCGTTTCACTACTCGAAGATCTGAGTTTCGTAATCGAGGTATGCACAAACAATAAAACTTGTAAGAGAAAGTCCACCTTTGATCGGCGCCACTTCCGAAGGGCGCTCGGCCCCACATTTATAGCGGCGTCTTCTTCGAACTGTAGCAGGTACTCCGATGCATTTTGGAATATGCCGAGATGTCTCGGCTGAGAATAAATCTCAGATGGAAGTATATTGACTTCCAAGCTCCATCTGGCGAAGTGAAACGCACTTCTTGCGGCATTAAGCCAGCTTATAGCAGCATCGCACTTTGCTGGATCGCTCGGCCCAATTATAGTATTCGAGACGTTTACATTTTTCACTTCATCAAATAGATCCGATGTGAAAGGAAGTCCTTTATCATCTATATGCCCAGGAATGTCGAATTCGCACGTCGGGTATAAAACACAAAACGCATATTGCGACTCTAGTCTTAGTCGTCTCTCTGGTCTCGCTACTCCGTCATCAAATATCCACACGACAATATCACGGAGTGTTTGAAAAGATCCCGACCTTGCTGGCTTGGAAGGCTGCATGAGTAAACGCGCGTGTCTCTTACAAACACGTACTACCAATCGCGATAAACGCGCCGTGGCATCCTCCGCGGCATCTTTTGACTGCGTAAAAGAAGCCAGACGAAACGATCGAAGTGTGACCTCCAGCATCTCCAAGATGTGATTTTTCAAAATCTCCGTAGCCGATCCATCTTGCGTTTCGAATAGTTCCAGACAACGTAACGCAGCACTGGAAGCCCCAAGACGTCGATTTGAATCTGGATGCGACATTAGTGAGTATAATCGGCGCAAAATACTCTTCACATTTACGGCGTTTTGAACATCCGTCATCTGTTTTATGCTCCACTTAAGCGCTTCGGCAGCTAATGCTGCGCATAAGTCACGCTTGACGCCAAAGCGAGCATCAGCAACACCAAGAGTAATGGCATCAAGTAATGCCATCGTTTCAGCTGCTTCTCGAACTTGGTTCTTCGTAAACCATCGGGTTAATTGGAATGCTAATTTGCGGAAAAGAGTGCTTGTAACGGGTTCGAAATCTGCAGCTAAATCTAAGATGACTGGAAAGAGCGAACGGTACACCAGATGGAACGGTGTTATGCCACTCTTATCGTCAGTTGAATCTGGTCTTCGCGCATTGCGTCCTACCATAAGTAACGTCATAGCATGTAATGCTTCACATGCTGCGACTTTTGTTGCCCGGTCCCGAGAGAATTTGGCCAACTGCGCGATCCGAGGCAAACAACTATCCAACCACAATGTTGCTTCTGAGGCATATAATGGTAAATCTATAGAAATCCGCATTGTAGAATCCCAAAGAATGCTCGAGTCCCTATTCTGATCCGTGCTGCTTCGTTCGTCTTCTTCTAGGGAATTCACTAAAAAGTGAGAATAACTACCTAAAGAACCAAGTAATCTGAGTATTCTCATTAGCAATATCTTTTCTTCAGAATTACTTCTTTGCTCTAACGCCTGCTTCTCCATTCGCTTCTCAAAGCGCCACTCGGCGATGCTACCAGATCGTGTGTTCTCATCAATATCGAACATAGCCATAGCTTCATTTCGATCGATTTCTGAATCTTCAGATAAACCGTCTCCGCGATCCAAATATGGCCTCAAGCTACGCACGCACTCTGGAAGCGCGGGCAGCAATTCCTCCCTTCGATTGGTCAGCCATGTTTCCAGAACCCTCAGTCCAGTTTCTGCCATCGGTGAATGTTGCAGTCCAAGTTCAAGCATCGAGCACAATGGTTGTACAAGGTCTTTCAAGGAAAGTAAACCCTCGGGAGCTTCTAATAGTAAACTCAATGATGCCGCTCTGAGTTCACCAGTTTTCCCCGAACTTTCTGCGAGCACCTCGTGCAAAAAGTTTTGAAAGCTCCTCGCCACGTCAAGCCGCGCAGCTTGCTCTTCGTCGTTACTTGCATTTTGGTGAGTTTCATAATCTTTCGTAATCTTTTGTACATTTTCATCAAGACGAGCGGATCGAAAGTATCCCGAGCGCTCCGCGGCGTGTAACGAGCTCTGAATTAGTTTGTAAAAGCCACTCAAAGCTGTATTTTTCGTCGCCAATAACATGAGCTCATCTCCTAGCTGACCAATCCACGCACACATATGCCTTGAAGGGGATTCGTCGATGACTTTACGGAAGAAATCGACTAAGCCAAGAAAAGTTTGCACGTCTCCTGGATTTTTGGCCTCTAAATTACCTTCTAAATTTAACGCTATCAAGGCGTTTGCTTCTATGTTTTTATCTACTAAATCTTCTGGAATTTTCGCATCTTTTTCCTGCGTTTCGTCTCCTAAGCTCGCACCAGGCTTGATCACCGTAGACTCTCGAACACCAAGTTCGAGAGTATTGCATATCAAAAGTATATGCTCCATGAAACAGTCGTACGTAGCACTTGCCGCACCCTGGGCAATTTGGGTTTGCTGATCTATGACTACATCGATATCCATTCCATGCACATTCATGGAATTTTCTGATAAATGCTCCGTTGCCACCGCCGAGTCGATACTCTGCGAGCGTCTCTTAGTATCAGACCCAGAAGATGAGATGCGACGTTTTGACGCTCTATTCGGCTTGAATCTTTCGTATTTTTCGTCACCCCCGAGTAAGCGAACCCACAAATCGACGTACCTTGGCCAAAGCTGTATCGGGGGGGCGTCCACCAACAACCTATCAATAGGATCGGGTGGACCAACACGCAACGTCAAAAGGACTAACGCCTGTCCGCACCTGCTAAACAAACTTCGTAGCGCTCCGCCTCTCTCGTATAACGTCTGAAATAAATTGACAATGGCGTCGTGCACGACACGTTTTCTCGTATCAACTTCGGTTGAATAATGTTCAAATATCCAACGTAATATAGAAGCAACCATATCTAACGTAGCTTCATCAACAGTTTGCTGCAATTCAAGAACGTCCGTGTATGCGATCAAGAGTGCAACCTGTCTTTCCATGGATTCAAATCTCTTCTCAAAGGCGTTACCTCCCGCAGCGAATTTTTCTTCTAAAGTAAATCTCGCTAATTGTTCCATCAGCTCGTCTAAATCCATCGCCAGCTCATCGCTCGACATGTAGAATGCAGGTTTCGTTAGTTTGCCTAGAGCACGGACCGCTACAGTAATCTTTCGAGGGTTTGAGTTTTTATCGTACTTTGTTTCTAAAAGCTCTTTAACCTTTCCCATCATGCTTTTCATAGTCTCGATTCGTTTGCTTTCCTCGAATAAAGTATTGTCCATCAACGCATCTCTTAAGGTTATCAAAAATGCATCTAAAGAAACCATCGCGTTTCTAGTGAGATCTTTATTCGAGCACACTCTGAGTTCTAAGAGTTTCTCAAAAATTTCAGGAGCAAACTCGATGAACTCTTTCTTTAAAATTGCGCCCACGCATTCGACAACTTTCATCGCGCTTTTCGGAACTTCGCTGCGTTGACCATAAGATGGAGGTTCCAACGCTTTGAGCAAAATTTTAGATAAGGCCTTTCGCGAACTCGTTGAAATCTTATCTGGGACAGATTGTAAAGAAGAAGCAATCGCTTCGAGTGCGCCGGAGATCAATACCATGTCGATTTTTTTCTTTTCTTTCCCGCTTGCGCCTTTTACTTCCTCTTCATTTCCCACGTCGTCGTCGTCGTCAGAATCAGCCGATCCAATTTGGTCGTCTAATATCCCCAATGCCTTATTAATCAACCATCTTGGATGTGCGTCTCGCGCAGCATCTTCCTCCTTGTAGTCAACATCAAAATTTGCGTGCAAAGCCGCGCACGCCTTCAAAATTAAAGACTTTACCGTCGGCGTCTTTGCAGTTCTTTCGTAATCTCTTCGCAACGATTCCCCTACTTTCTTCAACTCTTCCTCCGTCGCGTCGAAAGGCAGCTGCATACCAAAAAGCGCAATTATCGGTCCCAAAGCAGCAGCTTTAGTCGTATTCTGTTGCTCGCTGCGGAACTGCTGCATGCACAGATCGCGCATTTCCCTCGCATTTGATGAACTTTGATTTTGACCGACGCGTTCGATATGTTTAGTAATCGCGTCGAAAGCCTTCGCCCGAGCCGCTTGCACATCTTTCGCGAACACGTTCGAAGTTTCTTTCAAATAGTTCAAAATTCCAACGTCAGGGTCCAAAAATATTGCCGATAAAGCTGGGATGTCCTCCTCGTGCGCAGCCTCCAAGGTTTCCTGTTGTAGCGTTGGAATAAAAAATTGGTCGGTTAGATACACAGAGTTTGTCTTCGTTCTCTCTCTCCTTCTCTCTCGGAAAACACACACGAAAACAAAATTCCCACCCCTACAAAAACAAAACGTACCTGTATCGTCGCGATAATTTGCTTCGACTCATCTTCAGGTCCAACGGCGTGCGCCGATTCTCGTCGCGCGACTCTCGCGAGCCGCGTCAATGATTCGCGCAAGGCGCTTTCCATCTCGTGCTGCTAAAAAAGCTTATTACAAATGGAGGAGCGTGGTGCGAAAATTTGTATGCACTCTTCTTCGCGATGCGATGATGAGGTAAAAAAAAAGTTATTGCTGCGATGATGATAAAGTCTTTCCTCCGTGTTGCTGTTCACGTTTCGACGATATCATTTCTCTCTCTCTCTCTCTCTCTCTCTCTGTTTGTGTGTGCGTGTGTTTGTGTGCTTGATTATATCATAAACACACTTTAATAAACGCGCGCGGGGCGATTGTGAGTAAAGCTTTTTCAGAAACGCAAACAACAAAAGAAGAAGACGACGAAGAAGAGACATTTTCAAAATTTCACGCTTCACAGAAAAATCAGGATGTCGCAAAACTCACCGTCGTGGTGGTTTCGAAAGATCTCCCAGCACGGCGCGACGACGACGACGGACGGCGGCGGCTTTGGCGCTTCGAATACAACGAGTAAACAACCTCGGCACCACCACCACCATAAGCAGCAGCACTACGATGATAACCGGAGCGAAAGTCATCGCGAAGAAGACAAAAGAGGAGAACACATCATCGACAGAGAAAATCCCCTAGGAGCGTCTTCCACGGAATACGTTTCCAAGGAAGACTTGGGAAGAGCGACGTGGCTTCTGTTGCATTCGATAGCTTCGCAGTACCCGGACGAACCGACGGAAAGAGAGAAGAGAGACGCGAAGAATTTAATCAACGCCATGGCGACTTTATATCCGTGCAAAGAGTGTCAGACGCACTTTAAGACGGTTATTGAGAGAAATCCTCCCGAGGTGGACAGTTCGGTGAGCTTTCAGGAGTGGATGTGTAAAGTGCACAACGCGGTGAACGAAAAATTAGGAAAGGAACTATTCGACTGCGCGAAAATAGACGAGAGATGGGGTGGAGTGGAGTGTTTTGGGGAGGACGGGAACGACGGTGGATGTAGCTTTGAGAACGCGCCGGGGAAACGGAAACGTCTTGCAGGGCGGCGCTAGAAGCCTAGAAGCCTAGCCTATATTTTATCACATGAGAATCTATCTCGTTCGACCGAATACTATTAATATTCTTTCTTCTTCTTCGCTTGTACGCGGTTCTTGATTTCCGGTAAAATGGTCCCGAGCTGACGCTCAGCCATGACGAGTGCAACCGTCGGCGATTCGTCTTTTTTATGCTTAATCGACGTAACTTTACTCGCGCCTAATTGCTTATACATCGGCGTAAACTCGGTCGTTTTCAATTTCAAAGCGGCGCGTAGGGATTCAGTATCCAATTGCCAGTTTGATATGCGCAACGCGAGAAGAATAATGTGAAGGATGAGTAAATCCTTGAGTCTCTTCGTTCGTAGTCGCGACTCGCCGTATTGCGTCTCGTCTCCAACTTCTACTTCAGTAAAAGTATCGATGATACACTGCTGTATGAGCGGATTTACACGCTCAGGTTTTGTGAACAACCACTTGTGCTTCACTTCTTCTTCTATCGTTTCTATTTCTTCTTCTTCTTCTTCCTCTTCTTCTTTTTCCCCGTCTTCTACCTTCTTCACGCCTTCTTCTCCTTCCTCTCCTTCCTCTTTTCGCTTTCGTTTCTTCTTCTCTATTCTTTTCGGTCTCGTTTCTTTTACTCGCCCACTCTTCAAGCTCGCAAATTGTAAAAGTGCGTCCATAAACGCCAAGGCCTTACCTTTCTCCACGGCGTCAAAAGTATGGTCGCCGTCAGAAATCGCCCAATTCGGATCGGTCACGTAAATCATCGGTAACAAATCCATAATCGCTTTCGGTTTCTCCGACCCACCAAAAACCTCTATCATAGCCTCTAACGTCTTCCTCTTTCCAGCTTTCATGAAATCGTTGTATGGTAAATTATGCGAGAACAAAACATAACCCGGCGTTAATTTCCAAGGGAACGCCTCGTGTGGCTTTGTCGCCTCCAAATCGTGCGGGGGTAAATTTCTCTGCTCTCCCGCTTTCTGCATCAAATCTTTTCTCGTCATTGCAAACCTTGACGCTTTCCCAATTTGTGATTCCAACAGCTTCGGCGATGCGATTGCATCCGAGTCCAACTTTCTCGCCGACATGAGCTTCGCCTGTTGTCTTTGCCTCTTTTGCGAGGAAAACAACCTCGTCGCATCGGCAGCAATGGCCCTTCTCACGTCAATATTGTCGTAATCCAACTTTTCTTCGTCGTCTCTGTTGAACTGATAGTTGAAGTTCTGCGGTCTCGTCGTCAAGTGCACCACGGAATCGCCACATAACCTCTGCAACTTCAACACGTACTCGCCCGAATCTTTCTTCCCGACTGGCACTAACCGACCCAAAACGTGCATCGATCCTCCACCTTCGTGTGCCATCACGCCCGAAGTCTCATCTTTCGGCAGCACGCCCATGCTAAACCCACACTTCTCGTGCGCGAAATTCTTCCCCACGACGTCGCACCCGTCGCCTCTCCCGACCACCACTAAATGCCGTTCCGAATGCGGCGTGTCGCCGTTTCCAAGTTTGCCATTGGAAAAGGTATACGCCCGTTCGTACGCATCCTTCCCGAACTCCTCCTCTAATTCCTTATCGCTCGTATCCGGATTACCTCTGAAAAGGTTGAAGGCGTACGTGCCGTCGGTTAAAGTCGTCGGCGCGTTGCGTAAAGAAACGACTAAAGGACCTCCCAAATCATCGTTCTCCTCCAAATTTTCGTTCTCCTCCGACGGCGGGGCGGCGACTTCTATTTTCAAGGATTTCATCCTGTGAGATTGATTCTTCTTCGCTAAAAGTGGTGGTTTTGAAGCGAGGGAGATGATGAAAACTTTAAAGGAACCTCAGGAACCTCTTTGTCCTCCGTTTCCTCTTCCTCTTTCTCCTCTTTCTCGTCGTCCTCGCGTTGCGTTTTGTGCGTTCAATCAACAACTCTTTCTTTCTTTCTTCGAGAGATTTGATGAGAGTGTTTTTTGTCCCGACTCTCTCTCTCTCTCTCGCAAAACAACCAAAAAGAGAGCCAGAGACTACTTTTTTCGGATCAAAAAGCACAAAAAGCGCCTCTTTCCTCCACCAAAACGGTGGAAAGAAAGATCTCTCGTGTTTTTTCATTTTTTTTGTGAGCACCGACCCGACAGCTGGCATCCGGATAAAAAAGATACGCAAAAACTGCGATATTTAAATCGAAATTGAACGAACTGCACCACAACAACCCCGCGCGGGCGGACGAGCTCTAACGAGAAAAAGAAGAAGAAAAGAAAAGAAGCGTTGGCCAATCGCTCATCTTCGTTATTAAATCGCATCATCCCACGCGAGACGACGACGAGCGGTTTCTTTATTGTTCTTCATCTCATCACGACGCGACAAAAATATTTTATTGAGACGCGAAGAACGCATCTCATCAAACGAGAAGAATGGTTTCTTCGATGACGATGACGACGACGACGACGATGCGCGGCAGTAACTCTGAGCTTCGGCAAAAGCGAGCAGCGAACGTCCGAAGCAGTACCAGTGGTGCGAGAAGAACAAAGCGGGGCCGATCTGTTTTCGTCAAAGCGATGGCTGGTTCCATCGAATCTCCGGACGAAGAGTACGACTGCGTTGTCATCGGGTCTGGAATTGGTGGTTTATCCTGCGCGTCGCTACTCGCTCGGTACGGGAACTCGGTCAAAGTGTTCGAGTCGCACTATTTAGCCGGAGGATGTTGCCACATGTTCGATCACAAAACGCCGGAAGGTGATTTGTACAAGTTTGAGGTTGGCCCGTCTATTTGGGAAGGGTTGGATCGACCGACCGGGAACCCGTTGAGGATGGTTTTCGATGCTTTAGGAGAGGAAATGCCGGTGAAGACGTACGATGGAATTTCGCTTTGGACGGAAGAAGGGCACTGGAGGTTTCAAACTGGAGACGACGAAGCGCCGGGTGGATTTTGCGATTTGCTGAGAGAACAATCGGATAATCCAGAGTTGGCCATTAAGGAGTGGAAGGCGTTGAAAGGACGGTTGGAACCGCTGTACGACGCGTTGGACGCGTGCCCGTTAACCGCGTTGAGACAAGATGCCGGGTTGCTCGTATCTACGGTAATTGCCATTCCGTTTTATTTGACGCACCCGATGGTTATGTTAGACATTCCGTATATTTTAGATTCGTTTCATAAGTTGTCCGAACAATACGTGACGGATAAGTTTTTGAAACGGTGGATTGATATGTTGGCGTTTTTCAGCGGATTTCCAGCGGAAGGGACCATGGGTGCGACGATGATTTATAGTATTCCTGGGTTTCATCGACCGGGGGCGTCGTTGTGCGCACCAGAAGGTGGAACGCAAGCGGTCGTAGATAAGTTGACGTATTGTTTAGAAAAATTTGGCGGAGAGCTGCAATTGAAATCGCACGTGGAAGAGATTATCGTCCAAGATGGTGAAGCGAAAGGCGTGCGATTAAAAAACGGAAAAGTGATAAAAGCGAGAAATGCGGTGGTGTCCAACGCGACTATTTGGGATACCGTGCCTATGTTACCGGATGCGGAGGTTTTGAAAGCGCAACAATTGGACCGTTCCGTGGAGTGGAAGGAAGAGATGTCTGAAATTCCAGCGCTCGGGTCCATCATGCATTTATTCTTAGGTATTGACGCGACCGGTTTACCGGATTTAGATCCCTCGCACTTGTGCATTCGAGATTGGAATCGTCCGTTGGGTGATCCGCAAAACGTAGTGACTATATTCATCCCAACCGTGTTAGACCCTGAAGTCGCGCCCGAAGGGAAACACATCATTCACGTCTACACCGCTGGTTCAGAACCGTACGATATTTGGAAAGAAAGACAAAGAGGCACAAAAGATTACGAAGATTTCAAACGCGAGCGGGCGGAAATTTTATGGGAAACTATCGAGCGCATTATCCCGGACATTCGCGAACGCGTGGAAGTTGAAATTTACGCCTCCCCTCAGACGCACCAACGGTTTTTACGACGCCACAAAGGTACGTATGGTCCGGCTTTACAAGCTGGTGGTAACTTATTCGACGTCTTACCGTTACCAAACATCCCGCAACCGGGCGTGTTAACCCCCATCCCGAAACTCTTGCGGTGCGGTGACTCTGTCTTCCCGGGCGTCGGCGTCCCCGCCGTCGCCGCGTCCGGCGCCATTGCCGCCTCCACGCTCGCGCCGTTACCCGACCACCTCAAAATGATGTGGGACGTCTCTCAAACGCAAAACAATTTCTGGCAAAAGCAAGGTGGGAGAGAAAAATGGCTTCGAGAAACCGAGAAACCGTTTCACCCGAGCGAAGGTGGAGGCGCAGAACACATGGACCCGAGCGAGTATTACAAAGCCGCCGCGGATAAAATGAAAGTCACGGGGAACATGAAACCGTCTGGGTTGGAAAGTGCGTCTTCTTCCGCGGTGAGCAAGTGAGAAAGCGCAGAGAGAGAGAGAGAGAGAGAGAGAGAGAGAGAGAGAGAGAGGAATGAGACGAGATGCGAGAGTTTGTATTATATAGGTTATATTAATATTATTCATAGCTTTTTGAGGATGATAAACGTGGAAAGGGGGACAGAAAGCACAAAAAAAGAAAATTCATCACCACAAAAAAAGAAAGACCGGTTTCGTTTGCGCTGAACGCGAGAGTCGCGATGATTTTCATCTTAGACAGCGTCAAAGACACGGACTTTTACAAGAAGAACAGAGTCCCTCGCACCACTGATTCTCGTTTGGTCGAGTTGGCGACGAAATTGCAATCCCTCGATTCGTTGGCGTTGTTTTATTTCAGCTCGTTGCTGCTGTTAATTATCGCAATTCATTTGACTTTCGTTTTCGTCCGGTGGTTCAAGAAGCGAGTGGATGTCTTTCGAAAGACGAGATACGATGTAATCAACTATCGACTCGTGAAAGTTACCACAAAGAGCGACGACGACGATGGTAAGAAAGGAGAGGTGGACAACTCGCCGTTGAGAGCGTTCCAAGAACTGTTTCAACCGACACCGGAAAAAGAATTGAAGGTGCCAGAATCAGCGAAGAACGGTACTACGACAAAGACGAAAACACCGTCGACGCCGCCGCCGCCGAATACGGACGGAACGAAGAAAGAGGGAAAGAAATCGCCGTTGCGAAAACTGAGTTTCGAGAACGGCAAGAAAGGGGAAAAGGAAGAAGAACAAAAACAAAACTCGCCGTTTTCCTTCCTGAACAATTTGTTTCCGGAACCGAATTACGTCGGGTATGTGACCAACGCCGACAAGACGTACACCACCGTATTGATGAAAGACCAAACAAAGAAGAGAAAAGAGAGGAGAGTTAAATTTATACCAGATTTTGTGGCTGATAAAATCAAAACGCAACTGTTGTGCGACGAGAGAGACTGGCCGTTGGTGGAGACGCTGGCGAGCGTTTGCGTGTACTTACCGTTGAGCATCTTCCTTTTAGTGACGGTAATTAACATCGATGAGTTGAAAAATCGCAAAAGAGATCACTTTGTTGGATTCGTGTGGTTGGTAGTCACGCGCGCTTTGTTTGGGAAACAATTCATGTCTGTTTTGAGTAAGTTTTCAAAGTACGATGTATTTAAAGGGAAAACTGCTCGATTTTTGAACCGCGTTCCGTCGATTTTGTTGGCGCCAGCGTTTGGTGTGCCCAGTGGGGTATATTTTTTCCACCGAAGCGCAGTGATGCCGGATGAGTGCACGTTCGATAAAGACCAAGATCGAGTGAGAAATGCGAAAGTATTAGCATCCACGAGTAAGTACCAAAGAGACTCGATATCGCAATTTATTATGTATTGGATTCGAAACGCCGTATTCGGCCCGATCGAGCTCACTTTGTGGGTGTATAAGAACAGAAGCGTAAAAGATGCGCTCAAAACTGTCGTCGGCTTTTATTTCAGTTACTCTATGTACGCATTCTTGAAGATGCAGTCGCCGATAGCGGCGTTTTGGACGTTCTTCTTACCTTGGGTTCTGAGCACGTGGGATTTGTCCTTTGAGAACTGGTCCAAGCACATGTTCATAACGCCACGGGAATCAAACTCAGTCTGGGCGAAGAACTTTACTATAATCAACACGAACGAGAACCAAAAGAGCTTTAACGATGGGTACAAGCTTTTAGAACACATTTATACCGGGGCGAATTCTTTGGATCTTATTCATTGGAGCGAGTTTCCGGAGAAATTTTTGGAAAACAGAAGTCAATACGGGGATCATAAAACGTTCGTTTTCACCGGTATTTCTCGAGAAGAAGTTGCAATGTTGGTGTTTTTCGGGCATTTGCGCAAACTGGCGACTAAGTGTGTGGATGTAGGACAAGGTGTAGGAGGTAAAAGTTACGATGATATGGTGCAAGCCTTTGAGGAGCGTTTGCGGCCGATAATACCAGAGGCAAAAAAAGATTTGAACGGTTTCGACGCCATAGTAGACTTCTTCGAAAACTTATTCCCGGCGGATATGTTCGGTAATCAAGAAAACGACATAAACTCAAACGCGAAGAAGAGCTCTGCTACTACTACTGATAAAGCGGTCGTCACGCCGAAAGAGAAAACGGTCGGAGCAAAGCAATCTACTACGCCGAGCAACGGAATATCGCTTAGCGGAATTTTTGATTACCCCGATGCAGCTCGAGATGAGAGTGAAGTCGCACTCACCTATATGAACAAGAAGAAAAACAATTTTGACTCCGTGATGGGTCTTAAACCTCAAAGCCCCGCGAAAGAAAGAAACAAACGCGACACAGAAAACATAACACCCTGAAGAGGTCATCTGTTTATTTATTATTACGAATGAAATCCCGCGCGAGGAAGTTCAACTTAAACATAAAAAATTGTACACAATTGTATTCAAAATTTATCTACCATGTACGGTATCTGTATTACACCTATTATTCATTGTTACTATCATCACAATCAATGCTACAGTAATCTCTTTTTACCGCAAATCTGCAATCGCTTTCAGCAGTTGTTCGTGCAACTCTGGAGTTGAGCTCGCGACGATCCCTCCGTTGATGTCGAGAAACCTCCCCTTTCCAAATTCAAGCGGTACTCCAGCCGCGTCGGAAATGACACCACCAGACTCTGATACTATAATCGCACCAGCTGCATGATCCCATACCTTCTCTCTGTACGTTTTCGGCGGGAATCTTAAATAAATATGGGCGTCTCCTCTGCTCAAACTCCCGTATTTTGCCTGTGAATCAATCCGGAGCGCTTTCCGGGTGATTCCAACCTTCTCGCTCAAAGCATTCGTAAACGCGTGATCAGCGACAATGGAATCCCCCCACGATTCCATATACCTCGCACCATCTTTCCCGAACTTTACAAATTGATCGCTCGTCGCGATAAAACTATCCTTTCCTAACGGTTCCTTCGCGTCCATCGCGGCGTACTTACACCCAAAATTTTCATACGCCGCGAAGATCACTCCTGGTTTCTCCGTCTCCAACGCGTCCACGTCCTCCGGTATCTTTGTCATAGGCATATTCGGGCACCCTAAAACACCTCCAACAACCTTCCCTTTCTCGCACAACCCGAGCGCGATAGCATATTGTCTCTGGTTGATAAATCCTTTCGTCCCGTCGATGGGATCTAAGACGAAAAATGTCGATTCGCTCCCGCCTTCGTGGTTCCCGCGATCAATCAATCGCGCTACTTCCTCTCGGGAAAGGTACTCAGACACATCGTCACCAAACACGCAATCATTGGTGATTTCCGTAATCTTTTCTAAAAGTCCTTCCGCCTCTTTGCTTCCTCCTCTCAACGCTTTCGCGTCTTCCTCGGCTAACAAAGCCACGTCTGGATATTTCTGTTCCAACACGTACGAAACCACCGCTTGGGCGGCGTAATCTGCCACCGTCACCGGACTATCGTCCGATTTCGAGACTTGGTCGGAAGTCTCCAACAATTTTTGCGTCTTTGAGGTGAGCTTTGCGCATAATTGCACCGCTTCGCACATGGCTTGTAACATATCGTAGTCAGACGATGATGACGAGGAAGAGGAAGAGGAAGCGGAAAAGGAAGACTCGACTCGAGTCGACGATTCCATCCGAAAACGTCGCGAGACACCCCCGCGCTTCCCCGAAAAAGAAGACAGAAAAGAGGAAGATGATGGTGCTGTTTTGAAGAACGCTGGTGAAGTCGTGATGCTGTGCATTTGTGTATGTTTATTAACGTGTGTGTGAAAACTTTTCAACTTTATTGTGATGAATGACTGATGACTACATGAATGAATAACAACTCGATCTCGCGACGCGTCTGCACTGCTTTCTCTCTTTCTCTTTCGATAATTGACCAATTTTGGATTCTATTTTACAGTTTATACATGTTTTTTACATGACGCGACTCCTTCTTCCTCTCCCAGTCGTCGTCGTTACTTTCGAAGTCTCCGCGTCCGCTTCTTCCTCTCTCGCCTTCTTCGGTTCTTGCGGTTTCAACGCGAAAGATTCCAACTTTGCCTCGAATACTTTCCCGGTTTGTTGCGACGCCATCAAATACCCGCCCGTCATCTGGCCTTTAAGGTGCTTCAACGGCACGGCACTCGTGTATTCAAATTTCTCTCCGACGCCTAAAACTGGTTGCTTGCCAATCACCCCGTGCCCGTCGACGAATTCTTTCCCTCCGTTCTCGTCGGTGATTTCAAACCGTCGCGAAATCAACTGCACCGGTTCTGTCATAGACTCGTTCTCAATTCTCACGTTATACGCGTACACGAACCGTTGCTCTCTTGGAGAACTCTGCTCGGGAATTAAACTCGAACTCGCCGTCACCCTTACGCCGTTCGTCACGCACGTAGATCTCGCTTTCGCCGGCGTCTTTTCCAACAACGCCGTTCTCTCGTTCAGCGTCGAGAGCACGCCGATCGCGGCATCTATCCGTCTGTCAAACGCTCGTTTCGCGTCACCTTTTTTTACCACCAAAGGTTTCCGGAACTCGTTCAGAATGTCTCGTCGGAGTAAGTGGCTCGCCGGTTTATGTTTCTTCTCGTCGTCCTCGTCCTCGTCTTCTCCTTCTTCTCGAGTCGTCGCGGACGAAGATTGCCCCGCGAGCGGTGCGGTCGAAGACGACGACAACGACTTTTCGCTTTCACCTTCTTCATTTGTTGTCAAAGACGACGAGGAAAACTGCAAGCTCTTCAGATAGCTCGGACAGAGATACCGCAGAAGCGTCAGCTCGGTCTCCGGCAGCGAATCTAAACCCAGCCTTTGTATTTGTACCTCGAATCGTTTCGAACACTTCACCAGCGCGCGGCAAAGCGCGACGGTCAACTTAGACTGAAACGGAACCACCAACTTTTGCGCGACGATGGTACCACCACCGCTGGCGCCGACCGCAGAGAGTGGGGACATCTTTATTCGTCTTTATCTCGTTCTCTCTCTCTCTCTTCTTTTTAACCGTCGTTGAGGATAATAGTGTTCCTTCTCTTTAAATGGAGACGTGACGAAATTTTCCGTTTTTACTCCGCTCTTTCTCTCTCTCTTACTCCTCCTGCGTGGTGGTTGTGCGAGCAGAGAACCCCGCGCGCGCGAGTCGTCTCTCAAACGCGCTCTCTTCTTCTTCTTTCTGTCGTCTTTTGAACAACGCTCTGTTCTTCTTCTTCTTCTTTTTTGTTCAGAAGAAAGAAGCGCAACAAAACAGAAACAAAGAGAGCAGAATCTAGACTCTTCTTTTTTGTGGCAAAACACACACACACAAAAAAAGGCTCCTCAGAAAAAGGAGCCTCACAAAAAAAACACAGACCAAAAATAACACGTCACGTTTTATAGAAAAAAGGATGACGATGTGTACATCCTACGCCTCGATGATGACGCGCACGACGAACGAAGCGCGCTGCTGCCTCCTCTCCGCCTCCTCCTTTAGGAACGCGACTAAAACAACGAGCAGCTCTTCTTCGTCCTCTTCTTCTTCTTTTACGAGAGGAGGAAGAGGAGGAAAAAAAACGAGCGTCTTTTGTATCGGCAACGACAACAACGACACCACCATCATCACCATCAGCGCATCGTCGTCGAAAGCATCATCATCATCGGCGAAAGGAGGAAAGAAGCGCATCACCAAAATCAGGAACCAGCACCGCGGTGATGACGACGATCGCGCGTTCTCGGAAGAGAGCGAGAAAAACAACGCGAAAATGAAAGGGGGAGCTTTATTCTCCACCGCCGTATCTGTCGTCGTCGTCCTCTCCACGAGTCAATCGGTTTTTAACGTCCAACCTGCGTATGCCACCTTTTCGAAATCGCAATTCGAGATTCTGTGCCCAGTCGGCGACGAAGGCACGGAGTGTCGCATGAAAGCGTTGGCGGAAGATAAAGGGGCGTATTTGAACGACGCGGAATACAACACGAAATCGGATAAGAAAAAATCGATGAAAACATCCGCGGCGGCGACGGCGGGGAGAAACACGGATTTAACCGCGTATCAAGCGGATACGCTGGCGTTGGCGGACGCCATGGACGAGTTGTTCGCGATGGATTTATACTCGACGGCGAGAGAACCTGCGATTAAGCAGTTGCAAAAGAAAGCGAACGACTGGACCGGGAGATATTGCCCCGGTGGCTCCAGTAAGCAAGCGTCCGGAAGAAGCATGTACAACGCGGTGAATCAGTTGTTGGGCCACTTTGCGAATAACGGATTGGCGCCGTTGCCGAGCGCGAGGGTGGAAATTGTGAATAAGAACATCGCGACCGCGAGAGACTTGATCGCGCAAGGCAGATAATATATATATATAATATATATATATATATATAGTGTTGTTGTTGTTGTTATTATTATTATTTCTCATCGCACGCGCGCGTGCGTTCGTTAAAACACTCTGGTGTTCTTTGGAAAATTTTCTCACATTTTCTCTCTCGAAAGTCACTTGAAAGCGTCGTCACTTTTTCTCATCATCACATGCTCAATCGACGACCTTCTCGAATAGAAGTGAAACCGGAAGACCGACAAGAGGAGGTACAGACTAAAAAAAAGCGACGAAGCGTTGTGTCGTTCGTTCGTTCTTCTTTTTCTTTTAAGCTTCTTCTCTCTCTTTCCGTCGTTTCCGCGTTGGTTTCCGTTTTGAATCTTCTTCTTACGTTTAAACTTATTCCTTTCTCTCTCTCGAAACAGTACGACGACTCGCGCAGAGCGCACGTGGAAAGACTGAAACAGCAGATCGCTCTCCAAGGCCCATCACCTTCCGGCTTGGACGACGGCGACGACGACGTGAGAGGCTTTGTGAACGCGCACCATCCTCTCTTGCAAAGGCCGACGACTGACGCGAGAATCGGGTTTATTCCACCACCTCATCCTCCGTCGCATCAATAATAATAACAACACTACTGCTCCTTGGACGAGCGCGATTTTGAACAACATTCATCGCTCTTCCTCCGTTTCGTCGTCTGTTCCTTTGACGAGGAATCAACACTATCAGCGGCAAGAGCGCGGTAAAAACCCGTTTGTATCTTTAGTACACCGACGACGACAAATACAACGCGAGAGCGTCGACGAGAACATGTCTGCCACGACTACTTCCTCCGGGGGAACTCGGGTGAAACCTTTAGTCATCGTCGGTCCATCGGGCGTCGGGAAAGGTACTCTGATTGAAAAACTGAACAAAAATCACCCGAATTCGTTCGGGTTTAGCGTCTCGCACACGACCCGGGACCCGCGACCTGGGGAGGAAAACGGCGTCCACTATCACTTTGTCGAAAAGTCTCTCATGGAACAGGAAATCGCCGACGGAAAATTTCTGGAACACGCGAACGTCCACTTAAACATCTATGGCACCTCCTTCAAAGCCGTCGACGACGTCGCGTCCAAAGGCGTTTGCTGCATCCTCGACATCGACATCCAAGGCGCGGAAATCGTCAAAAACAGCGGCAAATTGGACTGCGCGTACGTCTTCATCCAACCGCCCTCGATTCCCGAACTCGAGCGGCGCTTGCGCGGTCGCGGCACCGAAACCGAAGAAGCCGTCACGAAACGCATGCAAAACGCGACGAAAGAAATCGAAAGAGGTGAAAAGTTAGGGAGCGCGTTTTTCGACGCCATCATCGTCAACGACGATCTCGATTCGGCGTACGAAAAGTTGAAAGACGTCGTCGTTCGACGAATTTTTACTCCCGCGTAATATATAGTTCAGAACGCCGCCGCATAATGCCGCTATTATCCGTGCTCTTTTGGCGAGTTGTTGTAGTGTCCATTTTTAATACATTATTCATCATCCGCTTTTGAGCCATATTATTTCGCAAGTTATTCCTTTTTTCGTTTTTCACATAAAGGCACCCCCTTCACCTGAATTCTTCATTCATAATTCTCTCTGCTGTATACAAACGCGCGCGTTCTTTTTGTTCGTTGTTGTTCTCGTTCGTTGAAAAGTTCTGATCGATATCGTCATAAAATCACCATGTGGTCGTTATTCCAGAAGAAAAAAACCCCGTCCGAAATCCTTCGCGAACACAAACGAACGTTGGACAAATCCATTCGAGAGTTGGATCGAGAAAGAACGCAGATGCAAAATCAGGAGAAAAAATTGACTCTCGAAATCAAACGCACGGCGAAAGCGAATCAACTCGGGGCGGTGAAAGTGATGGCGAAAGATTTAGTACGAACGAGACATTCAATCACGAAGTTTTACGCGTTAAAATCGCAGTTACAAGGCGTCTCGTTGCGAATGCAGACGCTGAAAAGCACGCAAGCGATGGCGGACGCGATGCGAGGGGTGACCAAAGCCATGGGACAGATGAATAAAAAATTGAACTTACCGGCGGTCGCGCAGATTATGAAAGAGTTTGAGAAGCAAAACGAAAAGATGGAGATGACGACGGAAACCATGGGAGACGCGTTAGACGACGCGTTCGAACAGGAAGGGGAAGATGAGGAGAGCGAGGAGTTGGTGAATGCGGTATTGGACGAGTTGGGGTGCGCCGTGAACGGGGATTTGGTGAGCGTTCCGACGAGTAAAGCCGGGGAAGGGAAGAAGGTAGAAGTAGTTCAAGAGGAGAAGAAAGAAGCGGTTTTAGAAGATGCGGGAAGTATAGGTGGTGGTGGTGTCGAGAATAGCAACAACAACGGTGGAATCGACGACGATTTACAAGCGAGATTGGATAATCTTCGAAAGACGTGAGTTTTGATTCATTATTAAACCACGCGCGGTAAAAGCGTTTGTATTATTATTATTATTATACATTCTTGTTATATGTAACAGCTCTATTTCTAAGCATTCTAATATCTTTCTCCTACTATGCGAATAGTAATTACTCCAACTCTTCGACGATTCTCTCTTTCCTCATTGGTTTGAACTCCTTCTTATGCGCGCCCGGCGCCGCGTGCGCCACTCTTCTTTCTTTCTTCCTGGTTTGAGCGTCAGTCATCGTTCGTCTCAATTTGGCTGATTTATGAATCGATTTCGGGACGTGTTTGTGATTTGCAATGCGTCTAATTTCAGGCATGTGCTTAAATCGATCTTTCAACGCTTCGTTGTACTGCATTTTTCGTTTTTCTCTCGGGAGTAATGTGCCCACCTTTTCGCTCGCGTGCGCTTTCCATAATCGGACGTTGAAATCGTCCGAACCACTAAAGACGTACGTGCCGTCCATGCTAAATTTCACGCAAAACACTCTCTGCATTCGTTTCGTGTGATAACAATCTCTCGAGTGACCGCTGTTAAAGTCGAACAAACGAATGCTCTTGTCGTAAGAACCGGCTACGAATTCCCTCCCAGTCGGCGAGTAATCCACGTCCAACACCGCGGAAACGAAATCTTTATGCACGCACGTCGACACGTTCAATTTTCGCATGTCGTAACTGTACAAGTTACAATCCTCGTTCGCGACGGTGAAGTTAAACGCCTCCATCGGATTCCAACACAATTTTGTGCACTTATTTTGCATGATGAGTTTCCTCGTCGGCGTATTCGTTCGACAATCGTATAAAGCAATCGACCGATCGCTGCCGCAACTGGCGAAAATCTCAGGTTCCGCGGGATTAAACCTCACCGACAACACCGTATCGCACCCCCACTCGAACGAGCTCACCGGCGCATCTTTATTCATATCCCATAAATCTACGCAGTTCCCCGCCGTGGCAAACATATCTTTCCCCCAGTGACAATCCACGTCTCTATACGCGCTTTCTCCGGCGACGACCATCGCCGGGCGTTCCTCCCGTCTCGTCTCGCGACTCCCGAGTTCTCCTAATTCAGCCTCTGGAACGTTCCAAATCCGTATCGATCGATCGTCCGAACACGACACTAACTTCCCTCCGGTCCTATCAAAACTTAATCCTCGTATGGCCCCGGAATGTGAATTCAAAATTCTCAGCGCTTTCCTCGACGGACAATCCCAAACTCGTATTTCCCCATCGGCGGCTCCACTCGCCATCTGTTTCAAGTTCTGCGTATTCTTCGCCAGGGACAAAATCCCGTCCGAATGTCCTTCAAACGCGCCACAAAATGGTTTCGCGAACACTTTATCTAGCTTTGTCGCGTTCAACGCTCGTTTATACTCCGTCGCTCGGTGCATCGGTCGTAACCGTGGGTCTAAATTGCGGTGGATTTTAATCGCTTCCGATTTCGTCTCCCGAGTGTACTCCTCCTCGATGCGGCTGATGACTTTCACCTTCATCTTTTTGTTTCGTTAAATCTCTCTTTCTATTCCCTCTGCTATTCCTTCTTCTTACTCTTAATATTAATATAATGAGAGCACAGACAACCCCCGCAATCAAAGCGTATAGAATAAGTAAAAAGGGAAACAGCCGTCAAAAAATGAAGACAAAACGTCAGACTTTTTGACGGCTTCAGTGAACTTATCGTAGTAGGACTGCCACACGACACAAGTTTAAGAACAACAACAACACGCGTAATAAATGCCATTCGTGCACATCGCGTGGTTACCAAAAGCGTGCAGAACGGCGGAAGTGCGCAAGGAAGTCGCCTCAGCCGTGATCAAAGCGTTGGTTTCGGTGAAAAGCGCGGAGATTTCGGCGGATAAAGTCGTCGTTCGATTTAGCGAGTCCGTGGACGGCTTTCAACTTCCAGAAGGACACACGCACGAAAACGTGGATTTACCGGCAGAAAAGAAGTAAAGCTTTTACGAGGCGTAACGGATGATTTCACGCGCACTCGCCGCCGCGTCGAGGAAGAGTAGGTTTGGAAGACGTCTACCAAGCGCTGCTTCTGAGAACTCGTCCTCTTCTTTTTCGATGGTGTTTAGCAGCAACACACAAACAACTTCCAGGACGGACGCCGAGAATCAAAGACGACGACAAATAATCACCGTCGAGCTGATATCAGATACCATGTGACCAAACGGGTTCATAGGAAAGCGACACCTCTACAAAGCCATGGAGGAAGTCACGCAAAATCCTATGGACGAAGCAAATCCGGTATCCTTTGCAGTTTTACGCATCCCGTTTTTTTTAGAACCAGAGTATAGCCGCGACGAAACTTGGAGCGAGACGAATAGGAAACGATTGGAAAGGAAGTGGGGCGGGAAGGAAGCGTTTGATGCGCAAAAGAAAAGGCATCAGCTAAAAGAAAGAGGACGAGAAGTTGGGATTCAACACTTCAATTTAGATAGGAAAGCGTCGAATACGTTGAAATCGCATCGGTTGGTCCAATGGGTGACGAAAAATTACGGATGCGCAAAATCGGAAGCGTTGTACGATGTGCTCAATGTCGAACACTTTGTAAACGGGAAGAAGTTGAACGATGCGAAGATGCTTTTAGAGTGCGCGAAGAAGATTAGCGATGGAGTGATCGATTTGGAGAAAGCTGAAAAGTTTTTAGCCTCGGACGAAGGCGAGAAGGAAATCGTTTTAGCGAAGAAAGCCTTGGATAGGTTAGGCATACACTCGATTCCGAATTTCGTCATCGGTGGAAAGGAGGTCTTATCCGGGGCGGTACATTGGAAAGAGTTAGTTGGAGCATTCCGACGAATCGAAAGAACTGGTCTTGGAGCGCCAGAGAACGCATTTGCGACTATATTAGGCATTCCCGAAGAGATTATTACTCAGACAACTCTGGACCCGACGAAGTACGCCGCGACGGTGTAGATCTTTTTATACGGAAGATGATTTGTGGGAGCAATTTGCAGCAACTCGCGATGTATGAAACGTGACGATTCCATTCGGAAAATTTATAAACGAATGGAATCCGATAATACGAGCTACGCTGTGTAATGAATGAGTGTCTCTCATCTTTTTTTATTTTAATCAAAAGAATTTAGTTTTATTATAATTATTGTTGCGTTTTGTCTCTCTCCTTCCTTTTAATGCGCCCCGGGGTCTCTTTCAATGTTGTACGACAAGTCCGCGAACACGTAATCCGGCTCTTCACACATCGCCCAGTTAAACTTTTGAACCAAAGCTTTGGTATACACCGTCGGCAATGGAACTTCGTGCTTTTTACACCACGCGATGGTAATTCTCGGATCCAAATAGTTGATTTTACTCGTCCCGAGCGATACTGTTTTCAAGGACTCTTTCGTTTCCATTTGTAACTTCAACTTCTGTATTCGTTCTTTCAACGAAGGGAGTTTCTTGTGGTTCTTATCCGCTTTTCGCAATTCTTTCATCTCTTTCTCCAACTCTTTTTTCTTATCGTTCAACTTGTCCATCCCGGCTTGGTGCTGTTTGGATTCGCCTTTCTGGTGATTACACAAAATAGCAACTTCCTTGTTCGCCTCGTCGTACGTCGATTTCATGATTGGTACCGCCGCCTTCGGTTTGGTCGTTTCTTCCAACAATCTATACAACGTAATCGAGGCGTTATACGTACGAAACACTTTAATGGTTAAGCCCGGCATGAGTGTTTGTAAGTGCGAGTTGACTTTAGACGGGTCGATCTTATCAAACACGTCTTCATCCTCTTTCTTGTTTTTGCAAAAGCGTTTCAAACAATCGTACGCGACTCTTTCGATGGCATGCTCTTGATGGTAGCGAATAGAATCCTTACCAAGAAAATCGAACTCAATTTTCGGATACGGGTGGTCATCTTCCGGACCCATGAATTTCAAATGTCCCACGCGCAGCGTAGTCACGCCGACCGTATCGGCCAAATCTTCGTCCTTCTCGCCGCCGGCACGCAAAGCTAATTTATCAACCAAATACGTCGTCACCGCTAACTGCGCGGTTTCTTTGTTGTCCTTTCGCATATTTTTGCGGTAATCATCGCGGATTTTGCCGATGTGCTCGTGTAAAGTTCGAGCCTTTTCAAACTTTTGTTTGTCAGACTCTGACTTCACGCTCGACGTCGCGCCAAACTGGACGTACTTCCAATCTTTCGTGTTGATGGAATCGTTCCAACCAGCCATCCAAGTGACGGTTTGGTCGTGTCGCACTTCCTTCCATCTGTGACCAGCGGGAGCTTCTGGCACTTTCGCGTCTTTGCCGATGTTGATGATGATATCTTCCGGCTGAATGCGCCTTTTGATTCTTCCCATCTTTGGATGTTCGCCTCGACCGCGGAACAATCCCGGCGGCTCCACTCTAAAGTTGCCAACTTGTTCGCGTTTACCATTCATAGTTGCCCACATGTACTTTTCTTCCGCTTTATCTTTATCTAATTTGATCTGTTTCTTTTCTTCGCTCGTTCGCGCTTTGACCTTTTCCCTCCTCGCGAGATCCCAGTCGTAAATTTTTTGAAAGTTGCACTTCTCAAAGTCCGTAACGTGCGCATTCTTTCCGTTTTTCAGTATGCGTTTAAACCCATCCATAAAGTTCTGTTGGAACACCGGTTTAAACGCGTAGTCTGTTTCTTTCATCACCGCAAAAAACGTGGCAACTTCTTCTTCGTGTGGCTCGAGATGAACGTCCTTGCCGTCGTACGTCAACGGAACCCCGTGCGGTTCGTACTCCGGAGGAAACAAAACTCCGTGGTGCTCCAACTGCGTCCACATAATCTCCGATCCTTTACCATTCCCTCCCGCGCTGACTCGTCTGGAACTCCCACCACCGCTCGATATTTTCTTCTTCTTCACGCCGGAGGACGAGTTCAACTTCACCGTGTGTCGACCGCCGCCCAATCGCTCCGCCTCTCGTCGTCTTCTCTCCTCTCTTCTCTTTTCTTTCCTTTTGCGTTTTCTTTCTTTCTTCTCCCGTCGTCGCTTTTCTCTTTCCTCTTTCGTCCTCTTCTCCGAATCAAGCGATTTCTTCTTTTGCGCCAACGGCGCGTCATCGTCGCTATCGGAGGAGTCCACCGGGCGTCCTCCTTTACTCGCCGCCGCGACGTTTGGATTCTTCGCGATTTGCGGCACCATCATCGGTCGCGATTGCACCGGACGCACCGCTTCAGGCACCATCGGTTTCGCTTTCGGAATAACCACTCCTCCTCCTCCTCCTCCTCCACCACCAGCACCACCAGTACCACCAGCGGCGGCGGCTGGCGCCGTCGGTGGAAGTATTTTCGTCCGTTCGACCGCTTTCGCTCTTTGCGCTAACGGCACGTCGTCGTCGCTCGAGCTCGAATCCGCTCGAGGACGTTTCGGGATGACAAATCCTGAACCATTATTATTTGCACCACCGTTCGACGCGGCAACCCCAGCTGGAGCCATCGTCTTCGCGACTGCCGCTGGTTGTTTTACTAACGCGTCGTCGTCGCCAAAAGCTTTTACGGCAGGTTTCTGAACAAAAGCCGAAGCGGTCGCCGCAGGAGCAGGAGCAGTTGGCACAGAGGAGGATTGAATCGGAGGCGCAACGTATGGTTTCACCACCCCGACGACCGATGCTGGCTTTTCAGCAGGAGGCGCAGTCGTCGCTGCTGCTGTTTGTGCTCTCATCGCCAGCGGGACGTCGTCGTCGCTCGACGAGTCTAACACCGGCATCTTTGTCTTCTTCTTCTTCTTTGTCTTCTTCTTCTTCTTCGAAGCTTTCGCGCGTTGATGATGAACACAAAAACACGATCGGTTTTTGAAAAAAGAATTTACTATCTTTTACCCAAAACACAGAAGACTTTACGTTTTTAAAGTAAATAACTACACACAGAAGAGAGAGATGTGTGTAAGAAGTCTCTCTCTCTCTCTTACGACGGAGTCGCGCGTGGTGGTAAAGTTGCTTTTGAAATTTCAGACAAAAAACCTCTCTGTCTCTCCTGCGCGAACAGCAAAGATGAAATGTGATGAAACAAAAGAGAGAGGGTTGGTTCCAATTTGAATTTAATAGTTTTTTGGACGACTGTCGACACTGGTCGAGAGGTGTTGAAAGATTTTTTGTTTTTTTTTCTTCTTTTTCTCCTTTTTGTTTGCACAAAACTGCTAAATTCAGTTACACTCGAAACACACGAACACACAGAGTGCACGTTACACGAGTAGAGAGTCTCACGTTAAAGTTTTGTGTTCTCTCTCGTCATATATACACTCCTCAAATAGTATCACGCAAATGAGTGACTTTATTCAATGATGACGCGTAAAAGCGATGATGACGATGCTACGATGATTGGGCCAGAGGAGCCACCGTCGTGGTCGGGGAAACGGAAACGGGACGACCAGCATCATCATCATCAGCGGGGGAAAAAAGAACGACCGGATTTCGCTCGGTTGGCGGGAAAGTACGACTATTTCGCGAGACACGCGATGAGGACGAAAAAGAAGAATAAGAGCCACGAGATGGATAAAGTTTTCATCGATTTCACCTCCTGGCAAGCGACGCACGATTTGTGCCGAGCTTTACTGGAAGAGATTGGCGTGAAAAATTGGTCCATACCGAAAGGCCACCTCGTCCCTGGCTTTACGCAACGAAGAAACTATTGCGAGTGGGTGGAAAGTCTGTTAGAGAAGGACGGCGTGCAAATAGAGGAAGAAAACGTGCGCGGCGTGGACGTTGGAACCGGGGCGTCGGCAATATTCGCTCTGCTGTTCACGTCGAGACATCCGAAGTGGGATATGTTCGGCACCGATATCACCGAGGAAGCGGTTGAGAGCGCTCGGAGGAACTGTCTGGCGGCGGGCGCGTCGGAGCGTTGTTGTAAGGACGAAGAGACGACTGAACAAGTCGTCGCCGCAGAGAACAATAATACGCACAGTAATTGTAGTAGCGGTAGAAGTAGAAGATGGATTAGCATTCGGGACGTCGCGAAAAAAAGGAGCAGCGGCGTCACTCGCGAAGAAGAAGAAGCCGAAGACGCCGAAGAGGAAGAAGACCAACCCATCCTCGACCTCGACCTCTTCGAGGAAGAGCGCATCGATTTCACCGTGTGCAACCCACCATTCTTCAACACCATGTCCGAATCCTCCCAAAATCCGCGAACAAATTTTGGAGGCACTACGAAAGAGAACAGTTACCGAGGTGGCGAATCGAGTTTCGTCCGGCGAATGATTCTCGAGTCTCGCCAGGTCGCGCTTTCCCTCAATTCCTCAAAAGGCGAAGAAAACCAACATCGAGTTCGATGGTTCACCACCATGGTCGGCGCGAAAGCGACTTTAAAGATGGCTAAAAAATGTTTGCGAGAGATGAAAGAGACGACGAAACTTCGCGAGACGGCGTTCGTGCAAGGGAAAACCCGAAGGTGGGGACTCGCCTGGTCGTTTCTTTGAGAAAAATTGGCTGCTGCTCTGTAACACCCTTTTGTTGATGAGTAAAATTAGATTTTAAATCACCGCACTTTTCAAACGCACTTTTCGTTGTTTATTTGTAACACGTGGTAGCATCGTTTCCTCTCTCTCTCGTATAAACTGAGTGTAGCATCGAAGCTTAGAGACGCATCGTTTCATCGTTACGCTGATAAATTAATCGATCGATACACTAAGAAAAAGATGATGAATTTACCGACGGAGAAATCCAAACTGTTGGCGGAGAAGAAGCCACCGTCCCCGGCATCATCGACGTCGTCGACGATTTCGACAAAGTTCGGGTCGATCGCTGCGAAACTCTCCACCGGAGCGGTTATTACCTGCGGCATTCTCGGCTCCGTGGCTTTGCTGAATAAGTCCGGGTACGTCGATACCAACAACGGCGTTGCGTTTTCGTCGTTTTTGCGAAGACGATCGTCAGCGACGGACCCGATTTACGCGAAAGACAGCGCGGCGTTCTTAGGGGACAACTACGATTTGAACAACAACAACTTTCCCGGGCAGCGCATGGAAATCCCGTACGCGTTTTTCCAGGACACGAAGTGGCACGACGCGCCGTTTTTCCGATTCGATGGCGAATCCGTAGAGAAAGGTCACATCACCCAGGAGGAGCTCACCGAGGCGAAGCAACGACAAGGCGATCCGAAGAAGTCCATGCCGGTGTTTAAGACGGCGGGAGCGGATTCGGCAGACGTGGTGGTGACTGCGCACGCGACGGATATGAATAGCTTCGGGTGGGTCATTTACGATTCCGCGAAAAAGAACGGGTTGGAGATGGTTATTTCCGGAGAAGGGACGCAGTTTCACGGGTTCGCGGATAAAGTCATCGGGTTGAAAGCGGCGTTACACGCGATGCCGGGAAATCCGATCGTGGTCGTCGCGGACGCCTCGGACGTGTTTTTGCAATGCAGCGCGTCTGAATTTAAGGACAGATTCACGAAAGCGGAAGCGGATATGGTCTTTGGCGGCGAGACGCAGTTGTGGCCGGAAGTTTCTGATTATTTCAAGCGCGACTCGGAAAAGGCGTTGAAGAATGAATTGTCGCACTCGTTCGGGGATATTGGCATGGCAGAAGGTGTCACGCCAATCAACAAAAACGACATTCCGAACGGTTGGCCGAACGCCGGCGGGTGGATGGCGAGGAAAGAGGCGCTTTTGGAATACATTTCGAGCACGGAGGAGAGAATGAATAAATTTTCCACCGAAGAGTGGCCGGGAGAGTGGGGATACCAATGCCGACCAGACGGAGCGACCGACGCGGATTGGAACGGAAAATACGCTGGATTACGTGGCTTTGACGACCAGTTATGTTTGAACGCTTACAACATGGCCAAGTTGCGACAAGGCGATCGACGGCACAAATTAGACGCGGACGGTTCTATTTTGTTCAGCACGAACGGATGCCCGGTCGCTGATACCGGGAAGGACAGTAAAGAAAAGGTATATTACAAGTACACCGGCAAAGCGCCGTGCTTATGGCACATGAACAACCCTGTGGCGAAAATTCGCTTGAAGGAAATGTCCGCGACGTACCCGAACCACTTTTTGACGCCAGAAGGTACGGCTGCGATGGCGGCGACTCCGGACGAGCACCCGGGACACCGCCCGCAGCATTAATGCATCAAATAACACATCAAACGTTATTATTTATGAACAAATTATTTGTTCATTTTGTTTTATTATTATCCACACATTGTTTATATCATCATTAGTTTTTAGAGCGTTGTAGTTACCGAAGTTTACGAGGAGAGTTTATAAAAAATCCAGCCTTACTATATTTTACACATCATGCGTTCTATTGTTTCAAGGTGAAAGTCACGTTCAAAGAGCCGAGTGGCAAAACGTGGTGGGGAAACACTTCCCCGTCTTCGTTCTTACTCTGAAGCCCGGGCGGCTCAGCTGCGACTCTAGACCCTCCCACACCACCTCTTCGTCGTTTCTTCTTCTTCCTCGAAAAAAGTTTACGTTCAGTCCAGGTCGTTTCCTTGGACCACGGGCGCGAACTCCCCCACGCGTGCTCATCTTCAACCCACTCATCGAAGCCATCCGGGCATTGTAAATTTCCATTCATCGCGCCAACTTTCGGCCATTTTTCTTTCTCCACCGTCGCGACGTCGAATTTCGCAATGTCAAACTCGTACCCTTTCCTCGTTCTTTTCAACCAATCTCTAAAAGCTTTCTTATCGCCGCTCGCGCTCGAAGGACAGTGTCCTTCGTACTTATCGTTCGACACGACGACGACGGTGTTGTGTCGCTCGTTGATTGAATGTTCAAACGCCTCGTCCAAAATCGCTAAATCGTCCGCGCTCCTCCCTCGCACGTCGTTCTGTCGATCGATCAACTTCAACACGCCGTCGTCGACCATCTGTCGCAAATACACGTTTTCCCATTCGTTCTCGCCCACGTATTGAACTTTCTCTGGATGTAACAAACGTAAACTCCCTCCGTCGCACAGGCCGTTTAACTTCCCTCTCGCGTAATTTTTCGGCGCGAACACGACCACCTCTTCGAACTCTTCCACCTCCTGAAAATAGCGACACACCACGGTCAAGGCGGTAGAGATTGGAATCTTCGCCAACGCGTTGTTCGAGGCTCTCAACGCCGCGCAATACGCCCAACAGACGTTCGCGCCGTCCACGTACGCCTTTCGTCTTCTAGACCTTTTCGTCTCTTCTCCTCGTTCTTCTCTGGTTGTTGTCTTTGTTTCGGTCGTGATTTTAGCCGCATCTTCATCACGTTTCAACGAACTCCTCGTCGTCATCATTCGCATCATTCGTCTGTTGCTGTTACGTGAAAAGTGTCTCTGTTGTTCTCGTTTCCCATCATTTCTCTTTTGAACGCGTTTTCGATGATAATACCCATCTTTAAAGGAAGAAGCAGTTTGTTTTCGAACGACACCACCGACACCACCGTCCAAAGACATTTTAGAAGCCATATTCTCCGTTGCGTTTTAAGACTGACGCGCGTGTGAAAAAGAACACAACTGTTTGTGCTTTTAACATTTTGAGCTCTTTTTGAATGAACTTAATTGGGCGTCAAAATTCAAAAAACGTCTTTTCTCTTCTTTTTTCGTTTGATTTTCTTCGAGAAGAGAGAAGCAAAAAAAGGGCAGATCCTCTTCAAAAATTCTTCCTGTCTTTACTCTCTTTTGCAACGCGCTCTTTACACAGAGAGAGAGATAAAAGCACTTTTGGAAGAATATATACCATGTCTTCAAACGAACAACAAAAGAAGAGCGAAAAAGGACCTTCGGTGGACTTGGACGCGTGCGGTTCGCGACTGAAATCTTTATATACAATATGGAATTCGAATGAGAATCATCAGTTATTCAACGACGCAGACGCACTCCTCATAGGCTCCGGGGCGAACAAAGAGGAAGAACTTCGATACTTAAAAGCAGTCAGCCTTCAGATTTGGCTGTTCTCGTACGAGTTACCGGACACGGTGATTGCGTTCATTAATAAAGGAGGAGAAACAAATGGAAATGAAATGCACGCGATCGCGAGCGGGAAGAAAGCGAAGCTGTTAGAAAACGCGAGAGAAACGATTGAACGAGCGATTGGTGGGACGCTGCGAGTGCATTCGAAACCGAAGCACGAAGACGGTTCGCAACAAGTGGACGCGTTGGTGACAATTTTAAAAGAGAAGTGCACGAAAATAGGCGCGTGCTCGAAAGAGCTCAACGAAGGGAACTTGATGCAAACGACGGTGGAGAAACTTGGAGGAAAAGAGCAGTTCGCGGACGCGACGTCCGGGATCGCGTGCGTTTTATCGAAGAAAGACCAGAAGGAGATGAAATTCGTCGACGACGCCGTGAAGTTGTGCTCGGAGGCGATGAAGTTTGCGGTGAGCGAAGTGGAGAACGCGATTGAAGACGAGTTGAAGATTTCGCACGTCAAGTTGAGCGAGAAAACCGAGGATGCGATTTTAGCGCCGGGGAAAACGTTAGGGTTGAAAGATATTAGTCACGAAGACGTGGATATTTGCTACCCGCCGATTTTTCAATCCGGCGGCGAGTACGATTTGAAGTACAACGCGGTATGTTCCGAGAAGAAGTTACACTTTGGATCGACGCCGGCGGTTATTCACGTTTCGTTAGGTGCGAGGCACACGCAGTATTGCGCGAATATCGGGAGAACGTATTTGATCGATCCGACGGAAACGCAAGAGGCGGTGTACGAGGCGTGTTTGAAGGCGCAAGACGCCGCCGTCGAGGCTCTAAAACCGGGGAAGTTGTGTAAAGACGTGTACGCGGCTGCGCAAAAAGCGTTGGAAGAGGCGGAAAAAGAGAACGAAAAGTTGAAGGATATGAATTTGAGTTCAAAATTGAACAAGAACGTCGGGTCTATCTTAGGCTTGGAGTTTAAAGACGCCTTCTATATGCTCTCCGGAAAGTGCGAAAGCGCGATCGAGGAGGGGATGATTTTTAACGTCGCGTTGGGCGTAAACGGTTTGGAAGAAACCTCCGCGGACGAGAAAAGCAAGTCTCGACACTACGCGATTATGATCGCGGATTCCGTGCAAGTCACCGCGGATGGTATTGCGAACAAAGAGCTCACGAAAAACACGAAGAAACTTTCGGACGTTTCCTACGCCGTCAACGAATCCGACGAAGAAGACGACGACGACGGCGCCGAGGAGGATAAAGATATCGCGAATACCGGCGCCAGAGGTGGGGTCATTCTCGACGCGAAAACGAGAGGTGACGAAGCCGTCACGGCCAAAGCCGAAGCCGATCGTCAGCGTAAACAAAAAGCCTTGGCGGACAAGAAAAACGCCGAAACGTACGACCGATTGATGAACGCGCAAAACGACGTCGAAAAAGGCGGGAAAGGCGCCGGCGCTTCGGCGGATTTTGTCGCGTACAAATCCGTCACGGACGTTCCCGCGCCTCGTAAAGAGTTAGTCATCGCGGTAGACAACGATCGCGAGGCGGTTTTACTCCCGGTTTGCGGTATGCTCGTCCCATTCCACGTGTTGGCGATCAAATCGTGTTCCGTCTCCCAAGACGCCGGCGCGAGTTTCATTCGGATCAACTTTCAAGTCCCGATGGGCGCCTCGGCCGCCGCAAACGCCGGATACTTACCCGCCATTCGATTTCCGAACAATATCTTCTTAAAAGAGCTTTCGTATAGATCGAGCGATCCGCGACACGCCAACTTTGTGGTGAATGAAATCAAGACGCTGCGAAGAAACGTCGTCGCGAGAGAAACCGAACGCGCCGAACGCGCGACGTTGGTCCGACAAGCCAAGTTGCAGCTCACCAGCGGGAGAGTCCACCGCTTGACTGGTTTGTGGATGCTCCCAACTTTCGGTGGTAGAGGTGGACGTAAAGCGGGCACTCTCGAAGCGCACGCGAACGGTTTGCGATACATTGGTGCTAAAATGGACGAACAAGTGGACATCATGTACGAGAACATCCGCTCGTGCTTCTTCCAACCGGCCAAGAAGGAAGTGAAGACGCTCATTCACTTCCACTTGAAAGACCCGATTATGATTGGAAAAAAGAAAACGCACGACGTTCAATTTTATCAAGAAGTCATCGAGGCGACGGAAAATTTGGACGGCAGTCGCAAAAACATGTACGATCCGGACGAAATCGAGGAAGAACAGCGCGAACGCGAGAGGCAGAAACGAGTGCAAAAAGAATTCGCGCAGTTTTGCAAACGCGTCCAGGAAATCTGGGAGAAGGATTTCCCGAACATGGGCTTAGAGTTTGATTCCCCGTACCACGATTTAGCCTTCGACGGGGTCGCGTACAAATCTACCGCGAGAATCGTCCCGACCGCCTCGTGCTTGGTCGAACTCATCGAGTTCCCTCCGTTGGTCATCCACGCGAAAGATATCGAAATCGTCAACTTGGAACGCGTCGGTTACCACTTGAAAAACTTCGACATGGCCATCATCTTCAAAGACTTCAACAAAGACGTCCACAGAATCGACCAGATCCCCTCGAAGAATCTCGACAACATCAAGCAATGGCTGACGACTTTAGAAGTGAAATACTACGAAGGGAAAGCGAACTTGAACTGGAAGCCGCTGTTGAGGCAAATCAAAGAAGACCCGGAGTCGTGGTTAGAAGCCGGAGGATGGGAGTTTTTGAACAACGAACCGTCCTCGGACGAAGAAGACGCCGAAGGCTCCGACCCAGAGTCTGAATTCGAACCGTCCTCGGACGAAGACGAATCGGAATCAGAATCCGAAAGCGAGTCCATGTACGACGAAGACGACGAGGACGAAGACGCCAGCGCGGATGAGGACGACGACGACGACGACGACGAAGAAGTTTTGGATTGGGACGAAATGGAAGAAAAAGCGAGGAAGGAAGACGAGGAAGCCAGCGACGAGGACAGGAGAGGTGACAAGAGGAAGAAGAAGAGCAGTAAACACAGATAAAATTGAAGAGAGAATTTTGATACAATTTACACGAGACATCACATCGAAGAACATCCCCAACGCTCCACACTTTCATTCTCATCATACACTTTTTGTCCGTCTTTTAAAAGAACAACAACAACGACAGAAAAAATGTCCTACCTCCTCCCTCACCTGCACACCGGGTGGCACGTGGACCAAGCGATCTTGTCCGAGGAAGATCGCGTCGTCATACTCCGATTCGGCCGCGACGGCGACGAGACGTGCATGAGACAAGACGAAATTCTCTCAAACGTCGCGGAGAAAATCAAAAACTTCGCGGTCGCGTATCTCGTGGACATAGACGAAGTTCCCGATTTCAACGAGATGTACGAGTTATACGACCCTTGCACGTGCATGTTTTTCTTCAGGAATAAACACATAATGATTGATTTAGGGACCGGGAATAATAACAAGATAAATTGGGCGATGGATTCGAAGCAAGAGTTTATCGATATCGTGGAGTGCGTCTTTAGCGGCGCGAGACGAGGGAAAGGTTTAGTTATTTCGCCGAAAGATTACTCGACGAAGTACAGATATTAATTACTAGTAGATGATAGATTACAAAATTAGTATATAGTGTATGTTGTTCTAGCTACATATAGCGCTCTATTTGATAGTATATAGTCCACATTGGATTCGATGCGTCGTTTCATTCGGCGCGGCGGCTTTAGGTGAATTTTTTCCGCTTGCTCGCAGCGTGTACCACATCTCTCACGCCATCTCTGGTAATCGTATACATCGCTTTCCTATTCGCCAACCTCGGGCTCTTCGCCACGTATGCAATCCTAGTTCCTTCCTCGCCCCATGATAACGCGACTCTCGTCGTCGCCGCGTGCGCGTATGACTCCCCTAACGCCGGCGCCAACCTGCCCCCTGGTTTCGTCGTCGCTTGATTTATAGTCACCACGGCTAATTCGTGTTTCTTCGCTAAACTCATCAAATTGTTCGTCGTTTTCGCTAAAATCGACGCTCTCAACGCCATGTCGTCGAAATCTTGTCGAAAATGAAACGCAATCGAATCCACGACCACGAGTTTCACCTTTGGATGCTCCTTGACAAACTCCGGCATGTGATCCAAACACGCCAACAACTCCGTCACCTCGTGACACCTGAACACGTGTATCCTCTTTAAAATCGAATCCACAGAAAACATATTGCTCTCTAAACACTCCTCGTACTCTCTCCTCTCCTCCTCCGAACATCGCATTTCTTGCACTCTTTCTTCCAATTTCCTCCTCGCGCCAATCGCCATATCCTCGCACCGGTCGCACGTAAAACTCCCCTCGGTATCCACGTAGACGCACTCGCCTTCGTTCCCGCAGAAAAATTCTTTCGGCAGTTGCACCGACACCGCCAACTGCATCCCGATTTGTGTCTTCCCTACTCCAGGGGCGCCACAAAACTCCGTTATCTCTCCTGTTTGTACGCCCCCGCCTAAAATCCCGTCCACTTGAGCGCAAAACGTCATCAGTGGTATTCGCTCTTGTTCTTTCTTCAACAGTTCCGAGGCTGATTTTGCCCCACGCAAGGCGAACCCATCAAGTCCACATCTGCACGCTTTCAGCACGTCCTGCGCTTCATCCAGCGTTAAAGACGGCACGGATTTTACCAGTTGTACCGGTAACGAGTGGTGTCTGAGGACATCTTGGACGGCGTTAAACCCGCAAAATTGAAGTTTTGCTCGTACCGTCGGGGATAAAGGTAACGCGTTTAAAGAGTACGAGGATTGCCAGGAAGAGTATGAGTTGTTTGCCGCGGCGTGATTATTATTATTATAATTACCGTGCTGATGCTGATGCTGATGATGGTGCATCGTCTTTTCGCGTCGTCGCGGTGGCAAGCAAGAGTCTCTCTCTCTTTTATTCTGAAGACGAATTTTGAATTTTCCCCAATGGACACAAAAGGGCAAAAACATGCGCGAGAATTATATACTACTAAATGAATGTTTACTGATAGTATATGGGGTATTATAATATAACAAGGAAAACGAAAACGCTCAATTCATGTGCGTGTGTGTGTGTGCATGTGCGCACGGTTCAAAAGCAGCGTTTTTTTTCTTTCGTCTTCTCAATCCGCCGTCGGCCATTTTTTGGACTACGGGGACGACGGCGCCGTCGCTTTCGTCTTTGGCGGCGGCGGGGGCTGTTGTTTATTCGTCTTTTTCTTTTTCTTCTCTTGTTGCTCCTCGTACTTTTTGTTCATTTTGTTTACCAAAGTATCCGCGAACGCCATTGCTTTCATGTAACTCGCTTTGCTGAACAACGTCGCTCTCTCCACGCCGTTCATGGCGACATTTTTTACGACAATCAACGTCGGCGTAATCATCACCACGACGGAATCTTTCGCCTTGTAAATCTTGTCCGCGGAAACGATTCGCTTCAACTCGCCCATGTTTGTCATCGTAAACGTCTTCGTGGTGAATGTTTTCACGTACACGAACACTTTGCCGGTTTCCGTCTTCAAAAATGTAAACGCCTCGACCAAACTCGGCCACGCCGCGTCGACGACGACCTCTTTCAACCACAAATCAAACAAGTGCGCCTTCTTCTTAAACGCAATCGCGAATTCTTTCGCTTTATCCAAGGACTTATCCGTGCCGTAATACGCGACGATCGCCCCGGTCGCCGCGCCGGAGAGTAACGCCGCCACTTGCAACGCGCTCGTCGCCGAAAATCCGTTTTTGCCTCCTCCTCCGCCTTCAAACGTCACGGTGTTTGTGGTGGTCGTCGTGTTCGTGTCAGAGATTTCCTTCACGCCCGCGCCGCCGAGTACGCCTGTCAACGTCGCCGGTAAAACGTCTCTCGCTTTCGCGAAAGCGTCAATCACCGCGGTCCAATCCGTCGGGATGTCCGATATCGAAGGCATGCGTGTTGGAACCAATCCTTGCGAAGAGGCTGCTGCGGCTGCCCCGAGCGCTGCTAATCCTCCCACGTACGGTAAACTCATTCTTTCGTATGCTCTTCTCTCTCTCTCTCTCTCTCTCTTTGTGATGAGATCTGAAACGACTGAAACGACTGAAACGATGCGTGATATCAAATGTGTATGTATTATACGCGCGAAAGTAATGCAGACGTGACTAATCTTTTTTCCCATGCCAAGAGGGAGATATTTTCCCCCCCTTTTTTAGTTCACTTTCTCTTGGTCGTAACTACACGAGTGTTGAATATTCATCGAACGAAGTCAGAGGATGAGCTGACGTAGCTTACGAGCATCTGTCGAATAAACACAGATCAATAATACTAGGTATATTTGAGGAATGTAAAAGTTCAGAGAGACTGAGAGAGAGATATTCATACAATTATTAGTATTAGTAGTATTATAGCGGGCAATAGCTATTTATCAAATCTTAACGCAAATTCGCTCTTTCCGCATCCACGCTCCAGCATTTACCACCTTCTTGCACTTTTACCACTCTTTCTTTAAACGTATCTTGGGAGAAAGCGGTCCCGTCGGCGAACGATTCGTTCGCTTCCGCGATGGCCTGTTCCGACGCTCTTCTCGCGATGGACTCTAACGTTTCTCCGGTGTACTTATCCTTTTCGCCATCTTCAGTCACGCCGACGCCTCGTTTCATCCGCATGACTTGTTTCAACGCGTCCTTTTCGCCTTTGAACTCGCTGTTGCAATTGGAAAAGCACGGCACTAAAATCGCCGCGTCCTCCTCCAACGGCGGCGGCGCTTTGTTGAAGCTCCACACGCACGAGAAATCGTCGTAATTCGGTTGAATGTGTAAATTCATCCCAAAGTCTTCTCTCAACCACTCTTGACTGGGAACTTTACACGAATTCACGCACACAGACGCGCACGAACTCGTTTCCAAAAATCGACACCGTTCCGCCTTGATCGCTTGCGGCACGCTCACCACTTCCGGTAAAAACGGAAACGTCTTCCTCAACTTCTCCGGAACTTTTACGTCCTCGTGTTCCGCCCCTTCCATCGGCCCCATTAACCACGGGAACAAAACGATAAAAACTAAATGGAAACTAAACCCCGTCACCCATTTCGGCGCGTTTGGATCGACAAACTTCTTCCACAGCGGCGGAATCCACCCGATGTACAACGCCGGCAATATCCCTTTAAACACCCTCTTCGCTCTCGTTTGCACGTCTTTCGCGGTCCCTTTCATATCGTTCACTTCTCTCACCGACGTCATCAACGCTTCAAAATTCGCGTGGTCTCTCGGGTCGGTATCTTTGCCAACCTCTTGGACGAGAAGTTTCCGTATGGTGGACGTTAAAACTTTCGATATCGGCGATTTGTCGATGGAGGAGTAATCGACTTTCCCGTTCGGTAAAAGAGGTAAAGATTTCGTCGGGATCGGGTCCCCACGCCAGGCGTATCCACCGTTATTATTATTACTACTCGCGTTTGTCTCGTTACTCGTCGCCGTCGCGGCAACATCCATCCCTCTTCTTCTTTTGCTCTTTTCTCTTTCGCTTCCTTCTCCAATCCTCATCGTTGCGGCGCCTCGAGGAATGAATGATGACGACACCATTCTTCGTCTTCCTCTCGAATGAATGAAAGAAGAAGATGGGAAAGAAGACGACGTCGTCGCCTCGCGCGAGGACTGAATTCTCCTCATTCTGTTGTTCGCCTTCCCGCGACCACTATTATTCGAAGTGTTCTTCGCCGCGGTGTTCGTCGTCATCGTCGCGTGGTTGACAGAAAAAACCATTTTGTTGAGTAATAAATAAATATGTTGCGTGTGTGTTTTTATGCGTCAGACAAAAAACAAAACAATTCTAAACCGCTTTTCACGTGCTTTTGATTAAAAAATAAACCAAATCCCTCTCTTCTCTCGTTTGTCCGTTGCTTTTTTGTTTTTCAGAAGGCAAAAAAGTGCTCTTTTTTTTCGCCTTTTTTTTGGACGACTCGCGAAAAAGAGAAAATTTCTGCTCTGTCGCTTTTTGCACGTCTTCACACAAATGCACACTCGTAGTCACAAACTATTATAAACAAATGTATTATTATTATTATTATTATTAACGTGAGAAGAAGAAGACGAAGGAAAAGAAGAAGAGTACGACGACTACCAGAAGAGAGTAGCAACGAGTATACTATGGAAGACGCCGCGGTTGGGACGACGACGTCACACAAAGCCCCGCGCTCCGGGGCGAAAGCGAAGAAGAAGAAAGATGCGAAGAGTAAAAAGAAAAGTGGCGGCGTGATGCGTGAGAAAGAAAAAGGCCAAAACGCGAAAGCGTTTATATTCTCGTCGTCGAAAAAAGCGCAGAAAGGCAGGCGCGTGGCGGCGGAGAAGCTGGAGAAGAAGCTGCACGTTCCCGTGCACGATCGGACGACGTCCGAGGAGCCGCCGCCGTTCGTGGTTGTGGTGCAAGGACCGCCGTCGGTAGGGAAGACGACGTTGGTGAGGAGTTTGATTCGGCACTATACGAAGCAAACGGTGAACGAGATTAAAGGACCGATTACATTGACGGTTGGGAAGAAGAGGAGGGTGCAGATTATCGAGGTTGGGCAGAGTTTGTGCGATTTAATCGACGCGGCGAAGTTGGCGGATTTGGTTTTATTATGCGTCGACGGGTCGTACGGGTTCGAGATGGAAACGTTTGAGTTTTTGAACGTGTTGCAAGTGCACGGGTTTCCGAAAGTTATGGGGGTGTTGACGCATTTGGATCACTTCAAGGAACCGAAGAAGTTGAAGAAGACGAAGAAAGTGTTGAAGCAAAGGTTTTGGACGGAGATTTACGACGGGGCGAAGTTGTTTTACATCAGCGGGATGACGCACGGGAGGTATAATCAAAGGGACGTCGTGAATTTAGCGAGGTTTATTTCGGTGGCAAAACCGAGACCGTTGATGTTTAGGTCGCAACATCCATACGTGATTGGAGACAGGTTCGAAGATTTGACCAGGCCGGAGATGGTGCACGAGAATGAACACATCGACAGAGAGGTGGCGGTGTTTGGGTGGTTGCACGGGTGTAACATGAAGGCGGATCAGTTAGTACACGTCGCCGGGGTAGGGGACATGAAGGTGAAAGAAATCACGCAGTTGCCTGATCCGTGTCCGTTGCCGAGCCAAGATAAACGAGCGAGACGTTTAGACGATCGGTCGAAGTTGATTTACGCGCCAATGAGCGACGTCGGCGGACTCCTTTACGATAAAGACGCCGTGTACGTTTCCTTGGACGACAGGAAAGTGAATTATACGAACAAAAGCGAGCACTTTGGTGACGCGAAAGGGAACACGATTGGCTATTTAGGCGACGACAGGTCGGACGATGAAGACAACAACGACATCGGTAAAGGAAAAATGAGCGGCGTAAAGATGGTGAAAGGATTACAATCAACGCAAAGCGGCTTTGACGAAAAATTGAAAAACTCGGAAATTTCCTTGTTCGGAGGTGGAGCGAAAACCACCGGCGAGGAGGACATTTTCGATAGAAAAATAGACGACGACGACGACGACGACGACGACGATAACGATAACGATAACGATGAAGATGATGCAGAAGAAAACGAACAAAAAGGTGGTCGCGTTCGAAGAAGAGCAGTGTTTAACGACGGGTTAACAGAAAATGAGGAGGACGATGAAGACGACGACGACGAGAACGAGAAAGAGTTCTCGGATGCGGACTCCGACGACGATTTGGGCATGGGAGACGACCAAGACGACGACGAGAACGAAGGTCTCGGCGCGGGCGCGAACAAATGGAAGGCGATGCTCGCCAAAGCGGGGAAACGTTCGAAATCTCTCATGGAACTTGTCTACGACGACGTCGAGAATGAAAATCCAAACAATTCGAAGAAGAATAAAAACAAGAAAAACCGAGACGACGACAACGAGGATTCCGATAGCGACGATCTGTTCAAAAAGACGGACGATAACCAGGCGTCGAGAATAATCGACGCTTTCGATCAGACAAAATTTATTCACCAAATGAGAGGCAAATTAGATGTTTCGGATCCTGCACTTCGCAATCGATTCGTCACTGGTGACTGGGACGCTGCCGGAGCTCGCGCCGAGGCGCAACCGTTGGATGAATCGGCCATGGACGATGACGAAGTGTACGGTGATTTCGAAGATTTAGAAACTGGGGAGAAATTCGCCGGTAAAGATAGTAAAAAGGCGGGTTACGACGACGAAGGCAGCGATGGTTCATCGGATGAAGACGGGAGTGACAGCGATAGCGAAGGAGACGACAGCGACGACGATAGTAGCGGTTCCTCCGACTCCGATGAAGATGAAGAAGCGAAAGAAAAACGTCGATTAGCAAAGATTGAAAAGCACGAAGAGTTTCAGCACCCGTCCGCGCAAGGTCGCGGCGCACGTCGTAAACAGAAAGGTCTCAAGGGGCCCAATCACGACACATACGCAGAGGACGAACCGACGACGTATTTTGATCTCGTGAAGGATCAGTTTGCGGAGCAAACGGCTCGGACGCGTGCGGCGCTCGACGCGCTTCCCGCTTCCACGCGAGAAGCGATGGAAGGTTTCCGACCGGGAGCCTACCTTCGCGTCGTTCTCGAAAGTGCACCATGCGAATGGGTGAAAAACTTCGATCCGAAGCGACCAATTCTCGTTGGTGGTTTGCTCGCCGGTGAAAATGTCGTCGGGATGCAACAATTACGATTGAAGCGACACCGATGGCACCGGAAGACTTTGAAGAACAAAGATCCACTCATTTTTTCGATTGGATGGAGACGCTTTCAAACGATTCCGGTGTATTCGGTCGTCGACGCGAACTCTCGGCATCGAATGATTAAGTACACGCCAGAGCATATGCATTGCAATGCGACCATTCACGGGCCAATCGTACCTCCCAATACAGCGGCAATCTGTTTTCAGAAAATCAATTCGAATCAATCGAGTTTCCGCGTCGCGGCAACAGCGGTCGTCATAGAGGTCGATCACTCGATGAAGATTATGAAAAAGCTCAAACTCGTGGGCACGCCACACAAGATATACAAGAATACCGCCTTCATTACTGGAATGTTCAACTCGTCCTTAGAGGTTGCTAAGTTTGAAGGTGCCATGTTGCGAACTGTATCCGGCATTCGAGGTACGGTGAAAAAGGCAGTGAAACCCGGGCAAGGCGAGCACGGTTCCAAAGACGGTGGCCTAGGCGACGGGGCGTGTCGTTGTACGTTTGAAGATAAGCTGTTGATGTCCGATATCGTCTTTTTGCGTTCCTGGGTCCGCGTAGAGGTGCCAAGATTTTACAACCCAGTCATGAACGCGCTCGTGAAATCGGACGACGACTGGATCGGTATGCGAACGGTTGGACAAATCCGGTACGATAATCAAATGACCATACCAGTCAATCCGGATTCGATATATAAACCAATCGAGAGAAAGAAACGCGTATTCAACAAGTTGCAAATTCCCAAAGCATTGCAACAAGCGTTACCGTTTAAATCGAAACCAAAACTCGAACCTTCGAGAAAGAGAAAGACGCTCGAGCAAAAGCGCGCCGTCGTTCAAGACAAGGAGGAGAAGAAGATGACGACGATGGTGCAGCAGCTCAACACGATACGCAACGAAAAGATGGCGAAGAGAAAGGCGCAACAAGACGTTCGCCGCGCGGTCAAAGCGAAGAAAGACGCGAAAGATAACGAGTGGAGGTCGGTTTTGGAGAAGGAAAGGAAGAAATCAAAGTATCGAGAGGAAGGGAAAGCGGAGAAACTGAGAGCTTTGAGAGCGCAAACGTCGTAGTCATAAAAATAAAGAATAGTGTACGAATACTAATATACAAATATACAAATTCAATCAAGCGCCTAACCAAGGTTTCAACGCGCGCGATTGATGTTGATGATGATGATGATGCTCGTTCTTGTTCATCTTTTTCATCGTTTTCTTTGTTCCGCTTCCTCCTCGTTTTTGGTTCTCTTTTTCGATGTCCACTTGGCACCGCTCGACGAAAGCGTCTATTCGTTCTCTCACCAACTCTTGAAATTTAGCTTCACTCTCGGTCTCTTCAAATCTAGGCCATCTCGAATTCTCGCACCCAAACCTGTTCTCATCCAAATCACCGAATATCGACACCGTTAGCGGCGAGGCTTTAGCTCGTTTCCCTTCGTTTAAAATTTCCAGAGTTTGAGAAATCATAATCTCAATTTTCGCGTTGACCAAATCATAATCAACCGCCTCCGAAACCTTCTTCTCGCAAAACTCTCGCGATATACTTTCCAGCGCCTTTCCCACGGCATCTTCTCCCATCTCCTCCACGCGTTCTCTCTCGTCGTCCTCTTTCGCTTCGCACTTTGCCACCGTCTCATCCTCGTTCTTCGCCTTCAAATCTAACTCCTCGCCGGCGGCTTCGGCGGGGAGACCTTCTTCCGCGAGTCTCTCTTTCTCCTCTTCTTCTTCTTCTTCTTTGGCAGAAGAGTCACAGGTCTTCTTCTTCGTCTTCTTCGCGACAGAGGAGGAAGAAGTATGAACAGGAGGAGGCAGAGGAGGAGGAGGCAGAGTGATTTTCTCGTTCCTGTCGTGTTTCTCCACCGCGTACGTTGGCGTTGACTTTTTCTTCAAAGTCGTCATCTTTCTCCTTTTTGTGATGGAAATTCACATCAAATCACTTTGATGATGACGATGCCTTTTCAGTCATCTCCTCGCCTTCTTTCAAAGCCTGTGGCGAGAGCAATCCTTCCATGGGTTCCATTTTCATTTTTTCTTTCTTCGTGTGTCCGTAGTCGAATAAGTTTTGTTTGTGTTTCGTGACGGCGTCGAGTAAATTCGCGCGCGCTTTTACCGCTTTTCCCAACGGAGTTGAACTTTCGGAGGCGATTCGCTCGAATTCGAGGATCGCTTTTTGATAGTTTTCAGAGGAGGAAGAGGAGGAGGTCGAAAAGGAAGGTCTCGCAAACAAAGCTCGACGAAATGGACTACTCATTTCGAGTTTCGGGGGCGTATTCTTTGTCTTCTCACGCGCGTTTACCGCCGTGAATCTCTCGTTTTTAGTGCAGAAATATTTTAGGCACGAGCAGTCCTTTTTGGCTTTTCTTCGTTCAGAGAGAAATCGTCACAAATCGTCACATCACGCTATAAATTCCCACGTATTCTTCCAACCACCACCCACTCAGACTGCGAAGTTTTCCACGCCCACCACACGAACGCGTTGGACTCTTTAGAATTTCGCGCTCTCTTTTCTCCCTCTCTTCGCCTCGTTCTTTTCGTCGAACGGGTGCTGCGTCGCGCGTCGTCAAAGAAGAGAGAATTTTATACACTTAAGAGAGAAGGAGATCGATCCCTAGGAAGAAGAAAAAATTCGCGGGAATCGCGCGCAAAAGTCTTTTGTTCTTTTTCGTGTCCACGCGACGATTTAAAGTCGCTTTAGCGCATCAATCGATACGAATCGCGCCTTTGCGCGTCTGAAATAGATACAGTTCGTAACGTGGTTTTTGTTAGAAGAGATTAAGAGAGAGAGTATAAGAGAGAGAAGAAGAATTACTCGAGATCGAGAGAATTATTTTGTCTTGGAAGCTTCGAGAAAAAAGCAGTTCTGCCAAAAAATTGTGTTTGTTGTTGTTTTTAGCTATTATCTCTTGATATATTTGTCTTACCTTCATCATCATATTAACGCATTAAAAACACCCACCTATTCATCGGTTGTTGCATATATACGTATAATAAACGTTCGTTGTGTTGTTGGGGGAGTTGTCTACGTAAAAATAATAGATTTAAGAACAAAAGTTGTTGTCCTTGTTGTGTCCTTGTTGTTGAGAGAAGGAAGAAGAGTTTGCGCGAGAGGAGAGAGGTGTTGTTTCGAAGCAGCGCAATAAGTCTTCCTCTTCTTCTTCTTCCTCGTAAAAACCTTTGCGACTTCAACAAAACGAGACACAGTAGTTGCTCTTTTCGATGTTCAGAAGCGACGAATCGCGAACGATGTCCAATCCAAAGGACATCTCGGACGACGACGACGACGACGATAACGACGTTCCTTTGATGGTGCGACAGAAACTCGTCAAGTTGGCGCAACAGAGAGATGACTCTTTGTCACCGCCCTCGGACGAGGACTGCCAAGCCGTCGCGAGCGAACATAACGTTAGCGTTAATGTTGTGCGGGAGATTTTCGCTTCTACGCCGCGCATCTCCGCCTCTGCCGCTCCCGCGGTAGAGGCGGAAGAGAAGGCGGCGCCGAAAAGAGGCAAGCGTCAATCGGCCATCGAAGCTTCGGCGTTCATTCAAAATAACGTAAACGGAGAGAAAGACGATGATGATGGTGACGACGACGACGACGACGACAATAGCGACAACGAACGTAAAAAATCGGGTGCTGAAGCTGCTTCTAATAACGGCTCAATAGATGATGAAGATTTCAAACCTGCCGCGTCGGCGGTGAAAAGAGAAGAAACTGGAGACCTTTTTTCGGAGTCTCTCGCGAGCACATTAAACTCGAAAGGTGGCATTAAATCCATCGACGCGCTACTACAATACACAGAACTCATGAAATCGTGTTCAGACGCTCGCGTGGTGAAGAATGCGGACAAGAAAAGAGTCGTTTTGTTATCGCCTCTCCTCCGCACCGATGTCGGCGCCAAGGAGAAAAATATCCTCAACGCGGTAGTAGGTGGAAAGACTGATGGCGAAGTGTTGGATATATTAGCCGCGTGGCTGAACGATTCGGCGACTAGACATTCCTCAGACGTTCTAGTATCAATTTTACGATGCATGAAGATGCTTCCTGTCACCACCGCGGCGTTAGAGCGCACCGGCTTGGGCAAAAGTGTGAAAAAATTAAAGAAATACGTCTTTGTCCCTCAAGCCGACGACGAAAATGCGGCGGAATCGAAAGAAGCGGCAGAGAAAGTACCCAAACTATCCGACCAGCTCTTCGAACGATGGAAGCAAAAAGCGTTAGAAGAGTTGGAGCGCTCGGAGAATGAAAAACGAACCGAGGCGGCGAACAAGAAACGAAAATTAGAACGCGAGAAGAAAGAGGCTGAAAAGGCGACAAAAAAGGAAAAGAAAAAAGCGAAAGTGCAATTAAAGGAAGCGGACGATATCGATGATGTTATCAAGAAGCAGAAGAAAGACGTGACGCAGAAAGAAACCAAGACCACGACTACGACAGTAACGCGAACGGTCGTTTCGAGACCGGCGATCATAGCGCCCGCGGGAACTACGACGCCGACGACAACGGAAACTTTGAAGAAAAGAAAAGCTCGCGAACCCGTGGCCTCTGCCGCTACTGATGCGACGAAACCAAAGCAGACGAAGATTGGTAGCGTTAGCGCTAGCATGCTGTACAACTCCGCTTCGAAAGAATCGAGTAAGAAGATTGGCGTACCCTCTGCGCTCCTCGCCTTACAAACCAAAAAGGAAAAGAAAGTGAAGAAGGCATATTTCGAGACACACTTGCCGTATTCCGACGATCCAAACGAAGTCAAGTTTAAGCACAAGAGCGAACGCGACGCAGAGGATGGAAAAGCGAAACCGAAGAAGAAGAAATCGTTGACGTGGGCGAGCAGCGACGAACTCGAACAGAGAAAGATTTACGTTCCCGATCCGAATGATTGGCTCATCAAGTACGACGATAAGAGCGCCGGCATGGACGTGGATGACGATTCTGACGCATCCGTCGAAGCTGCGTTGAAACGCAAAGCTCGAGAAGAAGAGTCTGAACGGAACGCCGCGGCGAAAGCGAGAAAACGGAAGATGGAGCAGATGCGAGCGACGACATCTTGGAAGATACCGAAAGATATACCGCGCGATCCCGAACTCAACATCGCTTGCGGCGAGGATTCGCGAGAGTTGCACAGAATCGCAGGAATCGTTGCGAGAAAGAAGGCGGCGGTGTATAAAGACAGAAAAGAAGTTCCGGATTCGCCCGCCGAGGCGCCAAAAGAAAAGGCGAACGAAGACGAGATGCTCGAAATTCCGATTCAACTTGCGGTTGAGCCGGCGCAACAGCAACCGCAACACCAACCGGCGCCGCCGCCGCCGCAACCGCAACAAATGCAGTACCAACATCCACCACCGCCTCCAGTGCACCAGCAGCAAGGACCGCCAATATACACCCAACCTCCACAAGCTGGCATGCAATTCCCACCCCCTCCTCCTCCTCCTCAACAACAACAATCCGCCGCGCCGCAGCTCAATCAAGCCGCCATCCAAGCGCTGTTGAACCAATTCAACAGACCAGCTGGCGGTCCTCCACCAAGCGCGGGAGGATTCAACATGCCTCCACCTGGTGGTGCTGCTCCACCACCTCCGACGATGACAACGAGAGCGCCGGCTGTATCGCACGCGAGAGCCGGCGTCGTCACCTCGGCGGCCAAGAGTCACCCTCGCGGCGTGTGCGCCTTTTTCAACTCCGCGACGGGATGTTCCTGGGGAGATAAGTGCGGCTTTTTGCACCAAGTCGGTCTCACCGCGGAGAAACCAAAGAAAAACCCTGGACCCGGTGGTGCTGCTGCGCCTCACGCTGATATTAATAGTAACAACACCGTTCATTCCTAATAATACACTTTGAGATGCTAGGTAGAAATAGATCGATACTATTTTGGTACGAGATAGAGAGACAAATATACTAGAAAGATGATTCAAAAATTCAAAATTTTCTTCTCCCTCGTCACAACAACACAACATTCAAAGCGACACATCACACCACGACCCACCACTCGCTTACCGGCGGTTCTTTTGACGCGCGCGTTATTTAAGAAGAAGAAAGAATGGCAAACGCATCAACAGCTGAAGGCGCCGCTTTGTGGTGTTTCAACGTGGACGCGAGAAAACAAGATCAACTCACGGGAACGACGTCCTCGAACGCGTTTAAACACGTCCGATTGCTTTTGAAAAATGCAATCATCTTTCCCGAGCAGCGCGCTGGTGATGAAGAGGCACTGGAGCGGATGCAAAAAGCCGAGGCGTGCGCAATCACCTCCAGCTCTGAATTCATCTTACGATTTGGAAGCGAAAACGAGAAACACAAGCACTACCGAGACGTTTCGTTCGCGGACATCAAGAAAGTCTTCGGGAAAATGATCCGAGAAGGGAAACTGACTTTGCAGCTTGGAGGAGGCCAAGGAGGAGGAGGAAAGACGACGAGCGCGGGAGAACTGTTGTTGTGCAAAGGAGACACTAGAGAGTGCACCCGATTGTTGAAACTCATCACGACGATGAAATCAGCGCCAGCGGCCGAAAAAGCGACATTTTTATCCTCCATAGGGAAGTGTTCGTGCTGTCAGAGTAAGCGCGCTTTGAAGGAGAAGAAGGAGGAGGAGCGCGAGGTGAAAGCGAAAGAACGCGAACGCGCCAAGGAGGAAGAGAAGAAACAAAAGATGATGAAACAGGAGGAGAAGAAAGAGGAGAAGGTACAAGAGAAGAAGACAGAGTTGGTACAAAAGCTGGAAACTTTGGAGTCGTATCGGGAGGAGATTCGGATGAAGACGGAAAAGTACGCGGAGGAGAGAGAACAGATGAAAGCGAGCAAGAAGGCGGTGAAGGCGTTGCAGGAGCAAATCGAAGATGAAAGAAGAATGTACGCGAAAGAGAAGAAAGATCTAGCGACGGAAAAAGAGGCGATGGAGACGGAGAGGATGGCGATGAACGTGGAACGGTCTCGGTTGAACGCGAAGATTGAGGAGAATAAGGAGTTGAAGATGAGAGTGGAGAGGGAGAGAGAGGTGGTGGAGGAGAAGCAAAGAGAGGTGGAAAAGTTACGAGCGGAGAAAGAGGAGTTAATTGGGAACTTGGAAAGAGAAGTGGAAGAGTTGAAACAATCGAGGAAAGATGTTTCGCGCTCGACGCCGGGTGGTTCTGGTGGTGGAAGCGCGAAGAAGAAACACAAAAGCAGAGTAGCCGGCGACGAGGAAGAAACGCCGCCTGTCGCAGATTTTGAAGAAAACAAGAAGTTTCCGAAACCGGAACGAACTTCGACGGATTCTTTTTACAGCGGCAACAACAACGACGAAAACAACGAAAAAACGTTCAAGAGGAAAGCGCCGGCATCGGCGGCGACGCCAAACAAGAAACCTTCGCCCGAGAAGAAATCCTCGCAAAGGAAAGTTGTCCTCGAGGACGACGACTCTTCTTCCGAGGATGCCACGCCGGAGAAGTTTGAAAGTAAAAACGAAAACGTAGAAACCGAGGAAGACCGAGAAGCCGCGCGAGTCGTCGCAGAAAATGAAGCGAGAGTGAAAAAAATGCGAGAAGCGGAACTCGAGCGTCAACGAATGGAGAAAGAACGCGAGGAAGCCGCCAAGGCGAAAAGAGTTCGAGCGCGAGCGCCGAAAGGCGACGCCGAGCGACATTTTTTGAAAAAGTCCAAGGAGGAAATCCAAGATGAAAAGTTGCAAGATAAAGAGCACCAGAGAAGACGACAACAATTAGCCGCAGAATCGAAGCAAAAATCGATAATGTACACCAAAGCGACGGCGAAGAGGTGGGAGTACGAGGAGCACAGAAAAGCGTTGGAATCCATGAAGGACGCGAACGAAAACTCCATGAGGTACGGTTCGATACCGTGGCCGCCGGAATCGAACATTTTTCTCTTCAACGTCATGGACGACGCGAACGAGAGGAAAATGAAAGTGAACGTGGCGCTGAAGTTTTGGCACCCAGATAAGTTTAGGCAAATGTTTGGCGACAAAGTAGCCGAGGCAGACAAGGAGAAAATTTGGGAGAGAGTTCAATCTTTGAGCACCAAATGCATCCAATACAAGACGGCGGCAAACGCGAGGGGCTATTATTAATTTGGCACGAGGTAGGAAGTCTAGAAAGAGTATAGGACGAAAAGAGAGATACATTTAGAGAGAAGCATACAGTAGCACAGTTCTCGCTTTTCGTTGTATATACGTATGCGCATGAAATAATATTACAGCATGTTATTATATTCTTTTACATTCTTCGGGTTAGTACCACGATCCTTTCGCCGCGACGTTTGCGTCAAAATCCTTCACGTGCGCGGGAACATCCAATTCCTCGCCTCCTTGCACTCTCACGTACGCGTTCAATTCTTCCAACGTGTTCACATATACGGCTTTGCCTAGAGCTGCGCACGCGCCGTCGTTTCGATTGATACCCAAGCTCGACCACCAGCACTGCGCTTTCATTTTCGTCCCCGGATGGACCACGTATAACGCTTTCAATTGCGCTTGGCAATGCGCCGGTCCTAACGCTTTGGATAAAAGCATTTCAAACTGCTCGGACGTCAATGAATCGCTATTTTGTCCCGTGTGGTGGTAGATGATGATAAAACCAGACGCAGCGCCTTCTTGCGACGCGTTGACGACGTTATTTGCAAGCGACATGGCTAACAAATCGCCTTCGCCTTCGCGAAGCATTCGCTCGGCAAACGCGCCGACAATGGTGATGATCCGCCTACCGGCAAAGTCGGCGTGCTTTTCTACTGTCACCGCTCTGGTGGCAGATTCGAGCACGTTGAGTTGATCGAGAGAGTGCGAAGCGACGCGTAACAGTTTCGCATACTCAATCTCTTCGTTTTCTAAAGTCGTCGTATCTTCGACCGAGGACAAGCACTTGTCGAAATTCGCGTTCAATTTCGTTGCCTCGTTTAACAACAACCACGGTTCGATGTTACCTTGACTTATCGACACTACTCGCGCTCTGCGTTCTTCTGGTGTTTCATGTTGCGATATAAACGTCGCACCCGTCGCTGGCGTCGCGATGGTCACGCCGAGAGGCACGTTCAACACTTCCGATAAGTTGTTCATGGACTTGTTTGAGAGGGAGTGTTTATCGGATTTCAACAAGCCTTTCCCGTGCTGCCAGCGTCGCCCGCCTTTGTAACCTATCGTTATCTCTACGCTCTTTCTCCCTTCCTGTTGTTGTGGTTGCAAAGTTGTAGGATTGGTACTTTTTTCGGTATTCGTCCCGAGATCTTCGTCTTCGCCGACGCTCGAGTCTTCGCTCATTGCTCCGTTATTGTCCATCGACTCCGATCGACTCCCCATCGTCGCCGCCCGTTCTCCTTCAAAGCCACCATCGACATCATCATCATCATCACGACTATCCCTAGAATCGTGTCGACTCGGAAACGCGTCGATCGAAATCGTTCTCCCGACAATCACCCTCTCCCCGTTTTCGTCGCACTCCATCGCCTCCTCTCGACTCCGCTGCAACTCGATCAAGTTCCTCGGAAAGTAGATCGGCAACACCTCCTTCTCGTAATACGCTTTCGTCTCCTCGTCGGGAAATAAAATCACCACGCTTTCGAATTTATGCACCCATTTCTCCAAAAACCTCCTCACCGTTCTCGCCAACACCTCCGCGCCTTCTCTCCTCGGGTAACACTTCCTCTCGTCCCTATGCAACAAGGTCAACCCGATGTTCCTGGATCCGACTTCATCTTCTATGCACATGCTCAGCGCGTTTCGATAACAGTGCACCAACGCGGTCTCCGCGGCTGTCTTATACCTCGCCACGTATCTCGGCACCACGCAATGCACTAAATGTTCCACCCCAGGTAACCCTCCGCCTTTGGTCACGATGCAATCCCCCGTCCTCGCCTTCCCGCTCGTCGTCTTCCCTCCGTTATACCCTTGCTCCATGAAATCCTCGTTAATGATAATCGTCCCTGCTTTCCGTCGATACTTATTCGTCCCTACCGGTTGCTTCTCTGAGACCACGTCTTCGTTGGAGGCTAAACATATCGCCGTGACTTTCGGCGTCTCCCACGGCGCGTCGCCTTCCGCGACCAATCGTAAGCACTCGTTGATCCTCTCGCTGACGGGAAAAAGCGCTTCCTCTTTGAACGTGTACGTTTCTTCATCGAACGGGTCTTTCGGTGAACGCGGGGATTTCGTTAAACTGTTGTTCCTCAATAAAGAAGACTGTGAAGTCGTCGTTTTTGCTCCTCGTGCTCTCGACGACGACGCGTTGTTGTTGTTGTTGTTCGACTTCTTCTTCGCGCTCGGCGATGCGGACGACGGTACATTTTGGTGTTGCGCTTCCCCGTCGACCTCGTCGTGATTTTCACTCTTCAAAAGACCCCCCCCAGAAGAAGAAGAAGAACGCGATGCTCTCGAAGACCAACTGAACGCGCCGTAGGCGTTAAAATCGTCCCCTTTTTGTTGTTGCTGCTCTTTCGTGGTCGTCGTGGCGTTCTTATTCTCCGAGAAAGAATGCCTCGTCGTCGGGAAAGATGAAAACATAGAGCAGAGTAGTATTCCTTTTGTGTTATCTCGAGAGAGGTCACTTTTTTATGCCGTCCTTTGATTTTTAGGCAGAATTTAACAACACACAAACACCAGTTTTCTCGCAAAAATGGTGTGTGTTCGTGCTCTTTTTGATATACGTGCTTTTTCAGCAAATGAGCTCTCTAGAGAGAAGGAGGGAGAAAAAGCTGCTTTTCGTCTCTCCTTTTCTCGGATTAAAAATACACCGACGAAAGAAAGCTTTATATCAGAGATACAAAGCCTTTCTTTATGCGGCGGGAGACAACGACGACGATGCGAGACAACTCGCAACAACAAAGAAACAGACGAAGAAACGAACAACTGTGGAGGATCTTCGCCATTCTGTATCTTTTTGTTCCGTGCGGGTGTTGCACCACATCTGCGGTTCTTTCTGCGCTTTTCCTTTTCGTCTTTTTTTCTCCGAGCTCGTCGTTTCTCCATTTGTGTCTCGTGCTTTTGGCGTTGTTTGCCCCACCGGTCGTTCTAAAGACGGACTTCTTCTCGGGGAAAAGAATATGGCGAAGAAAGGCCGAGCGGCGCGGATCCTGAACACGCTGCACAAAGTCAACGGGACGAAACAATCCGAAGCTTTGAAACGGAGGGAGAGGAAACGACCGTCGAAAGAGTTCGGGAATTTTGCAGGGGAGACGAACACCACGTTGACGACTAATGGAAAACTGTCCGAGTGGAAGAAAAAAAAGCAAAAACAGAGAGATATGAACGAGGCGAAAGAACCGCACGACGGAGCAATGCACGCGTTAGTATTCGGAGACGGAGATTTTAGCTTCAGCGTGGCGTTGGTCACGATAGCAAACGGTGACGGAGGGAATTTAGTGTGCACCGGGTTGGAAAAGAACGTGGACGAGAAAACGAAAGATTTGGTGGAGTGTTTGCTCGATTCCGGAGCGCGAGTCGCGCACGGCGTGGACGTGTCGAAGAGGTTTGACGAAGATGTAGGCGCTGGTTTGTTCGAGAGTAATAGTAGCAATAGTAATAAGAAGAAAAAAATGGACCGGGTGTATTTCAATTTCCCGGATTGCGGGTTCGGAGCCATGGCGTCGCTCGCGCCTACGAGAATAGCCAACGAGCGCTTGTTAGAACACCTCTTCGAGAGAAGTTCGGAACATTTGAAAGTGAAAGGAGAATTACGCGTGACCTGTTTTGACGACGCATACGCGGCGGCGATACCGACCGAGGCGTGCGAGAAGCTCGCGTTCGTGAAGGAAAAAGAACGGTTTCGATTGAAAGCGAAAGTACCGTTCGTTTGGAGAGAGTTCCCGGGATACGAATACAAAAAAAACACGCGAGACGACGACGACGACGAAGAAACAGAAATGCGAGCGGCAGAATTAAAAGAAGAAGCTCGTCGTCATAGTTTTGACGACGCGGAGAGTAAAAAAGCCACCACTTTGGTGTTTGAATATTTAGGAAACAACTAGTTTTTAGTAATAAAGAGTTGAATGAAACTTCAAAAGTAGGCACTTTTTTTCCGCGACACATCCGTTCGATTTTACAAACTCTTTACACAACAACAACAACAACAACAACAACAACGCGTAAAGAGTTGGCCACATCACGGGTCTAAATATTGAGAATCATCAGATCGACGAAAATACTTTCTTTGAGAAGCTTTTAAAGCGATATAGTATCGTTATTAAACACACAAAAAACGACTTCCAAATGATGATGATGCGACGACGACGCCGGCGAAAGGACACAAAAAAGGTTGACGCTTCCGTAAACTTCTCCTCCAGAGACGACGCGAAAAACGCCCCGGCAAACGACGACGCCTCAGCGAAGAAGACGAACGAGAAGAACAACAATAACGAGAAAAGGAAACAGAAGGAGGAAGACACAAAATTCGACGACAAACCCGACGCCGTCGTTGAGAGCCGTTGGAGAAGTTTTCTTCCTCTTTTCGTCCTGTACGGGCTTATGGTTTTTGGATGGTTTGCGGCGTATTCTCGGTACGGATCGGCGATTTTTATCGGCCATCGCAGACTACATTTAACTCTAACTGAGTGGCGAGAGAAATTGGGGAAGATGCAAACGACTGCGGTTTTAATCGGCGGACCTCACCGAGGCGGCACGTCCATCGCGTGGTCGTGCGTGAGCGCGCACGAGAAGATTGGAGCGTTTGCGAGTCGGAAGGTTTCGGATCACGCGGAAGGCATTTTCGTGCAGGATGTGTATCCGAAGTTTGGAGTTGGGGAGGAGTATCAGGCGATGCGAACGGGGAGGGACTTCTCGCGAAACGGTTTAGGGAGATATGCGTTGAACGAGGCGCATCACTTGACCGAAAGGTCGGCGTTAAATACGGACGAAAACGGGGTGAAATTGATGAATAGTTTTGGACAGTATTGGGGGTTCAAAGATAAAGGAGACGAGAAGGAAGAGTCTGATATCGCTTTCGTTGTCGAAAAATCGCCGCCAAACGCCATCATCGGCACTTTCCTGCGCGCGTTGTATAAAAGAGTTGGGATGAAAACGACGAAACACGTGTACGTGACGAGGCATCCAATAGCGAACGCGATGGCGCTGAACGCGATGAAAGAACTAAACGGACGAGTCACGATTGTAGAATTATTGGACAATTACGTAAAGCTCCACGAGACGGCGCAGAGAGATGCGAAAGCGCTAGGTAAAGATGCTTTGTACCCGTTGCGCATGGAAGATTTTATTCGCGAACCCGAGCGCAAGGCGGAAGAAATTTTCTCTTTCATATTCGATGAAGAAGCAGAAGCAGAAGCCGAAGTAATGGCAGAAAAAGAAGAGGAAAAAGGAAAAGAAGAACCAAAACGACGCGCTTTCGATTTATGCGTGGCGAAGATTGAAGCCGATACCGGAAAGCCGCTGTCGAGGACCGATCCAAACGAAAAGTATCGCAAAAAGTGGTGCAAGATGCTCGAAGAAGAGGAAAGCGCGAGAGCGCTGAGTACGTCCCTCGCGGAAAAGTACCAGGGGAAATTAGACGTATTAGGCTTAGAATACGACATCGCAACGTGGTGCGACGACGACGATAAGTACCGGTAGCATTTATATATATTTATGTAGTAGATTGTTTTTGTTTTGTTATATTATATAAAGTAACACACGCGTTTTTTAGAGTTGGGAAGATAAAATCCGCCGACGATTTAAATTATTATAATAATAATAATAATAGTACATTATTATTAATCATCGAAATCCGGATCCCCGGTTACGTAACCAAAGTACTGTAACATCGGCACCACGAACGAAATCACCAACAAACCGACGACGACGTTCGAGAAAACCTCTCTCTTCGCGCCGGTTTCTTCCTTCGTTTTGAACGTTCTGCTGTTGTCCTTCTCAAACTTCGCCGGAGGCCCCGGATCCGGTTTCCCCTCCAACACCGCCGCAATTCTATCCACACTCGACGTCAACGCTTCGTTAAATTTCTCGTACTCGAGGTTAATCGGCACGTTCTTGCTCAACACCGACTCCAAAACGTCGTCGCCGACCGCCTTCAAAAATTTCGGTCCGCCAACCACCGCCGCCTCCTTCGCCGTCTTCACCAACAAAAAGTTCCCTTTATTGTTCCCTTCCTCTAACGTCGGGTACCAGGTTTCCAAAACCTTATCCCCAAACGCGTACGGGTCTTGTTCGAATACCAATTTTCGAACCGTAATCACGTTCAAGTGATAGCCGGTTTGATCTTCCAGTTCTTTCAGAGTTTTGTTGATCGACCCTGCGGATGCTCGAGACATGATTCCCGCGTCGTCGACGATATACCCGCTCGTCGGTGCGGGCGTTTGTAAAATCTCAATCTCAGACGCGTTCGCGGAATCAACCATCGAAATTGGTGATAAACTCATCGCGGACGCCAACGCGAACGCGGAGACTCCTCGACCGAGTTGTTCCACGAAATGTTGTTTTTTCTTTATCATCTTTTCATCATCATCCTCGTCGGAGGAGGAATTCTTCGTTCTTGACGAGGTTTGATTGTGAGACGATGATGTCGTTGTCGTTGTCGCGTGCACTCTGGAGCAGCTTCTCTCGCGTAAGGTTTTAAAGGTTCCCGTTGTCCTCGTCGCTGCGTGTGTTGTTGTTGTTGACATCATCATCATCCTTCTCTCTCTCTCTCTCTCTCTCTGAGAGTCTCTCCTACGCTATCGAAGAAAAGAAAAGAGGGTGCGGGGTATGACGAGAGAACGCACAGGAGATAAAATCTTTCCGAGAAGAGAAAATAATTTCTCTTTTTTAGGGTTTCAGAATTTTTTTTTTTTAGATTTCTTTCAACTTACACAAAGAAGAAGAGCGAGAGAGACAAAATTTTTGATGAGATGATGACGATGATGATGAGCGCGACGACGACTGCTCAAACGCTTCTTCCGCGCAGCAAAGGCGGCGAAAGGAGGAGGCGCGAGAGGAGGAAGGGGACGACGACCACCATTGGGTTTTCTTCTTCTTTTTTGTCTTCTTCTTCTTCTTCTGAAAGGAGGAGGAGGAAAACGAAGATGATGAGCCAAAACTGGGACGCCAGAGATTTCGACGAGAGGCGAAGCAGCAACAGCGCGAGTGGCACGAGCAGTAACACCACCAACAACAACGATCAAAAGTTTATACCCTTGGAAGCGGAAACCGAGAAACAGTTCCGCGAGCAATCTTTAAATCGATTGAAGCAGTTCATCGACGAAACGGCGTCGGATCCGGAGAAAGCGATGAAAGATCCGAAAACAGTTGGACAGAAAGTGCTGAACTTGATTATAGAAACGTGCGAGATTTGGAACCCGCCGAAGTTTTTATGGCGAACGGCGGCGACTTTGTTGTTAGCCGGGAACGTCTGTTATCGGTTACTGTTGAAACCGTCGGTGAAACTGAAGAAACGGATCAACATGAAACAGACTGTGGAGCAAATCGCGAGAATTGGGCCGGAGACGTTAGGCGTAGCGATGATGACTTCGTCCTTCGTCGGCTTGGTGTTTACGATTCAGTTTTGCAAAGAATTTTCCAAAGTTGGATTGAAAAACGTCATCGGCGGTTTGCTCGGATTAGCGTTCGCGAGAGAGTTGACGCCGGTTATTTGCGCCATCGTTCTCGCCGGTCGCGTTGGGTCCGCCATCGCCGCCGAGTTAGGGACCATGCAAGTCACGGAACAAGTCGACCAACTCACCGTTTTAGACACCGACCCGGTGGATTATTTGGTCATCCCTCGCGTCTTAGCGTGCATGATCTCCCTCCCTATTTTATCGTTAATCTCCTTCGCGCAATCGATGGCGGCGTCCATTATCCTCGCCGATTTCCGCTACGGCGTCTCCCCAAACGTCGTCATCGACTCCGCGGCAAAGTATTTAGAGTTGAGCGATATCGGCGTCATGTCCGCCAAGAGCGTGGCGTTCGGCGCGGTCATCGCGGTCATTTCCTGCGGTTGGGGGACGACGACCATTGGCGGCGCTAAAGGCGTCGGGGAAAGTACCACCGCATCCGTGGTTATTTCTTTGGTGGCGATATTCGTCGTCGATTTCGTGTTGAGCATGGTGTTCTTTAACAAGTGATTGATGATTGAAACGTTCGATGATGGTAGTTATTAGAAAATTTAGAACTCGCTTTGGTTGTTTATCCCTTCATTACTTACACGCTTTGTTGTTGTACATCATCCTCAAACATGATGAGCGCCGCAAAGCGTAGCACACAAACTCCTCGAACAACGATCAACGAGCACCTCTCCTCCACTCGAAAAACGAGGAGCGCATCGTTCGCTCAAAGTCAAAGAAGAAGAGGACAAAAGAACCGAAGATTTTGCCTCCCCGTCGTTAACGGTGGTGACGACATCATCATCGTCCAAAACGAAGTCATCAAAGAAGCCGAACCTCTCCTGTCTCAATCCTCCTCGTTCTCTGACTCCCTCCTGGAAGCAGGCATAGAACCGTGGCAACTCTATTTCGGCTTCTTCGCCGGAATAGCGCCGTTCATCATCGCCGCGTACGAGTTCGGGAAACGGATTTTAATCCAACGCAAATGCGCTTTGTGCCAAGGCTCAGGGCTGATTAAAAAAGGAGAATATGCGAGAAAGTGCACCGCGTGCGGAGGATTCCTACCCTGGGAATCCTGGGAACGGTTTTTAGACGTAGGAACGACCGCTAAAATAGGCAACGGAGGACGCGTGCGCGTACCTGAAGGACAAACGTCGGTTTTTTACGACGTGGAGAAAACCGTCCTGGCGAGCGAGAAGAGGAAAGCGCTTGAAGACAGCCGCCGAGTCGCCGCCGCCGAGAACCCGCCCGCTGTCGAGGAGGACGAAAGGAAAGAGAGCAGCACAAAATAATACATTGAAAAAGAGTAGTAAATTAGAAGAGAGTCATCAAAATGTAATGCTAATACTGATAGAACGCGTGCGTAGTTTAAAGCGGATCGATTGGATAGATCAGTCAGTCGTCTCGTTCGTTATCCTCACTTTTTCCCCCCAGAGGTCCAATTCCAAACCTCCTTACTCTCTACTAAAATACGACACACAATCATGCGAACGCTCGTCGCGTTTCAAGCGGTCGTCGTCAAAGAAACGTCCTCGCTCCCACGTCGGTCTCATCTTCTTTTCGGACGAGGTAAACGACACGGGCGAGGCGCGATGGTGATAAAAGTTGCTCAACAACAACAACAACAACAACAACAAATGCACTCGTCTTCGCCGCCGGATTTAGCGAAACTCAACGAACTCTTCCCGTCCTCCGAGGCGTATTATCAATCGATGTCGAGGCCAAAAACGATCGCAAAGCCGGATAAGATTGCGCTGAAATCAATGACGAGAGATGAGATGAAAGATTGGCTGGTATCCATCGACGAGAAGCCATCGAGAGTGGAACAGTTGATTGAATCCATGTACAGGAGAAGACAACTATCGCCAACGAAAGCAGCAGCGGGAGAGGAGGAGAAAGACGACGACGGGAATTCTTCTGTTTCCAATTATTGCAACGACGTCGAAGACATGTCGTCGGAGATATCTGCGAAATTTCGAGCGAAAATGCACGAGTTGGCGTCGTTTGGTGGGGATTTAACTTTAGATTCCATCAACGTCGCGAAGGACGGGACGAGGAAAGTCACTTACGCTCTGAGCGACGGCGGGATCGTCGAATCGGTCATCATACCGCCGTTACCAGGCGAAGCAGAGGAGGACGGGAAAAAGGGACGAACGACGGTGTGCGTCTCTTCGCAGTTAGGGTGCGCGATGAACTGTCAGTTTTGTTTTACCGCGAAAATGGGTCTGAGAAAAAATCTAAACGCGAATCAAATCGTGCAACAAGTCGTCAACGCGAGAGATATCGCCGGAGAAGATGTCACGAACGTCGTGTTCATGGGGATGGGCGAGCCGTTGCACAACACAGAAAATGTTCTGAAAGCGGTGAAAATCATGACCGATCCGAAAGGGTTGAATTTTAGTAAGAACAGAGTAACGGTATCCACGAGCGGATTGATCCCTGGGATCGAGCGATTTTTGGACGAGTCCGATTGCATGTTAGCCGTATCGTTGAATGCGACGACGAACGAAATTAGGAATTGGATCATGCCGATTAATCGGAAATACCCGTTGGAAGATTTGTTAGGGGTGATCCGGGAAAGATTTAGCAATAATAGTAGTGGTGGTGGTGGTGGTAGTAGTAGTAGTAGTAGTAGTAGTAGTAGCGACGAGCGCGCGAAAAGATCTCGACGACAGCAAAGAGTCTTCTTCGAGTACATCATGCTCGCGAACGTCAACGATTCGTTCGAAGACGCCGATCGAATCATAGAAATCTCCAAAACGATCCCGTGCAAAATCAATTTGATTTACTTCAACACGCACGACGGCAGCGAATTCACGTGTTCCAATCAAGAGCACATCTTGGCGTTTCGAAACTATTTACTCGAGAATGGAGTTTTAGCGACGATACGAAAATCCAGAGGAGACGAAGAAATGGCGGCGTGCGGGCAGCTCGGGAAACCGGAGGATCAAGCAAACTGGAAGCCGCAACCGCCGAGAATGAAACCGCCAAAAAGTATGTCCATTTGATGAGATTAGATTATGTTACACGCATTTTTGATTCCTACTTCACAACATCTATGAAATTTTACACTATACTCTTCCAGTTCACACACACACGCATCATAGTACTACGGTCTTCAATATAATAAATATCTTAATAATAATCGGGATCTGGATCGCCCCTTTTCCTCGTGATATTCTTCTGACTCAATCTCGAAGAAGGCCGAATGATTTTCTTTCCATCTCTCGTCGAATCTTCCCCGTTGCTTGAATCTTTACTCCGCTGTTCGCTTTGTTTACTCCTCCCCGAAAAACTCGGTTGTTTCCTTGGCGCGTTTCCTTCGCCAAAAAGACCGCCTCTTTCGAACTCCCGTTCACTGGCCGTCTTCAACATCCCAGCCGCTTCCGTTTGCCCGTTCTGCTCGGCAATATCTAAAGCCGTGGCAGAATCGTTTCTTCTCAACCCGCCTTCGCCACCGCCGGCGCCGACCATCGGCTCTTTCGATTCCAACCGAATATCCGCGCCGTGATCGACCAACGCGCTCAACGAGCTCGAACTCCCATTCTTCGCGGCTAAATGTAACGCGGAATACCCACCTTTCATCTCCGCTTTCTCTCCAGTCACCGATGCCCCCCAATCGCACAACAGCTCAATCATCTCCGTATTCCCCCCGTGACTGGCCACGTGTAACGCCGTCGCCCCCAACTCGTTTTTTGCATCCACGTCGCAATTCTTATCCTCCAACAAAACTCTCGCGCACTCGATGTACCTCTCGTTCTCCGTCACGTCTCCCCTGCACACCTCGTGCAACGCCGTGTCTCCAACTTTATCCTTATGGTTCACGTCTGCTCCGTTCTCTAACAAAATTGCCATCGCATTCGCGTTCCCCCAAGTCGCGGCGTACGTCAACGGCGTCATCCCGGAATCGTCCGTCTCGTTCACGTTCGCTCCAATCGTGATCAACGCGACGATCGTTTCCACGTCGTCTTCCTCTGCCGCGTCGTGGAGTGGTGAAGACGTCGAGTGCTGTTATTGTTTGAGAGAATTTATTAAAGGAGAGAGAGAGAGAGAGAAACATGTCAGCGCCTGCAAAATGTCCGCTCCTTTACTCAAAGTCACATCTCAACATCTTTCGTATTTTTTCCATCGTCGGAGAAAAGAAGAGATTGAGAGTTGGTTTTTATTCCATTCGCGCGTGTGTCGCGAGAAACCAAGAAGAAGTAAAAGAAGACGCGAAACGTAAAAACCACCAATAAAGCTCTGTTCTTCGTTCTCTGACGGTGGCGCGTGCTCTCTGAAGAGCATCAAAAGAGCGCGAAATGATGAGCACATTTTTAACAGCACAACGCGTTACATTTCCAATGCGAGAGTAAAAAACCACGCTTACCATGCTCTCTTCGATGTTGAAACTTTCCATCGCGCGTTTCATTCGCTGGTACGAGTCCGTTCGTTCGTGTTGGACGACATTTTTACTACTCGTTTGCGTCTTCATCTCTGTCTACGAAAAGAGTAGTATATATACTACTGCTACGCAGAAGTGTGATGAGTCAGAAGAAATCTCCACAAGACTGACGTTTTAGAAAAAGCGCAGAGAAAGAACAACGTTAAAGCTTTGATAAAAACCACCATGTGCGAGTGGACTTAAAAGAAGAAGAAGATGCGAGACACTTGAAATTGAACGTGAAGAATTTATAAAAAATGGGCGTGAAAGACCTGTGGACGATCCTGGAACCGTCCGCGGAGCGCGTCAATTTAGACGCCTTAACCGGGAAAACCATCGCCGTGGACGCATCCATCTGGATGATGCAATTCCTGAAAGCGATGCGAGACGACCGAGGGGAACCGATCGCAAACGCACACATATTAGGCTTTCTGAAAAGAATCATAAAGTTACTCCATTTACGAGTGTTTCCGGTGTTCGTGTTCGACGGGAAAACGCCGGGGATTAAACGAGCGTGCGTGCGGGAAAGGAAGAGGAAGAGTTTGGAGGCGAAGTTGACGCTGAGGAAAGCGGCGGAAACGATCTTGATGAACGCGATCGAGAGGGAGATTTTGGAGAAACAACTAGAAAAGCGCGTGGAGAGAGATATGGATAAAGATGAACGGTTTTTTAAGGAGAAAATGTTCGGGGAGATGATGATGTTTGACGACGACGACGACGCGGGAAAGGAGAAGAAGAAGAAGAAGCGGAAGTTTATAATCGATCCGGATGATGATGATGATGATGATGATGAACAAGCAGAAGAACACGCAAAAGAAAACAAAGAGACGGAAGAGAGCGAGACGGACCCGGACGAGGATTTCTCCGCCTGGGATGTGGAACTCCCGACGGATGAAGACGGTAAGATTGATCCGACCGTGCTCGGCGCGTTGCCGGTTTCGATGCAACTGGAGATGATGAAACGGATCCGAGACGAAAACGTAGGGAAGAATCGGTCGCAGTTTCAAGCGGTAGAGAAAGATTCGATGAGCTTTTCGCAGTTACAAATAGAGAAGTATTTAGAGAGCACAAAGTTGAGGAAAGAAATGGATCGGACCATGAGGCAGAACGGGGCGAAGAGTAGCGGGAACAATAACGCAGGGGACGTGTCCAAGAAGATTGCCGCGCACGACGGTTTGGAGTACGTGTACCATAAAGGAGAAAGTGATGGTGGCGGTAAAGGAAGTGGCTTGGGTACTCACAGCAAGTCAGGAGGAGGAGGAGGAGGAGGAGGAGGAGGAAACACTACTGGCAATAAGATCTTCCCAAACGGCCAAACGAGAGATATGCTGGAGGATTCCTACCGAGGCTTCGCCTCGTTCCAAGCGGGCCAGACGACACTGCTCAACAACCGTCCGCAGGTGCAATCATTTTACCAAGAGAAGAAGCGTCGGAAAGGGCAACAAGATTTATCCGCGCCTCGATCGGATTTAATCATTTCCTCGGCGTTGAACGAACACTTGCCGGGACCGACAATTGCGAGATCGGTGGCGGAAATGCCGCACAGAAATAGTAAGAATCAAGATTCGAGTAAACAGGAACACTTATCATCGGAAGTGCGGATCCAGATATCGAAAAAAGAGCTCGAGGATATAAAAACGGTCGACCCACTGTTTGCGGAGGAAGGCGAAGTAATCAAAGAAGAAGAAGAAGAAGAGGAGGAGGAGGAGGAGGAGTGGGAAGATGTCGAAGACGACGAAGATGCGAGACACTTGAAAATTGTCGAGCGCGTGCTCGAAGAAAAGTCCGAGCAGAAGAAGAAAGTGTTCAAAGGCGAAGAAGAGTGCGAAGACGTTGAAGAAGAAGCACCCGCCAGCGGCGATGGAGGAGGAGGAAGCGCGATGAAATCGAGGAAAGATGTGTACTCCATGACGCACGGATTCGTTCGCGGGAAAAGCTTAGAAGAGTGGCAAAGCGACGAAGAGAAAGAAGAAGGAGAAGAAGGTGAAGAAGAAGAAGAAGAAGAAGAAGAGGAACGCACGAAAGCATTACCGGCACCACCAACGATGGATGTAAACGCGAGAGAAGAAGAGGAGAAACGGGAAGAAAAAGACAAAGAAGAAGAGCGCATCAAAATTCCATTGTCGTCATCGTCGTCGGACGACGAGGATAAAGTCGACAACGTCGATATAAAAAAAGCGTACGAAGCGAAATATTTGAGCGACGACGACGACGACGACGACGACGACGAAGAATACAACAACATCGACGTCGATAGCGAAGACGATGAGGGCGCTTTACAACGCGCAATTTTCCTTTCGCTCGAACGAGACAACCCCGGTCGCGTCGGTCGAGGATTGCGTAACCGTCCAAAAGGTAACGACGATGAACGCGACACGTACGAAGACATGAAGAAAGCGGCGGACGAGGCAAAGATTCTAAGCGAAGAGAAAAAGGAAGACGAAGAGGCTGCTGAAAAGGCGTCTCGGGAAAAAGCCGAGGGGAAGAAAAAGGAGAAGCAAAAGATGGTGACGTTTTTGGAAGAGGAAGGAGAAGAAGTGGTAGAAGAAGAAAAGATTCTTCAAAAACCATCGTCGGCTCCGCCCCCGCCTCCGCCTCCGCCGCCGACCTCGTACCAACCGTCCTCGTTCCAAACCGATACTCCGGAGAATGAGTTTTTCAAAAATTTCCGCATCAAATCGGACGTGGAAGATGAAATCGAACGAGAAATGGCGCAAGATGACGACCTATTTGCGAACGCTGCAAAGGAGATGGAAGACCACGAGCGAAGGAAAAAAATCAACACCATGATTGAAGAGAACGAGAAGGAACGGCAGGTTCTAGAAGAGAAGCGGAAGAAAGCGCAAAAAATCTACGGCGAACAACCGACGCCGCAGATGTATCGCGAGGTGCAAGAACTCTTGATGCTCTTGGGCATTCCATACGTGGTTGCTCCGGAAGAAGCTGAAGCCGAGTGCGCGCATCTCAACAGAACTGGTAAAGTCGACGGCGTCTTCACGAACGATAGTGACGTTTTCTTATTCGGCGCCACTTTAGTCTTTCGCAACGCCTTCGAGAATACGAAAGCGATTCAAATGTACAAATCTTCGCGCATCGAGAAACAGTTAGGATTAAATCGCGAACGAATGATTCAATTAGCGATGTTGCTGGGATCGGATTACACCGTTGGTATCGATGGTATTGGTATCGTCAACGCGATGGAAGTTTTGGCCGGGTTTTCAGACGCGGACAAAGAAAACGGCGCGGAAAGTTTAGAAGGATTGAAACAGTTCAAGAAGTGGACGGAAAATCAGACGCTGAGTTTACCGGGCGCGAAAGGCGCGAAAGTGAGGAAGCACTTAGAGAAGATTAAAATCGAGGAAGAGAAGGTGAAGATGCAGATCGATGACAACGGAGATTCAGTCGCTCTCGTCGTCGTCCCAGACGATGATGAATGCGAAGCAGAGAAGAAGAAGCAAGACGACAATCCGGCGGAAACCGCCCCCGAAACTGCCAGCGCGGCGCGCAAGCGCTTCTACCAAGAACACCAAACGAAGAAAACAACGTGGAAGTTTCCACCATCTTTTCCGGACGACGCGGTTCGAGCGGCATACGCTGAACCTAAAGTCGATCCGTCCGAGGAAAAATTCGTTTGGGACCAAACGCCTTTGGAACGCGACATTCTCGATTTCTTTCGCGAGCGGTTAAACTGGCCCGAGGATTTCACCTCAGATACGCTCAAGCCGATGTACGATAAAATCAAAGAACGCAACGAAAAGTACAAGCAAAGGACGATGCAGGATTACTACGAGAGTTTGGTGCAAAAGTCCGACGGTTTTACGAAAATTAAGAGTAAGCGTTTGGCGCTGGCAGTCGCGGATTTAAAAGGAGAAGATTTTGACGCGAGCATCGTGTTTCCGGATAAACAACCCGGATCGAAGAAGAAGTCGACGACGACAAGAAAGAAGAATGTAAAGAAAAAGGAGACCGCGGTAGACGAGAATAGGGAAGGTGAAGAAGACAAAGAAGAAGAAGAGAGTGACGACGAAAATGCAGTAACAGAACCGGTCCCGTCGCCGTTACAACTCGCCGCCGCGCCGCCGAAGAGGAAGAAGAAAACCGCCGCGGCGCCGAAGAAGACAAACGAGAAACCTTTGGCACTCGCCCCTAAGAAGAAAACAGTGGCCAAGAAGAAACAGAAGAAGAAACAATAATAGTAAATAGAGTAGTAAATAGACAAACGCGCAAAAACGCTGGTGAAAACCAAGCGAATCGCGCGCGAGCGCGCCCGCTCTTGCGGATAACAAAAATAGTAAACATCAAATACGTTTCAAAGCGCTCTAAAGCACACGCGCGGCGTACATAAACCTCTCATCATCCCACCGCTAACACCGCGCTCAACACTATAAACCCTCCAATCAACGCGTACGTCACGTAATCCACCGCGCTCTTCGCGTTCTTCGCGGAGGAAAACACTCGCTTCTCGCTCAGCTTGTTCACCACCCCGTCCCCTTTTGGGCCTTGGAAGAGAATCAGCGCGATGGCGCTCACCGCGACGACGAGGCGGACAGATTCTAACCCCGCGTTGCCGGATGAACTCGTCGTCGTTTCCATCATCATCGTTTCCACGAGATTTGATGATGCTATCGCCGCCTCTGCGTCATCAAACGTTTCCGCCGCGTTTGCCATCGCGATGTTTTGTGTATTCATCCAAAACGCCGCAGCCGTTGACAGTGATGTCATCATCTCGTTTCCAATTATTCGTCGTTGTTGTTCTCCCTTCTTTATCTTCCTCTCCTCTTCAAACTCGTCTCGTTCTTCTTCTCTCGTTGGTGCGCGTGTTGCCGTCGTGCAAAGGCTTTTGCTCTTTTCCCTTCTTCTTGGTCGTCCTCCTCGAAGAAGAAGACTCCCACGAGCAGTACCTCTGCTCGTGCTAGTATTACTCTCGCTCGAATGAGACGCACCAGACGAGGAGACCATCGACGATGCGGCTGATATCGTAAACATACTCGTTGTCGTGTGTCTCTAAATGAGGAAATTTCGGATAAAATGGAAAAAACCTCAAAGAGAAAGAAAGAGTCACCGGGAGAGTGAACGTGCTTTCGGAAAGAGAGAGAAACAACTTTTGTCTTCCGTTAAAAGTCACAGATACACACTGACACAGAGAGAGAGAGAAGGAGAGAGAACAAGAGAGAGATGATGTTTACGACGAGTCGCAACACCACCACCGTCAGTCTTTGCCCGCAAAGACACAACGGGCAGCACAAAAAGCAGTTGAGGAAACACCAACGAACGACCAACAAGAAGAGGACACAAACGATGAGTATAAAAGCGATGGCGAAGAAAGGAGGAAAGAGCGGCTCGAACAACGACGCACCGGAAGGGTTCGGGTTTCCCAAGAGGTGCGATTCTATTCCTTCTTCTTCTTCTTCTGTGACTTCTTCTCGGAGATGAGATTGAGAGACAAAATGCGTTCGTTTCCCCCAAAACCTCCTTGTGATGCCTTCGAAGCGACTCGAGAGGACGATGCGTCCATTTGTTTGTTTGTTTGTTCGTGAGAGAGCGAGAGGACGACGACGACTGTTTTTTTTTCTCTCTCTTTCGATCTTTTTTACTGACCTTCGTTTTTCGTTCCTTCTTCGTACGATGATGATAACAACAGCGGCGGCGGCGGTTCCTCGTCCGACAAAGGTCGCGGCCCCGGTTCGGCGCCGCTCCGGATGGAAACGCAGGAGCAACGAAAACTCGGGTACGGCGGCGACGACGGCGGCATGGGCGGAGGTGGTAACGGTGACGACGGCGATGACGGCGAGGACGGCGACTACGACGACGGGTGGAATCCAGGAGGCGAAGGCGAACCGAGCACGATGGGTCTCGGCATCCTCCTCGTCGCCGGCGCCTGGGCGTTGTGGGAATACAAAAGACCGGGCGGGAGTTTGAACCCGCAAACGAAAATCGACCAGCAACGCGCGCGGTACGAGAAGGCTTTTAAAAATAAATACGGGTACTTTCCAGGGGAGGAACCTGCGAGGAGACTCGGGAGTAGTGGGAGCAGCTCGATCACCTTCGGCGGGAGCGCGGCAGCCGCAGGAGGAGGAGGAGGAGGAGGAAGAGGAGCGAACGACGACGAAGAGTACGAAGACGAGGAAGACGACGACGACGACGACGACGACGACGACGACGACGAATAATAAAAACAACATAAACAACAAGATAAACACGCAAACAGTAAACCATTTTTAATACTACTACGAACCACAAGAATCAATACGTTCATCGACGAGCGCTTCTGTTCTTTTCTTCAATTGGTCTCCTCTTCCTTCGTTTCAATCCCCCACATTTAGGAATCATACATGACGCGCGTGCAAAAGAAGCGCACCACCAGAACCGAGAAAACCTCTTTCCCTCCTCGCGGGAACCTCGATTTCGATATCGACGACGCAGTTAAAGAAGACCAAGACACAAAGAAACGTAAAGAAGGTTTACTCCCGTTAACGTCGAGGAGTTCCACCACGGGGAAAACCAAAGACCGGATCCTTTTGTTACTCAGGACGAGAATAAAAAGTCTGCGAGAGTTGCGAGAGTTTTTGCAGAACAAAGTGAACGAGCTGAAAATCGAAGAGCGAGCGTTGCAGGAGAGAGTGACATCATCGGCAGAGGCTCTCGAGGAAGGAGAGAGGAGGAGGACGAAGAAGAGCAAAGGAGGCTCCTAAAGCGTGTAGAGTTGGTATACAATTAAAGAGCAAAACAACGACAGCGACGACAAATAGTATGCCATCGATAAACTTGAACGCGCGAATCAAATGGAAACGAGGGAAGCACCGACAAGCGCGAGAGAGTAGAAATCCAGAGTCTATAATTTCTGAACTCGCGAACTGCGTCTTTCGCGGCGCGTTTCATCGAGAGAGCGTGTGGGTTTCGTGCCCGAGACGCGTGGCGAGTTTGTTCGATCAGTTGAACATAGGGAGAAGAGTGCGAGAGTGCGTCGCGAGGGACGTGCCTTTTGTGCATCGAGATGTAGTGGCGTTGAGATTATCACCAGAAGATGCGTTTTATTTACACGCCGTGGTTGGGTGTTTGGTCGTGTACGCGTACGAGGAGAGCGTAGTAAATAGCAATAGCGACGACGAGAATGATAACAACGACAACAACAACAACAATAACAAAGGTGGACGACACGTGGAGCTTTCTCGTGAGCAGTTTTGGACGCTGTTGCGCGAGACCGCCGGTGCTGCGTTCGGTTTAAAGTGCGTAGCTACGTGTCACTTTCGGTTGCAAGGATGGTTGCCGAGATCCGGTTTGCAATACGGCGCGGATTTAGTTTTGTATCGTCGACATCCGTCGTTGGTGCACTCGGATTGCTGCGCGTTAGTTTTGCCAGAAAACAACGGCGCGAGAAAATCGTTCGATGTGTTTAGTGAGGGTAACGCGTCGGAGTCATCCTTGAAAGAAAACAACAGAGGCGAACTCACGAAATCGTTTCCGAAATGGTACGAGTTGCAGTCGCTCAGTCGATTGTGCGTCCAAGTGAACAAGAAACTCATCCTGTGTTCGATATCGGTTCCCGAGGCGTGCGATTGGAACGATAGCGGCGTTATCGCCGAAGCGACGGTGAAAGAGACGGAAATATCGAGGTTCAATCAATTACGGATTAAGAATCTCGCATCGTAAGAGTAATAGTATTAGGAATGTACTACGAAGCACACGGCGGCAGATTAATCAAAGGTTTAGGTAACATGTCATTTTCTTAAATCCATCGCCTTATTTTGTAATAGCAAATGGCGAGCAACTCTCTCACAAAATCAAACTGTCCAATCGCAAACTCTCTCGTTCGCTCTCTCCCATCCTTATGCCTCGAGTAACTCGATTCTTGCACTTGCTTCAACATTTTCACCTTTACTTTGCTCAATCTCCTCGTCTCGATGGCTTTTAGGAAGACGCGTTTCGATCGAAACTGATGAAAGTGACTCGTACTCACCGCGACAGAGTTCCATTCTCTCGTCACAATCGCATTCAAACTCAACTCTGCGTTTTCCTTCGTCGAGAAACTCTTCTCTTCCAACACCCACGTGAACTGATCCCCGTTTTTATCTTCACCGACGTAATACGCGTTCCCGTTTTCGTCTCTTTTCGCCTCGCTAAACCGTTCGCGTTCAATCGGACAGCGATACTCTTCCGCTTTCCTTCCACTCATTTTCGGCGCTCTTTCGACCGTTGCCAAAGCAAATTCAAACATCGCAGCCGCTTCACTCGGCCTTTTTCTACCATCCCCGACGACTTTCTTTCCAGAAGCGCCGCTAAATATCAAATGTTCCACTTCACCGTAGCAGAAACCATCAACCGCGTGTCTCACTCGTGACTGCAAGCGCAAAGAAGGCTGAAAATCCGTCTCGTTTAATCGCGCGCCTAAGACCACGCCAACGTCGAATCTGTTCTGATTTCCACCAAGTTTCCTACCGATGATAACTCCCTCGGGATCCGATAAGTATTGATGCGCTTTCGCTAACACGCGTTCGAGCGGTAAACTCTCTTGCGCGATTGGGGGATTTCGCGCGTAAAATCCAATCACCAAAGAGAGGAATAACACGCTCAATGTGAGCGACCAAAGCGGCATGAAGGCGTGCGGTTGAAACTCAGACGGGTCGAGTTTACCATCTTTGGTAAGTTTCGGTATGCGATTGAACTTATTCTTCGGTCTGTTTGGCATTGATTGTATTCTTGTTGTAAAACCGTCGTATTTCCCCTACGTAAGTTGTGAGGATATGAGCGCTAAGACTGTAAGACATATAGACAAATGAGAGATGACACGTATGAAACTTCAAGGCAATCTGTGTAAAACTAAACGCAAAATCATTTCTGCGACGAGCTACCGCTACTACTAATCTATTAGCGTTTCTTCTTCAAAGGAAACGCGTAAATCTCTTTCTTCGCGACGCGATATCGCGCGCAGACTCTGTGCTTCTCCTCTTCCTCCTCCGATTCGGCTATGCGTAAATCTTCCCTCACCGTCGTGCCAACGAATGGCCCGTTGGTTAATATTTCGTGGCATCGCTTTTGGATGACGATCGCTCGTTGCGATTGGTTCAACTCGCACGCGTCGAACGCTTTGGAGAGGTTCGATTCGATTTTCCCGTTGGCCGCGATGGAGAAGGATTGCGAAGAGGATGAGGAGGAGGTGGACGAGAGGATGCGAGCGGCTAAATTGTCGGTGGTTTCGTTTCGACACAGATCGCTTTGGATCTCTTCACCGGCGAGCTTTAAGAACTCGGATAAATCCTCCACGGATTCAAATAGCACCGCGGTGTCGTTATCGTTGTCGAAAGGAACAAAGCCGAAATACGAAAAGTAGATGTCGTTCGATTGATATCCGTACGAAATGGTAATCTCCTCTCCTTTCTCGATTGGTTTAAATCGATCTGGCGACACTTGCAATTTCATTTTCGTTTCCTTTTTTGCCAAGTCGTCGTTATCTTTAGGAACCTCCGAGACGAACCGGACGATACAGTTCGCTTTATCCCCCGCGTGGTTACACAAATCGATGCCGGGAGCAGTCACACGAACGCCGCCCTGTTTGAAACATCTCGATTCCATCAACCCAGCCGCCCAATCTAAATCTGCCTCATTACACCCTATGTTCGCTAATCGCTCGTTCAAGAGCCGCTTACTCTCTTCGTGTCGCTCTTTATCCTTCAAAGCGTTCATCACGCACGGAGGGTATCGAATCAGTCTCTGAATCTCCTCCTCTGTCATTGCAATCCCGGGTAGAAACGGTGCATCCACCGGTAAACTCTCGATCCATTTTTCATACCTCTCCGACTTTTCTCCTTTCGCTCTCTCCTCCAATAACTTCATCCCCATCCTCGCCGACCAACTTAAAGAGGACTCGTTCTCGTAATCGTCCTGGAAACAATACCGAAATGGAATCTCGAAGATAACTTCCCCGGGGGAGAGTTGTTTTTGCGAGACGAGACCTCTCACCCCAAACGCATTCGTTTCGATGTTAACTCTGCTCTCGCACGGGTCGGACGTGACCGAAGATATCCATTCGACTATGTTTTGGCTCGTGGAGGAGCAAACGCGCGAAGATGAAGACGAGAGTCTGCGTTGAATGATGTGCGCGTTTGGATTAGGTATTGGTGAGTTTTTCGCGTGTAAAAGCATGATGCGCTTCAAAGTGAAGAAAGGTCTGATTAAACTCACGATCTTACATGTGTGCAACAATGTTTGTTCTCTCTCTTTCTCTCTTTCTTTCTGATCTGATATACAATTTTCAGTATTTCCTAATACACGGCCAAATCGTCCAAGAAGACGCAATCGGCGTCTTGGAGTTGCGTGTCCGCGCTGACCATCACTGAATTCACGTTGACGTATTTGGAGTCGACGACGAGTCCTTTTTTCGCTTTCTTCTCATCGTCGCCGGAGGAGGAGGAGGATGAGGAGGAAGAGGAGGAGGAGGAGGCTTCCAAAGCCATTTGGTTACGAACTGTACCGGCTGTGGTACCGGGTTGGAACGCGCGAAGCGCTGGAGTGGAATCGTCCCACGTGACGACGAGCAAACCTTTGGAGGTTAAATCGACCGTGGCGGATTGGAGCGCTCCGCTTTTGCCGTTGCGTTTGGTGGAAAGCGCGAGTTCAGCTTCGAGTTTCGCGGCTTCCGCTCGCGTGAATTGCACTTCACTAGGAGAAGTAGGTTGTTGTGGATCAAAATAAGGTCCCGGAGCCGGCGGCTGCGACCTTGCGAGCGCTTGATTCCATCCTTGCGATCCGGATAAATAAGCTTCTTTGTCGATATCGGTGTTGCTCATTTTCTCATCAAACTCATCGCGTAAACCTTGGGACCGTATGATACCAAGAGGCTGATTTGTTTTCTGCCATTTCATAATTATGCGTTTCATACGATCGGGCGCCTGTTTCTGTTTCTTGACTATCTGTTTGTCTCGGCTCTCAATCTTTTTCTCTCCTTTTTCATCGTCCAGTTGAGCGAAAATGTCCAACAGTTCCATGGTAATCATTCCAGCCTTCCCGAGTTGATCTTGCTCGTGCCATCGACCGTCTTCGTATAAACAAAATTCAAGAATGTAGTATTCTTTTGTTTCTTGACGTGCACCTTTTAACTTCTTCTTATTCACTTCATTAAGTAAGTTTTCGTGCCCGTTCAACTCGAGCGCCCATTCGGACGCGTCTGGCGTATGAGCGCCCCGTCGAGACGAAGTCGGTTTCGCAACCGTGCACCGACCAGCCGATTCGACACCGACAACAACGCCGCCGCCGGCGCGACTGGTCGGTGAAATAAGTTGCACGACCTGCCCAAGTCGTGGCGTCGTATCTTTTTCTCCCTCGTTGCCCTCGTTCTTTTGACCTTTCTTTGATGATTTTTTTGAGGACTTATTCTCCGTTCTCGTTTTGTAAAGCCAGTGCGCGGCGACGCCCCACTCCGCGGCATCGTGCATACCTCGCGTCCGAATTTGAACCTCTAGCGGTTTTCCATCGTCGCCTAAAACTGCCGTGTGCAAACTTTTATACCCAGACTTTTTTGGCTTTGTGATGTAATCATCGTACTCACCATTGATGGGACGGTTAATCTTATGTACCGCGTTCAATAGTGCGTAGCACGCTTCAATTTCGCTCGGTAAACCAGAATCGAGTTTATCTTTATCGAAAAATTCCGATGCACTACCTTCACCGTCAGAAGTCATCGTTGACGCCGATACTGGATCGCCAATTATGATTCTCGTCGCGCGTCCGTCGTACACTTCGCTGAACGGAACGTTCTTTCTCTTCATCTTCTCGCTCGTCGAGAATAAACTCTTCAGTCGAGAAGACATTCGCACGTTCACGTTCAAAACGACGCCGTCCAGCCGCAACGCTTGAAACATCTTATTCTGCCATTGGGCGAGTGCTTCTAAGGATTTTTTCGTCGCTGGACGCATCGGCGACTCACGTAAAACCTTTTCGTCGATACGCATGGCTCCTCCGTCCCGCGTCGTCAACGCTTCAAACGGCTGCACGCACTGCAAACGCCTTCGTAAAGCTCTTTGCGTTTCGTTCAATCTCGTCCAAGAAGGGTCACGTTCGGTTTCGTCTAAAGCATCCATCATCACGTAATTATTTTTGTTTTGGTTCGTTTTGAATGCCAAAGCCTCCTTCTCCGCCTTTTCTTTCTCGTTTCTCTCTTCTTGTAACTCTGGAGCAATCGTGCCTCTAAAATTCTTCCCGCGAAACCGTCCCCGCTTCGATTCCTCTAACCAAAAGTCGTCTCTGCTTTGCACGATTTCCTCGAACCGTTCCGGTTCCAAAACTGCGAAACACATGTCCTCCAATTCAGATTTCACGGTCCAAATGCCCAATTTTTCAGCAAATGAACACCAAACGCGCAGAGTTTCATCCGCGACGGTCTCCGCCTTTCGCGGGTCCAAGGCGTACAACGTTCGCATGTTGTGCAATCTCTCTGCGATTTTAATCAAAAATACTCTCGGATCTTTCACGACGTCCAAGAGTAACTCTTCCAACTTTTCGTTATCGTCGATTTCTTCTTCCTCTTCTTCCTTCTGTGCTTCTATTTCTTCTTCCGATGATGATGTGGTGCTATTATTCGCGCTGCTACTCATCATGCTATTTTCTCTTCTTTTCCTCCGCTGTCGTCTTCGGACACCCGCCATCAATTTACCCATCCTCGCCGCTTGCAGAACGAGCTCAGCCGTCGCGTCTCCAAAATTTTCCTTCAGCTCATCTTTTATCCTATCGTTCGTTTCGCCTTTCAATAAATTGCTGCTCTTCGAGTTTGGATCGTCCAGGGTCGCCACTAACAGGCACGCGCTGATAGTTTCTCGCAATTTCTCTCGCGTTGTCGAGCCGAATTTGTTCTGATCTCTGGGTTCAGGTAACGCCGCAGCTAATATTCTCGCCGCTTCCACTAAATGCGTCACGTACGGTTCGCCCGTTTTCCGACTTTGCCCTTTGTGCTTCTCCTCGGCAAACTTGACCGCTTTCAAGACGACTTCGTCTTTGAATATGGGGAACAGCGTCACGTCCACGCCTTGGACGACGTGTCGTTCGCGTTTTCGTTTCGCAGATATCCTTCTGATATCGCTACTACTCTCGTCGTCGTCGTCGTACTCATCACCTCCTAAGAATAATACGTCTTCCTCTTCCTCTTCTTGATCTCCAAACACTGCCTTCTTCCCGAACGCTTCCCACAGCGCCCAAAAGCCCGAGAAAACGGACAACCCGAGCGCGAATCCAATCTCCGGTAAACTCTCGAAAGGAATTTCCGGCAACACTCCCCTTCCCTCGAAGATGCTATTCTCCTCGCTCGTGCCATCCGCTTTATCATTTTCTAAGATATTTTTCGGAAAATTAATCGACACCTCCCCTCGCTTCGTTTTGTTCTTCAAGCTTTCGCCTTTTACTTGGTGGTAGTTTTCGTTCCTGAACGAATTCACGTACGCGCTGTCCGGGAAGTCAAAGTCGATGTTCGGTATCATCGCGTTTGTTTTTGAAATCGTTCTCCTCCTCCTCTGCGCACTCTCTCTCCTTCTTTCGACGAGACCAACGCGAGAAGACCACGCGCAGCAGGGCGAGGAGGCACTCATGCTCTTGCACAACGAGAGAGAAGAAACCGAAACGCCAACAAAGCGAATATAATTCTAATTCGGAGACGATCTCTCTCTTTCTCTCTCTCTCTCTCTCTCTCTCGCCTCTGTTTTCGCGCTCGAGAAAAACCGTCGTCCTTTCGTGAGAACAGCGTTTTAGAAAGCGGCGTAATAAGAGTGAAACACACACACACGCGCGCTCAAGAAAGAGAGAAGAATGAGGAGAAAAATTGAACGAGAAACGAAGAGACACATAAGTTTAGGGTTTAAGAGTTCGTTAAAAACCTTCACGAGAGATGCGCGAGAAGAGGAACTTTGAGCGGCAAACCCTTGAGTACTAGTGCACGAGTTTAAGATGACGACCGATTCAAATTGGCGAGCGAAGTTTTCCAACTTTGTCCGAAACGATGTACCTGAGTCTTCTTCCTCGTACGAGCGTTCCGCAAACGCGCTTTCGAGATTGATTTCCAATCCACACACCTTCGGCGTCCACTGGAACGACATACAAAACAACCCGGAAAAGTTTTTCCTCGCGCACGAACTTCTCGCAAAGAGATCTCCAGAGCTCGGCCCCGGGTTTTGGATACGGTTTACCGTGCACTTCAACTTATTCGCCGGAACGGTGGTCGCGTTAGGGTCGAAAGAGCATTTCGAAACGCTGGAGGAAGCGAGCAAAAGAGGAGAGATTGGGTGTTTCGCCTTGACGGAGAAATACGCCGGGGTGAACTCAGGTTTAGTGGTGGAAACGACCGCGGAATACGACGAGAAAACGCGCGAGTTTGTTTTCCAGACGAGTTCAGACGGGGCGAAGAAGAACTGGATATCGCAAGGGTTAGTCGCGGATTGGGCCGTTATCGTCGCTCGGTTGAATATGTACGGGAAAGATATGGGACCGCACGCGTTTTTGTGCAGAGTGAGAGAGGAAGGGACGAAGGAAGTGAAGCGTGGGATTGTTTTCGGGGATATGGGGCGAAAGACGATTGGGAACGATTTAGATAACGCGTGGATACAATTCGATGGGTTTCGGTGTGGAAGAGGGTGTTTGTTGAACCGGTACGCGGACGTGCGAGAGAGCGACGGCGCGTACGCGAGAAAAGGAGGAGACGTGAATCAAATGAGCGCGATCGGGCAGCGTTTGTTTACCGGAAGAATTGCTGTAGCGAAAGCGGCGTTGACGTTTTGCGAGGAAGTGTTTAAACATACGAAAAAATATTCGGACGCGAAATTATGCGCCATGCGAGGGTCGAATAAGACGTTGTCGCATGTGCCGCAGTTGAAAGCGTTGTACGAGGAATCCGAAAAGAGATTGAAAGATGTTGATAGGTTCGTAACGTTTTGTAAGAAGCGTCTGTCGCGGGTTTTGAAGGTTCGCGAAACGCCATCGGTTGAGTTGCAAACGGCCATCGCGGTCTGTAAAATTCGCGCGGTTGAAACCGCCATCGAGTTGACGTTTCGATTGAAGCAAGAGGTTGGATCGTACGCGTTGATGGACGAGGCGAGTTTTAAGAACAGCGACTTTTTGCAGTGTTGCAAATTTGCCGAAGGCGATTCGAGGATTCTATCGCAAAAGTTAGCCCGGGACGCGTTTTCGGGCTTTTTGAAACAAAACTCGGCTCGGTCGATTCGCGAGGCGTCTATTTGCGAAAGCATTCGGAGACAGATCCAAAAGTATAAAGAGGATCGGGACGGGAAGTATAACAAAATCGATGCGTGGGACAGCTGTTGGGAAGACGTGTATGCGTTAGCGGATGCAATTTGCGATCGCGTGATGCGAGAAAATGATTTCGAAGGAGACGACAATGGAAAGGACGAAAGTAGTAACTTTACGAAGAGCACTCCGTCGCTCGTCTCTCGATTGTGATGCGTATGTTGTTTTAGGTACGAGTATACTACTTGTTTTAAAAATGTATATGCGATGCCGCGCCTTGTACTATTCAAAACGTGTAATAAATTTCTAATATCGTCTGCTATGCTTCCTATTTTCCCTATCTCTCGAGCGACTTCGATCCCGTCGTTTATGGTGATCTTTCTCCTTTCTTCGTTCTTTGCGATCTCGCGACCGACTCCGGGATCTATCTCTTTTTTTCTTTTCTTTCCGTCGTCGTCTCTCGCGATCGTCGTCCTCGTCGTCGTCTCTACCGCGACGATTATGATGGTCGACGTGGTCGTACGACTTTCTATTAGTATTATTATTGTTATTGTTGGGATGATGATGAGTTTGATATTGATAGCCTCTACCGCTCCCGCCGCCTTTCACCTCCAACGTCTTGTTGTTCGATTTCCAATCCGAACTTCCTCCGCCTCTCTTCGCGTTCGCCGCGTTCGCCATGTCGTCCTCCGTCCCTCCTTTCTTCCCAAACTTTCTAAAATTCTTCCACAAACCGTGCATGCTTTGACTAAAATCCACGTGTATTCGTCTATCGTCGATTAACGCGTTGTCCATCTTGAAATACGCCGCCTCGCACATCTCCTTCGTTTCGAAATTGATAAACGCGTAACACAGGGAGTCCCCAGTTCGTCGATCTCTGATCACGTCGCAACTCGTCACCTTTCCGAACCGACTAAAAATAATCTCCAAATCCTCGTCCGTGGTCACTGGATTCAGTTTACAGACGAACAAACTCTCATCCGGCGGCTTCGCGTCCACGTCCGGCAAATCCCCAATCATCTCCAAAACCACCGCCCTGGATCTCGCCTCTTGCTCTCTCGACTTCTTCTCCAGCTCGATCTCGTCCATCTCTTGCGCAGCCTCTGCGTCGAAATCATCCTCCAACCGATCGTCCGGTACCGACCTGTCCACCAATGGACTTTCATCCGGCGCTTTCGGCATGCCTTCGGGATCCTCGAACGGATCGTCCAAAACCGTCGTGCGTTTAATCCGAATATTTTGCCACGGTCTCCCATTCTCGTCGCAATACGCCTCGTTTATTCGTTGTAAAACGTCTAATCCTTCCATCACTCTGCCGAAAATCGTGTGTTTCCCGTCTAAATCCGGAACACAATCCCGAGTGGTGATTAAAAACTGCGATTGGTTGGTATCTTCTCTCCCGAAATTCGCACAGGAAACCGTCCCGATGTGGTCGTGTTTTAATCGAACGTTTTGTTCCTTATCCACGTGAATCTCGTCCTTAAAAAACCGTCCGAAATGCTCGCTCTCCTCCTTCCCGTCCGTTTCATCTCTCGACAAAAAAGAATAGATCGATTTCCCGCCTTCCCCGGTATTCGACGGATCCCCGGTTTGCACCGCGAAATCTTTCTGCACGGAGAAGAATTTGCAGTCGTTGTACTGCTTCAACTTGCACAGTTTGAGAAAGTTCATCGAAGCGATCGGGGATTCCGTCGCGAACAGGTCGATCACGAGCTCGCCTTTGGACGTTTCCACGAGCACCGACATCGCGGCTTTCTTCTCGTTTCAAAGTGCCTCTTTCGTCCCAGTAGTGTTGTTGTGGGGGATTGGATTTCTTTCCGTCTCGCGTCACTTTTCCAATTCATTCATCATTCTCTTACGCAACTTAACATCAATCGCTGCTGCTCCTGCTGCTTCTGTACCTGCGACAGAGAGAGAGATATATATATTTGCCCGAACGCGCACAACAGACCGCTCAACAGAGACGAAAGCATCGTCATCGCATAAGTAAGAAGTAAAATGTCTGAACTGGAACAGCAGCAGCACCAGCAGTCGCAACTGCACCGAGAAGAACTCGAGCGCATGCTCTTCTTCGAAGAAGCGCGCCAACGCGCCGAAGCCGACCACGCGATAAACCCAGAAGACGCGCACGTGTTAACCCGATGGGGCGGGGCGTTGTTAGAGCTCGCGCACTTCCGCCAGGGCGTGGAAGCGGTGGAGATGATCGAACTCGCGGTGACGAAATTTAACAGCGCGTTGAAGATCGACGCGAGGAAACACGACGCGCTTTGGTGCTTAGGGAACGCGCTGACGAGCCAAGGGTTTTTGTTCGCGGAGGCGGAGAAAGCTGGGGAGTATTTCGACGAGGCGAAGAGGTGCTTTGAACGCGCGGTGGCGGAAGAGCCGGAGAATGAGATTTATAAGAAAGCGTTGGAGATGACGGAGAAAGCGCCGAGTTTACACGCGGAGTTGCAGAATCAGCTGGCGGCGCAGCAAAGAGCGCAAGAGGCGGCGCAACAGTACGAGAGAGCGCATTCAGGTGGTGGTAATGGTGGTAACGGTGGGGGTGGTGGGAGTAGAGAAGGCGGGGAACAGGAGGATCCGGACGCGTTTTACTATTCGATGCTTGGGTGGAGTACGTTTGCCGTCGTCGCGACGAGCTGGTTGGTGATGATGAACGTCCAAGCGGCCAGGGCGCAGACGTAACAAGAGAGTCGGCGCCATCCTACGGCACCCCACAACCTCAGAGAAAGAGAGAATGAGCGAGAAAGCGCATAAAAGTGCGCATAAAAACAGTCATAGGAGAGGAAAGTTGTCGTGTTGTTAAAATACGCACATCGCGTTACTCTGTTATATATAACACACCATTTTTAAAAGCACCTCGCCGAAAAAGCCACGATGCGAATCGTCCAAATGTAACACACGACGCACAGAGGCTCTTCGCTCGAAGCTTTTCTCTTCTTCTTCGCGAAGAGAGCCAGCCGCCGTACTACTGAGCATGTTTCGCTCGCGCGTTTAAAACAAGCTGCCCTTTGGGAAAAATTCAAAATTCGTCAGACCACATATGCGCTTAGGAAGACTCTCTTCCGTGATACTACTACGCCATACTACGCATAACACGTTTACTTCTTCGAAAAGAGTTCCATTTGCTCCTTTATCTGGTTTTCATCGTCGTCATCATCAGAATACTCGCGCATTTCTTGGACTGCGCGTCAAAAATAGTTGTTTTAGCACCAGCGCGATGAATAAGAAACCAATCAAACCGGATCCGAAACAGAGAGGCATGGGGATGTTTTTGCAGCGAGGGGTGAACATCGCGACGCAAGCGAAAGGGGAAGGGACGACGACGCCGCCGAAGAAGACGATTTCGGCGGAAACGACGACTTTGAAAGGAAGTTCCCTCCCCAGGATTGAGGGTGAAGACAAAGAAGACCAAGAAGGTGCGCAGAAACGGACTAAGAATAAGACTTCAAAGAAAGAGACGACGAAGACGACGCCGTCAAGACAGTCGGCTCGGAAACGGGAGAAGCCGGAGAAATTGGACGTTTCTTCTCCGAAGAAGAAACCGAAAGCGGCGGGACCGACCAAGTATCACGAAAACAGCCGACGCGAGAAAGGATATAAACGCGTGTGCGGCGTGGACGAAGCCGGACGAGGGCCGTTGGCTGGGCCAGTTATTGCCGCGGCGTGTATTTTACCTGAAGGCGTGCAAATAGAAGGGGTGGATGATTCCAAGAAGATCAACTCGGAGGAAGAGCGAGAGCTTTTATACGAAGCGATTATGGAGGATAAACGGATCGAGACGGCGTATTGGATCTGCGACGAGAAGAGGATAGACCAGATTAACATTTTGGAAGCGACGATGGAGTGCATGAGGAAAAGTACGGAAATGTTACCGGGTGGTCCAGTCGATTGGGCGTTGATTGATGGGAATAAAATACCGAAAGGGTTAGAGGATAAAGCGGAAGCAATCGTAAAAGGGGACGCGAAATCGCAGTGCATCGCCACGGCTTCGATCGTCGCGAAAGTCACGAGAGATAGGATGATGCGCGAAATCGATACGAAATATCCGCAGTACGGGTTCAAAGACCACAAAGGGTACGGTACGAAAGCGCACTGCCAAGCGATCGAAAAATACGGGCCGTGCGAGTACCACCGCATGACATTTGCGCCGATTAAATATATGGATTTATCAAAGTACGAGTAAAAACGTAACACACCCGGGCGTCTTCGCAATCGACGACGACGAGAGATCTTTTACTACTTTTAATTTAAATTACACTACTCGCGTTGCAATCTATCTGTCCTCTCTAAATGGCGCGCGCGCTACGCGTGGACTAAAAAAGCTTCCGCCACATTTCCTCGGCGTCCTCGAACGTCAAATCGTTCCAACGCAACACACCTAATCCGGCAAATCCAAGGCCAAACGCGCCGTACAAAAGAGAATGCGCGAGAGGCCGTTTCGTCGTTCCTAAAATTCGATCGTACGCCACGACACTCGCGGCTACGGCGCACGCGCTCGTGCCAACTAGTCTGCACTGGTAGCAGTTCTCTTGCGTTTGTTGTTGCTGCTGTCGTTGTTGTTGTTGATTCTTCTTTTCCCCGCCGTCGTTGTCGTTTCCAATTTGTGTCGCGTTGGTGTTCTTCGAAAGAGATTTGAAGAAGGATAAGTGAGCGAACGGGATAGAGGAGGAGGAGGAGGTGGTGGTGGTGGAGGTGGAAGAAGACTGCCTGCGCGCATCATCGTCTGTGTCTTCGTGTTTCATCCTCGCGTGTAAAAATTTTGGTGGGTAAAACCGTTTTCAAAATTTCTCTTCAGCGTGTTCGTTTATAGTATGCGTTGGTTGTTATTAAAATGTACTCTCGTATCGTATATCGTCGTCGTCCTCTCGGATCTTTCTCTCTCATCTCAATTGGCGCCGCTATTCCCGATCAACCGTTGAATTTGCTGCGCCTTCTCGTGCTCCTCTTTCAATTTTTCTTCCAATCCTTTGGCGCGTTGTCTTTCCAACTGTAGCAAAGTGTATTGCTTTTCCAACTTGTCCGTGGCGGCGTGCAACGCTTGGAGGAGCTCTTTTTGCTCGACGCCGATGTTGGCGTCGTCCATGCGAATGATCTGGTTTTGTTCGCCTTGCTTGGCGAGATTTTCGAGACCAGCTGGGACCGGTTGAATGGCTTGGTTTAACGTGTTGCCGTTTCTGACTTGCGCCGCTTTTTGGAGTTTTTGGATGCGCAGGCGTTGGTCGATGATTTGTTGTCGCGCTTCTGCCAACTGGTTCACGATGTGACTGTTTGCAGCATCGACTTGCTTTTTGGAGCCTTTGGAGCCTCGTTTGAGTGAGGCGACGTCAAGGTCTTGTATCGCGTTTTTCAAGTTTTGCTCGAGGTTAGCGATTTTTGTTTGTTGCTCGATGACGATAGTGGATTGGTTGCGCATTTTTTGCTTCATTTCAAGCACTTCTTCGACTTGCGCTTCCATCCATTTCTTTTTGGCGGCGTCGTCGTAGGTGTCGAGAACGATTTGGACGTTTAACTCGTCGTCCGGATTTGCCGGGCCCTCGTCGTCGTCGTCGTCATCGTCGTCGCCATCTTCGAGATCTTCTCCTTCTACTTCCATTGGCGTCGCTTTGGCTGCTTCTCCGTTGGCGTCCGCTGTTGCAGGGCCGTTCTCCGTCTTGAGGACGTCCCCAGTCGGTTGTTCCTTCTTTACCTCCGCCGCCGCCGCCGCCGCCGCCGCCGCCATTTTCTTTCTTTTCTTGTTCGCGTTCTTCTTGAGCATCTTCTCCGTCTCCAACAAATTTTTGATCTTATTCTTTAACATTTCCGGTTGGAGGCTCCCTCCGGCGCCGTACGCCGACGAAGGAAACTTGTACACCCACTCGCGTTCGAAGAGTTGCGCCAGTTTTTCCGCTTGAACGTACACGAGCTCGGACGGTTTGTTGTACGTGAATGCGTTGGCAAAGACTAAGCGCACGTCGTTGGCGAACTTTGACGGATCGCTGTCGGTATAATACGTCGTTTCGAGCGGAACGCCATGTTCATCCTCCGGTTCTAAGCGTTTAAAAATCGTCCCGAAATCCATCGGGTGCGAGATGATGTCTAAATAATCAGGAATGTCCAACGCGATTGGATCGACTTTTTCTAAGAATGGAAACGCGTTCCTGTCGGACATCAGTCTTTGCAAGATGGCTTTGTACCGGTTGATTGGTCTGTTCGCTTTCGCCGCGTTCATCAACTTCGAGTCTTCGGTATCGGCGCCGGCGCCGGGGGCGTCTTCGATGATATCCGTCGCGGCTTGCTTGCGTTTTTTACCCAACGACAATTTTCCTTTCGGTCGCGTCACCGCTTTTCCGACGACGCGCTCGCGTCCATTCTTACCCGCCGAGCGTAAATTCTGCACGCCAAAGTAATAATCGTTCATACACTGCGTGACGTGTTTTTTCATGCGATGATACGCCATGTCGGATTCCTTGAACGCTTGCTTATTGTGCGTCGGCTCCAAACAATCCGCCTCGATGACGCCAAGCATGTCCTTCATCATGCAATTCGCTTGCAACTGACTCGCAAAGCGTTGGTACAATCGAATCAAACGATTTTTGTTATAAATGTGGAAGCCGCACAATTTCGAGTTTTCCTCGATGTACCCGCAATGGACGGTTATACCGTACGCTAAACCTTTCGGTTTGTATTCCGGAAAGACGTAATACTCCTTCGTCAATCGAGAGATGGGACATCGAGGTTGAATCTTCTCTCCGCGCAAATAAAACGCACACCTCGGTCGTAAATACAATACTTCCATGTAGGCTCTCAGCGAATAATCTTCTGGCACGTCCAGCGTGGCTTGCTGTCCGTCTCGGTGTTGTTGAAACACAGGGCGTCGACTCGTGTTTTTACTCGACAAGCCTCGGTTGTTTTTGTCCTCCGTATCGCCTAACATGCGAATATCGTTCCCAACGGAGAAGTCAAATTCGTGCTCTCTCTCACCCTCGCCGTTGCTTTCGCCTTCGCGTTTTCGTAAGTTGAACAAAACCACTCTCGTCCCGTGCGACCCTTGAATCTTGTCCATTTCCGTCAACAATTCCTTCTCCGATTTCGTGAAGCAATAGTTTTCAATAATCGCCATGTTCGAGGACCACTCCGTCGCGTCCGTCGGCTCCGATGCCAGGTACCTGCCCCCATCCTCCATCTTCCACGAAAACATCGGGATCAAAATGTCGTCCGCTCCTATCGCGTCTAAAAACGACTGCGAAAGCAACGCGCAGTGCGCCATTCCGTCTCTCTTTGTTAAAATCAAAGCGTCGTCTGCCAAACGCATCGATCCAGATTTGAAACCGATACCAAACCTCCCGACGTTGCCAGAAAGATGCTCTTTATCGGAGAAACCAAACGATAACATGTTATTCAATCTGGCTCGATCCATTCCAACGCCGTCGTCTTGGACCGTGATGCAATACCCGCCTTTATCTCTCGATGGGTTCAAAACGTACGCGTCAACTTCGACTCTCGTCGACCCACACTCGCGATCTTGAGAGTTGTCTAAAAGTTCCGCCAACGCGCCCAGAGGCCACACGTGCGACGTGGCGTTACCTGTTTTATTACGCGCGGCGCGAGATAAAAAAGAGAGACGAAAGAAAAGAAGAACACATTGAAAACTCGTCAGTCAGCACGGATATGTACTTTATGCGTTCGTTCTTCTCGGTTTAATAAAGATGTTGCGTTACCGCGCGCGCGCGACGGGTGAAAATTTTCAAAACTGAGAAGTAAAAACGCACTCTTCAACATCCTCGGGTGACTTTTGCTGTGTTCCATCATCCTCCGGTTTTTCTCGGTGGTCGTTTCGAACGACCCCCCCACGCTGTTGTTGTTATTCATAGTGTCATCGTTATTATTATTCTCGTTGTTATTGTTCTCATTTTCTACGTCTTCGTCGTCGAGTTCTTCTTCTCGGTGCGAGAGTTCGACGAATCGTTCCATGTCTTGCGTCGGCATCGAGGTGTTTTTAAGCCTCTAAAAACGAGAGAAGATGAAAAGACGTGTTAGCGTTACGGTGTAGTGCGCGCAAGCCTCGCGCGACTGTGCACACAAATCGCGCTCGAAAACCTCGCGAGTACGTCGAAACGCATTTTCTCCGTAGAATGCGAAAGGAAAACTGGGAGATGCGACTTCGCGCGTGTGCGAGAAAACGATCTCTCTCTCGCGCGCAAACAACACCAACGCACCATTGTTAAAATATACGAATTCGAACGGTCGCCCCCTTAAAAAATGAATCAATCGGATGAATGGTATATGAGAGGTGTGTGTTCTCTCTCTCTCTCTCTCTCTGTTTTTTTTAAACCGAGAGCGCTTCTTCGCGTAAACGCGCGAAAGGCTTCTTCTTCGTCTCGGATTCGGTTTCGGGTCGCGTTCGTGGTCCGAGCGCGTTTACGTGTGCGCGCGCGTGTACGTTTTATAGCGTTTTCATCGGGGATTTAGACGATGATGATCTGCAAAAGACGACAAAAATCGAGAAAAAAATTTCAAACAAAAAAACACAAGAGCGACAAGAAGAGAAAAAAAGAAGAAAAAAAAAGCGACGCATCATAAAACTTTAGCTTCTTTGTGTCTTCTTCTTCTTTTGCAAAGTTCGTTTTCCTAAAGCGTTTTGGGTTGTTTGCGCTTTACAAGTGCTGCTGCTACGGAGTATCTTTTTTCTAGAAAGTCATCAGGGAAATGTCGAGACGAGGTGAAGCACAAGAAAGATGATGATGATGCGAAAACGACGGAAACCGCGTAAAAACGCATGACGCTTCTGTTCCTCGCAAAATGCCGAGTTGTTCGTTGTTTCTTTCTTCTTCTGTGCGCGTGCTGCGGTCGTCTGTTTTTACGCGCGAACGACCATCCTCGCGTCTTTTGGGTTCTCGCAGCCGTTGAAGCGCAGAGAGACGATGCCGTGGGAAGCGATGCGTTCTTTTTCCCAGCGCGAGAGCAGCGAGGGAAACGCATCGTCGTCCCGAAAGAGACGAAGAAGACGTTTTCGAGAAAGAAGATGCTGCGCGAAGAGTTTAAGAAGCGATGCGAGGCGTCGAGAGCGAAAGTATCCGAAGAAGAAGAAGAAGAAGAAGGAGAAGAAGGAGAAGAAGAAAGAAGAGTGTGTTTGCGAAACCCGAACGATGAAGGAAAGTCAAAGTGCGTCGCGGTGCAAGAATCAACGACGAACAAACGAAACGTGAAGGCGTTTTGGAAAAAGCACGTCGAAGATGTTGGTGCGCTCTTTTGCACGGGTTCGACGCTGGACGCGTACGGCGTGAGGCATCCTGCGTTGTACAACGGCACGCGCGGCAAGCAAAGAGTCGTGACGGTTGGCGTAAACGCAGCCATATTTAATGAGAAAATACAACCACTCGATTACACGTTCCTGCAAGATCGAGGATCGAAGTCAGGAGATACATCTTTCGCATCGAACAGAGCAGCGATGATCGCGTATGAACCCAGAGAAGCGAAATTTTTCGGATTCTTTCCTGGTCAGAGAAACTTTTCCCCCTCGGACGAAGACGCCGAGCGAGCGAACGCTACGCAATACGAAGGGTGGCGGAAGCCGCACTGCGCGAATCCACTTTTACCGTTGGTAAAAGACGTCGGTAACTTTGTATTTGGAGGAAGTTGTTCGACGAGTTTTGCGGCGCTACAGTTTATATTGTACACCGGCGTAAAAAAGCTTTATCTGATCGGGTGCGACGTCGTGGGGGGCTACGGGCACTCCGCGCATAAATACGGCGGCAAATCTCGAAGAGTCGAATTAGGCAAACAGCGAAAAATGTGGCGCGAGTCGTATTTTTGGACATCGACGGAGTATCCGTGCGCTGAAATCATCGCCGTCAGGCCAAAGGGTCTCAGAAAAGTCGGCTTCTTTGAACGCTTTTCAGATCCCCCTTTCGTGGAAGTGTAGAAGTTCGCCTTCGTTAGAGAACACACACGCGAGAGAGAGAAAAAAGAAACGAGGAGGAAAATTGAGGAAAAAAAGAAGAGAAAAAAATACACGAGAGAGAAACAAAAAAAAAGCAACGAGGTAGGTTTATATCTCATAAAAAATACTAAGATGTTCTCTCTCTCTCTCATGCGTCACACGAAACGACGCACGTCGCGCGCGACCCCCGCGCACGAAGAAGACGAGATGAGAACGCGTTGTTGTTTCCGGAAAGCGGGTTTGGCGAGGCTTCCTTTTCTTTTCTTTTTCTTCTTCTTTTTCTTCTGTTTCCTCTCGTGCTTTGCGTTTGCGTTTGATCAGGAGGAGAACGAGAGAGGGGCTTCGGCGAACGCGTTTTCGATGACCACGAGAACGCCGAAGTTGGAGTTGTCGTCGTCGCATTCATCGTCATCATCGCAAGCTTTGGGAGAAAGGAGGAGGACTTTTTTGGAGACGAACGAGTCGCTCGTCGTTCGAGCAAGGTTGGAAAATGGACACGGGTACGAGAGGAAGGTCTATCTGAAGTTTCTGTTGGGGACGACCTCGAACGAGGAAGAGAAGTTTGAGAAGATGCGCGACGATGGGAAGTATCCCGATGAAACGGCAAATGATGGCGTGTATGCGGTCGCGGTGGACGTTGGGAAAGAGCTCGGGGCGAAAAATGGAGACGTGGTTTTGTTTCGCGCCGAGGCGTGGACGGAGAGCGGCGACAAAAAGCCGTTGCGTTCGCCGAAGGAAGACGCGAAGAAAGACGACCGGGAAGTCACCGTGGTTTCTCAAAGTCAGTATTCGTATTACGCGGTCGCGATCGTGAGTCCGAGTTTGAAAAGCGACACAAATTTGCCTGTTTTACACGTTTTACGCGCGAACGAACAGGACATGACGACGGATCGGGGGACGACGGCGAAAGTTTTCTTCGACGGGAAGTTTTACGACGAGGTGAAAATAAGGCGACGAGGTTCTGGGCGCGACGAAGAAAAGGTTGGAGTAGAACTTCCACCAAAAGATTGGCCGAAACATAAGTTTAAGTTTGATTTCAAAGGCGAACAATTCGTTTGGAATAAAGGCGAACCGGCGGTGGAGGAGTTCAATTTGAATTCTCAATGGCAAGAGCCCGGCGAAGAGACGTACATGCGATTAAATTTAGCGAATGCAATCATGGACGTTGCAAAAGTACCCGCGCCGACGACTTTTCACGTGCACGTTCAAGTCAACGGTAAGTACTACGGACTTTTCTCGTTCGTGGAACAAATCGATGAGACGTACCTCAAACGCCGGAAAATGTGGGACGAACAAAACTCGTTGTATAAAGCCGTAAACTGGAAGTATTCTAATCTTCGAGCGCCGAACGCGTCTTTATCGAAATGCCCTTGGGCGACTCCAGATTGGCCACGCCGATGGTCCGAGCGAGATGGGTATTGCCCTCAAATTTGGCGCAAGTCGTATCCGGCAAAGTCCAAGACGGTAGACGATCTTTGGGATTTCACGACAAACATCGCGAGGGCGAAAAAATACGCCCTCGGTACGAGCCAACAAGTGTACGCGGAAAAAGTGCTGTTCCAAATTTTAGAGGTTCCCTCTGTGATTAACGAGATGGCAGCGCAAACGATATTATTGAACAACGATCGATGCGCAAAAAATTATTACGTCTTTCGAAACGCGAAAACAAAGCGGTGGAGTCGTTTGCCTTGGGATTTAGAAGACGCGTTGCCGGCGGACAACAGATACGGCCTTGTGCTATGCCCCAAGCGCGATTGTTCGCCGAAAAGCACTCGATACTGCGTTTTAACGTGCGAGAAGTTCAACTCGCCGCTGTATTGCGATTCAGAACATCCTCAAGATATATTCTATTCCGAAGGTATCGCGCAAGAAGCTAAAAGCACTTACAACGAACTCGTCAACGTCATTTTGAAAACCGATCGAACTCGCGCGATGTACTTTGCACGGTTGCGAACGCTAATGAACGATATTTTAGGAACGAACTTTATCGAACGATACGTCGCGAGAACTTTGAAGACGATTAGACGAGACGCGCTGAGAGATTCCGTAAAATGGAAAGTTGGTGGCATTCGATCGATCGATCAAGGTGTTTTGCAGTTGTTATCGCAAAGCGTTAAGTTACGAAGAGAACAGTTGTTCGAGACGTATTCCGATATGATCCCAAAGACGGTCACTGAAGGAGAGATTTTGGAAAGCGTAAATATAAAAGCGTTTTCGGATATAGATGATACTGGTATCGGTTTGCGTTCGTGGATAGAAATCGAGAATAATTTACCCGCAGCTGCGGACATCTCCGGATTTTCGATCGCGTGCGGTAGCAATAAAATGAAAGTTTGGACGTTCGCACCCGGGACGGTGTTGGATGCGAAGCAATCGATATACGTCGTCGCCGACGAGAGTAACTTTTTGGACGATATCACATCAAACGCCAAGGACAATTATTACTTCTTCGTGCAACACGGCAACGACAAGTTCATCGAGCGACTGGAAAAATGTGTGAAGATCGAAGGAAGGAGCGATAGCCTTTCCGAGGAGAAAAAGGTGTTTTTCAGCATCGAGCCGAGAACGGTCGACAGAGCATTGAAAACGCTCTCGTCCTCTCCACTTTCCATCGACTCCTCAAATTGTACCGAGCCCGAAGCTGGACCGTGGGAAGAGTGGGGAGAGTGTTGTCGAGGAAACAAATGCGGGGTCTATTGCGACGAACCCGACGCCTCGCGAGGACGCCGGAGAGAACTCAACTTTGACAAGTTCATCGACCAACTTCTTCGGGAGGAGGAGGAGGAGGAGGAGAAATTGAACGAGACACCGAAACAACAACTTTGCTATCCGAGTTTAACCGCTAATTGGCAAGTCGATAAGAAATGCGGCGCGAAAAAATGCGGAGAACGTCGTGTACCGTACACGTGCACTACAGCTTTGCAATACGCGAAAAAAATAGCCTCCTCTTCGTCGTCGTCGTCGGTCCTTTTCGGCGCCGGTAAATCTGAATCCGGATGGGATTCGTCTTTCTCCTGGGGCGTGAAGGAAAGGAATAACATTGCCATCGGTATCGACGGTCAAGAAGACGGCAGCGGGAGTACAGGGAGTGTCAAAATACAACTGTACGGTGAAGGCGCGTTCGCGTTGGGCAAAAAAATCACAGACGGCAAAGTATTCCTCGAAACGTTTTCTCGATTCAATCGCTTGAACGTCTTCGTGGCGAGAGAGCGGTATCCGCAACCTCTCCCGAGGCTCACCTTACAAATCGAATTCTACTTTTGGCGCGACGGAGGAGTGTTTTCCAACAACGATGCGAGTGTCATCTTCTCCTCAAACGCGCGGTTTGAGACCGCGACGAGCGACGATGGATGGCAAAGCGGCTGTTACGAGAAAGCGTTTGCGAGTTTCAAAAACGAATTTACGCGAGGCGACGGAGGAGAGTCTCTCTCGGATTTCCTCCGAAACAAAAAACAACTCTTCGAAAGCGCTGACACGGTAACGATTAAAGTCGCCGTTCGCAACGCGTCTAGAAAATCGCCCATCGTTTTCTACGTCGGCTCTGTAGCGTTTGTCGCGTGAGAAAATGTTTTAATACAACAACAACACTCTTAAAATGTATAAAGTACACACGCACGCGCGAGCGGGAACGTCGTCACGCCACAACCCCGCCTGCTTTCTTCGCCGCCACGGCCGCCCCGAATAACTTCCCCACATCCAAAGGTACTCCAGTCATGGCATAAATCAGCGCAAACCCGCCAAACATATACGCGATCGTCCCGACCACGTTCACCGAAAACACCGTCAATCCAAACGCGTACGATTTTTTGTTCCCTGGGACATACTTTTGGAAAAACTCAACCAACGTATCCGTCTTGGGACTTATCGCGACGCTAAACGCGAACCTCGCCGGACGTACGACGTTTTGTATCATCCACAACCCAAAGTAAGAGCTCGCAAAAACCTTTAAGGATTCCGAAGAGGTCACCGGTGACTGCCCGGTCGCTTTGATCGACGTGTACGTCGCCACGAGTAAACTGGACACGTAGAAGAGGTTGGAGACGAATCCGTAGGAAAGCAAACACGCGGAGCCTAAACTCGCGATGGTTTTTTTATCGATCTTCGCGGAACGTTTCCACCAATCTCTGAGAGATTGGAAGGAAAGCGAAAAGCTCTGCGTCGTGGTTTTTTGTATTCTTCTTCTTCTTCTTCTCGATCGCTCTGGTCGTCTGTCTTCGCGAGCATCGAGTCGGAACGAAGACGTTTTCCCTAACGAGAATCTCGAGCTCATCATCATCATCATCGAAGTCGAGGAGGAGGAGGGAACAGCTTTGAGGGAAGAACGCCGTCGTCGTCGTCGTCTGCTCGAAAAAGAAGAGGAAGTCGTCGCAGAAGTCGTGGCGTGAAGGACGAGTCTCGACATGTTGTGTGTTTTTGTGTTTCTTCTCTCGTACTGCTTGGAAAATAAATGAAGAGAAAAAATTGAAGAAAACAATTAAACGCGGATGCTCGCTCGCGCGAACATCGTCGTCGTCGCCGTCACCGGTGGCTTGCGAGCGCGCTTTCTCCTTTGCTGAGTATTTCTCGACGTTTTTTTTCCCGCGGCGTTCTTCGCGTCGTCGGCCTCTTCCGGAGGAGGATCCGGCAGATCCGCTCCAGGGACGGTCAGTCCGAGAGCGGACGCGTTTTGAACCGGTTTCCAGTTGACTTGGAGGTGGTTTTCGGTCGATTCGTGTAAAAGAGCCTCGGCTAAGCGCCAACCCGATCGCATTGCAGTTTCTACGCTTGGCGATTGATCGTCGGTAGTGAGCCAATCGCCGCACACGCCGACGGAGGCATTAGCGTCGAACAGGTACTCGTTGTTGGCTACCGTTAATCCGTTTGCTGCGCCCCATAGTTGCATTTTGGAGAAAACGACGTTGTTGCTGAGCACGTTCGGAGCTATGCCTAAAGTTCTTCCCAACTCTGTTACTAAATCTAATTGGACTTTATCCGCGAACGCCGCGGGAATTGCTTCTTGCGGGCACTTGTTTCGTTTACCGTATACAGGCGTCGACAAAAGCGTAATCTCTCGGATGGAATTCATCTCATCCTTCTTCTTTTTCTTCAACGTATTGTTCCCAATATACGCCAAACTCTCGTTTTCTATCACGTGCGCGCCATCAAACGCGTCCAACTTTTGCATCGTGTCTTCGTCTAAATTCCCAATCGCAACGTTAGCGGACCAAATACTGCTCAAGACCAACTCTCGTTTCTTATACAGAGCCTCTCTCGTCTTGATACCAAAGCTCGCTTTCAGCGCGCTCAAAATCTTGGGACTTTCGTTCTTCTTTTCCGCGTTATTATTCACTGCCGTTTTCATCAAATTAAACGCGCACTTACCGTTATGCGCGATGACGACGAAATCGTATTCTCCCAACTCTCTGTAATTTTTCCGCGATCGATCCTGCGTATTCGCTAAGAGCCACGTGTTGCTGTTGGTTTTTTGCATCGATCCAACCCACTGAGGGCGTTCTATTCTGTTCTTCCTATCGCTCGCGACATCTAAAACGGATTCCTCCAAATGTTTGATAAACGCTCGAAATCCATCTTTCGACGCGTATCTCACGAGTTCGTCCTCAAATCGACGAAAAACGTAATGCTGCTGTTTATCTTCTTCTCTCATTAAAATCCCGTATCGGCTCAAATCATCGATCGCGTACAACTCTCCTCTCTTCGTTGCCTCTCGACAGTACTCGGCAAACTCTGTTTTGTTGTCTTTCACCGAGAAATACTGCGCCGCGTGATCAAACTCATATCCGCTTTGTTTATCCATTCGCGAAGAAATTCTTCCTCCACACGTGCGGTTTCCGGTATCAAAGACGACGATGGAATCGATGCTCGACTCGGACTCGGCCGCTAATCGCTGCGCACAGGCGAGGCCAGAGACACCTCCACCGATGATGGCGATTTTTTTGCCCATTTATAGTGTACCGATGATGATGCTGGTCGTGTGTTGTGTTGTGACGACTTACGGTGGTTAGAAAAGGGGAAGAGACTGAAGAGACTTCTCGTACGCGGACGATTGATGAGTGCGTTTCCTCACCTTCGTATTCTTCGTTCTCGTTTTCATCCTCGCGGTCGTCGTCGCAAAATGAAATGCTCTCTAATAAAGTGTGCTTCGTGAATACTACATCGCGTTTTTTACGTGCGTTCTGTTCTTCCTAGTCTACTGCGTATTTGCGCTCTAATTTTATTCTCCAACGCTCTCCTCCTCCTTCTCTTCCTCTTCTTCTCGTCGCCACCGTTCTCTCTGGTCTTCCTCTTTCAACGTCTCCGCGACAATTCGGGCGACGTTATGATCGAACCCTCTGCGTTGCAACCACGCGAAAAGTCGTCGGGTTTTCGCCTCGGAATCGTCCTTTAAATATCGCGCGGACGCTCCCGAAACCCACTGCTTTCGAGCCGAGGCGAAGAGTTCGCTCGCGCGTTTCCCGACCACCGCGCTTTCGTCCTCACCTTCCGCTCCAGAGACGCTCACGTCGGATTCGTGCGTAAACCGCAAAAGCTCGCTGTTGTTATTCGTAGTACCGTCATCGTACACTCCGCTGCACGCGTCTTCGTAATCCCTGCACGCGTTCAGCAACTCCTCCCTGAGCGACCGCTCCCAATCCGCGTACACCTTCCACAACCCGTCCTCGACGTCGTTCTCATCTACCCCTCTCCTCTTCAACTCACTCGCTACTTTCCACTTATTCCACCTCGATTGTCTCCATTTCATTCTCGCCCACTGTTCGCTGTATAACTTGTCCGAATGTAATCCTAACCGTTCGATTTCCTCCAGCGCTTCTCGCGCGTCTTCCACCTCGTACCCTTTGTCTTCCACCAATTTTAGTTCCAATTCTTTCTTCGTCCGAGGTTTCGCCGCGAGAAACCTTAACGCTTGCGATTTCGCCTTATCGATCGCAGTTTCCCGGAATCTTCCGTCCGGTTGTTTTTGCTCGCGCGAAGAACCGTCGTCGTTCGAAGAAGAGTTAGAAATCTCTCGAAGCGCGGAGTGTAAAGCGTCTTTTCTCGTTCTCTTTTCCCTTTTGTTTTTGTCGCGAGAAGACGAAGGATTTTCCTCACCAACAACCTCACCAACGCCAGCAACAACGAGCCCCCGGTTTTGACGACGATGATAAATACATCGGTTGCGCTTCGATTTCGTCGCCAGAAGATTGAGCAGTCGACCAAAACGCGGAAGAGGTCGGAAGGCAAAGAGCATTAAATTGGAAATTTTAAATATCTGCCCTTTAAGCGTGTTGTGAGGAATTCAGAAGCTTGGGAAAAAGAAATAAAAAATGTGAGCACACGCGCGACCGAAGACTGCTTCTCAAGCGCCAGAAGAAGAAGATTAAGAAGAAGAAGAAAAAGAAGAGCAGAAGAGAGAAAAGAAAACGCACTTATATATACGATTGGTTGTTTGACGTGTGTGTTGTTAAATGAATATGAATTAAAAGTACACATATAAATATGATCGTATGATGAAATTTAGTCCTTGGAAGCGAACCAGGTGGACGGCTTCAACCAACGCTTCTCCTTGGCGACGAGCGACGCTTGAAACTCTCTAGCCTCGCGAGTGGCTTCCTCGCGGGAAATGGTCGCGCCCTTGGCTTTGGCTAACTTTGCCGACGCGGCTCGTTCGGAGCTCGATTTTGGTTTGCACGAGTTGATCGGTCCGTCGTCCACGGAGTCGCACGTGAATTTGGCTTGGAAGGCGTAGGACTCGTAGGTGACGTTGTTCTCGCGAGCGCCGTCTTGGACGTTCCACATAGAGATGTCGTTGTCCATGCCTTTGTCTAAAACACCGGCGAACATGCGGGAGAAATCGGTGCAAGAGCTGACGTCCCAGGTGGACAAGTCTTGGTTGAAAGAAAAAGCGTTCTGGAACATGGTGTTCATTTTCTTGACGCTCGAGACGTCCCAACCGCCGATTTTGGCGTTGAACAACGTCGCGTGTTCGAACATGCCGGACATATCTTGAACTTTGGACGTGTCCCACTTGTAAAAGTTTTTACCGGTGAACGCATCCGCGTCTTTGAACATTTGCGACATGGACGTGACCGAGGAAACGTCCCATTCGCCAATGAGGCCGTTGAACGAGGAAAGTCGGTCGTTGCTGTCCGCTAAAGGCGGGTCGTAGAATAACTTGTCCATGTTGGTGACTTTCTTCGTGTCCCAGGTGTTCATTTTACCCCACTCTCCGTCCGGGCAGTTACCGGCGACCGGGTCGACGGCGAGACACGCCGCGACGGCGGCGTGGATGTTACTGTCCGTGAGCGGGTTCTTGGGCGTAGTAGTTGTAGACGTCGGCGTTGCTGCTGCCGCGTTGGTCGACGCGGAAGTAGCAGAAGCCGCGTTGTTGTTGCCGCTCGTGGTGGTGGTAGACGTGGGAGTAGCCGCCGCGGCTTTCGCCGCTGTCGTCGGGGAAACGTGCTCGTTGGCGTGTTGCTGCGCCACGTTCGGCGCCGTATTCGGCGCCGCGCCCGGTGCCGCCGGGCACCCGGCCGGGTGGTGATCCGTCGGCACTTCGCACGTGCTCGTATCTCTCATGTTGTAGCACTGACCAAACAAGTACACGTTACCGGCGTTGGATCCATCTTTCGTTCTCGGGTAAGCCTTACCGAGACCAAGCGATGGAACCGCTCTCGTCGAAGAAGGCATCTGCTTCCACAACAAGCTCCGTCCTTGTTTCTGTTTCGATTCGTTTTCTTGTTTTTGTTTCTTATTTTGCTGGTCTTTTTTAGCGTATTTTCTCACGGTGACTTCCTTACCGCCTAAACTCGCAACCTCGCTCGTAAAATCTTCCGCGGTTTGACATCCTCTCCCGCCTTCCGTGCACGGCATCGTGTAATCCGTGCACTCCCACCCTTCGCATTTTTGCAACGTGCACGTCTGCGCGGCGGCGTCGCATTCAATGTCTGTCGACGTGTAACCGTTACCGTGGACTAACCATTTTAACCACGCTCCTAAATCGACGTAGTTCATGCTCGTCACCCCGGTCTCTGAATCCGTGGTGCTCGAAAACTCCGGCCACCAGCCTTGAGTTTGCGCGTCTTCAAAAGCCTTTGCGTTTTCCGTCGTTGGCGGCGTCACAAAGTTCCCGTCCGCGTCGATGAACCCGTGCTTCCCGGCGTACGCCACCGCCGCGGCGTTCGTTTTCACCGCCTGCTGGCTCGCGATGTTATCGATGCCATCTTCCAACCTCTTCTTATCGCTGGCGTTTTCTTCCGTGGCCAACTCACTTTCGGCGCCCCACACGGCGGCGTTCCTCGCCGCCTCCGAAATCGGTCCACCTTCGATAGCTTGCGCGCCAATATCGGACAAATAATTCGTCTCGTTTTTCACGTCGTACAAATAAAACCCAAACTGTTCGCCTTCTTCCAGTTTGTACGCGACCGAGTACGTCCCGCACCCGACTTCCGCCATATCCACCGCGTGTTGGAACGCAAAGTTATGGTCTTTCGACTTCAAGGATAACTTGGCGCCGACTTTACCGACGAAACCGCCGTTCGGGAACGGAAGCAAACCGAGCGTCGAGGAGGACGTGCACCCTAACGTCAGCGTCACCAGTTCCGACGAATCAACTCCGCCGCCCAACGAGACAGCATTGGAGGATCCCGAGGACAAAAACGACCCCGACGACGCTTTCTTCCCCCCTTTCGAAGACGCGGCAGAAGAAGAGAGGAGGAAAGACGTCCTCCCAACACCATTGCTTTTACTCGAAGAAGAGGACACCAAGGCAGCTCCACCGAAGAGTAACGCGGTCGCTCCAATCATCAACCCCCGAGACGGGAAAGAATCGTACCGTCTCTTCCCGGTGTTCTTGTTCTTCTCGACGACGAGTAAAGTCTGCTTCGTTCGCGTCCCATCGTCGAAATTGGGGAGTAACGGCGACTGTTCTTCAAAGACGGACATGATGACGACGATCGAAGATTTTGAGCCGCGGCAGCAGAGAGAGAAAAAGATTGAAAATCCGAGAATTTCCTTTCTCTCGAGAGTCAGCTTTATTCGTGAAAGAAAATATGCACACTCTCTGCGTGTGATTCTTTGAACCAAAAAGTGCTCTCTAAATCTCTCTCTGTTCAGACGAGAGTGTTTTGTGTGCGTGTTTTGCGTGTGTTCAGATCAACTTTAAGAAGCGCTCGCGTTTGTGGTAGAAAAAGTGCCTCTCGTTCCTCTTTTGGAAAGGACTCGAAATTTTTTGTGATGAAACCCTAACTACCACAAGAGTACATTTTTCAAGCAGAAGAAAGCAAAAAAAGAAGAAGGAAAAAAGAGGGCGAATTAAGACTGACGTGTACACGTTTTCGATCTCTCTTTCTTTCGCTCGTTCTCGCAATCAACGGCCACGAACGTGTCTCTTTTGCCTTTGTTTGGATATTATAGTCTATTTTGAAACTCATCTTTCTTTCCCGCTGCGAGAATCTCTTCACACTTTATCTCGCACAGTCACACATCTACACATAAACACGCATCAAACGTACGTTTAAAGATGAGTTTTGCATCGACTTCCATTCAATCGTCCTCGTTGCTGTTTTCGACGAGGAGTTCTTCGTCGTTCAAGAAGACGACTAATCCGAAATCATCCGCCAGAAGATCTTCTCTTAAAGTCTCCGCATCGGCCGAAGCCGATGCGGCGAAAATCAAAGTCACCGACGTGAAAGAAACCTTAGGTCGCGGGTTTATTTTGGTGGACATTCGATCTCCGGAGGAAGTCGCGGAGACTGGGTCGAAGTTTTCCTGGGAGAAAATCCCGATCGCAGCCATGGACGATGAAGGAAATCCAATGAGCAACCCGAACTTTTTGGCTCTGATTAAGAACAAGTTCCCGAACTCGATGAGTCGAATTTTGTTGGCGTGCGACGACGGGACGTTTCGATCGGAGTTGGCGCACAAGCTCATCACGCAGAAATTGGGGTATTCGCAGGTAAAGATTATCGAAGGCGGCATCGACGCGTACATTGAGTTTCAGCCGTTGACGAAGGAGGACAAGATCAAGGTTAGAATGGTGGCGCAAGCGGGCAACGACTTGTCCATGCTGGTCTCCGGCGTCGATACCAGACAAGCTGGACAAAAGTTGTATTAAACTTCTGTTTTGTGTTGTCACAGAATTTTCACGCGTTTTTGTTCTCCGTGGATGTATGGAGAAATGCGTGTGTATGAATATAGCTTTTATCTACCCACCCATTTTGTTTATATATATACTTTTACGTGATGTTCAACTTTGAAAAAATCTTCTCTTCGTACACAGAAAAACGCGCGCGCGATATATACGACAGCTTTTTCGACGAACAGGACTGTAGAAGGTGGTAGTAGTGGTGGTATCATATTATTTACCTCTGAACTGAACGCTCCTCGAAAGCGTCGTATTATATAGTGTATTACTCTCTCTCTCTCTCTCTCTCTCTCTCTCTCTCTCTTGCTTTCTCTCTCTAACAACAAAATCAGCAAAAATCATCGAATGTGGCAAACATCGAATTGCGCAAGCGCTTGCAAAAGCATGATGACATCCTCGACATCGTCGACGTAATACGGCGCTTTGGACGGTTTTTGACCGACGGTAGAGCAAAATGTAGCGCATCCGGCATAGGATGCGTCCATTTCTTTTCTATTTTCAATCGCGATAAACATTTCCTCGTCCGAACGGTCGTCGCCGATGGATAAAATGAAATCCACCGCGTCGGTGTTGCTTTGTTCTCTCGATAAAACTCGATCAACCGCTAAGCGTTTGTTGACGTCTTGAGCGGTGATTTCGACGACGTTGTTTCCTCTTCGAACATCCACCGGATCGTGCTCTAAAGCACCTTCTAAGTGGTCGACTAACTCTTTCGCTTGCCAATTACCGAAATCTGCATCCGCGTCGCGATAGTGCCACACGAACGAACTTCCCTTGGCTTGAATGAACGAGCCGTCCGTAGCTTCCATGTACTGCTCTAAAATCGGTAACACGGTATCTTTCCACTCGGCAACGTGATCAGCCGTACCGGGAGGTGCTAATTCAATCCATTCGTTGTTCGTATCGTCTCCTCGATACCAGTATCCGTGTTCGGCGACTAAAGAAATATTCGGCACTTTACCGAACCATTCGTCCAGGGTGGCTTTTTCGCGTCCGCTAACAATGCATAAAGTGTTCGCCTTATCGGCGGCTATAGAGGTCAATAAACTCGTCAAATGCGACGTCGGTGGCTGGTTGAAGGAAGCTAGCTGCACGAGCGTCCCGTCGTAATCGATGAATAGTTTTCGTTTCCTCGCTTTCTGATAGGCGCCGACGCACCTGTTCGTATCCAACTTGCGAAAGCTCGAATCGAGTTGCACGACTCTAAAATTCAAACCGAAACCTAAACCGTAGCTTCTCGAAGACGACGCTCGCGCGCACGTTCTTTGTAACTCACTCAAACAACTTTTCGCCCAAAACCCGACGTTGTGTTCGCCAACGTATTTCCAGTGTTTCTCGTGTCTCATCTCGCTTTCTTTAGAGCTCAAGGATAACGCCTTGTAGACGACATCTGCGACGTCGTCCACGTCCCACGGGTTCACGCGAAACGCCCCGGATAAGGACGGAGACACGCCAGTAAACTCAGAAACGATTAAACTTGACTGTCTTGGTAACGCGTACCCGTCTCTGGTTGCTTTCTCTTCGTCTCTTGGGCCTTGTCTACACGTGACGTATTCGTACGGCGCGAGGTTCATGCCGTCTCTGGTGACGGTGACCACGGCCACGTCGGCGACGGAGTACAAAGCCGCTCTTTCGTGTAAAGGAATAGCCTGTTCACGAAAAATGACCACCTCGGTACCCGCCGCACTGTTAATCTCCTTTACTAACCTGTGCACTTCCCCTCGCAAGTTATCCACGTCTTCGTTTTTCGCTCGCGCTGGGTTACAAATCTGTAACAATACGATCGATTCAACCAACTGCGGATGTTCCCTCAACAACGTCTGGTAGGCTTTTAATTTCAATTCGATGCCTTTAAAGACGTCGAAATCATCGATGGCCAAGAGTATGCGTTTCCCTCGGTGCGCTCTTAACATATCGTTCCGTATATTCACCGCCCCTGGAGTCGTTAACGCCTCTCTCAATCGATTGGTTTTCACGCCCGTCGGGCAGATTTTCACCGACACTTGCCTTCCGTAATAATCAATACATAACGACCCACGATTCGTGGTATACGTTAAACCTAACAACCTCGTGCAGCAACTCAAAAAGTGCCTCGCGTAATCGAACGTGTGAAACCCAACCACGTCTGCGTTTAACAATCCTCTTAAAATCAACTCTCTATTCGGCAACGTCTTGAAAATCTCCGAAGACGGAAACGGCGTGTGTAAGAAAAACATGCACCGAATAGAATTAAACCTTTTCCGTAAAAACGTCGGTAAAATCATCAAGTGATAATCTTGAATCCACACGTGGTCGTCCTCGGAGCAGACTACTTCCATCAGCGTATCCGCAAAAATTTTATTCGCGCCGACGTGCGCTTGCCACAACGGCTTTTCAAACCTTTGCTCGTTCTGTCCCATCGGCAACACGTAATGCATCATGTTCCACAAATACTCCTTACAAAACCCTTTATAATGCCTCTCCCGTATCTCCGAATCCACCATCACCGGAACACAGTTGAACCTTTTTTGCAAATCCCTCATCAACGCGTCCTCTTCCTCGCCTTCGATATCGCACGCGTTGCTCGGCAACATCCCGACGTTGATCATCACTTTAAAGTCCCCGTCGTCCAAAGCTCCCTCGCGCATTTGGTCGAATATAGAATCCCCGTCTGGTTCGATTTCCCACGTGTGTCCGAAATGATTTTTCTCAGTCAGTTTGGTCATTTTCAGCGGTAACTGGTTCGCGCAGACGATGACGCGTTCCACGTGCGGTTCGCTTTGGTACGAATCCGTGGAAAATGCGCCCGAGGATTTTTGGGAGGTTGTTTCTCGAGGCGAGACGAGCTCTGCAGTACGCGTACGCGTGATAAAGAAAGAGAAGTATTTAAAAGGGTGAGTCGTCATCGTTTGCGCTGTTTGCGCGCGAACGCGAAAAGACGGGAACAAAACACCGTTTTGCGCACGAAGAAGAAGACGACGAAGAAAAAGACGAACCCCCATTCGTAGAAAAGGTTATCGTCTGACGGGGAAGCACAATTCCTGTGTTTTCTCTTCTTTGAAGAAGAACAACACAACGACACCACTCTTTGACGAGACGACGAAGTGTATTCGTACCTTGTAAGTTTTGAAACGAGCTCCCGCTGGACTTCTTCATGATTAAAACCGCGCGCTCTTTCTCTCTCTTCTCCCTTCCGCGCGCAAAGTTTGCGTGTGGAGCAACAACCGACTGCCTTTCTCTCTTTCTCTCAGAGAGTTTTTTTCGTCTCTCTCTGAATGCACGGGTGACTCCCAAACCCGAAATTTGGTACTTTAGGAGTACACTTTGGTCTCCCGCACGAGTGCAAATTTGTACTCGTGCACACACGATGAGGAATCTCTCACAGAGAGCATATCTGATGGGACCCGTTCGTTAGTATTTTCCCCAAGCGCTTGGGGGAAAGTTTTGTATTATATATCGAACATTTGACACAAAAGCGCGCTGCTTTTTTCGGCTTTTGTCGACTTTGACGACAGGACTCGACGACGAAGACGACGAAGAAGTGTACACGTAATGGACGTGGCATCGTTCCGCGCGTTTTATGCTCGCGTCGAAGCCAAACCAACCTCGGATTCGAAAATCAAAGAGATAAATTCCCGCGTCGCCAACCATTACAACGAGAACAAATTCATCCTAAACTGTCAACAACTCGGAGAACTGATGAAACTGGTCAACTTTGCGAACTTGAGAGAAGAAGTGGCGAAAATTTGCGGCAATTCGATCGTCGATTGGGACGAGGTGGAGAAAAGGGAACTTTTCTTTCGGAATTGTAAACCGTGGGAAAGAGACGATTTGACGAAAGCGGTTGAGAGCGAGAGGAGCGGCGGCGATAGGGGCGGGGGCGGCCAACGAGGACAACAACACGAACGCGAAGAACTGAGTCCTTCTTTTTACCCTAAACCACATAAAGCGCCCGAGCATCAGCAAATGGACATCGCGGCGGCGGCGGCGAGAATGTCCGTCGGCGGCAACGCAGACGAAGAAGCCGCGAAACGGAACATGGTTATCGCGGCCACGGAAGAAATGAACGCCCAGAGGGATGAAAAAAATATTTTTACGTTTAACATGGAATGGATGGATGTAAACACCGCCGCTGCCATTGCGAACGCGGTCCAAACGGATGAAAACACGTTCTTTCCGGGCCTCGTCAACGACCGGGAGTGGAGCGCTAAAACGCCCATGCAACGGCTGCGGGATACCAAATGGGTTCCCCCGAAATTGGTTGCGAGAGGCGTCAGTGAAGATGAATTTACTCGTTTGTGCGATATACTGATCAAGGCGTTTGAGAAGTTACCGTTTACCAAAATGCGCGGCGGCCCCGGCGTGAATGAAATTTTGTATTTCTGTTTCCCGCTTGGTCCGATATGTTGTGTTTTACAGATGATGAACCCGATTACGTGGTTGATTTATACGCCGTTCGAAACTGACATCAAAGAACGCGCGTTGCCCGCAATGGATGACATTTTACGCCGGCATAATTTAAAAGCGGTAAAGCCTTCTAATTTCAATAGATCCATCGCTATCGTCGAAATGTGATGACAGTTTAAGATCGCACGTGTATCAACACATAGAGTCATTCTAATGAATATGTATAACGCATACTTTGGTTGTACCATGGTAATAAAACAAAATGCATTATAAAATTGCTTAACTACTGCACCATCTTATACCCGACGACGAACGTCATCACGGACAACGGTATGTCGCCGAGATGCGCAAGCATCCCTCCGTGTCGGCGATTCGCCGGATTGCCCGTTCCGTATCCGACGACGTACGCGACTCTCCCGACGGACCAGATTCCGCACAACGCCGCCGCCGTCACCGGGTGCATCAAACCAACCATCATCGTTTGCGCCGCAACGGATGGGGCGCTTTCGAGCGTGTTTTGATGCGCGCGTTGCACGCAATCGAACTCTTTCTTGTTTTTATGCCCCTGTTTTGATGATTGCAAACAGCAGAGTTTAGAGGAGGAAAAGAAGAGTTTTGTCAGCATCATTCAGGGAAACAACAACAACAACAACAACAACAACAACAACAACAACAACAACAACAACAACAACAACAACAACAACAACAACAACAACAACAACAGATGATGATGATACTGGTGATGATATAAATGATGCGCAAAGCGACGAACGGGAAAGAGACACACACAGAGAGAGATTGTATTCCACACAAACACATCAAGGCAACGTGATGACAAAATTCGCCGCCTTTCCCCAAGTTACGAGTAGAATGTGTAATTAAAGTACCTCGGGAGCGTATAAGTTCGGGTATTTCACGCCGTATTTACTCCTCGCTTTGATCACTCGCACGACGGCGACGACGTTTGGGATCCCCATCGCGGCAATTGCGAGGACGACGTAGCCGTAGTTCTCTGGTATTTGCATTTTGTATTGCGTTCGTTCTGTTCTCCTTTGACGTGTCTCGAGTGCGGAATTTTCAAATCCAATCTCCATTAAAGAGAGACGCGCGCGAAGACATCATTAAATCAAATCATCGTCGTCGTCGTCGAAAGAGAGAAGCACGCGATGAAACTGAGCGACTACCAACGGGTGAAATCTGTGTTCACCCAATTACCGATGAACTGCCCGCCACCGATGCACGCGCTCTGCGAACAGTTCCCTCAACTCTCTTTGGACGCGTTGTTTTCAATCTACGGACAAGAGTTTTCCCGAAAGGTACGACTGACGCACGGAAAATTCGTTCGCTCGATCGAATCCATCGAAAAGAGATACTTAAACGGCGAGGACGTGTTCGATATCGCGCAAAACGTGGATTTTCCAGCCTGTCAACTCTTGCGGCTAATCGTCGAGAGCGTTTTGAAAGTGAACCATAAATCGGTCGGGAAGATGTTGAAACGTCCGTACGATGCGAACGGTCTGTTTCCGAGCGAAGTGCCGGAAGATTCGAGAGCGATGACGTCGGGGTTAAACAGCAACAAAGGGAAGAAATTGATAGAACGAATGAAAGTAGACTGCGAACGCGTGGTGGCGTGGGATTGCGGAGCGTCTCCGGCGACGGAACGGTCGCGAAGAGAAGCCGGATTGGAGTACGAGAGGATATTGGAAGAGGCGCTGCGAGATATCGGCGCCGAGTTTGAGACGGAGACGGATTTGCGAGCGGAAGGGGCGAGTCGGACGCCCGATGTGAGATTAAAAGTACCAATCAGCGTTTGCGGGAGAACCATTCACTGGATCGACAGTAAGGCTTCGTTTTGTGATCCGCAAGTGCACGAAGAGAGCGGGTCGAAGCAGTTTCGAGCATACGTGAATCGATTCGGGAGCGGGATGGTCATTTATTGGCACGGCGTCGTCGAGGAGTTAAGAGAAGTCGATCCGAACGTCTTGTTGGTGGATGCGTTTCCAGAGAGGAAAGATATCGTCATGCTCGCACGTTTCGAGGAGGACGGCGAAAATGAAGACTTTTAAGAGTAGTTTTTAGTTAGATGACAATTATTAGTAGTAGTTGAAGAAAGTTGTATTACGGTTGTGATGAACAACACGACGCGAGCGCGCGCGCGCGGATTTAATACCTCTTCTTCTCACCCGCCAAACGTCGCCCCGTCGTATCCGCAATTCTCTCGTTCCATGTCCACAAATTCCACGTACACTCGATTCTTCGGAATCATAAAGTCTCTTTCCAATATCTCGCAAAGTTTCTCCATGACCTTTTTGTTGTTCTCGAGGTTTATGCCTCCGATAGATTTCAACGTCCCCAGCGCGCACGGCTCTTCCTTCCCGCCCCACGTCATTGAAACGTCGTCGTGTACGCACACGCACACGTACGTTTCCGGTTTCGATAAAGTTTCCGCTATGTGTTTGGACATTTCTTTCATAAAATCCGCGCGTATTCCTAAACCCATCTCACAGCTCACGTGCAACAAGAAAGAAGGATCCCCGGGGAGTAATTCTAAATCACCTCTTTTCGAGCGACTTTTGATGCCGTCCAGACGCTTCTCCCTCCGCCGCCGCCAAGGTTTTGTCGTCGTCGTGTTCAAAGTCGTCGCGTGCCTCGCGCAAGAAAACATCAAAATATTTTGACGTCGATTCCATCATCCAATTCTCCATTAAAACGAAGCGTGTAAACGCACGAAAACCGATCGTCGAGACGCACCGGATCGTCGCGAAAATCCGCACCTTTCGAACGCTCGCGCGAGTGCTCGTTGAAAATGAGCGGGTACTACCCACCGCCACCACCACCGCAGGGACAGCAGCCGCAGGGACAGCCGCAACAGCATTACGAGCAGCAGCAACGGCACAATTACAACAACGACGGGTTTACGAACGACGCGAATACGAATATGCCTCCGAGTTTCCCCGCGGGAGGAGGAGGATACGGTGGTGTTCAACAGCAGCAGCAGCAGCAACAACCGCAACAACCGCCACCACCGATGATGATGATGCAACAACAACAACAACAACAGCCGCAGAATATGCAGCGGTATGGTCAACCAGGAGGAGGAGGAATGATGATGCCTCCTCCGCCTTTAGCGACGACGACAGGGGGAGGAGGAGGAGAGGGACCCCGGTATCAACAACCGCCAAACGCGCCTGGACTGCCGCCACCTCCTTCGTTTTCGGCTTCCTCCGTGCCGTCGCCGCCGACGGCGGCGATGTCGAGGATGTCGATGGCGCCTCCGTCGACGTCGTCCGCGTATCCTTCGCCGCCGCCGCCGATGCGGCAGCAGCAACCGCAGCAACCGCAGCAACCGCAGCAGCAACCGCAACAACCGCAGCAACCGCAGCAGCAACAATACCAGTATCAGCATCAACAACAACATCATCATCCGGGACCTCCGCCGCCGACGGGGAGTAGCAGTAGCGCGTATCCAACGAGCGCACCCCAAATGGGAATGTACGGTGGAGGGGCGCCGCCTCCAGGAGCAGGCATGATGCCGGGAATGGGTGGCCAACAGGGAGGGTACCCTCCCGACGCGGACGCGCGGTCGATTGACGTTCAAAATCTCGATCAGAAAGCGTTGCCAAGACCGGGCGAGGACGAGGCGAGACCAAACTCGAATTTATCGTGCGATCCAAAGTATTTGCGGTTAACAGTTGGGGCGTTACCACAATCGGTTGGGTTGAAGCAAAGGTTTGCGTTACCGGTCGGATGCATCGTTCGACCGATGTGTCCAGGGGATTCGGTGCCTACGGCGCAGTTCGGATCGTCCGGGATTGTTCGATGTCGCAGGTGTCGAACGTATATCAATCCGTTCGTTCAATTCATCGAAGGTGGGAGGCGGTACAGGTGTAACGTGTGTTCGTTACCGAACGATGTTCCCGTGGACTATTTTTGCGCGTTGGATGAAAATGGAGTGAGAAGAGACGTGGCGGAACGACCAGAGTTGAGATCCGGGACGGTTGAATTTTTAGCCTCGGCGGAGTACATGGTGCGACCGCCCATGCCGCCGGCGTATTTTTTCGCCTTTGATGTCAGTCAAACGGCCGTTAGATCTGGCTTTTTAAAATCTGCCATCGATACCGTGCGCGATTGTTTAGATTCTATGCAATCGAAATCTGATCGCACGAGAATTGGGTTCATTACGTACGATCGCTCCATTCATTTTTATGGTTTGCGATCCACCTCGATGGCGCCGTCTATGATGGTGGTTGGAGAATTGAACGACCCGTTCGCGCCGATGCCGGACGATTTACTCGTGAATTTACAAGAATGTCGCTCGGTTGTAGACGCGACGTTAGACGTCATCGCGACTTCGTTCTTAGAGACGGATATTCAAGAGTCTGCGATGGGACCGGCTTTACAGGCGGCGTATTCAGCCGTCTCGCAGATTGGCGGCAAGTTGATGATTTTCCAATCGACGTTGCCATCCATCGGCGCCGGGAGACTTTTATCCCGAGACGACGCGAGAGGCTACGAAGCGAATTCAAAAGAGCACGAACTTAGAAATCCAGCGGATAATTTTTACAAGTCCATGGCGGCGGAGTGTTCTCGACAGCAAGTGTGCGTTGACGTATTTTGCACATCCGTGCCGTACGCGGACATCGCATCGATGTGCGTGTTGCCAAAATATACCGGCGGAGATGTTCGATATTACCCGCAATTTTCCTTAGCAAAAGACGAGGTGAAGTTCAAAACGGAACTGACGAGAAATTTGACTCGAGATGTTGCGTGGGAATCCGTCTGTCGCGTTCGGTGCTCGAAAGGATTTCGCGTGTGCGCGTTCAACGGGCACTTTTTCATTCGTTCGCTCGATTTGCTCGCTTTACCAGCCACGAACGCGGATCAAACGCACGCGGTGTATCTCGCGCACGACGAAGTTGTACCGAACATGCAAGCGTGTTACATTCAGTGCGCGTTGTTGTACACCTCGGCGGATGGTGAACGCCGGATTCGAGTTCACACGATGCAAGTGCCGGTGGTGAACGACATGACGGACTTGTTTCGCGCGATTGACTCGGGTGCCATGGCGTGCTTTTTGACGCGTTTGAGCGCCGAGAGAACAAACTCGGCGAGATTACAAGACGCCAGAGACGCGTTGACGCACAAACTCGTCGACGCGTTGAAAGAATATAAGCTTTTAGGCGGTGCTCGACACAACTTTGGATTCAACTCTTTAGCGTTTCCGGAATCCATGAAACTTCTACCGCTCTTTGCGATGTGCGCGACAAAGACGCTCGCACTGAAAGGTGCGCCGAGAGACGTTGCCGTGGATAACCGAGTCGAGTGTTCGTTTGATATCATGAGTTGCTCCGCGGAAGATTGTTTGCGCATGATGTATCCGGCGTGTTACGCCTTGCACGGTGGGAGCGAAGACGCCGGCATTCCCGAAAACGATTCTATCGAGGCGTTGATGAAGATGAAAATGCCCCCGAGGACTGCATTGGCTGGCGAGCGAATCGACGCTAGAGGTATTTATTTAATCGATGATGGGCGAAAATTACTCGTCTGGGTCGGTGGACAGTGCGAACAAAAGATGATTACGAGCATTTTCGGCGATCAAGGATGCCCGGATCCCTTCGTCGACGCGTATTTGCCAACTATTAGCGGGAATAAAGTGAATGAAAAAGTTAGAAACACGGTAAAAAGAATACGAAGTAGGAACCAAGCGCGGTACCAAGCATTGACGGTGATAAGACAAGGCACGCCGCAAGAGGCGTTACTGTTCAATCATTTAGTAGAAGATCGTGCGAGCGGTGGCGGTATGGGATACGGCGATTTCCTCGCGCAGTTACATCGATTAGTTCAACAAGCCGCAAACGCGGGTAGATAAATTAAAATAAGCAAATAAAAACACATCTCTCTCTCATAGAGTTCATCATTACACTTCTACTACAAACCACCTCCACTTTTCCCTCGAGTAAACCATGTAAAGCCACCACCACCACTTCCTCCTTGGCTTCTCAAATACTCCTGCTCTTCGCTATCTCTGAGTTGAATGACGACTTCGCCCAACTCGGGAATTTCTTCCAAGACGCGCTCTCTCGCGGCTTGCATCTTCCCAATAACTTCCTCCGTGGTTATACCTTTTCTTAAAAACGCGAGGAAGAAATCTACGCTTAACTTTCTCCCGTTCATTCTCGCCCTCAAACCGCTCACGTGCGTGTCCTCCCCGCACTCGTTCCTCACAATCTCTCTCACTCTCTCGTCGATTTCCTCCGCGCAATTCGTATCCGCCAACGTCTTCACGGCTTCCCATCCAACTTCAATCCCAACCTTCCCTAACAAAGCGCACACGAATATCGCCGCTAATTTATCCATGATCGGGTATCCGTATACCGCACCAACTACCCCAACTAACGCGGCGACCGAACCTAACGCATCCGACCTGTGATGCCACGCGTTGGCGACCAACACTTGCGACTGCAACCGTTTCCCGATTCTCATGGTGAACTGAAACGTCGCTTCTTTCGCTAACACGGACGCGATCGCAACCGATATTGCCTCCACCGACACCAACCCGTCTTCTTTTTCCTCTTGGCCATCCGCTCTCCCTCTTCCAGTCAAGTTCATAAACTCAATCTCGTATTCGCTCACCAACTTTTCGCAGACGTACCAAAACATCCCGCCCGCGCTAAATACTAAACAGACGCTCACCCAAACCGCGGCTATGCTCTCCAACTTTCCGTACCCGTACGGAAACTTCTCATCCGCCGGTTTCGCCGCGATCCTCGCCGCCACTAACGTCACGAAATCCGTAAACACGTCCATCAGCGAATGCACCGCGTCCGCCAACAACGCTTGACTGTTCCACAAGATCCCCGCGATAAACTTCACAAACACTAAAACAACATTCACGACGGTACCAACTATAGTGGTCCACACCACCGCGCGATAATACTCCGCATCGGAAACTTCCGGCCCGTGATCGCCGAGTAACGCGTCCGGTGGTATGCAATACTGCTCTAAACACGTTTGTTTCCTGCGTATCGCGTGCGCGTGTTTGTCTTCGAATTGCTGAGAGGCGTGCCCGATGCGGATTAAATCGTTTCCAGACGCGGTGTGTTCGAACGTGGTGGACGCGAAATCGTGGCCGGAGGTTATTTTCGTCGATCGTGGGGACGTGAGTGGGGATCGGAGGACTTGGTGCGTCGGCATAATGTCGCGTGGTCTTCTATAAAATGCGTATCAAATTGGATATAAATGCACCCGTCCTTTCTTCACGAGTGCTCGTGCATATACTAAAACTCGACCGCGCGCAGAGGAGGACCACCACCCCAAAAATTATACACGCGCGGCGAGAGAGCAGAAGCGAGCGTTTTTGCACCGTTCCCGTTCGTTCGTTCGTTCGTCGTTTCTCGCAAGTTTCGTTTCTTTTCTCGTTTGATGCGCGTTTAACGATTGTTTTTTGTTGTGCGGTCGTTTTGTTTTTTGCTCGTCTCGAAAGAAGGAAAAAACTGAAGTGTCTCGTGCCTCAGTTTTACGCTCAGTTTTACACAAATCACACACAGAGCACTCATGGTACGTTCTCTTTCTCTCTCTCTCTCTCTCTGTCTCGTCGACGGACGAAGACGCTTTCTTTTTTGGTTTTCTCGCGGGAGAAATAGTTCAGAGTTTAACGCGCGCGAGGACGAGGAGGAGAAGCGTTCGCGTGATCTTCGGTTTCGCGTTCGCGCGTTCGCGACATTTTTCTCTCTTTCTTCTGTAGCCCTCAAATTTGAAGATTTTATATATACCGCGCGCGCGTCTTCTGCTCTCGCGTAATAATACCACGAAGGACGCGTGATAATTGCGGGAGACATTTTGTGCTCGTTTTACACGCGCTGACTGTTTGGAAAACGGTGTGTCGCGCTGTGCGTGAAAGCGCAAAGTGTGTTGCCGGCTGAAATTTGCACCGCGAAAAGGAAAAGGAGTCCTAATTTACTCCTGCGTTTTGTCCTCTCTCGTTTACGACAATGTGCTGACCCAAGAGTGTTCTCTTTTATTCTTCTCCTCATCATGAAACAAAAAAAACAACAGTCTACGAACAAAACGATCGTCGTCGTCGACGCGAAGGGCCACATGCTCGGCCGTCTCGCCTCCACCGTCGCGAAGCAGCTCTTGCAAGGCCAACACGTCGTCGTCGTGAGAGCCGAAGGGATCTGCCTTTCCGGCGGCATGGTTCGACGCAAACAAAAGTGGGACTACTATAAAGTGAAGAGAATGAGCACGAACCCGAAGAAAGGTCCGTACCACTTCACTCAACCGTCGAGATTTTTCTGGAGAGTCGTGAGAGGTATGTTGCCGCACAAAACTGAGAGAGGGAAAGCCGCTTTTGAAAGGTTAAAGTGCTTTGAAGGGATCCCGGCGCCGTACGACAAGGTGAAGAGAGCGGTTGTCCCGGAGGCGTTGAAGATTGCGAGATTGAATGAAGGGAGACGATTCTGCGTGCTCGGCGATTTGTGCGCGCAAATTGGATGGAAGCACAGCGAGACGGTGAAGGTTTTGGAAGCGAAGAGAGCGGAAGCTGGTAAGGATTATTGGGAGAAGAAGAAAGCGGCGACGGCTAAGTTTGAGGCGGCCAAAAAGGCGGCGAACGGGCAATTGGGTGATTTGAAGGAGTTGATTGAACGCACTGGCTATTAAATTGCAGTGTAGTTAGGTACAACACAATCGATTGACCATCAAATCATCAGCAATTCGTTGTTTTAGCACATTAATTTAATAGACACTTCTGATAATCAACTAATTCTTTTTCAATACCTGTAGTCGCGCACGGATTTGAAAAAATGCGCGACGTTTTCTTCCGGCGTGCCTACCATAACCCCATGTCCTAAGTTCATGACGTGCTTATTGTTCCCCGCACCTTTAATCGTCTCCTCAATCGCTTGCGTGATGTGCTCTTTGCTCGAAAACAAACTCACCGGGTCCATGTTCCCTTGCACGGCTTGTTCCATTCCCAGTCTCGCTCTCGCGTCGGCGATATCTACCGTCCCGTCCAACGAAATCACGTCCGCGCCAGTCGTCTGTAACCGTTCCAAAAACCCACCGGCACCGCTGCAGTATAAAATCAACGGCGTGTCCGGGTGTGTCTGTTTCACCTCTTTAATCACCCTGGTTAAATACGGCAAGCAAAATCTGGAGAAATCTTTCGGCAACCACTCGCTCGCCCACGAGTCAAAGATTTGCACGACTTGCGCGCCGCTGTCGATTTGGTATCTCGTGTACGTAATCACCGCATCGGTCAACTTTTCCATCAACGCGTGGTAAATCGCCGGTTCATCGAATGCCATTTTTTTTATAACTTTATAGTGCGAACTCGTCCCGCCTTCGACGATGTACGTCGCCAACGTAAACGGCGCCCCGACAAAGCCAAGCAACGTCGCATCCGTACCTTTCAACTCGTTTCTCAACACCTTTAAACTTTCCCCAGTAAAATTCACGCTTTTCTCCGGCTCCAACGGCGTCACCGCGTTCACGCCAGCCATGTCGCGAATCGGGTTGAAAATAATCGGTCCAGTCCCTTTGACGATGTCGAACGGAATGTTCATCCCAGCTAACGGCGTTAAAATATCCGAGAATACGATAACCCCGTCCGGTTTAAACGCCTCGTACGGTTGTAAAGAAATCTCCACGCACAAATCCACCGTCTCCGAGCGTTCGCGAAACGTCGTGTGCTTTTTGCACAAGTCCTGGTAGACTTTCATGTACCGTCCAGCCTGTCGCATCATCCAGATTGGCGGTCGTTCGCACCGTTCGCCTTTAATCGTCCGGACCATGAGTGGGTCTTTGTCTCCTCCTCCAGAAGAAGACGCTTTAATAACTCTCGTTCTCGTTCTCGTCGATGTTGTTCCCTTCCGCCTCGCCGACAAAGAGGTCGTCGAACCGCATCGAGGAGCGCACACGAATGCATTTTGCGTCATCATCATCATCACACGCACGCTCGGAAAGTGTTATTCTCTCTCTCTCTCTCTCTCGCAAAACGATACCGTTTATTACGTGCGGCCGCTCGTGTTGCTCTTTGGTGGGCGTATTCGTGCGACGCGTGTGTGCCACGCTCTCGCTCTCTTTTAGTAACGTGGATACAGCAGTGGAAAAGTTTCTCCCAAATATCGTATCTCGCGTATATCCATACGAATACAGACGCATCAGAGTAAGAAAGAAGCACTCACGGAGCCAAATTTTGAGTAAGACACGCAGACTCATAAGTGCGTAACTCCGTACTCCTCTTGGCAAGCAGTTTAAAAAGTAGTCTCTTTCGAAAGAGTTTTTCCCGCGCAAACACCAACTCTTCCACACAAACGAGAGAACATAACACGCAACACGCCCACAAAATCCGCGCTCTGCTGATACCAACGAACGCGCTCTTTTCGCATATATGTCCTTTGCCGCGTCGTCGAAAGGGTGCGGGTGTCTGTGCGTTTCTTCTTTTACAACCAGGAGTACGAATCGTCGTCCGCGAAAGGATTCGAATCGTCGACCGCACGACGAGATGACGACGACGCCAAAGGGGTTGTTGTTCTTGGCCGCCCGCACAACGGCGCGTCATCATCAGACGACGACGACGTTATGTTCGACCTCTGGACGGTCTTCTTCTTTTGGGGAACCCGCCATGAGAACGTGGTGGTACGGGAAGAAGAGCAGCATCAGATCGGTGTTCACTCCTGCTGCTTTGAATGGGCAGCAAGAACAACAACAACAACAACCGGTGAAACCGGTCCAGATGCCACCGCGGTTGACGAATAACGGAGTCGTGAAGAATAACAACGGGGAGAATTTACCGCCGTTTCAATCGCAAATGGCGACGACGACGCGACGGGAACAACAACAACATCAACAACAAGAGCAACAACAGTTTCGCTCGATACCGCCGCAGCCTTTACCGAAAACGAATAATAATAACAACAGCAACGTGACCTCCTCATCGTCGACGAGTAGTGTTTCTAATACTACTCTTTCTGCTTCTTCTTCTGCGACGGGTGAGTCTCGATTAGAAGGCAAGTTACTTCCGGACGACGTGGACGCGGCGTATCATCAATTGCAACACTTGGGGCAAAAATGGGCCGATTTACACGCCGAGGCGGAGATTCTCGAGGAAGCCAAGAAGTGTATTTTAGCGACGATTACGTTGTTTCACGTGGATAACGGCGACGCGAAGTCAACCGCGGAAGTCAGAGCGCACGCGAGTAAAGAGTACCAAGACCACATAAAAAAAATGGTCGAAGCGAGACGGTTGGCGAACCAAGCGAAGATTGAATTGGAAAGCATAAAGACGCATTTGAACTTAGTGAGAACGTTTGAGAGTTCGCGACGGGAGGAGTTGAAGATGCTTTAAACGAAATATATATAGCGAGACGAGAGAAGCGAGAACGTCAAAGAGTGTACCATCATCATTTTATAAAACAAAATTAATCTTACTATTACAGTTTTTCCTCTTGTCTCTCTTCTTCTCCCTTTCATCGGTTCTATTATTGAAACTCCGAGCCGCTCACGCCTATCGAACCGCCTTCCTTTCTGATTTCCATCAACGTCTTCTGTGGCGTCGACCACGATTTCCCACTTTTCGCCTCCAAACTACACCCACACAACCTCGCCACCATCCCGCACAACTGCACGTCGCTCGCGCACCCTTCGCTAATCCTCACGTGAAAAAATCCGATGATTTTCAAAAACTCCAACTTTACGTATTCCGACATCTCCTTATCGTCGAACCGTTTACACACCTGAAAAATCGTCTTGATCAAATCTTGTGGCGAATACCCGCTCTTTCTCAGCTTTAACAGTCGATCGCACGCATCGTCCAACTCTCCGTTTAAGCAGTGTTGTAAAATAGCGCCTATGACTTCCGGATGCGGCGTATCGCACACTCGAAACACGTTCTCTTGATTCACCATTTGAAACCCACTATGACAGGCCTGTAAACTGTTCAGCGCGTTTCTCATGTCCCCTTCCGCGCAAAACACGATCGCCTCTAACCCTCTCGCGTCGTGCGGCACCTTCTCTTGCTCGCACACGTACACCAACCTTTCCAAAACTTGTTTATCGCTCAACCGCGAAAATCTCACGATGGCGCACCGCGACTGAATCGGTTCGATGATTTTATCGCTCAAGTTACACGCCAACGCGAATCTCGTCGTCGCCGAATATATTTCCATCGTCCTTCGCATCGCTTGTTGCGCGCCTTTCGTCATCGCGTCCGCTTCGTCCAAGATGATAATCTTGCACCTCCCCGCCGGCAAAGTCACCTTCTTTTGTGCAAACATTTTGATTTTATTTCTCACCACATCTATCCCTCTCTCGTCCGACGCGTTTAATTCCAACACCGCGTCTTTATACCGATCCCCGAGTAACGTCCGCGCTAAAACGTGCACCGAGGTTGTTTTCCCGCACCCAGGTGGGCCGGATAATAACAAGTTCGGCATTGAGCCGGTTTCAATCATCCCTCGCATTTGGTTCAGCGTTTCCTCGTGGCCGACGATGTCGTCTAATTTCGTCGGTCGCCATTTTTCGATCCACGGTTGGTTCGCAGTTTCTTGCTCTCGCGTTTCTTTTTGCTTCTCGCTCGCGCGTTGGAAGAATGGATTATTCATGTTGTTGTTATTATCAGTGCGCTCTTAGTATTCGTGCGTTGCACAGATATAAAGTCAAGCGTAACAGAGTAAAGATGAAAGTCGTCTTCCTTTCTAAACAATCTCATCGCGCAAAACCTTTTTTTTTTTTGAATTTCCAAGAGGAGTAAGGCGTGACGCACTCACGAGTGCTTCTTCCTCACTCAAACGTTCGCTCTGTGAGTGCTTCTTTCGTACTCGTGAAGTGCGTCTTTCGTACTCCTCGCTCCCTTTTCGTACGCTTCAAAAAACCTCTCTTTCTTTTGTCGTCTTCAACACAAAAAGAGGCACAAAAACACACGACGGACTCCTCCTCCTCCTACTACTACTACACGAGAGAGAACGTGTACCGTTTAGTATTCATCTTCTTCGAACAACAAAACGAACAGAGACGATGAAGTTCTCATCACGCTTCTCCTTTTTTGCGTTCGCGATGCTCTTCTTCCACCAAGCGGCGCGCGTCGATGTCGTCCAAGCGGCACCGGCGATGATGTTTTTCTCTCCTCCTCCCGTTGCTCGTCGTCATCTTGTGAAAGAAGAAGAAGAAAAAGCAACGGCATTCTCATCGATGCATTCGAAATCATCCGAGGAAACAGAAGACAACGTCGCCCTCTACGCCGGACGAGTACAAAACGAGCGAATGGTTTTAGAGAAGCTTTTGGTGGGAGGTTTGTTCCAGTCGGAGAATGATGATGATGATGATGAGATGAAAGCGGAAGTGACGATCGTTTTAGACCAACCGCGATGGACGGCAGAGGACGACGAGCAGATGGCGAAGTTTTTGTCTTTCTCGAAATCGTCGTCGTCGACGGTATCGTCGGTGTTCGCGCCGAGGTTTAGCCGTTTTCGAGGAGGAGGAAAACAACAACAACAACAACAACAACAACGACAACACGCAGTGAAAGAGGAAATAGAGAAACGCTTTTCCGTCGCCTCGACGGCGGAGAACTCGCGCGACGAAAACTCGCTCGGCGGTCGCGTGCGGTATTGGAACTGCGACGACGAAAAAGAGGACTTTGAGTACGCGACGAGGACGACGACGACAAAAACAGACGAGTTGGACGAACGAGTGAAGGCAATCTTAGGCGATTTGACGAGGCGTTCCAAGGAGGATAAGGAGCCTACTGATCGAGTGGGGATTGTTATGTGCGGCGGGGAGGATAAAGAGAACGATCTGGCGTTGTTCCGTGCGTTGATGAAGGCGTTGGGTGCGGCGGAGAGGACGTTCGTCGCCGGCGTCCTAGGCGGCGAGACCGCCGGAAGAGTTGAAGGTAGCGGAAATAGCGGCAGCAACGCTGATTGCACGCGAGATGCGGAGAAGCGAGAAAAGAGACGAGACTTGCTCTTTTCGAAAGGCTCCGGGAGTCAAGTGAACGAGTGCGACGACTTGTGTCAGTTGCACGTGAGCATCGTGAGCGGCTTGATTATTTTTTGGATTTTCGCCGGCACGTTTACGTACGGCATGGGGATGATGTCAAACTTGGACACGCCGAAAATCTATGAAAAGAGCGACGAGTGAGTGAGCTGAACTCTCTTTTGAAATTGTACATTGTACACATACACACACATACGCACGAACAAAAAGACGCGCAAAAATGTATGCGTTTTTCCTCGTATATTTTACAACGCGACGCTCTAAAAACTACATCATTGCTCGCACGAATCGCGGAAAGAATTTAACTCAGCGGACAATCGGTCGATAATCTCTCTCGCCTCGCTCGCCGACCTCACTAACCTTTGATTGCGCACGGCGAGTTCCGCAAATTTCTGACATATAGCCACCGAAACCACGTCCGCGTCTTCGGGTAACAACTCCTCGTTCAAAAAGTTCGTCACTTCCATAAATATCTTCGATCGAGCGGATTCCACCGCCGAAGCGACGGCAAACTCGGCGTCTTTTCTTTGTCTCGTTTCTTTTTGGTAACGAAGAAAATTGCCTAAATTATCTTTGCTACTGCTAGTAGTGTTTCTATCATCGCCGCGATTATGATTCGTCGTATTCTGCTGAGGAGGTCGTCGTCTCGGATCCTTCTTCTTCGCGCCTCCTTCGGCGGTTTCAACGACACCAATCGGAATCCGCCTCGGCTTTCCCAAATTTAAATTCGCAGATATCCTCGGCGAATGCGAATGCGAATGCGGCGGCGATCGCGCCGAAAACCCGAATTCGTCCTCGCATTCACCGTTGTTGTTAATATTTCCTTTTTCGTGCTTGTCTTCTCCTCCTCTCCTCGTCGTCAGAGTCGTTTTTATCCTCCTCACCGGACTTACCACCAATTCTCTTCCCTTAAATCCATCATCATGGAAAAGCTCCTCCTCGCCTCCTCTCCGTCGTAAATGTTCTTGCTGTGTATTCGTGGTGTTCGTATTCGTAGTACGAAACGTCTCCAGCCGTTCTCGCAAAGCGCGCATCCGCTCTCTGTCGTCTGCTTCGTTTTGAGAACGCATATTTGTATGTGTGTAAATTCCGATTTTTTATGTCGTGCTGTGGGGGAGAATTGATGCATTTCTCTCTTTTCTTCTTCTTAAAAACAGTCTTCTCGTCTCCGCTGAAGAAGGCTCGGGTGCCTGGTACTGCTGGAAATTCCGCACAGACGACGCGCGGGAGGAGGAACGAATGGTATAAAAAAGAGGTGCGTCGTTCAGTGGTGGTCGTTTAAAGAGAGAGAGAGAGAAAGAGAGTACATCACGTATATCGTTTGCCTTTTTGTCGTATTGGGCAGTTTGTGTAAAAAATACGCGAAAGAGAGACGAAAATCGTCATTAAAAAACGCTAAAAATAGCAAGAAAAAAGTTCATCTAAAAACAGAGAGAGAGATGTCCTCCTTCGATCGAAACGAGGAAGAAGAAGAAGAGAAAGACGAGCGTGAAAATCTGTTTCCTCCCGGAAGATCCTCTTTGACTGGAGGAGGTGGTGACGATGACGATGACGACGACGATGAAGGGGGGAACAGCGAAGAGGCGCAATTTTTGACCGATCTGAAGGAAAACCACACGAAAAAGTCAAACACGACGAAAGTGCTCTCCACGTACGGCGGCGCCGGGATGGGGGTGAAGAACCATTTTTTGCACGTGGCGTTGTCCGCGTCCGTGCTCGTGTTGGGGGTGTTTTTATGCCTGGGGTTGGTGTACATACCCGCGATGAATCCGATGGAATCGTACGCGTTGAAAAGAGAGGACGAGTGTTTTTCCAGAACGAATTCGACGTGCGAGAACTATTTGAGGGCGGAGGTGTATTTTTGGAACCTGACGAATCCATCCGAGTTTGTGAGCGGGTTGGAAGCGCCAAAGTTAGAGGAGGTTGGGCCGTTCGTGATTAAAGACGGAGTGTCGAAGAAACAGAACGTGACGTTTAGCGAGGATGGGAGCGAGGTTGGGTTCGTGGAGACTTTATACGGGAAAGTCGATTGGGGGACGGAAAGAGCGTGGGAGGAGAGCGAGGTACGGACGTTTCTCTTTTTTTTTAATGATTATATGTTTTGCTTCGTTCTTCCGTCGTCGCATCTATTATTCTAAACTGACGTGTGTATTGTGCTCCTTTCCGTGAAAACAGATCATCTCAATCAACCCGGCGTACGTGGAAATCATCAAATCTGCCGGAAGCGAGTTCAATTTGGCGCTCTCGGCGTTGCCGCAAACGTTAAAAGGCTTACACGAGGCGATGGTTGGTTTTATCAACGCGTGTGCGTACGATCCAGTCTTATCGTCATCATTTGCGGATTTATCGGCGGCGGTGACATCAGGAGTAGTAACCGCGGAAGATCTCGCGTTGGGACAACTCTTTTCTTTCAGCGTCTCTTTCGGTGACGGCGTACCGATTACTACTTTGCCGTTACCGCCGGCTGTTTTTGCGCCCATGTACGAAGCGTTTGGTATAGATGCGTCGAGCGGTCCAACTGATGTTTTTGAAGTGCATGGATATGTAACTGGCATGCAAATTGCGCAGGGTATTCCTCCACCGTACGCTCCGTACGTTGCGAATGTCTCCTCGGCACAGGCTTTGAAATACTTCTTCCAGAACATCACCGAAGACGTCACGGGATACACGGCTTTACGGTACCTCCAAACGCCAGATAGCGCGCTGACTGCCGAGCTTGGGTTCACCGACGATGCGCAATCACAAATTATGAAAGGTTATCTCGGATACATCGCTCAGACTTTCGGTCTCCCCGCGTTGTTGAAGTTTACTATTGGTGATTTTCTAAACTCCACGGCTTCCGGTTTACTCGTAAAACGCTCGGCGAAAGAGTGGATTTTTGGATTCGACGATCCACTTTTGAATGCCGTGAGCAGTGGTAGTAACGGACAAGATAACAAAGTCCGCGCCGTACACAACATTCGCGACATCGACACGCTCGACGTTGACCACGTTCCCTGGGGAACGGACGCGCAAACTATGCTTCGCGCCGGCGCGACGCCGTACCGTCTCAAAACTGGTCTGGGCGTCTCCAAAGGCAACGCCACGACCTTTCTTCGTCGAACTGATGGCGATTGGAGCGACCGAATCGTCTATCCGATCACCAATCACATTGAAATTGTGTCTGGGAAACAAATCACCGGTGGCCAATACGAAGAAATCAAAGAACACTTTAAAAACGCGAAAAAAGGCGAAGAATCCATGTTCGCGCCCGCCGTCCAGGCGTGGGCGGATTTCGGTCAAGGCTTGGATTTACGTCGTAAAGTCACCTTGCAACACCGCGAAGGTGAAACGAGAAGGAAAAACAAGAAAGTGAGCACTGAAGTATACTCGTTCGCCTCGAAGACGTACTTGAACTGCCCAATTACCGGCGATATAACGTGCGACTGGAACCAAAACTTCTACGGCGCGTTCAACTTTTCCGGTTTCCTCCAAGGCGCCTCCGGTTTCTACTCTTTAGCGCACGGGTACCAAACGGATTTCCGCGCGTTTGGTGGTTCGAAAGACTCGTATCCGTACACGTCCTTCTCTCCGAACGCGACGAACCACTCACCGGAGTTTGAAATCTACGCGAGAACTGGCAACACGGTCGGCATGAAAGTGCCGTTGCAACAAAACTTCAAAATCGAACCCACGGATACTTTCTACCAGTCCGTCTGGCAACCGCCGGCGTCTTCCGTCGAGTCCACCGCTGGCCTCCACCTCCCAATCTGCCACCTCCAGCTCTCGTACTCCATGCCCGAATCATTCTTCAACAAAATCGCGGACACCATCAACCACATCACCATGATGACCGTCGTCTATTTATACGTCATGCCCGCCATATCGGTCTGCTTCATCGCCTACGCGGCGTTGACTCTGTACGTTCGTCACCAATTCGCCCGAACGCCCACCTTGAGCGAAAGCGATTACAAAAAAAGAGCGACATCGAGCGCGTCCAAAGCAATCGGGAGCTTCCACGACGCCTCGTTTATTCTCGGCGGCAAGAAAAGTTTCAAGACGAAGACGAACGGCGACGAGAAAAGAGGAAGAGGAGGCGGCTTTTTCCGTAACCGCAACGCCGCCGCCGCCCGCACCACGGACGACAACACAGCAGCGCCAATGGAAGAAGTCGTCGTCGTCGTCAATGGAAGCGACTGATAACAAAAAGAGTGGAAGAAAAGAGAGCGCGTGTGGTCAATGTGTCGGTAAACATCAATCGACGATGGACATTTTCCGTAACCGCGAGCAAACCTCTCACACGTCTGCTCTTTGGGGGTCAATTTCTGACTGAATGAGAGAACCGAAATACGCTTCACATTAGTACTCGCGCGTTGTTTCTGGCAAGGGCAAAACACGATTTATACGACTCGTACTACTCATACCATTCGCCCGTGAGCACGCGCGCGCAGTATTCGTCCCAGAACGCTTTTCTTTTGTTCTCGTTTATAGCGCGCGTTCTTTTCCCTCATCACGAGTAGAAATCGGAAAACAGTTACGCGCGTTTCACAGAAGACTCCCACGCGTGCCACCACCGTCTCAAAAGCACAATGACGACCACTGTAGACGTTGTTCGAGGCACCGAGAACCAAAACGTGGCGATTATCACCCTGAAAAACCCACCGGTGAACGCGCTCGCGCTGTCCCTCCTCCGCTCGTTTCGGGAGAATGTCCAATCGGCGCAAGACGACGACGCGATCGACGCGATCGTTTTACGAGGAGAGAACGGCATATTCAGCGGCGGATTCGATATCGCACACTTAGGGAAAACAACCAGAGGTGAGAAGACGGAAAACGTGAGCGATTTCAACGAGATTTTAACGCGTTTGGTGGAAAACGGCAAGAAACCGTGCGTGGCGGCGATATCGAATTTGGCCTTAGGGGGCGGTCTGGAAGTTTCGATGGCGTGCGCAGCGCGCGTGGCGACGAGAGGCGCAAAGTTAGGATTGCCGGAGCTGAAACTCGGGGTCATCCCTGGGTTCGGTGGGACGCAAAGGCTACCGAGGTTAGTTGGTCTGGAAAAGTCGTTGGAGATGATGTTGCAATCGAAAGAGATTACGAGCGAGGAAGGCGCGCGGTTGGGATTGGTGGACGAAGTCGTCGAAGACGACGGGAAGAGCGGGAACGATCGAGCAGTGGTCGAAGCCGCGGTGCGCGTGGCGAAAAGAATTGCAAACGGAGAAAAGCAGAGGCAATTTTCGCTGACTAGGACGGATAAGTTGCCGAGAGACGCGAAGCAGACGATGGGGATCATGGCGGTGGCGGAAGGGAAGGCGAAGAAGATCAAAGCGGTTTTACCGCACGCGTCGTATTGCGTGGAGGCGGTGAAAGTAGGATTGGAGAAAGGGAGCGCGGAAGGGTTGAGGAAAGAATCGGAGATGTTTCAAAAGGCGGTAAAATCGCCCGCTGCGAAAGGATTGGTGCACTTTTTCTTTGCCAGCAGAGCGACGGCGTCTGTGCCGGGGATTACGGATCAAAAGTTACGGCCGAGTGAAGTGAAAAGCGTCGGCGTGGTTGGCGGTGGTTTGATGGGGAGTGGCATCGCCACCGCGTGTCTTCTGAGCGGCATGGAGGTGGTGTTGAAAGAGATCAAACCGGAATTTCTTCAAGCCGGTATCCAACGCATCGAAGCGAACATCGGATCGATGGTGAAAAAAGGTAAGATGAAACCGGAAAAGGCGAAAGCGATTGTTGGACGCGTACGAGGTACCCTGGACGACAGAGACTTTGCGAACGTCGATATGGTCATCGAAGCTGTGATCGAAAACTTGGACTTGAAGAGGAAGATTTTCTCGACGTTGGAATCAATCGTGAAACCGTCGTGCATATTGAGCACGAACACGTCGACGATTTCCATCGCAAAGTGCGCGTCCGAAATGCGTAATCCGGAACGGTTGATTGGCGCACACTTCTTCTCTCCGGCGCACGTCATGCAATTATTTGAAATCATTCGCGTGGACCAAACACCGCCGCAGATTTTGGTCGATACTTTGGCGTTTTCCAAGAAGATAAAAAAGACGCCCGTGGTGGTTGGGAACTGCACGGGATTTTGCGTCAACAGAGTGTTTTTTCCGTACACAATGTCCGCTACGGTTTTGGTGGACCTTGGGTGTGACCCGTACGCCATCGACAGAGTGATTTCTATGTTTGGTATGCCCATGGGTCCGTTTCGATTGGCAGATTTAGTCGGAATGGAAGTTGGCGTCCACGTCGGCAAGAATTTCATCGAAGACTTCCCCGAACGAGTGTATGAATCGCCGTTGATTCCTTCGCTTCTCGATGCGAAGCGCTTAGGCGAGAAAACGAAGAGTGGATTTTATTCCTACGACGACCGACGCAAAGCTTCGCCAGATATGGACGCGATCGCGCCTTTTATCGAAAACGCTCGAAAAAATCGCAAAGTACCGTTACCGGGCCACCCGGAACAACTCGGCTTTTCCGCGCAAGATATCGTAGAAATGATTTTTTTCCCAGTCGTTAACGAGGCGTGCAGAGTGTTAGACGAAGGCGTCGCGGTGAAAGCGGCGGATGTTGACGTCGCGTCGGTTCTTGGTATGGGATTTCCTCCGTTTCGTGGTGGGATTTTACACTGGGCGGATCAAATGGGCGCGAAGAAAATTTACGCCAGATTGACTGAATTCGGCAAGAAGTACGGCGGGTTATACGAGCCGTGCGCGTACTTAACGAATTGCGCGCACCAAGGGAAAACCATCGCAGAAGGACCGAACCGCGCGAGGCTTTAAGCTAATTCGACACATAACAAATACTAAAGAAAGAAAACGTTGTTCATATAAAATTAATACAATTACACCTGAAAACACACGCACGCACGCACGCATACACTTCTTCTATAAAGCCGCGCCCAAAACAATCGCTACTATCGCCGCTATCGCTATTTGAATCGCATTGACGACATCGTTCGTCAACCACTCCCACCCTTTTCTGCCTTGCATCAATGAACCGAGCGCAGACTCGAACGTTGTCGCCACGAACGCCGCGAACGCACACACCGCAGCCGCGAGTAAAGGCGACGATGACGACGTCGCCGTGTTCAACTCGCCCAGAAGCGCCGCCACGCCGGCAAACACAAAACTAGCCGCTACACCCGCCAACGTCCCTTCTAAACTTACCGCACCTTCTGTCCCTCTCGGCACGGAATTGAACGGTGGCAGCGAATTGTACGTCGTCTTACCGTACGCTTTGCCAACCTCCGATGCCGTCGTATCGCTCAGCTTACTACAGAACGAAGCGACAAAGCCGAGACGCAAGATGGAATCGTATTGCGGATACGCCAACGCGAGCGCGGCACACAATACCCCGGCACTCCCAGAACCCCACACGGAACCTACGTTTCTTCGACCACTGTTTGCTTCTGCCGTGCCCTCTCTTTCTTTTTGTTCGAGTTTAATCTTTGTCACGGCGGAGCCGAGAATGAAGTAGAGACAGACGAGGAGGTAGCCTCGAAAGCCAAACGCCGCAAAGATAGCCTGCGAGGGGAGAAGAACGTCGTCAGTCAGACATCCGCGCGAAGAAAAAGTAAGCGCAAAAAAAAACGGTGGAAAAAAGTAACCATGGAGAGAATCAGATTGAAAACAAACGGTTTCGAGAGAGACGGGGCGATCCCGACGGATCGTCGCGTCTCGAACGAAACGTCCTTCTCTCACGCGCGGCCGTCTCGCGAGAAAAGTTCTCGCGGTTGCTTCGTTACGCGTCGTAACAACGCGTCAGAAGTATCTGTGCTTATCAGTCATCACTTTCTCTCTCTATATATACAAACAAATCATGTAAACGTACCGTTCCGAGAAACCACGCGTTCGCCGTCGCGAGACCGGTCAAGCCTTTCAACAGAACCGGCAAGCCAAACAAAAACACCGTGGAATTCACGAGCGATGCCACCTCGAGACCGGGAGATTGAGTATGAAATATCGCGTCTAAGAACAAAGTCACGGATGAGGATGACGTTAAAGCCGAGGTCGTCACGCTCGTGGTCCTCCTCTTCGTCGTCGTCGAGCTCGTTTTGCGGTTGGAAATTGGAAACTTTTGCTTCTCACCAAAAGGACGACAAGGAGAAGGACCGCTCGTACTGCTGCTCGCGCGACGACGTAAACGACGACGACTGAGAGTGCACGACGACGGTAAAGACGAAGCCCTTCCTCTCGTCGTCAAATTCGTCGATGTCATCATCTTTATCATCCTCGTTATTCTTCTTTCTGTGATGCCTTTTTGTGTGAAATTTCGAGAGAAAACGTCAGACTTTTCACGAGAAAGAACAACTTTGCGCGCGTATTTAAAACAACAACCTCCTCCTCCTCTTTTCGGTGACGATGATTCAGACGACGATTCAGACGACGACGAGAGCGACCTCCTCGGTGGTGTTAAAACCGCGGCGAGTGTTGTCGTCGTTTCCGTCGTCGTCTTTGCCCCGTTCTCTGTGTTCGAGAACGACCAAAAACGGAAACGGATGCCTTTCGCTTCGTTTTTCCCCGAACAACAAAAGAAGAGCTTTAGTGTCCTCGGCGATATCGTCGTCGTCTGAATCGTCCGAGGGAAGAGAAGAGGACGAAGACAGAAAGTACGATTTCATCCAAGAAATCTCGGACGAGAATTTACTCACCACGAGCTTAAACCGAGCGATTACGGACGAGGATTACGAGTTAGCTGCGAAACTCTCCAAGCGGTTACAAGTGGTGCAAAACTTGAACGGAGGACGGGACGCGAGGGAGATTTTGTTAGACTGGAGGATGTTAGGAGTCGCGGAGTGGATGGCGGCGAGAGCAGAGGCGCTAGGGTTTCGGTTTCCAACTGGGATTCAGAGGAAAGCGACGTCGGCGTTTTTAGATGGCGATCGATTGATTGTTATGAGCGCGCAAACCGGGACCGGGAAGACGTTGGCGTATTTGGTTCCGACGATGGATCAGATGGATTTTGTCGGGAGGAAGATGTTGCAGATTTTAGTGGTGGTGCCGACGAGAGAGTTAGTGGTGCAGACGACGATGCTGGCGTATAAATTAACCGGTGGATCGATTTCGAGAGGCGTGCCTGGAGATCGAGGGAACATGTTCAACTATTCCGGGCCGCAAGGGTTGATCGTGAAAGGCGTGTTCGAGCAAAGGCACGTGTTAGATCCCGATCCGGAGTTATCGACGGCCGAGATTGTGATTGGGACGCCCGAGGAGTTGGCGGAGTTGAAGAGGCAAGGTGTTGTCGAGGTGGATTTGGCGTCGCATATTATTTGCGACGAAGCGGATGCGTTGTTCGAGAACCATAAAGAAGCGATGAGAGAGTTGTTGAAGCCGAGTCCGTTCGTGCCGGTGATGGAAACGAGACAGATTTGCTTAGTTGGGGTGAGCATTGCGAACGATTCGTTTTTGAAGGACGTGCAAGAAGTGGTGCCGTTTTACGAACCTACGATTATTCAAACGCAAGCGATTGATTACGAAGGACAAGGGTTGGAGGAGAGGAAAAAAGACATCGAGAAGGACGTGGAGGAGGTGTTGGAAGGACTCGCAAAGTTGGGAGGAAGAGGAGAAGAAGGAGGATCGACCTCACTGGGAGAAGCCGCGACAAGGAGTAGTAATAACAATGTTGGTAGCAAAAATAATAGCGTGGGTGGGAATAAACGACTTCCTCCAAACATTCGCCACCGCGTGTTGTACTCGGAACCCGGGAGAAAATTGGTCACTTTGTGCCGGCAAATTCGCGCCGACGCGATTGCAGCCGGGGAGGACAAACCGCCACCGCGGACGCTCGTATTCGTAAAAGATACTCCAGCGGCGGAAATTGTCGCCGGTCCTCTGCGTAAAGCGTTATGGGGTGCACACACGCTCGTCACGCTCCTCCCAGAAGGTCGAGAAGCGCTCAGAGTTGTGGAAGATTTCGATAAAGGTAAAGCGTCGATTATGGTGTGCACGGCGCAGGTCAGTCGCGGTTTAGATCTCAGAAATGTCGCACACGTGTATTCGCTGGACGTACCAAACGCAAAAGAGTATGTTCATCGCGCGGGGAGATGCGGCCGGGTCGGTGCCGTCGATCCAGGCGTCGTCACGTCTATCGTTTCCGACGAGGAAAAAGAAAGCTACGAAAATGTCGTCGACGAGTTGCAAATCAAAAGCGAAGAGATTGAAACGATCGAAGTGGAGAAAATGGGTCGAGGTACAGACGACGAGGAGGAGGCGTTGTCACAGTTACAAAGACTACTGGACGATAACTTTTATCTCCTGGATACGAAACAGCTGAACATTGCTTCTTTGGAAAAAGCGCTCGCTATTGAACCCGAAGTGCTCGATTATGACAACGAAGACGAAGAGGATTAAGAAATAAAGTCACGTACAACACGAACGTGAATAGTAGAAGCGTAGATATGCCCAGCTTTTAAAGAAAAGCAATAATATGATAGTGTGCCATAATTTTGAGAACGATTTAGAGATTGTACCTTATCCGCACCCGCCTCCACCGCCCTTCGGTCGGCGATTCTCGTCTTCATAATCTCCTCTCGCCCATTTCTGGAAATTCTCAAACGCTTTCTTCGGTGCGTTTGGAATGGATTCAATCGCATCAAAAATCTCCAGCAAGTCCGAGTTCGGATCTTCCATGCCTTGTTTCGTAGGAATCCCGCGAATAGGCGCTAAACGTCGCCTCACCGCGTTCATCATCTCACCAACCAACTCTTTCTCGCACCGGCGAAGTCTGGACGCGTTTCGGATTTTCAACGAAACGTCGTCACGTTTTTGTAACAAAAGTTCATCCTCTTCGTTCGTATCGTACGCGCTCATGCGATCGCGACAATCAGCCATTAACAGTTGCAAAGTTTCGTATTCGTTCATAGGGCTTACAACTTTATCCTCAGTGAAGGACACCGCGAATAACTCTTCGCTGTTCGTCACGCGAGCGAACCGCAAATAGGACAAAAACTCCCTCGGCATGCGATCTTTGTACACGGGGAAGGTTTGGCCTTTATCCGCGAACCCTTGCGCCTCTAAAACGGACTTTTTAGCCGCGTATAAAGGATCATTCTCCGATAACTCTGTCGGCCAATACTCGTAATCGCCCGGGTGCTGATCATCCACGTCTCCAAAGGATAAATACAACTCCGAGTTATTTCTAACGCTGTGATCGATTTGCAGAATTTTACTCCCCGCGCTCGCCCTCGTGTTCGCACATAAAACCACCGAGGCTGAATCGACGTCGTAATCCGCGTATCCACACCTCACGGCAGTCAATCCAGTTTTAATATCTCTAATCTCGTAAAACCGGGCAAACGATGGGTCTTCGGGCGAGACCGGCGGCGGCGCCCCGCAAATTGGAATCGCATCCATCAAAGGTACCATCGCGTAACAGTTCGCGCTATTTAACCACTGCGCTCGCGCGCATACAATATCTAACGCATCGATAAAAGCACTTTCCGTCAAAAACGCGTACACATCCAACGGATATTTACCCGGATCTTCCGCAATCGCCGCTCTCAAAGCCTCGTACTCCTCCTTCGCCGAATCTCTTCTCTGCCTCGCCTCTTTATCAATCGACGTCCCTTTCAACAATTCTTTGAACTCCTCCTCAGTAAACCGCAAAACGCTGTTTGGATTCCCGTTCAAAGTCTTCAAATACGGCCACCACTCGCTCCCTTTCGCTTTCGCTTTCTCGCAGCACAACCACAACGCTAACTGCACCAACTCCGGCTTCTCTTCGATCAACGGCGCGACGATGGGATGTTCCTTCGCGTCCACCGCCGTCACGCAGTTATCCTGAGGAATGGACAAGATAACGTCCCCACCTTCCACGTTCTTAGAGAGCGTGAATTCTGCCATCTCCGTCGTCGTCGCCGTGCTCGTTTTATCCCCTCGATCGCCGTACGGGTTCCCCGACGCCGGTTGGATAGTAATAAACTCGCCAACCATTTTTGCGTTTCTCTCGTGTCTCAACCACGCGGCTAACTCTCTCGCGTCCTCGAGCGAGACCGAGGTTGTTTTCCCAGGAACGATCGGCTGGGACGGCACTTTTTGCGTCGCCACAGAAGCCGACGATGCTTCCGCGATGACGCTTCCGGATCTCTTTTTCCTCCTGTTCCTTCGATGATGATTTTGAGGAGAGGCTGAGGAAACGCTCGCAATCTTCCCCGCACGATTTTGACGCATCGTCCTCGTGCGGCTCATCTTCCTCGACGACGATGAAGCGCAGGACGCTTTCGAGGAAAACAGAGAGGAGGAGATCGCAGAGGACATGATGATGATGATGATGGTCTTTCTTCAATCGAAACTCTCTTGTGATGAATGTTTTTTTTTGACGTGTCGACGAGTGGTTTTCTGTCACTCGAGAAAAAGATCGAAAGAGGATTGAGAAAAAAATACGACAGACACTTGGGGAGGCAAAAAAAAAATCGAAATTCGAGGCACAACGAACAACAACAACAACAACGAAAGAGGGGGAGGGCGCGTACTACTGGAGAGACAATGTATATTCTTATTCGCGACGCAAAAACGAATACGTTTTCGGATTACAAAAATCTTTTTTAAATTGTTTTATAAAAAAAAAAACCTTCGGGAAAGCCTAGGGGAGGAAACGCGTAAACGCTTCCTCCCTTCACGAGCCAACCGTCATCAGGGGGTTTGTTCATATCTACATATGATGTTCACATCAACCAACCACATTTTTCTTTGATTTCTTCTAAGCAGCTTTTCTTTTCTCTAAAACGAGGCAAGAGAACCGTTTAGTAGAAGCCGAAGCCCTTGGCCGCGTTGGTCAAGACGTTCGCGTGAACCGGGTCCGCGGTGTGCGCAGTCCAGTTGGCGATCGGACCTTCTTGGGTCGCCAAGGCTTGGAAGATGCAGCCCAACCACGCGAACATGGACAATCTGCAGTGCTTCAATTCCTTGATCTTCAACTCTTCCAAGTCACCAGATTCGGCCAAGCCCAACGGGTCGAATCGACCACCCGGGGAGACGTCACCCGCGACGAGTCCGTCGTCAAACGGGTTGGCCGCCAAGCCAGTTCTGTACGCTTCGGCACCGCCAACCAAGATGGTTTCGATGATCAAAACGTTCCAGAAGGACGGGTAGCCAGAGCCTTCCGGCGCCAACGGGGCGACGGCGCCCGGGAACTTGTCCGCGACGGCGGTGCAGTCATCCGGGGTGCACAAGGTACCCGCGGTGAACCACGGGATGCCGGTGCCGTTCTCGGCGGCCCAGGCGCCAGTGACGCCCAATTGGGCCCATCTGCCGTGGATGATTTCACGCTCGGCGTTCTTTTCGTTGCCAAACGGGATGATCGGGGATTCGCCCCCGCCCGGGTAGGTACCGAATTCCGGGTAGATGTCAGCTTTGACAACCTTGGAGATGGACTTGGACTGTGATCATAAAGAAAGCATAAAGAAATCCACTCGTCAGTCACTCGTTCGATGATGATATATAAAAAGCAAATAATACAAGACAACGATACAAACGGCAGGTGTTTATCCTAAACACCAGGAACAAAATATTTCATCTCGTGAAAAATCTGCCTTTTTTCCTTCGAAAAATATCTCGAAATCAAGATAAACAAAATCTCCGATCTTTTCGAACGAAAAAGGAGCGAAACCAGTGGCAGAAAACCATCATCATCCAACGGGGATCGACTTTCTCTCTGTCTCTCTCGCGCGCGCGGAGGATCATCCTCCAACGAACGATGATCAACGCGCAAAGGGAAAAATCGAGCAAAGAAACATCCGCGTTCATCTAAACTTTGATGCGCTCTGGCTTTTTCTCCTCGCGAGAAGAAGAAGAAGAAGAAGAAGAAGAAGAAGAAGAAGAGAAGAAACGATTCTTCATCACTACGGCTCTTTTTTTTCTTGATTGCTTTCGCGGTAACAAAAAATCTCTCATCTTCTTCTTTCGAAATCAACCTTCACCGCGCGCGATGCGAAACGAAATTCACTCGTACCTGAACCTTGGTGGCCTTGAGGCCGGCGACGGACGCGATTTGTTGAGTAGCAGCAAACATGATGTTTATGTAGATGTGTTTTATTTAAAGTCGTAAAGACGTGTGCGAGTATGAGGATTTTTGTTTTCTTCTTTGCGCTTTCTTGAAAAACTTTTGCCTGGTCTGCTCGTTCAGATTTCACAAAACACACTCTTCTCTCTTTATCTCTTTTATAAACATCCTCCCCTTGAAAATAAGTCTCTCTTTTCTCCCTCTTTTTTCGAAAAAACTCAATTCTCCTCCCTCACGTTCCGTCCTCGCTTGGCCTCTTTTTGACCAAAACGGTGATACGAGAGATACAAATATTTGAAGCGCGAGAGAATATCGTCATTCACACACACAAAAACACATCTACTCTATAAACATAATGTTTGCTGCTACTCAACAAATCGCGTCCATCGCCGGCCTCAAGGCCACCAAGGTTCAGGTGCGTACGCTTTCTTCTTCTTCTTCTCAATACTCGTTCTCGGGAAAAGATCTCGTCGCTTTCGGGGCGCGCGCGCGCGTTTCTCTCTGAATTCACTTTTTGCGTATCCAACTTTAAAAGATACGAAAATTCACACGTGAGAAAAAAAGGGACCGTTCGGAGACGATGGAAACCTCTCTCGCGCGCGCGCGAGAGAGAAAGATCCGAGTCTGCGCGTATAGAATGAAGAACACCGCGCGCGCTTCTTCGTTCTTTTTGACGCAAAGCGCTTTTGCGCGATCATTCGATCGAGAAGATATTCTTTGATTGATTGATTGCGATGATGGCTGCTCCCACCAGAGCGCTCGAGAGAGAAAATCTTTTCAGAACGATCTCGCTTTTTTTTTCGATTTGCAACGAGTGGCTAAAAGAAGAGAGACTGACCTTTTTTTTCATTTATTACAGTCCAAGTCCATCTCCAAGGTTGTCAAAGCTGACATCTACCCGGAATTCGGTACCTACCCGGGCGGGGGCGAATCCCCGATCATCCCGTTTGGCAACGAAAAGAACGCCGAGCGTGAAATCATCCACGGCAGATGGGCCCAATTGGGCGTCACCGGCGCCTGGGCCGCCGAGAACGGCACGGGTATCCCGTGGTTCACCGCGGGTACCTTGTGCACCCCGGATGACTGCACCGCCGTCGCGGACAAGTTCCCGGGCGCCGTCGCCCCGTTGGCGCCGGAAGGCTCTGGCTACCCGTCCTTCTGGAACGTTTTGATCATCGAAACCGTCTTGGTTGGCGCTGCGGAAGCGTACAGAACTGGCTTGGCGGCCAACCCGTTTGACGACGGACTCGTCGCGGGTGACGTCTCCCCGGGTGGTCGATTCGACCCGTTGGGCTTGGCCGAATCTGGTGACTTGGAAGAGTTGAAGATCAAGGAATTGAAGCACTGCAGATTGTCCATGTTCGCGTGGTTGGGCTGCATCTTCCAAGCCTTGGCGACCCAAGAAGGTCCGATCGCCAACTGGACTGCGCACACCGCGGACCCGGTTCACGCGAACGTCTTGACCAACGCGGCCAAGGGCTTCGGCTTCTACTAAATTCTCTTCTCATCGCTCGTATATTCTGGATTTTCTCTAGATAGATACAATATATTAGTTCTTTTATAATACAAGAGAGAGAGAGGTTTAGAGCTTTTTTAAAAGCGCGCGCGTATCGATACGCGCGCAGCCGGGAAAAGGGAGACCCGAGGGAAGGAAGAGAAAGAAGTAAAAAACGTTACGTTTTGGTAAAATAGAGCTGTAATTCTTTTTAATCACGTCATTAGTGTACATATTCTCTGCCGCGAAATGCCTGCCTCTTGTGTTCACGTAACTCTCGCGTACTCCCTTTCTTCTCTTCTCTTTTTTGCGAGAGAGAGAGTGTTTGTTGTTGTGTGCGCACTCACACTGAGTGTCGAGACAATCTAAAATTAAAAAATCCAACCAAAATTTTCGAAAAGCCGCTCGAATTCGCCATTCACGCACACTTTTTGCATCTACTATTATAACATAATGTTTGCCGCTACTCAACAAATTGCCTCCATCGCTGGCCTCAAGGCCACCAAGGTTCAAGTATGTTCTCGTTATTCTTTGTTTTTATCGTTCGCGTTCGGTCGCACGATGCGCGGAATACATACGCGCGAGAAAAAAAAAAATCGCGTTTTCGCCTTTTGTGAGCGATATTTTCGATCGTTTGTTGATTTTTGCGCGATGATGATGATGCGTTCTCTCGCGCGATCCGCGATTGAATCGCACACTAATTGTGATCAAATTGAACACCGACGATGTTTAATCATCGGTATTGATGCTTTTACGCGCACATCATCGATCGCGTGGTGCCTCACTCGAAGACGACGCTTAAGCGCTTTCGCACAAAAATCCGGATGAGTTTCAGAGACTGATGTCAGATTTTTTTTGGATTTTTTGCATCTCTCTCGAACAAAATACTCACCAAAGTGAAAAACTCTCTTCTTTTACTACACGCAACAGTCCAAGTCCATCTCCAAGGTTGTCAAAGCTGACATCTACCCGGAATTCGGTACCTACCCGGGCGGGGGCGAATCCCCGATCATCCCGTTTGGCGACGAAAAGAACGCCGAGCGTGAAATCATCCACGGCAGATGGGCCCAATTGGGCGTCACCGGCGCCTGGGCCGCCGAGAACGGCACGGGTATCCCGTGGTTCACCGCGGGTACCTTGTGCACCCCGGATGACTGCACCGCCGTCGCGGACAAGTTCCCGGGCGCCGTCGCCCCGTTGGCGCCGGAAGGCTCTGGCTACCCGTCCTTCTGGAACGTTTTGATCATCGAAACCATCTTGGTTGGCGGTGCCGAAGCGTACAGAACTGGCTTGGCGGCCAACCCGTTTGACGACGGACTCGTCGCGGGTGACGTCTCCCCGGGTGGTCGATTCGACCCGTTGGGCTTGGCCGAATCTGGTGACTTGGAAGAGTTGAAGATCAAGGAATTGAAGCACTGCAGATTGTCCATGTTCGCGTGGTTGGGCTGCATCTTCCAAGCCTTGGCGACCCAAGAAGGTCCGATCGCCAACTGGACTGCGCACACCGCGGACCCGGTTCACGCGAACGTCTTGACCAACGCGGCCAAGGGCTTCGGCTTCTACTAAATTGCACGTCGTTTTTCTGTGCAATTAGAACGCAAAGATATTGAAATAATGAACATAATAATAATGAACATAATGAGGAACGGCTTTCATTTTTTGAAAAGTGTTTTATGTATGTAAAAAAGCTTTCTGGTTGAATGCGTGTTGTTACTATGATGATACAATGATTAAGAAGACACCAATGCGCTGTTTACCCGTTTGCAACTCACTTTTCTCGCTCTCTGGTTTTCGTTCTTGTACTCTCATCTTATTTCGTTCCTCCACTTTTTCTCGCCAGTCCATATGTTATATGAAATAAAACTACCCGATTCATCCTCGAGAGAAGAGGAAGGCGAAACCGTGCGCGCAAATAAAGGCTCGTATTTTTTTGTGATCTTATTATTGAATAAATATTAAAACTTTGTCGTTCTCGGCACGCGCGTTAATTCTTGATCTGCGTGTATGTAAACCTGGAATTTTCCATAGGTTTGGTATTAAGTCGTCGGTCACATAATATTATATTTTATCGTGCCGGTATTATAACTTGTTATTATCTTATTATTATTATCATAGTATTAGGAGAACCACGTCGTAGTATCGTTGGTTCTTTCTTCTTCTTGCTCTTTATTATAGAGTAATATAAAAGAGAATCCTTAAATATTATATTCAAGGATTACACTCCAACAACCTTCTTGCTTCCATCGTTGGAGCTGTCGAAATACGCCTCGTGGCCGTGGATGGAAACATCCAAACCTTTCGCGTACGTGTCGGCGTCGACGGCGACTTTCGAAAACTTATCGATGACTTTAATCAAAAGGTAGCCAATGACGAAAGAATACACGGCAATGCCACTTGCCGCCAACAATTGGATGAGAAATTGCTTGCCACTCGCGTCGACGTTACCGGATACTTTCTCCGTGGCAAAGATACCGACGCAGACGGTGCCCAAGAAACCGCCCATGCCGTGCACGGCCCAGACATCCAAAGCGTCGTCGAGTTTGTACCTCTTCGTGATCTCGATGCAAGCGTAGCAAAATGGCACGCACAAGAAGCCAATCAATAACGCAGACCATGGGTCGACAAAACCAGCCGCCGGGGTAATCGTAGCCAAACCGGCGATGGCTCCGACGCACGCGCCGATTAAAGTCGGCTTGCCTTCCAAAATCCATTCGAGCATCATCCACCCGAAGAGCGCCGCCGAGGCGGAGATTTCCGAGTTGATCGAGGCGTACGCGGCTTGGTTGTTCGCGCCAAGTGCGGATCCGCCGTTAAAGCCAAACCAACCGAACCAGAGCAAACCGGTCCCGAGCGCGACGAACGGAATGTTGTGCGGCTTATTCTCAACGCTCGCGTCCAAGTGGTGTCTCGACGGCAACGCGACAACCGTCGCCAGCGCGGAAAACCCCGCGGTCACGTGGATGACAATCCCACCCGCGAAATCCCAAACGCCTTGTTTCGCCATCCATCCGCCGCCCCAAATCCAATGGCAGACTGGAAAATACACCAAGTGCGCCCAGAGCGCGATGAAGACCATGTACGGTCCAAAGTTCACGCGATCGGCAAACGCGCCCGTCATCAGCGCCGGGGCAATCACCGCGAACATCCCTTGAAACCCGCAGAACACGAGTCCTGGAATTGAAGGTTGCGGGGAGTTATTGTTCGTGTTTTCTAGGAAATAGTGCGATTTCGGGTTGCCGATGAAATCGCCTTGGGATTCTCCGAAACATAACGAATACCTGTTTTTTCGAAGACGATAAAGAAGAAGAAGAAGAAGAAGAAGAAGAAGAAGAAAAATGTCAGCAACAGTCGTTTTCGCGTCGTTCGTCGCAACGCCATAATCACGAGGAGAAAGAAGCGACGCGTCGTCATCCTCGCAAGAAAGAAGGAGAAAAGAGAGCAGAAAAACATACCCCCATGCCGTCCAAATTATGGTCATCAATCCCATGCTGGCGTAGTTTTGCGCCATGATGGATAACACGTTCGAGGAACGAACTAAGCCTCCGTAAAAGAACGCCAGGCCTGGGGTCATGAGGTTCACGAGTGCCATGCAGATGAGCATGTACGCGGTATCGCCGTTAATAAGTGTTTCGGACATATTTTATTTTGAAATGCGGCGGAAAAGATTTGAGGAAAAAAGCAACCAAAATATCTTTTGTATTCTCGTTTTACAAAAAGAAGTGAAAAAAAGGTAGTTTTTCTCTCCGTGGGACAAACAAAGAAAGTGTCCGTCTGTCCGTTTTTGCCTCAAATCTCGGGTTTTTCCCAGAGAGAAACAAAGAACGCTTTTTATGATTGCTTAAAGAAGCAAAGAGAAGGAGAACAAAAAGATGTCGTTCAGAGAGGAGTAGGAGTCGTTTGTCGTCGGGTGGTGGTGGTGGTGGTGCGCTCGAACGACGTGTTGGTGTTGGTGTTGTTGTAAAGCGAGATTAATTTCTTTTAGGAGAGGAAAAGAAATGCCATCTTCTTCTTCTTCTTCGTACGAGAACGACGCGATGCTATACGTGCTCAAAGAAACCCCGTCGACGTTTGAAACGTTAGCGCGAGATTTCCCGGAGCACTGCCTGTTAGTGGTCGCCGGCGGGTCGTGCTTGTTCGTGCACGTGTTTTCGAGAGTGTTGATGAATAGTAGGAGTAGCAGCGGCGGGAGGAAAAGAGAGGAACACCAATCCTCGACGACGAAGGAGTTTTTATCTCCAGTCAGAGGAGGAGGGAGTAACGACCTCGCGACGACGATTGAAGAAAAGCGGTTCTCGCGTTTACGAACGAGGTACAACATCGTGTACGTTTTCGCGACGTTTGGAGATTGGATTCAAGGCGCGTATTTATACGCGTTGTATCGCGAACACGGGTTTACGATGCAATCGATTGGTTTCATTTTTGTGCTCGGGTACGCGTCTTCTGCGTTTCTGGGAACGATTGTAGCCTCGTTAGGAGATAGGTACGGGCATAAAGTAAATTGCGTTTTGTATGGTTTCGCATACGCGTTCGTGTGTGTGGTGAGCAGCCGAAGATCGGACGTGTTTTCGTTGTATTTCGCGAGAGTTTTAGGCGGGATTTGTTATTCTTTGTTGTTTAGTTCGTTCGAGGCTTGGGCGATCGCGGAGTGCGATCGGAAGAAGATTCACAGGAGGAATTTAGCGAGGTTATTCGCATCGGCGACGTTTTTTAACGCGCTATCGGCGGTAGTGGCCGGGATTATCGGGAATGCCGTCGTGGATACGTTTTCCAGGAAGAACGGATATTACACCGGGAGTCAATCGAGGACGTTGCCGAGGTTACAGACAGCCGATGAAGCGCGAGTGGAAAGACCGTTACCGGAGTTAAGGATTAAAACGTCTCTGTTTGTCACCGAGAAAGAACCAAACGAGTTCGCCCCGGCGTTTGATGTCGCCGCCGGGGCGCTGTTTTTGTGCGGTTGTTTATGCGCTTCGCTCTGGGTGAATAACAAAACGAAAGTGAATCGAGAAGACGAGGAGAACGATGAAGGCGACGAAAACGCGTCGTTCGAGGAAGATGGAGAGGAAGAAGATCAAGACAGAGAGGACGAAGAGGATGCCACAAAGATGCCTCCACGAGGAAGAACTTTACGAAAAACAAGAAGAAAAAGGAGAGGCGGCATACTCGAATCGTTCAAAATCGTCGCCACGCGTCCAGAACTATTATCGCTCGGTACCACGAATTCGCTCTACGAGGCTGCGTTGCACGTGTTTGTTTTCATTTGGACGCCGGCGTTGGAAAAGAGAAAAGATGCCGATCAAACGGTCTCCGGGTTTGTCCCCCACGGCGTCGTCTTTTCGCTCTTTATGACGTGCAAAATGCTCGGATCGATGACGTATTCTATCCTATCTTCCGTGCAAAGGAAACGCCCCTACGTCAGTGGTAGTGGTGATAATAGTAATAATACGAGCATCGCGCAGACTAGGAAAAGTTTGCGATACGTTTTCCTCGCGGCTGCGATATCTTTCTTCTGGACGGTGGTTTTTAAAGAGAGTTATTTCGTCGCCTTGTTTGCGTTTTGCGCGTTTGAGTTTGGTTTAGGCGTGTATTGGCCCGCCATGGCGGTTTTACGCGGTGAATTAGTTCCAAACAATTTGAGAGCATCGGTGACGAGCGTGTTCAGAGTTCCTTTGAACGTCTTAGTTGTAATGTTATTGACGGCGGCGGGTAGAGCGAGCGAACGTGCGCTCTTGTTATGTTGCGCGGCGATGATGTCCTTTTGTTTTATTCTCAGCGTCAACGAAGGCTAGAAGAGATGTATTAGATAATTAGACGTAATAATATAGTTTGTAGAAAAGCTTTATAGAATTAACGCGCGCGTTGTTATGACGATGAATACATAGTGAATTTTTATATGAAGATTATTAATAAGTTCTTGTGATACAGGAGCAAACTCGTTTTAGTGTTCGCCGTCGGAATCCGTCATGTGTTCTTTCGAAAAGCTTCTCTTCATCGTACTATCCTTCCCTCTTGGAATCGGCACTTTCGCGCCCATCTCTACCATATTAATGTACTGCTTGTTCGTCACCGCAAACGCCGACCCGCGAATCTTCCCTTGTTTATGCAACTCCAACTCGTCGTCCACGAATCGAATGTCCAACGTTCTTTGGTGCGTGTACAACCCGGCATCTTGCATAGGCAAAACCCACGCGACTTCGTCGCTTTCGTTGTGGTGAGAATGCCACCATCCCGGTGGGGTGATAAAAACACCACCTGGAATCCAATCGCACCGAATTGGGTCGATAATATCCCCTTTGTCGTCAATTTCTTTACCCATCAACGTGTACACGCCCGGTTTCGCCGCGACGGCTAAATCCAAAGCGACCGAGTTGTGTCTGTGCGGTCTTTGCACATTTCTCGCAGGAATCGAGTTCAAAAGCGACCACAACACGTGCGTCAACGTCTTCGTCTGCTCGCATTTCGCGTTCCCAAGCAAAACCCCGAGTCGGTTGTTCGATTTCGTCGTAGAGTGCGAAATCTCCTCCACTTGCGCCAACATGTCGTCTCTCTTATACAACGTCGGCTTGAACTTATTCGCCCTCTTATTCGGCGTGACCCCCAAATAATCCATCAGCGGTTCGTCGTGTACCCAATATAACGCCGCACCACCTTTCTCCGCCTTCACGCATTCGTGCAACATCTCCTGCTCGCACACCGGCACGACGAACAAATCTCCCGTGTCCCAGTTTATCGTCCCGTGTTCGCTCGTCGTGCACCCGCTCCCGCGAATGACATAAAACGCTTGACTCGTCGCGTTCGCCGTCGTCTCCAAATTCTCCCCTTCGCAGATGCGAATAAACGACGCCATCAGATTCGGCGACGTGCACTGCTTGTCGATTTCCAAAAAATCGTCGATATCGAACGGAATAATGCGCGTCTCGCCTCGTTCGTGCCAATCTGGCGGGTGCACCAACACTGGAATCGGTTTCATGTCTGGATTCGCGGCAGAGCCGTACTCGTAAATCCTCGCGTCTTTTCTCCACTGCTTCTCGAAAAAGTCGCGCTTGAACTGCACCTCCGTGTTTTCGCCGCCTTCGTTGTTCTTCTTTTTCGCACCATCGGCACCACCACCAGCACCACCATCATCGTCATCTTTTACGAGAGGCACCTTCCCGGGGACCGATGACGATTCTCGCTTTTGCTTCTTCTTCCCTTGAGAGGAAGGCGTTGGCGTTAAAGACTTTTCCAACGTCTGAATAGCTTCGTTCGGTTCGTCATCTTTCGCTGAAACTGTCATCTTAATGCTATCTTTAATAGTAATAAAGCGAAGCAACAGAAGAACAACAGGTAACAAAAAGCGTGTGTCGTTTCGGTTTTTTTTTGAAGCGCGAAATGGTATTTTTGTGGTCGAGACACGTCGAAAGGTACGTTGCGATGATAAAAGCTACGTTAGAATTAGAACAAAATGATGCATTACAAAGAAGTACACACTCTCGTCGTTTTCTCTCTCTCTCTCTCTCTTACTGGGGCTACATAAACTATCTGCGATATAATACGGGCTAAAAATTCGGACATGCGTATTCTTCTTAATACGCTCTGGCCAAGATGATGCCTTCGAATTTCTGCTGAAACCACTTCATCGCGTCTGTTTTCGTCAACTTGTGCGACTTGCCAACTTTCTTTTGGCACTTTCTGCGTCGGCTGACGCGAAACCCGGGTCGTTCTAAAACGACGAAGAAGTCCATGCCGTAAATCCCAGTGGACGGGTCGTATTTAATGCCTAAATCGATGTGCTCTTGAATGCCGAAACCAAAGTTCCCGGTCGAGCTAAAGTTTTTCTTCAAGAGTTCAAACTCCTTCACCTTCAATCCAGACTCCAAGATTTGCAAAGCTTTGTCTCTGTTGCCGACGGTCACGTGGCAGGCGATTTTTTCGTTACGACGAATACCGAACGTGCGGACGGTGTATCTTGCTTTGGAGAAGACCGGTTGCTGACCGGTGAGTTGCTCGAGCACTTTCGCCGCTTTGGTGAGACGATCGCCTGATTCCCCGACGGAGATGTTCAGGATGAGCTTGTGGATGCGGATATCTTTCATCGGGTTCGACTGCACGAGAAATGCGCGATTGAAATGAGAGAAACGGTAAAGTCAGTGAAGTTTCGAGAGAATCGAGGTCGCGCGAGAGTAAACTCGCGCGATTTCCGACGTTTGCGCTTAAAACTCGTTCTTCGTGGGAGAGAGGGCTTTTTCTTCGCCCAAAAATTTGCAGAAAAACCGCAACGCGTTAAAAAAAAACGACGCGTATCTCGCGCGCGCGAAAAACGACCGGCCTTAAAGAGGGCACTTTCGAGCGCGACTCGTATTCCTTTTCCTCTTCTTCTCGAGAACAGAGAGAGAGAGAATGTGCGAAAAGAGAGAGACGAAACGTACCATGGTGACAGAAGTGTAATTTCTTGCGTCTTAGAGTGAGGGGCAGACGCAAAGAAAAGAGCAAGAGAGAGAAGAGAAAAAAAACAAAAAAAACTTGATTTACGAAAACGAGTGAAAAAAAGCAAAAACACCACGAAGCGAACTTGAATCCACGTGGAAAAAAAAGAAAGGAGAACAAACGAAGGGAATTGAATTCCCTCACTTTTCAAACACACTTAAGCTTCACGCTTTACACACACACACACAACAAAAAAACACTTTAAATCATGTCCCAATCTATGCAAGCTACTGGCAGAGTGCGTTTTTCTTTTCGTTTTCTTTTCGCTTCGCATCGTGACACTGACTGGAACGCGACGCGCGAATTTTGTTCTTGGAAAAAATGGGTATAATTATTGCTGCGTGTGTCGGCGATGATTGCATCAAAATCGATCGATTCAAAAAAAAGAGAAATCTTAACCCGCACTCGACGACGTTATATCTTTCAAAACGCGTTCAAAAACGATCGAAACGCATTCCTCGAAGTGTTTTTCGCACGTTTCGCATGGATTTACTCGGAATACGATTTCGCGCGACGCAATACGCGCGCGGAAAAGACGGGATCGTTCGCAAGCGTCGTTTTTTTGTTTTTCGAGAATGCAATCCTCGTCAGCATTTGGAGGCACGTTTGGACACGTTTTTTCAAAAAAAAGAAAAAAAGAACTGACCCCTTTACCTCCTCTTTCTCTCACACAAAAAATATTATCTATGACTCATAACAACAACAGGTTGTCCTCAGAGGTAACGGCGCGATCGCCGAGGAGGAATTAAACATCAACGTCTCCCAAGACATCTGCAACGGTTCCGGTCGAGTTTCTTTGAACTTGACCCCGGGGTGGATGCCGCGCGCCAACTTGGACAAGAACTTCGACAACAACTGCTCGCCGGCGGATTTGGCGTCGCAAGCGTCCAACGTCGCGAGCGACTGGGAAGTTTCCGTCTCTAAAGACGTGACCATCTTGGATCAAGCGATGAAGGTTGTCGCGGACTTGCCGTTGAACAAGAAGGCGGCGAGAGTTGCGGTGACGACGAACGTCGACAAGCTCGGCGACGTTACCTTGAACTTGGTCCAAAGAGGCAACACGAACCACTTGAGAGACAACCAAGCGGTCAACTCGAACGTCTGCTCGGTCGCTTTTGCGTTGCCGTTGAAGGAAGTCATCGATAACGACTCCATCTCTGCGGATGTTTCGTACGACGTCTTGTCCAACGACGCCAAGGTGAGAGCGTACTACAACAACGGCGACGTGAACGTCAAGTTGCAATCGGTGTACAACACCAAGAGCAACTCCGCCAACTCCATGGCGGTGTTGACGTACACCACGGACGACATCAAGGCGTCCGTCTCCGCCGATCCGGACATGAACGGTGAACTTCGCGTGTCCAAGGACAGATATTCCGTTCGATGCCCGTACAACAAGTCTGGCGTCAACACCGACGACATCCAACTCCGCGTCGACTGGTCGCAAGACTTGTAAACTTTTCGACGTCGTCGTCAAGTACTCTTCCCTAATAATCGAGTGTATGTAGTCGAGAGAGAGGAGACTGAAAAACCAGCGAGAGAGATACTCACGCGAGAGTGATAATAAATTTGTTGTATATAGGAATATCATTGATAAAAAATCGTAAATAATACCAAAACCACTCTAAAGCGCTTCTTTCTTGCTTCACTTTCGCACACATGTCTTTCTCGCACAACGGCATCTCCCTCCGCGCGTTAACTCGAAACTGCGAACCGAAAAGACAACTACAAAAACGACGAGAAAACAACGTCGCACTTTCACCTCTCGCGTTAGCTTTATCTCGAACAAACGCACTCGTCTACGGCGCCCCGCATTGTCTCAAATGCAGAGCCGCGAAAGCGTTGCTCCATTTTCTCTTCGGCAACTCTGAATGGCAGTCGCACCACGTGGACGTTTCGTTGGCGAAAAATTGCCTCCAATCTGTTGGAGTTAAAACAGTTCCCACGTGGGAAATCAACGGGAAAAGGTTCGGCGGGATTTTTGACGCGAATCGAGCGAGCGTGACGACGGGGGCGCACGTCGGGGAACTCGTCGGATGGACCGTTTTGCAAAGGAAAGTTGGCTCGGAAAGAGAAGCGGAGAAGATGGTATTCGACGCGAGGAGGAGGAATACGAATACGAATAGCAGTACTAGCAGTAATAGCGACGAGAATAGCAGTAACAACAGTAAGAAAGGCGTAGACGTGACTTATTTGGGCGGGGCGAGTTTAGGCGACGTCGCGAGAGGGGCGTGGAAAACCCCCGGGAGGCGAAGAACGCGCACGCGAACGCGACGACGAAGCGGATGGTGTAAACGGGTCGCCGTACGTTTAGCCATGCGAGGCGAGGGGAAGTTTTGGTGCGAGTTCGGGGAGTTAAGAAGCGAAAAGAGCGAGAAAAGAGCGAGGAATGCACACAACGTCGCTTTAGAGCCGATGTGACGACAAACGTAACTATTAGAGATTTTTTAAAGAATACAGGTATAAAATAGTATGTATACACAACGCGAGCGCGGTGGGGGTTTAACGACCTCGCATCAAATCCGCCATATCCAACAAATCCATCTCCTTATCCCCTTCCCACGGTACCACCCCTTTCACTTCCGGCACGTAATGCATCAACATATTCTCAATCCCGCTCTTCAAAGTCACCGTCGAACTCGGACACCCGTCGCAGGCGCCTCTTAACTCCACGTACACCAACCCGTCCTGCTCGTCGAACTTCTTAAACGCGATATCCCCGCCATCCTCCGCCACGGCTGGTTTAATCCTCGTTTCCAACAACTCTTTAATCATCGCCACCGTTTCCGAGTCCGTATCTAAAATCCTATTCGGATCGTCCGCCTCTTCGACCTCCCCGTTTTCCTCTTTCACCACCGGCTCGCCGCTCGCGTAAAAGTCCATGATCTTCGCGAACACTTCCGGCTTTAACATCTCCCAATCGAACGCCTCTGATTTGGTCACCGTCACAAAATCTGCGCCGAAAAATACCCCGGTCACGCCGTCGATGGTGAATAGAGATTTCGCGAGTGGTGATCGCATGGATTCCCGCGCGGACGAAAAGTTCATCGAAGAAGAGTCTTCCAGGACCGGTTTCCCAGGCAGAAACATCAGAGAGGAGGGATTGGGCGTCGATTGCGTTTGGATGAATATCGACCGTTTTTGTTGCATTTGTTGTCCTAAAAACCGATGATGCGTGCGATGATGACGATGATGCATGCGATGCGCTTCTCTCGCCGCCGCAGCCGCAGTCGTCGTCGTAAACATTTTTCCAGACGATGACGACGACGACGACGATTTGACGCCGAAACGCCCCCCTCGTTCTTCCCGTGAAGAAGAAGAAGACAAAGAGGACAAAGAAATCGCTCGACGACACGCGGTCGAAAAGCTCAAAGAGGAGGATAAAGAGGATCTCCTCCCGAAGAGAGAGGCTTTCGCGAGTTTTCGAGAGATGAACATCTTCTGTGTGGTATCGCAAAGCGTGTTGTTCTCTCTTGCGTTTGTGGTTTTACGACTGAGGGAAAAATTCGATTCTCTTCTTGAGAAGTTTTAAAGAACGCTTACGAGTTTCGCGCGCTCGCGGGGCACACACACACTCGAGAGAGAAAGAAGAGGTACACAAATGAATCCAGAGGAGGAGGATACAGAGGAGGAGGATGATTACGAACCGGCGTTCGTGGACGCTTCGGCGGCGGACGTCACCGTGCACTTGGACCTGAACGAAACCGACGAACCACCTCCTCCTGATGATGATGATGATGATTTAGACGAGGAGGAGGAGGAAGATTTGGAAGAAGAAGACGGCGTGATGATGGAAGAAGACGTTGCGGTCGAAGACCGAGACGCCGCCGACGAGAGCGTGTTGCGCCCGGAAAAAGACGAGTGCGAGATGAAGATGGAAGAGAGGAAAGGGTCGATTTTTGCCGTCGCGTGGGCGACGACGACGAAGAGAGATGATGGGGAGGGTGGGTCTGTTGAGCGAGAGGTGATGTGCGCGGGAGGTTCGGACGATCGGGCGGTGTTGACGAGTACGAGCGGCGGCGGCGGGGTAACGACGACGACGTTGGAGAATACCGGGAAGGATAGCGTTTCGGCGGTGAAGTTTTCGAGGCATAGTAATGGTAGTAATAATAGTGAGGTACTTCTGGCTACGGCAAATTTAGACGGCACGGTTTCCGTGCACGACGCCGACGGGCGGTATTTGAGGCAACTCGAAGGTCCGGAAACCGGCGTCGAGTGGTTGGAGTGGCACCCGAACGGGCCGATTGTTTTAGCCGGGTGCGAGGATTTTTGCGCGTGGATGTGGAACGCGAGCGATGGAAATTTGATGCAAGTGTTCGCGGGACATTCAGGGTCGGTTTCGTGCGGCCAGTTTTCGAAAGACGGGAAGGTTGTGTTCACGGGATCGTTCGACGGTAGTTTTCGCGCCTGGAATCCGAGAAGCGGGATGGCTATCGCCGCGTTCCAAAAAGGAGGGTTGTTTCACGACGGACCGGTGACGTGCATGGACTCTAAAGTAGACGATAATGGTAATTATTTAGTGTTGACTGGATCCGAAGATTGCACGTTGAAACTTTCGACGGTACACGCAAACGCGGCGGACGTCGGCGCCGGAGGAAGTAAAGTTTTGGGCAACTTTTTCGCGCACGAAAAGTGCATCGAGTGTGTGGAATTTTGCGACGGAACGGTTGGGAATTACGCGGCGAGTGGAAGCGTGGATGCGACGATTCGTGTCTGGGATTTACCGACGCAAAAAGTGCGCGGCGTGCTCGGACACGGGAAAGCCGTGAGTCAGTTGAAATGGGTGCCAAACTCGGCGATGTTATACAGGTGCGCGCGTTTTCGTTTCTCAAAAGTAGTTTGCGCGCTTGCATCTTTTTTTTCTTCTTCTTCTAAACTCCTCTCTCGTTTCTTTCTGTTTGCAACAAAAGGGCCCGGCGCGACGAGCTGATTGATACCCAGCTCTGTGTTTCATCGGGTGGACATGTTCTGTTTGCTACATCAAAAGTATACATTCGGAGGCTATCGGAGGTTCCAACTTTTTTCCGTGTTGATAACCTGTGAGCAACCTCCGAGACATTTTTTACGTCACATTACGCGTATTTTTATCTCGCCGCCGCCGCATATTTTGACACTGACTGCAAAATGTTTCTCTATTCTTTCCATTCTTCGCGCAACAGCACGTCTATTGACGGCATCGTGAGACTTTGGGACGCGCGTACTTCTCAGTGCGTCCGCGAACAGCAAGGCCACACCAAAGCCATATTAGATTTTGCGCTCTCCCCGGATTACGCGCGCGTGCTCACCGCCTCCGACGATGGCACTTCGCGCGTCTTCAACTTTCAATAAGAATAGTACTGTAATAAAGACAACACCGATGACAGCGAGCAGAACAACCGCAACCGCAACATCTCTCTCACGGCCCTCGTTCGACGAACCTCAACGTCTCCAACGCTTTCGCCAACACCTCTCTCTCTCCCGCGCTCTCCTCTACACCAACCTGCGCTCTCACGCATTCCACGAAACTCTCGAACCCTTTCTCTTCGTCTTCAAATTCCGCGTTTACCAATCGTTTCGCGACGTTTTCGTTCCACCCGTTTGGGTCGCCGGTTTCGTGTCCTTCTCGTTGCATCAACAGCGCTAACACGAGTTTCAACTCCTCTCGGTCGTGCCGGTCTCGAATCGTAAAGTGTTCCAGGAACAACGCTCTCGCCTGCTCGACGTAAAACTTCGTTCGGCAAACTTTCGCGCACTCGTGCGCCGTGCCAACGGGAGATCCCCAGTTCCATCTCGCTTTCGCTCGCCACGTTTCCTCGTTCGGAATGTATTCGAATTTCGCGTATCTCGTCTCCTCTTCGTCTCCGCCCGTCATGTCGTCCAACGCGGAATACAACGGGTTTTCGTCCTGATTATTCGAAGACGTTCTCGTCGTTCTGCTCCTTAGCCTCTTTTTGCTGCTAGTGCTGGTGGTGGTGTGCGTGATGCGTGCAAGACTCGATGATATGCGCATGTGTGTGAGACTCTTGTGCTGCCGATTGGATTTCCCCCAGAAGTTTCCTCATCCACTATGACACCATTAATCCCGCGTTTGTTATTCAAAAGCCCCCCGTTGAGCCGCTAACATAAAAAAGGACCTCGCGCTTTGCGAGAGTATTCCGTGTTTTTTCGTATTGAAATGAGAAAAAAGAAGAAGGCGAGAGTGATAAACGCGCACGTGCGCTTGCGCCAACGCGAAACGAACAAATTGAACAACACGAATCAGGTTTACGCGCAAATCCCGATTCGATTGCAAGCGCCCATCGAACGGATCGTCGACCGAGAGAGAAAGCTTTTAAAAGTCGTCGTGCTCGGTTTTACCGCGAACGGGAACCATCTCGTCGCGCACGACTCTCGAGGAGGCCCGAGTGGGTTGGACCACTCGATACAGTTTTGGACGTTTGACGTGCACGGAAAACGAGCGTCGAAGTTGGTGAGAGAAGTTCCCGTCTTGCGCGAACGGGATGGAAGTTCCATGCAAGAGGTGAAGAACGCGCGAGCGGTGGCGGTGTCGTTCGCGCAAAGTCCGTGCGAAGAGGTGTTCTTTTGCAACTTTCAACTGCTGAGGAAAAGAGAAGATAGCGGGGAAGAGACGAGACCAGAGCAGAGCGCGTATTTTTGCTTCTTTCCGAACCCGATGAGGATGAGAAACGAGTCAAACGAGATCGACGTAGACGACGCGTTTCCGAGAAAGATTTTCGAAGAGGACGTCTCGATGACGGCAGAAGCGGCGAGGGTGTTGGTGAAAGGAGAGCAGTACGTGTCGAGCGCGATCGTTCCGTACGGAGGCTCGATTTGGAGCGGGATGGTGAGAGGCGAATCTTCGCCGGCGTCAAAGTCGATTCCCGGGAGATATTCAATGTTTTTAAATCTCGGCGACGGAGTTTTAGAGGCGATATACCAGCCGTTGGCGAATCTGAAGAGACCAGATCGAGCGTCGAGCGATTTGTTTGTGACAAAATTTGACGCGAGAAGAGACGTGTTCAACGTCGCCGCGAATAAGTTCGAGATGCTCAGCGAGATTGAAAACGCGAGGTTTCAATGCAGAGATTACGAGTTGATGCCGCTGAAAACAGTCGGTAAAACGTTAGCGGCGAGAATGCATTGCGTCATGGAAAATGTACAGACGATGAAGACGCGGATGATTGTGATTACGTTTGCGATTGAAGCATCCTCTCCCCACGGCTTTAACTTACCGGGCGTGGACATTGTAGACGTCTCCGAAACGAACGTACCTTTGTCGATGCCTGCGACGATGAGTGGAAAACAAGGAAGCGTGCAATCCGTCCGGGAACGTTTGCGAACCTATAAACTCCTTTTGGACGCCGCGCAAAGCGAGGCCATCGAACTGAGAAAATCGAGCGGTTTGAGCAGAATGAAGTGCAATCGAAGGTATCGCAACTCATCAGAAGGCGATAACGCGAATTTAGTGTACAAAAAATCATCTCTGAACCTCATCGTACACGATACGTTACCGTTGTGTCTCGTCGGCTACGGGGTTGTCTTTTCCGAGAGGAAGAATTTAATGCCGAATAGAAATCAGAGGATGTATCCTCAGCCGTAAACAAGTACTTACTTGTGATGAGAATAGAAATTGCTAGGCGCTGTAATATACTACTACCGTGTACTATTAACTAAAATATGCTACTTCTTACTCATCGACGACCAACTTTGGAATCCACAAACGAACGATACCTTCCACTTGTTGGACTTTGTTTACGTTCGGTTTAATATTTCCGCTTCTTCTCCGGCGATTATCGTCTCGGTCGTTCTCCTCCATCGACGCTCCTCCTCGGCCACCAGCATTACCCCTCTCTTCCTCTTCCATACGTGATGCCTTCGCGTCCAAATCTTCGTCTAAATTCAAAGCCTCTCTCTTTCGTTTATTTAAATCTTCCTGATCTCCCGCGTAGGCCAACGCGTGCGTCTTCGGATGCCACGCCAGCGCGTTCATCGGCGCTCGGACAAATATAGGTTCACACACCCTCTTCGAACTCACTGGATCGCAGATATCTATAAAATCATCTTCCGACGCGCTCGCTAAGAAATTCCCGTCGTGACTAAACGCTACCGTTCTCACCGGCGTCTCGTGTCTCGCCACCGTTCGCAAACACATGTATCCAACCGGAATATTCCAAATCGATACCAACGAATCCGCGCTACCAATCGCAAAGTGCGTCTTCTTCTCGCTCGGATCGAACGCTATCGTGTAACACCCACCAGTATGCGCGACAAATTCGTGCACGTTCTTAATCGTGTGCTTCGTCTCGTCCCATACGTTACACTGCACCTTTCCGTCTCCGGTCAAAACGAAAAACTTCTCCGACTCCTTCTCTCGATCCCACGCGAACTCGTTCACTTCCGTCTCCTTGAACACTTTCCGACTGATTGGTTTTCGATGTCTCACCTCCACTTCTTTCCCAGATGCGGTTTTCACCGCTCTCATCGTCGTGCAATCGATAAATGTCAACGTATCGTTCTTATCCCCGACGCACACCGTCTTCCCGTTTGGCGACCACGCGACGTTGATATTCTCGCCGTGCGTCGGTATCGATTGCACTTCTTTCTTCTGCCGAACGTCCCAAAATTTCACCGTCTTATCCGAGGACACCGACACGAGCTCGTCTGTGTGTACGGGACTAAACCGGAGTTGCTCCACCGAATCTCGATGGCCAAGCAAGCGTCCGTTTGGAATGTTGTTGTTGTTGTTCGTAGTAGGAGTACTCCGACTCCGACTCGCGTTGTTGGTGTTCCCACCACCACTTAACGCCCTCTCCGCGTCCCACACGCGTATCGTTTGGTCCACGCTCCCGGACGCTAAATACTCTCCGCTTAAATTAAAATCCAGCGAGTTTACTTTCCGTTCGTGCGCTAAGAGCTCGACCGTTCTCTGTTTGATTGTTTACACGTCAAAAGTGTGTGTGAGTACAATTGAATTCGCGATTGGAAATGTGTAAGCGGGGTTGTTGAATGAGATGACGACGACGACGTAAACGACGAGGACAAAAGAGAGACGAAAGAGAAAAAGAGAGGAGGAAAAACAAAACGCACTGCGTCTTCGAGTCGTCGTCGCTTTGGCGACTTTGATGTCATTTTCGCGAAAAGGAAGGATGTTTTGGGCGGTACTTATTACGCGCGTACAGTGTACGAGTCTCTCGTGTGACGCATTTCTCAATTAAGTTTCCAATTCACAACCCAGCGCTCCCCCCGCCGTATTTATCCACCAACTCCTTCGCCGCTCTCAAGGCGACGTCTCCGTCCTCGCTCGTCATCAGTTTCGTCGTGTACACTTTTTCGATCAAACCGCTCGATTTTACGATTTGCTCGAACGTGTGCACGTCGTGGTTCTTCGGGAAGGAATAGATTACGATTCCGTCGTATTCCCCCGTGGTGGCTTTGTAATACGATTTCATCGTGCCGCCGATTTGGGCGAGCATTTTCGCGCACTCTTTCTCTCCGGATGCGCTTTTACTGTTAGTGCTCGATTCCATCATTTGTTTCTTGATGAACTCGGAGTTGTATAAAAATTGCGACATGAATATCGGGTCCGAAGGCGCGAACAGTTGGTTGTGTTTCGATTTGTTCGGCGCGAACGCGAGCTCCTCGGCTTCCGCCCCGAGAGGGTCGTTCGTTTGACGTAAAAGGTTTCCTGCGCTCACTCCGTTAATTTTGGTGGTGACGAATGAACGAGAGTATGAACAACAGCTAAGAGGAGAGGAAGAGGAGGAGGACAAGGCTCTGCGAGCGAACGAGGCGAACATGGTGTGCGCGTACAAAGAGAGATAAAATGAAGAAAGTGCGGCACAAATTCACCCCCAAAACGGCTTCAATTCGTATCATCATTCACACACAAAAAAGAGACCCCACGCGCGTATAGTATCACGTAAACAAGAAAAGATGGGACTCACGACCATGGACACACTCTGGTGGGGTTCCGTGTTCGTCTTCGGCGGCGGGTGCGTGGCCGCGGTGAGAACGGGAGCGAGCAAAGATTCCGCCTACGGGAAATGGAAACAAAAAAGGGAGGAAAAGGAAGCGCTGAAAGCGTTGGAGGAGAAGAAGAAGAAGAAGGGCGGGAAGAAATAGAGAGAGAAGAAAGAGAGAGAGTGTGTGTCGTCTCGATGATGCGCTCTCGTCTCTCGAAAGAAAAAGACGAAGAAGAAGAACTTTCAAGCGGTGATGATGTTTTTAGAAAATGTTGGATAACCTCCTTAAACTCCTCCTCCTCCTCCTGATGAGCGTTTGCGCGTTTATTATATTATGTGATACGAAACGCGAGTACACACATCCTTTGATATTTACACGCGTCGCACGATAAAACCTAGGGTTATCTCTCTCTCTCTCTCTTTCTTTCTCTTGCTAACGCGAAAGCTCTTTAATATAGTATTTCGCGAAAATACATAAGTCGTCGGTTTCTAATGTTGTTCTTATTGGTAGGAAGCAAGCGCTCGGCAAGAGTTTGATTCTTCGGCGCCGCTCTCCTTCTCTCTCTCTCTTTCTCTCTAATTAAGTCTTTCTTCTTACATTGTCAATTCCATGATTGCGCTCACGATATCCCCATCGCTCGCTTTCAACGCCGCCGCTGCTTTCCCTTTGCTCACGTTCGCCTGCGTCGCGACTAAATCGACATCCTTCTCTTCCAAACCCTCCATGTCGACTTCGCCTTCGTCGACTTCCTCCGTAATCGAGGTAATCTTCGCCGCCCCTGGCGCCCCACCAGCCCCTGCTGCCGCAGCCGCGGCACCATTTGCCGCCTCGGCTTGAAACGCTTTCGCTTGCGCGGCCGCTTTTGCCGCCATGTCTTCCGCTTTCGCTTCGCCAAAGACGACGTACGTGTCCGAATTCGGCGCCTTGAAGCAATCCGGGTTCGAGATGACGTACAACAAGTTTCGGCCTCGTCGTAAGGTGACTCTGTCCACGTTTTCAACTTTTTCCATGCCTAACTTGGACATCGCTTTTCTCGCTTTCTTTTCCGCTCGCGAGATGGAACCTGTGTTATATATTTGGAGAGGAGTAGTAAAAATCGTAAAGTCAGCGAAAGACGACGTACTAAACGACGCAAAAGCCAAACGCGACGACAAAACAGACGACGGGACCGAGTTGAATCACGTTCAATGCAATAGCTTTTCCATCGATGATTCCTAAATCAGACGCGACGGAAAATCCTAACGCAAACCCTTCTAGGAGAGAAAGAGAGGTTTTCCAAAATCAAAATCTCTCTCTCTCTCTCTTTCTTCTCCTACTTCTCTCGCAGACGACGAAAGAACAGACGAGAACGAAACATAATTTAAACGTACCATCTTCGTGCTCCTCTTCCTCCTCTTCCTCCTCGGAGTGTTCTTCCTGCGTATCATTTAATCGTGAATAGATTGATACGATGATGATGATGAGAGGAGTTTGTGTTAGAACCGAGAGAGCAAAACGAGAGAAAAAAACGTAAATTCGCGCGCGAACATCGAACACGGAGCACGGCGCAGCGCGCGACATTCTCCGCGTACCGCTCGAATCAAACATCTATCCCTAAATATATCTTTCACGAAAAGCGTACCTCCTCGTCCTCGATTTCTTCTTCTTTCTCGTTATCTGCTGCCATGGTTTCGTCGTAGAAGTTTCCTTTCTTTGCGCGTAACTCAATGCGGGGTTTTGCTTCTTTTCGGGGAGCAAAAAAATACAAAAAATACGACACTTAAAACGCACTTTATATTTAATAATAAAGCTTTTCGTCCGTCCTCTTTTCGCGCGCGCGAACACGTCACTATACACACACACATAAGATGATCTTGGATTTCACGAAAAGCGGGGATAAACCCACCGCCAAAGCGATCACGTTGGCGTGCGTTTTTTAGTTTCTCCTCCTCCTCTGAGCAAGTTTTCTCTCTCTTTTTTTTAAAGCAATTCTATATTTCGAGCGTTACTGACTTTTTTTCTCTGATCTCTGATCTCTGAAAACGATACAGGGACGTCCAAGAGACGTGCTTAAAGCACGGATTTCTGTACGAACGAAGCACGTCGAGCGATCCAACAGCTCGGCGCGCCGACGTCGTGGCGTTGTTCCGAGTTTTAGGGTGCACGTAAGTTTTGAGTAGTTTTTTTTTCTTTTGTGTTGGTTTGTTGTCCTCGTGCGATCGAAAATACTGTGAGAATAGACCACCAGCGCGCCGCTCTCTCTCTCTATCTCTCTCTCTTTCTCTCTCACTCACTTCGGTTCTCTTTCGCAGATCGCTCTCGACGTTTAAATCCGCCTGGGCGAGCGAAAAGCTCCCCTTGCCAAAACCAGGGATGACGCCGCATATTTTGGAGAAGGACAAGGAGCAAAAAGAAGAAGTCGCGTGGCGAACCTACGACGTGGCGGAATACGATCGCCTCTCGGCGTCGTACGAGGACCCGAAGACGATGAAATGGAAACTCCTCCCGAAACCCGGGGGCCAAGCGGTGAAGCCGGAGGATTATTACACGTTAAAAGCGTGCATTAAACAAGTCGAAGAAGGCGACCCGCCGAAAGAACAGCCGATGTGGACCGAGAACGGCGCCGTCGATTACAACGGTCGCGCGTTGTTCCAAGAGTGGAACAAGTTGAAAGGGAAAACCAAAGACGAAGCGAAACAGGCGTTTTGTTACGCCTACGGGAAAGCGTTGAGCGAGCAAAGATTTTCGCTCAATTTTCGCAAGTATTAATCAAAAATCATCATCATTTACTCGTAACAAGCCTGTTCTTCACATTTTCGCCTCCTCAGTTGAACACAAAAATGGGTTCCCGTCACCTTTCCAACGCGATGATTCTCCCCGCTTCTTCCTCCTCCCGAGTAGGACGACAACGGCGAGGACAACACCACCGTAATAAAAACCAATCCTCCTCATCCGTCGTCTCTTCTTCTTCTGTCGAGGACTTTGACGTCGCACACGACGACGAGGATGCAAAAAACACACTCGAAGACGACGACGAAACGCATCGACGACGACGGACGAGAACGACGTTTAGCAGACGGAACTCTCTCAAAGCCGGCGTGCTGACAGCTGCCGCAGGACTCGGGGTTTTTACCACGCTCTCCTCGTCGAACGTTTTCGGGGTTCAGGTTCCCACGTCGTCGTTTCTATCGTCCTCGATGGCGATGGCTGCCACGTCAGACGAGGACTTGACGTTTGCGTACTTCGGGAACGGGTGCTTCTGGGGAAGACAACACGAGTTCGTCTCCTTGGAAAAAGATATCTTGAACAGAGAAGACGTACAGGTGAAATCGTTGGCAGGGTACGCGGGAGGGAAACGAGGCGCGGGTGGGAAGAATAAAGACACCGTGTGTTATTACTACGGCGCCGCGGATACCGTGTATGAGCGGTTAGGCCACGCGGAAGTGGTACAAATAGCGTATAAAGACGAAGACGAGTTTAAGAAGTTTTGCGAGGTATATTTTAAGAACTTTAACAAGACGCCGTTTGGGATGCAAAGAGTGGACCCGCAAGATAGCGGGCCGGGATACAGGAACGTGGTCGGTATCCCGGGAGGGATCGAGAACGAGAAATTAATGAAACAGATGGAATCGGCAAACGCGAACGGAATGAAACTCGTTCGAGGCGAAGGCAACGATTTCGACAATCGAGGCAAACCGACCGAAAACGATCAGATTAATCTCGTCTGGATCGTAGATTCGGACAAATTGCCGTTTTACCCGGCGGAAAGGTATCACCAGTTCCACGACGGGTTAGGGTATAAGTTCCCGGAGTCGTACACCGTGGGTCTGAAACGCGCCGCTGAGAAAGCCGGCGCGATCGGAAAAGTCGCGGGATGTCCCGAAATGCGCGAAAAAGCTTTTGCAGATTTTGAAAGTTTAGAGGGATAACGGTGATGTGTATATTTTCTGTTGTTGTTGTTATTCCTCCTCCTCGAATGTGTACTAAACGCCGCGCTATTAAACGAGCGCGTATCGCGACATGTCTCCCCTTATAAGTCCTCACAACTCATAATTCTTCTCTCATTCGAAGAACAACACGCGCGATACGTGCGATAAAATGACGTCGTCGTTGAAACCGACGTTGAACCTTTCTCGTCCGCAGCTCAAAAAAGAGGACAACGACTTGGACGAGAACGCTTTATTCGCGCGACGACGGCGGGAGGAAGAAGAAGAAGACGAGGACAAAGATCGATCTGCGCCGGGGACGAAGAACGACGACGGGGAAACGACGACGAAGACTTTGAACGATGAGAACAATACTACCACGAATAACAACATCCTCCCGAACGAGAGAGCGCAGATTTTGAAAACGTTCGAAGCGCCGACGGAAGCGATGACGCTTTCGGAGTTTAAAAACTGTTTGATGAAGAAACGCGTTGGGGAATTGCGAGAGCTTTTGGACGAGGAGGAGGACGAGGACGAGGACGAGGACGAGGACGGATCCGAGAAGAAGAAGAAGAAGAACAGCAACAACAAGAAGAAGAAAAACGAGGAGGAGGAGAAGGAGCAGAAATTGGCGAGAAAACAAAAGCGGAGAAAGCTCGAGATTGAACAATACGCGCTCGCGCAAACGCTCGCCGGCGCCAAGTCCCGGTTCGAAGCCGAACGCGTCGCCGCGAAACACACCGAAGCGATGCAAAGAGTCCGCGCGGCGAAGCAAGAGGCGAACGCGGCCATCGAAAAAGTGAACAAACTCACCGAGGAGTTGCGAGAAAAAGAAGAGGAAGCGCGGAAAACGCACAAAGAGGAGAGAGAGAGACGAGCGCAGTCGAGGAAGACGGACGCTTCGAAACGAGAGGAGAGGAAGAACGTCGTCGAGGCGGAGCTGAGAAGACGCGAGAAAGAGAGACACCGGTTGGTGACGAACTTGAAGCAAACCATAGCTGAGGAAAGCGAGATGAGGAAGAAATTCATCGCCTTAAAGCAATAGCCATCGTAGAAAAGAGAGAGAGAGAGAGAGAGATCAAAAGCGTTGTGCGTCGCGAAATATCTCCACAGAGGCGCTTTTTATCCAAAAACGACGTCACTCAAATTCACACGTTCGCGCGCACACATGTCCTTCTCCTTCACCCGAAGTGTGACTTTTGCGTCCTTTATTAGCAGTCAATGCACGCACGCTTCCTCCTCGACTCGTTCGAGCCTCGAGAGGCGTCGGAGTCACCGCAGCAGTAGCAGTAGTAACCATAAACGCATTTTCATCGCGAACGCGTCACATCCGACTGAGGAAAAGGAAAAGAAGACGAGGAAAAAGATAGTCGTCGTCGGCGCCGGGTGGGGCGGGTGGGGCGCCGCGAAAGCTTTACTCGAATCGAACGAGTGCGAAGTTATACTCCTGGACGGTTTGAAAGACCCAACCGGGAAATGCGGGCAAAAGACAGCGAGCGGGAAACCGTTCGAATCCGGCGTGAGAGGCTTCTGGAAGGACTACCCAAACATCACCCATCTTTGTACGAATACGCTCGGGTTGCGCGAAGACGAAGTGTTCACGGAATTCACGCGATCGAGTTTTTTTAGCCCGGACGGGTTAGAAGCGACTGCACCGGTGTTTAGCGGCGCGGACGTGATGCAACTGCCCTCGCCTCTCGGGCAAGTGTTCGCGACGTTTGATAACTTTAAGCGGTTACCGCTGCAGGACAGAGCGACGATGGTCGGGTTGTTATACGCGGTTTTGGATTTGAATAGGAACGAGAGAGTGTTTGAGAAGTACGACAGAGCGACGGCACACGAGTTATTTACCAAGTGCGGTTTGTCGGAACGGTTGGTGGAGGAGTTTTTGAAGCCGACGTTATTGGTTGGGTTGTTCAAGCCTCCGGAGGAATTAAGCGCGGCGGTGACGATGGAATTGTTATATTACTACGCGTTGGCGCATCAGGATTCGTTCGATGTGCGATGGATTAAGAGCAAAAGTATCGGGGAGTTGATCATCGCGCCAATGGCAGAGATGTTGATGGATAAGTACGAATTAAACGTCAAAGGTGGATGCTTTGCGAAATCGTTACACTTGGACTCGGAGAAGAACGCCATCAACAAGGTGACGTATTTCGATACGACGTCAAAACGAGAGGTGGTCATTGACGACGTGGACGGAGTCGTCTTGGCGTTGGGCGCGAAAGGTTTAAAATCAGTCGTTTCAAATTCACCGGAGTTGGCGCGAAACGCGCCGGAATTAACCGCCGCGGCTTCGTTGGGAGCCATCGATGTCGTTTCCGTTCGTTTGTGGTTGGACAAATACGTCGCCACGGACACGCCGGCGAACGTTTTTTCGCGCTTCCCGGCGCTCCGCGGTGCCGGTGGCACGTTTTTCATGCTCGACCAGTTACAGAAAGATACCGAAAACGAGCTGTGGGGCGGCCAAGAAACGCCAAAAGGTTCGGTCGTCGCGTGTGACTTCTATAACTCGAGCGCCATCGCCACGCTGAGCGACGAAGACATCGTCAAAACGTTGACGAAAGATTTATTACCGGAAGCCGTCGAGGCGTTTCGCGACGCCGGCGTCGTCGACTTTTGCGTCCAGCGATATCCGCAAGCCGTTTCGCACTTCTCCCCGGGCTCTTTTACCAAACGCCCGCCTCTTCAAACCTCCGTCCCGAACGTCGTCTGCGCCGGGGACTGGGTCCGCATGGGTGACCGAGAATTCGGCGCGAAAGGTTTGTGCCAAGAACGCGCCTTTGTCAGTGGCATCGAAGCCGGCAACGCGCTCTTGCTCGAAACGTTAGGCCCGAGTCGATCGGAAGGTAAGAAACATCCCGTCATTCCAATCCGAGCGGACGAAACCCAAGTCGAGATTGGACGCGCCGTGAACGCCACCGTCTTGGGGAACTTGGAGGATTCGCTTTTAGGCCCACTCTTCTTTCCGAAAGACGGCGCGTTTAACGTTTTCGGTTTGCGGTGATGATAGTGATGATACCATCTGTGTATTATCGCGTTTTAGTGCAGAGAATAGCAGCATTTTTGTATTCAACTTGTAGTTTATCCGCATTTTTTGCCTCCTTGTTGTAATGCTTCAACGACCCCTCCTCTTGGTCTCCGCCAAAACCGCGACGACGACAAGAAAAGCCATTCACGGAAGAGACGACGATGGTTTTGTCTCCAACAAGAAGGCCCGCGCGTTTTTGTCGTCGTCTTCTTTTTCCCGCTCAGGAAAGAGAACGACAACACCAAAGCGTCAACAAAAGGGCAAAATGGTGTTCCTCGTCTCCGCGAAGAAGTTCCCCGACTCCTTTTCGTTACTCCCCTCGGATAGCTCGGACGCGTTATTTCGGTACCGCAAAGTCATGAGCGTTTTGTTTTTACTCGGGAGTTTGTTACACGCGCCGGACGTCGTCGGCATTGGCCCGCTTTCTCGTTTCAACGCCGTGAGTTCGTTTCAAGAGTTGCCAGTGCTGGCGAAACTGGTCACCGCGACGTGGTGCGTCGGCGGACCGATGTCTGCAGTTTTTGCGAATAAGAATCTACCAATCGCAGATTTTATGGTCGCGTTCGTGGCGAGCGTTGAGATTATCGTCGGCGTAGATTTTAAGAGCGGGTACGGGGTGGAGATTCCGGAGCCGATTATCGCCGCGCAAGCGGTGAATTTGGTGAGCGCCGTCGGGTTGCGGCTGTGGGAAAAGAAAGAGAAAGACGAAGAGGAAGAGAGAAGGGACGACGATACTAATAATAATACGCGGTGAATGACTCAGTAATAGTAGTAGTTTAGTATATTTAGAGAAGAAGTATTTAGAAGTGTAGATTTTGCGAAGGAGACCAAAAGTAGTCTCTCCTCGCGTCGTCCTCTAAATCGTCGTCGCTTACGACAACTGTCCGCAATCGGCGACGACAACCTTCTTACTCGTGGCTCCACTTTGAGACCCGACGGCTTCGATCGCCTTGACGACGTCCATCCCTTTCGTCACGCTCCCAAACACGCAGTGCTTCCCGTTCAACCACGACGTCTCCGCCGTGCACAAGAAAAATTGCGACCCGTTCGTATTCGGACCGGCGTTCGCCATGGACAAAATGCCCGGCCCGGTGTGCTTGAGCGTGAAATTCTCGTCCTCGAACTTGTTCCCGTAGATAGATTTACCCCCGGTGCCGTTTTGGTTGGTAAAGTCGCCGCCTTGGCACATGAACCCGGGAATCACCCGGTGAAACGGCGATTGCTTGAACCCAAACCCGGGCTCTCCCGTGCACAACTGACGGAAGTTTTCCGCGGTTTTCGGGCACACGTCCTTTCGGAGCTTTTATTATACATGCGTGTGCGTGTTGTTGTTGTTGTTGTTGTTGTTGTTGTTTATGAAAGAAGAAGAGGACCACCAGAGGTCGTCAGCGCCCGCCAAAATGAACGGAACAAAAAACGAATCGTCACTTTTGCCGCCGGTTGATGATGATTGGAAAAAAGTGATCGAGAATTTTCATCGTCATCGGAGAGAGAAAACAACGAACATCAACGCTTTCGCGAGAAGAAGAAGGAAACACTTTGCAGAAAAGAGAACAGAAACGATACGTATTCTCACCGTCATCTCGATTCTCCCGGCCGGTTGGCCGCCGATTTCCATGTCGAAAAAGACAACTGGGTTAGACATATTCTCTGAATTAAAGTTTTTTTCTTCTTCGCGTGCGTTTGTTGTGTAGAAAAGTGAAGGCGCTGTCGAAGACGAAAAAAGAGAGATATTTTCCCCTTTTTGTGGTCTCTCTCCTCTACGTAAATTGATTTTGGTTCGTTCGTGTCTTTATATGTTCTTCTCTCTGCTTTACTTCACGGCACGGCACACTACCCGCACGTATCTTTGCGTTTTCAGTTTCTACTCATACGAAACCGCGGTGAATACTGGGTATTGGAAACTCTCTTTCACCATCGATACTGCGCGTACGACGAAAAGCACTATGATGAGTTTAATTTGATGCACAACAGATTAATTTGTTGATTTTGACCAAAAAAGGCGTTTTGGAGCACTCGAGACGGAGGAAAAATTTCCTCATTTGTTATAACTCTCTTCTCGCTTCTGAAACGGAACACCACGGCGAGAAGTCCGAGAAATATATATATAGAACACGCATGAAACGCGACGCAAAATGATGAGTCGTTTTCTTCTGTCGTCGAAAGGTTGCGTTGGTTTCGTCGACCCCAAACCCGTCGTCTTTTGTCGACGAAATCATCATCGACGGGAAAAGAACCAACGACGACGCGTTGACGTCGTCGTCGTCGTCGCCTCGTCGTCGAAGAAGAACAAGAAGAACAAGAAGAGCGACGGAGGAGGAGGAGGAGGAGGAGGAGGAGGAGGAGGAGAACAAAATCAACCGCAACGAATTACCGGCAAAAAGAACGGCATGAGCGTCCACGCGCAGATTCGATTGGTGGACCGGTGGAAGAATTCTGCGAAGAACAACAACGCGGAAAAGAGCGAGTTGACGTCGTTAACTGGACCGAACGCGGCGAGTAAGAAATCGACGACGATTCAGACGACGACGCAACAAAAAGCAAACGCGAAGAACAACCAACACGTAAACGACGCGTACCAGGCAGAACTGAAACGACGACGCGTTTTAGCCGCGGAGAAACGCGAGAAGGAAAGAGAAGCGTATTTGCGGAAGGCGGCGCTGGACGCCAACGACGCGAGCCTGGGAGCGTTTTTCGATTCCTCGTCGAAGAAGACGAAGTGTTTCGTGGACGGGTACAACGTGTGCGGAGTACCGGACGAGGACGACGCGATGATGCGCGTCAGTGGGAAAAGCGGCAGTGGTGGCGGTATACCGCATTTGCGGAGGAGGTTTTTAGTGGAGGGAGATTTGGATGGAGCGAGGAAGATTTTAGAGGAGAAGGTGAAGGCGTTCGCGATTTCGAGGAACATGGAGTGCGTCATCGTTTGGGATAACAATAATTATCACACGAATAATAGTGGTAGCAGCAATAGCAATAGCAGTAGTAATAGTAGCACTGGGATGAGTGAGAAAGAGCGGGCGGAGGATATAGGCGATGGCGTGACGGTTGTGTTTACCGGCAACGGGCAACTCGCGGACGGGTACATCGAACGAGAAACGAAACTTCTCGCCGAGGAAAAAGACGGCAAGAACGTATACGTCGTGACGAGCGATAACGCCGTACGCATGGCGGTATCTTCAGCATACGCGCGCGTGATCGATTCGGGTAATTTTTGTCGCGAAATTCGCGACACCGAGCGCGACGAGGATGCGATTTTGAGAGAGCTCGCTTTAGACGCGCGGTGGGGAGGCGGCGCGAAGCAGAATAAAGCCTCCATCGGCGCGAGCGTTCTCGGCGACGCGTCCGCGCGCGAGAAAATGATGAAACTTCGCGAGATGGCGAGAAACTCGTCGAAAGCTGAAATGAACGAAAAGTTGGTCGGTAAGAGTGGAAGCTTTGGTCGATTTAAGCGGCAAAACAATACCGCTACCAAAGCGACGAAAAACAAAGACGCGACGACGACGACGACGAACAAGAAAGAAGCTTCGGACGGAGAAGGCACGAACGTCACGAAACGTTTACTCATGCGCAGAGCGCGAATGGATGAGAACGCGAACGACGACGACAGGAGCAGCAGTAGCAGTAGCAGTAGCGGACGATGGGGATCTTTTTAATAACGGCACGTTACTTTTCCTCCTCATGAAACAAAAAGTACACACCACAACTCACTTTTTATCCTCCTGTTCTTTATCTCACTCGTCATAAAAGAAGAGGACAAAAGAAGAAGATCGAGAGGAAGGAAAAGAGAGACGGAGAGTAGAGCGCGCGCGCGATATGATGATCGCCTCGTCGTCGTTGGGTGCGCGAACAAAACCTCCTCTTTCGTTCTCAAAATCGTTTCAGAAGAGGAAGACGAATTGGAAATCGAGCAGCCGCCGACGCAGCGCTTCTTCGTCTTCTTCGTCTTCCTCGACGACGAGCGAGGAGACGAACGCCGTCCTCCTAAACGCACAAGTTCAAGAAAATAACGCGAAGAAAAAGAAATCGCCGTTGTTATTCGAGGTATTCGGTTCGGATTTGTCCTCCTCGGCGCAGTACCCGGACGTGCCGCGAGAGCGAACGCACTGGGTGGAAACGGACGAACAGTTGAACGTTTTGGTGGAGGAGATTCGAGCGGCGATGAAAAAGGAGGAGGAAAAGAAGGACGACGACGACGACGGCACCGAGTATGAAAAGAATTCATATCGCCGCCAGCGGCTTCCCGTCGTGCTCGGACTCGATTGCGAGTGGAAACCAGGGGATAACACGCCGGTGAGTTTGTTCCAAGTGGCCACGAGAGAGAACGTGTATTTGTTGGACGTGTTTGCGTTCATGATGGATACCGGCGGCGGAGGCGAAGAAAAAGGAACGGCGGAAGCGTTCGATGCGTTTTTGAAGCTGTTGTTTGAAAACGAAACGTTAATAAAGCTCGGTTTTGGATTTGATTACGATATTAAGCGGTTGAGGATGTCGTACGCGCCGTTAGAGGAGACGTTATCGATGGATAGGAGGAAGAAAGGGTGGATCGACGTTCGCGAGTTGGCGTACACGGCGGACGCGGTAAGTTCGCACAATAAGAGAAAGTATAAGCACCAAAAACGAGTCGGTTTGGCTGCGCTGACGAGGGACATATTGAAGTGTAACTTGGATAAAAAGTGCCAAGTGAGCGATTGGTCGCAGAGACCGTTGTCGGATCCGCAGCAAAGGTACGCGGCGACGGACGCGTATTCGTTGATTTCGATTTTAGACGTCGTCTTGTTTTCGAGAGGTCGGTGGAATAACGACGAGGAGATTTCCGACGGGTTACAGCTCGTGCAATACGGCGGCGGTGGAAACGGAGAAGCTGGAGGAATAGACGGTCGATTCGTCAAGCGCGTGTCGAAATCGAAAATGGCAAAAATGGAAAAGGCGGCGTTTTTGAAACGACAAAATAGCTCCTCGCTGAGAAACGCTCGAGAGACGGCGTTGCACGAAGCGAAGGCGGATTTGACGCGGTGCGTCACGGATTATTTAGGATTCGCGTGCGTAGGACGCAAAGGTGCGATCGAATTGCTCTCAGAGAACGGGTGTTCCGTGCGAATGCCAAAGAAAACAAAGAGTAAAGTGGACAACTGGGAAAACGCCGTCGCGCTCTTTTTAACCGTGGACGAGCCGAAGAAGACGCAGCCGGCGCAGTTTCGGCGAAGAGAGGATGATAACTTTTTGACGTTACGCCTGGAAAACGCGGAAAAGTTTTTCAGCGAAGACGCGGAGGCGTACGCTCGAACGAAAGCGTGCAAAGCGAACGACGGCGGGAAATCTATCGTCCTCTTTGCGAAACGAGGAAGTAAAGGAAAATTTGTATTTTGCGGTCGATTAGAGAGCAACAGTAGCGGTAGTATTAGTGGTAGTAGCAATAGCGTGATAGCGAATAGTAGCGACGCGTTGGATTTGACTTTAGTCGACGGAGATCGCCTGAGTGAAACGCCGATGTTTTACCAAATCATCGGCTGTCATCTGTAAGTTTTTACGCGCGTGTATATAGTTACATCGTGTTGTGTAGTGAATTTAGACGTAGACGTGTTGTGATGTTGATATATTTACTGTATTTTTACGTTTAAATGATGTGTGGGGATTAATACGCTAAGTTTCTCTCTCTCTCTCTCTCTACCTACCATAGAAAATTTAGTGCAACGGTCGCTTGTACTCCATCGCCGCGGTTTCTTGGATGTGTTCAACCGGTCTCTTGGCCAACAAGCCGTGGTGAGACAAAACCTTTGCGTTTACCCCGTCCGGAAGCGCTCTCCCCGACGCCTTCCACTTCACGTAGTCGTCTCTCTTGAACTTCGTAAAGCCCCAGTTTGTACTCTGGACGATTTGCTGGCGTCCCGGGAACTTGAACTTGGCGCGACGGAACGCCTCCACCGCCTTCGTCGCGTGCACATCCTTCGTTCTAATCGACAACATGACTTGACCGATAGAAATTCTAGACGCCACCCCTTGCGGTTTACCGAAAGCCCCTCTCATGCCTTGCTGCAATCTATCAGCGCCGGCGCACGACAACATCTTGTTGATTCTCAAAACGTGAAACGGATGCAATCGAACTCTCAAGTGAAACGCATCCTTACCCGCGTTCTTAACCATGTACTTGTTCGCCGCAATACGACCGGCTTCCAAAGACTCGGAAGAGACTTGTTCCTTCTCGAAAGACACCAAGTGCACGCACGCCGGGAACGCGTCCACGGAGTACTTCTTCATGCCAGCATCGTAGATTCGGATTTTCGGGTCCGGAACGCCTCTGCAATACCTAGATTTCGGGTACGGTTTGTTCTTGATCACGCGGTAACAGCGCGCGGGACCTGTTGTGTTTTGTCATGTTTTGTTGGTTTTCATCGCGAGGAGAAAGAGAGAGAGAGAGAGAGGTAAGTTTCAAATTTCATTTCGAGATGAAAGAGGTCTTCCACAAGGAGGATCGCTCTCCTCTACCGCGCGTTTCGTAAACTCCCGTCGCGCGCTCCGCCAGGACGACGCGAACGTGAGAAACGTAAACCGTTCAAAAAACACCTCCAGAAAAGAAATTCTGCGTGACATTTGAACGCGAAAAGAACCGTTCGCATCCGCTCAGACTCCTAATAAACCCACTTGTTTCGCGCAAAGTCATCCGTGTAGCCCTATCCCACAGAACGGGAGCGCGAGAACGAGAGCCCATCGCGAGACGGAGAAAAACAAAAAATCTCTCTCTAAAACACACACGCGAGAGAGCAGACCGCGCGCACGCGCGTCCTCCGAGAGGAAGAAGAAGAAGAAAAAAAAGGACAAAAGAATAGAAAAAAGAACGCACGTCTCGCCATGATTGACTTCTTTATTCGGTCGAATTGAGGTCGCGTCGTGCGAGAAGACTGAAGATTTCGAGCGTTTTGCGCTTCACAAAGGGCGAAAACGGAAAGAAGGACAGACCCGAAAAAAAAAAAACGACAGGCAGGAAAGCAAAAAAAAAGAGCAAAATTTCTGTTGAAAAAAGTTTCAAATCACCAACAAAACACCAACAAAGTTCCGTAGCACGACTACTTCATACTTCTACGAATAAAGAATAATGGGCGCGAGCTTTGCAAAGATGGAAGCGCCTTTAGGCGCCGGAAGCGCTGACGACGGGTCGTCGCTCCTTCCACCGGCGGCGAGAGCGGGAATGACGGTACGTGTAAAAAAGAAAAGAGAGAGTATGAGAGAATTGGATTTCTTTGATCATCTCGTCAGCTCTGCTCTGAAATCATCATCCGCTCTCGCGTTGTTTTTATGTGTCTCGTTTTCTGCGTCGTTTTAGTGTTCCACTTTTACTTGCGCTCTCCTCCGAGGGAGGCGTTTAATTCTTCGGAATGTTCTGGGTGTTCGATGTTGTGACGAGTGTTACGCGCAGATCTTGAGTGGAACTCTCGTCGCGTTTTTATCGTCATCATCATCGTTCCTCCGCTGACGTTTTTTCTTCTCTCTTTCTCTCTCTTTATTATCGTATGAATCAAGGAACCGACGACGAGCGATGTGAACGGCAACAACAGCGAAACGAATAAAGAGACGAACAACAGAACGACGGACTTCGGGAACCTCCCGTTGCCGTGCAAATACGAAAACTTGCAGACGGAAATGCTCATGTCGCTCAAAGCGGATTTCTTTGAAGGCGCGAGATTTGATTACAACAAACAGCTGAACCAGAAGTTTTTCTTGTCGCACGGGTTTTCGATGACGAACGCGGAAATTCCAGCCGCGAGTGGACACATCATTAAGATTCCGTCGAGCTCGTACGAGTTTGGAGCGAACGTGGTGGATTCGAATTACATGTTGGTTGGGAGAGTGTTTACGGACGGGAGAGTGAGCGGACGAGTGAAGTACGACGCGACGGAAAATTTAAGCTTTCGTGTGCAGACGAGTAAAGAGAGAGAGTATTCGCAGATGATGTTGGACGTAGACGCGAAAGGATTAGATTGGCAAGCGCAGATGAAGTGCGGGAGTGGGGAGTTTTATGGGGTGAATTACATTCAAAGCGTCACCGAGAGAGTGGCTTTGGGCGGGGAAGGGTTTTATTTGGGCGCGAATCAAGGAGGGAAGAGCGGCGTCGGGTTTGCGGCGAGGTATAACGACGACGACGTGATTGCGACCGCGCAAGTAGCAACGACTGGGATGTGCTCGTTGACGTATTGCCAAAAGGTTGGGGAAAAAGCGATGTTGGCGAGCGATTTCTCGTGGAATTGGAACCATCGACAGGCGAGCGGGTCAGTCGGGTACGATTACGTGTTGCGACAGTGCAGATTGAGAGGGTCGATTGATAATCAAGGCGTGGTGGGGATGTTTTTGGAAGAACGGCTGAGCATGGGGTTGAACTTAATTTTTAGCGCGCAAATTGATCACGCGTCGAAAAACCACAAGTTTGGGTACGGGATGACAGTTGGAGAATAGATATGTATCGTCGGCGTCGGCGTTGATGTTTAAAAATAGAAATTGTTGACGCGCGGAACGCCGCAAAAGAAAAGAAAAGAAAGGAAGAAAAATAAGACCATCTTAAAACCAGAGAAAGACACAAAGAGAGAGAGAGAGAGGAAGCATGAGTAATAACCACCGAAAACAGCATATATATTAATAAGAAGAGTAAAGTATTGTTATTATTGTCCGTGCTCTCGTTTCTTCGTGTTTCAGATCTCTTTCGTATCTTCTCTTTTGTATACATCGTTCGACTATGACTACTTAACTATAAAACGCGTATATAAATCTACTCGCTAATGATTCTGTGGTGGACGTTAGTTGCGCACGCACCACATGGTATTTACAATCCGAATTTTCTGAGCGCTTTTTGGTATTCTTTCGAAAGACCTTGAACGATATCCCTCAGAGATTTTTTTTGCCCGGGTTCTTCTTTTGTCGGCGGCGAAGAGGTCTCCATAGGTAAAGATAGCGTCGATCCGTTGTATTGCATATCCGTAGATTCCATGTCCATCCGTCGAGAGTTCAAATTTGGTAACATTGACACTATTTCGGAAACCGTTATGGACGATCCCGCAAGTTTTTCGAGAGGATCTGTTTTCAAGACATCTTCGCTGACTTGTCCTTCCAAAGCCGCGCCGGCAAGCTGCCAGCGCTTCCTCGCCTCAAACACGGATTTCTTAGCTTCCTCCGTCACCAACCCGAGAGATTGGCGGAAAACGACGTGTCCGGGTGAGCTTTGCGATCTACGAGCGGCTTCTTGAGCGGACAATGTCGGTTTTGCGAACGAATCGGATTTCTTGAGCGTCACCACTTGCATCGGCGCAGGTGCCGCCGGTGGGGCGAGAATGCGCTGTTGAGATTTAGCAGCGGCGAGTGCACGCGCGTGCGACTGCTCAGCGGCGGCGGCAGCGGCAGCAGCCGCGGAGAGTTTTGGCGCACCGCCACTACCAGCAGCGTTTGACGTTGCAGGAACTGCGGCTTGTTCTCGGGCTACCTTTTGCATCACCTGTATTCTCGGTGGTTCCGGAATATACATCAAATCGCGCCACGCGTCGCATCCTTCCGTTCTTTCTTTCACCCACTTCGCAATGAATCCGTTCTTTCGTGTCTTTTGCGTTGGCGTCTTTACCTTGTCGTCTTCATTTTCTTCCTCCTCCGGAAAAGGCAAGAGTTCGCCGGCAAACGCTCTGATAGAGTTCACGTACGCCACGAACGAGACATTTCGTCCGAGCGGCGGGAAAACCTCGTACGGTTTCTCTTTCATATTCGCGACGTTATTAGAGTAGTTCACCAAATACGACGACCCGTTGCCGTTATACCTGTACGCTTGTAAGAGTTGGTTGTCGCAGTGGGATTGCATGGTCGGACATCGTTTATCGAAAGGTTCTCGATCGACGCCGGATTTACCGAAAACGTTATACGGTTTGAATGTTTCGCGGTTTTTCTTCTTTTGAAAGATCCCTCGTTTCATTTTTTCGTCATTTTCGTCGTCCGAGTTATCTCGAGAATATTCGCCGCCACCTTCGGAAACCAATTCGCTTTGCTGCTTAGAGGAGTCTCCGCCCAGATCATCCAACGACGGGAACATAGAAGACATTTGAAACGTCCCGTTAAATCCTTTCTTCTTACTCAAACTTTCTAATATTTTCTCGTGCACTAAGCTGCGCATCTCTTTCAAGCCTTGTTGAGCGATTCCAAAGTACGGCGAGTTTGGACCGTTGTAATCCTGACAGTTTGTATACATCAATCGCAAATCCTCCTCAAACATCGACCAGGACGTGTAGTATTTCTTTTCCTTCAAGTTTGAGCGAATAGTCGATATATCCATCGGTCGATCGATCATTTGAAAGTATCCCGGCGCGATAGCTTCCGTAACCGGATTCAAGAAGATTTTCTGCTTGTCGAGTTTTTGCAACTGTTTTATAATTTCCTCCATCTGACCTTTCTTTGGCGGCGGCAAATCGCTTTCTTTCATTTCACCACTACCACCACCACCACCGGCGCTTAAATTCTTACTCGATGGTATAGATGGAAAAGGGAGTTGTTGGTTTACCCTTTGCGGTTGTTGTCCAGCAATATCCATGCCTATACCGCTACTCTTTGCGCCTTTCTTCTTCCCCATCTCCTGTTCTCTCTCGAGCCTGGCGAGCATCGCGGCCGGTTTCCCGCCGCCGCCGCCACCAAACGGCGACGGCTTCAACGAACTCGGCGGATGATTGTTGTGTTGTTGATGCCCACTCCCACCACCACTACCGAACAATATATCGTCCGCCAAATTTGACCCACCGCTCGGCGGCGAAGGGAAATTTATATCCCCGATGTCGTCGAATATGTTGAACGCGGACACCAATCCGCTCGCACCACCGACCGTCGACGGCGGCGTTTGCTCCCTCTCACTCCTCCTCCCGTTCGTAGTACCACTTTTTTTCATCGTCCCTTTCTTCTGCGTTTTGTTGTTGTTCATATTATTCTTAGTGTTCTTCGTCCCCGGCGTGGCCGAGCGAGCGCTCGCCAAGCGACTCAACTCTAATCTATCGCTATCGTCTGCGCTCCCGCTGATATTCCCGGGACTCGTCGTATTCGTCGTCGTCGGTCCATCCGACGGTAACATCCCCATCATCATCATCCCACGAAGCTCTTTCCCTCGTCCCGTCTTCGGAACTGCCGCCGCCGCTTTAGGCGTCTTTGCCTTCGCCGGTCCTCTTTCCCTCGCGGCGAATTGTTGCTGCTGCCTTTCCAACGCCTCGATTTTCGCTTGCAATTGCTTCGCTTTCTTCTCCGCCTCGTCCTCGTCCTCGTCTGAATAATATGTATCGTCGTTCCTTCTCTGCTTTTTCGCTCCCATCCGCTCTTTCTCGTCCTCGTCCTCGAGCTCGTCGAACTCGCGCTTCTTCTTCTTCGTCTTCATCTTCGACCCTGGATTGGATTCGTCGTTTCCGTCGTCGTTTCCATCGTCGTCTCTCGTCGTCGTCTTGCCGGACAAAACCGCCGCCGGGGGACCGCCGCCGCCGCCGCCGAGCTTAAACGTAAAGCTCAGCTTCGGGGCGACGACTTTCTTCCCCTTTTCCTCCTCCTCCTCCTCCATTTTGTCAAAAGAAAAGCGAAAGTTGTGCGCGCAAACTAAACTACTCTTCTTGTGGTCTTTTCTTCTTAAATTCTTCTTAAATAAGGAAAATGTCAAATGCGTGGGAAAAAGGTTTAATACTTTGCGCAACCGTTTTGGGCGAGCGCTGCTTTTAAAAGAGTACTACGTTTTATTCGTATTCGAATTGTGCTAGTATTACTACGCGTTTACTACTACTTTTTCTTCTTCGATGCTTTCAACATCGCTTCTCTCTCTCGCACGATGGCGTTTTTCGGTTTGATGGATCTCTCCGCTTTCGACGTCGTCGTCGTCGTGAAGCCGGTTTTTTTTCCTCCTCCTCCTCCTCCTCCTCCAGTTTGTCCTCCGAATTCTTGGTACGTGAGTCCTTGCGCGCCGGAGAGTTTGGCTAGGCTGCCACCGACCGTGCGCGTGCGTCGTGCGGCGGCCAAGGCGGAAAGTTTTGCCTTCTTTTGTTTCATCAAGTTGCCTTCTAAATCGTCCTCGTCGACGTCGAGAACTTCTTCGCCGGCTTCGGCTTCGCCGGCGTTGAGCGTTTTCGCGAGTAAGTCCAACTGCGTGGCTTTCGTCGAGTACATGAGTTGCACTTTATCGTTTTCGCCGATTAAATCTGGGACGATTTTAAACGCGTAGCCTTGCTGAATGAGAAACTGTTGACGCTTGGTGGAAAAGTACATTTCGGACGTGTCTCTGGAAACGAGCGAGTAGAAGAAGGCGTTGTGATCGTCGCTGTCGTTCTTCTTACCAACTGTGGCCGCTTTAGGGCGCAAAATGCGCCCGAGACGTTGCGCTTCTTGTCGTCGGGATCCAGCGTGGGAGGATATTTGAATGATGACGTTCGCTTCGGGAATATCGATGGAGTTATCGCCAACTTTGGAGAGGAAGATGGTGTTGATCTCGTTGGAGTATTTGAAGGCGTGCAAAACGCGCGTGCGTTCGGCGTGACTGGTGTCGCCGTAAATGAGCGGTCGTTTCAATGCGGTGGCGTATTCGCGCAAGGCGAAGATGTTATCGGAGAACACGATCACTTTATCTTTCCTGAAGTTTTCATGGTACGTCATCAAGTATTGACACGCCATGAACTTGTTCGGGTTCATGCAGTATAACACTTGTTTTTTCATCGAGAACTTCGGGTCGAGGTACTTGGCGAAGAATTCTGGGGTCATCTCGCACCACACCTCGACGCATTGCACGTTTGCGATGTGCCCATCGCGTTGTAAATCGAGCCAATTCGCCTCGTATAACTTTGGGCCGATTAGAAAATTAAGATGTTCGACTTTATCGTCCTCGCGAACCAACGTCGCGGTGAGGCCAAGTTTACAGTGCGCTTTTGTGATGCCGATAACTTTTCGAAACATCGCCGCAGGGACAACGTGGACTTCGTCCAGGAGCATCGTCCCCCACTCCCGACCACGTATCGCGTTGAGAATCTTTTCTGAAGCTTCTGAACGTTTCCCACCCGCAGAAATCATGTTGTACGTGGTCACGCACACGCACGGACAATTGTTCGGAGGGAACGTCTCTTTGTTTTGACTCGTAAATCGAACAATCTCGCGATCGGTTAAATTCGTCCACAATTTGAACTGGCCCGCCCACTGATCGACACTCACCGACGAAGTGCACAAACACAAGCACGATTTCCCCACGCGAACGGCTGCGGCTATACCGGTTAGTGATTTACCGGCACCGCACGGTAAAACGATGATGCCACTTCTCGCGCGACCGTTGCCGAACATTTTCGAAAGCGACTTCTCCTGGTACGGACGAATTTTCGTCATCGGTTTCAAGCGCACGTTTAAGTTTGGATTCACCGTATCGTTGGTAAAATCGTACTCTTCTAAAGCTGGGAATCCTAGATTTCCAGGGAGACACCGCTGTTTCACTTTTTCTACGTCTAACGGTTTGATTTCAAACGAGTGGATCGACCGCGACGGATCGTATTCTGGTTTATTCAACTGCTCCTCGGCGTCGTTCTTTTCTTTCTCCTTCGCAACCTTCTCGTCTCCTTCTTGTTCTAGTTCTTGTTGTTGTTTCTCGGTCTGTGCGATGGCATCCGTTAACTTTTCCGCGCCAACTTCTTTCAAACCAAACGACGTCTCAAACATGCCGCTCATCCCTTTGCTCGCCCCGCTTTTGCCGGCGTTTGGATGGACCACCCTCGCGCTCCTCACCACCTCGTCTTGCAACAACTTCTCCAAAATCTTCGCATCCGGTGATTCCAAGAAAAACTTGTTCCTCTTCAAAACCAACTTGACTTTCCCGTAATTTTTCGTACACGCCGCGATGAAGTGTTTCACCTCCTCGCTTAAATTCGTCTTGGACAATCGATCTAAAACTTCCGCGATTTTCTCCGTCGTCAACCCAATACTCACCGCCGCGTACAGCGAGTGTGGCGTCAACACGTACTCGTGTATGTGTTCCGGTCGACACACCGGTTCCGCGACCGCGATTAAGAAATCGTACGCCGCTTTATACAGAGGACTAAACGACTCTAAAAATATCCTGCCGTCCGAACACACCCACAACGGCCGATTCGGATGGTCCACTTTCAAACTCAAATCGCTAAAATCGTTCTCGCCGAACCCGGTGCCGCCTTCCCAGAGCGAGTTGGTCGCCTTTTCGTCCTCGCTCTCCGACTCCTCGTCCTCGTCTGAATCGTCCTCCTCTGAATCTTCTTCGTCTTCCTCTTTGGCGGCGACAGCCGCGCTCTTCCTCTTCTTGCCGGTTTTCTTGCTCGTCTTCGCTTTTTTCTTTCTCACCTTCCCAACGTCGTACTCCTCGTACTCCTCTTCCTCTTCCTCCTCTCTCTTTAACCTCTCCGCGAACGAGGACTTCTTCATCGTAAACGTCAACATTTTATGCTTCTTCTTCTTTTTTTGCTTCTCCTCTTGTTGAAAGTCATCCTCCTCATCTTCATCTTCGTCCTCATCTTCTTCCTCTTCAAACGACGACGACGACGAAGGACTGCTCATCGACAAAACGTCTTCCTCATCCTTCTTCTTCTTCTTAAAAAAAGTCACCTTCAGCGATCCAGTCTGCGTCGAAATCGTCGGCGTCTGCTTCTTCCCTTGCTCTTCGTGCATCGCTTCCTTCGATTCCAATTTTACTTTTTTCATCTCTCTCGTCTCTCTCTCTCTCTCTCTCTCTCTCTCTCTCTCTCTCTCTCTAAACTTCCTCCAAAAACAGACAAGCAGGAGGCCACCACAACAAAACACCAACACCCAGAGCCAACAATTGAGAGAGACGAGAGAGGAGAGAGAACGAGAGAGAGAGGAGTACAGCAGCAACAGAACAGAGCAGCAGAACGTGTGAAGTAAAACAAAAGAGAAGAGAGAGACAAGAAAAGTTTTATTTAGGGTTTCCCATCTATTAGGGTTTAGAAATTCAAAAACAAAAGAGAAGAAAAAAATCCATCAGAAGCTCCGTAAGAGACGGAGCAGAGAGACACACTGACGCGCGCATTTTGCGGAGCACACATGGAGAAGATGACCGGCGAGGACGTGAAAAACATCACCAACGATACCACCGAAACATCCGCCGCGACCTCGTTCAAAAAGAAAGAGGAAAGAAAAGACGACGACGACGAGAAGGATGATGAGAGGAACAAAAAACGGAAACTTCTTTCTCTTTTGGAGCGGAGAATGATGGGAGGAAAAGAGAAGGATGGAAACGAAACCGAGGCGGCAAAAGTCGTCGCTCGAGCGACCGAGATATCAACGAAAGCGACACAAGCAGCACCGGGTGGTGGTGGTACTAACGATGATGATGCGACGAAAACACAGATGAAAAATACGTTCGTCTGCGAGGCGAACGATTGCGTGCACTTTCACCTGTTCGAAGGAGACAAAGGAGAGGAAAAAACGTTTGAACCGGAGTTCGCGCACCAAGTCTTCCGCGAGGACGAGACGATTTACGGGTACTCGGAGGATTTATCGGTGGATGTTTTGTGTGCACCGAACACGTTCGACCCGCGATTCGTGGACGTCACGTACGGGGAGAAAGTGCGATCGAGTTTGAATCCGGCGGATGATATTCGAGCGAATTTGAACGCGTGGTTCCCGGAAGCGGGGACGACGACGACGAAGGAGGCGTTTTTGAAACAGGCGGAGGAGACGAAGGAGATGGAGATTCCCGGAGATGGTGGGAAAATTATCGCAGAGTGGGACGGGGAAGGCGAGGAGGAGAGCGGGTTGAGGTATTCCGTTCGCCAGTTTGAGTTTAAGGAGTCCGAGAGGGAGACGGTTGGGCGATGGCACGATAACGTGGAACCGTTTGTGGCGTTTTATATCGACGCCGCGTCGAAGATTGATAAGAGCGACGGAAGGTGGTTGTGGTTCGTGTTAATCGCGCAGAAGAAGGATAATTTGAAACGGTGGGCGACGTGCGGATTTAGCACTGTGTATCAGTTTTACGCGCATCCTTTTCAACGAAGGTTGAGGATTAGTCAAGTGTTGGTGTTGCCGCCGTACCAAAGGAAAGGGTTCGGGGCGAAGCTTTTAGACGCGGTGAGAGTGTACGCGCAGATGCAAGATAAAGAAGAAGGGAAAGAGATTGCTGATATTACGGTCGAAGACCCGACGGATCAACTGCAACGTTTACGAGACGTTCGTGATTGCGTCGCGGCGACGGAAAACGAGGGCATCGTCCAAGCGGTGAAAACCGCCGCGCGCCTCGCGTTTGCCGCCGCAACCTCCTCCGCGAACAGCGATCCTCTCGTCGACGATAGAAAACAAAAACTCAAACGCGCGCAATCCGCGCTCCGTCTTCCGAAACTCTGTTACGACACCAACTTCAAAAAAGACTTGAAAATATGCGAACCGCAAGCCAAACGCGTCTGGGAAGCGCTCTTGTTCGTTTGGGCCAAACAATGCGGAGCGCCAAACGAAGGCATCGTCGCCGACGCCTTCCGAACCAACGTGCTCAACCGCTTAAAGAAAAAACACATGGCCAGTTTAGGCAAAGGCGAAGACGACGTCGGGAGCAAACGCATCCGCGACACCGAGGACGGTTTCATCATGTGCAAAGGCGGCGGCGAAGGCGAACGCGTAGAAATCGAAGACGTCGTCGCGACGGAGAATGAGAAAAAGAATATCAACAACAACAACAACAACCGAAAAGGAGGAGAAGAGGAACATCATCATCGCCACAACCAAACCGACGACGACGACGGAGGAGACGACGCGCGGCCGAAAGATCCAGCCGAGGCTTTAGCCAACCTCTTCCACGAGTGCTTGCAAAACCTCTCCTATTTGAGCGCTGTTGTGAAAATGTAATAAGAGAACAAAGGTAACCCAAGTCACTCAGGCCAAGCACAACGACGAATACGTTTCATTTCATTTCATGCATACATCTCGCGCGTCAAATATATACGCGCGTAATTAGGCGACGCGTCTCGTTTTTGAACATTTTTGGAGTCTTGGGATTTTCCCCTCTGCCAATTCTCTTTCGCTTCACTTCACTTCAAACCTTTCTCTCTCTGAACGCATTCACGCGCGCACACAAAAAGAAAGAGACAGACTCTCGAAAAAAGAATGAAACGATTCCTCTCCAACGTCCGGAGAGCTGGGAACAACGAATCTCTCGGGGAATTCGGCAAGATGAAACTCCACGTCTGCTCGAGCTCGAACCCGACTCGCCAATTGGAAACGATCGACGATTTACCGGAAGACGCGACCGTGCTCGACCTGAAGAAACGCTTCCACATGAAGAAACGAAAGTATTACCCGAGCCGACAGCGGTTCACGAAGTTTATTAATAAGAGTGAAACGGAAAAAGAAGAGGAGGAAGAGGAAGAGAAGAAGACGAAGAAAAATGTCTTCAAGGGCGAAGCGTTAGTGCCGGATGGGAAAAAGCTGAGCGAATTCGGAATAGGGTACGGAGACGTCGTCTTGTTCAAAGATTTAGGCCCGCAAATCAGCTACCAGGCGGTCTTTTTCTGGGAATATTTCGGTCCTCTGATGGTGTATTTACCGTTTTATTTCTATCGCGAGAGAATATACGGACGGTTTTTTGGATTCTCGCCGAAGGAGTGCGCGAAGCCGTTTGTTCGGGCGCAAACGCTCGCGCTGTGGTTTCACTCGGCGCATTACGCGAAGAGAATATTCGAGACGTTTTTCGTGCACTCGTTTTCGAGAGCGACGATGCCGATATTCAATTTAATTAGGAACTGCGGGTATTATTGGACATTCGCTGGTTTGATGTCGTATTTTATTAACCATCCGAGGTACACGAGTCCGGGGGATAGGCAAGTGACGATTGGGTTCGTCCTGAGCGCTTTGTTTCAGCTCGGGAATTTCAGGTGTCATGTGATTCAAAAGAGATTGAGAAGCAGTGGGGGGTCTTCTTCTTCTTCTTCTTCTTCTTCTGAGACGAAATACGTCATTCCGAGCGGGTTTTTGTTCGATTACGTGACGTGCGCGAATTATTGCTGCGAGATTTACCAGTGGTTGGGCTTTAACATCGCCACGCAAACGGCGTTTGGATATTTGTTTTTGATGGCCGGGATGAGTCAAATGTTCCCGTGGGCGGTGCAAAAACACAAGAGGTTGAAGAAACTGTTCGACGGGACCAACGGGAGGAAGAAGTTCAAGCGACGATTTATCGTTTTGCCGCCGTTCTTTTAAATAATCGAGAACGATTTCGAGAGAAAGAGAACGAGCCACTAAAACGACGACGAATACTGAATACACCACAGAATCTATTTATACTATTACATTTTAATCTACCCTACATCTACGCTTTAATTACGCGTTACGTCGTTATACACATCTACTTTTTACAAGCGTTTTCTTCTCACCTCGGCACGTACGTCCTCCCGCTGATCAACTTCTTCTTAGCGCTCATTTTAGGCTCTTTCTGTGCCCTCTTTAACGTTTCTAAAAGTTCCTCCGCTTTCCCTCGCATCTTCTCGTGCCAATATCCTTTCGAACACTTCAAATGAGACTTGATAAAGTTCGGGAAACTCGCCAACATCCACACGGCTCTTTCCAGAGACTCTTTCGTCTTCACGTGTCTCGGAAATATCACGAAGGAAACATACCCACCATTCGCGTTCAAATCCATCTCATCGACCTCGTCACCATCTCGCGTTGTCGCATCGACGCTCGTCGTCAACTCCAACGGCGGCTTCTGCCCTGGTTTATGATAACTCACGAACGGCGCCGCGCTCAACTTTGCGCTATTCCTCGACGCCTCGGCGAAGTGCGCCAAAAACGCCCTCGCAATCACCACCTCGTCCTCGTTATTCGACAGCGACGAAGAAACGTGCATCGGAAACACAACCGTACACGATCTCCTTTCCTCCGCACCTTCCTTCAAAGTGTCATCTTCCTCCACTTTACAATACATCGACACCGACGGCGACGCGAATTGCCGTCGCAGCGAAAACGAACGACGCTTCGCCTTCGCCTCCTCTTCCTCTTCCTCCTCCTCCACCACCAATCGCCGCAAACACGCTCGCAACGTCCCGTACCCGGCGTACACTCTCACACTCGATATTAAATCGATCATCTCTTCCTTCTCCTCGGCTTCGTTCAGTTTCTTCAAATCCACCTCCACGGTCGCGTCGTACCCGAATTCCGCCTGTTCTTCCTCCTCCTCCTCAGCATCATCACTTCCCCCTAAAACGCGCACTTTCCGGATGATTCCGAGAGCTCGACCGCGCTCGAACGCGCCGCTCGATGATAAGGAGAGGAATTTTTCCCTCGTCGTCACTCTTTCGTTGTTACTCTTTTCATCGTTGCTTTTTGGAAACGCGACGGACACGAGCGCGATGAGAGTGCTCTTCACGTCATCCTTCGAGGAATAGGTCGACGAATGCAATTCGCAGCGGAAAGAAACGTCGTCGAATTCGTGCGCGATTTCGCACGAGATTTGATCATTATCTTCATTCGCGATTGCTCGCAGGAGCCAATTCCGGACGAACGGGGACGCGAAGTACGCGTTGTTGTTCTCGAATTGAGTCATATAATTTCGCGAAACGATGCGCGCGCGCGTTTCTCGCGCGTGATGTTCTCTTTCCGCGACGGATGGATTTGTCCGGGAAAACGACCGCAAAATCGACAGTTACGCGACCGCTCTTCTGAAGGGCTTCTTTTCTCTCTCTCTCTCTCTTTTGCCTTTGCGCGTGCAGAGAACGGATGATGCTTCGAATGCGCTTTCGCGTTTCGGGTTTTCCTTTCCCTTTCCCTTTCCGCTTTGGGAGAGCTTTCTTCTTTCTCTTCCTCTTCGTCTTCCTCTCGCCGGGATGGTTTTCCCCAAAGCCGGGAGGACAAAATCTGCATCGTCCGAAGTCCCTTTTCGTCCGCGTCGACGCGAGAGGAAGTTTTATTGGCAGCAACGGTGTTAGCAGCGACGGCACGCGCCACCACCACCAGTACGAGTATCGCGAACACGCGTTCGTCGGGTACACGGAGAAGACCAAGAAGACCAAGAAGAAGTGCACAGATGTGGTCCAAATGTGCGACAGTTGGGCTTCGAAGGGAGAGTGCGAAAAGAACCGGGAGTACATGTTCGAGAACTGTTGCTGCGGTGCGTCGTAGTAATAGCAGTAGTAGTAGCGCGACGATATTCCTCTTTCTTTCTCTCTCTCGCGCTTTTCGCTCTCTTTTACCCACCACCGCGGATGATGGTATCGATCGAGTCTCTCTGGGACGACGCGCTTTGCGTAAACGCTCGCTGACGACGCGTATATTTTAAAACGCGTATTATATCCACCTCTTTTGCTTTTACGACGCGCGGTAATTAACCACTACTCGCTTGTTACGCGCAGCGTGCGACGACGCGGAGTGTCCGTCGATGGAGTCGCCGCCGCCGAATGTTGACGACGTAAACGACGACGCGTCGTCTTTGACCGCGGCGAGGGAAGGTTTGATGGTTGACGAGAGAAACGTTTTAGTTTTGAAAGACGTGCGCTTCGGGGGAGGCGATGACGTAGGAGGAAACCGTCGGCGGATTAGGATACGGTTGCTGGAACGAAAAAGCCCGAAGATTGTGGACGCGTTCAAAGAGTTCGGGCGGAACGGTGTTTTGGGTACTTTTTACAGGTCAGAAGCTGTTCCGGAAGTTGGCGCGATAGATAATTACGGTGGGCCTGGACCACCGTACGCTTTGATACAAGCGACGCAAAACGGGAGGATGAACGGTGGAAGGATGCCGAGAGAGTTTGCGCCGATGGTCGAGAGAGGGTACGTTTGCTTGATAGGAGAAGGCCCAGATTGGTTCATAGCGATTGGATCTCACCACGAGTGGGGACACGGTCATAGCGTTTGGGGGATAGTAGAAGACGACGAATCGTTAGAAGTGGCAGACGCGATAACGCGACTGCCGATTAGACACGAAAAGTGGGGCCAGACCAACGTCACCGTTTTACTGGAAAAAGTGTCGTTCCAGTACGGGATAGAAGAGGTGGGTTACAAAAGAATATGAAATAATATGTGCTGGAAGTAGTAGTTTTTAAAAAGAGTCACTCTCTCATCGCCTTTTGTCTTCTCTCTCTTTTTCCCGCGCGTTCAGTTCAAATCGCAAAGCCGAAGAGAAGCAGAACAGCACGAGTCGCCCTCTTCTCCCTCTACTCACCTTTTGTCTTCGGAAAAAGAAGGGAGTCGGTGGGAAAAGGCATCGTTAGCATCGCGAGGAAGCCAGCCACGGCGCCAAGCAATAAGATGAACCCAACGATCGTCGCCGCAGCTTTATTCGGATACTCTTTCGCAGACCTCCCATCCTCGCTCGAGTCGTTTTCTTGAAGCAACGCTCTTCGTTTTCTTTGACTTTCGACGATCTCGTTCTCTTCTCGAGCTTGAGCAACCACCATTACTCCGAGCGCTCCCACGCGCTCCAAAACGTCCTCGATTTTCTTTTCCACAAACCTTTCGATTTTCTTCCTCTCGGTCGCATCTAATCCATCCAACGCCGCCATCCCACAAATTTCCGCGTACGCCACTTCGATTTCACTGGTATCTCTCGACGATGAAACTTTCCCTTCGCCGAACCTCTCCGCCGAGCGCTCCGAAAAACACGCCAACTCTTCGCTCAGTCGCCTCAAAGCGGAGGAGACGAGAACATCTCTAGACTTCACACCGGTTTCTGAAACCATCGCTCGTTCGTACGCGTCCGCCTTCTCCCTCTTCCCGCCGCCATCCATCTCCAGAAATTCAGCGCGGTTGCATTGCATCGACACCGATTCGCTTCCGCCGCACGACGACGACGCCTTGGCCTTCGCCGCGAACTCGTACATTGTTGAAGACGCCGACCACGAACGCGTCGGAGAAGGTGAAGAAAAAGAGGAAGAAACGAAAGATCCCTCCTCGCCTCCTCCGACGCCGCTGCTGCACACCGATATCAGAATAACATCTCGCTTTCGCGCGAAATCCTCCGCGCTAAACCTCGCGCTCAGCGTTTTCTCCGTTTCTTCTTCTTCGTCTTCCTCTCGTCGAACCAAATTTTCATCCGTCTCGTCGTCGTCTCGCTTCGTCGCGAGCGCGAGCACCGCTTTCAGCGTCGACTCGTGCCGAACGCGCGAAAAGCCGCCGTTCCTCGCCTCCACGTCCTCCTCTTCCTCCTTCTCCTTCTTTCCTCGCGAGTTTCTACCGCCGCCCAAGACGGAAATCGAGACGTGCCACGCGTTCTTCTCGTTCTTTTCCTCCGCCTCGCGCGTCGTCGTCGTCGGTGGTTTTGCCGCAGACGCGAACACCACCATCTTCGCCGTCGAGGAATAACGACGCGGAGACACCAAAAAAGACAACGCGAGGACGTGCACGAGCGAGAGGAGGAGGAGGACAAACGTCGTCGTCGTCGTCGCCGTGGAACGTTTCGACGACGAAAACGTCATAGAGTTGAGCAAGCGAGGTGAAAATTGTGAGAGAAAAGGCGAGTCATTCTACGTCTAAACAACGAATTTGGTACGGCGTTTAACTGACGGTACGAATCTCGAGCGCGCGTTTTGTGTTTTGAAGTGATGATCGTTGGCTAAAAAAAAGCGGAAACATGCCAAGAGTGTGTATTTATTCTGAGTATTAAAATTCGTAGTCTGCGCGGAGAAACAGAAAACTAAACAATCATCAAGTTACTCAAATGCGAGAGCGGCGATTTGGTCGACGATTTGAGATCCAAGACGCCTTCGCCGACGCGTTGTCGGAAGGCGAATTTCAGCTGATCGTAGTATAAAGCGCCGCGCGCGAGCATTTTTGCCTCGACTTCATCCGATGGGTTTACGTTCGCGCCTTCTCGCGAAAAGAGGAGGAGGGGAGATGTGTTGAGGAGCATGTTTCTTCCCATGAGCGTTTCAAAGAATGGATCCTGCGCGACGGCTTCTTTGAGTCGAAGGAATTCAAAGAGGATGACCATCTCGAGGAATAAGTCGCGTTCGCAGCGCAACACGAATTGATCGTAGAGGAATCGTTCGTTGTATCGATCTAGACATCCCTCGCCAATCGCGGGAGGAGTTAAGGAGCCTTTTTTGAGGCGGTCGGAGATGACGCGACGTCGTATTTGGAGAACGTACTCCTTGTCCTGGTCGCCTTCCGCAGACTTACGGAGATTTTGCTTTAAGCGAATAATGTCGAGTCTCCACGCGTTGAAAATGTCGCGAAGTTCTCCGATAAATGTCCCGACGAGCTTCTGAGAGTAGTCGAATTCTTCAACCTCAGTGCCGAGAATTTCTGAAATTTCGCGATCCGAAGCCAAGCGGAAACCGACGGTGCACTCTTCGAGCGCTTGCAAAACCTCGAGCAATGTCGGCAACTCTTTCTGTTTGAGTTTCGGGTCGACGATGTACTTGTGATCGAGTGGGAGTCTTCTGCACTCTTTCAGGAACGTTACCGCTGTATTTTTGCCCAAAATGAGCGCGGCGTTGCCCTTCAATCGACGCAGAATACCCGCGCGTTCTCGACGCATCGAGCGGTTCATATTCACCTCTTTCTGGGACATTTTCTCAATTTGAGGGTATCCAAATATTTTGCGTATTCGGTTTCTCATTTTGAGCGTGACCAGGTTCAAGTGAGGGAATACGTCAAAGATGACAAAAATAACGAGGGTAACGTACGTGATCGAGAGCAACGTCACCGTGATCCACGTCAAAGTATCCATAGAGACGTCCGACAGTTCCTCTCCAAAGCCATAAAACAGAAACCCAGCGAACAAGATGAAGAACGCGGCGGTGCTCGCTATCCATTCCATGATATCCAACATCGATTTATCGTACGGTCGCAGGCGCACGACGCCGAGCATCCCGGGAACGAGCACGAGCATAGTCATGAGACACTGATCGAGCACGTTTTGAAAAAATACCGGAGTGACGACCAAGGCAAACTTTCGAAAGATGTATACCAATTCCCACCACGAGTAAGACGACTCGTATCTTCGAAATACAAAACCAAAGCGTTGCTCAGCCTCTAATAACTGACCAGCCGCAACCGATAACGGTCGAGTGCGGACGTCAATCACGTCGCGTTTACGCAACAAACGTCGATGCGTAAAGAGGAGAACGGAGAGGTAGAACGGAATGCCGAGCGTGTAAATTATCATGAACAGAACGACCAGAGGAAATATTTGTTCGTGGACGCCGACGTAGCACTGCACGGCTGGATCGGCATCGAGCGACGAGCGACCATCCCCGCCTTCCACGCAATCGAAGTATTCAACGTTAATGTTTACGAGCTGCATGTACGACCAACTCATAAAAAGGAGGAAGGCGCTGTGCATTGCCCGAGCAAAAACTTCCGTTTGGTCTGGGGGTTTTACCGTCAAGAAGCGCTTCTTCATGCCAATCTTCTCGCGTCGACGTCGTCGACCTCCTCCTTCTTCTTCTTCTTCTTCTCCTCCGATGATATCATCTTCATCTTCATCTCCGTCGTTCTCGTCGGCAGTAGTGGCTTTCTTCTTCTCTTTGCCGTCGAGACGCTCGACGCTCGGATTTTTCAGAGTGGGATCCTGATCCTCTTCGAGTACAACTCCAAAGCATCGACCAATTGGCGCGTACACGTACGGCAGAAAGATTTTGTTGTGTAAGGTGACGATCAGTGTCACCACGAGAAACATGGAGCCGAGAACGAGTGGCCCAATGTTAACCAAGAAAAACTTCTTCGTCCAATTCCAAGACACGACGAAACAGTCGATCGAAAACAACTCCAAGTTCAAATTCACGACGCTCATGAGATTCAAAAGATCCAAAATTTCTTGAGGCCAAGCCAACTCGAGCTTTCGAAAGACGGATACGACTTGCGTAAAACCTACGATGATATTCACCGCACCAAAACCGTCTTGCATCTTTGACAGCAGGTTCAAAAGAGGGAGCGCGACAAACAAAAGAAGTGCGCCAAAGAGATACGGTAACCACGGGACATCCGGGCATTTTTTGCACCGCCCGTTAGAGCGAAACGCGTTGACGCGAGTGAAGTAAGGCGTGGCTTTCCCGTCTGAACATTCAGAACACGCTTCGCCCATGTACAGTTGATTCTCTTTTGAAATACCGCACACCCCGTTTCTGACGTCGTCGATGCTCGTCAACGCCGGGCAGGCTTCCATAGCAGCCGGCTCTATGCATTGTAAAATGCGACTCCCGTCGGTGGGATCGACCCACCAGCCCGCAGTCGGTAACGGAAACTGCTGATTTAAATCGTTGCACGATGCACCGGCGGCGCAGGCTTTACAGAACGGCGCATCTGTATTCGCTTTGTACACCGAGGCTACTGGGGCGGCGAAGCGAGGATCGATGCACGAATAACCGCCGTCGCTACACTCCGCGATCGAGGACCAACCCGGGAGGTTACTTCGAACGGTCGTGGGAAGACACGACTGACGACAGCAATCGCCGCAATCCCATCCACACTCTGGAACATTTAAAGCAGGGTTACAGACACCGTTGCCGAGCGAGGTTTCCGAAAGTCCCGCGGTGATGAGCGCCGCGCACGTTTGTTTGACGTGGCCGACGCACTTCATGGCGTCGCCGTTAGGATCCATGAGGCTTACGTAGTTTCCGTCGCCGTCTTGAGGAACAATGGCATCGTTACCAACGTCCGCAAACTCAGTGTGACTCACGATATCGACGTGGAGAGAACCATCCTCATACGAAGCGGAAGTTCCCGACGTTTCCGTGGTAAAATAGGATTTCGTCTGATCGGTTGCCTTGTATTTCGACCACAACTCTGACGCGCTCGTCTCCGCGTAGTCCGTCCAGTACCCAACCGGGCACACGCATTGTTGCAAACTTGAGGAACCGAGTTGCTCGGTTTCAATTGCTAAACCTGCCCCGTCGAAACAGGGCAGACACTCAGATTCTCCGTATCCGGGCTGAAAAGATCCAGCCGGGCATTTCGCGCACTCCGTTTGAGCGGCATTCGCGGTGATTTCACCCGGAGGACACTCTTTACAGGACGTTTGGTCGAATTGACCGACTTGATTGAACCACCCTGGAGAACAGGCAAAGCATCGAGAAGTATCCCACCACCAATCCATATATCTGTGACCTGGGGCACACCGCGTGATGAGATTTACGGTGGCGTAATCAGGCGCTACCGGTCTCTTCAAACCCATCGCGTCCGTAGCTCTCCACCGAATCGCCACGGTTCCTCGCCGCTTACTCGGCATTTGAACGATGATCACACCACCGGTAACCGTCTTTTCCTCCGTAATGGATGTCCACGTTAACCTCGCGCCTTTTGTACCGTCGGTGTTTGCAACGAAAATTTGTACGTCGTCATCCATCTCTCCGTCGTTTAGAGGCGCTAAAAGCACCGGTTCGCTCAAGAACCCGTTCGACTTCGCGGGTTCCACGGGCGATCCTGATACTTGCTTGTTGAAATCACGCTCTTCATCCATATCATAAGATAGGAGCGCGATTGCGGCTTCAACGACGTGATCGGGAGAACCCCACGAAGCGGAAACGCAAACGCCCAAAAGTAGCTGGCATCCGGCGCTGGCGACGCACGACGTCGCGTCGTTCCCGAGCCCAGCGCAGATTTCCATGCCCGCACGCGCCGTTTCTCCTCCCATGGGAATGTACCAATCATGTGTGAGCTTAGTAGCGAACATCAAAGGAATTTCACCGGCAGCTCGAGTCTCGAGAGCGTTTGAAAGCGTCAAGAGTTCTGCGAACAGACCCGACAAAGGAGACAACGAAGCCGGGACAAACACCCCATCTTCGTAGGTCAACGCCGCGCGCGTACGAACTCGGATATCTTCCAGCGAATCTATCGCAACATCTCCAACTATAATCACATCGTTACACAGAGGATGGCTCGATGCAAACGAAGATATCTGAAGCAAAGTAGCAGAAGTACCGGAAATTGCCAAATTTTCCATCGTGCGCGGCGCTTCGCACGCGAGAGTCGGTCGGTTGTTCACCGGCTCGATGTATACGTATACTTTCATTGATTGGGAAGCGTCTCCATTCGTATCCGTGGCCTTTAATTCAAAGGAATCGTAGCCGTAGTACAGCGAGTCTGGAGTGTAGACAAACTTACCGCACGCCTCGTATTGGTTGCACGGACACGAGACGGTGACGCCGGCGGTTTTGAGCGGCGAAGTGAGCTCACCACAGACAACCGAGGAGAAAGAGACATTTCCAATCGATGGCGGAGGTGCAGCCAAGAATTCTAGATCCTCCGTCAGCGTTTGCGAATCTATAGCGTAAAACACACCGGAATACGCAATGTTCTCTTCAACGTTGTACGCAAGTTCGAAATTCGAGGAAGTAGTCGACACAACTGGAGGCGTCGACGCCTCGTCTGCATCTGATTTCACGACAATACTTATTGATCCTTTCGCAGTTCGTTGATTTGCGTCGACCACGATGTAGCTGAACGTATCGGTGAATGATTCGTCCCTGGTGCCGTCAGCATTTACGACCCTTTCGTCGTAATCGCTTTGAGAGATGCTGTACGCGAACGGCGATTTACCTTGTTTAACGCCGAGTTCGCTCACGGATTCATCCGTAAACGTCAAGGTACCAACCGGCGCTCCTCCGTCCAGACGTATGAAACTAATAATGCTCGCGAATTCTTCATCTGTAATCGCGTCGGGATGACTGACCGGGAAATCAAACTCCTTTGGCTCCCACTCGACTCTGAAATTGTACGATTTGTCAGCCGCAACGGGATCGTCCGCTAAGGGGTTAATGTAGACGCTAAACTGAAAAGGCACAGAAGATTGACCGGTGCTGTCTTTGGCGATGGCAAAAAACGAATCCTCGCCGTTCGCGTTTGCGTTTGGCGTATACGATACGGCCCCGGTTGTAGAGTTCAACTCTACTTCACCCTTATTTGCGACGCAATTAATTTCATACGTAATTTCGCTTTCAGTGTCGCTATCTTTGTCGTCGACTCGGATTTGATAGCCGCTCACTTGGTTACCATCCTCGTTCAAAAGAATTTGTTGAACTTGTACCGCGTTGAGCGACAAACCAAGAATTTCTGGGGGATCGTTGACGACTTGAATTGTCAACGCTCGAGTCGCCGATGCCGTTAGTGCAACGAGACCGGCTCCCGGGACGTCGGTAACCTCAAAGGTAATCGTTCTGCTCAAAACTGTCGGATTATAACTCGTACTCTTGAAAGTGACCGCTCTGAGAGCTTGTTGATAATTTGCGATCGTATCAATACCGGTAAACGTAATCGTCCCAGCCTGAATCAAACCTTGGATAGTTGTACTGAGGGTTGCGCCTGAATAACTCAATTCATCGCCCTCGGTACCCGCGGGTGAGAGTGTAACTTTAGCGCTGCTGATTTGCGTCGAATCATCATCCGCAATGGTCAGCAATTGCGCGACATTTTTAGCATTTGCTCGTTCAACGTATATGTTCTCGGAAGTACTCGTAGTCATCACAGGTGCGTTATTATAACCCACGACGGTAATGGCGTGTCTATCTGTCCCAGCGACATTGGTCGTCGTGTATCCGGTGTACTTTTCTGAAACCGTGAAGGTAACGTCCCTCACGTACTGAGTTCCGTACCACGGATCCTTCTCTGAGTTTACATACTGGATTGTCCGGAACATTTTTTGCGCTTCGTCTACCGATATTGTCGTCGTCGTAGTAACGCCAGAAATTGTCAATATCCCGTTTGATATATCAAACGTCGCTTTGAGATTGGCGTTCCTCGTGTTATCGATATATACGCCGGAGCTACACGTTCGCGATTGCGTCTCCGCAGTCACTTCCGAGTATGCCGGCGCCCAATTGTCCGTCACACCATCCACCAGCGTGCACTTGATAGTTAAGTAATCTTGTCGACTAAAATAATTCGTCACAATCTTGGCTGAAATAGAATCTAATGACGCAGTCCCGCTGAGCGTAAGTACGCTCGCAATCGTTACTGGAGTCAACGTGACCTTGGAGTTTTCCTCATAAAACGTAATATCGTTCGCTTCACCGTACGCAGAGATAGTAACAGTCGGTTTGACAGCTGCAACCGTATACAATGAAAACGAATTCGTGAAACACGAAGCGATAACATCGTTGGTTCCAACCACTTGCGATGTGCTGATCCCATCCAATATTTGCCACTCAGAGGTCGCATCTTTAGAGTCAGCACGCATGCACTGGCAATACGCTCCCTCTGCCAAGCAATCGACAGAATCGAGCGGAATTGTTAGTTCAACCGGGGAGGCGAAACTAACAGAGAGATCGGCAGTAGAATCGGATGATGTCATCTTATATTCAATGATTGACGTTTTCGTTTCATACTTTGTCGCGTCTTCGATAGCTAAAATATTAGATCCCTCTTCAGCTTCAATAATGGCCGTTTCTACATCAATTTTGAGACCCGGCCGCTCTAAAATTTCCTGAGGTATCGCGTTGGCTGGAATTTTCACCAAAACTACGCCGTCAGAATTATTTACTGTAGTCTCTTCAGTCGCCGCGGCAGTAGTATCAATAGGCTCTTCCAATTTCTCCACGTACAGTTTGTCCTTAATGGTCAACGCTAGGGTATGCGGAGGCAACGAAGCATACCTTGCATCTCCGGATGCGACGGATATTTTTAAATTTGAACTTCGCGGAGGAGGGTGAAGGCCTGTTTCGTGCGTATCCGCGGGAATGGTCAAGGTGACCTTCAACGCAGTTTCCGTGGTGACGTGGTCAGTCTTAGCCGCAAACGTGTGTGTGGTCGTTACCGAGTCGTCGAGACGTATTGTGAAAATTCCGCAGTTGCTGTAGGTTAGACTTAGGTCCTCTGTACAATCTTCGGTAACGGTAAACGTAACCGCCTCTTCCGGCTTTGTTTTTAATCTCAGCCAATAGACGTACGAGGTCTCCTGAGTGCTTTCCTGTATCGTATCGAACGCAAGATTCGCGGTACCCGCGATGGCTTTCGAAAAAGTAAAACCAGCAGTATCCGCGTCGGTTACGGTTACCGTAATGGAGGGAGTTGTACTGCTTAATAAGTTCGTACGCTCATAGACTTCATCATCAGTGGTAGTGAGATGCTTTATAACGTACGATAATGATCCGTCGATATCGATGTAGTCTCTTTCCTTTGACTTGACTTGAAAGGTAAGAGCGTTCGTCCGCGCAGTTTCGGGAGTCAACGTTATGGAAGGTGGGTTGATATCAAGGTTACCTACCGCTTGCGGCGTCACGGTAACATCGCCATCTGGAATCGTAGCAAGCTTGACTGCGTAAGAAAAAATACCACCATCTTCATTGAACGTCCCTGCACTTGGCGTGAAAACAAATGCAGCTGTGTCGACATCAGTAACGGATACGGTGACAAGATTTTCTCTCAGAAATAAAATTGCGACGCCGTCTTTGGTGCCGTATCCCGTGGTATCCGCAGTCGTGCCCGATAGTCTGACGTTGATTTTCTTGGTAACATCTTTGACCTTGTAGTCTCGAGGATAGGTCACACGAACTTCTTTTGGGGTTTTCCAGTCCGTGGCTGACGTTGCAGAGAACGTAACCGTCGAGGGCGAAAAGGAGAGAAGTGCCGAATCTGTTGTCGAACTGTCCTCCAATTTTAAAGTGACTCCCGCGTTCGGTTTACTCGTCAATTCAATCGTAACTTTTGCATCCGTACCTCCTTCCGTGAGCTCTAGTTCCGCAGGGCTCATTCGCGCGCCGGCGCTATGAATATCCATCACTGTAATACCCTCAACTGTAGTCGTTACACCATTATATGCCGTTAAAGCAGACGCGGCAGTCGCCGTCAACGAGACAATTTTGTTCGCCGCGGCTTCGCCGTCGTCCTTCGTCGACGTGTACGCAATTGGAACTTTGTAGCTCCACAAATACCCGAGGACATCTGCGTCGGTTTCAATAACCTTTTGGCATATGCAACAGTTTTTCTGGGCCGCAGTTGTAGTACACGGTATTAAGGTTGATGTTTCAAGACAACAAAAGACTACTTTTGAAGGAGACACCTCTACGCCTTCGTCTTGCGACCCTTTCGCGAGAGACACGGTAATTTTGTCTCCCGAAGGTGGCGCGGCAGAAAGGTAAAGTTCCAACGGAAGCGAAGAACCTTCGTTAAATTCTTTAGAGGTAGCGTCGAGCTCCAACGCACCTTTGTCGTTATCCGTGAGAGTGACAGATACCAACGCTTTAAGTGTGGCACCATCAAAGCTTGCGAATTGCCCCGTCGCCGTTGCGACCTTGTGCGTTAGAGTAATTGTTCGATCACCATCCAGTATTTCATTTGGCTTTGGTTTGAAGTGTACTTCCATCTTAATTGAGTCACCACACTGAGCCGGAATGAGTATTTCGTTCTCCACGTAGTCAACGTTGGAGGCAGTACTCAACTCCAACTGTCCATCCATACTCGCGGTGACACGAATACTTACACAATCCAGAGCCCCGAGAGTAACGCCAGACTCAGTATCTTTTGTGACTTGTACGATATAGTTGGAGTTCAGGTTTACGTCTTCTTCACTCAGAGTGAAGGTCGACTTGCCGTCTTTTATCGAAAATCCCAACGTTCTGACATCAAATATCTTCGCCTTTTCATCGACTACAAAAGTAGAGCTAGAGGCGTAACGCTGAAACTCTTCGTGCGTATTTTGCGAGATCAACTCTTTGGCAACCAAAATTATGGCATAATCCGTACTCGGTTGAACTGTAAACCCGATTGAGCCCGCGGGATCTTTGATGTTGGTATGCGACGTCACCGCATCGCTGCTTTTGATCGTGTGTACCGTATTCGCTGCCAAGCCGGAGACAACGCCGGCGGCGGCGATGGTCATGCCCGCGAACTTTTCATTCGCAGGGTCAAAATTAATGACCATGGCAGGAGTCAAGATGTTTTGCATGACCGTGCTCGTCTTTCCTTCAATGATGAGCCAATGCACATCAACATCGGAGTCCAACTTAAATTGAATTTCAAAACTCGACCCGAGGATGTTCGTCGCTTTCGGCGTGGCTAAAAACCTCGGCTTCGTTACATCTGGAGCAGGCGGCGGCGGCGGGGTTGGCGGGGGTGGAGGCGCGAGAGCCGCGACCGCGGTCGGTGCAACGATATTAGATATGCTTGATAATCCAGCACTAGTTAATTGAGTCGTCATTTCCGTTGTATCCGTGACAATCAATTTCGTCTCGATATTTGTCGTATCGGATATTGTGGTTGCTTCCACGGTAAATTCGACTTTCAAAACAGAGTCGACTGCCGAAAGCTTTCTTCGAGCAGTCACATCCGTGAAGGATGTAATCGATATAGCACCAAAACCTACACCTAGATATTCCGACATGCCAATTTTGAACGCAGTCTGTTTTTCTTCGTCAAATTCTACTTTGGAGTAGCCTGTGATTTGCAAACTTGCCTCGACTGCCGCTTGTGCCGGCGGCGGACTCGGCGGAGGCATCGGCGGCGGCGGCGAGCAGTTTCCCAAAATCTCACACGCAAGCGGCGGTGGCGATGGTGGCGACGGTGGCGACGGTGGCGATGGCGGCGGTGATGGCGGCGGTGATGGCGGCGGTGATGGCGGCGGTGATGGCGGCGGCGACGGTGGCGGTGGCGACGGTGGCGGCGGCGACGGCGACTTTGCCTTGCACTTGCTAGGCTTCGTCAATCCGTTGGCTTCCGGGGTGCACGCATATAAGTTATTAAAAGCGTCAGCACCACCGAAAATTTGATTAGAATCCGTGAGAGCATCTTCTGCCCAAGTCTCTAAGCTTTGACTGAAAGCTTTCGCGTCATAAAACATAAAATTCATTTTTACGACTGAGGCCACATTCCATTCTGAGATGTCTCGGTTGAACGCCTCTGCGCCATAAAACATCGAGTCCATGGTTGTTACCTGTGAGGTTTTTTTCTTCCAATTGCCGATATCTTGATCAAACGCTTTCGCTTTGAAAAACATATTCGACATATCCCTGACAGAACTCGTGTCCCACCCCGTGATGTTTCCATTGAATTGAGTCTTCTCATTGAACGCTGAATCCATAGAGGTGACGAGCGACGTATTCCAATCGCTGATTGGCCCGAATATAGAATCGGAGCAAATCCCGTAGACTGGATCGTCCGAAAGACAATCATTCACTGCTACTTTAAAATCTTTATTTTCATCGTCACCCCGCGAAACGAAGTCAAGTTGACTTTCGCCTTGCCTTTTGACATCATCAGTATCTGCAAACGTGGCTCTTCTGCAAACAGGCTCGCTGAGAACGCCAAGCCTACACGTGTACCCTTCGTATTTGGTACCGTCCTCACTCGCGAGAATGTATCCCGGAAGACATGTTGGCTCACAAGAACAGCCATCAGAGCCGCATAGACCATAGTCGTTCATATACCATTCGCACGTTCCGGACGAATTTCCATTCGTTGGCATTAATCCATCTGGTATCGGACAGGATTTTGCTTGGCAGTACACGTCAGCATTCTTACGTCCATCGTCGCACGTGATCGAAGTAGGTTGCGGGAGGAGATCAATGCGTCGAATATAAGACATCTCATAATTCGAGTAACAATCATTAGGAGTTGCTATCGTGCTGCCCCACCTGGAGCAATTATGACTCGCCTGAAAAGCAGTTGCTTGATAAAAAAAACTTCCTTCGAGAAACAAATGGGACCCGTCGTCAGTGTACTCAATTTGATTATTATAATCAATAGCATTCCACAAAGCGATGGTGACTCCGTACCAATGCCTTATCGTATAATTAAAGCTCGAGGCACCGACAAACATTTCGTCCGCAATTTGCACATTGTCGGTGTTCCATCCGGAAATGTCCGAGTTGAACTTCACGCAGTTTTTGAAAATTCCAGCCATTGACGTGACCGAAGACACGTCCCAACTCGAGAGATCGGCGTTAAAAGTTGTCTCGTAACCGGCAAAAAGATTGGACATGTCTAAGACTTTGGAAGTGTCCCAAGTAGACATTGGTCCACGAGTTCCAGAACACGTTCCAGAAGTTGGACTTTCATCGAGACACGACTTGACAGCCGATCTGATTGAAGCATCATCCAACTGTTGGGCACTAACCCAGGTATCACTAACCGCCGTACAGCTCGAAAAAGTAGGAGCGTCAGAAAGGAGAGCGCACTTCCATCGGGCCTTAAATCTGGTTGCACCAACAAACATGCTCGTTTTCGTGAGAGAGCCATGCGTATTTACCCAACTCGAAATATCGCCTTTAAACTGCGTTGCACTTTTGAACATTTCGATCATATTTCTCACGTTATATATGGCCCATGACCATGACGATATGTCTTGATCAAACTCGGAACATTGATAAAACATTCTCTCCATGGTCGTCACAGAGTCTACCTGCCAATTTTTGAGGTTGCCGTTAAAACTTTCATACAAATTTCCAACGAATCCATCCGGCCACGTGTATTCTTTATAAAACGCTTCCTTCATATTCGTCACTTTCGAGACGTCCCAGTCGGGCATCGTTCCGTATCCGGTAGCCTCGTCGTAGCCATACGAGTAGCACTGCCCAAAGATGGGGTCCTCCTGAAGACACGACGCGATAGCCTCGAAAAAGGTATTATCAGTCAAAGCGACCTTGTTATAATTCTTATACAAAGTAATATCGTAACCCTCGTTACACGTCGGGAGACACGTGCTTCCAGATTCAAGCGTCGCGTATTCAGAATCATTTGCCGAAGTACAGTTACCATAGGTACCTTGCCATATTTCATAAATCGAGCAGCTCTCGTATTCGCGCGGCGGCGGAGAAGGCAGCGGTGATGGCGGCGGTGATGGCGGCGGTGATGGCGGCGGTGATGGCGGCGGTGCTGGCGGTGGCGGACTTGGAGGCGATGGCGGCGGTGGCGGCGAAGGCGAAGGCGGCGGCGAACAGTTACCAGCGTCGACACAACTCGCCGGCGGCGGCAAAGGCGGCGGCGAAGGCGGACACATTGAAATTTCAGCAAAATTTTGCCACGTTGATGGTTTTTGAACGCAGTTTGAGCACAGGTACGACCAAAACGGATTCACCGAGCACGGCACGTTGATGGCCAAATCGGCGTTATTATCGAGCATTTCAAAACTCGAAAAGTTGGACGCGGTCAATTGATTGCTTTCAAAGGTCAAAAAGTTGACGCTGCTCAACTGAGGATTTTTGGAAATGGAAACTTTCTTCGCGCAATGGGCGCACGCATCGTCCGGTAATTCGTCCAGCATCATCTCGAGCATGGTCCATTTACTGTAACAATGCCAAGTAGTCTCACTACCGATATTCGAAACTGATCCAGCGCCCCACACGCGTTCAGCTGAGCATGCATTACTCCCTGTTTTCTCACAGCCCAAGTAATACCTAACGCCACTAACGGTGATCCCATTCTCTTCCATGTCTTTGTCCAAGATGGTGTTCCCACCTTGAATGACAAACGTGTTCCAGTCCGTGTAATGTTCACAATAACCACTAGACGCCTGTGCAGCGGCTGCCAGGCACCACTCGTACTCCTCGCACAAGTTCAAACAGATATCCAGTGCAAATTTGGGGTCAGTCGACTGTATGCTACGTCCAAGATAGATCCCCAACCCCCCACTTTCTTCAACGCAATACCCCTGGCCCCGGTAAACAAACGCTTGTTCCACGGACGGCGAGGAGAACGATGTCGCGTTCACAAAGGAAAGCGCCTTTGCATCGCCTTCGTTTCCGACGATCGAAGTCATTGGCGCGAATTCGCGCAAACTTCCCGTAGCGGCGACAAATTGCGTCGCAGAACTCATTTGCGTGTAATCAAAGCTCAATATGTGATGCACAACGGCGAGATTTTCCATCGCGAGCGAAGCAATTTTGGTCACGCTTCCAGCAGCAATGGTCTGTGCGTCCGTCAATACTGCTTGCGTGATATAACCAGTTTCGACCGCTGCGGACGTTAGCGTAAACGGATCCAAGACAGTTCCGATACCGAGCTTATTTATTTCGTCCAGTTTGGGAAGATTAATGGTAAGACCCGAGACCGAATCAGCCTGTTTTATATTCGCCGAGTAACAACTGGTTGCTCCTGCGGCGCACTCGTAACTTATGTAATACCCAATCACAACATCCCCGCATCGCGTCAAGAGAGGCGCGTCCACCTTGGTCAACTTTGGATTGTTGTACACCAACAAACCGCCGACGAGAGTCGCATGGCCGTCAATTTCGCCAAGTTTTGGAAATTCAACCGTCGACAACGCCGAATTATTCCGCACATTAATTGTGTCAAAAGTGAACAGTAATTCTGGCGCAGAGAAACTTGTCAAAGCTTCGTTCGATTCCAAATCCAAACTCGTGGCGTTGGTCAAAAGCGGGACAGAAATTGACGTCAATCCTCTCGAACGCCTGACTATCACTTCACCTGTAACAGAAATCAAAGCAGGGAACGAGACTGACGTAATCGCTTGATCACCATTTTTATTCTTTCCGAAATTAAAATCAAACTCGATGTTCCCAGATATGGCTTCTACGCCTGTAAATACGAGCTGCGTCGCGACCGTCACGTTATCGCAATCCTTGTAAATCGGAGAGCTTCGCGACGCAACATACTCCACTCGTCCTGTCACATACGAACCGATCGATATAATCTCGACGTAACCATCCATTGAATCCGTCCACGAATAAATGCACGCTGTTGGTGGTGGCGAAGGCGGTGGTGGTGGCGAAGGCTGACTCGGCGGCGGCAGCGGCGAGGGAGGGAAGCTGTATTCAACTTTAGGCGTACCTTTTCCAAAAGTAGCCGAGGTGTACCACGAATTTCCCGATCCACTTACTTGCGGACCTAAGAGAATAGTCAACGACGAACTCTGGCCGCTCGTCACGTCCGTGTTGTCGCTGATATCAATTCCATACTCTCCCGTACACATCGCCCCGTCGTCGAAATCGCAGCTTTCTATACTTCTCAACCCGATCGAAACCAATTTTTTATTATCAGTTATTTCCAAACCTTTATTGTTAGCGTCGGAACCAATCGATCGCGTCAACGCATCGAGAGAAATGGCGGTCAAAGCTTTGTTTCCGTCAACGATTAACCTCGCCGTGTTCAAAGTTAACTTTGGCAAATTAAATTGCGCGAGCGCGGCGTTTGAAGACACGTATATGCCGTCACTGGTTTCTAACAGTGGTAAATCAATCGTCGTCAAAATAGGGCACGAATCAATCTTCAACTCTCCTCCGATCGTTTCGAGTTTACTCGACGACAAGCTCGTCAACTTTGTGTTCGACGATACCTGAAAATTGCTCGAAACTTGCGTCAACTCTGGAAAAGAAAGCGAGGTCAAATTCGCGTTCGCTTCGCCGGTCCCCTCGCCACCGATTTTGATATCACCGGCAACCGTGACGAGATTGGGAGCGCTGAAAGATGCCAACGCGCTTTGACCGTTGACAATAAAATTCCCATCGATGGTCTTCACGCCGGTTAAATCCAGCGAAGTGAGGGTTTCCGAGGAAGAAATAATCTGCAAACCTCCTTGCAATACTCCGTCAGAGGTGACGTCTTTGCACGATGTGCCTGAAACCAACGCGGTGAGCGTATCTTTCGTGCACGTGAGCGAAGAGCACGTGCACACGCCAGCTTCTGTCTCCCAATACGACGGTGGACCACACGTATTACCGCACAGTACGCACGCATCCGCGGTACACTCGTACTTATCCGCAAACTTAGCGTCTCTAAACATATCTTCAAACGTACAGCCAGATCCCGGTTCCCACCTGGTAATATCTTGCACGAACGAAGTCGCGCCTTCAAACATACCGTTCATATTTGTAACCTTCCCCACATTCCAACCGTCAATGCCTTGATCAAACTGGGAGGCGAACCTAAACATATCTTGCATATAAGTCACTTGCCCGGTGTTCCAGTTCGAAATATCTTGATCGAAGTTTGTCGTGCTGGCAAACATCTCCGCCATGGTCGTAACCTGTGAGGTGTCCCACTTCGTGATGTTTCCGTTAAAAGGCTTGTCTTTGAAACTTTGCGCCATGTTTTTAATCGCGCTCGTGTCCCAATCCTTCATCGACCCCCATTTTGTCATGGAGCAATCGCCCGTAATGTCCAATGGCCGTAATTCGCCCGTAATGGCCGGGTACGAAGCGCTCAAACACTCGTCGATTGCTTCTTTAAACTTATCGTCCGTGTCAATCGGACACGATTCAAACGCAACCTTTTCCAAAGTCTCGTCTTGTAATCGATAATACGTTCGAAAGTCGTTGAAAAACTCATCCCCTGACTCGAATCGGTCGTCGATGGCAAACGTCGTCGTCGCAGAGGCGTCGTCTTCGTACGCGATGTCCGTGATCGAAGCCTTCGTCGTGCCACTCGTCTCCAAATCCGTCGCCGTCACGCACGGGTCTGCGATATTGCAACTCAAAGAAGAGTCGCTATTCGAGCACAACGGCAACGAATAATTCAGCGGTTGTTGATAGTAAGATTGGGCATCGACTGCCCAAAACTTCCCGCTTCCCGTTCTTGAGAAAAAACAGTCGCACGCGAAGAAGGCGATCAGCAGAGAAAACAACGTCGTCGCTTTCGATCGACCTCGTCTCGATGTTGCTCCTCGCGCGTTCATGTTTTTTTCTCCTTTGCTTCCGCTGATTTTTTGGGTCGACGAAAGCGCAAGAGTCGCGATCGTCGGCCCTCTCGACCGAAACAAAAATTCTCTCTCTTACTCTTACTCTTACTCTCTCGAAAGGCGAAAAGATCGAGGTAGGCTTACCGCGCGATCGCTGCTCTCAGCGCTCGAGCCGAATTCGCGCGATCGTATGTACGTTTTCCTCTCTTTTTTGTAGTTCTCCCGCTACACAGGTGAAAAGAAGAGGAACAAATTGTTGTGCGGATGCGAGAGCGAAATTCAAACAGTGATGAGTAAAAAGTATATAGGTTAAAAAAAATCTGTTGAAATTTTTTTGTGCTGGCGAATTTTTTTTTAAAAAGTTTTCCTATGCAAAATCTCTTTCTGTTGCTCTCCGATCCCTTATGTAGGAGTAAACTCTGGAGTCGTCGTCGAAACGATCGCCGCCGCCGCGCTCGTCGTTTTTTCCTCCAGAGTTTTATCATCATCATCATCATCATCATCATCATCTCCTCCTCCTCCTCCTTTTTCTTCTTCTTTGTCTATTTCTATCTCTTCTATTTCTATTATCTTATCTAAATCTTCGTCTTCTTCGTCGCGTAAATGTTCGTGGAAATAGTTTCGGTGCTCCGAGACTATGGAGTCTTTGACGTGCGTCACTTTCTTGCTCACGACGTCGGCGCCGCCAAAGACTTGGAGCCAGTATATTCCGGCGAGTTCTAAGTGGCGCGCGAGAGGGAACCATCCGATTTCGCGTGCGAGCGACCAGAGGAGCGACCAGGCGACCCAATATTGAAGTTGCGCGCGGAGTTTTTCCGTTCGCGATGTCGTTATTCTCGTTCTCGTTCTTTCCTCCTCTTTGTTTCCTTCTCCATCTCCAGTGTTTGGCGCGCGCTCGTTTGTTATTAAGAAGAACGTGTTTTGCATCTTCCCGTTCACCAAAGATGTGTTGATTGCTGCTTTCGTGGACGAGTTTGAAGATGAAGACGTGATCGTTTCCAAGGATTTCAAGCAAGGAACAAAGACGCCGGCGATGGCGCATCCGTACCTACAAAACATCCCCGGAACGAGGAAAAAGAGCGAACACACCAAAAGAGCGCCGGTTGTGTTCTCCAACGCGACGCGCGAAATTTCACCCAGCCGCGGACTAAACATGCCTATGATAGAAACGCACGCGCGCAACCACACGATGATGACTCTTTTCGACGCATCTCTGAGTTTCCTCGTCAACGCGTTTCTGTAGCCGACTAAACCGCCGCCGCGATTTTTCGTCGTGAGCTTCCTCCTCGCTCGTCTTTGTTTCCTTTCCACTCTAGTAGGTGGTAGCGGTGGTAATTCACCTTGACTGAGGCGATGACGACGTCGACGACGAAGCTCACCGGTGTAGTCTTCATCGTATTTGTCGCCTCGTCTTTTCTTTCTTGATGAGAAAAGCCTCAAAGAAGATTCCGACGCCGCAGACTCTGAAGACGAGGAATTCAGCATATCCTCCGCGTCTTCCTCGATTCTTTTCTTCTTCTTCTTCTTCTTCTTGTACTTGATACTTTTATTACGCGCCTGTTTATCATTATCATCATCATCATCGTCATCATCATCATCGCGACTTTCATGATCGATGCTATCTTCAGATCTATCGTCGTCGTCTTCGTAGAATACGCCATCCTCTTCCGCATAGTCAGCGTCCGTTTCTTCGTCTACGTCCGAACGCAGCGCCGAAGCCATCATCATCGAAAGACTCGAAGCGCTACCGCTACTCTTCATGTTCATCTCCCCTCTCCTTTTCTTCTCCCTCCTCCTTCGTCGTCGCGCCGACGCAAACCTTTTATACATCGGCGCAAACACCGTATCTACGGTGAAATACGCCCCATTCATGAGCGGCATCTCTAGCCAAAGAACAAAGACGCAGCACATCTCCAGCCAAGACGGCCAAAACAAACTAACGCTGGTGGATAGAAAAGGCACGTCCGCTAAAAGCGCTAAAGGGCCAATCGCAACCCAATATCTGGCCCATTTCTCAATCTCCTCCTCCTGCTCCTTCTTCGCTTTCGCATCTGCGTTTTCTCCGTCACCGGCGTCGTATTCGTCGTTCTCTGCCTCCTCCAATCTATCACCTTCTAACGCCGTCAACGTCATAAAAATTGGATATAAAAACCCAACGCTCGCGAAACAATACCTCGTCCTCAACACTGAAACCCTCAACACGGTTGGCACCGCTCGTGTTACGACCACCTTGGCGCAATAAAAGAAAATCGCGTGCGGCACCACCTTCCCCAAAAAACCAAGAAACCTCACCGTCCTCTTCCGAAATTTCCCTCCCGACTCCGCGATAGCTCTAGGAACCGCTTGGGTCCAGAACACCTTCAACCGTCGCATCCTTCTCGTCCACCTCGCCAACGGTTCCCACACTTTCCTCCTTGCCGCTCTCTCCGCTTTCCTCCAACTCTTCCACGCGCGTTCCTCGATTACAAAACGTTTCCGTTCCACCGCCGCGCGAACCATCATCCACTTCGCCCCAAACCGTCTCACCAAAACCTTCCGCGCGACCAGCGCGCCGTTGCGCACAAACGAAAACAATGGAACACACGCGATGCCTTTTCGCGCTAAGGAAACGAAACTCCCTCGCCGCGCGTAGGAGGCCCGCGCCGCCCCGTCGCCTCCCGCTTCGGCGGCGTCTTCATCCTCGTAATACTTCCCCCGCCGCGACGACGAATGCATAACAAACCTCGCCATCCACAACCCTACCCGTTTCCCTCGATCAAACGTCGCTCTTTTCAATCGCATCGCCGCCGGCCAACTCGCCTTCGCGAATAAATACGCCGCCGCTCTCGCGCTGCGCAGAGATAATTCGAGCAACTCGTGCGTCTCGAGCGAGTCCACGTCCTTCGAGACCGACGAAAACGATTCAGACGGCGACCACGCGCCGCAGGCAAACTTGTCGTCGTCACGAAGAAGCGTCTTCTTTTCCTCTTCTTTCTCGCCGCTTTCGTCGTCTCGTTTTTCAACGCGATCGAAATCGTCCTCCTCGTCCACTCTTCCTGGCGGTTTCTTCCGACGACTTTTCACGCGCAGACCGTCGCGCGCTTTTGAGTGCGCAGACGACGACGAGGGAAAAAAGAAGGGCGAGGATCGCGACGCGGGGTGATGATACCACCACCACCGTCGGAAACACGAGGCGAACACGACGCCGAAGAGGAACGCGAACGCGAGGTGTCTTCTCTTCGTCGCCCGATGCGTCGTTGATGCATTCCTCCGTGTCGACGAGGGAGCGTCCGTCGTCTTTGTTTCCTCCTCGGGGAAAGCTTCCGCTTCCTCCATTTTGAGTGAAGATTTTCGCACGCGCGAGCGATAGAATGTGCGCGTGTAATAAAGCGACGACGGACGGGCGAAGCGCTCATTGTTAGAGTTTACTTTTCGTCGCGCACATACGGTTGATATCATCGCGTCGTCGCCTTCAAAGGACGCGTCTAAAAGGTGCTCGTAAAGGGCGTGTACGAAGGCGGAATGAAACGGCGAAATCTTGGTCTCGTCGTTGCGTTCGTCGCGCTTTTGTTCGCGCTCTCGCGCCTCGCGTGGACGACGAAACAGCGCTCGAGTTTGCCGCTGATGTCGCCGTCGTCGTCGTCTTCTTTTTCTTCGACGACGACGTTTGCTCTCCGGGACGGCGACGGCGAGAAGAGTTTGCAACGAAAAGAAGAAGAAGAAGAAGAAGAGGAGGACGAAGAGGAGGAGGAGGAGGAAGAAGAAGCCGCGAGGACGAAATCGTCGACAGGAACGGATGAGATGCCGTGGTTCCCGGAGAACATGGAAACGAGAATACGGGATATCACCGCGGAAATTAGGAAAACGCTCGTGGAAGAGAACGGATGGCGGCGACCGAAGATATACACGCGGAGAGAGGATACGGACGCGTTGAAGATGTTCGATGGAATTGAGAAGGAAATCGAGACGTTTAAAGGTGACGCGGAGGAGTGGAAGAGAGTGCACGCCGTAGGTGGTGCGGATTCTTTGGGCGTGGTGTACATGGCAACTGGGAATACTCGGTTTATCGATCGAGCGGCGATGGTCGCCAGTCGATTGAAAGCGCACTCGAAATCTAAGTTGAGTAAACGAGTTCGATTTTGTTTGTATACCGATCGCAGTTTGTACGAGAGTTGGATGAGCAAGTTGGTGGAGACGAGAGAAAAAGTGGAGAAGGAAGGCTGGGATACCGTCGGCGTGACGGACGGTGGGGGATGGATTTCGCCGATCAATTCCAGAAAGAAATACATGCTCGGGAATCCGTTCGACGAGGTTGTGTTTTACGAAGGGTTGGCAGACGTGTTGGTGGACGAGAAGTCGGTGAAGCAAGTCGAGAAGAGCGTGGCTAAACGAAAGTCGAGCGGTGAAAAAGCGACGAATACGAATTTACCGCTGATATTTTTCTTGAAGAAGATTGTTTCTTTAGCGGGAGCGCCGTACGCGAGAACGATTTTCGCCGACGGCGATACTTGCTCGTGCGGCGATTACGTTGGGGAGATGTTCGAAGAATTAGAAGGAAGGTTTCCATCGGATCTAGAAGTCGAGACTGGGAAGGTAAAAAGTAGTAATAGCAATAGTAATAGTGGTAGTGGTAGTAGCGATAGCGATAGCAATAGTAATATCATTAAAAGGCAAAGGAGAAAGGAGAGTAGCGCAGAGCCGGTGCCGAAGAATGGATACGATTTCATGCACATCGTCGACCCGGCTCGTAACCAAGGAGGCAATCATCTCGGTTATGATTTGCGCGAATTTTACGAAACATCGATCACGTATCGAGAGGCTAAATTCAGAAGAGTGAACAAAACGTTCGAGGAAAGAAACGTCGGTTTTATCGTCTATCGTCCGAATAAACTCACGACGACGATTTTTAGACAGTTTGCGGAGCTTTTACTCGGCGCGATCAACCATAACGCGATGGTACGAAACGAACAACCCGCGTACACGGAAGTGCTGTGGATGTGGAAAGACGTCATACACGAACGCATTCTGAACAATCGCAACGACGTGTGCAGGAAACTTTCGAAAGGCGAGAAGGAGTATTGTCAGAAGCCGCCTTTCAAGCCGCACAAGTTGGCGAGACCGGGACCGTTGTGTAGGAGAGGTTGTCGGTTCGCTCACGAGAAGTGCGAATGTTGGAAGAATCGATATTTGAACTCGCAATATAAAGGTGGTGGTAGTGATACCGGTAAATGGTCGAACGCGACAGTTAACTAGCGTTTTATGCGTTGAAAATCATTGAATGAAATGAAAAATTTTTCTATAGCGTCGCAAAATTATGCTCGTCGAGTTTCGCGTTTTGCATCGCGCACTCCCTCAACCAGTTTCCGTTGACGATGAACAACCCTCGTTTTCTTCCCCATTTTACTTTCTCCGTATTATCCGCTCTCGCTAGAACGTGCGTGACGTTGTCGTTCATCGCCGTCGCAATGGTCGCTCCTAGTCCTACGGCTACGAGTAAAAGCGGGTGTCGATCTGGTCTTTCGTCGTTCGACGGCGTAATGCCGCTCGGTAAAATGACGCACCCTTTCAGAAGGAGTGAAGAGGACGCTGGATCAACACTCTCAACATTACCACCATTTTCGCCTTCACTCGCCATGCCGTTACGTTCAAATACTTGTCGCACGTCTTTATGATCTTTCTTTTCTCGATGACCACTACCATCGCTAAACGCCATCATTCTATGCGCAACCGTCAACACCGCCAAGACGTCTTTCAAAACTTCTCTGTGTTTCGCCGGCGCGCCTTCCTCCTCCGCCTCGCCTTCGTCCAAACCTCTCTCCATGACGCTCGACTTCTCCATTTCCCTAAAACTCGTAGCCGATTTCCGAAAGAAGTGGTATCTATCCACGCGTATGAGATTCCTCGCGTGTCTCGGCCACACCCGGCTCGTATCGTCCACGATCATCGTACAATCGTCCCCGCCTAAAACTATATCTAAATCCTTCGTCTTTGAACACGTAGAATCGCTATTACCTATAATCCTTCCGTGGAAATATTTCCCTTCCGGATCAATCAACGACGCCATCTCGTGCGCGTAATTCTTATCCCCCATCGTGTACACGTGCATCCTGCATATCTTCGACGCTTGTTCCAAAAATTCAAACACGTACGGTCGAAGCTTCGTATACGTCGAAAAGTGACTCAAACAATACAAATCCGGAAACCGAGGCCGCCTTCCTCCACCCGCATCTCCACCACCAACTAACCCGAGCAACTTACTCCTCAACTCGTCCTCCTCCTCCCTCTTCTCCACTTTCCTATCCAACGACTCTCTCTCTTCGTCGTTCAACTCGTCGAACCGACAGGAGTTCAACAACGTGTGGTCCAAATCCAACACCAAGAAAAGCTTCCCTTGATTCAACGTCGCCATTCTCTCCTCGTTCTTCGCCTCCCTCAAGAGCTTATCGGAAACGGTTAACCCTTCGTGTAAGTATCGCACGGCTGTTTCCGCGTTCGCGCCGCCGCGCTCCTCTTTTTTTTCTTCGTCTCCTCCTCCTCCTCCTCCATCATTTTTTACCGTCGTCGCTCTTTGCCCGCAGTGCACGCAAATCCCAAACATAAACGCCGGGTGTTCGCACTCCTCCGCGGAGTTCGTTTTCTCGTTGTTCTTCGCCGCATCCCCGTCTCCGCGCACAAAAGTTCCCGCTCCATCGTTCACCACTTTTCGTCGCTTCACCAACCGTCTCGCGCCGAACGGAATGTTGCTCGTTTCAATTTTCCCCGTCGTCGTCTGCACCGTCGTCCGCGCTTCCTCCTCCTTTTTCTTTTTCTCGCTCTCTTCTTCTTCTTCTTCTTTTCCTTCTTTCTTCCTCTCCAGGAGCGATTCGGTCATCTCTTTGGCCAGAGAGTCCTCGCTGCTGCTGCTCGTCGCGCTGCCGTTGCTTTTGTCGTTCGACATTCTTTTTTTTTGAAGCATCGACTGACACAAAGAAAAAACGTCTTTTTTTCTCTCTCTCTCTCTCGCATGTCTGAATGCAAATACGCTTTTTGTGCGCGTTCATCATCCTCGGCGCGCGCGTAACAAAACATAAAACGCGATGACGCATACTTCACGCGTTACGTGTGTATATGTGTGAACGAGAACAAGCGCACGCGTGCGGTCGTTTCTCGTCGTCGTCGTCACAGCATCATCACACACTCTTCCCCTCCTTTTTTATTTTTTCCTTCTTTTTTGCTTCATTCTTTTTTACGCAAAATCTGCTTTTACGCACAAAAATGGCTCGTTTTTCCCTCCTTTTCCTCAGCCTCTCCTCCGTGTTGCGCATCCTCGCTCTCGCGTTTACTTCGGTGGGAATTTCGATGGCAACGGCGGCAGATTTTGAAGGTCGAAATGCTCCTGTTTTAGATTTCGATGGCAAAATCGGGAGCAAAAACTTTGAGCGCGGGAGGAAAGAGGAGGACGAAAGGAAAACAGTTGGCGAAAGCATTTTGGGGAAGACGGTGCCTCCTACTTTTACTCTCGAAGAAGAGGATACCACCTTTGAGGAGGAGAATACTCACGAGAAGAACGAGAACAAATGCGAGGAGTGCTTATCCTTCTTGCACAACGCGACCGAGAAAGTCCGCTCGAAAGAGTTCCGAGCGAGACTCTATAAAGTCGTGGACGAGATGTGCCAACGGGTTTTCCCTGACGATGAAGGGGAGGAGGATGATAAAAAAATCGCCGAGTGCGAAGCGCTCGGGAAAACGTACGCGAAGAGAGCGATCGAGTACGTGAAGACGCACGAAGAAGAGACGGACGAGTTCGTGTGCGAGAAGTTGAACCTGTGCGCGGATGATGATGCTACCGTTTTCGATGCTTTGAGAAGGACGGTTCGGCGCGCGCGAGAGGCGGCGTTTGCCTCTGGCCGCAGATTCTTCGCGTCTTCTTGGTTTCATCCTTCTTCTGCTTCCTCCTCCGCGTCTCCTCCAACCTCGCTCTGCGTGTTTTGCGAATACGGAGCCTCTAAGCTCGCGGTTGCGATGAACGACCCGGATTTTGCCGCCGCCGCGAGGCGAGATTTCGTCGCCGCGTGCCGAGCCGCCGAGGACCGTTTTTCCGATAAAGAACAAAAGTGCGAAGCCGCCGCCGCGGAGTACGAATCAAAAATCTACGACGCCGTGCAAACGTGGTTGGACGACGGAGAGGCATGCGAGGATCTGTTCAGCTGTTAAATCGTGCGATTTTGCGAGCGTTCAATGCGCAAGAGAGAGAGAGACAGATGTATAAATACAACGTACACATATAACACTAATAGGACGAAAGTATCTGTAACACCACACTTCAAGCCTCTGTTTCACGCGCGCGCGCGAATATATATATATAATACTAAATGTCCTCCGCGTGCTTCGCGGGGACGACGACGACGAGAGGTTACCACTTGACCTCTTCCACCGCCTGCGGTGCCGCTTCGGCGACTGCGACTGCGCCTTCCGCCGCTCGTTCTCCGCGCAAAACCATCACCAATTTTCCCCGTCGTTCGAGCGCGATGACGACGACGACGACGACGACGAGGGCAGCGGCAGCGGCGGCGGGTGAACACCTGGCGTACGAAAAATGCCTCGCGCTCCTCGCGTCGACGCCACCGACCGTCGCTCTCCCTTACCATCCGACGCAAACCGTCCAAAACGTCGTCCGCATCGCGTTGGAGGAAGACGTCGCAAACGTCGGCGACGTCTCGTCGTTATCGACCATCCCGGAAGATTTACGCGCGACGGCGACGTTACTGGCGAAAGCGGACGGCGTTTTAGCCGGGGAACACTTAGCGAACGAGATTTTATCCATTGTGGACGAGGACATCGAGGCGTTCTGGCAAAAACGAGACGGCGAGGAAATCGAGAGAGGGGAGATTTTCTGTTACCTCAGAGGGTCGGCGAGAGGGATTTTACGCGCGGAACGCGTGGTGTTGAATTTTATGCAACGCATGAGCGGGATCGCGACGCTGACGAAAAAGATGAGCGAAGCGGCGAAACCGGCGAGGATATTAGAGACGAGGAAAACGGTGCCGGGACTGCGGGTGATCGATAAGTGGGCGGTGTTGATTGGCGGCGGCGAGAACCATCGGATGGGATTGTTCGATATGGTCATGATTAAAGATAATCACGTGGCGGCGGCGAGAGGGATTAAGAACGCGTTGGCGTCGAGCACGACGTTTTTGATTGAAGGTGGAGAGAAGTACGAAGGTGTGATGATTGAGTTGGAGACGAGGACGATGGAGGAGGTTAGGGAAGTGTGCGGTTTGTTGGAGGACGCCGGGACGGACACGAGTCGCGTGCAGAGAGTGATGTTGGATAACATGTCGATGGAGGATATGCGAGATGCGGCGGGGATGCTGAATAAGTTTGGAGTAGAAACAGAGGCGAGTGGGAATGTAACTTTAGAGACAATAGGTGGGATTGGCGCGACCGGGGTGACGTTTATTTCGAGCGGACAGTTGACGCATTCAGTGGTCGCGTTGGACATTTCTTTGAACATCGAGAATAACCAATAGTTCTTTTTGTTGTTGTTGTTGTTGTTGTTACAAATATGAATAAATACGTACTATATATTGTAGAAAAGGAAAGAGAGAGAGAAGGAGAGACGAGAGAGGTTATAAGTGCACCTCGTACTCCAGAAATTCCAGAATTTCGCCTCGCTGTAACGATTCAGTCAACCAATCGTGTCGGACGACTATTTTCCTAGATTCGCTCAGCGCGCTTTTAATTTCGCGACTCAATTTTTCGCTCGATTGAATAACGACGGCGTGTATCTCGTTTTGCTCCTCTTGCGCTCGTTTTAACGCTTGGTTCAACGCTTTCTTGGTCATTTTCCCGCACGTCATCACCGTGTTTGCGCCGGCGTGGAGCATCAAGTTTGAAAACTCGTCTTGGAAAAACGTGTTCCCGAGTAAAAGAAACGACGTGCCTTGAAAGTTCAACTTTGTCGGTTGCGTCGCGTTTTGACCGTCGTTTTCCATAATTCTGTTCTTTTCCAAGGATTCGCGGACCCATCGGACCGAACGTAATCTCGCACCAATTGCTCGCGCGTATAAGCACTTCGCGGTTTCTTTCCTTTTTTCGCTGTTGTTGTTCATCGTCGGGAGGACGACAATTTGCTTGCGCGCCGGAACGCGTTTGCTCGAGCTGAACTTCGGAATGCTATCGAATAAGCGGCCACCATTTTCGGTAATAGAAGCGCGCATTTCGTTCATCACGCGCGAGCTTGGCATGCTCGTAATCATGAAGGATAATCCGGAAAAAAGAGCGGTGGTCTTTCCACCACCACCACCACCGGTGATTGATTTCCTCTTCTCCGCCGAGTCTTCGACGGAATTTCGTCGCCGACTTTGTTGTACGCTTTGGGTCGATTTCCGTCGTTTATCCGTCGCTGATTTCCTCGATTTTGTCGCGGTAGATGTTTGTTTTATCGGCGTCAAGGACATACTTATGGTCCTCGCGGCGGCGTGGACGGACGAAGTTCGTCGCATTCGGACGTTTGATGCCTTTGCTTTTTGACCTAACGACCTCGAGGCGCTCGCTACTTTTTCCTCGCGTCTTTCGTTCCATTTAATCACGCGTTGTTGCGCGCTTTCGTCTCCGTCGATGGCTCGAACGTGCATTGGCCTACACGCGTTGCACGAACTGTAGCGGCACTTCGGACATCCAGAGAGGTAGTTCGACCACGTTTGCCCTTTTGACGCGGACGAGAACGTCGCCGTCGACGTCGGCGTTTTGCTCGCCGGCGGCGGCGGCGCTGCTTTCTTCTTTTTGGTGAGAGAAGTAGAAGCTGGAGGCGATGTCTTTTGCGTCGTCGTCGTTGCTGCTCTCGCGCTTCTTCTTATTTGAGTTGTACCTCGCGGCACAAACGGTGGTGGTTGAGGCGCTTCTTCTTCTTCTTCTTCTTCTTCCTCGATATCGACGTCTTCTTCTTGTCTTTGCGTGTCGTCAAAGAACTTTTTCGGTTTCCTTTTCCTCTTTGACGCGCGCATAGCGTGTGAAGAAATCTCACTCGTCCTCTTTCTTCCGCGCGGTTCTTCGTCCTCCTTGTCTTCCTCTCCAAATTCTTCATCGTCGTCGTCCTCCAAATCGTCAAAGTCTTCTCCTTCGTCCTCTTTCCCATCTCTCGCATTTCTGCAATCATCATCGTCCTCTTCCTCTTCCTCCTCCTCGGACGAAGACATTTCACCATCGCCGAGTATGACAGGCATGGAGAACTTTACGTTCTTTGGTCGATGCAGCACACCACCTTCGTCGTCTTGTTGCGTCAGTTGCGATCGATACACGATTTCGTCCTCCTCCTCCTCGTCGTCGTCGTCCTCTTCGATTTCGTCCTCTTGGTCTGTCTCGTTGACGCGTTGCGAGTAATATTCAGCGAGATCCGGCGACTGGTTATGTTTTTGTTCGTTGTCGTCGTCGTCGTCGTCGTTCTTATAATCGTCACCATCACCTTCTTCTTGTTCTTCTTTTCTATCTCCTTTACTTCGTTCTGTTTGCATTTCCACGTCGCTGGAGTTTGGATTTAAAGACTGCGGCGCTACGCTTTCAATCCCAAACGCTTGTTTCTTTCTCGTTTCCATTTGTTTCCTCAGCGCGTTTTCAGCGGCTGAGGCGACGACTTTAACCGTCGCCACGTGCGCGTTTCCGGACGGAGCCGTGGCGGAAACGTTCTGCGTTCCCACGGAAAGTTCCGTGGCGGGAATAACGGAGCCTGCGTTTCCACGTCTCGGCGGAAGCGGCGGCGGTTGTTTATTTTTCGCCGGTGGCGCATCCGCCGGCGTGGCCAGAATTGGTGCACCAGCACCTTCTTCGTCGTCTTCTAATGCTACATCTAGCGCGGCTTCCGCGGCGGTATCTTCTATGACGTCATGTGCCGCATCGTGTGCGCGTTGCTGCGTGTCTTCTTCCTTGTCTTTTTCTTCTTCTTTTTCTTCTTCGTCCTCGGACGCGATGACTTGCGTGCCTACAATTTCTATCTCTTCGTCATCCTCAGATTCCTCCTCTTCTTCTTTTTCTTCTACTACTACTACTACTTCTTCTTCTTTTTCTTCTTCTTCTTCTAAATCGTCCTGCGTCGCCGCAATCGTCGTCACGGGCACCGGTTCCGTCGCTCTTTCTTCTCCACCTTCCTCTTCCTCTTCCGCAAAACTCGGCTCTACGCGTTGCGTTCCTTGCGGATCAACCGTCTCGCCTCCGGCGATCCCGCTCGCTCGAAACAAATCGTTCCTCGACTGTCCGACGCTGTTATTGTTGTACTCATTATTATTCGTTTGCGTTTGCGTCGGCGTCCCGCCGTACTTCTGCGTCCTATCTTCTTCCTCGTCTTCTGCGCCTCTTATTTCTTCTTCTCCTCCGTCTTCTTTTTCCTCGAACACTGTTCGTCGCTCTTCCATCTCTTCCTCTTCTCGCGCTTTTCCCGCGCCGTCGCCCTCGCCTTCCTCCTCCTCCGCGACCACCGTCTCTTCCGTCTCCCATCCTCTCGATTCGAGTTCAAACGTCCTCTTCGCGCTCTCCGTGTTCATCTCCGTCAACTTCTCCGTCCTCTCTTCTCTCTTTTCAATTTCGTTTTCTTCGTTTTCTTCTTCTTCTCTCCTCGTCGTCGTCGTCGTCCTCGAAAACGTAAACTGGTCCATGTTTTCTTTTTGCCTCGCCATCTTCAAAACCATCCGACCTTCCCTGGCTAAAATCGACTCCTCGTCGTCCTCCTCGTTTCCTTTTCCTCCTCTTCCATCGTCATCGTCTCCGTCGTCTCGACGCGCTCGACCTTCGGCGGCGGTCGTCCTCCCGACGACATCACCAAAACCACCAACGAGGGACAACGCGGACCGAATCGCCTCTCTCTCGCCACCAGCCACGACGGCTCGTATCGCGTTTATTTCGTTCCCTCGTTTCGTCTCTTCGCACTGCAGGAGTAACTCTCGCTCGGTCGTTTCGAGATCTGTTTTCGTGAATCGAAAGTACGAATTCTTTGAAGCGTTTGGTGTTGTTGTCGTCGTCGTTGGATGATGATGATGATGAGGAGGTTGTTGTTGTTTCTTCGAGGAGGAAATCATGTACATCGTCGTCTCTCGCGCTCGCTCTCGGAATGCGTTCACACGCTCTTCTGTCTGTCTCTCAAAACTCCCAAACGCTCAAATGTGTTCTTCTGAGCGACGACACCGAGAGAGACCGAGAGAGACCGAGAGAGAGACTTTCAGAGAGAGAAAGGTGTTTGATGTGCTAAAAACAAGCGTCGTCGTGCGAAAAGAATGGCGCGTTTGAATGTTTGACGACCGCAGAAGACTCTCATCGCGAGAGAAAAAAAATCGAAAGAAACACAAGAGCACCTAGGAATTACAACTTTCTAAAACTGCCACACAGAATGTGGCGGGTGATATGTTGGTTTCAAAAAGCGTGTTTCGAGCCCCGCGGAACGGAGTCGCGACGGTCCACCACGCCGTCTCATGGAAACATAAGACTTCGCCTCAGCAGGACTGAGACTTTGAAACGGGTTTTAGTAGTGCCGCCGACTAAAATACGCATATGGACTTAAACATATGGTATTTTCAATGATATATTTCAATCAAAAATCAACGTACTTCACCTATCAAAGTTTCTTCGATCGATCTCATGAGAGCCGAGTGTCATGATAGGCTGAGCATCGCAAATGGATGCTCGAGAGACGTTGTGTTGTTTCTGCAATCCAAAAAAAAAGGAGAGAACTCTCGATTTTAATCGATACAAACTCCCCCAACGGTACTCAAATCCCGTTTCAAAAAATGAAAGGTTGGAATTCTTTCCCAAAAAATGCTCTTTCCTCCATGTAAAGTCGTCGTTGACTTCTTCTTCGATGAAGAAGAGAGAAGATATGCAATAACACGACGACAAAGAAAAGAACACAAAAAAGGAGAGAAACTCGCCCGCGCAAGTCAAAACTCTCCGTACTCGAACCCCCTTTGTCCGTTCTTTCCCAGCTCTTTTCATTCATTCATCTTTTGCCAGCGGGAGGAGAGATACAAAAACGCTCGATTTGTATCTATAAATAAAAAAGAAAGCAAACGATGAAGAAAAGAGCTCCCACCCTTCCACCCACTATCATCGGTAGACCTATCATCGATAGAGGTCTATCGATGATAGCAATGCGTGTGACTTTCTCGCGCGCGTGCGCGCGCGCACGCAAAAAAAAAGTGATATTATATGCGCGCACAAATGCGCGCAAATGCGCGCGCGAGAAAGTGAAGAGGAAATGAAAAAAAAATGCGTTTTTTAGATACAGATACAAAAGTTTCTCTTCCTCTTTCTCTTTCTCTTTCTCTTTCTCTTTCTTTTTCTCTTTCTTTTCCCCCAATTTTCCTAGTTTTTCTTTTTTTTTGCGAGGAAGAAAATAAACGGAGAGAGAGAATACGTAAAAAGCGCGTATTTTCCAGCTCCGAGTTCCTGCGAACGTTTTATGAGGTGTATGGGTGCATCCGCGCGCTTTTCAGCACCTCTCGCGCGCGCGGTCCCCAGTCAACGCGCGCGCGTGGAGGGGACGGCACCTCTCGCGCGCGCGGTCCCCAGTCAACGCGCGCGGCAAAGAGAAGAGAGAAAACACACAAAGAGAGAGAGAGAGAAGTGAACCTGAAAAAAGAAAAAAAAGCTCTCCTCTCTCTTTGTTTTTGCTCTTCTGTTTCTCTCTCTCTCTCTCTCTTGTTTTTTTTTTGGCTCTGCTTTTTTTGGCTCTCCTTTCTCTCTCTCGACGTCTTTCTCTCTCTAGGAGGCGTGTCTCGTTTCCCTCTTTCCCGCAATTCTGATGGATCTGCGAGAGGTTTTCAGAGAGCGCCACTTTGCTGCTCAGAAACGCGCGCTTCAACGCGAGAAAAGAGAGAGAGAGAGAGAGAGAAAGAGACGAGAGAGAGAGCGCGCGCGCGAGCGAACACTCTTTACCGACGGAAGTTTCTCTCCTTTGCTCTTTCTCTCCGCCATTACCGCGAGGAATTACCCACCACACGGAAGACGGAATATTCCTTTCTCTCGTGTACGAGGAAAACAGAAAATGTTTTCCCTGGGAAACCTGCATCATGAAGACGAAGAGGAGGAGGAAGAACCACCGACGCCGATGAACGCGTCGCTCTGGCCTTCCTCGAATACGAATAACAATAATAACAACAAAATCGGATCGAGAGAGAACGCCAAGGAGAGGAGTGGTGCGAAGAAGAACAACCAAAACCAATCGAACAACAACGGGATGTCGACGTTCGATTTCGACGTCGATGTGCCCGGGGATTTGGATTGGTTGGATGGGTTTTTGCGAGTCGAAGACGACGAAGACGAGGAGGAGAACGAAAATCAAAACGCGGATCAAGCTTGGGGGGTGGGGAAAGGCGCGGCGTGGAAGACGGAGGCGATAAAAACGACAGGAGGGAAATCCGGCGTGAAGAGAGGGAGAGATGTGGCAACGGCGTCCTCGGCGGAGAAGAAGAAGAAGAAAAACGCGGCGAGCAGTACGAGTAAGAAGAAAACGATTCAGACGACGACGCCGCCGGAGACGACGACGACGAAAGCGGCGAGAATAATAATAACAACAACAACAACGGGAAGAGTAGCACTAGTAATACCAATAATAATAACAACAACAACAACAACAACGCGGATTCAGATCGGTGTCGATTGCGGTGGACGCCGGAGCTTCACGCGCGGTTTTTGAGATCGGTGAAAACGCTCGGCGGTTTGGATATCGCCACGCCGAAAGGCGTCGTCGAGCTGATGCGAGTGCAAGGGGTGACTATTCAGCACGTGAAATCACACTTGCAAAAGTACAGATTACAAGAGCAGCAAATGAGCAAAGCAACGTCCAACGCGCGATCAAAGGCGTTGAGCATCGGGGAGAGGAGTTTTTTGACGTCCACGTTTGTCGGGCTGCCTCCGATAATCGCCAACGAGGAGAAGGTCATAGCGAAAGTCGCCTCGATTATGAACAATCAACGACCCGGGGCGACTACTTCGCCTCCAAACGCCACCGCGAATAAAAATACTAGTAGTAGTCCTGAAGGTACCGAGAACAACACCGGCAATAGAAACAGTACGCCAGGAGGAGATAATAGCGACGGTACCATCATGTTAGGAGTACCGCCACTGGATGAGGAAGAGAAACGCAGACACATCAAAGCCGCGCGAATGGCTGTTTCGGCAAAGAGAAAGAGGGATAAAGGTTTGCGATTCCCGGACGAGGATGTAAATACCTCCGCGGAATTGGCAAAGCTCGCGGCTGTGAATAAAAAGTTGATCCTTACCAACGACGTTCCCAGAGACGACAATTTTGAGAATAACAACGACACAGACGACGAGGACGTCTTCACGGCGGCTCTTCCTCACATCTCGTCGCCGTTGAAGGCGCCGATGATGATGAAATCAGCTTTAGGCGGCGTTGGCGGCGGCGCGAAGTTGCCCGAAGACGTCTCGGCCGTGCTGCTCAGACAAATCGAGATGCAAAAACAACTGCACGAACAACTCTTGAAACAGCGAAAGTTACAAACGGCCATCGAAGAGCACGGGAAGTATTTACAGAAAATCATGGAGGAATCTGCGACGGAGAAAACGTCCAAGTCGTAGTAGCGCGGCGTGATTGATGCGTTTTCTGTATCGTGTATTGAGTGTATCTATGTAAAATTACAGCAAAAAAAATTCCATCGAAGTGAGTCTCGGGCTCCTACTTCTCTCTCTCAAACCTCGCCTTTTCCTCCTCCTTCTCCCCCGGTTGCAATGTTTTCCTCGTTTACAAATCTTCGGAGCATCTCCTGGGCTACTCTTGGTTGATCCAAAGGAACCATGTGCCCGGCCTGGCTCACTTTCACGAACGAGAATCGTCCGTCGTCGTTTTCTATGACTTCTCCACCCGTCCATCCTTCTTCTTCGTCGATAACGAATGGCGACGAAAACTTCTTCGCAAACTCTTCTCTGCCGCTCCACTCCATTTTTCGCGTCCAATCTAAATTGCCGGCGAAATTACAAATAAAATCGCTTTCGCCGGCGTAAATCATCCCTCGCACGCCGTTTTCCAACATTTCCGGAATGAGCGGTTCGTAATCTCTCATCCAGTCCCCCATCATCTTCTCGTGAACCTCCATATTGCACGTCTCCCACTTGCGATTGCCGACGCCGAGCGCCTCTCGAGTCGATTTTTGATTCAGAAATTTCCCGATTGGCGAGAAATCGTAACATAAATCGCCCACGCATTCTTTTCGAACGTCGTACACGTTAATCGGCTTCCCGCCTTTGTTCTCAGCCGCAATCTGCAGCAACGCGTTTGGAATGTTCTGACAGTACTCCACGGCTTCGATGCACTTTTTCGATACCGTCGCGTTGGAGTATCTCTTACCGTTCTCGTTGTTACATTTTTTCGCTTTCTTCTCGCACGTCTCTAAATATTTCGCGTTCACATCCTCGCCTTGTAACGCTGTCACGATTCCAACTCCAACGGAATACTTCGCGTACGCGGCGTATTGAATTTCCGGATCGGTTAAACCGTTTCCAATTGCGAAGCCTTTCAAATTCAAATTCACGCTCCCTTCGTCGTTCTTCGACGCGACGAAAGCTCTGTGAGCGACCGCCGGAACGTAATGTCCCGCGTAACTCTCGCCGGTGATAAATAACGGATTATCCGCCAATTCCGGCCTGGAGAGGAAAAAGTCTTGAAGAAACTCAAAGATATCGTTGGAAACCGTCTCTTCATCGCGAGCCTCGTCCGTGTTATCCGACGTCCAGCTAAACCCAGTGTTTACCGGCTGATCGACGTAGAGCAGATGACCGACCGTATCCCATCCGTATTTCGTTTCTTTCAAAACGTATTTATCCTCCGAATTTTCGTCTTTGTTTTCAATCACTTCGAACGGTCCATTTTCCGCGAACGCGGCGAGCTCAGAGGAGCAACCCGGGCCTCCCGTCATCCAAAGCACGACCGGAACTTTCTCTTCGCCTCCTTTTCTACCTCCTTTACTCGCTTCTCCTCCTCCTCGGTGTTCAAAGAACATGTAAAACATGTGCGCGTCGTGCGTCGTTCGATTCAACTTAAAATACCCCGCCGCGCGTTCCAAAGGCGTAGCGTTAGTATTACTCGCCGTCTCCTTTTCCTCGTCTGAGAAAATGATATTCCCGGGAGGAAACGCCATCGATTTCTCTCGCAACCGACTCGTTTTCTGCGTCCAAAGAACACCACCGTCGTCATCGTCTGTTTTCTTTGATTCTCCAACTGCACCGGCGAAGACGAGGAGATCTCGTTCATTCCTCTCAAAATCGGGAAAGAGGTCAACGACGTCTTCTTTCTCGTCGTAAGAAGAATACGGACGACCGGAGACGAATACAGACGACGACACAGACGCCAGAAAAAGGAGAAAAAGAAGCGTCTTCTTCCGCGACTTTCCGCCGCTTCTTCCTCTTCCTCTCATCTCTGGGTCGTCTCGCTTTTAACTGAATTTTCTCCTTTTGCGAGATTTACGTTTGCACTCCGAATATCGTCGAAAAATGCGTCTTTCAGATTGAATGACGACGAGAGGAGGACTCCAGGACAACAGCAACGACACCGATTGCTCAACGAATAGTGAGCTGGAATTGATCGCTCTCTGTTATTACTACGAATGGCGATTTATCCAACAAGAGATTTTTATTCTTCTTTGGGGGAGAGCAAAAGTGGACCAAAACATCGACTGATGAAAAGAAGCAAAAGAGGACAAAAAAACCAACGCGAGAGAAAAGAAGCAGAGATCGCCTCTTCGCCTCATCAATCATCACAAAACACACACGCTCTCTCACACTCTCTATATATATTTAAAACACCATGGGCATCACGTTCGCGAAATTGTTCCAGCGCCTCTTTTCGAAGAAGGAAATGCGCATTTTGATGGTGCGTTTGGGAGACGTTCTGGTTTTTCGGTCGTTTGTTTAGCGGTTTCTTTCTTTCTCTTTCATTTTTTCTCTACCGCGCGAAATTCGTTCGCTCTTTCGTTTTTGTGGGCGAAAGCGCAGCGAGAGAGAGGAGAGATTTTTGAATCGCGATGATTTTTACGCGCGCGTTGTGTTCCTCCTCAACGTGCCGCGCTTGGATGCGAAGCGCGCGCGTGGGAGAATGAGACGCGTTTACATGCGCGCAATATGAACGCATCGTTCGATCGAATTGATTCTCGCGGGAAAGACGTGGAACCAACCGCGAATCTCGTCGGTTCGTTTTCAAAGCGCGTGCAGCACGGAGGAGTCCCTCTTTCGCCTAAAAATTTTGGTTCACTTTTACGAGAGACGTTTTTCGAGTCGATTTTAGCACTGACGCTCTCATCTCTCTTTTTTTACTCTAAACGCGGAACACACACACAGGTTGGTCTCGATGCCGCCGGTAAAACCACCATCTTATACAAACTTAAGCTCGGAGAAATCGTGACGACGATTCCGACCATCGGTACGTTTTCGGTTTTCCTCCTTCGCGTCTTTACGAACGGGTTCTTTTCCCCTCGTTTTTTTGTCTTTCACTACTTTGCGCTTAAAATTGGGATCGAGCGAGCGAACGAGAAACCGCAAAAGCTCTCGTCCACTCGTTTTCTTCGACTTTGAGCGACCGAAAACGACCAAAAACAGAGAGGAGGGAGTTGCAAGTCAAAAAAAAAACTTATTTTTACTATCTCGCGTTCAATATAACAACTCACCACGATCTTACCGAACCACTGAAAACGATACAGGTTTCAACGTCGAAACGGTCGAATACAAGAACATTTCGTTCACGGTGTGGGATGTCGGAGGACAAGACAAAATTCGTCCGTTGTGGAGACACTACTTCCAAAACACGCAAGGCTTGATCTTCGTCGTGGATAGTAACGATCGCGACCGTATTTCCGAGGCGAGAGATGAACTTCACCGCATGCTCAACGAAGACGAACTCCGCGACGCGGTGTTGTTGGTCTTTGCGAACAAGCAAGATTTGCCGAACGCGATGACTGCGGCTGAAATTACGGACAAACTCGGATTACACTCGTTGAGACAAAGACACTGGTTCATTCAATCTACGTGCGCGACTTCGGGCGAAGGCTTGTACGAAGGTTTGGACTGGCTTTCGACGAACATTGCAAACAACTAATAGAAAAACGGAGAGAGTGGGAAAGAGAGAGAGTGGGAAAGAGAGAGAGAGAGAGAGAGAAAGTGGGGGGTGGAGAACGAGAGGAAGAGAGTTGGAGAGATCGAGAGAGAAAGGAAACCGTCTTATCAGAATTTGAAGAGAAAGAAAGCTGTATTTAGTAATAATAAAATATTGATTGTTTGTTTAGAGGGAGAGAAAGAGAGAAAGAGAGAATGTAGAGTAAGAAATGAGGAGGAGAGGAATATATCGAATCAGAGCGCGAAACACTCGAGAAGAGAGTACACGACGAGGACGACGATGAAGCCGCGACGTGCGGCGAGTCGCAACAAAGTCGTTTGCGCCCACCGTTCTTTTTCGCACATATATAAAAATTAGCCGGATGTTTTAGTAATAAAGGCGTATATAATAAGATAAGAGCATACGCGCACATACATACACATACATACACGTTACACAGAATCATCACCTCTAATTTTCGCTATTCTCTTCTAACTTTACTCGACGTCGTCCGCGTTAAACGAGTTACTACGCCCCCGGCGACGACGACATCGATGTATTCCTCTGATTATACTCCTCCGCTAATTTCATCAACTCTTTCGGGTCTATTCTTCGACTCCCTTCACTCATTGTCGTGCTCAAATATACCCTCTTAATATAATTCGATATCGCTGGCGCGCCTTTCCCTTTCGGTCTGTTTTGCAAAACGCTCGCCATCAAACACGACGCGTTTTCTACGATGGCGTCCTCCTCAAAACTCGTCTTCCCAATCCCAGCGTGCACGATCGAATTCTTCTCCGCTCTGTACTCCACTCTCCCTCCACTCTTCGCATCTCTCACCGCCTTCCCAACCTCCGCGGTTAACGTTCCAACTTTCGGATTCGGCATCAACCCTTTCGGCCCGAGCGTCCTCGCCAAGCCGGAACTTTTCAGTTTCGGCACGATCCCCGGCGTCGCCACGCACACGTTCACTTTATTCAAATCCTCAAACTTCCCGCTCTTAATTTGTTCAATCAACTCTTCACCTCCAACCGCGTCTGCCCCGGCCTGTCTCGCCATCTCCCGATCCTCCTCGTTCTCCGCGAACGCCAACACGTAAAATTTTTTCCCCGTCCCGTTCGGTAAGTTGCACGTCCCTCGAACAATCATGTCCGACCGTTTCGGATTCACCCCTAACCGAATGGACATCTCCACCGTCTGGTCGAACTTCTTCTTTCCTCCCATAGCTTCTTTCGCCCACTGAACGGCAGAGCGCACGTCCGAGATCGGCGTCGTCGTTCCGTCGTCGTTTACCACCGTCGCTCGGTACATCGGCTGCGGCAGTTTCCCCGCGAGGAGGTGAAACACGTCCTCCTTTTCACCACCACCGCCTTCTTCGTTTTGCGCTTTTTCTGTCGCCGCTGTTGAAAACAGAGACGACGAAAACGCTGCTCTGAACGTGGTGGTATTGCTGCTCGCGTTCGAAGTCCTCGCTCTCGTCGAGAGGAAGAGGAGGAAGAGATGCTTGCCTCGTTCGAGCGATGATGATGGTTTTTGCAACAACGGGGCCATGTGGTAATTCTTCTTTATTCGCGTGCGTTTGTGTGCGGAGTAAATCGTTGAGCAACTCGCGTCCGACGACCGAACAGAGAGAGAGAGTGGGCGAACACTTTTAACCGCTCGTCGTCGTCTTCGGTGCAAATTCACCTCTCACGCTCTGGATGATCTCAACAAAGAGTGTTGGCGCGACAAAAGCCACCGCGTGTGTTTGTGTTCGTTTGTTCAAGCTTTTGTCTGACAAAAAGAACGCTTTGACTACTGAGAGAGTAAGGGAGAGTACCCTTTTCGTCCTAAAAATTTAGGGTTTAAGTGCGTAAGTCGTACTCACATTTGAAGCTCTCTGAGTGCTTCTTTCGTACTCAGAGACAGAAGAGAGATCTCTTTCTTTCGTTCTCTCGAGACCGCAGAAATTCTCTCTCTCTCCCTGTAAAGGTATATTTCCATCGTCATCATCATCAGACGACGACGACCGAGGCCGCGAACGACGAACAAAAAAGAGACGAGATCTAACTCCGCTTCTGCTTGCCGCGATGACGACGACGACGACGACCACAACGACCGAGAGAAAACAAAACTTGAGCAGATCGTTCCCTTCCTTCGCGAAGAAGAAGTCAAACGAGACGAAAAACGACGATTCGAACAAAACATCGTTCACCCGAGATGACGTCGCGAAACACAATCGCTCGAACGATTGTTGGGTCATCGTCCACGATCGCGCGTACGACGTGACGAAATTCGTCCCGAAACATCCCGGGGGGAACATGATTCACGTCAACGCGGGCGGGGAGTGCACGGCGCTCTTTGAGTCCTACCATCCGCTGAAAGCGAGGAAGGTGCTGGAGAAATTTTATGTCGGAGACGTGGTGGGTGATGAGGAAAAGGAGGAAGAAGACGAACGCGGAGCGAGGAGAAGAACGACTTCGATTTCGACGACGACGACGTCGACGAAGGAAAACAAACAGAAGTCAAAATCTGAAATGAAAGCACCAAAGTACAGATCGAACGGCGAAGAGGACGAGTTTCATTACGAGTGCAAACGAGCGGCGGAGAAATACTTTAAAGAGAACGCGTTAGACCCGAGAGAACATCCGGAAATGTGGGCAAAGTCGGTCGCGATTTTATCCGGAGTCGTTTTGTTTCATTACTTATCGTTTTTTAGCGCAAACGTGGCGTTTTTCCCGTTGGCGTGCGTGTTTGCGGTGTTGCACGGAGTGTGTAAAGCTGAAGTTGGGGTGTCTATTCAGCACGACGCCAATCACGGGGCGTATTCGAAGAATAAGAAAGTTTTGCACGCGATGCAGTTGACGTTGGACATCGTCGGCGCGAGTTCGTTCATGTGGAAACAGCAACACGTGGTTGGACATCACGCGTTTACGAACGTAGAAGATATCGATCCAGACATTCGATGCGACGAGAAGAACGACGTGAGACGAGTGAATTACATGCAACCGCACGCGTTTTTCCACAAGGCGCAACACGTGTATTTAGCGCTCATGTACGGATTGTTGTCGTTTAAATCGTGCTTTTTCGACGACTTCTCCGCGAGAAAGAACAATAAAATCGGATGGGTCACGGTCCCGAAATTCGAACGACGAGAAGCCGTCGAGTTTTGGGGATCCAAAGCCGTCTGGGCGTTTTACTACCTCTACTTGCCCTTCAAGTACTCCCCGCACAACGACTCGTACGCGAAGCTCTTCGCGTTGTGGACGCTGACTGAATTCACCACCGGTTGGCTCCTCGCGTTCATGTTCCAAGTCGCTCACGTCACTCCAGACGTGGAATTTTTCAAAGTGGACGAAAAAACTGGCGTCATTAGCTCGAACAAATCTTGGGCGGAAGCGCAACTCGCCTCATCGGCGGATTTCGCGCACGGGAGCAAATTCTGGACCCACTTCTCCGGCGGATTAAACTACCAAGTCATCCACCACCTCTTCCCTGGCGTTTGCCACGTCCACTACCCGCAATTAGCGCCGCTCGTCATGGACGTGTGCAAAAAACGAGGATTGGAATACGTCGTTTACCCGACGTTTTGGGCCGCTTTGCGAGCGCACTTTCGCCACTTAAAAAACGTCGGCGGCGGAGCCTTCAAAGTGCCGAGTCTTCACACCGTAGGTTAATAATACTAATACTAATGATAACACAAAACGAATACATACGCGCACACGCATCGCATCGCGCTCGTCGTCTTTTTTCAACTCGTCCATCGCGGTTGTTCTCTTCTCGGTTTTTCCTCTCGCGTGCGAAAATCCGCACTTCCGAGACGCACGAAACACAACTTTTATTCAATTTCAGTCAGCTCACACGAGAGAGATGCCGCCCGTGGTCAAAGACGAGAGGAAGAGTGGAATACGCGGTCTTTTCAAGACCACCGCGCTTGCCACGGTTGTCGCCACCTTGACGAACGTCTTCTTCTGGAGTAAGAAGAAGAAACCGGCGGTGAAGACTGTCACTTTGCACAAGACGCAAATTCGTAAACTGTACAGACGAGTGTGGAACCAACCGGAGCAGATTTCCCGCGATCACGCGTGCTCGGAGTACATCCACCCGGAGCACATCTTGATCGATCCATCGAATCCGAACCCAAAACCAGGCGTGGAATCGTACTGCAACGGGGTGAACGCTTTGAGGCAAGCGTTACCGACGATTAAGATGTACATCGACGATATGATCGAGCAAGGGTGTAAAGTGGCCGTGCAGTTAAGCTTCGTGGCGAGTTTAGGGGAGAGAAAAGCGAAGTGGACAGGGACGGCGGTGATGGAATTCGAGGACGATTTGATCGTCAAGACGTGGATTAACACGGATAGTATCAGCGCGATGATTCAGTTAGGGTTGGTGAATGATTTGTTGAGGACGAATAGCGGTATCGGGAGCGAAGTCGCGACGACGACGGCGGGAGGAGCGAAAATTACGAACAAGGTGCCGTTGAGAAGAGATAAAGAGGCGGTGGCCGCGGCGCAGGCGCTTTTGGGGAGAACCGAGGAGCACCCGACCGAGGTGTTAACTGGGAAGGAATGGTTGGAATATTTCGACGCGATTCAAGAGGAGGAATGGGAACACGGGAGTCAGATGAGTCAGAAAGAATTGGAGCTGCAACACGACGATTTAAGCGGGTTGGACGTGGTGGTTTAGGCCACTCTTTGCTGTACATACTACACGCGACTACTACTACTACTACTACTACTACTATTGTTATTATACTAGAACACATCGATTAGTTTTTAATGCTATCTAAAGTCTAATGTCACATACATATCTACAACATCTTTGGATTCTTTATTATGCCTTCTCCCCGCGCCGAGCGAACTTTTTCTTTAAACTCCCAAAGATTCTTTGACATAGTCTACCGTGATGAGTTGAGTGACGACGATGAGAACAGTCATTGGTATTCTTTGTCTCAAGCCTACGAACAAACCAGAAACCGAGTTGTCGTCGTCAACAAACGCTTCGCACTCTTTTTCTTCCTCGTCTTCTTTACAATATCGTCGCGTCATAATCGTATCCCCGGGCTGAGATGCTACCGTTGCGAGTACCCCCGCTGCAATCGCTGACATCAATCTCAACGCAAAAAACAACTCTCCGTCCCCTTCTTCTCCTCCGTATACTCCCAGCGTCCCCTTTACGAACCCATTCACGAGGACGTCGTACGACACCAATTGCACCGCAGTGTACGGGATCATTTTCAAATACACCGGCAACAAACTCTCCGCTATGTCCTCTAGAAAAGCGTCAAATTCTTCGCCAACCGCTGCGAACAAACTCTTCTCCCGCGCGTACGTCTCGCTCTCCACAATCTTCACTCTCGCTCTTTCAAACGGTACCAACGCGAAGCTACCGACCGCCTCCGCTACCATCGCCGCCAACACCAACTGCGCGATATTCCCTCCGCCGTGAAAATAATATCGTTTCAACGTTTCAAAGCCGCCATATTTACACCCACCCTGTATCAAATATCCAAAAAATGTGGCCCCTAATCCTCGAGTTAACGCTCTCGCGCCTTCGTCTTTGACGATTTTTTGCGCCAGTTCCCTCGCGCTTGCATTCGAATTCAACTCCGGATTTAATTGTACTTTCGTTTTAATGACGTCCAAAGGCACCGATAAGCAATGGCTCGCAAAACATCCGATGCCGCCGGCGGAAAAGTATTTCAAAACCGCCAGGACGATTTCTTCTTCGCCATTGTGAAGCTCCTGGAGAGACGCCCTCGTCGTCCTCGTCTTGGTAAACTTCCTTTTCTTCTTCTTCTTTCCCTTTTGGGGAAGCGGCGAAAGGTGTTGCCCTTTTGGGGAAGAAGAAGATGACGACGAAGGACGGAGCATCGCGCCGAGACGAACGCGCATCATCATCTCGCCACAGAGGAGGAGGAAGAGGAGGAAAAGGAGGAGGAGGAGGGCGTTTGATTTCTGTCAAAAAACGAACGCTCCGCCAAAAAGAAGTGAGGGTGGATAAAAGAGGTGTGCATTTGATATTCTACTTTAGTTTCAAGTTTTACGAGACACCAGTCTTCTCTCTCTCTAAGTCCTCGACCGTCTCAAAAACCCATCGATTTCGCGGACTAACCCGTCCAGATTCTCCAACTCTTGCACTTTCCTCTGGCTCCCGTCTTCGGCGGTGGCGGCGCCGCTGCCGGGTAAGACGGTCTCCCTGACGTCGTCGAACAAACCTCTCAAAGCGCCGAGAGGACTCGGATCGTCTTTGCGAATGCCGAACGAATCGAAAAGGGTCGTCGACGCGTCGAAGGCGATGTTGGCGGAATCGACGATAGACTCGGGGAGAATTTCAGTCGGTAACGGCTGCCAGAGCGGGGAGATGTGATCGCCGGGTTGCGTTTTGACGCTGAAATCAGCCACTCCGTTCGCGCCGCCGGTTTCGCTACTACTTTCGTTGCTGCCGCTACTACTTCCGCTACTACTTCTACCGCCGCTATTCACTTCCGTCAAGACCGAGGCTAAAACCGCCGTCTCGTCGATCGTATCGTCCCGAAACTTAATCAACAACGTGTTCGGTCCGGAATAATATTTTTTAATCAACTCCTTCGCCTCCTCCGGCGTCGGCTGGAACTCCTTCCTCCCGTTGCTCACGTCCAACAACAACGGCTCCAACTGATCCACCACGGTCAACAACTCCTTCACCGCTTCCGGCGCGAAACTTCTCACGTTCCTATCGACGTCCCTCAAACTTTCTCTCAACGGCGATGCCGCTAACGGCTGCAACACCGGCGATATCGCGGATAAACCAGGCACAAAAACCTCCGCAAACAACGGCACCGCGTCCGTCGCCGGTTTGTTGTTGTACGAAATCAACACCAACGCCTCTCGATTCAACTCGTACCGAGAATTAATCAACGCGTGAACGTGCGCGCCCATCGAGTGCCCGATCGAAACTACCGGTAACGTCTGTAAATCCGCGTCCAACTTTGCAAACGCGCGATCGAACTTAAACTGGCAATCGTCCACCACTCGCAAGTGGTCGAAACTCAGCTCATACGGCGTCGCGACGACGACGCACGAGGATCGCGCGGCGAGCTTTTCCAGAAAAACGCGATACGTGAGCTGAGGAGACGCACCCACGAACGCACCGCCGATGAAATGGCACACGCACGTTGGTTTCTTCTTCGACTTCGAGAACGAAGACGACGACTCCTCCTCCTCTTCCGCCACGGCTTCCTCCTCCTCCTCTTCCTCCTTTTCGCTCCCCCCAAAGTTAAAGACGCCTTCTTTCGTCGGATCAAACACCCACGAATCGTCCACTTTGCGCCAACCTCTGCTTTCCGCGCCTTTCGTCGCTTCCGCTAAAGCTTCCAGCGATCGTTCGAGGTCTTTGAACGGTGTCGTTTCCGTGGTCGTCGTTCGCGAAGAATCCTCCGAACGTGATGACGACGACGACACGGAGGACTTCCCCAAAGTCTTTCTTCTCGTTGTTTTTGTTGTTGTTCTTTGTCTTCTTCCTCGAGAGGAGACGAAGACCACAGGGTGTGCTGCTGCCGCTAAAGATGACATGCTGGGATGTCGTTCAGTGCTCTAAACTGTATCGAGTGCGGAGGAAATAGCGCGCGCAAGTTGAAGTTGAGAAGAAATGTGAGACAATTAATTGTGTGTTGTTTTAATGGAGTAGCCAAAAAGTGAAGCGAGGAAAGGAATGCGTAAAAGCTACACATACTACGCGTATATATATCGTTTAAAATTACTTCAACGGAACAAACTTCTCGCCACCAATACCTGCTCTGCCGTGCGAAATCGGCTTGTACGTGATGGCATACTCCGCTAAATAAGTGCCCACCATCTCCGGCTTGATTTCAACCGTGTTGAACACTTTCCCGTTATACACGCCGACGATGGCGCCAATCATCTCCGGCACGATGATCATGTTTCTCAAATGCGTTCTGATCGTTTCTGGCTTGTCCATCCCTTGCACCTCTCTCTTCGCCTTGCGGAGCTTCTTCACCAACGCCAACGGTTTGCGGCCGAGACCTCTGCGGAATCGACGTCTTTGGCGAGCGCAAAAGAGTTCGACCAATTTGTCCGTTTTCAATTCGAGGAGTTGTTCGAGGTCGACGCCGCGGTAGGAGAACTTTTTAAACGCTTTCTTCGTCTTTTTGGACGGGTCGGTGACCAAGGCGTCTTCTTCGGACGTGTCTTTCGGCTGTTTATTATAATTCATCGTAGGAACATATGAAAGAGAGAGAGAGAAAACAAGACGCTTTGGTTAGTATTTGCTTGGACAGAGGAAAGAGAGAGAAGCCCCAAAATGGGAGCTTAGAGAAAAAAAGCTGTCATCAGCGCGCGCTGTCCACCACCACCCAAACAACACCACCGCCGGCGAACGAACGTCGTTCGCGTGCAAAAACATTCCGCGTTTCATCCAAATCCGCGCGTTCCGTTCGCGTTCCACCTTCGCGACGGGAGACGGGAGCGGAGCGAAACATCATCATTTTTGCGCGTCGTTTTCCCAGTGCGTGTAAAGAGCGCAGCATTTCCAAAGAGAGAAAAAGAGAGAACGGGGGCCCTTAAAAGCCGCCTCTGCCTTCTTTGCGAACGAGCGTTCTCCTCTTTCTCTCTCGATTCGAACGAGAGCGAGATTCTTCTTTCGCGAATTTTTGCGTGACAACACGGAGAGACAAAGCGAGGGATGCTCCTGCGTAAGCGAGTAGAGACGTACCATGATAAATTCTTTTACGAAAGTGTGCGCGAAAGTTGTTGCGAATTTTTACGTGGAAGTGCGTCACAAAAAAAGACCAAAAGAGGGTGAAAACAGAGACGAGAAGGCATCCGACGACTCTCATCATGGGGAGTAACACAGAGCGCTGACTCTTTGACTCGCAGAGGGAGAAAACACAGAGAGGGAGAGAGAGAAAGAGAGAGAGTGAGGCCCTGAGGAGTGTTTTTTGAGAGCAACTGAAAACGCGTTCGTGAGAGACACGAACGAGCGCGACACGAATCAAACAAACGCTTTGGTGAAATGGAACAACGAGAAGAAGAGGAAGAAGAATTGGTAAAGAAGAAGCTTCGCGACGAGAAGGAAAGCGGCAAAAATTCTTCCTGGGTGGACTTGGAACCGCTCTTGCTCGAATGCTCGCTTCAAATGCGATCGGGAGAACTGATCCACCAAAAGTCGTTCGGTTTGTTCGAGGCGATGTCGGCGGTGGAAATCATGGATCCGAAGATGGACTGCGGGTGCGTGACCGGCGGCGGTGGTTTTGGTGAAACGTCGTCCTTAAAAGAGGAGGACGAAAACGAGGACGTTCGAGGAGTGCGGTTACTAAAAAGAGACGATGATATCATCGCCGCGCTGACATCATCGAAGGAGATGAAAGTCGTCGTGGATATGTTAATCGCGAGAGAAAATTCCTGGCACGTGGGGAACGCGTTGCCGCCGACGGTGTTTTCGTGCTTGTATTTGAAAGAGGAGGCGTTGAAGAAGTTGTCGTCGTTGTCGCTGTCGTCTTCGCACGCGTGGCCGATGAGGGCGTTCGAGGCGCTGATGACGACAACCTTACCGTTCGTTGGATTGATAAAGAAGATGGTGGAAATAGGAGATATTTTTGAAGAGGAGGATTTCAATCCGCACGATTACGGGTTGAAAGTGCCTTTGCCGGAGTGGATGCAGAGGAAAGAGAGCGGCGCGGGGGTGACAGCGGCGGACGTTTTGGACGGAGACGCGTGTGTCGCGAAGTACGAAGAAGTGTTGAAGGAAGGGAAGGACGCGTATGGGGACTCTGAGTTATATCGGAGGATATGTTTGAGGTTCGCGTTGTATCGCGCGTTCAAACGGATCGCCGACGTGCCGACCGAGGAAAACGGAAAGAGGATTAAGAGAGATTTCGAGGAGGCCAGCGCAACCGCGAGACGTATTCTCGAAGAAGAGGATATAAAAGGTATTAGTAGTACGAATAGTGATAGTAATAGCAACAGAGGAGAGATTAATGGTGGTGGTGATGGTGATGATACTAAAGATGATGAAGAACACGCGATGTTTGACGCTTCGGCGTGCGCGCACGCGCTCGGCAACTCGCCGCCTCGCGTCGTCGAGTTGTTCACCGTGAAGCAATCGTACGAGTATTACTTGAAGTTATTGGACGAATTAGACGTAGTAATTGAACGTTTATACGATTCAGCCGCGGCAACGACGACAAGAACGCATTTGGAGTTATCCTCGGACGATTTCTTCCGTAAATGTCGCGATATTACCGATCGAGACTTCCTGGCGTTGTCGCGAAGCGTCGCCGCGTACGTCTCCACCGTTGGCGGCTCGACAGATTCTCACTTAGGCGTCGACTCGGTAGATTTATGCTTGCGATCTGTTTTCGCGCAAGTCCCAGAGAAAGTGAGAGTAGACGATTCTGAGCAGAAGTTGAGCTCGTTTCAAAGAGCACCGTTTGAATACGTCGCGAGTGAAATAAAAAAAGGCAATTACAATGCCGTCACGGTGACGTGCGAAGATACTGGCGCACAAACAGACGGCGATCCCATTGAAATCTTAGCGACGTTTAAAGACGAGTGTCAGCGGTCGTGTTCGTTCCTTTCGCGCGCCTATTTTGCGTCTCCATCGCGAAGGCGGCGGAAGCTTCGCCGGTGTCTCGACGAGCTTTCGCATTTGCAAGTCGCGTGTTCGCACGTGGACGCGCTCGGCGTCGCTTCCTTATTTTTGAAAAAGAACATAAAGAACGGAAACGATGCCATCGACGAGGAGAAAGTGCATGAATTTTGCGCCAGAGCTTTCCAGCTTTGGGCCTCGCGCATCGTCGCCGACGCGCAGTTTGACATCTTAAAAGTTGGTTTCCAATGCGAGCTGTATAAAAGCTACGAGTTGGCGTCGGTGTATTGGTACATGGACAATTTAGTCGTACACGCGCTCAATGCCGACCAATACATCTACGAAGCCTTCAACTGTAACACCGAGGAAGTCACCAAGAAGTCTATGGATACATATCTCGAAGCTAATATATTTCGAGTGCGAAGTAACGCCGCGCAATGCGTCCTCGTCGCGCTCGAAAAAGTCGGGCTCATCAAAATGCCCAAACGTACTTTCACGCTCGCCACCGCGGAGGCGCGTTTTTTCCAACGTTTCGCGCACTTCCAAGCTAACTTAGACCCGGTGCCTTTATTTTGGGACGACTACGAGAAGCACGTTCGTGGCTACGAGAAACGCCCGGCGGAAATCTTACTCCGTCTGGCGCACGGTCAACTCCAACCGTTGATTGAAATGTTATCGCAGCAAATCGAAAGTTTGCAAAAGAAGATGAACAACAAGAAGAACGAAGCTACCGCCGCCGCCGACGACGCCGAGGACCAAAAAGCAAACGAAAACATCGCATCATTGCGCGCGATGCAATGCCTCGCCTCCTTAACCGCGACCAAAACGAAATGCGCGAGACTTTCAGCCACGTGCAAACTCCTCGGCACGCTCGCCGAAGACGACCTGCGAGGGACGTGGACCGTCGACGTCCTCCAACCACCGTTTTCTTCTTCTTCCTCCTCTTCTTCACACGAGGAGTTCAAAGATTACGACGTCTTCTTCGCCTTATCCGCCTCGCGAAAAGCCTGAGAAAAAGCGGATGTAAGTCCTCGCGAAAGCGCGTATTTAGGATATTTAGCAGCATTATAACGAAGCGTTGTCACTCCAATTGGCCACACAAGAAATCGCTTTTTGCGCAGAATAATGCCTCCTCCTTCTCAACCTCCTCGTAATGATCGCGCTGAGAACACACTTCTCTCCTCATCTTCCTCGATTTCACAAATCCGCGCTTTGCTCCGTCGTCTGACGTGCTCGTCGTCGTCAACTTCGCTCGCCGGGAAAATCGACGCCGTCGAATCGATGCTCGAACTCTCAAGAAGAAGAAGCGGAAAAGGGAACGGTGGTCGAGGAGAAGACGGTTTCACGACGACTGCAACACAAAACGACGATTCTGATGACGACGACGATTTAGACAATACTAATAGCATTCCATGGGCCATCGATATCGTTCGAGCGAACTGCGTGTTGCCTTTGCTTGGAATCGTTCAGTCTGTGCGAAGAAACGCGCTCACGTTGGAACCGATCGAAGAAGAAGATGAAGGCGGGGATAATGCGGACGCGTTGCGTTTAGCGGATGGAGCGTTGTTACTCCTGGCAGAACTCGCGAACGTTGGTCAGAGTGTGCTCGAAAGTGTTGGATTCGAAGTGATTCGCGACGAGGAGACGGGTACGTGCGCGTACGTGCACGCGGAGTCCGGGATGCGCACGAACGAGTTGCCGAGAGTTAGTGCGATGATGGACGATACCGACGATGGGGAAGGGGATTGGCCGTTGGATGTTTTGTGCGAGTGCGTGAGTTTGTTGGCGCCGAGTGGCGTGGACGAGAAGAGGGGAGAGGTTTTGTGGCAGGTGAAGGTGGTGGACTTTACGTTAGGAGAGGAGGAGAAAGGAGAGGAGGATTTAGCCGTGGTGGACGTGGCGTTGGAGGAAGAAGGAGGAGGAGCGGATGGTCGCGACGTCGCGAGGGCGTTAATTCGGGGCAGTTGGAGAGGGTCGAGTGGAAAGGTGGAAGGCGAAGTGAATCCAGAGGAGGTTTTGGGGTGCGCTTTGGATGCGTGGAAGGACGCGATGTTCGCGTCCGCCGTGCACATGGCCAGGGAAAGAAAACGCAAAAAATCTCTTAATTCATCCGTCTCGCTGTCGTCGTCGTCTTCGCCGACGACTGTTTTGATTTTTGGTTTGCGCGACGGGTCGTTGCCGACCTTTCTCGCTCGACGATATCCTCCGAACGAGTTAGAGTGCGTGGTTGTAGAAAACGATAATCGCGTGGTGGAGTTTGCGGAGAAGCATTTCAAGTTTTCCTCGAAACAGCCTGGCGTAGAAGTTAAAATGCTTCTTCCAATGAATGAATATTCGTCGGACGCGGAAACTCGAGACTTCAAGTGCGACGTCGTTCTCGTGAGCGACGGAGCGCAGTACCCGGTCGAAAAGTACGTAAACTTGGAAGGCTTGACGATACCGGTTGTGGCCGTCGCGAACGCGAAGACGCTGCCGCACGCAAACATTCTCGAACCGACGTGGTTAGGACCAAACATTGTGCGGTGCGTCGATCCCTCGATTGAAGTGAACGTAGAGGAGGATGTAGAAGTAGAAGTAGAAGTAGCAGTAGAAGAAGGCGCATCTCGTGCGGCCAAAAGACGTAAACAGAGCGGTTTAGAGGAAGAAGAGAATACCAAAAAGGTCGACGCCTTTTTCAAGCGATATAGCGTTAAAAGCACGGACTTGTTACTTTTCAATTGCGGATCCGAACTGCTTATGCGCGCTTCGAAAGAGACGACATTAGAGAATTTACCCTTCGTTATAGATAGCATTGACCGGGTTCCAGGCGCTTGGAACGTAGGTGGTAATACTAGCGCCGAGGTGGAAAAGATGGAGAGCTTCACCGTTGCATTCGCGGAGAACGAAGACGATGGTTTCGAAGATAAAAATGCGCATCAAAACAACGCATCGCACGCGAGAAAGAATCTGGACACTTCCAATGCGGCGTTTAGTCTCTTTGGAGATGATGATGACAACGACAATACAACGGAGAAGCAAGAAGTGGCGGTGGACGAAGATGTAGCCGCCCGATGGGAACGCCTTTCGGAGTCACCGGCGCAGTGCGCGTCGTATTTCACTCGCGAACGCATCGCCGCGGTACAAGATAGAATCAAATCTACCCACGATTGGAGTCTCTTTCAAAAAGACGTGCGCTTGTTGGGATACGCTTCGCCGAAGAATTCGGCAAATGTCACGGCGTCCAAAGAAGAGGAGAAAGAGTTGTTGATAAAATTTAGCCGCGTGGTGGAAACTTTGAAACGGAAAGGATACCCGGCGACGCTGGCGTTCGTTACCGATGTCGCCTGGGAGATTGTCTTGAAACTATGGACGATTGCGGAAGAAGTGTACGATCACGAAGAAGTTGTTTTGGAACCGTCATTTGCGGCGTACGCGTTGGAAAAGCCAGCGTCGATCCTGGAAAAAAAGAAGAGCGAAAACGGAAATAAGAAATACGTCGGGCAGAATTTTGGACAGCCGCACCGCGACTACGCGCGCGATGACGACGCGCTTTCGCTTTGGCTTCCACTCAACGATGTAGACGTGGATAACGGATGTATCTACGTACTTCCAAAAGAGCACGATCACGAGCGAAACGCTTCCAAGAACGGCAGCCGTAAATCGAAACCGGACTTCCCGATTGAAAAAGCCGTCGCTTTAGCACCGGTAGAAGGTGGCCGGGTTCTGGGATGGTCCGGCGACGTCGTGCACTGGGGAACGTCTTGCCAAGCGTCCAGCGCTTTACCGCCGAGGCAATCCATTGGCGTCGCGTTTCGGAAGAAAAAAGCGAACGACGCGACCGGAACCGTAGGCAAAACGCCTTCGATGACCAAATCGGAAGCGTTTTCCTTGGACGTTGCGGGACGACTGAAGGCAATTACCGTCGCGCTCGGCGCGTTTGAGCACTGGTATGGAAGCACAGATTCTATCAAGGCTAAAATAAGCTAAATTTGCTAGTACTACGGTGTGCATTAATGAGCTAGTAACTATATTGAGTATCCTAAACGTGATCAAAATCAGGCGCTTTTTCGGCGAAATAACTCGATCCTTCCTCTTGAAGCGTCTGTAAAACTTCAAACACAAACGCCGTCAGCGCCGCGCTTCTCGCCGCTTTCTTCGTTTCTGCTCTCATCGTAACTTCCACATCTTTCTCTCCCTTCTGTTCTCCTTCTTTCGGTGGTGCCCCGTTCTCCATCTTATCTCTCACTAACTCCACCAAGCGCTTGAACCGCTTCGGATCGTCCGCGGCGAACTCTTTCTTCGCGCTCACCTCCGGCGCGAACGTCCCGTGCGCCTCTCTTTGCCTCCTCGCTCGTTCGCCGTCCGCGCTGCTATATTCAGCTCTCGAGTAAAACTTCTCCGTCGCTCGCTCCCAAATCGCCGCTCGCGCTTCTTCCCCGAGAGACTCCGAAAACATATCCGCGTACACATCCAACATTTTCTGGTTGGAAAAAACGTTGAATTCGTTCTCGATTGCATCGTACGCTTGGACGTAGTTCGCTCTCAACATCTCTCTCGCTTTTTCCAGCTCCTTCATCTGTTCTTCCGGGGGAAAAGAAGATGTCGTTACTCTTTGTTGTTGTCGTTCTTCTCGTTGCCTCTTCACCCCAACCATCGAGAGGCCGAGTAAAATGCCGGCGAAAAGAAACAGACACTTAAGAATGTTTCCAATCGCGACGAGGTCTTTTCGTTTCCTCGCTTTCGACCCCGAGGTTGAGCTTTTGTTCGACGACGAGGACTTCGATGAAACCTTCTTCGTCGTCGTCGTCGTTTTCGCGTCGTCGTCGACGCCTTTTTTTCGCCTCCGCATCACGCTCTGAAATTTGTGCAGAAAAAGCTCTTCTTTCGTGAGTTGAGTGTTTCGTGAAGATGTGAAGAAAAAATTTCCTTCGCGAGCGAAAGTCATCATTGCAGCACATCAATCCCGGCTCTACTTCATCGTCTCATCCCGCAGTTCATATTCCAATCTCTGAAAAAGTAGACGATAGTCTTTTCCAATGTTAATGGTGCTCCTTCCCTTCGCGATGGTTCGGGTCGTTGTGCAAAGCGTGCTTCGCCGAGGAAACGAACACGTAGACGTGGACGAACGCAAAGACGAGGACGAAGAGACCGCGGATAGAAGGCGAATCTCGGAGGAGGCGGAGAGCGAGGGAGATTGACGCGTCGAGTTTCTGACGACGGGTGGTATTGCCTTTCTTGAGCGCTTTTCTATCGTCGTCGTCGTTGTCGTCGATGAGAGTTCCTTCGTTTCGGCGCGGGGCTGCCGCCGCGGCGGTGCGTCGTCGTTGCGTTCCTTTTTCACCTCTCTCTCCTCCTCCTGTTGGATGGACGTTGAATTCGTCTAAAACGCTCGCGCGATGCGAGGCGGCGTTGCTGTTGTTCTCATTTTTACACCTCGCCAACTCTCTCTCCGCGTCGGATTTTTGCGACTCCAGCCCTGCTAACTTCATCCTTCGAAATTGTAACTGTTCGTCCAACGAACGTAGTCGACGTTGCATTTCCGCTCGATAATCGACCGAGTTTTCGCGATACCGCGCCTTGTTTTGGTTTTGTTCGTATATTTGTTCGTCTAAAAGTTTCAACTCGCGTTTCGCCTCCTCGACGAGACGGTTGAGTTGGCGCCTGCGCTCTCTCTCCTCCGCGTTTTCTTCTTCTTCGGTAGCCTCGGCGGCGACTGTCCTCTTCGACGCAGACACGGACGCCAGGCGACTTCTCTCAATTCTCAACCGTTCCTCTGCTTCCGCTATTCTCCTTTCAATCTCCTCCACTTCCTTCTCCGCCATTTTTTTCTCCCTCTCCGCCTTTTCGCTCTCCTTCCTTCTCTCCTCTTTGGCCAATTGACACTCCCTCGTCGTCTTCTCGCACTCGCCTTGGTCGTTCTTCATGGCCATCACCCGCTCCTCCTCGAACCTCTCCAACTCCATTCGCGCATTTCTCTCTCGTTCCAACAACCGCTCTAATCGCATCGATTCCTGCATCTCGTGTTGCCTCGCTTCCATGCGTTTCTTCGCCTCCTCTTCCTCTCGAAACTTCCTCTCGTTCGCTCGGGATTGAAGCGTTTCCACCTCCGCCTCGAGCGCGCGCAGCGCCGGCAAAAGAAGCTCCGTTTGACGACGCAAACTTTCCCGTCGATGTATTGCGTCTCCGTCCTCTCCGTCTTCGAGAGGAGAAAGATGAGGTAAACGAGGCGCGTCGTCGTCCTCATCGATGGCATTATTAAGCGCTCTCAAAATCTCCTCTGCACTCTCCAACCGTTTCGCATCATCCTCGAGATTTTCTCTCCTCTTCCTCTCGTCCTCGTCGTCGTTTCTCCCGCCGCCGCTGATAAAACCTCTCGCGGTTATTTCCTGCATGACTTTGTTCGTCACGAATGGTAAGTTTTTCGCGATGGTTTCTTTCAAATCTCCGTCCGTTTCTTTCGATATCGTTTGCGCCGTTTGGTCCAGGTGTTCTAAATTCGAAACGAATGTATTCACGAAATTCATCTTTCTTTCTCTCTTTGCTCTGCAGGTGAACCGTTCAGAGATTTTGAGACCACGAGTAGACACACACACACACAGAGAGAGAGAGAGAAGGAGTCGAAGCAGATCGACGACTTCGGCTTCTTCTCGATTCGCGTTTATTCGTATGCGTGTAAAGTAAGCGTCAAGAATGTCGAGTGATTTTGAATTTTTACTCGACAGAAAAAACTCCATTTTATCCACAAACAACCCCCGAAGAAAGGAGACATGTTCGCGCGAAACGTGTGCGATTTCTCTCGCTCTCTCTGACAACATGACGACGATTTTTGCATCGTCGTCGTCGTCGTCGGTTTGTTTGTCGAGAAGTTCTTCTTCTGCGACGTCAAAGCTTTGTTTGAGGAGAAGTAAAAAATGGATTCCCCTCAGCGAGGGAGGAAGGAGACGAACGAAAACGCTCAGAGTTTGGCGAGAGATTAACGAGCACGTGACCGCGGTGGTGGACGCCTCGTTCAGAGAAGAAGAAGACGAGGAGGAAGACGAAGAGGAAACCGAGGGGTTAGGAGGCGTCGTTTCAGACGCGGCGGCGTTGGAGATGTATTTGAGATTGGAATCTGGGAAGCAACGAGAGTGCGTGGAAACGTTCGTGAGCGAAGAGGCGAGGGAAAAAACGTTGAGCGCGACGAGCGTCGTCGATGTGGAAGAACGTCGCGGAGACGAGAAAAATGGAAACGAAACAATAACGAAGAGTATGAAACTCCGGGAAGCGGAAAGAGCGGCGGATATCTTGCGGACGCACGGTTTGGTGTTTTTGAAATCCGTCGTCCCGGAGGAGACGTGCGACGAGATTTTAGCAGACTTGAACGCGATATGCGACGAGTGTAAAGAGACGTACGGCGACGCGTTGCGAAGGACGGACGTGTTGCTCGGAGTGGGCGACGACAACGGCGATGACAGTGGCGATGGTAAAATCAATGGGGTTAAAAAAGCGTTAGAATTCGCGTGCAAAGAAGAAGGAGGGAACATACGGAACATCCTCTCCTTCGTCGAGGACGCCACGGAGGACGCGGTGTTAGTTGAGCTCTCCGTCCTCGCCACGGAGAAAGGCGCCGACCGACAGGTATTGCACCCAGACGTCGCCTACGACGCCCCGCACGAAACCCTGTATTCCGTTTTCATCGCGTTGCAAGACGTCACGCAAGACATGGGTCCGACTCTGTTCGTTTTAAACTCTCACGACAAACAGACCCACGACCAACTCCCGAAAACCAAATGGACCGAGAAAGAGTTCGACGTCTTGCGAACGAAACGAGCAGTCGAAGCGCTTTTGAAAAAAGGCGACGCGGTCCTATACAACGCGCGTGCGTTCCACCAAGGCGGTGAAAACACGAGCGGTCGCCGCGCGTTGTTGACGCTCACGTTTCTAAAACCTCCCGTCCCGCCGGAGCCGACCAGGCGAAACAAAGAGTGTTTGTGGAGCATCCGCGAGGACGTGTTTCGGAGACAAATCACCGCGAAAGACTTAGCAACCGGAGGAGAGTAGACGTCAAAGTCTAGTTAGTACGTAGGTAGTAAATGTGTAACGTAATAAGATGATGATGAATTGAAGATCATATTTAGTCCAAAATCTCAAGTGTCTCACTCGACAGGACGAGACCGTTATCCACAAAAGAAAAACGCTCGCTTCCCCTTCTTCTTCTCGGATACATAAAATGACGACGCGCTTGGCACTCCGACGCTTTTCGGCGATTCCTTTACGTCGCCTCGGAGACAAACGATGGTATTCAAGCGCCGCCGACGGCTTCGACGCCACTTCATCGTCCTCTAAAGCGCAACCGCCCAGCGAAGCCATCGACGGTTTCTCGGTGTTTCCGCAAGAACTCCCATCGAACGCGCAAGATCCATCGAAGGACGATTTCATCAACGACGCGACGTCTCCACCTCGAACGCGAGAGCAACAGATGGAATACAACAAACACGAGAGTTTACGAGACTGGTTAGGGAGGCAAAGCCGGAAACGGAGCGTGGACGAGATTGTCGTTTTGACTGGGAACATTCACCGAGGAAGCGAGATATTGCACAACGCGGTGTATAACAAAGGGACCGGGTTTAACCACTCGGAGCGGGAACGCTTAGGCGTGAGAGGGTTAGTGCCGCCGAGATTTTTCTCCATCGAGCAGCAAGCGGAGAAGATTTGGCAGCAACAGGTGGTGATGCGAGAATCGAACGCGCCGAAGATTGCGCGGTGGCGTCATTTGCAGGCGCTGAAAGATAGGAACGAGACGTTGTTTTACCGATTGTTACAAGAGCACGTGGAGGAGTTAGCGCCGGTGATTTATACTCCGACGGTTGGGGAGGCGTGTTTGAACTATTCGCGTTTCTTTCGACGCGCGAGGGGGATGTTCTTTACCAAAGACGACGTCGGGCACATGCACTCGATGACGTATAACTGGCGAGGAGACGTGAAGATTGTCGTCGTGACGGACGGGTCGAGAGTGTTAGGGTTGGGCGATTTAGGCGCGCACGGGATGGGGATTTCGGTTGGGAAGTTGGATTTGTACGTCGCCGGGGGTGGGTTTGATCCGCAGGAAGTTTTACCGGTGTGCTTAGACGTCGGGACGAATAACAAGAGCTTATTGAACGATAAGTGGTATTTTGGATTGAATTCTCAGAGGTTGGAAGGGGGCGATTATTACCGCGTGATTGACGAGTTCATGCGCGCAATTCGACACCGATGGCCAAACGCGCTCATTCAGTTTGAAGATTTTCAAACCAAACACGCTCTGGAGATTTTAACGAATTACAGGAACGATTATTTGTGTTTTAACGACGACATTCAAGGCACGGCGGCGGTAGTATTAGCCGGCGTATACGGAGCGTTGAAGGTGTTGGGAGGAAAGGACCGATCGGAAATTCGAAAGCAGAAGTTTGTCATGTGCGGTGCCGGTTCAGCGGGCATGGGTATCGTCGCCATGTTACACAAAGCGGTCGTGAAGAGCGGCGGTTTGAGCGAAGAAGAAGCTTACGATAATTTTTACATCATGGATAATAACGGGTTAATTACGAACGAGCGTAAATTGGAGTTTCCGAGGGAAGCCGCGGTGGAACCGTTCGCAAAAGCGAGGAAAGCGACAAAAGAGTTACCAGACGGCGCTTCCTTGTTGGACGTAGTGACGAAATCAAAGTGCACCGCTTTACTCGGCGCATCGACGGTGAACGGGTTGTTTACCGAGGACGTTTTACGGCAAATGGGCGAGCAGAACGAACGGCCGATTATTTTCCCTTTGTCCAATCCAACCTCGAACGCGGAGTGTACATCGGAAGAGGCGGCGAAAGCGACCGACGGGAGGGCGGTTTTTTCGAGCGGATCGCCTTTTGAAGACGCGAAAGGCGCCGTCTCCGGACGACTGATGCGCGCGAACCAAGGGAACAATCTGTACATTTTCCCCGGGCTCGGATTAGGCGCGCTGTTGAGCGGTGCAAAGACGATTTCCGAGGAGATGCTGGTATCTTCAGCAAAAGCAATCTCGGATATGCTCACCGAAGACCAAATTCGAAGAGGTTGTATTTTTCCGCTGATTAAAGAGATTCGTAACATCTCGGCGAGAGTCGCCGTGAGGGTCATAAAACAAGCCGCCGAGGAAGGACAAGCAAAAAGAAGCGTAGTGGCAATCATAGAATCGGATGATGAACACGACACAAAGTTGTACAAGTATGTCAAAAGAGCTCAATACGTGCCTGAGTATAGACCGACGGTATTTCCAGTCGAAGAAAGTCGGAGGACGGTTGACGACTATTAATCAATGCGCATACGTAGCAAACAAGAATTGTAACATCGACGGAGCAGCAGCTTGCACTAAAAAAAGAAGAAGATACGCGCGCCTATCTAATTGTTCGCATGTGGACGCACTGCAAATGGATATTATATCGTTCTCATAGTATTATTATTATTATTAACAATGGATCTTTCTTTTGAATTCTCGAGCGCGAGTTTTACAGTTTTAATCAAAATTCTCTCTTACGCCGCTTTGACCGCGTCGGTCAACGCCTTTGCGGTCGCCGCGATGCCGTCCCAATCGCTGTTTTTGATCTTCTCTTGGTCAAACGCCGGCGCTACAAAACCTACCGAGGACGCACCGTTTCTTAAATAGTCTTGGCACGTGTCCAAATCGGTTCCGCTCGTCGGGTTAATTCTCAAGTGCGGCAACGCCGAAGAGACAGCTTTCACCCACGCCGGTCCGCCGGCGACGCCTGGAAACAACTTTTGAATCGGCGCACCCAACGTGTACGCGTAGTGTAACTCAGTCGGCGTTTGGCAACCTGGCATGCACACGATGGTGTTTTCTTTGCACCACTCCACAACCGACGGGATGAGAATCGGTGAAACGATAAATCTCGAGCCCGCGTCCATGGCTTTCTTTGCGTCGTCGACGCTCAGCACCGTCCCGACACCCATCATAACGTCCGTGCGCTTGGCGAAGTTTGCAACCGCGTCCGCCCATCCCGGTGTCGTCATTGTAAACTCGACGAGTTTAAACCCACCTCTCACGGCGGCGTCCATGGCTAACTCGACTTTGCCTTCGTGCAGCGTGCGCAAAACCGCGCACGCTTTGTGCTGAAGAATAGTCTTCAAAACTTCGTCGTAATCCGATTGCGATCTCGCGTACGACGACATGTTGCGCTTAAACATGGCGTTGTTACTGTTTCTCGTATTGTTTCTGCTGCTTCTGACATTCGTTCCTCCTCTATAATAATTATTACCGAAATACTTTTCTTGGCCGCCTCTCGCCGCGGAGTGCATCCCTTTCATGAAACCTCCAGTCGGCGTAATCCCTTTGCTCGTCAATAATTTCCCCAACGGCGAATCTTCTTTGATCATCTTCGAGTGAAACGGATAATATCTTCCCGGTGGCCCTGGGTTTTGCTCCAACTCCGTCTTCACCACGTCCTCGATAATCTCTCTCGAGTGCGCGATATCGTACACCTCCTGCGCAACCGCCGCGGGTATGACCACCGCCCCGTCTTGATCCCCAATGATCGCATCCCCTGGTCTCACCGTGACCCCACCGCAATTAATCACCAAGTTACACGCCCACGGTTGGTGCACGTGCGGTCCTTGCCTCGGCGTCGTCGAGTGGCAAAACACCGGGAACCCGTATCCTCGCAACACCGCGGTATCTCTCACCGACCCGTCCGTGACTAAACCCGCGACTTTCTTCTGCATCAAACGTAAAAACTTAATGTCCCCACCGACGGATTCCCACGGCCCGACCGAGTTCATCACGATCACCTCTTTCGGCCCGGCGAGCTCGAACGCTTCGTATTCCGGACTGTCCATCCCGGCGGGTTTATCCTTCATAATATCCGGCCTTTGCGGGACGAACTGAATGGTAATCGCCCGGCCGATCGTTTTCGGCTGGCCTTCCGTCAGCGGCCTCGCGCCCATGATGTGCGACGTTGGCCATCCCATCACCCATAATCCATCGATTAAAGCTTGCGTGGATAAAGTCCCGAGTTTTGCCAACAACTCGTCCGAGATTTCCGTCGCGTTTCTCGGGGGTCCCGAGGCCATGCACCGGACCATCATCACGGCGGTTTTATTCGTCGTCGTCGCGGTGTTGACGATGGGAATGGTCGGAAAAGAACCACCAGTACCACCTGCCCGAAAGAACAGGGAAGATGAAGCTCGGAGCGTTCGCGACGACGCGCGACGAAGCATTTTGTGTGTGTAATAAGGAGTACCTCTATACAGAGAAAAAGTGACCGAAAGCCCTTCTGCTCCTTATCCTCTTTTTTAACGAACTTACTGTTTTAGGGTGTAGGTTTTAGGAGTGGTGTCACTCACCTCAAAGGAGTACTATTACTATTACTGTTACTATTATTATATTCTAATTCTACAGATCGAGCGAGGGTCGGTGCGGGACCGCGTCTGGAACGGCGACGACGAGTTCGACGAGTTCTTCGACGTCGTCGTCGTCTTTTTGTCGTTGGGCGTCGGCGGTTGGGGTCGTCGTTTCCGTTTCCGTCGTTTCGGTCGTCGTCGCTGAAGAAATAATTTCTTCGCGTTCCTCCGCGCGACTTCTCGCGACGCAGTACACGCCGACCACGGTGATTGCGATGCCGGCAAATTGAATCGCTTCCAGCGATTCGTCCAGAAACGTCAACCCAAAGAGCACCGTGAACGCGACTTGGACGCCCGAGTACACCGTCGGTAAGACGCCGTTGACTCGGGTAATCGCCCAACTGTTAATGCCGTGCGCGATGACGGCGCTCCCGAACCCGGAAAAGAGCACACCACCCCACGCGTACGCGGGGACCTCGTTTTCCCAATCTATGTCTATGAAAATCTGCTTCAATCCTCCGGCGAAGAATATCCACGTCCAGGCGAAAAGAGTCGCTCCAAACAGAAACGTCATTCCGTAATTCTTCATCCCGCTCTTCGTCGCTTTCACCACCATCACGACGTAAAACGAATACGAACACGTTTGCAACAGTAACAGCAACACGTCCTCGACAGACGGACCAACCTCGTCGAAAATCCTGTGCGCTCTCACCGCCAACACAGTCCCCGCGAAACCGAGCAAACACCCGAACGCTTTCAAAAAACACATCCGCTCTAAACCAAACGCGAACGAAAGCATAGCCGTGCACACCGGCATCAGCGGCTGCACGCTCGCGACCGCGATCGCTCCAGACCGCTCGTTACACACGAACACGAGTAAGTACGCGATCCCTAAAAAAGTCCCCATCGGTACGAACCAAAAGCGTTGCTTCCAGGAAATATCTTTCGTTTGCGTCGGTTTTTCCATCCGTCCAAAGAAGTACAAGAACGGCAACGCTATCGCCAATCTCAGCGTACAAAACGCAAACGACGGAATATGTTTCAAAGAAGGATTCGCCAAAGTGTGCATGAGCGCGAATATGAGTTGCACCAAAGTCAACGCCAAGTGCGTGGTACACGTCGACGGCGTTTCGTATTCTTTTCTCAGCCTCGTTTTTATATCTCCGCTGTTCATTATATAGAGTTTCCCCAAACACTCACTGTTCTTTTCGTCTCTCGCGCATCGCTTCTCTCTCTCTCAAATCCTGTCGTTGTCTTCTTCTTCTTCTTCGCGACGACAACGAAAACTCTCTGTCTCTCTGTCTCTCCGTCTCTCTCTCTCTCTCTCTGTCTCGCGGTGGTAGTGATACGTGATAGTGGTAATCTGTTGCGCAGCAGTCCTCGCGTGTGAAAAGACGACAAACAGTTGTTTTTTTCCTCTTTTTTTTCAAGCTTTTGACATTTTTTTCCTCTGCTTCTTTGTGTTTTCTTGGGCAAACACACAAACACAAACTCTTTTTAATGAGTCAAGCGAAACATCGTGATTTTCGGTCTCGCTTTTTTTTTTAGACCGGACCAAAAAAAAAATTAACTCGTCGCGATGAAAAAAAAAATCGATCGATGCATTTTGCTCCTTTGAGAATATTCTTCGAAAATTCGTTTTTGTTTTTCCTCAGACATCTCTCACAGGAGAGATATAATCTCTCTCACCTCTCTCATCTCTTTTCTCTCTTTTCTCCGCAAAAGGTGTTCGCAAAAGGCGAGAGAGAGACGAAGAAAAAGAAGCGCATCTCTCCGTTCTCTTCTTCTCTCTCTGTATCAGTGGGAGATTTTTAACGCGCGAGTGTCCTCCTTCTCCTTCTCCTCCTCCTCCTCGAAAACACGTACCCCCACATCTTCGTTTGGTTTCCGTCCGTTGAAGAAGAGATTTTGGAGAGATAAAAAATGACGACGAGGAAAGAAGAAGAAGAAGAAGAAGGATGTGCACCGCCCGCGACGCCGTCTCTTTTTAACTTGCGCGAGACGTTCTCTCGGCTGGAGCTTTCGCGCTCGGAAGAAGAGGAGGAGGAAGAGGAGGAGGAACAGGAGCTGCGCGCGTTGTTTTCCTCGGCGCACGACGAGGAGTCTTCTCGTCATTCTTCGGACGACGTGTTGGTGTTTTTAGAGACAAAGACAAAGAGGAAAGACTTTGACGAGAGTAAAGGAGAGGATGATTTAGACGATGATAATGACGACAAAAAAGACAAAGAGAATGCTGACGATTTATTAGTAGACGAGGACGACGACGACGAATCGAGTTTACCGTCGTGCGCGATTTGTCTCACCGCGCCGGCGTTGGAAAACTCGTGTTTTACCGTCCCGTGTTTGCACTCGTTTTGCGCCAGGTGCATCGTTCGGTGGGCGAACTTTCAAGAGGAGGAGGAAAACGAGCAGAGGAAAAAACGCGGGTTGTCGTCGACGCATCATCAGCACCATCGTCACGGCAGCGGTGGTGGCTCGAGCTTTGCCGCGAAGTGTCCGTCCTGTCGAGTGCCGTTTGAGAATTTGTTGTGCTATCGAGAGTTGGACGGGTCCGTGCATAAGCTTCGCGGAGAGTTGGATTTACGGGAACATCCGTTGTGTTTGTTGAAACGTTCGAAATGGTTGGGTTTGGAAAAAGACGAGGACGAGATGCACGGCACGAGACGGTCTTCGTATGAAGAAGATTCGTTCGAGGAAGAAGATCGTCGAGATTTTCATCGCTATCATCAAATGAAGTCATCGAACAACAAGAGCCCCGCGTATTACGACGACATCGACGACGAGTACTTCGCGAAAAGAGGCGGCGCGAGAGTTGTTATTGGGAACCGACGATTTGGCGCGAACGGCTTCGTGGCAAGCGGACGAGCTTTGGCGCGACCGATCCAGCAACCGTCGGTGAAGAAAGAAAAGATGAGGGCGGCTGCGTTTTCGTCTTCGCCGAGCAATCAACACTCGATGACGAAAATGAAGGCATCGCCAACGACGAAAATAACGAGCGCTTCGCCGCCAACGCCGGCGGCGACCGCGAAAGGAGCGTTGTTAGGCACCACGCCACCGCTTTCGTCGTCCACGCCGGCACCGAAAGGAAAGAAATCCATGAAAAAGCAACTCCAAAACGAGAAGAAGAGACTAAAAGATCAAGAAAAAGCGGCGAGACGATTAGCCACGCGAAAAGAGTACCAAAGGAAAGTACCGATTGAAGATTCGCAACCGCGCATGGCCGAAGGGTTTAAGACCGAAGAAGAAGAGGAGGAGGAGGAAGAAGAGGAAATAGGGGAAGGCAGCAGAAAAGAAGAAGAAGGAGCGAACGAATCGCCAAGGATGGTTTCGTCGGCAATCGTCGCCGAGGTCATTATGTAAAATTCTAATACTTGTATCATCATCATTGTATAACAACAACAAAAAAAAAGCCGAAAACGTTCCAAATGCACATATTTTCTCCGCCGCCGCCGCCAGATCAATTACCTTTCGAAGCGTTCAAGACGGTTTCGCGCATGCCGGCGTAATCGGCTTTTTGACCCTCGTTGAACAACTCAAACTGTCTCGCCGCTTGGCCGACGAACATGTCCAACCCGCTCGCGACGGTTAAGCCGCACTCCTTCGCCTCTCTCAACAATCTCGTCTCGAGCGGGTTATACACCGCGTCGAAACAGACGACCGCGCCAGATTTTTTAATAGCTTCTTTTGGGCACGGCGTTTCATTTACTCTCTCGCCGACCATCCCTAACGACGTCGTGTTCGCGATGACGTCTATTTTCAAATCCCCAAAATTCCCACTCGCGACGTCTTCGACAGAAATTGACGTACCACCGCACGCCTCCGCCAATGCATCCGCTCTATCTTTACTTCTATTCGCAACGACTACGTTGGCTTCTTTAAACTTTGCACCGAACGCTAACCCTCTCGCCGCGCCTCCCGCGCCTAATACTAACACGGTCTTTCCTTTCAACGCCTTCGAATCTGTCGTTTCTGCCGCGTCTCGAGGAATCGTCGGATCCAACGCCTTTTCAATCGCACCAATCGCGGCGACGTAATCCGTGTTGTACCCGCGAAAAGATCCGTCTTTTTGTCTCACCAACGTATTCACCGCTCCAATTTGTTTCGCCACCGGGTCGACGTTCTCGCCGCAAAATTTCAAAGCTGATTCCTTGTGCGGAATCGTCACCGAAAACCCAACCCAATCGTTGTTTTTGTTGTTAAACAAACTCTCATTCTCGACAAACTCCGCGAAATCTTTCACTAATAAAGGCACGTAACACTTATCATCCACCTTTGCGCTAATCAACGCTTTGTTGTGCAACTGCGGCGATTTACTCTGCGCGATCGGGTTCCCCATCACGCCCAAAATTTTCGTCTCCCTCGTTTGCGAAGTGTTCACCCTGTACAACTCGCTCAAATCTCGCAACGTCGGCTGCCCTGGTGCCGACTCGAATCCGGCGCGAATACTCCCAAACGTTAAATAACTCCCGAGCTTTGTCGCTAACAATCTGGAAATCAACCCGTGTTCGCTCATTCCTAAAACCGCGCACGGATATCCATCCCCTCTCGCTTTTTCTAAAACCTTCGCCAACCGTCCAACGTCGTTAATATCCTGGCACACGCACGCGATCTTCGCGATGTCGCACATGTCATTCGCTCGAATCTTCTCGTACTTTTCCTTTAACAAAACGTCCAACGATGGCGTCAACTCGTACTCGTGACTGCTACAAATCAACATCTGCCCCGGTCCTTTGATAACGCCATCTCTCTCGTCCGGCTTCGCCTTCGCGAACCGCTCGATGGCTAACAACTCGCAATCCACGTACGTCGCACCCGCTCGAAATCCTTCCCACAAACATCGCAGTCGCGTCTCTTCGTCGCCGTCGTCTTGCCCGCCTTCCCACGTCGGTCGAAACGTCACCACGCACGGAATCTTCGCCACCTTCTCGCACGCCTCCACCAACTGTCCGATCGCTTCCTTCATTTTCCTCTCGTCCGACCGAATCGATTTCTCCAGAAAATCCACGCGTAACTCCACGATATCCGGACGACTGTTATTACTACTCCTTTTTGCGAGGTGTTCGATTTCAGAGACGCATTCAGACACCGTCGAAGATATGATGGAGGTGGTCAATTTGCACTTGAAATCTTTCATCTTCATCTCCATCGAAGAAGACGACGACGACGACGAGGCCGCCGCGGATGCCACAAAACCCGCTCGCTGCTGCTGCTCGCACTTCTGGTGCGTTCGACGACACCGAAAACTGCTTCGTAAACGCCCTCGCTCTCCTCCAAAACTCGACAAAGATTCACTCGATTGTTTTTCCCGACAAAAGATAAGCCTTTGAGCGGATGGAGAAGAAAACTTCTCAGCACAGCTGGTCGTGGTCGTCCTCGCCCCGCGCGGTGGCAAAAGGAGAGAAGATGCAACAGTCGAATAACAACTCCAACTGTGAGTGATCATTTTAAAAAGGCGTCGTGTGCATGCGCAAGCAGCAAGCGCGAGAGAATACCTTTTTTTTGTGCAGTTCTTTTTGAAAAGAACTGAAGAATTGAAGAGAAAATTGAGTTTTTACTGCAAACATGTCGCCGAGCAACATGGGAACAACGAGAGCTGAAGAACGACAATCATGTGCTTTTGGATGTTCTGTTATTGCTGAATAGTATTAAATGTATATAATTATTATCGGTACTTGCGCGGAAGCGAGAGAGATGTACTCTTTAAGTCGCTTTGACCTGAAACGCAGACGTCACACACGCATACATTTTATAACTGAGCAACAGCAGGAGCAGCAGCAGCAGAAACTCCTTGAGAAGAGCTCATTCTCTATTCTCTTTTCTCTTTTCTTTTTTTGGGGTGGGTTTGGTTCTAAATCTATCTTCTAATCTATGCGTCGTCGTCGCGGGAGCGGGCTTTGCGGGCGCGAGAGTTCGGAAACGAACTTTGATGAACAATGTCTTTTACTCGTCGGCGTCCTTGGAACTACTCCCGTTGTTGTTTACGTTCCCTTCTAACTCGTCCAACACTCGATCGTAAAACGGTAACATTTGTTCCAACGAGGATAAAACCACTCCCGCGCCGAGGAGAACTTTCAACTGCTCTTGCAAGAAGAACGAGTCCGGAGCTTGCAAGTTCAATAAAAACACGCCAAACGCCGCCGAAAGACGATACGCGTTCTTCTTGTTGTAGTTTTGATGGTACCTCTCCGCAATTGCGAATCGAGTTTTACTCGGATTTCGTATCTTTGTCGCAATTGGTCGTCTCTGCTTCATCATCGCGTTTTCGTTCATCGCCTCGACGTACGCCCGCACCTTTTCGTATTGCGCTTCGCTTTGCGGCCAGACGGCGCTTTCGTACTGCGCCGAAGCCGTTCGCCGCGTGGCATCGTGCGAGGCAAAAAACACGTCCAACAGTTCCTCTATCGTCACTTTAGTGGTATCAAATCGTACTTTCAGCGCTTCCGTGTTCCCGTCCCCGCTGCAGACCGATTGATACGTCACCGTTCTGTCCATGTTTTTGGTATCACTTTTCCCTTCTGCGCCTGCGTACCCGACGGTCACGGAAAGAACCCCCGGAATGGATTGAAACGTTTCCGAGGGGGTCCAAAATCATCCCAACGCGAGCCATAATTCCTCCTCTTGTTCTGCAAATGATGATGACGATGTTCTCGACGATTTAGATGACGTAGGAGAAGAAGATGAAGAAGCGTTGAGTCGTATTCCCCGGGAAGTGACGACGACGTTTCGGAACGTGTTTTTCGTCGTTAAAGAGCGGCGGATGATGCGGGAGGAGGAAGAGGAGGCCGCAACTCCCGACGAAAGGAGCGTTGATTTTGTTGATGCCATCAGAAAACGAGCGAGCGATCTCTAACGAGTATTGGTATTCGTCGTCCGTGTTCTTTTGTGTGACGATGATTGATTTTTCCCACAGTGAAAGATATGGTACTTTGTAGATATATACACGACGTAAGTATGATGTTTATATTAAATTACAAGTTTTGTCTCTCTAAAAATGTATATATGCTTCTTGTTTTCTAAATATCCTTTCTCTCTGCTCGCTCTGCAAGAATCGCGCCGAAACGCGCTTTTTGTTGTCCTTCTCTCTTCCCGTGCGTGTTTACGCGGAAGATTTTTTAGAACAACGGGTTGCCGTTGGTAAACTTCTCGGCCAACACCAAGGCGACCAAACCGACCATGGCACCTCTCCCGTTGGTCAATTCCGCTTCCGGTCTGAACGGGCCCAAGGTATTGCCCGGCGCGGTAACTCCGTCCGGACTGGACTTCTTCAACACCGGCGCCAACGAGGCGGCCAAGATGACGACGGCGCAAAACGGCGCCAAGAACAAACCCGCGCCCGGGTACGTAACCGTATCCGAAACGCCGTCAGCCAACGTAAACGTTCTCGTGGAGAACACTTGTCCCCACAAAGACTTGTTTTGGGTGATTTCGGTGTACAAAGCAGCCATCCAGCCGATTTGCGCGACGCGGCCGTTGATCATCTCGATCGCGGTCGGGTTCGTGAACACCTTCATGGCGTCGTCGAGGAGTTGCGTGTCGTTCCCGAGCGGCGCGGCTTCGGCGACGGAACCATCCGCGGGGTCGCTGTTTTATGAGAGAGACAAGAACATGTTTGGAGAAATACGAGTGGAAAGAAGTGAAATTGGTCAGTCTTTTGAGGAATATATCGACGAATAAGAGCTTGAGAGTGTTACGAAGCACAGAGAAAAAATGCCACCGAGGCACCACAAAACGCTCCTCTGACGTCATCACGGAAATTGATTAATGGAAAAGTCCACGTCACTTCACTTTTCTTTCCGTGCAAAGCGCGCGCAGATCAGATGCGCATCATCGAGAACAACACGAAAAGGACAAAGAGTGAAAGAATATAGAGTAAACGCACATCATCGCTTGCATCGCTCTCGGCGCTTGCGCTTGTTCACCCGCCGGTGTCGCGTCCGCCATTTCGAACGCCTTCTCCGCGGATTGGACGGCGTCGGCGACGGTTTCGTCCATGGAGCCGTTTTCTTTCGGCTCGACGACTGCTCTCAAAGAAGAAGAAGCAGATCGCTTCGACGTGGAGGCGAGCTTGAAGGAAGCCACTCTTTGGCAGGTGTTGATGGTTTGTAAAGAAAACATTGTTACGTGTAAGTGTTGGTGCAGTCTGTGCGGGTAAAGTGACGAAAGTGGCTTGAAAAATGGAAAAAAGGTGAAAAAAATTCACGGGTTCGTGGCTCTCCTTCGTCCTTGGAAAGAAGAGGTGAAAACGCGCGAAAAAAGCGGTTGGTGTTTCTGCGGCTCAAAACGAAGGGGCCTTTTTGTTTTTTTGTTGTATCGAAAAGAGTGAGTTTTTAAGAAGCGCTTTCTTTAGTTTGTGTGCGTGTCTCTCTCTGTGTGTTATTACAAGTTAGTATTCTGATTCTGATTCTGATTCTGGCACGTGTAACTCCCCGTGCTCGTATCGCCAACCATCTGGTAAAGGGCAGTCGTTGTCGAGGAGGTATTGTAAACATTCGGGTTGGTTTTTCTCGTGTGCGTAGCGTACCGCCCAAGAGCTCCACGGCGCTTTGGCGGTTTCGTGTAAGTACTTCAAACAGTCTAAATGACTGTTCCAAGCCGCCAACTGACAAGCATGTCCGTTATATTTATCATACTTACGCTCAACAAGATATTCAAGTATATGAAGATGACCGTTTTCAGCAGCCCAAGCTGCAGTATAAGAATTCCAAGGCGCTTTCGCTTCTTCGCGTAAGTATTTGAGGCACTCGAGTTGACCTCCTGAAGCAGCATTTGCACACGCACGCACATCAATAGGACACTCATTTGCCACGCAATACTTGACCATTTCCAGATTACCTTGTAATGCGGCCACATAAATCGTCCTTGAATCCCAACCACACTTTTTCTCCTCTCGCGCCCACTTGAGCAACTCGAGTTTATTCGTGAAAGCAACTTTATAGCAGAAATCTCTTTCTCTCCACCAACTCGGTTTATGCTCCCACGCAACTTCCAAAGTCGATATCGACGACATCTCTCCAATCTTAAACTTCTTTTTCAAATCACCCACGCGAGACGATCTCTTAATCAACTTTCTCGTTTCACTATTCACTCTGTGCAAGAATTTCACGTCATTCGAATTCAACCTCGGAAGAATGTGTTTGAAACAAATATCGTCGTTATTCACGATCAAATCCCACAAAGAATCTCTCTCCCCGATCCTTCTTTTCTGCGCTCTCGTCGTCACTCCCGACATCGTTCGCGCGCTCTCTCTCTTTCTCGCTCGCGTGGTGGGGTGGTATATGTGGTATATCTTTGATGAAAGCTTTATATAAAAACGAATATATTTCTCGCATGTGATTGGAGAAAAAAAGACAGTGGAAAAGAGCAATACAAGAGTATAAAGAAGATTTTATATATTAAACTACGACGGCGGCGAACAGACCTAAAGTCACGTACAACAGCACCATTGGATACACGGCTAACGCTTTCCTCTCCTCGACGACGGCTGCACTCACGAACGGCACGGACGCTCCGCACGACCACGTCACGCCTAACCCGACCACGAAGAACCGATACCAGGAGTTCGCGGAAACCCAACACAATACAGCGCTCATATCGAGCGGGAATATGCAATACCCGATCAAACTCATCGCCTGGAGAAAAATGATTTTCCCACCGAGAAATTTCACGTTCAGCGTCAACGCGAACGCCCCGAACGCGACGGTCGCGAACACGACCGAAAATATCGTTCCCGCGTCCGACTTTGTCTTTGAAGAAGATCCTCCGCCCGCAGAGGAGGACAAACACACGCCAAAGAGGAGAACGAAAATCAGAGGACCGTATAAATCCCAATCGCGCAACGGTTGTTGTTGTTGTTGTTGACTATTCTCCTCCCCAATGCTACTCCTCCTGTTCCCTAAAAACACTCGCTTCGCGTCGAGCACGTTCTTCACGTTCGAGACGATCCGATCGATGTCGCGTTTGAACGTTTTGGAAATCGATTCATCCAACGTGCTGGAGGCACTGATGTCTTGGAACGAGGACACGGACTGAGGTCGTTCGCGGACCGAGTTCGCGCCGAAAATGTTAATTCCTGAACCAAAACCACTCGAGTTGTTGTTGTTCGCAGACGAAGGCGCGTCGTCGAACGTGCCGTGAGACATGCTCTCACTGCGACGACGACTCTCGAGCGTTCGTGCCTTGTTTTTGTAACGGAAATCGACTGCCGGTTTCCCCAGAAACTTAAGATATTCCAACGTGCTTTCTCTCGCCAAAGCGTCGTCTCCTTCTCGATTTTAGAAACGTCATGGACGTCGTCAGAGGTGCGTCTTCCCTCCGTCCCCTCGTCTTCTTCCTCGTCGTCTTCGGAATCGCCGCTGTTGGTCCTTTTTCCTCTTCTTCTTTCTCTCTGTCTGTTCTGTGAAATTGAAGCGCTTTTCACGCGTCTCTCTCTCACGTTCGCTCTGGTCTCCCGCTGTCGACGACGACGCGACGCGATGAAAACAACACCATTAACTAACGACGAATTCAAAAGGATTATTCAAGAAGAAAGGACTGTCGTCGAGCGAGGCGAATAAAAACGACAGCTTTCGGAACCGGTACGCCAACGACGAGAGCTTAGATGAGGATTTTAATTGGACAGCAACAGCAACAGCAGGAGCAACAGCGACGGCGAGCGAGGGAGGAGGGGAAGGAGCGCCTCGGAATACTAATACTAATAATCCGCCGCCGCTGTACGAACATCGACCGCCTCCGAGAACACGGACGACGGTATCGATTGAAGACGAACGAGAAATTCTCGCAGCGGCGGCGAAAGCGGGGATTCGAATCAACGGTCGAGTACCGGAAGTTGGCGATTTCTTCGCCCAAGCCGCCGCCGCGGGCGAACCCGCGCCGACGAGAACGCGAAGACATCGACGATGGATTCGAAAGCGGAGAGAGAACGAGAAGGAGGCGACGAGGAGATATCATCGCGAGGATCGCGAGGAGGGAGTGGTAGGAGGAGGAGGAGGAGAAGAAGATGAAGGAGTAGGCGTTGCGAGAGCGTACCCGCGAGGGGAAGACGAACGGTTCGAAGAGGAGACGAGGAGGGCGATGGAGGAGAGTCGGAGGGCGTGGGATGCGGCTGCGGCGGCGGCGGCTGCTGCGGCGTCGGGTAGTAACAACAGTGGTAGTCATAGCAGAACGAGGGATAGGAACGATGAAAACGACGAAGACGAAGAGAAACTTATGAAAATCGCGAGCGAAATGTCCAAAGCGGCGAACGGGGAGAAATTGAATTCAATTCAAAGGCTCGTTTCTGACCTCGATATTAATTCTCGTCTGAAGGCGGCGAATGTAAATAAGACGGCATCGGGCGCCGCCGCATTGGAAGCGTCGACGGGACGGTCCGTCGGTCGGAAATTCGCCGCTCGCTTTCATTTGACGCGATGTTTATCCGAATTTGACGTGTTGGATGAAAACGCGGATGGATTTTACGATTTTTGGCGAGACGAGAACAGCTCGACGTCGCTTCTATTCGGCGGCGAGGACGCACCGCTGCCAGATTTGGGGGAGTTGTTGTCGCTGAGGAAGCAAGGTGCAAGCAACGATACCCCGAACGAGGAGCATGCCATCGCTTACGTAGTGGATAGAAAGTCGGACGATATTCTAAACTCTTTGGACGAGCTCGCGAGAAAGATACACGCGCAAGACCCTTCAGACGTGGTCGCGAGAGCAAAGGCTCTCGCGATGCTCGTCTCCAATCGGTTAGGAGGTGCGTGCGAAACTGAAACGAAAGCCTTCTCTATCCGCGCGACTGCGATGCGTGACGAAACGAAATTGAAAAAAATCAATGCCAGCTGCGTCGTACACATCGGGCATTTAAGTATCGGCGCGGAAAAGCAACGTGCGATTCTTTTCAAAGCTTTATCTTCGTACGCGGAGGTTCCGTGTCGGTTGTTACGCGGTGGCGTTTATTGCGACGGCGATGAGGATTGCGCGAAAATATTCATCGTCAACAGTAGCAGCGATAATGCTACTAATGGCGCATCGCGGCAAACATCAGACGACGAGGCGTTCTTCGCGTCGCTCGGAAACGACGTGGACGTGCGACAAATCGATTTGCTCAGAAATGTAGGGAAGATGACCTCGCCCGGCGGCGGCGCCGGCGGTAAAAAACCGCTCTCTTCCGTGGAGAAGGAGTTCTTCAGCGCGTCCACCGACTCTGCTTCCGCGAATGACATCAATTTTGACTTCTTCTCTGCATCAAACGGAGGAGGCGAAGCCAAGAAGAAAGCTCCTCCCTCTTCTTCCAACTTTAATGAACAAAAGCCGCGAAGCCACGAAAAAGATCTTTTCGACGATATGATATCGACGGCGTCGACGCCGTCTTCCTCGTCTGCGAGTCTTTTCGACTTGTCCGAAGTGAAGATGAAGACGAGTGCCGTTCCCGCGAAAACGTCGTTAACGCCAAAGGAAGAAGCAGCTGAAAAGAAACGAATTCTCATCCGTCGCCAAGCCGAGCGCATCCTCGAGGTTCAAGAAGCCGAGGAAGAGAAGGAGCACACGCGCGAGATCGAATTGAAGTTTAGGCATAAGTTTCACAAAAAGTGGGACAAAGTCGTCAAAAACTTATCGCTGGGGGAAACGCTCGAAGTTTTCGGCGTGGAGGTGAAAGATAAGAAGAGCACGAACGAGTTGCGGAAAGCCTATCGCAGAGCTTTGTTGAAGTTTCACCCCGACCGCCTCGCTCGCGGCGGCGTTAGTGTGCACGACAAAGTGAACGGCGAAGAAATCTTCAAGATCATCAACGGGAAGATGGAAAATTCTTAAAAGCATAACTACTCGTAGCATCTTAGATAGTTTTAGATGGATAGACTATTCGTTCATAAAATCGTATAACTTTTGTATTAAAATTAACTTACTCCAACATGTACTTTAGAACCGGTGCCATGTACACGTATAAACTCAACGCCGCCAACGCCGCGCTCACCCATAACGTAACCACGCCGACGTTCGTCAACTCACTCGCCAACATCTTCGGAAGGAAACTTTCAATCGCCTTCGGCGCCCCGTCTCTCACGAGCAATAAAACCGAAATCGCAACCATCTGAGTCGCCGTCTTCCACTTCCCGAGGTTGTTCACCTTCACCGCCTTGTGAGCGTCACCGCCTTTCGCGCTCGCCCACTCTCTCAACGCGGACATCGTAATCTCTCTCCCGATGATGATTGCACTCGGCACCGCGACCAAGTACGGATGCGACACGCCTTTCGGCTCTAACGAACACAACAAAACCAACGCGCACGCAACCATCAACTTATCCGCCACAGGATCCAAGAAAGCACCAAAAGCAGAGGACTGGTTCCACTTTCTCGCCAAGTACCCGTCCAACCAATCCGTAATCGCCGCCAAGACGAACACGAAGCAACATCCCGGCGCCGACCACGCCGTCGTCTGATAATACATATACGCAAACGCCGGAATAGCGGCGACGCGAGCGAGCGTTAACATCGTCGGAATCGTCAACCCAGACGCAGAATTTGTCAACCCGTATCTCGCCGCTTCGTCTTCTTTACCAGCAGCAGCGCTACTCTTCGTTCTCGTCGTCTTCGTTCTCGTCGTCGTGATTTTCCCTCCTCCTCCTCCTCCTCCTCTTCTCGTTGGACTCAACGCTCGAATGGTGTCTAATTCCCCAGCCGCTAAAACGTCCGACGCTAACTGCGCGGATCGAGTTCTCGTCAATCTCGACGACGGCGCCATCGATGATGATGATGTGCTCGTTATTATTTTTCTCGAAACGAACGTTTTGGTAGACGTCGCAACGCCTCGAAATGCCGCCGCAGTCGTCGCGCTCTCGGTTCGAATCGACTTTACCGACGAGCACGAGAAGTGTTGATAATGTTGTTGTATTTGTTGTTGTGTTAAAGCGGCGAAGGAGTTGAACATATAACGATTGAAAGAAAGAGAGAGAGAGAACTATATGTGTGTGTGTGTGTATAAAGATATATATGTATATATATATGTATGTGCTCCGCGCGTGCGTTTATGTTGTTGTTTTGTCTGTACACAACGAACAAATATTTCCCTAAGAACGAGAGTTTTTCCTCTTCTTAATAAACGAAAAACGGCAATTTTTCACATGCAAAGAAAAAAAAAATGCCAACAACAACACGGAGAACATCTTTGCTGCAAAGGGGAGCCCTGTCGGCGGCAAAACGCTTTTACACGCGCGGTGGTAGTGGTGGTGCGACGACCAACAAAAGCATCGTTTCGTCTTCTTTCGCGAAGAACCCAGACGCGGCAGAAGCCGTGCCGCTTCTCCTTTTCGTATCTGCAGGTCTGTTTTGTTTTGTATCTCATCTGAATATTTTTTAACATCTTGAGAGACAGGAGTGTTCTCGGGATTGTCGTTTCTGTCGCGACAAATCGTAAACTCGCCCGGGTTTTACGCGAACAGAACGGAAAGACAACGCGGCATAGACGAGCCCGAGAAAGAGAAATCGATGCGAGGCAGCAATTGGTACAATCACAAAGTGAGAAGATATTTTGGGGAGAGGAATAAAAGGAAAGCACCTGGAGAAGTGTTTCCAACTTTGAACGCAAAGTTTGCGCCGGTTTCCCAGCCGTACGATGAAATCCTCGGGAGGAAGAGGAACGGTTAGAGAGTGCGCGCGTGCGTGTTTGTGTTTGTGTGTACGAGAGAAAGAGAGAGAGAGAGAAAGGGAGAGACAATGTGATGATACTACTTTTTCCAACAGAACCTATTTTGTACGCGCTCGCGTACTGTCTTTAATTTTTTCTTCTTATCGTCAAGGCGCTAAAACAAAAACCTCTCGCGCGGCTGGAGAGAGCAAAATGCGTCCGTTCAATTCGCGGACGGTGAGTTGAGGAAGTTTCTTGACCCCGGGCGCGAGCGCGACCATCTCAAACAGGGCCTCGCGGGAACCGTTGTTCTTCGGGATCTCTTGCAAGATTTTCATAGACTCGCCGTTGACTCGGATGGTGCCCGAATGGGAGAGTAACGCGTTGATATCGTTGTTGCTGATGTTGTTTTGTGTTTTCGCGTCGTTGTTACTTGCGGTATCGTCCTCGATTCGGAGTTCTACCGCCCCAGAATCAGTCGTCGGCGAAAGGTTGGAAACTTTCACGCGAACGAGGAACGGTCTTTCAGCCGTAACCGCGGTAACTTTCACCGCGCGGTTAATGGTAGCGGCGATGTTATTCGCACCGTTCGGAACGTTTTCGTCTTCCTCGCTGTTCAAAATCTCGACCGTAGTCCTTAATATCGGCCGACTGTAGTCGCCGCCGCCGCCAAGACTCGTGCCTCGCACGATCTGCGGCGGCGTCGTATCGCTCGGTTTCGGCGCTAAAATCGGTTGCGTTTGAAGTCTTCCGGGTTCACCCGTACTCCCGAGCCAACAGATTTCGAGCGTACCGAGTTCGTCTTTACCGCTCGTTGACGTCGTCGTCATCGACGACGACACTCCCCACTCGTCGGTTTCTGTTATTTCGAACAGAAAATGCGCGGCGCCACCGCCTTTCTGTAAATATATTTGATTCTTGTTGTTCCCTACGTCAAACAACGTTTCTTCGTCTGCTATTTCCGGGAACAGCGCCGTCGATGCGTGCCGTCTCTCGTCCACGATTAAATGCACTTTCGTGATTAATCTCGCCGCCGCTTTATCCACGTTCTCAATCGTCGCCTCTAAAAACACCTTCTCTTTACTACTACTCGTACTATTATTATCGCTATCTTCACTTCTACTCCTAGTAAACACCCGTCGCGTCTTCGTCCTCACGTGTAACGGATTCGTCACGTCGAATGAAAAATAACGCACCGCGCGCTTCCTCTCCCCGACATCGTACACGGTATTCTCCCCGGCGACGTTCATAATCGCGACCGCCGACCGTTCGTCATACGGGCAATCCACGTATTCCGCCGTGCATTTCAACGTGTGCTCCCCGAGATGCTTCGCCGAAAAGTGTACCTCCGCCTCGCGAGACTCGGACGGTTTCAACGAACAACTCCCTGTTGCTTCTGTTGTTTTTCCATCTCCAATCTCGTCCAAGAGGATAAAACTTGTTGCCCCTTGTATTGATGCCGACGAGACGCCTCTCCTCTTTTGCGAGAAACGAGTTTTGTTCCCCACGAGTACCTCTGCTTTTATTCTCGTCTTCGTCGCCACCCTTTTGGTGTTGTTGTCGTCGTTCGCATTCTGCGCGGAAATCAACCATCGGGCGGTTTCCCCGAGCGCGATTTTGGTCTCGTTCTCGTTTTCGGAGAGTTGCAACGCGAAGAAATCGTCCTTAAAAGAAGACGACGACGAGGAAGCAAAAACAGTCTTTGGACGCTTCGAGCGCGCGATTTTAAACCGGACGATTTTGGTGTCGTCGTCGTCGTCGTCGTCGAGGTCTTCAAAGGCGGAGGAGGACCGCATTTGTGTTTCGTGAAGCTTTCGTGTTAGTTAGGGGAATTGAAAAGTGAGGAAATTTAGTATTCATAGAAGAATATTAATCGCGATTTTATTAACATTCTAATGTGTTTGCTTCACCGCCGTCGATATGGTCCTCTCCTTTGCCCTTCCCTGCCGCCTCTACTGCTTCTGTCGCGGCTCCAGCAGTCCTTGCACTGTTGATGACTTTCATCCCGGTCAGAAATATCTGTGCGACAGTCTCGGCACAAGCGGGTATACGGAACTCTTCTTCCTCCTCTTCCTCTTCCTCTTCCTTCTCCGTACGAATTATGTCGAGAAGAATTGTGCATCGTTCTCCTTCCTCCTCCTTGTAGCATGTAATCATTTTCACCTGAATGACATTTGTAGCACCGTGTGTGACTATCCGGTTTATTCGAAATATCCGTGATGCCGCACTGCTCGCACAGGCGTTGGCCGATTATGTGAAGTCGAGTTTCCGGGGGCTCGTAATTCATCGTCGAAACTAAGGGGTTAAAATTTACCGCCGGATTACACGTGCGTTGATGCCGCTTGAACTTTTCTACTTCGTCGAACTCCTCGCCGCACTCCTCGCACATTTCGCAAAAGTACTCGTACTCTTCTTCCTCCTCTTCTTCTTCGTACTTTTCCTTACATTGCGCCATAAAATGCCCTTTCTTCTTACAATGATAACATAAATCGTTCGACCCAGCGCTCTCAATATCTAACGCGCGTTTTTGATCTTCATTCAATTCTAGTTTACAGTACGCACCGCCACGCACGTTTTCCACTCCATACCTGTCCATATATACTTTCGTCCATTTGTCCTCGTCTCGAGAGGTTTGATTTTTTTTCACATCATCCACTTTTATCGGTTTATATCTCCTAGTCCAGTTCGACCCACCAATATTTGCAAAATGCTGTACGATGCGCTTTGTCGCGCCGTATTTACTCGTTTTCCCGACGTACCATTTCTTTTCTTTACATTTAAGAATGTAAATGGTGACCAAATCAGTGTCCTTTTTGTGTCGCGGCGCCATTATTTGTTCTTCTTGTTTGCCGATTATGTCAAGTCGAGTGTGCATAGGTTGATTACCTCTACGTCCACCTTCTCTTCCAGTCACTTGTTCGTTTGATACATTGTTGAAATAACCGTGAGAACATGTTCTACACGAACTTTTATGAGCTGGATTATCTTCTGAGTTCCTGTGTTTTGGGTCTCTACAAAAATTATTAGGAGAACATTTAGGACACATAACTTTTTCTGTCATAACACTTGATGAATTTCCATGCTCAGGAACACAACAAAAATTCTCTGGAGAACAATATTGGCAATGCTCAGGTCCAGCTGATTTCGGACATTTGGAACAGCTCCGCGTGCCAAAAATACGGTCCATCATCTCCTCTTCCGCTTTCAACCTCGCCTCCAACACTTGTTCCTTGGCACGATAATCTCTCGAACAATAATAGCAATCTCTCTCGTGCCGTTTGAATGCTCTCTCTGACTCGAATTCGTCGCCACAATCACATACGGTGTATTCAAAATCTTCCGCTTCCTCTTCCTCTGGGAAAAAATCTTCATTAGTTATAGGGTGGACCGAGTTATAATGTAGCTCTGCGTAGAAACTCAATTGTATTACTCTACGAATATTACCATCATCAGTAGGTCGAATTACTCGTTCCCAATTTCTATCATAAGAAGTATAAACTCGAATCTCAAGACCATATACATTTGAAGCTGCTATTAAAGTCAAGTGGTCTCCCCAATTTCCATCGAGGCCCATATCCTCAATGTATGCGTCGTAGGATTCAGGCACAAATGCAGAATATCTCGCCGAGTTTGAGCGTAAATGTTCTACAATATCCGCTCTAACTTCTGCGTAACGGTCAGGCGAACCATACAATTGGTCAGCTATTGCTCTAAATTGACAATTCCCGTCGCCATCGACTTCGTTTTCGCGTAATCCTAATCCATCAAGTCTTCTGCGCAAGAGCTGGCGCTCTGGACTTTGTCTCGCAGACTCTCTCAAAACTCTGTCGAGAGCGGAGCTATCGTTTACCCTAGGGGTCAAGGTAGAGAGCCCTTCGCCGCGATCACGGGAACGCCTTTCAAGAACGTCTTTCACATCCCTTCCAGGGTTTCGCGTCTGTGTATTTGTACTATCCTGTAAAGGCATTTTGTTCCTAAAGAGCAGAAAAGAAACTCGTAAGTAGGCACCCTCTAAAAACTCCCGCCTTTCTATCTTTCGACCATTCAAAATTCAAAATAAAAGCACGTTTCCCGATGCTCTGTTCACCGCACGCGCGATGCGCATCAATATCCGAATTACGAAAGATGGTGACTAAAAACACCGACTGCGACGCGCTTCGTCTCTCGAGAAAGTTGGGAACTTCGTCAAGGCGAGATGACTGCGCGCGTCGCACGTGCGATACAGAAACGAAGATGCGATCGACGGAGCGGAAATTTCTTCCCCCAGAAAAGATTTCTTCTTCTGGTACACGGCGCAGCCGTGGGCGAACGCACAGAAAGTGAGCGCAGAGAAGATGAGAACGACAGAGCGCGCGTACCAATAATCGAGCGCGCGAAATGTATTTGTCGTTTGGGTGTTTTTGAGTGTGTTCGCGAATGTGCGTGCTCTGAGGCACTTCGTTTTGCTTTTAAAAGGTGAAACTCTTGAATTAAAATCTCGCGCGAAAAAAGGTCGCTTCGTTTTGGACGATTCCTCTCTCTCGAATCTCTTCTTTTTCTTCAGAGATTTTGCCTCCCCATTTGGAGGAGAGAGAGAGAGAGAGAGTGTTGGTTGCGCGCTTTAATAAAAGAGAAAAAGAGAGGCGCGGAGGTAGATAGAAGTAGAACAGAGCGAGAAAGCGAGAGACGATACGATACGTACTAATACTAATGTCGCAACGAATCGGGAAAGCGATCCGCCGCGATAACGTCGTCTCCAAATCCGCCGTCTACACGGACGTGAACGATAAAAAACCGAAAGAGTATTGGGACTACGAAAACTTACAAGTCTCCTGGGGAGAGCAAGATGACTACGAGGTCGTCCGAAAAGTCGGCAGAGGGAAGTACTCGGAGGTGTTCGAAGGCGTTCGAGCGCAAGCGGTCGATCAGAAGTGCATCATTAAGATTTTGAAACCAGTGAAGAAGAAGAAGATCAAGAGGGAGATTAAAATCTTGCAAAACTTGGCCGGCGGCATAAACATCATATCGCTTCTGGACGTGGTGAGAGAACCGCAGTCGAAAACGCCGAGCTTGGTCTTCGAGTACGTGAACAACACGGATTTCAAGGTTTTATATCCAAACTTGACGGATTACGACATTCGTTTCTATTTGATGGAACTTTTGAAGGCGTTGGATTTTTCGCACTCGCAAGGGATCATGCACCGAGACGTGAAGCCGCACAACATTATGATTGACCACGAGAAGAGACAGTTAAGGTTGATAGATTGGGGGTTGGCGGAGTTTTATCACGCCGGAAAAGAATATAACGTGAGAGTGGCGAGTCGATATTTTAAAGGGCCGGAGTTATTGGTGGATTTACAGGATTACGATTACGCTTTGGATTTGTGGTCGTTGGGGTGCGTGTTCGCCGGGATGATTTTCCGCAAAGAACCGTTTTTTAACGGCCACGACAATTACGATCAGCTGGTCAGAATTGCGAAGGTTTTGGGGACGCAAGAATTACACGCGTATTTGAATAAGTACAGGATTGAGTTGGATCCGCACTTGGAGGCGTTGGTCGGAAGACACTCGAGGAAGCCGTGGAGTAAGTTTGTGAACGCGGACAATCAACATCTGGTGACGCCAGAGGCGATAGATTTCTTGGATAAGTTGTTGCGATACGATCACCAGGAGAGAATTACCGCGAAGGAGGCGCAGAAGCATCCGTTTTTTGACCCAGTGAGAGATGGAAATTAAGAAATTTAGAGAGAAAGAAAGAGAGAGAGAAGAAGAAGAAACGTGAGAGACTTCATTCATACTTTTATATATACCTAGGTACTAATACACAACAGCATAGGGTACGTAATATAAATATATCGACACAGATAATAAATATATAATAACAATAATGAATATATAAAGTAACAATAAAACTATCAAAGCAATCAAATGTGCGAGCGGGCGCATTCTTTTTGTATGTATAAATTTTTGAAACTCCATCGCGTAACTCTCTCTCTCTCTCTCTCTCTCTCTCTCTCTCTCATCAGTTTGAAAATGGGGTGGTAGAGGTAATGTTCAAAGTTGACGGCGTCGTCTGGTGTCCTTCGCGTACCTGCGCCATTCGCGGAGTAGCACCGTCCGAATCGGACATGTACGAGTCCGAGTCGTTATCGGATTGCACAATCTCGTTTTCGTCGTCAAACGCGAATCCGGACGCTTGAAGCTCCTTGAACGAATACACTTGCGCGCTTTCGAGCTTTGGTTTTTCCTCCAGAGCGACCGCTTCTCCCGGCTTTAACTTTTGTTTCTTTTCTTCTTTCTTCGCGTTACTACCAGGAGAGTTAGAGATGACTTCTGCGGACGGAGCGGTCAGAGTTGGCGATGAAATCGGCTCCGGCGCAATGTGGCCGATGGATCTTCGAGGCGAAACTTTGTTCTCCCCCTTCGGACTGATGAGTTCGGCGTCAGTTCCAACTTTTCCATCTATCGTTGCTTCAGGCGGGATGATACTAGTCGGTATTTTCGACGGCGTCTTGAACATCTTCGAGCCTTCTTCGCTCATGCTCACCTCTGATTTTGCCGGTAAAAACTTCTCCGCCGGCGTTTTCTTCTCTTTCTTCTTCCTGGTTAGTTTATCCTTGGACTCGGATCCCGAAAACGATGTCGATTGAACGAGCTTCCCCTCGTTGTCTAATTCGTATCCTTTTGATTGCAACTCTCCGCTATCTGGAGACGTCTTCGCACCCGGAGGTTTAATGAGGTAAAAATTACTCGGTTCAGGCGGCGGCGGCAGCGGCGGTTCAATCTGTTCGACTATTTCCTGCACCTTCACGGGTTCACTTGCTGGATCCGCTTTCGGAACCGATGCGGATAAACTCGACGCCGACGCGGAGGCTAAAGCTTCTTGTCTTCTCTTGCGAATTTCGAGTTCTTTTGCCTTCTTCTCGAGATCTTTTTCGTATTTCAGTTGCTCTTTTGCGCGCATCTTTTCGCGCTCTTTTGCTTTCTTGATTTGAGATTTCGTCATGCCGACGTAGGGATCTCCTCCCTTCTTGTCCATATTGTCGGCCGCCGGCGTTATCGGCGTACCTGTTCCTGCTGCTACTCCTTTTTCCTCTTTCTTTTTTGATGAATAATCGGGCGTGCTCGTCGCCGCGAGTGGAATCGAGGACGCCTCGACCATTTTGGTCGTCTTCTCTTTTTTCTGTTCTTCCTCCTTGATGGACACGCCAGAAAGCGCTTCAATCAACTGTTTCTTTGCAATTTCTTCGGACCCAGCCGATGTTAACGATTCGCTCGGCGATCGAGACCCCGACCTCGATTTCTTTACGGACATTTCGTGCGACGTCTTCTCCGCTCGTTTCTGCGCCTCCTGTTGCTGTTGCTTCTTCTCCTCCAAAGCACCGCTCTTTTGTTGTTGTTGCTGCTGCTGCTCAGCTTTCTTTTTCTTTTCCACCGACGCGGTTAACGGTGGCGTCTCCAACGTGAACACTTTCTTTTCCTTCTCTGCCTTCTTCGTGCTCGAAGGCGTCGCGCTCGGCGACGTGTAATCGACCGGTTCCGGTTTCTTTTCCGCCTTGTTCTCCTTGTTATTACTATTATTATTTTTCATAGTCACCAACTTCGGTTCGTTCCCGGGCATAACGTTTCTCCCGACCGAAAAGCTTCTCAAATCCGGCTGCGCGTGCCCAACGATTGCATCGATCGTCACTTTTGGCGCCTGCTCCACCTTTGGCATCACTTGTCTCCCGCCCAAATGCGACACCTTCGTCTCGGCTTTTTGCAATCCGTACACGCCGTCCAACCGTATGTGCGCTTTCATTTTTGGCGTGTGCGTCTTGCAATACAACTTTGCCGTCTCTTTATCGAACACGAACGTATTCAGCGACAGCGTCACCAAGCATTCGGAACATTTAAAACACCGCTTGTGTACTTTCTTGTTCCCGACGACGACGTTCACCGCCTCGGCGGCGTACACCGTTCTCTCGCAACACACGCACCCATCTTTACTCGTATCTTTCTCACCCACCGATGACGCCGGTGTCGACGCGTTCGTTTTCGCCGCCATCGTTTTCACGTTCGCTTTCTTCTTCTCCCCCTCGCCGCCTTTCGCTTTGCCGTAATCCTCTTTCTTCGATTTCCCCGACCCTTTGCCCTCTCCTTTCTTTTCATCATCCGTCCTCCCCTCCTTCTCATCATCATCGTTTTGAAACGCGACGTCGTACTTCCCCCCCGCGTTCGCTAACAGCTCCTTAAAGTGCGTCTTGCAAAACAACTTCCCATCGAACGCGGCAAAGTTCAGCGCGGTCAGTTGGCACTTGCATTTCGCGCATTTGAAACACGATTTGTGATACGGCTTTTCGTCGTGGAGGATTTGTTCCGCCTGGTACACGGATTTCCTGCAGATTTGGCACCGAGGCGCTTGGATCGCGACGAATCCCATTATATGCTATATATATTACGTATATATATAACTTTGTGTCACTTCTTCGTCTCGAAACTCTCTAAAAGAGCGCTTCTTTGACTTTTTACTCTCTCTCTCTCTCTCGCGTATATAGAAAGAGAAGAGTGACAAAGACTTCGATCAAACGGTCCAAGAAGGTCACGCTTTTTGGTGTTCGTTAGAAAGAAAGAAAAAGGAATAAGAATCTCCTGAATTTTGAGACCCTAAACAACAAAAATTTTTTTGCCATCTCCTTTCACAAGAACACGAAAACACACGAAACCATCAACAACGAACTTCAGAGCTTTGCTTGGTTTCCCTAATCCTCCTTCCTCCTTTACGAAGACGAGGAGGAGGAGTTGTGGTGGGAGTAGTAGCAGTAATAATACTATTAAGAGACGATGAATAAGAGCAGCAGTAAAACGACGAACCAGCAGCAGCAGCAGCAGCAGAACCAGAGACGAAAGAAAACGAACAACAACAACAACAACAACAACAACGAGATATCTAAAAACAACAACAGAGAGAAATTCTCGTCGAACATTTTCCTCAGCGCGAACTGTAAGTTTCTCTGCCTGAACACGAGCTCCGCGTTAAAAGAATGCTTACAAAACGCGGATAAAACGTTACCGCTGGAAGATATCGTTCGATTAGAACTCGTCAATAAAGGCGAACCGGGAGATAAAGGCCGAATTCGGTGTCCTATTTGTCTCGAGGATCCGCCCAAATTTCCAGTGGTGAACCCGTGTGGGCACGTGATTTGTTCCGCGTGCGCGCAAGAACTCGTCGCGAGAAATCGAGAGTTTGAAATCGCGTCCGTGTGTCCAGTCTGCTTGGAAATGCCATTCGTGGATGCGGATTTGAGGAGTTGCGTGTTGAGAACCCCGAATAGTAGTAATGGTACGGCAACGGATGACGATTGTAAAGTAGGCGATCGATTGACGTTTGAGTTGTTCGAGAGAGATAGGGATTCGCTCGCGACGAGAAGGTGCGTAACAGGTAAAAAAAGTGTCAGCGGTAGCAGCAGCAGCCTGTGGCCGAGAGCAAAAGCGGATGAGGATTTCGCGTGCGATCGTTACAGTAAATACACGACGATATCGATCGATGAAGTTAAAGTTTTGTCCGAGGAAGAGGTGGAAGCTTTAGAACGAGAAGCGAGTGAGAATGCAAAACACCTAGATAGAGACGCGACTTTATATTGTTTCGTCGCGGCTGAAAGCGCGAAGAAACGGTACAACATGTTTTACGAGAAATGCGGTGGTAGTAGTAGCAGTAGAAATAGTGGTAGCAATGCTCCTTTTGCCTTGTGCAACGCGATCGAAAAGACGCGTGCGGCGATGGAGACGGCGGAAAAGACTTTGAAAATAGAATCGGCGTGGCCTTCGATGATGAAAAAAGCCACCGCTTCTCCGCTCGCGGGTAAGATGAATTGGGCAACGAAACAGTCGAAAACGACAACATCGACGAAAGGGTCTTCTGAAGAGATGAATGCTTCAGCCTTCGCGCGGGGTGAGTTCTCGGATGATGATGATGATGATGCCGAAGTAGAAGAGAAAGAAGAAAGAGACGCGTCGGCGGCGTCGAGTATCGACGCGTCCAAGAAATATTATTTTTACCAATCGTCCATATCGGAAAAAGTCGTCTTACACCCGGTGTGTATGAAGGCAATATTAAGTGCCCACGGTGACGATTTTTCGCGAATTCCGAGGAAAATTAAAGTCAATTTGCTCGAGATTGAAAAGACAATCGTGGACGATGCGATTCGAAATCGAAACCCGCAGTGGCGTCATTACTCGAAAACGACCGAACTGCTCGTCTGCGAAGGAGATTTGCGGGAGATTTGCGACCGAGAGATGCTGAACAAGTGTGAACAAATAATCAAAAGAGCCGCGCGCAGGAAAATGGACGAAGCGAAGAGGAAAAAAGAAGACAAGAAAGAGAGAGAGAAAGAGCGCAAACTCGAGAAAGAAAGGGTAGAAAAGGAGATGGTTTTCGCTCGGGATATTTTACACCGAATGCCAAAGCTTGGACATGAAAATGACGTAAACGAGAAGGAAATGGATGATATCTTCTCGTCTTCTCCACACCACCACCAGCAGCAGCATCAGCAGCAAAACTTTGCCAACGTGGCAAAGTTTGGATTTGGCGCTCGCTTTCACGATATGCCTTCGCTCGCGCCAGACGCGTCCTCGACGTCTGCGTTCCCCTCGCTCGGTGAACCGGCCACAATGTCGGCGTCAAAGTCTCCGAATTGGGCGCAACCCGCACACATGGAACACATAGATTTTGACTCCGCGCTTTCTAAAAGCAACGAAGAGATGGTGACGACGGCGACGACGAATGGTGGAAAAAAGAAGAAGAATAGTAAAGGCACCCCGCTTTTCAGCTCGAGCGTCGGTCGAAGACACGTTTAAAGTGAAGCAACAAATTCGTGTACTCAATTCAATATACCGGTATGTTATTATTATTATTATTCCTCTTCACTGTCTACAATACATTATTATATTCTGTTTGAATTCTCTTTCTCTCTTTCTCTCTCTTTCTCTCACTCTCTCGTGTAAAATGTATTAAACTGTTGTACCAGGAGGCATCGGTGGAACCGGGCTTTGAATGTTCAAAATTTGCTCCTCGAACTCCTCATAGCTCATCGTTTGCCAACCGTGCTTCTTGCGATATTTGGCCAACTGTGACTTCACCTCTTGTCTACTCATCGATGCTTTTTTAAGCATGACGCGTTCGGCGAGTAAAAGCGCTGGCCCTAACGTTTCGTCCACCACCACCTTCACGCCCGCTTTCTCGAGCCTCAATCCAGATTGGACGTCCTTCGCGCGAACGTACACGTCGATGTGCGGATACTCTCTGCGTAAAGTCGCGACGGCGAATTCATTCGTCGTCGTCAAGACGACCGCCGCCGCCGTATCCGCGCGAACGGCTTCTAAAACTGTCTTTGAAGAGACGTCACCAAAAAACACCGTCTTGGAGCTCTTCCTCCCGATTCTCACGTTGTCCGCGTTGGTATCTAAAGCGACAAAAGGTACGTTAGCTTCCGATAACACTTCGCCAATAATTTGGCCCATGCGCGCGTAACCACCAATAATCACGTGTCCACTCAACTCTTCGACTTGACCTTCGACTTGCGCAGCGATCGTCGTCGCTTGCGGCGTCCCGGCTTTTTTCATCTTGGCCATTCGTTGTCCTAAAATGGCGAGGTACGGCGTAATCGCCATGGAAATCGAAACCGCCAGGGATACTTTCGCGATTAACGTCGTGCTTAATAAACCGACTCGCATGGCTTCTGCGAACGTCACGAACGCAAATTCGCCTCCTGGCGCGATGTACAATCCCGCTCGAAAACAATTCAAACGCGAGACGTTGAAAATCGGGCCGATGGCGAAAATAACCCCGAGTTTCCCGAGTACCAAGCACACGACAATGGCGAGAATCTCCCAAAGCGAAGAGACTAACAAACGCGGATCGATGGTCATCCCGACCGTCATGAAGAACAATCCCAAGAGTAAACCGCGAAAGGGTGCGATATCCGCTTCGACTTGTAAATGAAACTCCGTTTCTGCCAAGAGCAAACCGGCGAGAAACGCGCCGAGCGCCATGCTCAACCCGAGCGATTGCGTCAACAACGCCGTCCCTAAAGCGCACGTCAACGTCAACGCCAGCATGATTTCATCGGAAATACTCGCGATTCGATTATATACTGGTTTTAAAACCGCGCGACCGGCAAAAATAATACCGACAACCGCCACGACTGTCTTCGCCACCGCTTTACACAAGGCCAACGCAATCGCGCCGACGTTGCTCGCATCCGGTCCGGCTAACAACGGCACGAGCATAAACACCATCACCACGGACAAATCTTGAAACAACAGCACTGAAAACGTCGCTCTCCCGTGTCTCGTTTGTGATTCCCCGGAATCTTGCAATACTTGCAACGCCACGGCGGTACTCGAAAACGCCAACGCCACCCCGACGCACAACGCCGCCGGTAACGTCAACCCACCCAAAGCGACGCCAAACGAGGCAATCGCCAACGTCGATATGATCACTTGCAACGCGCCCATCCCAAAAATAAATTTCGCCATGGACACCAAACGGTCGTACGATAATTCCAAACCGATGTTAAAGAGCAAGAAAATAACCCCAAATTCCGCGAGCACTTTCACTTGCGAGACGTGCGTGATAATTCCAGTCGCGTACGGGCCAATCAACGCCCCTCCGAGCAAAAAACCAACCACTGGAGACCCGCCGGGCACTTTCGAGACCGCATACACGCAAAAAATGGCCGTAATCATCAAAAACAGCGCATCTCGCATCCCCGTCTCCTCCGCTTCGTGCGCAGCGTGCCTCGCAATCGCCTTCTCCGACTCTGGCACCAGTTGCTGCACAAAATCCGTCGCTTGCGATATCTTCCCGCTCACTAAACTCGTCGTCGTATTCGCAAAGTGTCGATACGCCGGAATCGGCAACGCCAACCCACCAACCGCGATTAACATAAACGTCCCGAAAAACCTCTTCGCGTCCCGAAACGAAAACAAAAACTTCCCTTTCCCGCCCGATTGATTCTTCGTCGTCACTAAACTCGTAATCACTTCTGAATCGTTGTTCGTCTGCGACAACGTTTCGTCCGGTAAAACCGCTTTCTTCTCCGGAGGGGAGGAAAAAAACGCCGGCGGCGGCGTATCCAAAAACGCGTCCACCGGTTTCTCTTCTTGGACCACTTTTTCCTCTTCTTCTGAAGAATTCAAAGAAGAAGAAGAAGAATCGAACGAGTCGCCGACGGAAATCGCGGAAATATCGATGACACCTTCGTCGTCTCCTCTCGGTGTGGTCTCGCTCTCGTCGTACTCGCTGTCGTTCGTCATCGCTTTCAGCGGTTTCAAAGCGTCGTTTCGACTTTTGCGAGGATGATGATGATGTCGAAAGACCACCGCCGACGACGATGTCTTCGACGAGGAGGTCAAATCATCATTCGCGGCAGAAGGCGTGGCGGTGGTCGTCGCACTCGTCGTCTTCGCAAAGGCACCGCATCGCCGCGCGTTGTGTTTTCCTTCTTTGCCTCCTTTTCCTCTTTTCGCCGTCGCGAGGGTAAACTTCGAAGAAGAAGAAGAAGAAGAAGAAGAAGAAGCGTCCGACGTTGACCTCATCGGCACTCTCGATCCCGTTAGTAAAAGTGCCATATTCTATTCTCACCTTTTGATGATTTCTCTTTCCCTCTGTTCACTCTTCTTCTCTCTCTCTGAAAGCGCCGCCTCTCTCGAAAAACGAACAGTCCTCCTCGTCGTCGTAACACTACCACTCGTCGAAGGAGTACTACTACTACTACTAAAAGAGGAAGAGGAAGAGGAAGAGAGAGAGGAAAGAAGAGAGAGTTGAAATGTGACGAAACAAGGAGAAAAAAAGAGGAAAAAAAGTGAGAAACAAACAAACGAAAACAAAACCAAAAAGGAACAAAGAAAAGAATTAATTGAAGAAAAAATTGTTTTTTTTTGTTTTGCCTTTTTTCTCTCTCTCTCTCTCTTTCTTTCTTTCTTTCCAGAGACGCTTCGTTACTTACTTTTACGCGTGTTCACACAGTAATAACATACTTTAATCGCACATATATATTCCACTTTGAAAGAGAGAGGGAGAGAGAACGAGGAAGGAAGAACCTGCGAGGAGGTGAACTTTAGTGGTAGTAGTATATATAATCTCATCGCTCTTTCTTTCCGCCTTTTGAAGATGATGACGACGACGAGAAGAAGACGAAGAAGAGATTGAAAAACATGAGCAACGAAATCATCTTCGTCTACTCGGACGCGGTGCGGCAAGCGTGCAAATCGTACGGGCTAGATTCGAGAGAGTTTCTCGATGAACTGATGCGCCACGAAGCACACGTCAAGAGGAAGTTTCATCAAAACAACGGAGGAGAACACGCCTTCAACGAAACAGTATCCGCGCAGAAATATTGGTGGGATGTGATTAAAAACATGAAAATTCCGCAGACGACGAAATGTTTGAAAGACACCGGCGCGGAGACTGTGACCTCGACGCTTCGAGCGAAGGAGTTACAAAGACTGGTGTTTTTATGCGCGGTGGCAAAATCGGCGGCGGGAAGTGGAGAGTGGACCAGTGGGAGGTTAGAAGAAGGCATGACGAAGAAGTTGTTCAGGTATTTCCCGGAGCGTGTGCGCGAGTGGCTCGCCATGCATCACGGAACGATAACGGGAAGACGAGTGGAAGTACGAGAGTATAGGGAGTCTCCTATACCCAGTGAATTTCAAAACATTCACGATATTCTCGAGAGTGCAACGCAAATGCAGAGTCGGTTCCAGCAGATTGGCGACGAGATGATCGTGCAATTACGACGACAACAAGAACAACGAGAACATCAACAACAAGCGCCGTCTCCGGCGTTGTCTCCGGCGGCGTCGAAGTTATCCAGAGCGGAAAAAAGTATACACGATACGTTGGAACGCGCGTTGAATTCGGACCCGTATTTTGCGTTGGTTTCTCCGACGAGTTTTAACCCGACTCGGCCAAACGGTGTGGTCGCGAAGCCGACAAAGTTAGTGTTCACGAAAGCGAACAGTCGAAGCGTTGTGAATTTTGAGCTGACGCCGATCCAAGAGCAATTTTTGCGCGAGAATAGTAAAACGGCGCAACTGCGAGCGTATTCGGTGTTGATTAAGGAGGACGAAGCAAAGGCGAAGAATAGAGTGTTGTGGCCAAATGATTGCGTGATGCACGTGAACGGTGTAAACGTGGACGTGACGAGAAGATCCTCGTCCCAAAAAGTTACGAAATCGACGAGAGAACGTCCGGCGTTGATTTCGAACGCGAGAGGCGTGAATTTACGCGCTGGACAAAATACCATGCGCATCATGGGCGTCGACGCTCGACATTTCGCACTGTGCATTTTGTTAGTTCGAGAGCGAACGGACAAGGAAGTCAGAGCTTTGATACCGCCGCCGAAAGAGTTTGATCATTACGTCAGTAGCTTAAAGAAATCGCTCGGTTTCAGCGATCAAGACGAGGAGGACGACGATATCATAGGTCCGGACACCGCTATTATTTCCGTTCGGTGCCCGATTCGCATGTGCATGATGGAAACGCCGGCGAGGTTGGAAAATTGTAATCAAGCGTGCGCGTTCGACGCGGATTCGTTTTTAGAAATGCACAAAGAAACTCGGAAATGGACGTGCCCGTGTTGCGGCAGCGCCGGCGGGCCGAAAGATGTACGAATAGACGGATTTTTAGTGCGAGTCATGGCCAAGTTGAATAGCGATTTGCGACACAAACGCATCAATCCATCGAGCGCTTCGGTGTCGAGGATTGAAGTAGATAAAGATTGCAGATGGCGGTACAGAGAAGCAGCTGGAGATAAACAAGAATTAGGCGAGTGGGTAGATATAGCAGAAACTCGCGCTGTAGAGCTTAGCATACAAGGCAGGGCGATCGCCTCCGCCGAGGAAGGAGTAGCGCTAGAAGGAAAAAATACTAGTACGAGAAATAATAAAAGAAGCAGCGGGATGACTTCTGCGAAGGAAGTTGAAATAGTCATTAGCGAGGAAGAGGAGCGAAAAAAGCCGAAACGCGATAATACTAATGTGGCCGCCGACGACGACGATTACGATTCGGAAGAAGAACTACGAAACGCCTGCCGAGAAGCTGCGGCTATGCGCGGCAACGGCGGCGCAAAAGACACGGTTCCCGACATTATCGTCATCGATGATTCGGATTCAGAAGATGACGTGCGCATCGTTGGGTCGACTTCCGGCGCAGCACCCGCTCAACCCCCGCATTCTGTCGTTGCTCGGAAAGCTGCGGTGACGCCGATGCAGCAACTGCGTGATTTACATCGATTAAGAAACGCGGCGGAGGAGGAACAACGCCGCCATCAACGAGAACGAGAACGAGAAGCGCATCAAAACGACGGCACGCAACCGTGGCAAAGAGAAATTCTACAGCAGGCTCAAGCAAGAAACGGACGGGTTCCGGTGATCCGTGCCGCTGCAGAGGCGAGGCAACGCGCGGAACGCCTCGAGTCTGAGCGCAGAGTGAAAGAGCACGAGGAGAGACTCAGACAACAAAGAATCAACGCCATGCACAACGGCAGAAGCGAGTACGAACGAAGCGTGATGGCAAACGCACAAGCGCAACCGTTTGGTTTGCAGCCACAATACTATCACAACGCGAATAATATGGCACCACAGCCGCCGCCGCCACAGCCGCCGCCGCGTCCGTATGTGCCGCTTCAAAATGGTGACGGGGGCTTGGGAGTGGTGCCGCCGGTTTTCGGTTTTGGGTCACCGTACCAGCCGCCGCCGCCGCGACCGCTTCGTCACACGCAACAACAACAACAGAAACCGCCTCACCAATCCGTTCGTTTTGTCTTTCGACCGCCGAATCCAGCAACTACTAGGAGCAACACGCAAAAGTAAAAAGAATGAGACGAAGAAGAAGCAATATTTAGAAAACGTGCGGTTTTAGTATACGTATGAATACACACGCAGCGTACAAACGTACACACTACAACATCCTCTCTCTCTCTCTATATATATATAATCCTACCGCACATCGCGCGATGCCTCACTCTCTCATCATCATCACTATTTTAGGTCCTCATGATCCTATTCATCCCTTTCACCGCGAACGTCATCCCCGCGAACGACTCGCTCACCCTCAGCTGACTCGCCAATCTCGACCTCCCTCCGTCTAAAGGCTCGCTGCACAGCTCTTCGATCTTGTCCATCTCCTCTCCGGTTAACTCCTCTAACTCTTTCCTCACCTCTTCCGGGACGATCACGTGCGCGTCGTGTCCTAACATCGGTGATATTATCGGTACCGCGTGCATCACGTCTCGGTGTTTCGCGAGGACTTTCGAGAGTTGTTCGTTCACTGAAGCGGAGACGGCGTGTCGAGTGCCGTCGAGGATGACTTTGAAGTCCACCGTACTTTTGTTCACATCAGAAGTAAAAGAAGAATAAAAGATCATCGCGAGAGGTGACGATCTGCGAAGCAGAAGCCCGTCGGTAAGTCCTCGAGAGGACGAGGATGATGCGACGGAGAAGAGCATGTTTACGTGTTGTACGTGCGTCTTGGAATGAAGAGAAAAGACTGACGTTTTAGGCGAAATGTACTTGACAAATTTGACTCGCATCACCTCTCCTTTCTAGCATGTGGCGGGCGTAAAAAAGCGCGGTTTTGCGAGAGCAGATAAACGATACGCGCGTATATATTGCGTGTGCGTGTGTGCGCGTGTGTGCGTGTGTGCGCGTATTCGCATACTATGGATGCATTCTTTTCGTCTGTCTTGGGGAAGATGTCAAAGACGTTTGGACGTTTCGATGATATTGATGATGATGGGACGATGAAGATGACAGACGATCCCGCAACCGCGATGGCGCAACGACCGGATGAACTCTTCGAGAGAATGAAACCCCCATCATCGAGGAGGGGTGTTTCTGGTGACGATGATGATGATGATGATGATGATGAAAGTTGCATCGTGCACAAAAACGGACCAAAATCCTCTTCTTCTCCTTCTTGGACAACAACTTCGAGAACAAAAATGTGGCTGGAAAACGCTCGAACGCGAACGGAAATCGACCGGAAAACGTGCCACGAAAACAAAGTCTGGCACAGAAGCGCGCACGTGTGGGTGTTTGATAAGGAGAGGAACCGGGTGTTGTGTCAGAAACGGAGCGAGAAGAAAGATACGTTTCCGGGGATGTGGGATATTTCCGCGGCTGGGCACATCGAGTTTGATCCAGAGACGCAAGGGAGGAGGAAGAGGAAAAAGAAGACGAAGGAGGGAGAAGTCTCGAGAGGAGTCGAAGGTGAAGGAGAAGAAAAAAGTGACGAGGACGAGTACGAGGAAGAAATAAGCGAGGAGGAACGAATGATGGAAGAGAGAAAGAAGAAGAACGCGAAAACATCCGACGGAGACGAAGACGACGAAGATTTCATCCACGAGGCGGACAAACACTCCACGCACCCGAACTCGTCTAGAAATACCGCCGCGAGAGAAATAGCCGAGGAATTAGGAATCAATGTCGATCCGAAGCAGCTCACTTACGCGTTCACTTGCGCGGCAAAACAGGCGGACATGGGCGGATGTAACGCCTACGAAGACGTTTACTTCATGCACGGGGATTCGAGCAAAGACGTCGCGGAAACCTTCCCGTTGCTCGGAAAAGCCGAGGTAGATCAAGTCGCGTGGTTCAGCTGGGAGGCGCTCGTCGCCACGTGGAATAAAGAATATTTCGCCAAAAACAAAACCCAGCAGGCGCGGCCTCGGGAGAGGTTTTTACCGAACGAAAATTCCGTCTCCCCGAAATCCAAATCGCTCCTTTACGAGCACGACAAACGAGAACTCACGAGCGCAAAACTCGTCCCAAGAAACGAACAGTACGTCCGCACGCTAGACGAAATGTTCAAATCCGTCGAAATTCTCAGCTCTGGGAAAGTGTCAAACTTGAAATCGAAGTTTGAAAACGCGCGAGACGGGCGTCTCGTTTCGCCGCTGAAAAAGCCGCCGCCGCCCAAGAAGAAGACGAAGAAATAAAAAGCCCCGCCTCGAGAGAAAGAGAGAGAGAACGAGGTTTTGAGAGAGATCACGGAGCGTCCACGGTTGGACGCACAATGCGACATTAGAATGAATACTATCATCGTCGTTTTAAAATGTCCCTCTCTCACTTGCTCTTTTCCTCCACAAAATGTCGTCCATATTACTCCCACTTATTACTCCTCCTATTACTACTCCTATTCAGTACAAACCCACCATCGGACCGAGAAAAAGCGTCAGCATCGCGAGAGGAATGAAAACAACGTCATCAACGAACGCTTCTTCTTCTTCTTCATCATCATCATCATCGGCGGTGGCGGACGACGAGAAAGAATCCAAATTGGAAACGAAAACCGACGGCGACGAGTACGGCGACGCAAATCGACGGACCATTACGCCACCAAAACGCCTCAAAGAAGACGCGAGATGGAGAAAATGGATCGGCATGCCGTCTAGAAATTGTTTGGAGTCCATGCCGATCATTTGCGCGCACTGTAACCAAAAACTCACCGCGAGAGATGTCCCCTATGGGGTGGATGTCTCTAGGTATTCATCGAGAAGAAGAAGCACTAATGTTGAAGATGAGAACGACCAAGAAGAAGAAGAATCAGAGTGGGAATCTATGTTGCGAAGAAAATTTGTCCAACTTTCGAGAGACGCAGAAACGGACGCGTTTCTTTTGCGATCTTCGCGGCGACCGCGACTCGTCAACGCGCGATTGGCGCAGGCGTGTACTCGCTTGCGCGAGAAAGAAGGCAAGTCACTGACCGAGGCGAACGCGATCCTTGGGAGAGGAAAGATGTTCGTTTTGAGTCGCGAGCAGGCGCGTGTTTTAGTGGGGAGGAGTTTAATGCATCGTCATCGAGGCGGCGATGAAGGTGGTGAGGGTGATGATGATGACGATAACGCCGTCCTCGACGCGGGCGCGTATCTGGATATTGGTTCCGGCGAAGGCGAAGTGGCGAGTAAATTGGGCGAATATTTTGGCACAGTCGTGGCAACCGAGACGAGTCCGGCGATGGTAAAGCGGTGCGCGGAATCGCATAAAGATTGGACGGTGTTGGAAACGGGAACAATCGAGGACGTCTGGGAAAAATTTAAGATGCAAAATGCAAGGGAAGAAGAGGAAGGGACGAGCACGAAGAGCGAGGCGGCGAAGAAAAAGGTGCGCGAGCTTTTAGACAAAGAAGAAAGAACAGAGACGACAGAACGCCAACATCAAGGCCGCGGCGGCGGCGGCGGCGGCAAATTCGATTGCATCGGGATGTTCAACGTCCTCGACCGATGCGACCGTCCCTTCACCATGCTCTCGCACGTCCGAAATCTTCTCAAACCGAAAACGGGACTCTTCGTCCTCGCCGTCGTCCTCCCGTTCCGCCCGTTCGTAGAGCTCGACGACGGCACGCGCCGCCAACCCTCAGAAAAACTCGACGTCGCCACCCCAACCGCCGCTTGGGAGTACGGTTGCAGAGACTTGTACGAAAACGTCCTCAAACCGAGCGGCTTTGAGATTGAAAAAATCTCGCGAGCGCCGTACGTCAGCGAAGGCGACCATCTCGCCGGAGCGTACGTTTTAGACGACGTCGTCTTTGTTTTGCGAAGAAGTGCCGATGTGTAGAAAGTGTTCGTTTGTGGCCCGGAAAGGCCTTTTAGATTCAGAATCATAACGAGACTTAAATTCTTTGAGAATACTACTCTCGTCTACCACAGTTGTCACTCGTTTCCATCCAAAGGCACCACAAATCTTCATTCTCTCGTCTCTCCTCTTCTTGCGACGACTCTATCTATATAAACGACTTCTCCTCTTCTCCTCTCAAAATGACCAAAACCACCACCCTCACGCTCTCCCAAAAGATTTCCCAGTCCATCACCCCGGTTTCGGTCTGTCAAAACTTACCGTTCGACCGGTACGAACGCACGTGCGTGCATTTGCAACGACAACTCGCGGTGTACCGGCTCGAAACGAACATCGTGCAAATCTATCGACTCGGTCTCGGTTTTGTCTCTTTAGTCGAAGAGACGATGAAGAAACACCACGCGTGGCGAGAAAACGAGATGCGGTTTCAACGGTGGCAACGCGAGGCCGAGGACGTGTGCGGGGAGCTGGAGACGTTGAAAGGGGAGATTAATGCACTGGTTGGGGTGGAAAAGTATTCGCACGCGACATCGACGTTTAAGACGATGAGGCGACCGCCGCCGGTGGCGAGAGAAGAAGAGACGAGCAAGGACGCTATGTTGGTGGCGGTGGGGTCGTCGGTGTCGTCAAAGTCGTCCTCAGCGGCGGCGGCGACGATGAGAGCAGTAGGCGCGGGAACGGCGGCGTCGACATCGTCGTCGGCGGCGTCGCGACGAACAGAAGGCGCGGCGGCGAAGAGCGGGAAACACTCCTTATTGAGCGGAGAGGTGATTACGGAGAAGGTGAAAGGGCTGGATATAGGGGTGTCTTCGAATAGTACTAATAACAACAACAGAAACAACAACAATACGGGCGCGAGCGACGCCTTCTTAGGCGATTATCGGTCGCCGGTGAGGTCTCTCATGGACGACGAAATCGGTTACGGCGATTACGGTGACGGCGCGTTGAAACCGTCGACTCCTCCTCCACCTCCTCCTCTTCCGGTTCCGCCGCCGTCATCGTACGATTCGTACGATTACGTTCCTTCCGCGGGATCGATCGAGTTCCGACCATCCGTCGTCCTCCAACACGCGCAGAAACCACCTTCCTCTTCAGCCGCCTCCTTGGACCACCTCAAGTTGGACAAACGCCTCGAGCTTTACGGTTTGAAAGAGTTCATCGTGAACGGGGACGGTAACTGTCAGTTTCGAGCGATTAGCGACCAATTATACGGCGACCAATCGCACCACGCTTCCGTGCGAGCGGTAGTTATCGGGCAAATGCGCGCCAGACCGGATCGATACGCCGCCTTCGTAGAATCGCCGAGCGACGACAACCAAAACGATACCACCACCGAGCTCGCAAACTACCACGCGTACCTCCGCAACATGTCCAAACCCGGATCCTGGGGCGACCACGTCACCCTCCAAGCCGCCTCCGACGCGTTCGGCCTCCCATTTTGCGTCATCACTTCCTACCGCGATAACTTTGTTCTCGAAATTCAGCCGGAAAAACGCAAACATCATCAACGAGTGAATAATAATAATAATAACGAGGAGGAGGAGAAAGTGCTCTGGATTTCCTTTTGGTCCGAGGTCCACTACAATAGCTTATACCCGATAGATTCCAGTAAGTTTAGTACATAGAATTTGCGTAAGAGCGAAGTTTCAGCGTTGGTTGAGTTAACAGGTATTTTCAGCATGGAGTGTTTCGTGTGTCTCTCTCTTTTTCTCTTTAGTAGTATTACAAGGGCAAAGGCGGCTGTAGGACGCGCGCAATTATTCTGTTTCTGTTTCTGATTCTGATTCTGGCACGTGTAACTCTCCATCTTCGTATCGCCAACCATCTGGCAAAGGGCAGTTGTTGTCGAGGAGGTATTGTACACACTCGGGGTGGTTTCTCTTGTGCGCGGAGCGTACGGCGTCACTGTCCCAAGGCGCTTTGGCGGTTTCGCGCAAGTACTTCAGACAGTCCAAGTGGCCGAATTCGGCTGCACTCGCACACGCATCTTCGTTATATTCATCATATTTACGCTCAACAAGATATTCGAGTATATGAAGATGACCATTTAAAGCCGCCAATGAGGAAGTACTCTCACCCCAAGGCGCTTTGACTTCTTCGCGTAAGTATTTGAGGCACTCGAGATGACCCATTTCGGCAGCATATGCACACGCCCTCACATCGATAGGACATTCATTTGCAACGCAATACTTTACCATTTCTAGATTACCTTGTAATGCTGCCGCACTAATCGTCGCTGTATCCCACCTACACTCTTTCTCCTCTCGCGCCCACTTGAGCAACTCGAGTTTATTCGTGTAAGCAACTCGACAGCAAAACCATGTTGCTCTCGGCCACAACGATCGATTCTCCCAAGCAAACTCCAAAGTCGATATCGATGACATCTCATCCACTCTGAACGCCTTTTTCAAATCACTCGCGCGAGAGGATCTCTTAATCAACTTTCTCGTCTCCGTATTCACCTCGTACAAGAATTTCACAACGTTCGATTCAATCTCGGAAGGATGTGTTTGAAACAAATATCGTCGTTATTCACGACCACATCCCACAAAAAAGAATCTCTCTCACCAACCTTCCTCTTCCTCGCTCTCGTCATCGCGACGCCTTCTCTTCCAGAAGACACCATCTAACGATGCTCGTTTTTCTCTTTCGTGGTCGTTATTTGTGCAAATCTCACATCTGAGGAAACGACGGTCGAAGAAGAAAATTTCGCGAATCGCGTTTTCCTCAAAAAACAACGCACACGGACGACAGATTTGGTCTCCTTCTCGGACGACGATGGATCCACCTAATCCTCCTTCTTCTCGAGCTGCTACGAATACCAAGAGTAGTAGCAGTAACACCATCGCGTGCAAATTCTTCCTCGCCGGCGCGTGCGCGAAACCCGAGTGCAAGTTCTCGCACGATGCGAACGACGACCAACGACCAACGACCTCGAGGTGTCCGTTTTATAAGAAAGGGAAGCAGAACAGTTGCACGTACGGGGATAAGTGTCGGTACGATCACTGCAACGACGACAACAACAACGCGCTGGGGACGATTCAGACGACGACGGCGACGGCGCGACGGGAAAACAGCAGCGGTGGTGGTGGTAATCTCGCGACGACGACGAGGTTGATGAACACGAAAGCGCCGAGTTTTGTCCCAACCTTTGGGACCGGTGGCGCGGCGTTTTTGAGCCAGCAGATGCAAAGGACGAATCTCTCGGGGGGGTCGCAGTCAACGTCGTCCTTTACGGCGGCGTCTTCTTTAGTCGTCGCGGGCGGTGGTGGTGGAGCGAGCGGCGCGTGGCAAAACAGTCCGGGGGAGCACTTGCGCCGGAGCGGAGAGGAAGCGGAAGAGTTCGGGGGAGACGGCGGGGACGATTGGGGGTACGAGGACGAGTATGGGAACTGGGTGAGCTTTAATACCGGGGAAGGAGAGGACATGGCGGATTTTGTAGCGGCGCAGTTACCGGACGATGACGATTTGTTCTTGGGGATGACGGCGAGTAGCGGCGATTTGCAGGAGTATCAACAACAACAACCACCACCACAACAACAACGACAACAACTCGTTGCCGTTGGCGATGGATACGGGTACTACGATCAACAAGGCCAATGGGTCAACATCGAAGATCCGCAAAGTCAGGCGTTTTTAGAGCAGCAGTATCAGTTACAACAACAACAGCAGCAGCAGCAGCAATATCATCACTTTCAACAACAACAACAACAACAACAACAAAGACAAGTTCCCAGGGACGTAAATGCCATGTTCCGCCCCCTAGAAGTAGGAAACGCGTCGGACCAATCGTACGATCAGCAAAGATCTTTTGATGCGCAAATTGAATGCTCTATATGCTTGGAAAGAGTCGCGGATGAATCTCGCCCGTTTTCGGCGAGACGGTTTGGTTTGTTGGATAAATGCGACCACAGTTTTTGCTTATCGTGTATTCGCGGATGGCGAGATGGTGGCGTACAAGGTAAAGAAGCTGGTGCGATCGCGACCGAACAGGCGAGAATGTGTCCGATTTGTCGCGTCAACTCTTTCTTTATCACGCCAAGCGCTCACTTTCCACGCACGCCGGAGGAGAAAGAAGAGATTTTGAAAAACTATTTGAGCAAAATGAAACAAATTCCGTGCAAGCATTACAACAACGGTCGCTGTCCGTTTGGGACGAGCTGCTTTTATTCGCACGGATCAGGAGAGGTCGATACTGGGGTGAGGAAAACGACGACGGCGGGGGAAGAGCTACACATTTTGACAACGCCGACTTTGGCGGATTACCTCGACGTTTCGAAAAAGGTAGGAGGAGGAGGAAGTCGATGAAGATCGATATGGCTCCTTCTGACACGAGCGAGATACTTGTATTCTAAAAACAAAAACAGTTGTACTACCACATTATATCAAAATACACGAAGACAAAGAACAGTTGTATTCCTATCAAGTTTTTTCTTCTTTTGTAGCGTGATGTTTTTATGTATATTTGATTAAATAATGTGATTAAGTTAAGTTGTTTAAGTTGTTCGGTGACATCTCTCTAATATATTATTCCACGTGGTACGCCAAGTTTTGCCCCAACCACTTCTCAACGGTAGCCACATCCATTCCTTTTCTCGAGGCGTATTCTTCCACTTGATCCTTCTCAATCTTACCAACATTGAAGTATTCTGCAGATTTACCGCCAAAGTATAAGCCAGACACAGAGGCCGCCGGCAGCATGGCGAAGGACTCCGTCAACTCGACGCCAATCTCTTCCTTACATTTCATCAAATCCCACATCGTGGCCTTCTCGGTGTGATCAGGTTGCGACGGATACCCCGGCGCTGGGCGAATGCCTTGGTACTTTACCTTCAACAAGTCATCAGCGTTGAGAGATTCATCCGGTGCGTATCCCCAGTGATCTTTACGAACTTGAGCGTGGAGTAATTCCGCGAATGCTTCGGCTAAACGATCAGCTAAAGCCTCCGCCATAATATACGAGTAGTCGTCGTTGTTCTTTTTGAAAGACTGTGTCAACTTGTCCAAACCCAGACCAGCCGTGCAGACAAACATGCCGAGATAATCGGTAACGTTAGAATCTTTCGGTGCAATAAAGTCAGACAAAGCCATGTACGGTTCTTCAGTATCTTTTTCAGCTTGCTGACGAATCGTGTGGAACGAGCAGCGCTTGCCGGAAGCGGCGTCCTCGCCGTTGTAAACTTCGATATCGTCACCGACAGCGTTGCACGCGTAGAAAGCGAGCAAACCGTTCAATGTCAACTGTTTCTGGTTTTTCATTTGATCTAACATCGCGTTTGCCTCATCGAATAGCTTTTTCGCCTCCATCCCGACGTTTTCGTCGTTGAAAATTTTCGGGTAGCCTCTGTTTGGGTATCGGCCTCTAAGTTGCCAGACTTGAAAGAATGGGTTCCAATCAATGTACGGGATCACGTCAGCAATCGGGACGTCCTTCAATGCCTTCGTTCCTAAAAACTTCGGCTTTACTGGTTTGTGCTCCGCGGAGGAGAAATCTGGCAACGTGACCGACTCTCGCGCTTTCGCGAGGGATAAGTATTTTCGATCTTCGAGACCGGCGAAGAATTCCTCGCGCATCTCCTCGTACGTTTCTTTGATATCATCCAAAAACTCCGGACGTTTTGTCATATCCATGAGAGTTTGAGCAACTGGGACGGCTCTAGACGCATCGAGAACGTGAACGACACCGCCAGAGTACACTGGGGCCATTTTGACCGCCGTGTGCATCTTGGATGTCGTCGCACCACCGATGAGTAACGGAATCTTCAAACCAGCTTTTTCCATCTCTTTCCCAACTGTCACCATCTCGTCCAAAGATGGAGTGATGAGACCGGATAATCCGAGAATATCGGCGTTGTTTTCTTTCACGGCATCAAGGATGGTTTGGCATGGACACATTACGCCAATATCTATGACTTTGAAGTTGTTGCACCCCAAGACAACGGCGACGATGTTCTTCCCAATATCGTGCACGTCACCCTTCACAGTTGCAATCAAGAACGTCCCGGCACTAGAGCTCGAAGTATCGCCGGCGGCATCTTTCGCCGCCTGCATAAACGGAAGCAAGTGTCCGACAGATTTCTTCATTACTCTTGCTGATTTGATTACTTGCGGCAAAAACATTTTCCCGGCACCAAACAAATCCCCGACTACGTTCATGCCATCCATGAGCGGTCCTTCAATGATCTCAAGGCAGGATGCAAACGAACCAGACGTTCGGCACTCTTCGGTATCGGCGATGCAGAACTCATCGATACCATGCACGAGAGCATACTCGAGACGTTTACCGACTTTTTCGTTTCTCCAAGCCTTTCCGTTATCTTTCTTTTTCGCGGCACCGCCGGCAGCTTGGCCTTTGCGGCGGAGGTTGCACGGTCCAGATTTCGGGTCTAAAGTCGCCGCGAATTGAAGCATTCTCTCCGTCGCGTTCGAACATCGGTTCAACAAAACGTCCTCGATGTACTCCAAAAGCTCCTTGTCGATATTCTCGTAAACATCTTCTTCAACCTGAGCGGCGTTGACGATACCCATATCCATGCCGGCTTTGCACGCGTGGTACAAAAACGCCGAGTGGAATCCTCTTCGAACAGGCTCGTTCCCTCGAAACGAAAACGCCAAGTTCGAAACGCCACCAGAAATCTTACATCCAGGGCACAAACGCTTAATCTCACGCGTCGCGTTGATAAAGTCAACCGCGTAGTTGTTGTGCTCTTCCATGCCGGTACCGATGGTAAGAATATTCGGGTCAAAGATGATATCTTGCGGGTTGAAGCCAACCTCTTCGACGAGTAACTTGAACGCTCGGCAACAGATGCGAACCTTCTCCGCTTCAGTAGCCGCTTGACCCTCCTCGTCGAATGCCATGACAACCACCGCGGCGCCGTGCGCCTTGACGAGAGCCGCATCCTTCAAGAATTGATCTTGACCAGCCTTCAAAGAAATAGAGTTCATGATGCATTTACCTTGCGAACACTTCAAACCAGCTTCGACGACATCAAATTTACTCGAGTCGATCATAAACGGCACTTTAGAAGCATCCGGCTCAGAAACTAACAAATTCACAAACTTAGTCATCGCGGATTTACCGTCGATTAAACCGTCGTCCATGTTGATGTCAATCACGTGCGCACCATTTTCAACCTGCTTCAACGCAATCGCCAAAGCTTTCTCGAAGTTACCATCAACGATAGCCTTCTTGAAGATGCTCGAACCGGCAACGTTGCACCTTTCGCCCAAGTTGATGAACGATTTGCGCATGTCCTTCTCGTTCGGATCGTAGTTAAACGGCAACAAACCGGATAAACGCATTTGCTCCGGAACCTCGTGGCGTTGTCTTGGTTTGTACCTCGCCCCGAGTTCGGCCAAACTCGCAATGTGCTCAGCCGTAGTCCCACAGCATCCACCGATGGCGTTCAATAAGTTTTTCTCAAAGAACGTCTCGCAATCCTTGGCCATTTCTGGACCTTTTTGATCGTAGCCGCCCATGGCGTTTGGCAAACCGGCGTTCGGGTAAGCAAAGACCCAGCAATCCGCGCATTTTGACAAGTTGTCAATGTACGGAACCATATCTTGAGCACCCAAGGCGCAATTCAAACCAATCGCGATCGGTTTCGCGTGCGAAACGGAGTTCCAAAACGCCTCGTTCGTTTGACCGGACAAAGTACGGCCAGAGTTATCGACGATGGTACCGGAAACGAAAACCGGGATTTTCTTTCCCCAGTTTGCGAAGTACTTGTTCACCGCAAACAAAGCCGCTTTGGCGTTCAGCGTATCAAAGATAGTTTCCACCAAAAGAACATCCACGCCACCTTCAATCAACGCCTCCGTTTGCTCGTAATACGCTTCGACAATCTCATCAAAAGTACACGCGCGAAACGCCGGGTTCTCCACAGACGGACTCACCGACAACGTACGATTCGTCGGGCCAATAGCACCAGCCGCAAACCTCGGCTTAGACGGATCCTTCTTAGTGAACTCAACGCAGCATTCTTTGGCCAACTTCGCCGCCGCGACGTTGATGTCCCAAACGTCTTGTTTCCTATCCAAAGCGTAATCCGCTTGAGAAATCATAGTCGCGTTGAAAGTGTTCGTCTCGATAATATCAGCACCAGCCGCCAAGTACGCAGAGTGAATCTCCTTGATAACATCCGGTCGAGTCAAAACCAAAATATCGTTGTTGCCTTTCAAATCGTTCTCGTGGTCTTTGTACCTCTCCGCACGGAAATCCTCCTCCTTCAACTTGTACGCTTGAACGGACGTTCCCATCGCGCCGTCGATGATCATGACCCGCTCAGACATGATTTTATCGATAACCGCAAACGCGTCAGACTTGGGAAGTGGATCCACCCACTTCTTGTACGTCGGAACCGGCGGTAACGTCTTTGGATCTGGCGGGGCAATTTTATTCTCCTTGGAATAGTTTTGTCTCGGATCGGCTTCGAATTTTGGCGCAGCCGGTTCTTGACCGAGTCGGCGAAGTTCGCACGGCCCAGACTTTGGATCCAAAGTTGCAGCAAAATCGAGCATTCTCTCCGTAGCATCCTCACGGCGGTTCAACAAAACGTCCTCGATGTACTCCAAAAGCTCCTTGTCGATATTCTCGTAAACATCTTCTTCAACCTGAGCGGCGTTGACGATACCCATATCCATGCCGGCTTTGCACGCGTGGTACAAAAACGCCGAGTGGAATCCTCTTCGAACAGGCTCGTTCCCTCGAAACGAAAACGCCAAGTTCGAAACGCCACCAGAAATCTTACATCCAGGGCACAAACGCTTAATCTCACGCGTCGCGTTGATAAAGTCAACCGCGTAGTTGTTGTGCTCTTCCATGCCGGTACCGATGGTAAGAATATTCGGGTCAAAGATGATATCTTGCGGGTTGAAGCCAACCTCTTCGACGAGTAACTTGAACGCTCGGCAACAGATGCGAACCTTCTCCGCTTCAGTAGCCGCTTGACCCTCCTCGTCGAATGCCATGACAACCACCGCGGCGCCGTGCGCCTTGACGAGAGCCGCATCCTTCAAGAATTGATCTTGACCAGCCTTCAAAGAAATAGAGTTCATGATGCATTTACCTTGCGAACACTTCAAACCAGCTTCGACGACATCAAATTTACTCGAGTCGATCATAAACGGCACTTTAGAAGCATCCGGCTCAGAAACTAACAAATTCACAAACTTAGTCATCGCGGATTTACCGTCGATTAAACCGTCGTCCATGTTGATGTCAATCACGTGCGCACCATTTTCAACTTGCTTCAACGCAATCGCCAAAGCTTTCTCGAAGTTACCATCAACGATAGCCTTCTTGAAGATGCTCGAACCGGCAACGTTGCACCTTTCGCCCAAGTTGATGAACGATTTGCGCATGTCCTTCTCGTTCGGATCGTAGTTAAACGGCAACAAACCGGATAAACGCATTTGCTCCGGAACGTCGTGGCGTTGTCTTGGTTTGTACCTCGCCCCGAGTTCGGCCAAACTCGCAATGTGCTCAGCCGTAGTCCCACAGCATCCACCGATGGCGTTCAATAAGTTTTTCTCAAAGAACGTCTCGCAATCCTTGGCCATTTCTGGACCTTTTTGATCGTAGCCGCCCATGGCGTTTGGCAAACCGGCGTTCGGGTAAGCAAAGACCCAGCAATCCGCGCATTTCGACAAGTTGTCAATGTACGGAACCATATCTTGAGCACCCAAGGCGCAATTCAAACCAATCGCGATCGGTTTCGCGTGCGAAACGGAGTTCCAAAATGCCTCGTTCGTTTGACCGGACAAAGTACGGCCAGAGTTATCGACGATGGTACCGGAAACGAAAACCGGGATTTTCTTTCCCCAGTTTGCGAAGTACTTGTTCACCGCAAACAAAGCCGCTTTGGCGTTCAGCGTATCAAAGATAGTTTCCACCAAAAGAACATCCACGCCACCTTCAATCAACGCCTCCGTTTGCTCGTAATACGCTTCGACAATCTCATCAAAAGTACACGCGCGAAACGCCGGGTTCTCCACAGACGGACTCACCGACAACGTACGATTCGTCGGGCCAATAGCACCAGCCGCAAACCTCGGCTTAGACGGATCCTTCTTAGTGAACTCAACGCAGCATTCTTTGGCCAACTTCGCCGCCGCGACGTTGATGTCCCAAACGTCTTGTTTCCTATCCAAAGCGTAATCCGCCTGAGAAATCATAGTCGCGTTGAAAGTGTTCGTCTCGATAATATCAGCACCAGCCGCCAAGTACGCAGAGTGAATCTCCTTGATAACATCCGGTCGAGTCAAAACCAAAATATCGTTGTTGCCTTTCAAATCGTTCTCGTGGTCTTTGTACCTCTCCGCACGGAAATCCTCCTCCTTCAACTTGTACGCTTGAACGGACGTTCCCATCGCGCCGTCGATGATCATGACCCGCTCAGACATGATTTTATCGATAACCGCAAACGCGTCGGACTTGGGAAGTGGATCCACCCACTTCTTGTACGTCGGAACCGCGCTCAACCCGCTCGTCTTTGCCGCAATTTGTGGATACTTCTCCTCGTACGTCATCTCCGCCTCGGGGTCGATCGGTTCTTCCCAGTCTCTCAAGTTCATCGCTTTCAAAGCGTACGAACCTAAAATCCCAACCGGAATGGACAAGACCGCCATCGCCGCCAAGACGATCGCGAGGAGTAAAATCGCCGGCGCGAGACCGAGAATATACAACGTCGCTTTTTGCGGATCGCGCTTCATGAGGTTCAGCGCTTTCTGGTAGTTCACCTTCGCGGAGACGAGAGGTAACTTCGCCATCTTTTCTCTCTCTCTTTACTCTTTAAAAATGAATATAAACGAACTTCGCAACAAACCTCTCTCTCTCTCTTTTCTCCGGGGTTTTCGTCTCGACGTGTCCAAACAACAACGCGTAAAACGTCTCGCTCGATGTGTGAAGAAGCAAATCCCGATGGGTTTCTGAACGATGGGTTATCCGGAAACGACGGCCACGAAACGACAAAAAAAACCCTAAACTCAAGTTTTGTTTTTTTTCCTCTTCTTTGTGATTTTTTACAGAGAGAGAAGGACTTGAGGCACGATGTGGGTGGTGGCAACTATTTATATAGAGTAGTACTTTAGGCGTACGTAATAATGGCAGAAAAGGAGCACTTTGCGTCGCGTGTTTTCACAAAAAAGCACCAATATTTACCACGCGTCTATTTTCTTCCTTCCTCTTCCGATGGGCGCGACTTGTTTCGCTTGCTCCAATCGTTTCTTTTGGAACTTTTGCTGCCTCTCTCGAAAGATGTGCGGGATATCCTTCCCGGTTCTTTTCATTTCTTCCTTGTAGGAGGATAAAACCGCTCGGACGTCGGCGACGCCGAGACGAACTATGGATTCTAGAAACGGCATGAGATCGAGCAATGCGGTATCGGTCGAACCGTCTTCGTATCTCCAAGGCTGAATCGGAATGACGTTTTCCGGGTTCATCTCCGCCGATTTTGGTTTCGAACTTATGTACAATACTCTCTCCATATCCCTGTTTAACTTGGATAAATCTCTTATGTATTCTCCGTGTTTATATTGCGCCGATTCTCTATATAAACGGTGCGTGACGTACCGTTTTGGGTCCAACCGTTCTAAAATCGGCTCACCGTATGTCAAGAGTTGGTCGGTGAATACAACCATCTCGTAAAATTGCGCCAAGTGCTCTAAAAACGGATCCACTCCCGGTCGCTTAAACACTCGCCACCCTCTCTCTCTGTTCCAATTCGAGTTAATCAAGGTGTCGTCCAAATCCAAAACTAAAGTGTGAGGAATATACATCGCGTCCGGAGGATGGTCCGGCAACAACTTATCGCTAATCGGGTCTAAATAATGGCTCGATTTCTCATCGATAAACTGGCGAAACTCCAGCAAATATTCCGCGAACCGTTGCGCTCCCGGTACCGCGATTTCTTTCTCAAAATCTTTCCCCTTCACTTTCTTCTCCAACTCTTCGGTCGTTTGCACGTAATACGACGCGCCGGCTACGGCGGCTACCGCGGTGGCGCACACCAGCGCCACCGCCGAGAGGAAATCAAAAGCTTGACCGATGGGACCTTTCGGTTTCGCATTCGCCGGATTCTCCGGGTCTTCTTCTTCTTCTTCTTCTTCTTCGAGAATCGTCGTCGATGAGGACGACGACGATGGTGACGACGTCATCGTCGTCTTTGCTCTCCGCTGATGATGATTATGATGATTATGATGAAAATCTCGCGCCGCGTAAATTCGTTCTCGTTCTCTCTCTAAAAATGTTCTCGAACAAAAATGTTGGCTCGCCGCCGTCGTTGAAGAAGAAGAAAAACTCCGTCGTCGACGTGCGCTCGTATGATTAGACGAAGACGCGATGGGAGCAGCGGAAGGAGACCCCCCGTCCTCCTCCGCAAAAGCAACCCCGTCGCTCCTCCTCCACCGCGGAGTGTGACGCGCGTTCGTCGTCGTCTTCCCCGAAGAAGAAGAAGAATTAGAGCGCAAAAATTCTCCCCCGACGGGGATGGAAGAAGAAGAAGAAGAAGAAGAAGAATGCATTTGGACGATGGATGCGAGGAGACGCCTCCTCGCGCCTCGTCGCATCATCATCTCTCTCTCTCTCTCTCTTCTTCTCTTTCTGCGCGCAAAAGTCTTCCGTGTTATTCGTGCTGTATAGAAAAGCGAACTTTGAGGCGTTTTGGAGCGTTTCCCGCTCGTTTGGAATGGAGAAAAAAGCAGAGGTTTTAAATTCACTCTCTTTGTCGCCACTTTCTGAGACGCAGAGAGAGAGAGAGAGCGCGCGCAAACGATCGACGACTTCATACCGGCGACGCTCGTAACGGTCGCGAGAAGGAGGCGCCGTTTTCTGCGTTTCTCTGAGAGAGAGAGAGAGAGCGAGAGAGAAAGAAAGTGAATTGAACGAAGAACGCTCTCGGGAAAGTGCGCGGGATGGGGAACAACAACAGCACGCAGAACAACACCACCCGAGGAGGAGGAGGGCAAGAGGAGAACGACGACACCTCTTCCCTCGAGGGCGCTTTTTCGCAAGGCGGTGGGTCGAGTCATCACAGCACGTACGAACACGGACCGGTGACGCAAACCGTACCGATCCCGGGCGCGCAAAGTTCGCACCTGAATAACATCACCGGTGGGGGGTTTGGAGGCGGGAGAGGAGGAGGAGGAGGAGAAGCGCTGGAACCGGCGCTGGTGCCAGTCGCCATCACGTGTGCGTCCTGTTTTTCGCCCCGTTCGTTAGAGTTTAGTATGCGACGTTCGTTTTATCGAAGTCGTCGTTTACGCCGTCGTCCTCTTCGTTAGGGGGAGGAGGTGTTTTTACCCTAGATGTGTCTTTTGTGTTCGCGAGCGGTTGGTACGGACGACGCGCTTCGGCCGATGCGTTTTTTCAAAAGGAAGCGTTTACTCTCGTTCTTAATTCTTCTCATGTTATTTTTACTCACGCTCTCGCATCTCTCTCTGTATATGTCTACCCTTCGCGCATTTTTGAAACGAACAGGGACGCAAGGCGGTTCGGTCGTGGAAGTCGAAGGCTCCTTCGACGGATGGCAAACGCGGACGCAGCTCCATCGGTCTGGGAATAGAGAGTTTTCGGTGATTAAATCGTTTCCACCTGGGGTGTATCAGTATAAATTTATCGTCGATGGAGAGTGGATGTACGCGCCGGATCAGCCGGCGATGTACGACGAGATGGGGAACGTGAACAACGTGTTGGAGGTGCAAGAGTACGTGCCGGAAATTTTAGATAATTTGGACCATTTCGCGGTACCGAGTAGTCCGAAGGAGAGTTACGACGATTATTTGTTTTACGGGGAGGATTTTAGTAAAGAACCGCCGGCGATGCCGCCGCAGTTGAAGTTGACGTTGTTGAATATGCCGCCGATTCCGTACGCGCCGAATTTGTTGCCCAGGCCGCAACACGTGGTGTTGAATCACGCGTACGTAGATCAGAGTAAGGCGAACCAAGGATTGAGCGTGATTGGAACGACGCATAGATATAGGGCAAAGTACGTAACGATAGTGTTAATGAAATCCTCGAACTCTCAAGATTGTTGATGACGAGGGGATTGATTTAGTTTTTGTATTTGAAAGTTTTAGCACACAACACAATTTTTTCCACTAGACGCATTCCGCATTTTTGCATCGTTCCGCGCATTCGTCCGAGAACTCGTACACGAAACTGGACGCATCGTTTGGGCACGTCCAACCTTCGTTCGCGAAGAACGATTCCCCTGTTACTTCGTCGATTCGTTCCTTAAAAAACGCGTGCTTCTCAATTCGAGCAACGTCCAAACGGCGATCGGGGGTCCACTGTAAAAGCCTTCGAATTAAACGAAGCGCCCAGGCGTTGGGTAATCCAAGTCGCAGCGGGTCGCGGAGCTTGATTCTTCGCATGATATTATCTTCGAGACAAGCGCCGGAATACACACTACCGTTACCGCGGTTATCGATATCTTCCTTATCATCTTCGCTCTGTTCTTCGTTTGATTCGCCAGGACGAGGATACTTCGCGTCGTCTCGAACGCTCGATTCAACGCCACTGTTTACGCCAAAGTTAGCATAGGACGGCGCAATACACATAGATAGCATCGCTCTAATTCTGTTATATGCCAGTCGTGTTTCCGCGCTCGCATCGCGCAATGAATCGTCCCGTCGTAATCGCTCTCGCTTGCCAGCATCGCTCGTCGTCGCGAAACCGTTGTCGTCCCAAACGCGTGAAGTTCCTAGAGCTAAAACCTCTAAGTATAAAATCCCGAGCGACCACGCGTCATACATTTTATACTTCTTAATATCAAACGACGCGAGCGTGTGATGCTCGGGGTGTTGATTTTTCGCGCGAAATAAGGACTCGGGAGGTGCGAAATCAGGCGTTTCTTGATCCGAGTTCGGCCCGAGCGGACCAAACAACGTATCGAAGGATCCCGCATCCACCGCAGATCCAAAGTCGCCTATGCGCACATCGCTAACCGCGACCGTCGAGGAAAAAAGGGCGGAGGAGGACGGAGGAGTTCCGGTATCGCCGTTTTCAAATGCTATGAAAACGTTCGCGGGCTTGATGTCGCGATGCGCCACGTTCGATTGGTGAACTTTCGCAACACCGCGCGCGATTTCGAGCAAAATTTCACGCAAAGCATCTCTTTGGGGGAATGAAGTAGGTGCCGTGGAAGCGTTTTCATCTCTCGAGCTACCCGAAGTTTCATTCTGGCGTGCATTAAGAATCTCGTTTCTCGTTCTTCTCCCGTTTTCATCAGCAATTTTGCGCTGTTCGATCCACCACTCTGACGGTCGCAACATTCCGCCTTGACCTTCTTCGTACATCAATCGATCCAACGAAGTTCCTTCGTCTCTAAACGCTAACCATAACTCCTTTTCTTCGGAAGATGACGAATCTGACGTTGTCGTTGTCGTTTCGAATGCGCGATGAAAACGAGCGACATTTGGAGTTACGTCACAAAATAAATTTCCAAAGTACATTTCTCGGCTTCCAGATCTCCGCACATCGTCTCCTCTTTCGACAAATATGCGTTTAATGACGAAAGAAGAACTCGCATCATTCTCTTCGAAATCGCTCGAATCGCTCTCCAGACTCTCATCATTTGCGCTCGTGCGACATTGTGGCGTGACTGTGCCGACGTCGAAAGCTGTCGCTCGCCACACTTCACCAAAATGACCTTTGGCGAATACTCTTTTACGGTTCGAGCGCGTAGCATCTTCGTGTTGCGCAGATGTCGATGTAGGTACGAGCACGACATCCTCTTTCAACTCTCTTTTTTTCTCTTCTTCTTCCACTGGTGCCGTTGAGAAGAACACGGAGGATATGCCGCTCTTCGCTCGAAGCCACCAATTCGAAAGAACTCCACCGGGAGGCGGCGTTTCCACTTTCATCGCGGCTCTTTTTCTGTGCTCGCGCGAGGAAGCTGGCGCAACCATGAGCATTGCAAACGCTTTATCCGCGTCTGTCAATTTGATCATTTGTTTGTGCGCTTCTCCCACACTATTTCCCTCGGGCAATGCGCCGGATGCCGAAGAAAAATAGCTTCCATCAAAGTCAAAATATTCGCCGTATTCGTATAAATCAACGTTCCAAGGAATTTCTATGGCCTCTGAATAGGACTGGTATCCTTCGCCTCCCACGATATACTTTTGCACGATGTCTGATCCTACTCTTCCCTCTCTCTCGTCTTGTTCGTTGCCGAGCAAGACACCGTCGTGATAATTCTTTATTGGACCGTTACTCAATGCGACGATTTCGTTCAACCGAAAGGCGTTGGCGATTACCGCACCGGGCTTCGGGTCGATTGAAAAAATGCGGCCGTCGTTCCGGCGCCGATCGGCAACCGTGAGGCGGTTTGCGTCCGCTTCATTTTCGGCGCGTGATGTTTCGATCTTAGCGTACACGATCTCTTCTTTTTCTTCTGAATTTAACGGTACAGGTTCCTCCTCGACATCTGGGAACTTAATGGCTGCTACCGCTACGTTGTCTTTGCTTCCCATCGCGATTGCCATTTCACACGTCAATCGAGCGTTCTTTGCCATATCGATATTTTCTCCAAAACTTCGGATGTCTGCCCACGCTTCTATTGGAAATACCTTTTCATCTGGTTCGAGCTCGACTTCGCCGTCGACTTTCAATTCCACCAGATCGCTGTTAAATATATCATTCTCTGGCGGTTGTTCGTTACTATTGAACGCCTCGTCGTCCTCCGGACTCGTTTCATGCTCCTTTGCCTTCGCGTCTTTGATAGCATTCATCCGATTTGGCACCGGTTTCAATGCAATCGTTGTGGTTTCTAAACGAGATCGTCTTCGTTTAATGCGTCTTCTCACGGTGACCGTGTCCACATCTCCAAATAAAATCTCGCACAGTTCGTTCATGAACTGTCCGCTTTCCCCCTCGTCTTCTGCTTTTTCGATGACGCCGTCCGACACGAGAACGATGCCGCGTATTCTTCTTCTCGCCCGACTCTTTCTCTTTGGAATCGGCGAGGACGATGGAGAAGAAGAAACAGACAACGAATCCTTCTCTCCATCTCCGCTACCACCCTCTCGTCTCCTTTTTCTAATTTCTTCCGCGCGTTCGCGAGGATTACTCGCGTATTCTAAACCCCTACCGCTACCTCTACTACTCTCTTCCTTTTCCCCCTCCTCATCCCACCTCTCCGCGAATTCCTCAAAACGCACCGTCCTTGTTTCCGCTTTTGCTCCGCCAACCCCTCGGCTTTCAAAATCCCCCAACGCCCGGGTGACCAAAATCCCCTCCGCTCGGTCCCCGGTCACGACGCCGCCCATCTTCCTTACCCTTTCCGCTTCCTCCAAACTCGCTTTCACCGTGTGATCCCTCGTGATTACCTTTGCCTCGTTTCGAGTGCTTTCACACGCGTACGCTCTCGAATCTCCAACCCACGCGAACGAGGCGCGTGATAAATCGGGAGAAATCAGAGCGACCAACGCCGTCGATCCGCCAACGCGCAAACCATCCCCCGCCGAAGCGTCTGGGTTGGCGCCATCCGTCATCTTCCTCTCGATGGTCTCGTGAACGTCTCGCAACGCCATCTCCAACGCCCCTCGTTCCCTTCTTTCTTCCATCTCCACGTTATCATCATCGTCGCCCGTCGTGCTCATCTCACCCTTCGCAGAATAGTCCTCGTCCTTCTTAAAACGTCCTTCCTCTTTCTCGAAAAGTCTCCGCTCCACGCTCTCCGCGACGAGTTTCCTCGCCTGCGAGCTCACGAAGCGTCCGTCGTGTCCATCAAACACCGCCGCGACCAAAAACTGCTTTTTACCAACCCCCATTCTTTCTCCTCCCTCTTCTTCGAGTTCCCTCGGTGCTTCTATTGTAGCGCACAGCGTTTCGTCCTCGTTGGACGCGCGTCGACCTTTCGCGTTCGCGTGGAAACATCTCGGGACTTCTTCTTCTTCTTCTTCTTTGTTGTTGGTGTTGTTAGGGGATGCGATGCCGTTGACAACAACAACACAACAACACAAACACAGAATGAAAACACGCCACCACGCGAGATGACGCGACGACCGCATGGTCGCTTCTTCGCAGCAACACTCGCGCGGCCTCTTTCTCGTCCTTTTTGCGGAGGAGAGCTTTTACGCGTGCCGTGTGTTTGCGCGTTTGCGCGTTTCTTTTTTATAGGGGAAATTCAAAGAGACATGCATGCCTCATTTTTCTAAGCGCAACGAACACTCGCGACGAGAGAGAGAGACGTAATAAGAAAACGAGAGATACACAGATGGTGCGACAAAAGAATCCGCACCCGAAACGCGCGGAAAACGCGAGGACGGCGGTGGTCGCGAGCGACAGAGAGGAGCGAGAAGCGCGAGAGTTTCGAGAAGAAGAAGAAGAAGAACGAGTGTTGTGTTTGACAATACCTGATTATGATGATGATGATGAGATGGACGAACAGATACGAGAAGAAGAGATGACTGTTAGGAAAGGATGGAAGAGAAAGAGAGGGCACGAGTGCGATCTTTGCGAGAAGGTGTTTGATAGACCATCAAGTTTGGCCATACACATGCGTATTCACACGAACGAGAGACCGTATGAATGTGATGTGTGCGATAAAGCTTTTCATACATCTGGTCATTTGAAAAGCCACATGCGTATTCACACGAACGAGAAGCCGCATGAATGTGAAGTGTGCGAGAAGCGTTTTAGTCAAGCTGGTAATTTGAAAACGCACATGCGTATTCACACGAAAGAGAAACCGTATGAATGCGATGTGTGCGATAAAGCTTTTCGTGATTCTGGTAATTTGAAAAGGCACGCGCGTAACGTTCATTAGCTCTTTTAGTTTTAGTTATACTACAGTCAAATGTATTCAAGAGTAAAAACAACAGAAAAATTCCCCCCGCTTCTTCGCCCGCGTACACAAAAGCAAAAACTTCCGCGACGACGACGACGACGACGAGCAGATGCCGTCGTCTCGCGCCCTGTTCGAATCCGGCGTCCTCCTCTGTTTCCTTCTCGCGTTCATCTCGCTCGTTTCCGAGGGCCAGTTTGCCGCGTTGTACGGTAAGAATGGCCTCGTCCCTTTGAAACAGTTAAACGACGAGGGGCTGTTATTCTCATCGATATCGTCTTCAGATAATGTTGATTCAGCAGCAGCGCAGGGAAGAAATTTCGCGGCGCTTTATCGCAAGACGTTCGATTTGATGCGAAAGACAAACTATAACGTCGTCTGGTTGGCTGCTTCGTCGCGGTTTCACTCGTACGAGAAATTCATGGAATGCGTTTTGTATCTAGGGGTCACGCTCACATTTTATTGGTTGATGGTGGATGGACGAGGAAGAGGAGGAAGAGGAGGCGGCGGGAGAAGAAAATGGTACCATTTCGCGTTCTTGGTTTGGACGTACGGGTCGATGGTGGATATTGGAGACGCGTTTCTCTCTTTTCAGTGGGATGTTTTACTCTTGGAGTGCGGGATCGCATGCGCGGTTGGCGCTGTGTTATTTCCACCGAGGAAGAGGACGAGTTCGGTCGAGGAGGAGAACGAGGATGCACAATATGCGTGGATCCCGCGAGCGATTCTGTACAAATTGATGCTGATGAGCGGCTGCGTGAAAATTCAATCGAAGTGCAAAACGTGGTTAAAATTAACCGCGTTGGAGTATCACTTCGCGACGCAGCCGTTGCCGACTGGGTTGTCTCGATTGATTGCCAACGGGGTGAGTCCGAGGTACAAGAAGATTGGCGTGGCGTTGACGTACGTCGCGGAAGGACCGATGGCGTTTCTGATCGTCGCGCCGACAAAAATGGCGAGAAGAGCAGCGTGTTTAGGGCAGATTTTGTTTCAGGTTGGCATTATATTGAGTGGGAACTACGCGTATTTCAATCTTTTGACGATCGTGTTATCGATGGCGAGCTTCGCCGGCGGCGAGAGGAAGGTGGTGAAGACGGTCGACGAGAAAGAAGAAAATAAAGGTAATGATGGAGAAGCCGCTCGCACGCTCGAAAAGAACAAAGCAAAAGCCTTGCCCGTGTTGCAACACTCGATGGCTATGATTGCGACGCATCTCTCGCTTCTGTTTTTCATTATATGCACGGTGAACATGTTTGCACCGGGTAAAGATGGCGTGAAACTTCGCGCGTCCTCGAAGAATGTGAATAAACGCTTGACAAAGTTCCTCGACGTCGCAGTTCCTGTATCGAGAACGTATTTGATTTTAATTGCCGTACCTTTGACGTATGCATATCGCGGTTTTCTGGCGAAAGCAACGAAGAAGGAAAAAGAAAATAACGAAGAGAGTTTTAAGATTTTCACGTTGCGGAGATGTCGCGACGTTTTGTTGATGGCGTACTTGCTCGTCATAACGGCGCCGATGCGTGAGATTGCGCCGAACAAACAAATTGCAAAGGTGCATCCTTTGCTCCGGGCCAACGCTGAGTTTCTCGATACGGCGACGAGCTCGATACAGCGACACATGCCAACGCCTCTGAGACGCATTTCTTCCGGATATGGATTGTTTCGCTCGATGACCGGGGTCGGCGAAGACGGAAAAGTTGCGCGCCGCGAAATTATTTTCGAGATTGCGCCCGACGCCGACAAAGTCGAGGATGTGGAATGGACCGAACTCACGTTTAAGTATAAGCCGGGCAACGTGAAAAAACGTCCGTCATTTGTAGCGCCTCATCAACCGAGATTGGATTGGCAAATGTGGTTTGCAGCTTTAAGAGGCGACGGCGTCTTTCAAGATGCCCGTTACCGGTGGTTTTCAATGTTTATCATTCGCATATTACAAAAGTCGCCAGAGGTTTGGAAAATATTAGACCCGTCCATGCAAAAGCACATGAATGCGACGACCTATCTGAGAATATCGATGTTTGAGTACGATTTCGCGCCGAAAAAAGAAGAAGGCGATGATGTTTACGTGCGGAAGAATCTCGGCGAGCTACTGCCGCCAACGCATCTCGGTTCCCCTGAAATTGAGGGACTCCTAAACATGGCTGGACCGATAGATTACGAAAAAGAGACGCCCGCGTTATTAGAAATTCCAGATGTGGATGCCGTCACGTTTGTTGTGAGCGTTATGGCTGTCATATTTGCTTCGCACATTTTTTACAACTCTAGGAGAAAGAGAAATAGAAGAAGAAAACTAAAGGTGAGTTAAACTTTATATAGAAAAGAAAATAAAATAGAGGGTTGTTGAAATCAAATATGCGAGACAGTAAAAGTAGAACAAAGGTTGTCGTGATTCAACCTCCGCTCGTCGCAAGTCGTCGCTGAAACCAGTTTTATGTTGGCTAAATTTTGAGGGATATCGAGCATTCTTTGAGCGCCTCGGATCCTAGATACATCAGCCGAAAAAGAAAAAAAACAAGAGAAGGAAAACATTTTAACTCGCTCGTACCTTAGTGAGTTTACTTCATCCCTCTCGGGGAATCTCCTCCGATGCTCATTTTTGCCGGCGAAGTCATCATCACCATCCCTCCGGGCGACCGCGGGACCTTTGGAGAATCACTCCCTCCTCCACCGCCACCGCCAGATTCATTCTCTCCGCTAAATTCTACATGTTTCTTTGCTAATATCTCTCGAATCATCTCGTCGCTCTCGTCGCACAACTGCGTCGCCAACCTCGGATCTCTCGAAGGTAACGAACTCCTCGTCGGCTTACACTCGCTATAATATACCCCTGGAGGTAACCCACTATTCGTCAAACACAACAAAACCGTCGCCGAAGCTACTTCTACGCTGACCTTTGTAAACGGCGCCACCAACGAGTGTACGATAGATCCTCCGAAATATTCCCCAAACTGTTTCGACAACTCCTCGCCAAACTGCCCTGGATTCACCGCAAACGCTCTCACGCCATTCACCGTTTCCGAAATTCTCCACGCGTGTAAAATTGGACACAATTTCGATTGTCCGTAACTGTTAATCGCTGAATACCCATACGAGCTATTTAAATTCTCAAAATCAATCCCTCGACTCGGTTTCGTCGTCCCTCTTCGCACTCGATACGACCAATGGTGCGCGTTGCTCGACACCAACACCACCTTCCCGTCGTTTCCGGCAACCGCCGCGGTCCTCGTCAACTCGTCGCTCAAAAACGACACCATGGCGTAGTGACTCAGATGGTTAATCGCGAAGTGCGTCTCCACCCCGTCCGGTTTCGTCAACGCAAACGGTTGCACGACCACCCCCGCTAAGCACAAAATCCCATGCAAAGGCAACGCTAACTTTTGAAACTCTCGGCAAAAAGACTTCACCGAGTGCACCGAACTCAAATCGCACTTCAATATCGTCACTTCTTTCATCGTTACCTTCTTCTTCTTCTTCTTCTTTGGCTTCTCCTCGTCCGCCTCTTTCTCTTCGTCCTTTTCTTCTTCATCATCCTCATCCTCATCTCCTTCATCCTCTCCTTCAAAGTCTTCCTTCTCCATCTCTCCCACGAACGCGCTCGCTTTCTCCACGTCTCTGCTCGCGAATATCAGTTTGCACCCTCTCGCGCGTAAAATTTTCGCGCACGCTCTCCCCAACGTCCCCGTCGCTCCGGTGAGAATAAACGTTTTCGACGCCAAATCGGACACCGATTCGGTCACGTCCATTCCCGTCGCGGTCGCGGGGAAACTTTGCCCCGCGGAAAGTTTTACTTCGACGGAAGCGTTTTGCCATCCTCCGAAGCACTGAGAGAACCCGAAATCGATCGAGGAGCACGCGGACGTGAAGGAACTCATTCTTCGCGAAGAGCGTTTTGCGCGGACGAGAGGAATTCAATCGAAAGGATTTTACTACACAACAACTCTATTGTGAGAGAGAAAGAACGAGAGCGCAGAAAGTCCCACGGATTCCTGTCTGACGCTCCCTCGAAGGGTCCGCTTCTTTTGTCTTTCGAATCGCGCGCTTTTCTCTCCGAGTTTTCCGCAAAGGAGCGCACGGTTCGTTTGGGGAAGAATGAGGAGATTTTCAGCTCGAAACCACACAAAAAACACCCGAAAAGGGTGCGCATAAACGCATGACATCTCTCTTTTACTCTCTCTCGGTCGGGAGATAAACACCACAAACGCGAAGCGGGGCACATAAAATGGGTCCAAACAGAGGCGGCGGTCGACGCACCGGCGGCGGTGGCCACCAGAACGGCCAGAAAGAAATGAGCAAAGAGAAAGTCAAGATGCAAAAAGAAAAAGAGGAAAAGATGAAACGAAGAAGAGAGAGTACTGCTACCACAGAACACGGACGAGGAGGAAACGGAGGACGAGGAGGAGGACGAGGAGGAGGCGGACGAGGGAGTGGGACATCGAACGCGAGCGAAAAGATTGACATGACGAGCGCGCAGCAAAATATGGTTGGGAATTTGATTAGCAGTTTGAGCTTGACTGGTGGGCGAGGAGCGAGCGCGGGCGGTTCGGCGAGTTCTGCTATTCGCACGGACGTGGACCAAGACGACGTGGATAGAAAATGTTTCGAGGAGTTGACGAGGAAAAAAGGATTCGCGGAATCGCAGGCGAAGAAGGCGATGGAGAAGACGACGGCGCAAAGAGCGAAGGATGGGGATTTGGCGCAAGGGTTCAACGAGCAAAAGAAACGCAGAGTACATCGAGCCATGGATTGGTTGATTTTGAACTGCTCGTACGAGGAGTTACCGGAGGCGTTCAAGAAAAGCGCGAAGGAGGCGAGGGATTCGAGGAAGAAGAAGAAGGGAGGAGAAGAGGAGGACGACGAGGACGACGAGGTTGGCGCGACGGCTTCCTCTTCCTCGAGGGAAACGGACGTGACGAAGGAGTTGTTTTTTGCCGGTTTCGGGAAGAAGATTGCAAAGATGGCCGTTTTGAACGCTCGAGGAGAAGAGAATAAAAAAGGCGACGTCGCGTTGGATGATTTGCTGTCGGCGATGAGCGAGAGTTTGAAGAAAACGGCGCTGAAAAGAGCGAAGCTGGCGTTCGCGGAATCTGGATTAGAAGACGCCTCGAAAGAACGAATCGAAGAGATTCTTCTCGACGCGAGAAGGGAAGAGTTGGCGGATATTGGTGGATTAGATGTAGAGGATATTGAGGACGATAATTTCGCGCAGTTTGAAATACAAATGAAAGGCGTCGTCTCGCTCGGGAAGAAGAAACCTACGCACGCGACGCTTTCGTTGGATTTTAGAAGATCGAAATTGTACCCTTTCGAGCCTCCGAGAGTACATTTTACGCACCCGACGCTCACGTTTGGACGACAAGCGGCGGTAACGCGGGCTTTGGTGGAAGTAAGCGCGAGTGAGGAGTATTTGGGCGAACCGATGTTGGACGGATTGATCGATTGGCTTTCCGGGGATGGACCTTTGGATGCGATGGAAAAATACCGCGTAAACGCCGAAACGTTGATCGATGCGTATTACGAAGACGACGACGAAGAAGAAAACGAAAACGAAGACGACAACAATAAAGGAGGAATTCCGCGACCGAAAACATTAACAAACGCAGTTCCGACTACATCAAACAAAGGAGCTCCTCTTTCCCAAAACGACCGTCTGAAAATTCAAAGCGAACGGGATAAGAAATTTGCGGAACAAAAGAAAGCGATGTTAAAACACGAGGCGCAAACTCAATCTCAACGCGACGCGGAAGCACTGAAAAACTTACAAGTCTTGGGCGAGCGCATTCAAATTGAAGAGGCGAAAGCTTTGACTTTGCCCAAAAACGTGGAAACTTCGAAAGCTTTGAAGTCGCAGTTAGAGAACAAATTGATGCAGAAAGAGAGCGATCCGATGATGAAAGTTCGAGAAAGGTTACCTTCGTGGTCGAAGAGACACGCGCTCATCGAAGCAATCGAAAGAAACCAAGTCTGTGTCGTCGTCGGGGAAACTGGATGCGGTAAAACGACGCAACTCCCGCAATTTATTTTAGATAACGAAATCGCCAAGGAGCGCGGCGCGACGACGTCGATCATATGTACACAACCGCGGAGAATTTCCGCTACGTCTGTCGCGCGTCGCGTTGCTCAAGAGCGAAATGAAACGATAGGGAAAACTGTTGGTTATAGCATTCGATTAGAATCGAAACAATCCAGAGAGACGAGAATCATGTTTTGCACTACCGGGGTATTGTTGCGTCGACTGACCGAAGACCCTTTGCTAGCGAAAGCGACGCACATCGTCGTAGACGAAGTCCACGAAAGAAGCTTGGATTCCGATTTCTTGCTCGTGTTGCTGAGAGACGTTCTACCGCACCGGCCGACTCTGAAAGTGATATTGATGTCTGCGACGCTTGACGCGGGACAATTTCAGAGATATTTTAAAAAGGCGTGCGTTTTAACAATCCCAGGCTTCACGCATCCGGTCCAAGAACACTTCCTCGAAGATATCTTGAACGCGACCGGATATCAACCGAAACACGGCTCCGAATATTGCATTCGCATTCCAAAGATGAAATATCGCGATCAAATTCAAATGTCGCCGGACGAAGTTCGTTTTCACGAATCTCTCAAACGAAGCGGGAGATATCCCGAAGGCGTTTTGCACGCGTTGCGTAACTTGGACGAGGAGAAGATCAATTACGAGTTGGTGGTGGAACTATTGGAAAAAATCGTGCAAACGACTCCGCAAGAGGGCGCGATTCTCGTCTTCATGCCCGGTCTCGCAGAAATTCAAAAGTTACACGAGTCTTGCGCCGCTTCGCGCGTTCTGTTCAAAGCGACGGATAACGGTACGTATCTCATTGCTTTGCACTCCGCGTTGGCAACGTCAGAATCGACTATCGCTTTCGATAAACCCAAAAGTAAGTCGAGCAGGAAAATTATCATATCGACAAACATTGCGGAAACTTCGATAACGATCGACGACGTCGTATACGTCCTCGATTCCGGTAAAGTGAAAGAAAACGGCTACGATCCGAGCACGCGCATGTTACAATTGAAAGAACAGTGGATTTCGCGAGCGTCTGCGAAGCAACGACGCGGAAGAGCTGGAAGAGTCCAACCCGGACAGTGTTATCGCTTGTACTCGCGGAGATACCACGACGAAGTATTCGCCGAACGTCAAGAGGCAGAAATCAAGCGCGTACCTTTGGAAGGTTTGTGCTTACAAATTCAGCTGCAACGCATGTCCGGCGGTATCTCTGGCTTTCTCTCGCGAGCATTAGAACCTCCAGAGTCAAACGCCGTTGACGTTGCCGTGAAAACTTTAAAAAGGCTAGGCGCTTTAGACGATCGCGATAATTTAACGCCTCTCGGCGCGCACTTGGCGAATTTACCCGTCGACGTTCGGGTCGGTAAAATGTTACTCTACGGATGCGTGCTTGGATGCTTGGATCCAACGCTCACAATTGCTGCCGTGCTCGGTTCGCGATCTCCATTTCTCTCGCCGCTCGAAATGCGAGAAGAAGCCGACGAAGCCAAAATGCAATTCAGCGATAACGACTTCAGCGACCACTTGACGATTCTGAACGCGTACAACGCGTGGCGAGAGGCGAAAAATAACGGCAAGAATTTCGAGAAGGATTTTTGTCGCGACAACTTCCTGAGCATGAAAGGTTTGTACGGCATTGCCGAGCAGAGGACGCAGTTTGTGAAACTTTTACGAGAAGCTGGATTTTTAAACGAACAACGAAAAAAGACGACGACGACAAAACAGAAAAAGAAAGTCGCGACGGTGGAGAAGACTGGTAGTAACGGTGGTGGGATTCCTAAACCGCGCGGGGGTGTCCCGGTCGTCGTGAATGAGGACAATGAGGACGACGAAGAAGATGAAGACGAAGAGAAGAAACCTGCGTGGGAATCGGCAAACCGCCACGCTACAAACGTCCGTTTACTCAAAGCCTGTCTCGTCGCCGGATTGTATCCGAACGTCTCTCGAGTCGAATCTGTGAATATGAACGTGCAATCATCCGGTAACCGAGGCCGCTCGAATACGACTTCTAACATCGTCTTTGGCTCGAGTCAACCGCCGCCAAAGCTGAAGTATTTAGCCGAAGATACCGGTAAAGAAGCGCCGATACAAATCCATCCGTCGTCGATAAACGCGAAAGCGAAACAGTTCCCAACTCGATGGCTCGTGTACCACGAACGCGTTCAAACGGCAAGTATTTTCATGCGAGATTGCACGAGCGTAACGCCGTACCAACTTTTATTGTTCGGCGGGAAAATTGACGTCCAACACTCAGCCGGTACCATTCGCATGGACGGTTGGGCGACGTTTGAAGCGAACGCGAGGATTGGCGTCTTGTTGAAAGAAATTCGCGCGGCGTTGGATGGTTTGTTGAGAGAGAAAATAGAAAATCCAGAGGCTGAGGAAAACGCGAGAGGAGAGACAATCGTGACGACCATTTTGCAGCTGTTGAATAGCGAAGCGGCGTCGTCGCTTTGATTTTAGCTCGATATAAAGTACAACATGAAATATCATTAGACAATTCTCATAGAATAAGATTCCGGAAACGGAAACCTCTCCAATCTGCGCGTGGCGCTATCGAACGCGTGCGTGGAAACAACTTCAACGTTTCCTCCCGTCGTTCTTTTATCGCTATCCTCGTCCACTACGTCCCATTTTCTCCTCGCTAAATGCACTTTGGCCACCGAAGTCATAAAGTCCCCGCTCGCTCTTTGCCCGTACGGCGTACCGTTGGCTTTTTTCACCCAATACTTCGCCTCTTCCGCATTCCCAAGCGCTTCGCTATACAATCCTAAATACAACGACGCGTAGAAAGCGTCGCTGGCGCTTTGCGTCGAATCCGCCGGTTTCTTTGATAAAGACTCTAACGTTTTCTTCGCCTCTTCGTCGCCAGTTTTGTATAGTCGTAAAACCGAACCCATCACTTTACGACTATCTCTCCCCGCCAACTCGACGAACTCCCCCCTCGCTTTCTTCAACGAAGAGGAAGAAGACGCGTCATCCTCTCCTCCTTTTCTCATCTGCGACAAAAACGCCCACGCCGCTTCCTCGGTATCGTTCGGATTGACTCTCACGTCCTCGCGAAACTGCTTCTCCGCTTCCCGAAACTCGTCCACGTAATACAAAGCTATCCCGCGTTGCCACAAATACGGCTTCGACCCGGGTGACTTTTCAATGAGCATGTCAAAATCCATCGTCGCGCCTTCCACGTCGTTTCGCTCAAACTTTTGCATCGCTCGCGACACGAACGTTCGAGAGTCAATCACCATCATCTCTCCCGCGTTCGCCGCTTCAATATTAGTAGTAGAAGAGGAAACGACTACCACCCCGAGAGATAAGAGCGCGGTTCTCCGGCTCGTCGTCGTCGCTGCGCCCGTCGATGCTGTTGCTTTCTCGTTCGAATCATCATCATCATCTTTCTCTGAGGACGACGACGATGATTTTTGCGTCGTCGATGCATTCGTCGTCGTCTTTTCACATTTGCGAGAGCGACGACGACGAGAAAAACGCCTCGGACGACGACGCGAGAGACATCGAGAAGAAAAACACGAACTGCTCGTTTTGGTCGCGTTTGTAAAGGAGGCGGAGGCGGCGGAGGAGGAAACCATCGTCGTCGTCATCACGGATGAGAGAATGAGGTATTAAAGCACCCAACTAATTTCGTCCATTTTTGCCTCAAAATCCATCATCTCACCTACAACAGAGACGGATAATATAAAAGCAACTCACTTACATACACACTTACACTTACACTTACACAGACAATAAAAACAGACATGACGACTGCCTCCTCTGTTGTCTTGACCAACAACGCCGTCTCCTCCTCTTCCTCGCTTTTGCGAGAGAGAAGAGGTGCGCAGACGACGACGATGATGATGGCGTCGACTTCAAATCGGCTTCCTTTGAGCCGCCGATCTTCTTCTTTGTCTTCTTCTTCTTTGTCTTCTTTGTCTTCTTCTCTTCGCGGGGAAAGACGAGGCGTCGGAAGAAGAGTTGCTATGACGACAACGAGAGCTGCAAAAGGAGACGTGATTCTGGAAGTTTCCGGGTTAAAAGCCAAAGTTTCGGACACGGGAGAGGAGATTCTCAAAGGCGTGGATTTAATCATTCGCCAAGGCGAAACGCACGCCATCATGGGGAAAAACGGGAGCGGGAAATCAACGCTGACGAAAGTTTTAGTCGGCCATCCGGCGTACGAAGTGACCGCAGGCACGGCGAAGTATAAAGGGGAAGATTTGTTCGAAATGGAACCAGAGGAAAGAGCGAGAGCGGGATTGTTTCTTTCGTTTCAATCTCCCGTGGAGGTACCCGGGGTATCGAACACGGATTTTTTGCGGATGATGTGCAACGAGAGACGCAAACATCGAGGCGAGGAAGAGATGGATCCGTTGGAGTTTTACGGGTATTTGAGTCCAAAGTTGGATAAGTTGAACATGGATCCGAGTTTTATGACTCGTAACGTCAACGAGGGGTTCTCAGGCGGGGAGAAGAAGAGAAACGAGATTTTGCAGTTGGCGGTTTTGGAGAGCGAGATGAGCATACTGGACGAGATCGATTCCGGGTTGGACGTGGACGCGCTCCGCGACGTGAGCGAAGCCGTGAATGGATTGAAATCAGACGAGAAAGGATTGTTGCTGATTACGCACTATCAGAGGTTGTTGGATTTGATTCATCCGGACGTGGTGCACATAATGAAAAAAGGGAAGATTGTCAAGACCGGGGACAAGAGTTTAGCGAGCACGATTGACGAAGGCGGATTCGCCGCGCTCGGTTAAGTATAAACGCACATATTCGATACGAGAACGAGAAAACGGCGGTAGTGAGATTTTCGTTTTTCGGTCATAAAATCAAGTATTAAGTAATATAGTACACTAACATCTCGTCGAGTAATTACAATAATAAAAACTAATCGATGCCGTAAATTTCTACGTTCAAAACGTCAAAGTCTTCCCCGCTCGCCAAACACTCCGAATTGTACGTTTCGCAATAACTGCCACTAATACCTCGGGTGAAATCTTCATCGATCCACAACGCGTAATTACTTCCTCCCCCGACGCCTAAACTTTCCGATTTCGCGATTTGAAAGTAATCGTTTTTCCCGGACCAACTAAAGCACGTGACCGTATCGTCGCCGTCTTTTTCGATGGCAAAAACGAAGGATTCCCCGGTACCGAAATATCTGTTGGCGTTTTGCGTCGACCAGACTTCGGTGGAAAACGCGCCGAAACAGTACCCGTTGGTATCTCTCACCGCCAAAACAGTCGCGGGCGAATGTCGAACGGCGCGATATAGCGAGTGTAAAGAAATGCCGTCGCGTTTGGAGGAGTATTTCAACGTCCACGCGGACCGACGAAATCGGGACGGTAACGCGCTGATCAAACACGATTGAATCATCTGGTCGATAATTGGCGCATTTTTCACCGCGTACCCAACCAGTTCCGGTTGTTGCGACACTTGGCTTTTCGGCATCGGTTCTAGTATTCTCTTCGTTTGCTTTTCTCCTTCTTCTTCTTTTTCTACTGCCGAGCTGGCGGCGGCAACGATGACGACGTCATTCGACGACGGTATCGTGTCGGCAGGCATCGCGTTGATCGCAATCTTCGCCTCTTCGCTCCATTTTTGCACCCTCTTTGATACGTGAATGAACCCCTCCGCGTTCGCTTCAAACGCTAGCCGTTTCATCTCCCCGTCCTCCTTCCACAAAATCTCGTACATTTCCATCGAAGAAGAAGATGATAAATTTTCACCTTCATCGTTGCTATTATTTGCATTATTATTGTTTTTACTATTACTACCACTATTCGTCGTCGTCATCGTTCCTAAATTCTCCTGCGACGCGCTTCGATGCATCAAATATTGCGCCAACGTTTTCAAATGCCTGTTGCGTTGTTTCTCGCCGTTACTACTCCCGCTCGTCGTCGTCGTCGTCGTCGTCATTCTCTCCTTCTCTTCTTTACTCATCCTCCTCAACCCAACAAACTGCGTCGCGTCAATCTCCGCGTCCACCACCGCAAACATCAATCTTCTCTTATCCTTTACGCTCACCAAACCCGGGACAAAACTCACCCTCGATGATGACGGTCCTCCGCTCTTGTTGTTTTCGTCCTCGCTCACGACGATGTTCACGATGCCTTCTTGTTCTCCTCTTTCGCGAACTTCGTCATCAAAATCGTCCTCGTCGTCGTCGTCGTAAACTTTCGCGTTTCCTGCGGTATCGGTCGTCGTCGTCGTCGTTCCTCCCAACCCGGTAAACCTCCCGAACATGGACGCCACCGCGTCGTACACCGGCGAGCTCAAATTTTCCTCCTCCTCCTCCTCCACAACCGTCGCCGTCTTGGTTTTGTCCTCGTCGTTTCCTCCTTTCAAAGTCGCCAAAGTCGTCGACGATCCCCCTAAAATCTCTCTCCTCTCCTCTTCCAACTCTCGGTTCCTCGTCTCTAAACACTCGATCAGCTCTTGTTGCAAACGAAACTCCCTCTCTCGCGTGTGTAACATCCGTTCGAATTCCAAAAGTTCCATCTCTTTGGTTTCTAAACGTCGTCGAAGTTGTTCTTGCTGTTCTTCTTCTTCGGACATGGTGGTGTTATTTTGAAGCGTTGTTACGCAAGTGGTGGTGCAGTTAATTGTGGTTCTCTCTCTTCTCTCTCTCTCTCTCTCTCTCTCGTGCTTTATAAGTGCGTGTTGTGTGAGTCGTTATGTGGCGTTTTTGAATGGAATATGGCGTTTTTGAATGAATATGTACAATGAAGTTTGGGCGCAAACACACACGCTCTCTCTCTCTCACTTTCTAATCGTGCACTAGTAACGCAAACGACGAGTATTAAACGCAAAAAGGTTTAATCATCTCATTAAAACGGGACAAACTCTTTATCGATGATGTGTCGATGTTTGCCCATTTTCCCGTGCGCGACCATGGCGCCCATGGCGTCGACGCAAATGCGTAACCCCATCAAAGCGGTGATGTCGGAAACGTCGTACGGAGGGGAGACTTCGACGACTTCCATGCCACACAAACCTTCCGCGGCGACTAAACCGACGAGTTTTAAAGCCTCTCTTGGTAAGAATCCGCCTGGTTCTGGCCAGCCGGTGCCCGGGACGAAACCGGCTTCGATGGAATCGATGTCGTAGGATAAATACACCGCGTCGCACCCGTCCCAGGCGCGTTCTAAGGCCATTTCGACAACTTTTTCGATGCCTAAATCTTCCACGTCGGACATGGTGAACACGTTCGTTCGTCGGTTTCTGATTTCTTTAACCGCGGCTCTCGGGACTTGCCAACCGCCGATGCCGATTTGTACTAAATTTTCCGGCTTTACGTTTGGGATGTTTGTGGCGTGGAAATACGGCGTGGTGTGCATGCGCTCGTCCAAATCGTACTCTTGAATATCCGCGTGTCGATCGACGTGAATAATCCCGATGTTTTTAGTCGTTTGCGCGGCAATACCTCTCACGGTTGGAAACCCGATGCTATGATCGCCACCCAAAATAATCGGCATGGCGCCCGTACTCGCGATGTAACCAACGCCGTTGGAAATCTGATCGAACGACTTTTCGATGTTCGCCGGAATGGTAAATATATCCCCAGCATCGCACAAAGTCATCTGCTCCCTTAAATCCACCCCAGTCTCGTAGTTATACGGCGTATACAACGCGCTAATCCTCCTAATCCCTTGCGGTCCGAACCTCGTCCCCGGCCTATACGTCGTCCCGCCGTCGAACGGCACGCCAACCACCGCCGCGTCGTACTTCCCAACCTCCGAAATATCCTCGCAATACGGTGCTTTCATGAACGTGTTAATCCCGGCAAAGTGTGGTAACTCGCCTCTCGAAAACGTCGGAATCGTTTTATCGTTGATCGAACTCGACCCTTGTAACCCGAGTTTCAACTCGCGTTTCACCGACGCCTCGTGCACGGATTCCGGAATCGTCTTTTCCTTCAGAGCAGCTTTCCACCCTTTGGTCATGTATTTCAAATCTCTCGGGTCCGGGTGGTGGTGACGGATTTGTTGTTGTTGCTGTTGCTGTTGTTCCATCATCTTCCCCCCCAAGAACATATCGTTGGTATTGAAATTGTTCCCCGTGGTCGTCTTCATCAAAAGGTGTTCCACACGGCGGCGGTGTCGCGCCGGTTTCGCCAGCTCGTGGAATAACTTTCGCATATTACTTTATAATTAAATAATAAATAAATACGCGCGATGACGATGACGCGCAGAGGTCAAAACTCTTCTTGGAGAAAGAATTGAAGTTCGTCTTCTCGTCTTCTTTGATTTGAATGAAGTTCGTTATCCGTTGTTCAAAGTCTCAAGGGTTTCTCAACGAACTTTTTAGGGTTTCATAAAGGGTGCGAGGGTAAACCCTAAACTCGTCGCGTTGATATTTTTTTTCTTTCTCTCTTGTCTGTTCTCGGGAAAAGAATTGGATTCATTTTACTCGTCACAAAAAAAATATGGTGTCTTCGTCAAGTTTCGAAGACAACGCGTCGGTGGAAACGCTCGTCCTCGCCGGAATCACGTTTGGCCTCGCGCACGTTCTCAGCGGACCCGATCATCTCTGCGCTTTGGCGGTCATTGCTTCTTCCTCCTCGAGTTCTTCTTCTTCTTCTTCGGATGATGATTCGTGCGATGATGATGATGAAAATGATCAGGATTGTAACGACCTTAACATCGAAAGGGTGGATGTAAACGACGACGGGAAGAAAAGGATGAGGAGAGAAACGAAAAACGCGAAGGACGACGACGAAGAGTCCGGCGTCGTCGATGATGATGATGATGATGATGATTACGTTATTATTGCGAATACTACTAACGATACAAAGAAACGATTTAATGACCCAAAACTGCTTTTGGCGGCCAACAGAAGAAAAAGCCGACAACGAAGAGACAACTTCCTCCTGGGCGTCTCGTGGGCGTTTGGCCACTCGTTCGGGTTATCTCTACTCGTCTGCGTGTTTTTCGCGCTGAAAAAAGAGTTAAACATAAACGCGATTGGAGACGTTGGGGATAAGATTGTTGGGTTTACGATGATTGCCATCGCGTTCGCGGCGGCGAGAGGCGCGAGGAAGTTTCGCGTGCGGGAGAAAGCGGAGAGAGAGCACGTGAGAGATTCAGAAGCGGATGGGGAGGGAGAGGAGATGGCGCATTTAGGCGACGAGATTATTTTGGAGATTGATCCGACGGCGAGGACGAAAGTGGTCGCGTCTGGTTCGAAGGAGCACGAAGAAATGCACTTGAGGAGGGAACCGCACGTGCACCAAAGGAGCGCGAGTCGCGAGCGACGCTTCGCCGGCGGCGGCGGCGGCGGCGGAAACAAGGAAGTAGTGGGGGTAGAAAAAGAAGAAAGAGGAGAAAATGATGAAGAGAAGAACGTTTCAAGCAGTGGTCGTGGTGGTATACCGACGACGACGAAAGAGAAGGACGAGGAGAAGAAGGACTCGAGGAAAAAATCAGCATTCCTCGTCGGCCTCGTCCACGGCATCTCCGGTGTCTCTGGTATCCTCGGCGTTCTCCCCGGCGTCGTCTTAAACTCCTCTGCAAAATCAGCCGCGTTCATAGTATCTTTCTTGCTCTGCTCTACCATCGCCATGACGCTTTTCTCCGTCCTGTTTGGCGAAACGTTGCGAAAAGCCGCCTCGTTCGCTGGCGAGCGCGGAAAAGGCAAAAGTGATGGCCGAAAGCTCGCCTCGAACGTCATCGTCGGTGCGAACGCGTTCTTCGCGCTTGGGTCATTCGCGTGTGGCTTCGTGTGGTTGTATTTATCTTTCAGCGGAGAAGGTGTTGACGTTTAATGATGATGTTATTATTTATTAGTAGTGTAACATTTTCCCAATATAGTTGTAGAAGTCACCACAAAACAACTCTGTCCCCGGCGCTTTCCTGCACACACACGCACACAAAAAACACAAATGACCGCCGAACAATCGCATCAACGAGAACAAACGAGAGAGTTCTTCGTGGATGCCATCGCCGGGTGGGTCGCCGGTGCCAGTTCCACCGTTTGCGTGCAACCGGTGGATACGATTTTGACGAGGGTACAAAGCGCGTCGATTCCATCATCGTTCGCGGCGGCGGCGGCGAATACGACTACTACTTCCACGTCATCATCTTTATCGTCGAGAGGAGGAAGCGCAGTAGGTACGGGAACGACTCGAAACGTGCTCCAATCTGTCTTTCGAGACGGTGGGTACAAAGCGTTCTTTCGAGGTCTCCCGGCGGCGACGATGGTGATTCCGTTGCAAAATATGCTCCTCTTTGTAGGGTACGGCGTCGGCGAGCGATGGAGCAAAACATCGATGGATAAGAACAACGAGAACAAAAGCGAGAACAATAAAATGAACAGAACGCACGACGGTTTAATGCCCGTGTTTGTGGGCGGCGTGTGCGGCGGGATCGTCCAATCGTTCGTCGTGGCGCCGTTTGAATTGTTGAAAGTGAACCAACAAGTTCGAGGCGGGTCGGCCAAGGCGGTCGCGGAGAGGTTGTTGACTGGGAATAGCACCACGCGCAATCACGCGGCTTCGGTAGCGTTTAGAGGTTTAGGGTCCACGTTGTTGAGAGATGGAGTACCGCACGGGGTGTGGTTCGCGTCGTACGAATATTTCAAGAGAAAATGTTTAGAGCGACACCGGGGAGAAGACCAACGACACCTTACGCGAGAAGAAGGAGAAGAAGAAGAAGGAGGAGAAGAAAAGAAACTTTCGTCGATAGAAGCGATGTCGTGCGGCGCGTCCGCGGGTGCCGTCGCGTGGGCGGTCGGATACCCTTTCGATACGATTAAAACGCACATTCAAGCGAATTCCTCGAACGCGTACAAACCAAACATTTGGGAGGCGTTTTCGCACTTGCGAAGAACGAATACGCTATATAAAGGCTTCGGATTGAAACTGTTGAGAGCGGTCCCAGCGTCTGCTATTTGCTTCGTATCCTACGAGGAGTGTCGTAAACTCATGGATTAATTTATTTACTAGGATTAATTTATTTACTACTTCACAATGTATACTACATGTATTAGAACAGAACTATCGTCATCACCGTCTCAGCGCGGCTAAACGCGCGACTCGCACCGCCGTCGCCGCGTCTCTCGCCACCCATAACCCCGCCGGAGGGCACGCCGCCGACGCTAAAAACCCCGTGGAAACGAGCGCGGTTGCACCAAACGCGTGCGACAGGATGCCTGATTTCAACTTTGGCGAATACGAGGATGAAACGTTTTCCTCCTCCTCCTTCTCGCTACTACTACTACTACTTCTATGACTAAAATACGCGTCCGTCGCGCTATCCCATAAGCACCACACCCCTCGCCAAAACAACACGCAGCTCAAGCCGACGAAGTACGTCGGCGGTGAAAACAGTATCACTCGTTTCCTTGCGCTCCTCGTCGCCGCGCCTACGTGTTCTCGCATCATCATCAGTTTCACGTGTTGGCTCGTCGCCAGCCCACTGACGCCTCCGAGGAAGCACGCCATGCCGGATTTTAATTCGCTCGAAGGGAACACGGTTTCGTCGAGCACGTACCACGCGCCTCGCCAGAAGCTCGCCACCGCGATGCCGACGAACGTGGTCGTCGCCAGGAGTGGGATTTCTTGCTCCAAAGGTACTTTCGACGACGACGCTTGGGAGGCGGAGGAGGCGAAGCATCGCGCCTTCTTTTGATGACGACTTGGTCCCGTTCGACGCGGACCCCCTTTTGTTCGCATCATGGCTGCGAGAACAAAAGCAGCGGTCGTCGTCGTCGTCGTCGTCGTCGTTCTCGGGGTTGTTACGGTGGTGGTGTTCGCCGCGCTTTGTGTGCGCATCAACCGCCTGGACAAGAGCGCATCAGTCGTTTTACACAGATGTCGAGCAGCTCGCCTCATTTTATCCACACCACGAGTACGTTGTGAACGCTGCTCGCGCTCTCCCCTTACGAACCAAAGCGTGATGATGAAATGTCGAGAGGGTCTCAAAAAAACGCGAGCAAAGAGAAGGGGAGGCTTTCAACGCTCTCTTTTAGGGTGTATGTACTGGGCAAAAACGACGCCACGAAAGCAGACCGGCAGAAAGACCGACCCTTTCGGGCGTTTTTTTCGCGTCCTTTGGCGACGTGTTTCCCGCACTTCATATAGGTGCCAACAATATCTGAACACCTCACATCGCGTTATCCTCACTTCTCACGCGGTATATATATCTGAGACAGTGCAGAGAAGAACACGAAACAGAACTTCCAAAGAACACGCATTCCACGTAGTTCTGTCCGCGCGAGCGAGAGCATCACGCGCACCAAAAAGCACGCGCACACGTTTAGTATTTATACGAATCACACGCGTTACGGGATGGCGACGTTTCGGGAAACCTCGGCGACGTTTCGAGGACGAATGGTACATTCATATCTCTTCGCCTTGATGGCGACGCTTTTGACCACTTTTACTGGTCTGAAAACTGCACGAGCGACGTGCATTCCATCGAACTCGGAGTACGAGGCATTTTTTGCCGGCTTGATCGATTCCGCGAACCCACCGTCGTTACCGACTGCTGGGTCGTGTTGCCAGATGGATGTCTGTGCGATTCCGTGCCCTGCGACGGTGCCGAAACCGGATTCGGATTTCGGGATCGGCGTGATATGCGTGGTGGTTTTATTTTGCATGATTGGCATTGGGACGGTGTATTTTGTGGGCGGGAAAGCGAAGAATTTTTTCGTCGCCGGGAGGTCTTTACCGTTACCGGTGGTCATCTTAACCTTGGCGTCTCAGTCCATCGACTCGAACGCGTTGTTAGGCAACGCGGATTTGAGTTATAAGTTCGCGTTCTTCGACGGCGCGGTGTTACCGATTGGTCTCGGTTTGTCGTTGATTTTGAACGCGCTCTTCTTCGCGAAGAAAATGAACGCGGAAGGTGTTTTGACTTTGCCTGATGTCTACGGGAAACGCTACGGCGTCGCCACGGAGATCATCGCGAGTTTAGTCTTGTGCTGCTCTTTTCTTTGCCTTCTCGCGGGGAACTTGGTGGGGATGGCGAAAATTTTGGCCTACTTGTTCGATTTGGACATCACCGACGGCGTTTTCTTATCCGGCATTATTATTTTGGTGTACACGGCGTGCGGTGGGTTATTTTCAGTCGCCTACACGGATGTTATTCAATCCGCCGTAGGCATGACTGGATGCCTCGCCGCCGTGTATTGGATTATTAAAAACGCCGAGTTCGAAGCGCCGCCGCCGTCGATTGGATTTCCCGATTACGTCTATCCCGACGAGGCGACGGCCAAGTTGTACGACGGCATCCCGTGCACGCACGTTCCGGATGCTTTTTGCTACAACGCCGCGAAATGGTGCCCGAGCGATGATAATTGCAAAACGGACGCCGGCGCGTACCCGTTTGGCGATAAAGTCATCTACGACAGGTCGATGAGCGACCCGCGCGCGTTGACACCGTTTCCAAACGCGATTTTATTCAACTGGGCGACTATTTTTGTCCTTGGTTTCGGTAACTTGGCAGCTTTGGACTTCCAGGCGCGCTGTTTGGCGGCCAAGTCGCCGACGACGGCCCAAATCGGTTGCTTAGTCGCCGGTTTGTTGACGTTCTTCGTCGGTATTCCGTTTGCGTACACGGGCGCCGCTACGCGTTACTACTTCGGCCCGGATTCACCGTACGCGAGTTTTGAAACGGACTCGTGCTCAAAAATTCTCGGTTTACCGACGTGCGCGATGTGGCAGCCAGATGGAAACGCGTTCATTTACATGTTGACCCACGTCGTCCCGAAAGGATTAGGCGGTTGGTGCTTGCTCGGCATCGTCGCCGCGTCTATGAGTACGTGCGATGGCGCAATCTTAGCGCTCGGAACTGTGTTCTCGCACAACATCGTCCGACACATGCCGGGAGAAATGATCAAACCGGATACGTTATTGCGATGGGCGCGCATATCGACCATCCCGTTTGCGTTTATCGCGATGGGAATCGCCGCGGCGAAATCAGATACCACGGGTTATCTTCTCGTCGTCGCCTTCGACGTCGCTTTAGCCGGTGCCGTCATCCCGCTCTTCGCCGCTTTCTACGTCAAAGACCCGTCGCCGAACGCGGCGTTCTGGTCCATCTTCGCCGGCTCCTTGTGCCGCGTCATCTTGGAATTTTCCTTGAAAAAAGACGGATTCTTGATTTACCCGTACGGCGGCGACGAGTTTTTGGATTACGGCACAGCGGCGTCGGACTTTTTCCCAACGTTCTTCGATAAACCATCCGCTGATTTATGGGACCCATCCGTGCAAGAGTGCAAACAATCCAGATTCGAAGATTGGACCGGCGTGGACTCTTTGGTCTCCCCCGCCGTCTCTTTGCTCGTGTTCACAATCTTACACGTTCTCGAGAAAACCTGCGGCAACGTTTCCTGCTTTCCCAAATCCTGGTTAACGCCTTTGGAGAAGAACTTTGAAGACGAGGACGATACTCCGAGCGCAGAAATCGAGATGAAATAAATAAAGTCATCGTCTCGTTTTCATAATCATCATCTTCACAAATCATCGTATTGTTGCAATATGACGTTTTGATATACTAATACGAAGAATAATAAATGAACATCCACAGCACAAAACGTAAAAAAAAAAAAACGAAAAAATCGAAAAAACGCTTTAAATTTTCAACTGTTTGGTCTTCTTCACTCCTTTGAATCTCTCTCTTTTATTCTCTCTTAATCGCGCGCGCGTTTGGAAAAGGAAACGAACACGAAAGCGGCGAAAACGCATAAAGCGCGAAAGAGTTTCGTCGCACAGACTCGTCGAGCGCGTTTCTTTTTTGCTTTTCTCTCTGAAAAAATCAAAAGCTATAAATCGAGACCAATCCCCGAGACACACATCACACATGCGGGTTGGGGTTGACCATCATCTTCGAGGAGACCACGACGACGCGCAGATGACGATCGACGAAGAACGTCTGGAAGAAATAACGGAAGAAGAACAGAACAAAAGAAGAAAGAGTAAGTGTAACGTCGCGAATGCGATTTTACACGCGTTCGAAGAGCAATCCAACACGAACGCGGGCGCGTTTTTTTCCTTCATGGCTGGTCCAGGCGGGTTAGTCGAGTCCTCGAATGCCTCCTCTTTGAGTGCTTTAAATTTTTCACTGAAGAGGAAAAAAATGTGGGCGATGTTCTTTGACGGCTATTTCGGGAGGCTGTGGACGATGTCGCTGGCGATTACGATCGTGTGTTTTCCGAGCATGCCTTGGTTGTTAGTACGCCGCACGGAGGAGGAGGATGATGATGCGGGAGGATATTCGTCGTTTGAAACGGTGTGCGCGGCGGCGAGCGTTTTGACTTTGGTTTCGCTCGTCGATTGTTGGTTGCGAGTGAAGTGCGTGCAAGGGTACGGGATGAGTTTTGCAGCTATTGTGGACGGGTTGACCGTGGTGATGACGCCGATTTTACCAGTCGTGCGAGAGTTTGTTTTGTACGAGCAATCGATCGGGAAAAGAGAGGACGACGCGTTGGCGTACGGCGCGAAAGCGTTCGCGGTTGGATTTGCCGAGTTTTTGTTTTTGATGCGTTTATGCATCGCCGGTGCGCAGTTTTTGTCCGCGAGGTGGGAAGGAAAGTCCGCGAGGTACGGTGGTGGTAACAGTGAGAAGAGTAACGCGTCCGCGGCGGGTGTCTTTCGAAGATTGGAACAAGCTGGGGCGGCGAATATCGCGCTACTGGTTGCGACGACTGTTACGCTGGGTCCGATTGCCTCCGGCGGCGAGAATTCAATCACCATCGTCCGGAACTACGCGTATTACGAGGGCGCAAACGCGAGCGAAGTCGATCAAACGAGAGCTATGCGGCGATTGATGGAAGCTGGATTAGCTTTAGTGGCTTCGGCGTTGTTCAACGCCTTGTTTATTTCCATGCGCATGCACTTGTTGGGCAAACCGTTCGAGAAGATTGTTGAAATTTTAGAACGCCACGCGCGTTCAATTTTAACTGATTTGGACGACCAGATTGGAAGGAACAATCCTAACGAAGCACGACCGTACGAAGGCATCACGGGAAGTTTGGACATATCCGTCTTGGCGTACGTTTTGGAGAAAATGTCCAACATCGTCGACAGCTCGACGCAACTTCGAAAACGGCACCCTTCGTTAGCCTCGAGCTCCTTAAACGGCGACTCGCCGCAACGATCTTCGACGAACCAACTTCTCATCCAAGCGATTCTCGAAGACCACTCTGTCTTTGCAGGTTTAGAGGTCGACGATTCTACTAAAGCGTGGTTGAAAAGTTACGACGTGAACTCGGTGACTAGACTGGGGAATACCGTCACGACGACGACGAAGTCAAAGATCCACTCGTTCGCCGCCGCGGTGACAAAAATGGCAGGCGCGAAAAAAGCTGTTTCGGCGTTAAAGAAAAGTACCGCCAACGGTACAAATGCGTCATCAGCGGCGATAGTTTTGACCGAGGACGAGAAAATTGAACTCAATTCGTGGAACTTTAAAGTTTTCGAGTACGGCGAAGAGGAGAAGAACAGAAGCAACGGCGTCGCCGAGCCCAAACGCTCAGCGCTTCCTCTCTCTTCTTCCTACGCAAAAGCATTTTCTTTCGTCGTTGAAATGTTCCGGGAACTCGGTCTTCTCTCCGTCGTCGTCGACGAACCCGTCTTGCGCGTATTCCTCTACGAAGTTGCGAAATTGTACCGCTCCAATCCGTACCACAACTTCACGCACGCGCTCGACGTCGCGCACACCACTTTCCGCTACATAAAATTGACAAAGTCGCGAACGAAAATTACCAAGCTCGAACGTTTCGCCGTCATGATCGCGGCTATCATTCACGACGTGGACCATCCAGGTCTAACCAACGCGTTTCTCGTTCGTACAAGGGACCCGCTGGCGACCACGTACAACGATCAATCCGTACTGGAAAACCACCATCTGTCCTATTTTTTCAATTTGATCGAACGGAAGAAAGAGGCGAACATCTTCGATTACGCGACGTCGCCGGCACAATCGTCCCATTTCACGGAGGAGAGTTACCGCGAGGTTAGACGCATAATCATCGCGTGCGTCATGCACACGGACATGGCCACGCACTTTGGTTTGGTTTCGAAAATGAACGAGTTTGTGGTATCGCACGATTTTTTGGAGGCGTTGGAAGAAGAGGAGAAAGGCGAGGACGACGACCAAAGCAAGAACGACGACGACGACGACGACGACGACCAAAACGAAGAAGATCCACTCTTTGAAGATGGTATGGTGAAAAAAGATAAAGGCGCGTTCTTCAAAACGGACGACGAACGACAGTTGATGCTGAACGTGTTGTTACACTCGGCGGATATATCGAACGCGGTAAAACCGTTTCCGACGTACAAAATGTGGGCGACGAGAGTGTTGGAGGAATTTTTTAACCAAGGCGATCGCGAGAAAACGCTCGGGTTACCGGTTTCGCCGATGATGGATCGAGAGACGACGATCGTTTCTGTATCGCAGATTAATTTTATTGAGTTTGTGGTGGCACCTTTATATAGCGCATTTTCGAAGATGTTTCCGGAGACGCAATCCATGTGCGTCGAGCTCGTTGAAAATCGACGGATTTGGCAAGAACGTCTGGAAGATGAAATCGAGCGAGACGCGTCAAAAACAGACGCGCAGAAGAAAAGCGAACGAGAGCAGTTCGAAAAACGGTTCCGCGGATTAATCGACAAGCATTTTTCGAGAACGAACGCGTTTAAGGATACCGAGGATCCAATCGCAAAGCGCGTGTTATCGACGCCGCCGCACTCGCGAAGAGGGTCGGCTGTGCACTCCTCCCCGCTCGCGAGCGCGCGGAGCACGCCCTCGAGAAAGCGAAGCGTCGTAAATTTCGTCAACAACAACAACGAATCGAATAATACTGGCGGGGAAGAATATGAGCACCACAACAACTACGCTGGTCCGCAAAGAAGCGACGCGAGTTCAGATTCCTTCGTCTCTATGCTTTCAAACGCGCTCAAAGCGGCGAAGAAAAACGGAGGAGGCGGCGTCGCCTCTTCTTCTTCTTCCCCGGCTGGAGGACTTCGTCGAGGCAGCAGTTTCAAGAGCGAAGACAACAACGAACATTTATAATCAGAAACTTTTTTATTTATTATTCTTTATACGCGAACATTTTACTCGCGAAAAAAGTCTCGTCTTTTTCAGAAAAAAACGCTCGAGAGAGACTTGACTTTTTTTTATCCTCAAAGAAAAAATGGACTCGGACTCGCCCCCGCGACCAACCAAACGCCGGCGCAAGTCGAACAAGACGAAGCATAAGAGCGGATACGGCGGCGGCAACGAGGAGAATAGCAATAACGGAGCAAATCGGTCGTTCGAAACGTCGACGTCGTCTTCCGCTTTGAAGACGATTCATGCGACTCAGACCGTGACCACGCGTCAACGCGCATGTCATTTGCTTCGCCAACACGAAATCGACCGTAACTGTCCTCTTTTCGCCTCGCAGTTGACGAGAGATTGCGTGTCTTTGATTTTGAACAAAGTTTCCGCGAAAGACTTGGCCAGAGTGCAAAGTTCGTGCACGTTTTTCGGCGACGAGAAAGGACGAGGGAGACTGATGATCGAGGAGGAAGTGCGACGCAGAATCCAAGCGAAGGGGTTGACGACGGACGTGATGATGCCCGAGCATTTCTGGTGAGTGAGTGATGAACGCGTAAAGATGAACGCTTTAAAATCGTTTTTCCCAACTCGTACAAACCAAAACTCGTCGTTTTAGCATCGTCCTCGAATCATCGAAACCGGGTATTCGATCGGACCGGCGCGAATGCGCTTCGACGAAAGCGCGCACGTTTTTCAGATAAAATTCCTCTCGTTGACTCGAAAAGATTTTTTCCAACGAGAGAGACGAAAAGACTTGAAGCTTTCTTAAATTTTCATCCATCGCGCTGACCGTCGTCGATCTTTTGTCGTTGTTTTATGACCACTCATTATTCGCATTTGGAAAACGACCACAGGAAAATGAACGATTTACAGCGTTTGGACGTGTTGGAGAGACGCGAGACGCCGTTGATGCCGAGCGATGTGAAAGTGAACGCGTGGGTGCGCGTGAAAGGAAACTTAGAATACGTGAAACAGTTGTGCGCGAACGGCTTCGAAGCCGAGGAAGGAGGAGAAGGAGGAGGAGGAGAAGGTGAGAATCAAGAGCCGTTAGGAGGAGGAGGAGGAGGAGAAGGAGGGGGGGTCCAACAGTATCAACAAAGTAATGGAGGGCGACCGGAACCTGATTATGCGGTTGGTTGGGAAGATGGCATGGAAGATACAATCGGTAAATGTTTTGAAGTAGCGGTAGTTTCGAGAGCGTATCGCTCGACGCCGGTGGTCGGGTTGTGCGTTGGAACGGGGTTGGTCGCCATTGGCGGGAACGGCAGTAGCAGCAGAGATAGCGAGGCGAGTAGAGAGTCGGTAGCATCGGCGGCGAGAGCGAGAGCGAGAAAACAGGCGGCGACGATGAATAAATATGGGTGGTATTTTCCGCTCGAGGCGTTGGAACACATTTGAGAAGAGAGAGAGAGAGAAAGAGAGAGAGAGAAAGAAAGGTGGAAGCGGGAAGAGAGTTGTTCCGTTTATATAGATCAAATTTTTGTTAAAATAAGCCGCTAATAATAACGTTGTAGCTACCGGTAGCTAGATTTCTAATATGTTGTGTGAGTGCGTATGTGAGTGATGATGTTTAAATATGATGACTTTATATCGGTTCGCCCGTAAACTTCTCGAGCTTCGTCTTCAACTCGACGACAAGTCTCCAATCGTCTTTTTGTAATTCGTCTCGGTAAAACTCCTTCATGGCGTCAATAGATGGTCGAGTCATTCTCGCGACGAGCTCATCCGTGTGATCAAAGTGGCGTCCATACATCCGCATGCCTTCCTCCGTACTCCCTGGTTGAATTTTAATCGCGACAGATTGTCCCGCCTTGGCGACATCGACGCTCTTCTTGTTTAATTCGATGGATTCTATTTTCCCGATGTCGATGTAATTTTGAGAAGGAATAGTAATTTGCGTACCAACTCGGCAAATGCCTTTTATCACGTCGACACCGACGACAATCGGATCTCTTTTATTGAACACGCAGCTTTCGATGATGCGCAAGCAACACGGGAAGTTGACAAATTTGGATTGCTCCTCTTTTTGCTTCTCGCGATACTCCTTCATGTATGCCGAAAATTGATCAAACAAGTGATAGATGATATCCGCCGTCATCAACTTGACGTTCAGCTCGTTGCACATCTTCTTGGCTTCGTCCGTCACTGGAACATCAAACGCTAAAATTGTGGCGTATTGAGAACATTTACGCTCGTGCATTACGCTTGCACCCATGACGTCGCGTTTGTTCACCGGACCGAGCGCGACGCCAGCCACGGGAATTTTCACCGCCGGGGATTTCAAAAACTCCAAAAGAGCCTCTAAACTTCCCAAGGTTGATGCTTGTACCCAAACACCGTGTCCTGTGCGATCTACCGTATCCATAATGTTGTTCACATCGTTCGAAGCGTCTTGTTTGAGCTCCTCGATGTCGTCTTCTTCTACTTCTTTTACGAGCATAGCCGTACCCGCGATGGCTTTTTCGAGACCGTTGGCGACAATCTTGATCCCTTGCGCGCCTTGGATCTCCTTGTGATGGATATAATTCGCTTTCACGCGGATTTCCTTCAGCGGTTGCGGGGTGAGTAGAGCGCGAATAGTCGTGACAATTGGACCATCTAGCCCTGCGATGACGATGGTTTGACCTTCTCGCAATGTCCCGTTGATCAAAATAATATCCATCGTCGTGCCTAAGCCTTCAATCATTTTTACCTCGAGAACAGTGCACTGCACGGAATCGATGAAGCGGATGCGTTCGTTCAAGCGCGATTGCGAAAGATGCACTAAGGTTTGCAAAAGATCGGGCATACCTTCACCCGTATGAGCAGAAGTTGGAATGACATTCACAAACGTTCGCGGATCGGGGTTCTCCCAATATAAAGCGGCGTTCAAACCTTCCTCGGCAAACGCCAATAATACCTCTCTGCTCCTCGTTTCAAACTCTTTCGAGACAAACTTCTTTTGTTTTTGCAAAGATTCTTGCATCGGAGAGTCAGTGTGCACTTCCCAATCGAACATTCTGTCGCACTTGTTGAGCGCGATGACGAAGGGCGTTTTGCGACTGCGGAGCATATTAAGAGATTCAATCGTTTGCGGCTCGAGACCGTGCATAATATCAACCACGAGAACGGCCAAGTCGCACAAAGAACTCCCTCGCGATCGCAAGTTTGTAAAGGATTCGTGACCTGGGGTATCGATGACGAGTAAACCAGGAACATTCAGCTCGAATTCACCTTTGTTCAACGAATGCGTTCGATCGATGAGCGATTGTTTCGGGACAAACGTCGCGCCGATTTGTTGCGTAATACCGCCGGCTTCGTTATCTTGGACGTTCGTGCGTCTCACATTATCAAGAAGTTTTGTTTTACCCGTATCAACGTGACCAAGAATACAAATGATAGGACATCTGAGCTTATCTGCATTTGCTGCCGCTTTCTTTGCTTCAAAGCGGTCGAGACGTTGGATGCGAAGCTCCGCGAGATGATCCAATCGAGCGCGTTCCTCCTCATCTTCAGAAGAACTATAATACGAGGACGAGTAGTCAGAGGAATCGGAATCAGAATCTGAGTCATCAGACGACGAAGATACATCGGAAGAGGAAGAAGCCTCAGCCGCGGCAGCTTTTGCTTTCGCCTTCTCTCGCGCAGCTTTCGCCCACGGTTTTTCTTTACTACTCGTCGCCGCCGTCTTCTTCGCCTGCAACACTTTTGCTTCTTCTTTTCTAATCTTCTCCTCCTCGAGCTTTTTGAGTCGCTCTTGCTCTTCCTTTTGTCCAGGCAACAGAACATCTTTATCGTCCCAATCCTCGGCTTCCCAATCGTCCGCGGCGTCGTCGGATTCTTCCGCTTTTGCCTTTGCGTCCGCAGCCGCTTTCGCCGCCAACAACTCCTGCTCTTTTTGTTTCTCTTCCTCCTCTTTCTTCTTGATGGCAGCTTCTTTTGCCTCTTCGAATCGCTTCTTCTTCAGCGCTTGCTCTTCTTTGTACGAGAGTTTCTTTTCCGCTTGCGGAATAGCGCCACCAGATTTCGCGAGTAACTGCGCACGCACCGCTTCCATTCTCTTCTGTTCCTCTTTTTGTTTCGCGCTGAGTAGTTTGCCCTCCGCCTTGAGCCTTTCTTTCTTTTCCTTCTCTTTTTGTTTCTTGAGCTCGCGCTTCTCTTCCGCCTCGCGCTCGGCTTGCGCTTCGCGCTCTGCCGCTTCTTCGGCTTCTTGCTTCTCTCGCTTTAATCGTTCTTTTTCCTCCGCTTCTTCGATTTTGCGTTGTTCCATCAATTGTTGCATCGCCAACACGGCGGATGATTTTGGCTTTTCGGCAGCTTTCTTCGCCTTTTCTGCCTCCAACGCTTCTTTCTTCTCTTTCTCTTTTTGTTTCTTCTTGAGCTTTTTCTTTTGATTCTCGGTGAGTTCTTTCCCTTCTCCGTCATCACCATCCGCATTGCCGGCATCGTCGGCGTTGGCGTTTCCATCGCCACCGGCCGCCGCCGCCGCCGCCGCTTCCGCCGCCGCTCGCTCGGCGGCTTTTCGTCGCTTCTTAGCCGCTTTTGATTCGCCCTCTTCGGCACCAGCCGCCGCCGGGGCTTCCGATGGTTTGATATCCAATTCCGCGAAGAGTGCATCTAAGTCTTCTTCTTCCGCTTCTTTCTTCTTTTCCTTCTTCTTGTTTTTCTTGTTATCTTTCGGCTTGGTTTTGTTACCATCCTCGTCTTCGTCTTGCGCTGGTGCTGGTGGCGGTGGCGATGAAGCCACTTCTTCTTTGTCTTCTTCTTTCTTCATTTCCTTGAAAGAAGCCGTCGTCGACGAAGTGCCAAACTTATCCTCCAGATCGCTCGCTTCGTCGCCGACTTGTAAACTCACATCCATCAACTCGATGACTCCATCCATGTCCTCGTCTTCATCAACCTCCCATCCCATATCCGTCGCGCTCAAAATCATCCCTTCGCTCATCACCCCTCTCAGAGGCTGCTTCTCGACTTCAAAATCCGTCGCCGGAATTTTCGTCCCCGCTGGCGCGAAGATTATTTTCATCCCAGCCTTCAAATTTGGCGCCCCGCACACGACTCTCGCGTCTTTTTTCCTCCCGTAATCCACCGTGCACACCTTTAAATTCTCCGCCATCGAGTGTCTGCCAACCTCCACGATGGAGGCCACGCAAATATACGGTTTCGCATCGGACGAAACAATCTTCTTCTTGGACTTTTTCTTCTCCTTGATGACGACAACGCCGTCGTCGCCGTCGTTATCCTCGTCCCCGTCCTCGTCGTCAAACCCAATCGCTCCGGCAAAACCTTTCTTCTTCTTCTTTTTCTTCTTATCCTTCGTCTTTGTCTCCTTCCTTTCCTCTTCCTCTTCTTTCTTCTTCTCTTCTTCCTCGTCCTCGACGTCGTCTTCGTCTTCGTCCATCAACATCGCAAACGCCGACGCCATGCCTCCGCCGCCGCCCATCGCGGTGTTGTTCTTACCCTTATTCTTCTTCGGCTTGGTCGTCGTCGCCGCGCGCGCCTCTTCCTCCTCTTCCTCTTCCTCCGCGACAAAAGCACCACCATTACCAGCATTAGCAGCAGCTAACGGGTCCAACGGATCGTCCAAATCGTCCTCGCTTTGGTTTTTCTGTTTGTTCGCCTGTCCTTTCTTCTTGTTCTTCTTTTCCTTCTTGAGTTGCGTTTTCGATTTTTCTTGTTGCTCTCCTCCTTCACCTCCATCGGGGCCATCGTTATTCCCGCCCGCCGGTGCTGCTCCTTTTGCCGCTCCTCCTTTCAGAGGATCCTCGTCCTCCTCGTCCGAGGAGTACTCGTTTTTGCGGTTTTTCTTCTTTCCTTTCGCCATGATCTTCTTTTCGAAAGCAGTCAAAGAGACCTCAAAACAAGTGTTGCGCGCCGACCACGGTGATGATGTTACCGATGATTTTAAAACTTTAAAGAGCAATCGCGGGGTGTAAAACGACTTCTTTCTCTTTCTCTCCGCCGAAAAGAAAACGTTGTTATCGGTATATCGCGTATTCTCTCTGACTCTCTGACCCTCTGACGCTTTCGCTTTCTGTGTGCGTGTATTTAAGAGCGTGTGCTTTTGCGTCGTCTGTGTAATTTGTGGGCTTTTTAGGGCGAGACAGACGAGACAGTCCCTCAGAAAAAAAGAGATAAAACGGCTGCTTTTAGATTTATAGGAAAAAGAAGACGAAGAAGAAACACGTGAGCTCTGATCATGGGGAAGCAACTCTCTGGAGCGCAGAAGAGGAAGAAGAAGAGGGAGAAAGAAGAGCTCGCCGCGGAAATGGAGCGGTTGAAGCTTGGACCGACCAAGATATGGACGGGATTGGTGTTGCATCACAAGGATGTGTTCGTCTCGCATGTCTTGTCGAAATTGAATGAGACAGATCGGTGGTTCTTTTCAGTGGTGAATAGAGAGAGTCGGGGTGTGCTTGAGTACGCCGGGGTAGACGTATCGAAATTAAATTGGGGTATTTACGAATGTTCATCCATTTCGACGCTGGAATTGGCGTGGAATTATACGAGATGGGGAGAGAAAAGTAAAAGTGGAAGAGTGATGGATCAAGCCTTGTTTTGCGCGGGAGTTGCTTTAACGAACAAACTCGAGTTTCTCAAGTGGGCGAGAGAAGTGAAACATTGCGAGTGGGATGAATGGACGATTAATATGGCCGCAGAATATGGTAATCTCGAGATGCTGAAGTACTGCTTCTCTAATGATTGTCCGTATGATGAAGAAGAGATGTGTAAACGAGCTGTTCATGGAGGACACCTCAACTGTGTTCGATTTCTTTTCGACAAAGTGAAACCTTCGCGAGATACGGAAAAAGAAGCGGCACAACAGGCAGCATGCGGTGGTCACGTGGAGATCTTGAAATATTTCGTCGATACAAGAAAGATATCTGATGAGGTGAAGAGTGACTGCGTGGCAGCCGCTGCAAAGTACGGCCAACTCGATTGCCTCAAATACTTAGTCGAAGAGGCGAAAGTGCCTCTTCACGACTGGGAAGACATCGCTTGGGCTCGTTACTACGAGCACCCCGAGTGCGCAAACTACTTGCTCGAAAAAGGGTGCCCAGAACCAACGGAGGGACAACACGCGCAAGTCGTCGCCTTAATGAAGGAATTTAGGAGGCAAAGCTCACAGCGCACCGCGTAGGAGCTCCTCCGCGTTGTAAGTGAGTGCGCGTTAATACATACACACATATTTTTCGTCTCTCGTTTAAAACTCACCACAACAAGAATATCTCTCATAATAAATGCGCGTTTTTACGCGCGAGAAGCACACACAACACAGGAAATAAAATATAAAGATGGCAGATTTTGTGGGGACCGGTGGTGGTGACGATGGTCGCGACTCGTTTTCTGTATTCGAGGCAGAAGAGAGGGAGGAGAACGCACCGCTCTTCGTCGTCGAAGATGACGACGGTGATGATGACTCAGATTTTACATCTTCCCGAGAAGGAGGAGGAAGTGAAGAGGAGGAGCGGATGAACGGACACGAAAACCGAAAGACGGGCGGCAAAACGACGACGTCGTCGTCCTCGTCGTCGTACTACGCGGAGCGACGGAAAGTTTTCGCGCAGCAACTGAAGGAGACGGAGCCGAAAAAACTTGTCCTCGGGACGCTTTCGGTGTTGTGTTTTATCAAATTGGTGCAAAAGGTGTCGCAGAACGCGTTCGGGGTGAATCAACCGGGGAGAGGCTTGAAGCATCGATGCAATCGGTGCGCGAAGAAAGACGCGAGAGTGAAGTGTAATCGGTGTAAAAAAGCATGGTATTGCTCGAAGGAGTGTTGGAAAGCTGCGATTAAGTTGGAGATTTGTGAGTGTTGTTGACGAGTCAAAACTTCCCTCTCCGAGCGCTCTCGCGGAGCACTTTGTAGATGATTTTCAATCAAATAATACGAAACACTTTCAAACTATATCCTCATCGACACCTTATCACACGGTGCACAGATTAATGGTATCGGACAAGTGCAACAAACGCAGCATGGCCGTGTCTACTCCCCAGGCGTGCGATGCGCTCACCCTCGGGGACGTCGTGTCTTTCCTCGACTCTAACATTTTCATGTCGTAGGAAAACCCAAACAAGTTGACGACGTCGCACATCATCGTCGCTAACATAATTGCGTGTAATCCAGTCGGTAAGTTCGTCGGACACGCGTAATTCTTCCCTAAACCTAATTCGACGACGTCTTTACGTATGGCAAAGTACGAATCAATCTCGTGATTGATCGCCGGGACGGATAAAAAATAGACGTTTTGCGGATTGGCGGCGTTGGCGGCTTTGTAATACATGGCGCTACCGTAGTGCCAAAATAACCACGTTTCACCCTCTGGCGCTGGTTTTAACCCCCAAATTTCCGGGATTATCGATCGTTTTTTGTTAAACATGCGAAACGTTTGTTTTGTCCCGGCGAAATGCGTGTTATTGTCTTGCATTTTACCTTCCCTCTGTCCTAAGTTGTACGCGTTGAAACGAAAGACGGCTTCGTGTCGATCGATGGCGTCAGCGACGCCGTCCGCACGTAAACCCGGTCCATTCCCGACCAAAGCGCACGTTTTGTAATCTCTTCTCACGTCTTCGTTCATGGTTTCAATTTTCCCGGTTATGTGCATCCCGGTCTCTTTGTTATCTCCCAGCTTCATCGCTCTCGGGTTGCACTTTTTCGAGACGGTTAAACACGCGATTTTGTTCTTTACGTTTTGCGTCAACAGTTTCACCCCTGGCATTAATTTCGCCGTTTTTCTCGCATCCTCCGCGTTCGCACAATCTTCTAATCGGTTCATGCAATCCTTCAAATGTTTATGCGCCGTCGATCGACCGTATTTCGACGCCCGATACCGGCGCTCTCCTCGACATTTTTGCTCCAACGGATGCGACTTCGCGTACGCCAACAAATTTCGGCTTCTCCTCCTCCCAGTCTTCGCAATCTCTTTCCCGGGCGACCCTTCCGCTCTCCATCGCTTCTTATTCTCCGAAACCATATCTTTCACGTTCCCGTGTCTCATCTCGAACTCTTTCATGTTCGTTTGCGCGCGTTTCAAAGTCTCGCCGTTGTCGCCTAAAACTTGCGGATACGGCGCTCGGAGACATTTTTCCGAGGCTGAGGCCAGTCGCGTTTGGAACATCATCTCTTCGCTTTCGCTCATTCTCGTCGTCGTCGTTCTACTTTCTGCATCGTATTCTCTTCTTCTATCTCGCGCGTTCGTCTCGATGGCGTCGTCGTCTTCGTCGTCCTCTCCTTCTTCGTCTTCTCCTTTCCAACCCCTATTTTTCTCATCACTCCTTTTGTACACCATCTGTTGTTGTGCGCTCGATTCACCCAAACTCGCAGAAGAAGACATCGTCGTCATCCCGCGAACAATCTCGAACGCGCCAAACAGAAAGAAAATTCCACCGAATAGGATACAAAAGAAGACCAACAGGACAACTTTCTTCCTCTTTGAATACGACGACGGCGTTGAAGGTGATGAAAACGATGGAAAAGAAGAATTCATCTCATCCGCACCGACACCTTTGGGAAAAGCCGTCGAAGTATTCCCCGTGGTGTTGATGCCACCACCACCACCACCACCACCACCGCTGTCTTTAGTGCTTCTCCCACCATCACCACCGAAGAGCGCTTGAAGAAGGAACGACCTGAACATCATCATCGTCCCCTATCTGTTTGTTGTGTCGTCTCTCTTTTTTCTCTCTCTTTTTCTCTCAAGAAATTATTTAGGGTCTTAAACCCTATTCCGAGAGCTCTTTCCGATTTTGCGCGAAACACAAAACCGCACATCGAAAGGTTTGAGAGAAGAAGAAGAAGAAGAAGAAGAAGAAGATACTACACACCATGTCAAAGTTTGAAAACGTGCTCAAAGCGCAAAAGGTACGCAATAATAACAACGAATAGTCTTCTCTTTCGCCGCTTTTGTTCGTGCCAGAGCTTTGTAAAGAGCTGCTTCTTTTCTCTCTCTTTATGTATATGCGCTTATTCCTTTTTCTTTTATCATCCGACGAACGATCCGATGTCTCTCTCGCATCTCTCGCTCGTTCGTGTGTCCTCCGTGCAAATACGCGTCACGCGAAACAAAACAGTTTTATCAACAGCAACACAAACACGTGCACTTGAAAGGCACGACGGATATGATCTCGTCGGTTGGGATTCCATTGGCCATGGCTGCGGGCGCGATCGGGTTGTTGGCGATGGGGTTGAAAGACTTAGCGACGGGCTCGAATAAAAAAGATGGCTTTTAACAGAGCGAGAGGGGAAAACTTGTATTATACATAGAGTACGTATTCTACGCGTAGTATCGTCACGGTTTACGAATATCTTATTTACGCGGCGCGCTCTGCTAAACTTTTAAATATTCTACTCGTCGAGTTTCTTCCGCCGCTGACTCTTGGCCCACGCCGGAACTTGCGCGGAGACCAACCATTGCGCTTCTTCGACCGTCGTTTCTCTTCCTAAGATTTCGTTCCGGTGAGGATATCTCCCGAACATTTCTAAAACCTCCTTGTGCCCTAATACATATTTCAACGTCCACTCCAGCGGCGTGTTCGCGCCGTTCTTTTCGATCATTCTCCTACAAAATTTCTCCGCCAACACGTGGTCCTCGACGAGCTCGGAGTGTAAAAACGGACTGACGATAAATCCTAGCGCGGCGGGTGGTAAATCGTCCCCTAACCGTTCGCGAACGATGAATTTCGAGTACCGCAACGCGCACTCGTCCCCTACGAACGCCTTTTCCGTCCCTCGAAACACGTTCCTGCTAATTTGGTCCAACAAAATAACTCTCGCCAATATCGCGTCCAACCGGTTGTCGCTCCTCGAAAACGCGTTCTTCGCCAGTTGGGCTTCGCTCAACTTTTCCTTCTGCGCGACGATAACTTCCGCGCGTAAAGCTGACGTGCACTTCTCGTCGGCCTCTTTCGATCCGGAATACCACAACTCTGCGCTCATCTTCGAGGAATACTCCCTCGTGCGCATCGTCTCCCGTTTCGGCCGTTCGGAGAAATACGCAACCTCCGTGAACCAAAACGAGAGCACTTTTTTCGAATCGATCGAATCTTTCCATCCGAAAACCTTCTTCGGTTTCAAAGTCGCAGGTTTTCGTGGTGATTCTTCTTTGCTCGAAAACGTTCTCGTTGGTTTCAGTATGCCTTTTACCGCCCCTGGAACGACCGATGACGACTGTTCTTCTTCCTCTTTCTTCTTCGAGCAGCAACATCCCATTTTTTTTCTCCCTCTCAACGAACCAACAACGAGAGAAGAAGAAGAAGAAGAAGAAAAGAAGAAGTTTCGTCGTCCGGGGATTCCTCCTCTTCTTCGGGAAAGGAGGAGGAAAGAAGAAGCCGTAATCGTCGTCGTCGTCGTCGTCGTTTTAGCGTGTTGTTGTTATTATCTCTCGTCGTCGAAAGTCGCAAAAGGCCCGCTATTGATGTGTTCGTTACAAAGTGCACTTACGAATGGTGTTTCCAACTCCAACGTGTTTTTTTTGCCGGCTTTTAATTTAGGGTATTAAAACCTAATGCAATCCGTCGGGTCGTTTTTCAGGTTTTTGCGTGACTGTTTCTACCCGCATTGCGAGACACGCGCGGAAACGCAGAGACGATTTAGACGAGGACGACGAGCGAAGAACGCGATGTTTTTTGCGACGATTCAGACGACCAACACGACCACCACCAACGGGGCTTTGACAACTTCGGTGGTTTTGACGAATAATAGTACGAAGAACAGCAGCGGTAAATCTTTTTTATCATCATCCGTGCGTCGTCACCATCAACAACATCATCGGCGTCGTCACGACCAAGAAGCGCGACTCCAAACGACGAGGACGAGAGCGCATCGTCACCACCACACGAGCGCGAGGAGCGAAACGGGCGGAGAGACGGACGTCGCGGTGGGGAGCTGCTGTTTGGAAATCGAGCGAATGAAAATAACCTCCTCCTCCTCCTCCTCTTCGAGGCTGATGGAGGTTGGAAAAGAAGGAGAAGAAATAAACGACGAGTCCATCCCTAGAAGAGAAATGAGAACAGAGGATACTACTCGAGGAGGAAGAAGAGGTCAGTTACAAGTCGTTCACGCCATGGGCCGAGGTGGGCGCGGACGAGGCGGACGTGGGCGAGGCGGCGGGCGCGGGAGGCGTTCGGGCGGCGGGCGCGGGCGCAAGGGTCCGTGGCGAAACCCGAATCAAGGCCCGCTGAGGAACGAGCAACTTTTGGATTTCGAGGAGCTGCGCGTTTTAGGCCCGGAGAAAGAAATGCTCGGGGTTATGAGCACGGAAGAGGCGTTGGAGAAAGGCGAGGAGTTAGGTTTGGATTTGGTCATCGTCAGTCCGGAAGCCGACCCTCCCGTGGCGAAGTTTATGGACTATTCCAAGTACAAATACGAAAAAGAGAAGAAAGACCGCGAGAAGAAACGACAGGCGAAATTGACGCAAGTGGAGTTGAAAGAAGTGAAAATGCGATATAACATCGACACGCACGATTACGACGTTCGATTGCGATCCTCGCAGAAGTTTTTAAGCAACGGGGACAAAGTGAAAGTGATTTGCCAGTTTCGCGGGCGGGAGAATGATTTTCGACACATCGGGAGAGAGATGTTCGACCGATTTATGGAAGATATCGAAGAGTATGGAACTTTAGAGAAGCAACCCGGTATGGAAGGTAACGCGATGACAATGTATATTGTGCCGAGAGTGACTAAAGAGCAGGTGAATAAGAAGTACGAACAGGAGAAGAAGATGAAGAATAAACGCGACAGAGCGGAGGAGGAAGAAGAAGAAGAAGAAGAAGAAGAAGAAGAAGAAGAGGAGTACGAAGAAGAGTACGAAGAAGAAGAAGTCGAAGTGTAGAAAGTGCTAAAACTTTGTTGTTCAGTCGTGTGCGTGCGTGCGTGTGTGTGTGTGTGTGTGTGTGTGTGTGTGTGTGTATGTCGTGACTGTCTTTTTCTATTTTATACTCTATTTTATACATCGTTTATCTGTTTTAGTGTATCTCATCAGGTTCTTCTTGTTCTTCTTCTTGTTCTACTACTTTTTAGGCGCTCCCAAGAGCCGCTTTTGCACCATCAGCCGCACTTTTCATATCATCTTTCTTCTCTGGCACGACCGCTTCGGCGTGTACTTCGACTAAAAACTTTGGATCTTTCAACACCGCCTGCGTCGTTAATCGGACGGGTAAGTCTTCTTCCTTCATGCCGTTTCTTTTTATGAAAAACTCTTTCCACGCGCTCGCCGTCTTCTCCATGACTCGAATGTCGCTCACGTGTAACGTGACTCTTAACAAATGTTTCAAGTCAGTCCCGGCTTGCGTGAGCATAAATTTCATATTCTGCAAAGCAGAGAGCGTTTGTTCTCCCGCGTCGTTGGACAGTTCTCGAGAGACGATACCAGTGAGCCACAACAAACGTCCGAATTGAATGATCGGGTTGTATCCCGGGTTCGCGCCAGGAGCTTTAATCCGCTTTATTTCCGCCGTAGGGTCAAATGGAGGTAGCCATCCAGTTTTGATATTCTGCGACATTAACAAGCACTGGTCGGCGAGCTTCTTAATCGCAATATCTTGCTGCTGAATGCGCGCGTTTTGCGTATTCACAACTTCAAGAAGTTTCGCAATTTCCGCCGAATCTGCCACCGCAGTAACAATACCTCCGCTAGACTTGTTGTTGGGTACAGTCAACGCTAAAGAGGAGCTGCGTTCGTTTCGTTTCGTGCTAACGACCGCGACGTCTTTTCTTGGAACCGACGGTGAGGCGACTCCAAAGTCCGAGGAAGGCGGTTCGTTGCGCCGCTGTCGCCTCGTTCCGACGGTGCCCACTGCTTCTTGTAATTTTGCCGCTGGGGGTATTGCAGGTGTATTCGCATTGAACGCAGCGTTAGCTCCTTTGCAAACTCTCACGTGACCCACAAACCCAGCCTTATTCCTCAAAACTTTACCACATTTTTGGCACGTCAAGTCCGTCTCCGCGGGCGCCGCAGCCATGGCAGGTGCCTGCTGAAACAAAACTGGAGCGGATTTCGCAGCCGCGATACGAGCCGGAGGACGAGAATCCGGCAGAGTCAAAGGAGACAGAGACGGAGAAAGTATCCCTGGAGCGGCGTCGGGGTCGTATCTGGGCATTGTTGTCACCCCATCGACCGGAGAATTCGATACCACGACTTCCGTAATCCCGTGTCTCGTCTTCAAATGCGCCACCATATCTTCTCTGTTTTGGAACTTCTCGTGAGTGCAATACCCGCAGAACCTGGTTGTAGAACCAATTCGAACAGCCGTTTTCGCTTTCTTTGCTGCTGGTGGTTCTGTTCCCGGTACAACCTCGGCGGGTCTCTTCGCGACTCCTTTCTTTTTCGTATGCTTCCCACAAAACACAGTATCACCGGGAAGTTTAGCTTCGTTGCAGCACCAATTTCCTCCCCTGGCGCGGCACATCCAATCCGGCTTTCCGTCATTAGACTTGTATTGAATCGTCGGTGCTTCTGGCGGTGGCGGGGTCGGTTTTGGGAGTTTTTCTGGTACCATCGCAGTCACAGGCACATTTGAGGGAGGTCGACCGAGTGCGCCGACGACGAGGTCGTATCTGGGCATTGTTGTCACCCCATCGACCGGCAATTTCGATACCACGACTTCGGTAATCCCGTGACTCGTCTTCAAATGCGCCACCAAGTCTTCTCTGTCTTGGAACTTCTCGTGATTGCAATACCCGCAGAGCTTGGTTTGAAAAGCAATTCGAACAGTCGTTTTCGCTTTCTTTGCTGCTGGTAGTTCTGTTCCCGGTACAACCTCGGCGGGTCTCTTCGCGACTCCTTTCTTTTTTGTATGCTTCCCACAAAACACAGTATCACCGGGAAGTTTAGCTTCGTTGCAGCTCCAAGTTCCTCCGTTGGCGCGGCACATCCAATCCGGCTTTCCGTCATTAGACTTGTATTTTTTAATCGTCGGTGCTTTTGGCGGTGGCGGGGTCGGTTCTGGGAGTTTTTCTGGTACCATCGCAGTCACAGGCACATTTGAGGGAGGTCGACCGCGTTTCTTCATTGCAGGGGCGACTGGCGGCGCGGCGATACTCGAGCCGTTGCCTTTACACGATCGCACGTGCATCGTCAGAGGACCTTGACTTTTGCAAACCTTGCCGCATTTCTCGCACGTAAGCGCACTCGAAGCGGCAGCTTTTGCGGGCGGTGGTGGTGGGGCGACAGGAGCTGGAGCAGGCGCCGCCGCGACCTTTTTGACCACTGAGACCGATTTTACAGGCGAAGGTGTAAGTGAAACTGAATTTCGAATTTTCCCTCCCGCGTTTCGAGTTTTGGTTACGCACGCGCGAATGTGCGAAGATCTTCCCGGACTATTCTTCTCGAAACGTTTCCCACAATGCGGACAATCGAGCGTTTTCCCAGTGAGCGAGACCGGCTTCTTCACCGCATCACCAGACACGAGAAGGTGCGGCTTCCGACCTCGAAAGCTCGTATCTTTCTTATTCGGTACCGCTGTCTCATCCTCTTCCTCCTCTTCGTCATCGGTCAACAAATCTTCCTTCTCGGGTTCGATATCATCAACCGTCTGTTTCCCGCGCCCGGACTTTCCTTTTGCGACTATCGATTTCACATTCGCGGACTTTGGCAAATGTTTTTCGCAAAATATCGCGCCGGCAACCTTTTCTTTTGAACAGCGCCACACGCCGTTTGTTCGTGTGCACCTCAAAGCTTCTGGCACTTTATCATTCGATTTGTTCGCGAATTTTTGCGTTTGAAAAGCAGGTCGTTGCTCATCGTCGCTTTCGAAATCGTCCAATTTGTTGGTATTTTTCGCACCACCACCTCGACTTCTCGTTGAATTCGTCGCCGCTGGCGGGAAATTGACGTCGTCGCGAAGTAATCTCTCCGCGAGCGCGTCGTCGGGAGTAACTCGAACACTTGCACCGGCGCGTTGTTTTGAAGGCGTCTTTTTCTTTCGCGAGGCGACATCCGCCGCATGCGTTGCAAAATCTCGGTCGTCTGAATCGCTGTCTCCGTCACCGAGTAACGTTTCCTCGATGCCTTGCAAAGTGCTCTTCTCTTTACCCAACGTCGCGTTGTTCTTTTCATCACCGCTGTCTTTGCCTTTTTCATTCAATTGCTTTTTAGAAGGGTGAAAGATTTTCGGTTCTTCCGAATCGCTGTCGTCGTCCGTAGCTTCAGTCATCGCTTTCGATGGAGTCATTTCTGCAGACGCCGCGTCTTTTTTCCTTTGTTGCGCCGCGTCTTTACCAAGCTGTAGAGCTTCGCGATGCTTAGCCGCCACGTAGGCGTTGATTCTGTCGTCAGTAAGTAAAGCCATCTTGCTACCACCGGCGTGCGCGCCACGACATTTTATAACGTGCACGCGCAACTTGGACGAGCCTTCGAAATCTTTCGCACACGCGGGACAAGATATTTTACCTCGATACTCTTTCGCGGGCCCGGCTAGCGGCACCACCGCTGGTACCGCCACCGGCGGTGCTGCCGCGCTTTCTTTGACAGAGACCGCCGCCGCCGCTTTCGTCGTCGCGGTAATACTGCTCTTTTTCGCGTTGTTATTATTATTTTGCACTTCCGGTGGCCCCGGGGAGTCCGTAAGGAGCGACTCGTTCTCGGTGTAGATCGCGTCCGCCGGCGGCGAGGCTCGTCTTCTAGACAGCGGTTGCGTTGGAATCACTTTAGTGGTGTTCGTATTCGTCGTCGCAGTAGTAGTTGTTGTGGCATTCGTAGCGTTAGATCGACTACCGCCGGCAGCAGCACCACTAGATAATTTCGTAGGTACCGATTTGTTCGTCACAGAAGTCGTCGTCGTCGTTGTGTTCACCGGACCGGCGCTTGTGGGAGCATCCTTTGTCGTCGCCGTGCCCATAGGTTGAGGATCTTTCGGAAATTTTGCGACTTCAACGAGTGGCGATTTCGCTTTCTCTTTTTGTTGTTGTTGAGGTTGCTGAATTTGCTGTTTCGCCACGGGCGACGGTGTTCCCTTGCTCACATTACTTACTACCGTTCGTTGTTGTTGTTGTTGTTGTTTCTTCGTAATCATCGACGCGTTCGTTTGCGTCGCCACGGTCGATTTAATATTCGCAGTAGCTCCGGTGCTCTTGTTACTATTGTTGTTGTTGTTGTTCTTGTTGCTAGTAGTATTACCATTGCTCGCCGGCGGTGATGGCACCACTGCCGCCGTCGCTGGAGCCGCTGGAGCCGCCGGAGCCGGCGGAGCCGGCGAAGGCACTCCGTTCGGAGACGCGCCGCGAGCTCCTCCAGCCGGCGCCGATGGACTCGCCACCGGACGCGTCCACACGTTCGCCTTCTTCTGTCCAGTGCTCGCGGGAGGAGGATTACTCGCAACAGCAGCAGCAGGAAGAGGAGGAGGCGTGGGTGACTTCCCAAACGCCGGCTTATGCGTCGCTTGCGAACCAAACACGCCTTTCGCCTGTTGTTGTTGTTGTTGTTGTTGTTGTCGCTGTTGTTGCTCTTTTTGCTTCTGCTTCGCTAATAACACAAAATCCTCCGCGTTCATCGCACCTCCGGCGGGCAAAACGCTGTGTTCCCTCGACTTCGTGCCCGTCGACGTGGTGGGTATCATCGTCGTCGTCGCTGCTATTTTACCTTTATCGGAAGAAAAAGCCTCATCGGTGGTGGTGGTGGTGGTCAAAGGCGGCGACGGCGTGACGTAATTCGGAGGCGGAATAATCGAAGAAGGTTTCGACGACGACGACGGTTTCGTGATGTGCGCGAGCGAAATCTTCGTGTTATTATTATTCGTAGTAGTAGTCGCAGGAGTGTTGCTCTTCTCGTCGTTGATGTTGCTGTTGGTGTTGTTCGCCGCGGTGGTGGTGCTCGTGCCGTCGTTTTTCGGCGACGACGCGCCGTTCGCCGAAGACATTCTTCTTCTTAAAGAGAGATCTCTGCGTTTGAATTCTCTCTCGTCGTCGTCGTCTCGGAAAAAAAAAGCGGTTTTTGTGTCTTCTCACTCCCTCTTCTTCTTCTTAATTCGAGGAAAATGAGACGCTTTCTTTAGCAGAGATGGAAGCCCTCTCTTTCGTTCTCTCTCTCTCTCTTTCTTTCCTCCAAAGGAGAGTTATAGTGTAGTGCAAGACGCAGAAGAGAGAAGAGAGAAAGTTGTGACGATGAATTCAATTCTGAATTCTCTGTTTACGAGTTTTGATTGGTTTTTTTTTCTCACGTGTTTTGAAGAAGCAACTGTTCTGGCACAGAAAAGCGAGAGAGAACACAGAAAGAGAAAAAGAGAATTCGAAGAAGAACACAAACACACGCAAGAGAAAGAAATTTCTCTACTTTTTGGTCGAAAAATGCCACACAAATTACCAACCATTTCTCTCAAAACATCAGAGAGTACTTACTTCTTAGGTAAGTTTTCTCTCACAACAAATGACGCATTACTAGAAAGGAGACTTATTAAAAGAGAATACGAAGAAGGAAAAATAATGTCGGCATCGTGCGCGCGATGCGGATATACCATTTACTTGCGCGAAGCGTCCGAGCTGATTTCGTGTCAGAGCTGCAACTTGACGCACGCGACGGAGACGTTGTTTAATGATGCCGATGATGATGATGAAAACGAAGATGCGCTCGTTACGACGGGTGGAGGAAAAAAGATGATGAAAACAATCTCCAACGCCGCCAGTTTCTTGTACAAGTTCAACATCGAACCGAAAAACCCGGACGGGACGAAGATTGGGAGCGAACGAGACGACGAAAATGTGAGCAGAGAACGAAGAGCGACGGTGGACGAACCGTGTCCGAAATGCGACAATCACGTGTTGAGGTTTTATACCATGCAGTTGAGGAGCGCGGATGAAGGGCAGACGGTGTTTTACGAATGCGAGAAGTGCAAACACACGTTTTCGCAGAACAATTGATTCTTTTTCTCTCGTCGGAAGTGTTGCTCTCGTCAGAAGCGCAAACACACGTTTTCGCAGAACAGTTGATTCTTTTATTCACGATGACGATGGGCAAAGAAGAAGAAAAACAACAACAACAACAACACATTCCGTGGCGTCCGAGAGATTTCTCGAGCGTGAAGAATCATCCTTTGAGCGGGATAACTTTCGCGCAGTGGTATCGGTTGGTGAGGAAGTATCGCGGGGACATCGAGTACTTTCGGTATTTCCCTCGACTGGTTTTTCTGACCGTGATGTCGATGTTCAACGCGCTCTTTGCGTGCGTTGAGATGGTGTGTTACGGTAGCGCGATTTCTAAAACGATCGTTGACGATGATCCGGTCATCATCGTCGGTCATCCGAGAACTGGGACGACGCATTTGCACAATCTTTTAACTCTAGATGAGGATTCGTTTTACACGTGCACGACGTTTGACGTCGGGTTTCCGAGCTCGTTTCTGTTGTTTCCAAAACGAGTGAGGGAAATGTTAAAAACAATCATGGACGACACGAGACCTATGGATAACATGAGATTGGCCCACGATTCGCCGCAAGAGGACGAAGTGGCGACGAACCAGTTATCCAGTTGTCTCGCGTCGCCGTACGCGCCTTTGATGTTTCCGAAATTGGAAGAAAAGTTTCGACCGTTTTATCGCTTGGACGGAGAAGACGAAGAGTATCCGTGCAAACTGGAAGACGCTCGAATTTGGCGCGATAATTTTTGGTATTTCGTGCAAAAAGTCACGTATGCCGCAGAAAGCAGTCGAAAGAAAGACGATGCTCCGAAGAAGAAAAGACGAAGATTGGTGTTGAAATCGCCCGTGCATATGGCTCGGATCAAACTTTTAGCGCGCATGTTCCCGAAGGCCCAGTTTTTAGTGTGCCATCGTCACCCGTACGAAACCTTTCAAAGCGCGGCAAATATGGCCGATAAGTATTACTGGTCCTGTTTCTTGCAAGCACCCAGAAATCGAGAAGAAATCGAGGAGTTTATATTTCGACAAGGTGAGATTTTACACGACGCGTACGAGAAGGATTTGAAAGATATCGATGATCTAACACCCCGCGTGATGGAAATTCCTTTCAAAGAGTTGGACGAAAAACCGCTTCAAACTTTAGAGAAGATTTACAACAAGTTTGAGTTTAAGCCCAGAAAAGAAAAGTACAAAGGGAGCGACGCAGAAACGAAAGCGAAAGCATACATCGAATCCTCGGCGTTAAAAAACTTCAAGAAGAACGCGTTCGCGGCGGATTTGAGCCGAGCGACGAAAAGAGAAATCAACCGGCGCTGGAGAACGTGGTTTCGCTTGTTCGATTATACCAAGTTTTAGGACACAAAGTAAAACACGACGATTTTAGTAGGTAGATAGATAATATGTTTAGATATAGATATAGATATATTTAGTATATAATTTAAAGTTAGATATACAACGCGCGTTATCCTCATCATAACAGAGCCACATTCGTTCGTTTTCGTCGTTTTCTTCTTCTTCTTCTTCTTCTTTGACTTCTTCTTCTCTCCCTCTTTTCATACCGAAAGCGCGCATTCACAAAACTTTCTTCCTCTTGAAGAACGCCTTCAAGTAGAAAATCTGCCAAAATGCCAGCCCAACGCAAACGACCAAACTAATCAATCCCATCCAAACGACTCTGGAATTCGTCGCCTCGTTCTTATCTCGCATGTCTGCCTCCAATTTCCTCAACTCCAACATCGTCTCGTGCACTTCGATCAAATCCGCCTCCAACCTTCGCAACGACTTCGTAAACACGTCCACGTCTGTCTCCTTTGCAATCTTCCCCCACGTTGTCGCCGCGACTCCAGACTTCCACTCCAAACTCACTCGGTGCTTCGCGCGATCTTCCGCCGGTATTTGCGCCGCAAAAAAGCACGCCTTGTAATCGCCGCCAACCTCCGCGGTGAAGCCGTAATCACCCTCCGAAACGTCCTCAAACTGCTTCACCACTTTCTCGTTCGGATCGAACAGTTTAATCGACAACTTCACGTTATCTATAGATTTAAACGAAAATAATACTATCGCGCGCTCGTTGTGTTCTTCCGAGACGCACTTCATGTCGTCGTACTCCGAGTCTCCGCGGTGCACGAGATCGAATTCCAACGCCTCCGCGACAAAGAATCCATCGTAAACGTCGTTTTTTCTCCACGTAATCATCATCGCTAAAGAAGAGAAAAGGAAGAAGAAAAACGACGACGAAAATAACGGTTGTTTAAACCTCCTCGTTCTTCTTTTTAAACCTTTCGTCGTCGTCGTCATTTTCGTCGTCCCAGGTGAATTCAATCAGTGAGAGTGATTGATGTGTGATGATGATGATGATGATGATGAGAGCAGTGAGTCGTCTTTTTTTATGAATTGTGGTGTACTTTTGAAGCAGTTTTGGTGAAAAAAGGAAGCTTGCAGAGAATTTTTCATTATCGCGAGCGAGAAAAAAAAAATACCACAAGTTTATTATTCAACGCGTGAGTGCATGGAAGTTCTTCGTTTACAGTAGTAGTGTTATTATTAATCCGCTTTCTTAGTATTACGAGTCACTGCTGCGTTCTTTTTTTCGCCGGTGGCGTCGTTGGCCAAACCGCCGACGGAGAACACCTCTCTCGCTTTCTGCGTGCGTATTTGATACGGATGCGCCATCCATACGCCTTTCCAAGCGCGTTTTTGCGTCCAAAACATGGGAACGGTAAGTATGCCCTGGATGGAGACGACCAATACGATCATCACGATCGTTTCGCCCGTGGTGCATTGCCAGCACACCGCGGTGGCGACTTGTAAGGCGGTGTGTAAAATTTTCACGGTGACGTCCCACGTCGGTCGCGCGCTGTGCATCAAGCTAATGATTGCAGCCGTGACGACGACGACGATGAATCCAGAGAAGCGTTCTAACTGCGGACAACGGAAGTTTTCAACAAGTTTTAAATGTTTCGTGTCCGAATCTACTGTTGCGTTGGCACTTTCGAAAACCACCGATGTGGCGGCGTGAATCGAGAACCAGCCATAGAACATTGCGTGGATGCGCATCGCCAATAAAAAGCGCTCACGCATTTTCGAGTATAACGACGTCCTCGTGACGCTAGAATAGTACATGAGAAACATAATCGCGACAAAGAAGATGTTCGGTGCGTGCGAGAGGAACAGCTTTTTCCTTAACTTGGCGCAGGCTTCCGGACTCGCAATTTTTCTAACTTTTCGGTAAAACTTATGTGCCGAGGCGAATAGAAAGCCCGAAAGTAAAATTTCGGCGTACGGGTCGCATACGTTCGCTAACGCTTTTTGTATAGAGACGTAGAAACGCTCTCTGTCGAGCCGCCGAAGCTCATTCGCCAAAGCGCGCAAGTTCAACGCGTCCATGGCGTCGATCGTGCACTTCGTCACTACGCCGGTGGCGACGCGTTCGTCTTCGCAGTTCTTCGCGCACGAGAGGAATGCTCGTCGCGTGATTGTGCCCATCACTTGCGGATCTTCCCGACTGCAAAAATTTGCATGAATCTCTCGATGAATGCGCTTTGAAGTTGTTACAACGATCGGTTCCGCTTCGGAAGCGTTGCAATCTCGAACGATTTGGAGCGTGGCTAATTTCACCTTACTCGACGACGCTTGGAAGAGCGAGGCAACGGACGAGAGAAGTGCGGTGTCTACGCCACCATTGCTTGTATTTTTCTTGTTGCGAGATGAAAACGCTGACTTATTGAAGCGAACGTACGTTCGAATCATCACCGGTGTCACGTTCATGTGCTGGTCTCGCTCCAAAATCGAATATTCCAACGTCGTGTTCACCTCCGGATCCAAGCACACTTCTTGGACTTCATCGTTAAACTTAATGTTCAAATAGGAATTTTCGCCCAATAAGTTCGCGCCGATGATAGCAATAGATGCGACGTAACCCGACAAAACCGAGCGCGCGCTCACGTGGAATACTTGTGGTTTTGTAGCATCTCCGATCATTTTTTCAACTTTCGTCATTATCTCAATGTTTCGATGTCGTACAGAGACTGAATTTCTTCCGCGTTCAACGACGACCGTCGCTTTCGTTTTTTCGTCTTGAACGCTATTCCGGACGCCCTTGACGAAGGCTGCGCGCAGCCGATTGAAAAGAGAGTTGTCTCCGGAGTGAAATATCGACTGAGCAAATTCGGTTTCAAGAACTTGAGGGTCGCTTACCCAGAAGGAAAAAGAAACGCAACCAGGTCTGACTGTTCCCAATAAATCATTGCTGTTATTATCGTGCGGAAAATCTTTTCCATCGGTAGTTCTTGCTCTCGGCGACTGCGCTGCTTCTTCGCCGCCGTCGCCGATGGCGAGCGGTTCCATGCGTAAAGCGTCGCGAACAAAATGCACGAGATCCGGATGTAAATCTGGCGGCGACGCGTTTTGCACTTTGACGTGCACCCCATCTTCCGAGGCTTGATTCAGCTCCCACGAACGTCTCACTTCCATTTCGGCTTCGTAGGCCGTTTTACGCATGGCATGGAATACCAAGCGATCACTTTTTGTCAGTGCCGGAGGAAATACGGAGAAGATGTCTGGAGAAATATCCGGGATGACCAATTTTGCCACCGGATTATACGTCGAACCTCCAACGAGCGCTTTATCAAACGCAGCTTGTTCGAGACCATATTTACCAATTTCTTGTGTATATTGATCGCGTTCGTTTCTGAAGGCGTTTCCGATAGATTTTACGTGCTCCTTATCCAAATTTTGTTGTTGTTTCCTGATATCTTCCCCCAAAGACTCTTCACTCGCATCTCTCGAACTATCACAAACGAACGATCCTCCTTCTTCCTTTTTCCTCGTCGTCGCGACACATCCTCTCGCGCTTCTTTCCCCGGCGGTACTACTGCGTTCCGCCGTCGCTTTTTCGTCCCCGTTCGACGTCCTCCGACCTTCGCTCAAATCGTACTTTCCCGCCCGTTTCAACCTCGCAATCCGATGCACGTTCAAACTCTCTCGACAACTCTTCATCCCGTACTCAAACTCATCCTTCAAGTGCGGTTTCCTGCACTGCTGACAGAACAAAACCGAAGCGCCGATACTCGGCACGAACGTGCTCGACGTCCTCAGCACGCACGCGTCGCAACAGAAGTATTTGCGAAACTTCGACCCTTTTTCATTCTTCTGCTCGTTCTCGCACATTTTACACAAAATCGCGCCGTTTCTTTCCATCTCGCCTTTCCTCGGCCTCCCTTTTCTGCCTCGATTGATCGATGCGTTGTACGCCTTTCGTTGTTCCTCAAGCTTGAACCGTTTTTGCTCTCGCGGCGATAACGTTTGTTGCTCGTGCGACGGGATTATGCGCGACTCCTCCTCACCGTTCCTCTCTTTCCTCCTCGCGACACCTTTCGATTGGCTCTCTTTTTCTTCTTCTTTTTCGAGTGGGCGGATTTCCTCTTTCTCCTTCTTCTCTTTTTTCTCGTCGATCTCTTTTCGCATGCTCTCGTTCGCCACTCGAAATGTCCTCCCGTCGAACGCGATCGAATCTTTCGTCCATCTCTTGAACAACGGGTTTCGCACTAAAACCGTCATCGAATTCGACGCATCATCCTTATTAATCTTCTTTAACCCCGCGACTTCTTGTTGGACGACGAGAACGTTGTTTTCGCCTTCGATGTCCTCTTCTTCTTCGACTCTTTCTCCGCTCTTGTTCTTCTTCATCTTCTTCTTCGCGCGATGTTGATGATGACGATGAGGATGTGTTCTTTCACGCGATGATCTTTGCCCGAAACCATCCTTTAACGCTGTCCTCTCATTGTTCTTCTTATCGTCGTCGTCTGAATCGTTGTTGGTGTTGTTCTTCCTGAAGCGGTTCGACGATCGAGTCTTCGAGGACATCACCACGTTTTTCTTTTTTACCTCCTCCTGAGAACTTCTTCTTTATCGTGGAATCTATTCCGGAGTATCTCGAGAAGAGTTAAAACGAAGAGTTGACGAGGATGATGATGATGATGATGCGAGAGACGTGTGAAGTAAAAATGTCTGAAAAAATGTTCGAAAACTATAGTGTCTAGAAAAGCTCTCACTCGCGTCTTCTTCTATCTCTTCTTCTTTTTCTTTTCGACACGAGAAATCGACCGATATCGACGTCGTCTCCACGCATAGCATCACTCCCGTTCTTCCGTTGACGTTTTGATGAATCTGCAATGATGGGGTGGTTGTTGGTCGTCGTAAAAAAATTCGATCGCTCTCGAATGTTCTCCGCCGGGTCCGCGAATTCGAGCGCTTTCAAATAGAGTTTCGTCAGCGCCGCGATGCAGCACAACAGCGGACCGAAGACGACGCCTTGCGAGGTACATTTTTCAATCACGCGGTTCGCAAAATCATCGTCATCCCTTTCGTCTTCGACTGTTTTTTTTCGTTTCTTCTTTCTCTTTTCCTTTTCGAGAAGCACGTCTAGGTACAAGTTTTCGGTGGTTTTCGCCACGGCGGACCAGGAATACTTTTGCAAAATCTGATCGCCGAGAGCTTCGCGCTCGCGATCTCCAATTTCACCGTTTGCGACGAGCGCTATGGCTTTTTCGAGCTGCTCGAACAAACCAGAAACCGTCGGCGGGGCTAAAAAAGAGGACGTTATTTCTTTTGGTTTTCCCGCTTTCAGTTTTCTTCTTCCTCCCGTTCCAGTTTCCATAGTTGATTTCTTCTCCGACGCCGCCGGAGAAGTGACCATCGTGACTCCCGGTAACACTTCTGGAACGCCACCGACGCCTGTCGCCACCACCACCAACCCGCAACTCGCGGCTTCGACAATAGCCGTACAAAATGCCTCTGTCAACGAACAATTCAAAAAAATATCCCCTCGACGTAAAATATTCGGCACGTTCTCGTGTTTCGCATCGCCTAAGAACTCTACTTTTCCTTTGCACTCTTTTTTGTGTGTTTTTTCGCACACTTCGCGTAAATGCGGTTCCATCGGCCCCGATCCTGCGATTATGAAACGCACGTTTTTATTTCGTTTCAACGTCAACGGAATGAGTTTCGCGAGAAGGTGAATACCTTTCCGGTACGTCAAACGCGAACAGACGACGATCGTAACCTCCTTCTTGCCACGTGTTTTAGCGCTACCGCTATTACTGCTATTATTGCTACTTTCACTACCACTACTTCTGCTGCTCGATTTACCTTCGCTTCTCTTCTCCGTCGCGCGAGAAGGAGGATAAAACGCCTCCCCGTCCACCGCGTTTGGAATCACTTCAATCTTCCTCGGATCAAACCCGCGCAACTCGTACACGACCTCTTCCTTTTCCTCATCATCTCGTCCTTTCCTCTTCTTCTTTTTCTTTCTCCTCACCGGCACAACGTTCATCCCACCTCTCAAACACGTGTTCTCCTTCGCCGCGTTGGTCACGCACACCGCCCGATCCGCCTCCCCGAGCGTCATCCGCAACACCTTATTGCTATGAATGCTCGCCACGTCGTCGTTCATCCCAAACAAAGAGTGGTCCGTAAAAACCACGCACGGTATCTGTAACGTCTTCGCGTGTAACACGCACTCGTGCGATAAAGTCCCGCCTTGGTGCGCGTGCACCACGTTCACGTTTTCTCGAACGCACGCTATTCGGAAAATTTTCAAAACGCCAAAAATCGTCGGAAAACAGCAGTTGGTGCCTTTGATGGTCACTCTCGGGACGTAATACACTTTGACGCCGGATTTTAAGTACCGGACGCCAGAGTACGTTTCGTTGGTGTTCGAATCAGTATTGTTATCGTCGTCGTTGTACGAGTGCGTGAACACGCACACTTTGTGGCCTCTTTCCGCGAGTTTACCGGCGAGATGCGCGATGTGTAATTCGACGCCCCCGACGTGCGGGAGGAAGAAATCGGAGACGAAACAGATGGAGAGTTTTCTTTGACGATGAGTATCGCGAGACATGATGATCACAAAAAGGATGCCGACGATTAAGGAGGAGGTGGTGGTAGCACTCGTTCGAGCAACGGCCGCAAACCGCGATTTATGTCACGTCTTATGGCCGCTTTATGCGGTGCTTTTGTGCGCGTAAAAAGAGTGAGGATTTAGGTAAAAATACTCTTGTGTGATGTCTCTCTCACATCTTCGATATAAAAGTATAACTCACTCTCACGCTGATGCTACTACCTACATGGTGTGCGGCGAAAGCTGATTGTGGAATTTCGGGCTATCCCCGCTAAGACTATTATTTATTCCACCAGCACCGCTGTTACTATGACTGCGTCTCGAGGGAAGAAGACTTTTGCCGCCGCGCGAAACGCTCCAGAAGCGCATGCGCTTTTTGAACTTTCTCGTAAACGCTTTCAAAATTTCCTCGCAGACGATGACCGGGAAGGAGAGCCATAAGACCGCTTTCCACTCTTTCCAGGAGAGATAGCTCACGCTGAAGGTGATGTTCATCCATGGGACGTATAAGATCATCACGTGTAAAGCCATGGAGATGAAGATGGCGCCTAAGAGCCATTTGTTGGACCACGGCGGGTGTTTCAATAAACTCGAATTTTCCGATAAAGCGTTCAAGGCGTTGAACATTTCCACGGTGACGAGGACAGTCATGGACATGGTAGACGGACGGCGGTCTTTGAATATTTGACACGAGTAATCGTGGGCACCTTCGACGCACTGCTCGAACGAGGTCAAATCGTTCCAGGAGAGGAGAGGACCGTTTTCAAAGTACATGAACCACCAGGCAAAGGCGACGACGGTGACGATGCCGACGTACACGCCGACAATCAAGTATCGAATGAAGAGCCACGAGTCAACGATAGGTTCCGTGGGTGATCGCGGGCGTTGTCGCATGATGTCTCGATCAGGCTTGTTGAACCCGAGCGCGGTGGCGGGTAAACCGTCGGTGACTAAGTTTACCCACAGGAGTTGCACGGGGCACAAAGTCTCCGGCATGCCCAACGCCGCGGCGATGAAGATGCACACGACTTCGCCAATGTTCGAGGAAACCATGTATCGAATGAATGCTTTGGTGTTGTCGTAAATAGCGCGACCTTCAGCGACGGCAGAAACGATGGAGGCAAAGTTATCGTCGGCGAGAACCATATCGCTCGCGTGTTTCGCCACCGCCGTGCCGGAACCCATGGAGATGCCGATGTCGGCTCTTTTCAAAGCCGGGGCGTCGTTGACGCCATCGCCAGTCATAGCGACGACGTGCTTTTGCATCTTTAACAGCTCCACTAACTTTGCCTTGTGCGCGGGTTCGACGCGACTGAAAATAGTCAAACGCGTCGCAGCTTCCGATTTTTCGCGATCGGATTTCAACTCGTCAAAGTCCACGCCTTGTAAACTCGCGCCGTCTGGAACGATTGGTTCGCCAAACGCATTCGCTTCAATGAGACCAATTTGCGAGCCTATAGACTCCGCGGTCGTTTTGTTATCTCCAGTGACCATGACAACTCGAATGCCCGCGCCTCTGCACGTGGCAATCGCACGGGCGACTTCTGCTCTCGGCGGGTCCGCGATGCCGACGAAACCGAGAAAAGTCAAATCGTTCTCATCTTCCGCGGTGATTTGCGTTTGTTTCGCCGGCATTGGACGCATGGCTAATGCTAAAACGCGCAAACTAGTTTTCGCGTATTTCGAGAGAACGTCGTTTAAGTCTTTGCGAACTTGATCGTTCATCGGTTCCGCCGCGCCTTTGCCGTTTGTGAGAGCGTTGGAGCATTTTTCCAACACCGCCTCGGGAGCGCCTTTGGAAAACAAAATGTTCGTCCCTTTTCGAGAACACAAGGTACTCATCATTTTTCGATCTCGAGTGAAATCCATTTGCGCGACACGTTTAAATTGCCCGGCCCAGTACGCAGCGCAATACGACGCGCGCTCTTGCTCAGAAAGTTTTGTCAACGCCGTCGGCATGGCGTCGAAACCGGGGAGACCAACCTTTTCGGAAAGAACTCGCAAAGCGACTTCGGTCGATTCGCCAATTTTCGCGTACTCTCTCTTGTTCAAATCAAACGTCAACGTCGAGTCGTTACATAAGGAAGCGCATATGGATAAGTGCAACACCGACGGTAAATCTGCCGGGTGCTTCACCACGTCTCTGTCGATGGAGTTGAAGCGTTGTTGTCTCGGTGAGATTACGCCGTTGGACGCTTCCAGAATCAATCCGTTCGGCGCATACGAGTTACCTTCTACGTCAAACTCTCTCAATAAAGGCGCGTGACTACTTCCACTCGCGCCATTACCACCCTTTCTACCAGTGCTACTGCTCCTTTGCTTCGTGCGATCTACCACGCACATCTTTTGCACGCACATCGCGTTCGTCGTCAAAGTCCCCGTCTTGTCCGAACACACCACCGTCGTGCACCCTAAAGTCTCCACCGACGGAAGTGATCTCACAATCGCGTGTCTTTTTGCCATCTTTCTCGTCCCTAACGCCAAGCACGTCGTCACTACGGCCGGTAATCCTTCCGGAATAGCCGCCACCGCCAACGCCACCGCGATTTTCAAATAATACACCATCCCTCGAAACCAACCGCCGTATAAAGGGTCGCCGAAATGTCCGATGTTCACCACCCAGACCAAAATACACACCACTGCGATCACTTTACTCAATAATCTACCAAACTCGTCCAACTTTTTCTTCAAAGGCGTCAACTCTTCCTCGTCGTCTGCGCCTCCGTGATTTTTCATCGCGTCTCGAATCTTCCCAATCGCCGTGTTCAACCCGGTTCCGACGACAACCGCTCTCGCTCTCCCAACGCTCACGACCGTCCCACTAAACAACAAGCACGTTTTATCTTGAACCACCGCTCTCCTCGCCCGTTCGCTATCGTCTATGTGCCCCGCCTCCTTCTCCACGCTTCCGCTCTCGCCAGTCAAAATTGCCTGATCCACTCTCAGCGTCGAACTCAAAATCCCAATAATCCTGCAATCCGCCGGCACTTTCGCTCCAACCGCGACTTCAACGATATCTCCCGGCACTAGCTCGCTCGCTTTCACCACTCTTAATCTTCCGTCTCTCAAAACCGTCGCTAAATCCGCCTGGTACGCCTTCAATTCCTCAATCGCCTTCTCCGCGTTCGTCTCTGTGACCACCCCGACGGTCGCGTTGGCGATTAAAATCAAAACAATCACCGTCGGCTCGACGAACGCCAACTCCCCGTCCCCATCCACCGCGGCTAATATAAAACTCACAATCGCGGCGACGATTAATATCTTCACCAGTAAATCGTCGAACTGTTTCAAAATTAACTTTATGAAATTTTGCCCTTTCTCCTCGGGCATTTCGTTCGCCCCGAATCGCAGGCGAAGTTTATCGATGGCGTTCGTCTTTTCGGACAAACCTCTGTTCGCATCCACTTGGTGGTGCTCCAAGACCTGTATATTTTCATCGTTTTCATCGTCGTCGCGAAAGAAAGAGAAAGGATATATTGTGTCAGTAAAACTTTGTTCTCGGGGAAGAAGAAACGAACAAAAGATGGATCCGAAACCCGACGAAGTTTGAAAACGCTCTCTCCTCGTCGTCTCCGCACGCAGAATAATAATAAGAAGAAGAGTGGTATTAAAAAAGTCACCACGCATACATGCTCACCTCGCCGATCGAACGCGCGAACGCGTCTTCCATTTTTTTTTGTGCTTCACGCGTGCCCCGACGTTTGCGCGCGCGCTTTTTGTCTCTCTTTTTCTCTCTCACGTCCGTCTCTCGGAGACTTTATTTAGGGTAGCAACAAAAAAGAAAACCCTAAATACAAATTGCACCAAACTTTCCCGTTTGACTCGTCTCTCTCTCTCTCGTCGTCATTTCCGCAAAAGAAAGACGACGGCAGGGACGCGATGGCGGAGGAGACGACGAGGAAGAGCCACGACGACGAGAAGGACGCCGCCGACGTTGTTGTTGCGAGAGAAACAACAACAACAAACGACGATGATGATGCGCAACAAATAAATTCGTCGGCATCATCGACGGGCAGTTCTTTTTCATCGAAGTTGTTCCTGCTTGCGTTTATCGGACTCTCCGTGGCGCTTGGCTTGCGCGAAGACGTCGGCGAACTCGTGAAAGGCAGTGGTGGTATTGAAAACGAGACGACCCGCGGAGAGACGATGCAACAAAAGGAAGACGCGATTTCCGTGGGAGATAGAATCCACATCTCCTTTTGTCAATCCTGACAATACCGAGGCGGGTTTGAACACGTTCGTCAGATTTGTTCGCACCATTTTGGTCGAGACGTGGATATCGTCCCGACGAATTACCCGCCGAAACCTGCGATGAGAGTATTGACGCGATTGACGAGTTACGCGCAAATAGGGATGCTTGGGGTGACTTTTCGAGGGTCGCAATTTATTCGAGAGTTGTTTCCAGCCGGGACGCAAATCCCGGACTGGGTGTCGTCCATGGAAACGAATAAGATGCACTCGATGTTAACGATTCACTTCCTCGGGAACTTGTTGAAACAGAATTTTGGGAACACCGGGGCGTTCGAGATTTATTACGACGGGGACGTCGTGTTTAGCAAGTTGAAGGAGAAGAGAATGCCGAGGTTGGAGGAGATCGTGGACGGGATACGCGAGAGACGAGAGGAGAGAGGATTCAAGTACACGAAGCCGAAGGAGATGTTGCCGGAAAGGATGAGGATGCAAGGAGGAGGACAATAACAACAACAACAATAAAGGTAAACGCGATCTTATTGGAACACACTCAAACACATGCACTCACAAAGTGATGGCGAAGAAGTAAAAAAGGAACGCACAGAACGTGCGTGCGCTTCTTTTGCCGGATAGAAGAGTTTTTGGGAAGAGTGTGCGAGAAGAAGAAAAGAGGAAGAAATACATCCACTTTATTTATCATTAGCAATGTATCAATACTTTCTATAAATTACACACGACATTCTCATAAACGCTAAACTACTACCTTTCCGTGCTTTCCTGCTAAATACACGTCTTCTATACGGTGTGGCTTGTGCGTCTTTCATCCATCGATGGCGTTTTGGACATTTTCTAATTCTTCGTCTATTTTCTGACTCGTCAACTCGTACAAAGCCACCGCCATTTGGACGTCTCTGCATAATCTCGGCTCGTCGATATTGCGTCCGGTTTCATCTGCAAAAACCTCCACGTCAACAACCGTGCCCTGTCGCTCTTTATTATCACCAGCGGACGTTTCGGATACGCTATCGTTTAACGAGATGTCGCCTTCGCCGTCGCCTTTGTCTCCGGCTGTCGCATCAGTATTCGCGGGATTTTCTTTCGATTCTTTTTGCTTCTTTCGGTGCTTTTTACTATCATCGCGCTTCATCGCCAGATGCTTATCGTACAACCCGTCGTAATATTCCAACAACTGTTCTGCGACTGCGGCCCAATCGCCGCCTTCTAACGAGTTTTGCAACGCTTTTTGCTTCTCGCCGCCGATTCTTTTTGTCATTTTCTCGCACGCCTCTCGCATGCCGTCCATCCACCCTTCCTGCGCTCGTAACTCGTCTGTCGCGTAATCGCTCACTAAAGTTTGCACCCTTAGCTCTAGTGGACAAATCAATCGTAAAATCAAAGGTGCTTTTCGCATCCTTTGAAACAGTTTAGGATCCACCGAACACTTGCCGACGTGCGGTCCTTCGTCTTCGATGTATACCCATCGTTTAGGATCTAACGCGTCCCAAGCGAACGCGACTTCGTTCCCGTAATGTTCCGAGGTTGGTTGCGCGGTTTTTCCGACCCAACCGAACGCAGATCCCGAGTGATTCGCCAAACCTTCTAAATCGATGATTTGTTCGTTTTGTAATTTTTCCAACGCTAAAAGACATCGAGTCTTCCCTACGCCGGTTCGTCCACCGATTATGCACACCCTCGGCGCGGGCACGTCCGTCAACACCTGCGGTGCGGACGGATCGTCGTTTGGATGTTTCACAGGACTGCTACCACTGTTTGCATTATTTTTTAGAATATTTTTGGGATGGTTTTTATTATTATCGGCGATATTCGAAACGTCGACTAAATCGTCCTCGTCCAATCCAAAATCGTCCCCTCCTCCTCCTCCTCCTCCTCCTAATTCTCCTCCATTTCCTAGTCCTTTCCCACCATTCAACAACCTCTCGTCCACTTTCAGAGGATCTCCGCACCGACTCAATATCCACGTCCGAAACGCTTTATACCCACCATTCACCACGCGCACAAACTCCACGTCCTCCTTCCCCAACCGCTCGCCGAACAACCATCCGAGCGAGAGCGATCGCATCCCGCCTCTCCAGCAGTGCACGTACACCCGTATCTTTTTCCTCTCCTTATTCATTTTCCTCTTTAAATCCACTTCCGTTTGCGCGTTTACAATCAACTGCTCCCACTTCTCTCTCACAAACTCCATGCCTCTCGCCATCGCCGCTTTCCTCCCTCTTTTGGCGAACAAAGTCCCAACGACTTTCCTCTCTTCGTCTTCAAACAACGCCACGTTCACCGCGTTCGGGATGTGCCCTTTCCGAAACTCGCTCGGCGACCTCGCGTCGATGAGTACCGTTTCCATCGGGAACTCTCGGCAGTCTCGAGCGGCAGAGACGACGTCGGTTCTCGAGTGTTGGTTCTCTCGCGAGATGGAGGCTATGAAGGTTTCCATCACAATCGTCTTCTCATCATCGTTAGGATTCTCCTTTTTGCCGTTCGTGATTAAGTTCACGAATAACTCGCCCGCTTTGGACGACGATGATTTTTTGGACGACGATAATATAACCGACGGAGCAGTGGTGGTCGTAGTAGGAGCGGTGCGCTCCTCCTCCTCCTCCTCCTCCTCTTTCTCGCTCGTCATGTCTTCTCAGATAAAATAAAGAACGAGAGAAAAGAATCAAAGAGAGAGACGAGAGAGAGAAAAGAGTGATGAACAAAAAAAGCAAAATTGTGTCCCTCGAAAAAAATTTTCACCAAGCTTCTTTTCATGAAAATCAATCAATTAAATTCAAGTTAACAACAACACACAACACACGAAAGAAACGCAATTTACTGAAAATTACACACACACACACACACAGACAATTACACGGTAAAAGAAGAAGAACTTTATAATAATAATAAACTCTTTGAAAGCGAGGGCCTCCGAGAAAGAAAGAGCGCGAATAACGAAGAAGAAGAAGAAGAAGAAGAGTAATGCCGCCACGCAAGAAAGCCGCCGCCAAGAAGAAAACGCCGCCACCTCGAGCGGCGGAGGAGGAGGAAGAAAAAGAAGACGATTCGAAAATGATGGACGAGGAGGAGAATGCGATCGATGATGCGATTGCGAACGATGCCGATCCGCCGCCGCGTCAAACGCAACTGGAGTTGTGGGAGAAAGAGAACGAGCAAAACTTGTTGCACTTATCATCGATGAGTAGTGGTGAAGAAGATGCATTGATGAGTGCGAGTTTAGGGCATCCGCAACACGGTTCGGAGCTGTTTTTAGGCGGCGTTCCGAAATCCGCGAGCGACCAAGACGTTGAGAATTTGTTTAAAGGATCTACTAAAGGACGAGGGAAAGGTAACACGAAGTGTCCGTCGCAACCGGTGGATATTCAAGTGGTGAAAGATCCGAACGATTCCATGAGGAACCGAGGGTACGCGTTCGCGAGATTCGGGAACAGAGGCGAGTGCGAAGACGCGTTTCAGTTTCTCAGCGAGAACGACGGCGCGAACGCGGTTATGATCGACGCGGAGAATAACAACGAGGAAAAGAAAATCAGGGCGACGATTAAACCGACGAAGCACGTTTTATTCATGAGCGGGTTTCCGCCGTTTGCGACGAGAGAAGACATCGTGACGGAGCTTTTGAGAGTTGGCGGCGCGGGCATCGAGACGGTGTCGTTACCGAGAGCGAGCGGAACGGGAACGAACGGGATTGCCTGTCGACACAAAGGGTACGGATTTATCGATTATTTTAATCAAGAATGCGCTGAAAGAGCCATGAAGAACATAAACGACAAGACGACGAGAATGTTCAACGGCAACGCGAATAAACCAGTCGTCGCGAAATGGGCGGACGTGAGTAAAGAAAAGCCGCCGAGCAAAGAAGATTTATTGGCGCAGAGTAAATCGGTGTACGTCGGGCAAATTCCAACCGAAGGCGTGGCATTGGACGAGAAAGATTTGGAAGGGAAGTTGAGAGAAGTGTTTGGTCAGTTTGGCGAAGTCGAATCGGTCAAGTTGCCGAGGGGCGACGCGACGAAAGGGTACGCGTTTGTCCACTTTACGGAAAGAAGCTCGGCTGAGAAAGCGGTTGAAGCGGCAGCAGCGAGCGCATCTGGTGCACGTGGCGATGAATCGGCGATGGATGGTGTCGTAGCGGCAGGGGCGGTGCAGTTGCAAGGATGTAATTTGACCGTGGAAATCGCGCGTCCAGAGAGAGAGAGAAACAACGAGCATCGAGACAAAGGCGGACCGAGAGGAGGCAGAGGAGGTCGACGACCTATGCACAGAGGAGGACGTGGTGAACCACCGGGATCGCGCAGAGGCGGTGATTATAATAACTACATGAGCCCGCACGGGGGCGGTATTGCGCCTCGACAGTTTGGCGGCGGGAATTCGATGACCCCGGTATATTTACCGAACGGACAAACAGCGTACGTTATGGGTCAAGGCAATATGCCGGCACCAAACGCCGGTTGGGGGAGACAATCCGTTACCGATCGATTGGATAGAGGCGATCGTGGTCGAGGAGGTGGAGGAGGAAGAAGAGGACGCGATCGAGGTCCTCGCGATTACGACGATCACTATCAAAACAGAGGCGGTGGCGGGAGAAGACGAGACGACTCTCGAGACGCGCCAATGCACCGCGCCCGACCATATTGATGAACTTTAGAGATGGAAAAGTAATAAAAGGTTCTAACGGTATATTTTAATATAAAAATCACGAATTGTTTTGTAGAAATATCACCATCATCACCATCATTCATATTATAAACGAGAACGATCGACCGGGATGTTTTTTCACGTCGTCGATTTTGATTTCGACAAAATCTCGTCGCTAAAACATCTCTGTTTCAATTTCTCTCTCACATCTGCGTACAAAATGTCGTTCGCATTCGCGTGATACGGATTATGGAAGTACAGCCTGCATAACTGCACCGCTGAGCTCGATGGTATTTCCTTCCCCGATCGATGCGCAATCGCCCACACCGCGTGATGATACGCCCCATTGTGCACTAGAAAAGTGTCCTTCTCCGATAGTGTATCTCGAAAGTTACCACCGCTCCATGCGAATGCTTCGTGGACGACGCGCAAGTTCTTCACCATATTCGAATGCGTCCCGCTTTGCACCGTCTTGTCTAAAATTTCAGGAACACGTTTGAGATCTTGACTCCCGTTTGGAATAAATACGGTGAACGTGTCGTAATCGAGGAGGAAATCATACGGGTGCGAAGTGTTCAATTGCGTCATGAGCGGAACACACCCTCTGTGAATGGCATCGAAAAATCGTTGATCCCATCCGTTCCCGCCCGCGGCGAGGCAAAAGTACGAACGCAGGCGAATATTTTCGCTGCGTGCTAATTCGCCGACGCCTCCATACTTGCTAAATTCAGGCGACATCACGTTTTTGTTCAAGAAAAATCTCGGCTCATTTTTATACCAATCCAACATGAATGTCCGAATACCTTGCGAGTACAAGTACATGCACTCCTTGACGTTCGTAAAGATATTCTCTCCTGTACACTGCTTGAAATTTTTTGCCCTTCCGCGAAAGAATAACAGCATACCATCTTTCGTATTCGGGTCGAACCTCGTGTGCTTTGGGTCTTTGTCCCCGCCGTATCCAGGCGACACGGATAGAGACGATGGAATGACAATATCTCGATTGGGATAGAAACACTCATGATTTCCCTCTTTCGTTCGCCACATGCCATACTGCGAAACGACAATTGCTCCCGGAGGAAGTTCCGAATGCACGTCTGTTTGCAATGTACACAAGGATCTATCCATAGCGTTAATCCACACGGTTGGATGCACTGCTTCTTTTAGTGAATACTTTTTATCAACGTACTCAATGACTCGCTCCATCACAGTCGTAAATGATCCAACGTTTCCGACTAAATCTCCCGGGAAAAACGGGATGACCATCGTGCTTCGCAAAGATTCCGCGCCGTTCGGGTCAACGACGCCCGCATCCGCGATCATGGTCTCAAAGAAATAGTGCACTCCTCGGTAACTTCCGTTATTTTTATACTTGTGGCCTCGATAGAACCGTTTAATACCCCCGGGCAAATCTGCCGCGGCGAGCGATAATTCGTTCTTCGCGTACCGTTCTTCGCTGTTTTTCTTCGCCTGAAGTATCTCCTCTTCCGACAATGCGCATTCGTATCCAAATCTTCCTTTATTACACGCGCATTCAAACCATTCGCACTTTCCGTTCTTTTCGCATAACGGTGAACATATTCCTTCATTTTGCACGTACGAGTTCGCGAATTGGTCACCGTGGTCCTCCATGGTGATTATTTTTGAGCGCACACGGTCGAACACGACTTTATCAACGTTCCTATCCGCGTTTACGTTGCCGGATTTTTCACGCAACGCCTGTCTTGTTGGTTTGTCATATTCAAAGATGTACGATCTCCTATACTCCTCATCCTGGGGTTGTTTATAAAGCAAACCGATACTGCTAATACTACTATCGCTATCGATATTTCCATCGTCTACGTCTCCTACTTTACAAAAATGTTCCGTTCGCAAATTCATTTGAAACGGTCGCTTCCCCCCACCTCCCTCTCGCGTCATCACCTCGTACGTCTCCTTCCCAAACGCTTTTAGCGTATACTCGATGCACTCATCCACACATTTACACGAAGGAAATTCTTTAATCTCCGGCGCTGATCTCGGTCGCACGGTTATTTGTCTAGTTAACACATCGCCGCACGAGCCAAACGTAAACCGGTCGCACGACGGCGCCGGGTTTTCATCGCACTTCGCTCCGGTCCAATCCGTGTTGCAGATGCACTCGTGCCCGTCCTTGGAAGACGGGTATCCGTGCACGCACCGATCGTTGTCCGGGTTGAGCACTGGATATTCTTTTACTACTGCTACTTCTTCTTTCATCTCTCGAGGAGGAGGAGAAGGAAGAGGAGGAGAAGGAGAAGGAGAAGGAGAAGGAGGAGGAGGAGGAGGAAACGAAGACGGAGCAGCCGCAGCGCTCCTCTCGCGGCGAACGGCGTGCCACCTCTCCTTCCCTTTTTCCATTCCTCGATAACGAAGCAATTGCTCTTGATGACGACGACGATGACGTTCGAGACGTAGATGCGGATCCGTGCCATCTCCTTTTTTTCCCTCTTCGTCGCCGCCGCGGGGGCGCTCCGCCGTTGTTGTTTCCAGACGGTTTCCTTCTTCGCGTCGCACCGCTCTCTCTCTTCTTTCTCTCCTCATTCGGTCGTGTCGATTTTCCGCATCTCCATCTCCGCTCGCCTTCCCCGCGAGAAGGTCAAACGTGCCTCCTCGATCTTCTTCTTCTTCTTTTTGTTGTTGTTGTTGGAGCATCCTTCTCGTCGTCGTCGTCGTCGTCGTCGCCTTTACGAAGACTCCTCCCCCGTTCACGCCGATGGGTGTGTGTTTCCCGTCATCGTCTCCGCCAACGTCTCGCGCGAAAACAACCACCACCACTAAAACCGGGAGGAAGAAAAAGAAGAAGAGAAAGAAAAAGAGAGAAGAGAGAGGAAAGAAAGAGCACGCTCTCTGTTTTCTTCTTCTTTTACTTCTTCTTCTTCGCGCTTTTTCCTCTTCTTTTCCTCCTCTGGACGCCATTTTTGGGCGTCTTTTTCCTTTCTCGTCTAATTTTAAGCTCTCGAAACCGTTATTATAATTTAGGGTTTTTGATTTTTGGTAAAGGAAAAGCCTGTGTGAGTGTTTCTCTCGTCATTCTCGCACACATCATCATCGAACGGTTGTTCTTTGTTTTAAAATAAAAATATGTTTGCCTTATCATCGACTGTTGCGACTCGCGCGGTACGTTTATATTGTATCGCGCGATTCTTTCCTACGTTTTTGATTTTCTAATTCGCATCGGTAGTAGTCGTCGTCGTCTTCTCTCTCTGTTGCGCGTAAATCTTTTTTTTTCTGATTAAAATATTTGCCCGAGAAAGATACGCTTTTCGCGGTGTGTGAGAGGGGCCGATGTCCGGGAATGTGATGGTTCGAAATTTGTGTGTCCTTTCAACGCGCCGATGGCCGGTACATCGATCTCTCGTCGAGCGCTTTGTTCCATCATGCGTCACTTTTGTCGTTTCGACTCTACTTACTGACGATATCTCCTTCCACTCTTTTTTTCTTATGCGCACACCAAACACAGTTCGCGCAAAAAGTCTCCTCCTCCAGATCCGTCAACAAAACTCGATCCGCGTCCGTTATCGTCAAAGCGGAGAGAGAAATGTGGTACCCGGGGGCGACGGCGCCGGATTACTTGGACGGCTCCATGGCGGGTGACTACGGCTTCGACCCGTTAAGATTGGGTGCGAACAAAGAGTCTTTGCCGTACTTGCAAGAAGCGGAATTGATGAACGGCCGATGGGCGATGTACGCGACTATCGGCGTCTTGGCGACGGATTCGAACCCGAGCTTGCCGAAATTTTGGGAAGCGGGCGCGGCGGATTACGACATTGACTTTAAGACGTTGGTCGTCACGCAAGTTATCGTTATGGGCATTTTGGAAGCGTTGAGAATTCGCGGTTTCATGAAGACTGGCGAGAGTGGATTGGGGGCGAACTTTCCGTTTGACCCGGCGGGAATGGACTCTCCGGCGGCGAGAGTGAAGGAGGTCAAGAACGGCCGCTTGGCGATGGTTGCGTTTTTGGGCATGGTTTCGCAGTGGGCGGTAACTGGTATGGGACCGATCGAAGGTTTCAAGGCGCACTTGGCGGACCCGACGGCCGTGAACATCTACACGTCTGCCGTTGGTGGTGAGACTGTTGCGTTCATCGCGTTTTTGTCGTGCGCGCCGGTGTGGTTGATCGCGCAAAGGCAGTTAACCGATGGTTCGGAAGAGGAGTTCAAGCCGATTCCGTGGTAAGAAGCTAGATTTGTCGCGTGACTAAGATAGAATTTGCGAATATATAAACACTTCATATCTACGCCATGTATTTCTTTTACATTATTATTATTACATTCTATGAATTTTATTACTCTAAAGTGTTCCTTGACTCACATCCCAAGCGATACGATTTTTATTCGTCCTTTACTGTTTGCGGAAATGAGCGTGGACTCGTCCGACCAACAAACTGCGCTCACGAAGTGGTTCCCAGAGTTGTGATCTCTCGAGGAACTTTTCATATCATTCCCTGGAGTATCGAACGATACCGTGGCTACAGGCGCGGAGAAGTTCTTATTGTACACGAATAACTCGTTCGTCTCTGAGCCGCAAGCGACGGATTTTCCGTCGGACGACGCCGCCAATCCAACAAAGTTCTTCCTGTTCACGTGACCGGTCAAGGTGCGAATCAGCCGAGTGCTGCTGACGAGATCGGATTCTCCATCCGCGCCGTTGTTGGTTTCCATTTTGGGAAGAGGAACGCCATTATCATCACCTTGGAATTGTTGTTGGTTATGATAGATGTTGTAAGGATCAAAAGTCGCGTTGTGATCGTGTGTTTTCTTCACGTCCCATATGCACACGCTAGAATCCGTCGACGCCGAACACAACTCGCTACTGCTGATATATTTCACGTAGGAAACCGCTTTTTTATGCGAGCTGAGCGTATATAACGGCTCGTGCGGACGTCGTAAATCGTACACGCGTACTTTATGATCGGCACAGCCGATGGCGATATCGTGTGCGGTCGTCGGCGACCACGCGATGCAACACACGTTTGCGCGCATCTGTATTTCCATGACGCTTCGATTTCCGCCTCCCATACTTATACCACTCTCACTCCATATCTTCACCGCGCCGTCGTCGCTTCCAGAGGCGATTAAGTGCATGTTATCTACACATCTGCAATACTCAACCGTCCAACATCTCTTGTCGTGCTCTTCAAATTTTAAAATACTTTGAGAGGTTTCCGCGTCCCAAATGGTCACCACACCTTCGTAATCCGACGCGGCGATGTGCGAGACGTGTTTCCTAGAGAAAGACAAGCACGATATTTTCGATTTAACTTTGATTTGCGCCCTCGTAATCCGCGGACGTTCTTCGTTTTGATTCGCCGCCGTTCGGTCGCATATATCCGTGAAGGTATAAAACTCGATGCGTTTAGAAACGCCCGCGGTGGCAAACATAGTTTGGTCCATGGAGACGTCAATGGAAGAGACAATATCGCTTACCGGTGGAATCGGTGAAGTGTTGATGATATCGATATTGTTGATATTTTCGTTGTTGATGTTGTTGTTGTTATTGGTGTCGATAGTGTTGTTGTTGTTGTTATTGTTGATGATGTTGACGATGTTGTTGTTATTGTTATTACTGTTGTTGTTCATCACCGCTCCAAACTGGGTCATCAAAGAATTATTGTTAAACGACAAGGACGACATTGATAAGGACGGTTTGACTATTTCTGCGACGATGCGCACGCGTCCATACTTTTGTTTCGCGTCCGTCAGCGCTTGCGCGAAATCTTCTAACCGTTCTTCGTTCATTTTCTCGTCGATACTCGCCGGTTCGATGCGGTGATTTCCACCGCCATCTTCTTCGTCGTCGTCGTTGTCGTTGTCGTCGACTTCCTCTCTTCCTCTCATGCTACTGTTTACGCCATCAATTTCTTTGATACCTTTGGTATACAGCGAACTTAATCCAGCGTGATATTTCCTTTCGAACTCTTCATCCTCATCGCACGCATCTCCCTCGTACCCGGGCAGTTGCGGTACAAATCGAAGCATATCCGCCACGTCTTCACCGTCATCTTCTTCTTCTTCTTCTTCTTCTCCTCCTCCTGTTCTCCCTTCCGCCTCCGTGTAGCTCCTCTTTAACACCTTCAACTCTTCTCTCAACAACTTCTCCACCCTCTCTATGTCCGTGCGTAAAAACTTCATCTCCATCTCCCCTTCCGCCATCTTCATCCTCTTTCTCCTCGTCGCCTCGTCGAAGAAATCCCTCAAAATCTCTAATCTCTTCTCCTCGCCTTCGGCGACAGCTCTCGCGTGCTTCTCCACCAGCGCTTTCACGATCGGCGCCAACTGTTCTTCGTCCATGTGCTGCAACGCGGAGACGACTTTCTCCGCTCGCGCAATTTTCGAATGCTGCGGTTCCATCGGCGAGTGTTCCTCCGTGATTTGCATCGTCATCGCGTCCACCCGTGCCAACGCGTCGACAACTTTCGTCAGCGCCACGTTCGGCGTTAACGAAGTAATCGACGCGTTGCAAATCGGACACGGCGCTGGGTTGGAAAAGTCCACCAGTTTCCCAAAATCTTTCGTCGTCTGAATCATCGTCGTCGTTTTTGTCCCCTTTTTTTCTACTTCGTCTTCCTCCTTTTCCTCCTTTTCCTCCTCGTTCGTCTGAGTCGTCGTCGTCTTCTTCTTCTTCTTCTTCTCTCCAACGGCGGGGCCAACAGCATTAGTACCAACCGCACTTTGTTGTTGTTGTTGTTGATGATGATGATGATGATGAAGCTCCCAAAATTTCCCGCAGTGTTCCACCACGCAGTCGTGGCAAAACGTGTGCCCGCACGTGGCGTTAAACGGCGCTTTGTAAATCTCTCGGCATATCGGGCACGTTCGAGAGTCGTCCAGGTTTTTGCGCGCGGCCACGATCGGCATTGTCTGTGTGTGTGTGTACCAAAAGCTCGGGCAAAGTTGTTCGTTTTGAGGGAACCCCTCCTCGCTGTCGTCATCTGCATCATTTTTGGTCCATCGCAGACCATTTTTGGTCCATTTTGTGGTCCATTTTGTGGTCCATGAGAGGCGACGAAATACAACAGTTGTTTCCTCAAAACGAAGGGAAAAAAACGACAAAAAGTTCTTTTTACGCTCTCAAGTACTCTCTCTCTCTCATTATCATCATCATCATCGTCTCTCTCTGATATAGAAGAGCATATATCGTTTGCGACGAGGACAAAGCGTAAGCTCTCTCTCGCGGAGGAGGCTCTGGTCTACCTGCGAACAAAGAAACAAACATTAAACAGAGAGAGAGAGAGAGAGAGAGAGATGACGAGGAATACTTCTTCTGATGAAATGGAAACGAAATCGACCAAGGAATTGTTCGCGCTCGCCCGGGAGAAGATGACGACGAGGACGTCGAGTGGTATTAATGGTGGTGGTGATAATGACGGTTCTTTTTTTTTGCGAGAAGCGATCGAGATGTTCGCGGAAGTTTTCCGGAGATGCGATTCGGCCGGGTGTTTTGATGATGATGCCAACAACGGTGGTGAGAACGAGGAAAACTTTGGCGGTGACAACAGAAGAGGAGGAGAGAACGTCTCCACGAACGATTTGAAATACGCGTTGTGCTTGTATTTTCAGGGGAAGTGTTGGCAGTCGATGCGGACGGAGTTTGTGCCTCTCATCGCCGGCGAAGCAGAAGGGGAGGAAAAGAAGACGACGATGGTGATGAACCGAGAACTGCGCGTGGAGCACGTGTTACGAGGGAAGGAGTGTTTGGAGCGGTTCTTGAGGTTTGCGTCGGCGGCGCGGTTCCTCCCGCGCGGGTTCGAGAAGGACGCGAGAGCGGCGGCGGGTTTGATAGAAGAAGAAGAAGAAGATGATGATGATGATGATGATGACGACGGTGGTACTACTCGAGAGGCTATGATGACTCCGGAAGCGAAGAGAACGATGAAAGTGAAACGGTTTAAAAAGCAAAGCGAGTTGAGGAGGAAGTTGGAGGAGATGGAGAAGAGCGGAGTAGTAGACAGATGCGCTCGGGTGAAATCGAGGACTGCGGAAGAGGAGGAAGAGGAAGAAGGGGAAGAGGAAGCTGACGAGGAGAAGGTTCGAGAGTATTGGTTTGCGATGATTGAAAAAGCCGTGTTGGATTCGATTGAAATGATAGAGGGGAGCAAAGAGGAGGTGGCACTTTTGACCGGCGTGAGCGAAGACGAGGTGAGGAGAATCGTACAAGGAGGGGAGAAGAAGCAGCAAAGAGGAGGGGAGGAGGAGAGTTCGTCCTCGAGAATTCCAGGGGAGCTTTTAAAAGCCATCGCGTCTCTGGAGAGCAACAAGAACAACAACGGAACAAACGGTCGAAATGGAATGATGAACCGAAGCGCGCCGCCGGCTGGTACGTCTGCGCCGACGGTTGCGATCCCGTCGCTCCCGTCTTCCTTATTCGCGAATCGCAAGGAAAGCGTCGTTCGAGACGCGAGAAGCGCTTTGTTTCGGCCTTCGCACATTTTACCCACAATGTCTATCGAAGAAGCCGGAGAAATCGAGCTGAGAGAATTAATGGAGCGCACGGCACTGAGTAAGGAAAGAGAGAAGCGCAAGTCGGTGTTGGAAAGCGCCAAGACGGAGGACGAGTTGAGCGATGAAAAGTTGTACGAAAAGAGACGTTGGGATGATTGGAAAGACGATAATCCGTTTGGCGCGGGGAACTCACGTCGGACGCCAACTGGAAATAACAGATAAGAGCATGAGCGACAAAAACAGAAACACGACGACGATGACGAAAGAAGAGAAAGGCAAAGGAGTAGTAGTAGCAGCAGTAGCAGTAGTAGTAGCAGCAGTAGTAGTAGTACATGAGCTTTGGCCCGGCGAAAGTACGCGTACGTCACGCGCATCTTTTACCGCGCCGGCGTCACTTCTAAACAAAACTTTCCTAAAAAACCACCCCTAAAATCGTTCAAAACCTTCGCGCCAGCTCTCTCGAAATCCCCACCGCAAGTGCTCAGGGCAATCTTCTCGATGAACATGTCCCCGTTCATCTCCTCCACCTCTTTCGCGGACATCTTGTACCTCTTCATGAGAACGTTTCCGATGTTCCCTTTCTCTCTCCTCCAACTCGGCAACATTTTCATCTCCTCAAACAACCTCGCGGCGACCTCGCTCGCTTTGTACGACGCCTCGCCGATGTCGTTTGCCATCGCCAATCGATTCGCGGCGTCTTGATCACTCATTCTCGGCGGTAATACTCCGGGAGAATCCAACAAGTCAATCTCCTCGCTCACTCGCACCCATCTCAAATCTCTGGTCACCCCCGGTCGCGGCGCGGATGCGCACGCTTTCTTCCCAACCAATCGATTAATCAACGCCGATTTCCCTACATTTGGGTACCCAACCACCGCAGTTCTCACCGGTCTCGCCAATAAACCTTTCTGAATCCGCTTTTCGTTCACCTCCTTCGCTACGCTGAGCGCGATTTTCTTCACCTGCTCGACTCCGCGACCAGATTTCGCGTCGGTCACAATCACGTGTCTCTCTTTCATTTTGTGTTTAAAATAGGAAACCCACTTCGCTCTTTCTTGCTCGTCCACCATATCCGACCGATTCAAAACGGTTATGTGAAGTTTACCAGAAGAAGAGTTATTAGCGTTGTTATTACTGTTATCCCGACTGCTCCCGACCCAAGCGGCCACGTCCGGGTGGCTCGTCGCCAACGGTATCCTCAAATCCCGAACTTCCACCACGCAGTCTACGTTTTTCAACTGATCTCGGAGTAACCGTTCCGCTCGAGCGATGTGTCCCGGGTACCACTGCACCAGTCGAACGGATTTCGCGTTGAATCCTCCTCCTCTCTTGTCCTCGTCGTTCCCGAGGAACCTCTCGTCGTTCTCCCCCCACGGGTTGTGTGCACTTCTACTAAACGGCAATTCTTCGTTGTCTGGAACCGGAACTGGCATGCCTTTCCCGACCGCGGCGGTGGTGGTCTTCTGTCCTCTCGACGACGACGACGACATCATCGTCATCATCGCAAAGCGATGATTGTTGTTCGTCGCCGCCAAACGAACGAAATTGGTGCTTCTTTTCGACGATGTGAAACTGTTCGTAATGCTGCGAGATGCTCCTCCTTTCGCCGCAAAAGCCATGCCACGAATAATACTTTTACCGTAGCTACTGTTGATGATAGTTTTTGTGTTTTTCAGCCTCATCGTCGTCGTCGTTTGAATCGTCATCATCATGAGGAAAAAAGTGGCGCATTTCGAGCAAAATTGGAATTCTTCATTACAATAAGGAGGTGTTGTGCGGCTTCTTTTTCTTCTTCTTTACCTTCTCTTCCTCCTTCTTTCGATGACGACGACGATCATCACCACGTTGTTCTCATCAAAATGGTCAAAATCGGCATCATCGTATTCCTCTTCTTTTCTTTTTAAGTCGATGAGGAGGATCGGGACGAAGGCGTTGGTACTGTTGTTGGTTGTTTTGGTGATGAAGATTACGTCGGCGACATCATCATCGAGGGAGGCGATGAGAAGAGTTGGTTTCGAAGAAGATGAATTTAAGAGGACGACGTGGGAGAGAGCATCGTTCCTTTCCTCGTCGTCGTCTTCTTTGTCTCGAAGGTCACTCAAAGACGTCCACCTCGGATTCTCGCATTCGGGCGAAACCAAACCGGTGGCGCAAACGAAACTGTCTACCGGGTTGACCATCGAACACATACAGAAAATCGCAAAGGATAATACAATCATCGTCACGTGGGCGAACCATCACTACTTGGATTTCGCGAGGAACTGGATCAACCACGTGCAAAATCGGTTGGGTTTGAGTAACTTTATCATAGGCGCGATGGATGAAAAGATGTACGAAAGTTTGAAGGAAGAGTTTAGCGGTGGCGTGCACACGTGGTTGATGGGATCGCAAGGGATCTCGAAGGAAGCGGTGAAGAACGATTTTGGGTGGGGGACGAAGAATTTCCACCAGATGGGACGAGATAAGATTCGATTGATTAGAGATTTTACCAGGAGCGGGGTGAACGTTTTGGTTTCAGATATCGACGTGGTGTGGTTGAGGAATCCGTTGCCGTTTTTTAAGCGATACCCAGTGGCGGATGTTTTAGTGTCTTCGGATCAATTGAGGTCGGAGACGATGATTGAAAGTTTGAAACAGAAGAAGTTTATGGTAGATGGGGAAGGGTTGGAGTTTCACATTTGCCACGCGGCGAGTAATATTGGGATCATGTGGTTTTTAGCGAGTCGCGGGAATCAGGAGTTAACGACAGAGTGGGTGGATAGGATCGAAAAGGACGATAACCTGTGGGACCAAAGCGCGTTTAACGATTTGAAGAGTTTGAATGGAGGGTGCCAGACGCAAGTGGATGGGAGTGGAGTGCAAGAAGCGTACGGGGACGAGAACAAGAAGATGCGAGTGAAGATGGGGGCGCTGCCGGTAAGTTTATTTGCGAACGGACACACGTATTACGTGCAGAGGTTACACGAGAGAGAAAGGAAGAACGCATACGCTGTACACGCGACGTTCCAATACGGCGGGACGCCGGGGAAGAGAAATCGAATGCGAGAAGCAAACGCTTGGATGGGAGAGGAGGAGGAATACTTTCGAGGGAAGTTTATGAGTTTTACGCCGAGAGTAGAGAGAGATTTCTTTCGTAGTAGTACCGAGAGCGGGGGTAACAATAATAATAGTAGTGATAGTTTCGAGGCTAGTAGTGAAGGTAGAAATGACTACATCGACGGCGACAAGAGAACCGTTCGCGGTGGATTCGATATATTCGTCGAGCGCGGCTGGCCTGAGAGAGATAGCAAGTTTCCGAGCATTCCAACGAAAGAAGAGAAAGTGCTCACGGAAAATGAACGTTTGGTGAATTTTCAGCTGGCACAAATTAATGAAGCGCTTGCGATCGCAAAACATCTCGATCGCATTTTGATCATACCGCCGATCCTTTGCGGCATCGATCGAGTGTGGTTCCCGCACTACGGTCGATTCCCCGGTTCGCATTTACAGCTTCCGTTCATTTGTCCGCAAGATCACGTCATCAACGTCGAGCAGTGGCGAAATAAAGGTAAATTTCGGGAACGTTCTTTTTTGGCGCACCCGCAAATGCCGAAAGGTGCCGTGTCGCCGGATTCTTCTGCTCGAGTCGTCGTAAATGGGAAAAGAACGAACGAGGCGTTCAAGAAATCGCGAACGATTCCTATGGAAATCATACCGACAACGCGACACAACGCGGACGACAAAACAAAAATCTCCTTACGGAGGTGCTTCGAACATCACGACGCGTACGACAGCGGCAACGATGGTAAAGTAGAAGCGTGCGACCCGAGTCAAAACGTAGCCATTCAAAACGCAAATACGGTTGTCTCGTTGGAGAATCCAGCGGAGAATTTAGAGGCTTTGGAGCAAATGCTCGGAGGCGAAGCGAACTCTAAGAAATTTTTGCACTTTGATACGATGCTCGGAACGACGATCGAATCGGTTGCCAAACCTGAGAGCAGCGTGATACCGGATTACTGGTGTTGCCACATGAAGGGAAGCGTTCGGTATAATCCAGACGGGGTGAAAGGAGAACTGTTCACGACGAAATCTTAAAAACAAAGATAGGCGTTCATTTTATGTATTTGTAGTACAATTACTGTATACAATTCTAAAAGTTACACTCTCTGGTTGATGTTTTGTTTGTACAGTGGTTGTTTGTTTCGTACATGAGTTGATTTTGTAAAGTCTGACGACAGTCGTCATCAGCTTTATCTTGTATGTGTTCTCATTCTCTCACTCTCTTTTTTCTCGGTTGTTGTTGTTCATGTTCGTGTTCGTGTTCGCGTTCGTGTTGTTCTTGCTTTTGTTCTTGTTGTTGTATCTTCTTCGCTTCTTCCGCCTCTATTTTTCTCCTTTCCTTTATCTTCTTCCACTGCCTCGCGTAGCACTTTGCGCACAAGTATTTTCCAGCGCGCTCTTTATCATTGTACCATATCGAGCTCGTCGTTTTACTTTCGCACGTTCCGCAGTGCTTCCCACTCAACGCCACCAGCTCTTTGTAATAACAATTCACGCACAAATATCCGCCTTGGGTGGTTTTACTCTTCAACCAACTCCCGCTCGTTCGATCGGTGGAACACGCCACGCACACTTTTATGCTCAACATCGTCCGTTCGCGATAGTAACATCGATGGCACAAATACACTCCTTTTTTGACGTGCGAGCGATACCACCCCGCGGTGGTTTCCTTCGAAGCGCACGCGGCGCACGATTTCATTCCTAATTTGGCTATTTCTTTTCGCTTTTCGCTTTTCGCTTTGGCTCTTTCTTTGTTTAGGTCGTGCACGGCCTCCGATTTATCCGTTTTGTTGTTGTTGTTGTTGTTGTTGTTCTCATTGCCCTTCGTTTCTTCCTCCTCGTCTAAATCGTCTGAATCGTCGTCGGGTCTCAACGCCCTCACCTCTTCGTCGAAGCACTTCTTACAAATGTCCGCGTTGAGGATGACTTTTGATTTTCTCCAACTCGCATCTCTCGGCGCGATTTTGCCGCACTCTTCGTTGATGCATTTGAGAAGGAAAAGCATCTCAGAATCCTCCGCGAAAGCGGCAAAAATAGCTCGATGATGCGATGATGATAAAACGAATAATACTCACAATACTACCACTAAAACCGAAAGAGAGAGAGAGAGAGAGAGAGAGAGGGTAAGAATGAGAGTAAGAATAAAGTACGGAAAACGAATGGACGTATTTTGAGGAAAACGATTTGACGGTGTGGCACTTAATTGTTGTGACACGTCGCAATATAATTTAATTTGTACGCGGAAAAGAATGTTTGATGGACTTTTTTACTTATTCTTAATTATAAATAAAACTTAAAGAAGAAACACGTTGGCCCCCGTTGTTCGGAAAAAGGCAACAAAATACAACCGGGTTGAGCGCATCATCATATGTACTCTTTCTCTCTCTCTTTTCTTTTCTTTCTTTCTCTCTTTCTTACGGAAGAAGAAGAAGAGGAAGAAGAAGAACAAACGCGGTGGTCACGGCGAGGCGAAGACCGTCCCGGCGAAGAAGGGCGCCGGCGGCGCTGTCGAGCGAGATGCCGCTATCGCAGCCCGTAGAGATCGCGTACGGTTTCGCGACACCTGCGCACGTCACTTCGATGCTGTTTGGATTCGGGGTGCAATCGAGATCGTCGCAGTTCCACACGCATTTGCTGTCGGTTGCGCACGATGAGGAGGAGTCGTGCATGCTGCATATGTACCAATTTTTTTCCATGTCGGCTAAAAACGCGTTGGTAGGCAACGCGGCGTCGTACGCCGCGTCGGTTGGAACGCACGTCGGTCCACCATTCAAGGATAAAACTTCGCAGTTCGAAAGCTCCGCACAATTGGTTTCGCTTGTAGCTTTAGCGCACGTCATCAAGTCGACGTGCGTTGCGAGTTTGCCGCCGAACGTGACTGCCAACGATTTAAACATCACAGATAAACTCGTCGAGCAAGAAGTTCCGTCGTACATACACACGGAGCTCGCAGAACACGTACTATCGCTCGTTAACGTCGAGCACGTTTTTGCCTCGCCAAGAACTTCGCAATAATCGGTATTGTCAGCTTGCGTTTTCGTGTTCGCGTCGCAATACGAACTGTACAACGAAGTCTTCAAATCCGTTCGGGCGGCGCACGAGCTGAAACTCGGGTCCCAAGTGCAGGAATCAACACATGCTACTTCGCTCGTAATTTCACCGCATTGAAAATCTTGCGCGACGAGCTTTGCGAGGAACGAATCGCCAAACATGTTTGTCAGCGCGCTTTCCGTCATATCAGCCTCGCACGCGCTGTCCGCCGCGGTCCACACGCACCCCAAGCCGTCGGCGGCCAGGGCGGTGCATGCCGCCTCGCCTCCCAGACCACCAAGTCCGCACGTGAGCACGGGCAAGAGCACCATTGCTGCTGCACCCATCTCAATACCCATCTCAGTGGGGACCGCAACCGAATTCGTGCACGTTGGCGTCGTTTGCGTATCGTCCCAAAAGCACGCCGGCTCCGCCATGCACTCGCCTTCATTCGTCTTTCCCTCGCACAGATCAATGTATCGTCTGGCGACGCACATGTTCGAGTGCGTCGCGATCGCAGCTTTCGTTTCGCGCTGTTTAGAAATCGTCGTCGTCGTCGTCATCTTCTCCTTTCCTCCTCCTTCTTTTAACGACGATTGAACGCGTTCCACGAGCGCTTTCGCTTGCTTTTCCGCTTTCGCAAACTCCTCGGTCCCTTTCCATTTCTCCAAAAGACGCGACTCGTACGACGACGACGCCGCGACGGTGGTGGCCGAACTCGAGACGAAAATGAAGACGAAAGAAACGAAAAAGAGTAAAGGGAGACGGTGCAAAACTGCTCTCGTCGTTTTGTTGTTCTCGCGCGCGCGATCGCGCGTGTTTTCCGAAAGCGTAGACATGCTATATAAAAGGGAATATAAAGTGAGGTCGGTGAGAGAAAGATGCGAAAAGAAGATATTCTAATTAATTTAGAGATCGAGGTGTAGTCTTATTCGTATTCCGAGACGGAGGAGAAGGAGACGACAGGTAAATCAGGTTGTCGCGCGACATGGGAAGTGGTTCTGATGATTTTTGTATTCAGAACTGTTGTTGGGAGTCTGAGATGAGTCGCGTGCTGTAATAATACCCGTTTAAGGCCCCCGGGTTGTTAAATTAAAAAGAGTGACTGGTACTAGTATTAGTACATCATAGAAAACGAAATCTACTGGTAACACTAACTACAACGACCTCTATTATTATTATATTACATTATACAAAACTAAATCTATGCTGGTACTACTAAATGCGTGGTGCTCTTTCTGTGCGCACAAAACTACTCGTTTGCGTTTGTCGTCATCCATTTTCATCGTCTCGCTCGCGCGTCGAGGGCGCAGCACCTTTGGCGGCGAAAGAAAAAGTTTGAAAAGTCGGGACGCGATAAAAGTGCTCTCTTCCATCCGGTTTCTTCTCTGAAGCGACTGGATCCGTGGAGAGTTTCTTCAAATCCCAGGTAGAGTGCGACCTATCGCCGCGCTCCAACTCTTTCCTGTACCAATCGCCGCCGAACAAGGTTGGAAGGACGATCAAACCCATGCCGAACCATTGTAAAGGCACCAACTTTTCGTGATACACGATCGAGTTCAACACAATCGAGACGACTTGACGAACGGTCACTATAGATGCTAACGTCACCGCACCAAAAGCACGAATGGTGTACGTGATTGCAATTTGGGAGAGCGCGGAACATAAGGATAAAATCGCAATGTCCTGGCAAATTTTTCGGTGCCGGCGAAGAAAAGTGAGGCTGTACATCAATTGCCCGGAACAAACCAACCAAACGCCGCTAAATATGGTACCAAAAACGCACATCCAAAACATCTGATCGAACAAGGACGTTTTCTGCACTCGAAACAGCCTTTGCTGAAACGAGCTCGTGAATCCGTCCGCGGCGAGGTAGACGAGCAATATGCCCACGCCGATGGTTATCGAGTCATAATTATCATCATACACCGCCTTGAACGCTTGCGGTAGCAACTGCGATGACGACGATGCCGTCGAGGAAGACGACTGAGACGAACGCGTAACAACCGATGAATTAAACACAAACACAAAGCAACCCGTGGTCACAATAATCGCCGACAAATACTGGCTCGACTGAAATCGTTTCCCGTGTAAAATGTACCCCCACAGCATGGTCGGTAAAATCTTCGCCGCTTTCGCCAAAGTACTAAGCGCAAAACTCAAATACTTCAGAACCTCGTACTGACACAAAGTGCTCACTAAATTCGAACTCGCCACGTACATGTAATTCTCCATACTCGAGTGCGGCCACCACCACTCCCGACTGAACAAACTCACCCTCTCCGGTTTCGTATACGCCAACGCGACCAAGCCGAGGAGGAGCGAACACGCTCGATTACTAAACACCAAAAAGATAGAGCTCGTAAAAATGTCTCCTCCTTCGCTCGCGTCGTCGCCGCCGTACGGCATGGTCATTATTCGTTGCTGCAGAATACCGTACACCCCCAAGGTACATATGGTCGCCAACGCGCACGCCAACAAGTGCAACACCCCGAATCTCCGCCAATCCGTCTCATTAAATCGCAGATCTTTGGCGCCCACGAACACCCGAGGCGATATCGGCGGTAACAACCCCAACCCCTCTTTCTCGTCGTCGTCGGAAAAAGAACCACTTCCACTCTCTTTATTATTATTATTCGCTTTCTCTTCGTCCGCGTGATAATATCGCAGCGGTTTCAGCGATGCGTTTTGCAGAATCGTCTCCCGCGCTTCTTTTTCTTCCCTAGACGATACATGAGAGTTGCGCATTTTCAGAGAGACGAGAGAGACGATTGAGACTCTCTCTTTTTTATTCGATTAGGAGGAGCGAGAGGACGTGCTTTTTCTTCTCCGCTCCGTGAGTATTGATGTTCGTCGCGTTTGCGCGGAGGACCTTCATCGTAATAAATAAATAAAAGAGCGCGTTTCGAATTTTTCTTTGCCGCGTCTGCTTTGGTTTTTTTTTTTTGGTCTGCATGCTTTGGATTTTTTCTCTATTACTGCTTTGATGTACAATTTTATACGCGTTGCGTTAAACGCGATGTCTCTCTCTCTCTGTTGCTGTATCTGTCCTCACCTCCTCTCTCTCTCTCTCTCTTTCCTTTCCCTCTTTGCTTGTTTTACGACGCGTTCTACTTTTCGCCTCAAAAACTAAACCGACGCGCAGAGGCGAGGGTAACTTTGCGGAGTTGACGTGGATTGTTTTCTCGACGACGGTCTTCTTATTACGAGTACTCTCGTCGTCGTCCTTTTCCTCTTCGTCGTCGTTGGCTACAATCGTCACCGAAAACGCGTCCGAGGCAAGTTTTGAGAGATTTTCTTCGTATTGCGACGCTAAAACGCCGCCCATCCAAACCGTCGCGCCGTCGCTAGAGACGCCGGTGATGCCTTTGGCGGTGTCCATCATGTCGTCTTTTTCTTTTTTATCTCCTTCTTTATTGTCCTTCTTCTTCACGTTGTCCTCCTCTTTTTCCTTCTCTCTTTTCCCGAACGTATTTTCGTGTTCGCTTTCAATCGCGTCCAAGACGTCCGCTAAAGTTGCCTCTTCTAAATCAAACACGTGCTGAACGAACAAACCTCGACCGCACTGCGAACATCCCTCGTCTTTGTACAATTTCATCAAGTTTTGGTACACTTTGTCCGATCCAGCGTACATGACGTAATTGTCCATGGATTTCAAACACCCGGTGGCGATTTTAAACGCCTCGAACGCGCAGTACGCGGAAACGATGGCGTTCGTGCTCGGAATCGCGGGAACGATATTTTTCACCACGCCCAACGTGTGATTGTACGTCACGCCGGGAATCCCAAACGATTCCGCGCGTTTCAACGCGCGCTTGTACACCCACGTCACGTGATCTGGATTATCGCCATCGAACGTTACTCCTCCTCCGCTGCCGCCTTTTACTCCTCCTTCTTTTTCGTCCGTATACTCCTCCGGAAACTGCACAATCTTCGCGTGTTCTATGCAGTGTGCCGCGCTCCTCGGCGTCTCCGCAATCGTACACAAAGGAAACGTCGTCTGCGGAGGAAACAACCAAGTCGTGCACTCAAAACACGGCGTCTTCCCGGGAATAATCACCCTCGCGTGCCCTTTAAACCCTTCCGTCCCTCCATCAATCAAAGGCGTCCACGTCCCTTCCCTCGCCTCGCCGGACTCTCTCTCAAACTCTAAAAACGAGCAGTACACTTTGTTTATGTACCTCCTCGCTTCGATCGAATCTAAACCCATCACGACCACGTGAAACTGCCTGTACCAATTATCCTCCATATCTTCTATTCTTTTATAATGCCCCGTAACTTTCGCGCCTCGTACTCTCCGATTCACCGCTCGCGCCGCTCTCGTCGCCTTTGGCTCACCCACGTCCTCCTCGGTGAACAAAAACTGTCGATTTAAGTTGCTCACGTCGATGGTGTCCATATCGATCACGTCGATGTGTTTAAACCCGGACAAGGTTAAATCTTTCAGCAGTTCGCACCCCAAACCTCCGGCGCCGACGACGAGGACTTTTATGTTCTCCCGGACCAAGGAGAGTAACGACGGGTCCGGGGAAAAACCATCTCCCTCTCCGTCAAAGTCATCAACATCGGTGAAGATTCCCGAGCCGGCTCGAGCGCAGAGCGGGTCGACGTCCGCCCATCGTTCGGTTGGATTTTTGCAGAAGAATCGATCGCCGTCGTTTTTGTCCTCGTTCACGTCGTCGAAGTTTCCTTCTGAATCGTCGTCGTCTTTTGCGCGATCCTCGTCCATCATCATCTCAAAAGCGTTCGTTTGTGGCGAATATTTGACTCGAAAAATTGCTCTAAACTACGCTCTAATTTTCTCTAATTACATCTGGCATCTATCTGATTATACACGCTGCTGTTACTATTCAAAAGCGACCAAAAAGCGCGCATCATCGTCTGTCGCCGCGTTTCGGTCTGAGTTCGTCGTCGTGGGATCCTCCGACTTTCTCTCTTTCGCGCGAGAGAGCGAGAGCGCTTTGCCGCTTCGCGCATCTTTGTAAAAACGTGGAGTAGAAGTACATCTCTTCTACTCGGGGTTGTTTCTTTGTTCGCTCTTTTTGAGTCGAGCGGTGACGAAGCGACTTCCTTTATCGCCGACGCCGAGTCTGATCAAATCGTCCACGTAGGTGACGTCAATCCAACCGCGAGCGTTGAAACGTTCCAGAGGAACGCGAACTCTTTCTTTGCCAAAGACTTCAATCTTCGCGTGCGTGAAACAGACCGAGAATCTCGGACGCGTCGCCGACGGAGCGAGAGAAGCCGCCGCCGAGGAGCTCGCGCTATTATTACTACCATCGTCTCCCGTAGTTCTGACGCAACTTCCGAATATTCGTACCGAAATCGGAACGCGATTGAATACGAGCAAATCTGCCCGGTTTTCAACGCGCTCGTTCTCGAGGTCGATGATTTGAAAGTTTTTCGAATTAGAAGAAGAAGAAGAAGAGGACTTCGTCTTCTTTTTCCTCGCAGACGACGACGACCCGGTCACTTTCGTCACGAAACTTCCAATCTTTCCTTCTTTCTGCTTCCGTTCCTTCTCGCTCGCGTCCGTCGCGCCTCCCGTGAACAACAACGAAAACGTGCCACCCACTAAACCCAAATCTTTCTCAACATATTCTTGCTCTCGCTCGAGCGCGTCCATCAGCGCGAATATTTTATCTTCAAGTTGTTCACTGCTTTCGTCGTCCGAATTCTGTTTCGAAGCGTTGTTGATTGTGCGGATCAACTGAATCGATGATACGTTGTTGTTGTTGTTGACATCGTCATTATCAGCGTTATCGACTTTTTCCATTTCCGCTGCGAGGCGACGAAGATATAGAGAACGACGACGACGACGGCCGGCGGCGACGGGGAACGTAGACGCGCCCCTCTGCGACGACGACGACGACGATGCGGCGAGAAGACATCGGACGCATTGAGTTTGCATTTGATTCTTTGATGAGGGACCAGATAAAGATTTTTTGTAAGTTCTGAAGATATTTTATGCTTCTTGTCTCTCTCTAAAAAATGTTCTTCTGACTCTCTCTCTCTCTCTCTCTCTCTATCTATCTATCTACCTGTCTATCTATCACAACTCCTGACTCGTCGTCGTCTTCGTCGTTTACGATGCCTTCCGTTTCGATGCGAAACGCACAGGATCGCGCCTCGGCGAAGGGCGAGCGGAACGCGTCCGCTCGGCGGCGGCGGCGAAGACGAAGAAAACTGTTTCCTCCTCCTCCTCCTCCTCCTCCTCCTCCTCCTCCTCCTCCTCCTCCTCCTCCTCCTCCTCCGTCCGTGCCGTTGTCGTCACGGGTGAGAAAGACGCTCGAGTTTGGACAGTTTGCCCAGGCTAAGCCTAAACCAGGCTTGACGAAACGGTTGGAGGTAAAGAAGCGTTTCGGGAAGGCGCGTTTGCCGTAGCAATCGGTGTCTTCGTTTTCTTCGGTATTTTTTTCTTCTCCTTGCGCACGTTCTCGCTGGTGTTTGGATTGAAAGCCGCGGTGATCGTTCGCGTTTCGCGCGTCGTCGTTGGAAGCGCGCAAGACGTCCGCGATGTTTTCCTTCTTTTTCGTCGCGACGTTGATATTGTTTCTAAAAGCAATGCTGTTATCATCGTCGTCGTCGAAAGAATCCACCACGTGATTGGTCACCACGACGGCCAAATCGTGTTTCCACGCAAACTCTTTCAACAAGTGCGTAATCCTGTATAAAAACTGCGCTCGAAGAATTACCCGTTGCGCGTTTCGCTGCTTTTCGCTTTTGCCTCTGTCGTCTTCCTCTAAATCCTCCCTAAACGGTGCGGTGAGCGAGTCAATGACGATCAATTTAACCGGTTTCCGACGAATCTCTCTTTCTTCTTCATCTTCTTCATCTTCACCGCCATTCTTCTCCTTCCTCTTCTTCTTTTTGCTCCTCCTGTTACTATTACTACCATCACCACCACTACTGCGACTCTCTGTGCTACATAAAACTGTAGAAACGGACCGCAAAACCTCCCAACAATTCTCCGCATTTCCCATCGCTTGGAACACGTAAATTGAATCCAACATTCTCTTCTCGTCATCCTCGTCTTCTCGTTCTTCTTCTTTTCTTCTCCTCCTTTGCGCGTCCTCCTCCTCCCGAACACCGGGGTTGTTATTCTTGTCGTTACTTTTCTCCTTCTCCCACTGCCTTCTCCGCTGTATCTTACGCCGCTCCCTCCATATCTCTCGCAACCGTTCCACCGGGAACTGTCCTTCCGTCGTCACGTACACCGCGCTGAAACCGCCATCATCGTCATCATCATCATCATCATCATCATCATCGTCTCCAAAACGACGACGACCTGACACCGTCTCTAGCAACAGCTGCAAGCACAACTGCGTCTTCCCGCTCCCGTTCTCTCCGATGAACTCCGTCATCGATTTCGTCTTCACGCCGCCTCTCAGTATTTGGTCGAGATTTGAACACCCAGTCGAGAGCGTTTCGTTTTGCATCAGAGACGCTGGAAGTGGCTTCGGTGGAACCAGAAGAAGCGAGGACGACGTCATCGTTTCTTCAGCACCAGTAAAAGTCGTCCTCTTCTTCTCGTCCTTTGTCTTCGCGTGTGCTTCTCGATGTTGCCATTCTTGGTAAACTCAGATATGTTATACAAAGGGAATCTCCTCCCCGCAACATCGTCTCTCTCTCTCTCTCTCTCTCTGTTGTTGTTCTTGTTGTTGTTGTTCTCAGGCGCGTAAAAAGAGAAAAAGAAAGAAAGAAAGAAAGAGCGTGTGTATATATATACAGAGAGCGCTCTTTGGACTTCGTTTTGCGCGCTTAAATCCGCAACAATACAGGAACAGAGAGGATGTAAAGAGTAAAGAACAATTTGAAATTTATGACGCAGAACTTCACAAAGATGACTTCTTTTAAATCAACGCGCGGGAGGAAGAGGAAGAGGAACAAGCGTAGGAGCTTTCCCGCTGAAACAAGTGCTTTGGACGAGGCGCTTTAGAGCACCGAAGACGACCACATCTTTAGTCGCTGTGTATACGCTCGCACGTGGTGAAATGGAAGCACGAAGAAGACGAACGAAAGTGACCGTCGTGACCGGAATGCTCGATGCCGGGAAAACAACCTTCATACGAAACGCGTTGTTGTTCGAGAGCGGTCGAAAAAAGAGCGAAGGTTTGGACGAAAAAAGAAGCAAAAAAGAAAAGATTGCGATACTGGTGAACGAGTTCGGGAGTTTAGGCATCGACGGCGCGGTTTTAGAAGCAGCAGCGGCGAAGAAAGGAGGAGGAGATGATGATGAAGATTCCAGCATCTACGTGAAGGAAATCCCGGGCGGGTGCGTGTGCTGCGCGGCGAGCGGGTCGATGCCGTTCCTCGTCGCCATCAAACACGTGTTAGAAAAAGTGAAACCGGATAGATTAGTGATAGAGCCGAGCGGGTTGGCACACCCGAGCGGGTTGTACGATTTGTTTACGAAGAATGAACATTTGAAAGAACACGTCGATTTGAGAGGGATGGTGTGCGTCGTCGACGCGAGGGCGGTCGGGTGTTCTTCTTTGTCGGTTGGAAAAGAGGAGGAGGAGGAAGCGAAACGCGTGCGAGAGAGCGATATGTTTCGGGACCAAGTGTCAATGAGCGAAGTTTTGGTCGGATCGAAATTGGATTTGTGCTCGGGAGAAAAAGGAGGAAAAGGAGGAGACGAAGAAGAAGAAGAAGCGGAAAGCTTTGCGAGACGCAGGTTTCGAGAGTGGGCGGCGAGTTTGTATCCCGAGAAGCGCGTGGTTAAATTTGCGATGGATTTGTTCGACGAGAACGTCGAGACCTCGCCATTTGTGGCGATTGATCGAGAAGCGACGTCGTCGCACGATTCGCAAAATTCGTCGTTAAAATCGTCATCGTTAGAAAAAGAAGTTAAAGGCATCTCGCGGCCTTTTCAACTTCTCGCGTTGACGCCGCCGGTTGAACCCGGCGCGAAACCGCACCTCTCGACGCACGATACCGAGGATTACTCGAGTCGAGGATTTTTGTTCCACCCAGACGATATCTTTCGTCGCGATAAAGTGCTCGAGTTTTTTCAAAGCCGGTGCGCGCCTCAGACAAAAAACGAAGACGAACAGAATGAAGCTTTCCGTCTCGTTCGCGCGAAAGCTGTCGTTCGCGTCTCCGACAAAACCTGGGTCATCCCGTCCTTTGAAGAATGCGAATCCAAACCGAATGTCATTTTAGAAGAAGTAGCCTACCGAAAGGATAGCAGATTCGAAATCATAGCTTCGAAAACAAAAGCCGAATGGTCGAAAGAGGCTGAAAAAGAATTTTGGGCCGACGTGGAGACGCGGATCCTTCTCTGTCGTCGTTGTTGAAAGAGCTCTCGTCGCGCGTATTGTCACGCGTAAACTGCATGTATGCATACAATATTTTACAAACTGTCGTCTTCTATGTTTTCAGTATCATCTGCCCACTCTTCGTGCTCGATTTCTTCGTACGCTAAATCAGAAACCGCGGGGATTGCAAATTCTACAGAAGAGTTGCGTCGTCTTCTCCTCCGACCAACGGTGTGTTCTGGTCCGTGGTTTTGTAACTCGGGAAATGCAGTGGTACGTGTTGCCTCTTCGACATCGTAACCGAATTCTCTATCTTCTCCTACTTCCACTTCTACTTCTTCCTCTTCTCCTCGTCCTATTTCGTCGCCGGACAGATGTTGTTGGAGTACAGTCGGTCTCGCGCGAACGACGGGAGGTACCGGTGGCGGAAGCACACTAAATGCACTGCTATTATTTTTGCTATCAGCGACCGTAACCACGACGTTTCCGTTTGCATCGAGCGGTATCACTAAATCGTCTTCGTAGTCGTCGTAGTCGAAATTCTTCTTTCTCCGGGGCTCAATTTCCACGCATATAACTTTCGTCCCGTCCGGTTGCACGCACGATTTCCAATGCTCGTACATCTCATCTTGCGTCCTAAACTTAATCTCACTCTCCGACCTCACCGACGCTTCCAAGTCTTCGCGTTCCTCTATTTCCCGTCTCCTACTTTGCCATTTCCTCTTCCACAAACGAAAAGTCAACGCGAAACACAACACAATCATAGTTATGATTAACATCACCGACGTCTCAAAAGGCGTCGAAGTCTTCTCGCTATCGTCTACCGCACACTCCCATTCTCTCGTTCCATCTTCGCTAAAACCTCGCCACGTGTTTAGTTTGCACGGACAATATCTCTTCACGACGCCTTCGCTTTCGTCTTCGGCTGTCGTTTCGTCATCCGTCCACTCGACGACGAAACCGGTAGCGGTAGAAGCGGAAGAATCATCATCATCATCATCATCGGCGTTGCTGCTGTTGCTAGTATCTTCGCCGTTCTCGTCCTCGCCCTCGTCGGGGTTTATCTTTCCCTCTTCCTCCTCTTGCACTTCCTGCTGCTCCTGAAGGTGAGACGCCCACCACGCGTCGCACGCCTCCGCGAACGTCGTGTCGCTCTCTAAAAGCGCACGGCGAGGCAAAGATGATGGAAAACCCATTAACAGAGATTTCAGAGAGACGATGATGATGATGATGATGATGATGCTCCTAATCTCCTTTATCTCCTCGCGAGCGTGAACTGCGTATACACTCCCTCTTCTTTCCGTGCTCAAATCTTTCCCCAAAGGTCGTTATCTTCTTCAAAGATCTTTGCGCCGTGTCAAAGTCCTCTCGAGGAGAAACCGAGCGCGCGGTGTGATCGCAAACAGAAGAAAACGAGAGAAGAAGTCGTCCGTTTTCCTCCTCTTTTTCTTCCTCTTCTTTAACTTCTTCTTCGTATTCGTATCGTGCGCTTTCTTTTTCTCGCGTCTTTTGGTCGAATTTTGTCTCGAAGCGTCAAGGCAAACCCCTAAATGGAAAAGTGTGCTGCGCGAGTTTTTGTATGTGCGATTATTGTATAGTATTACGAGCTTTTGGACGTGTGATGATGACTATGATGACTATGATGTGTGTAAAGTTCCATCCTCGTATCGCCAACTAGGTGGGAGAGGACAGTTATTGTCGAGGAGGTATTGTACACATTCGGGGCGGTTGTTCTCGTGCGAGCAGCGTACGGCGATCTCGTTCCAAGGCGCTTTGGCGGTTTCGCGCAAGTACTTCAAACAGTCTAAGTAGCCGAACCTTGCTGCATTCGCACAAGCCACTTCGCTATATTTATTATACTTACGCTCGACAAGATATTCGAGTATGTGGAGATGGCCATTTGCAGCCGCAAAAGAGGCAGTCCGAGAATCCCAGGTCGCTTTGACTTCTTCCCGTAAGTATTTGAGGCACTCGAGGTGACCTTGTGAGGCAGCAAATGCACACGCATACGTATCGACAGGACACTCATTTGCCACGCAATACTTGACCATTTCCAGATTACCTTGTTCTGCGGCCACATTAATCGTATCTTCATCCCACTCACACTTTTTCTCCTCTCGTATCCACTTGAGCAACTCGAGTTTATTCGTTTCAGCAACTGAGTAGCAGAAATCTCTTTCGTCCAACTCCTCTTTGTCTTCTTCTTCTTCTTCTTCTTCTTCTTCTTCTTCTTCTTCTTCTTCTTCTTCTTCTTCTTCTTCTTCTTCTTCTTCTTCTTCTTCTTCAACGTTATTATACGTGCCCCACGGACAATGCTCCCACGCAACTCCCAAAGTCGATATCGACGACATCTCTTTAATCCAAAACATCCTTTCCAAATCTTCCGCGCGAGACGATCTCGTAATCATCTTTCTCGTTTCACTATTCACCCCGTACAAGAATTTCACATCAGTCGCATTCAACCTCGGAAGAATGTGTTGGAAACTCACATCGTCGTTATTCACGATTAAATCCCACAAAGAATCTCTCTCTCCCCTCGTCGTCTTTTCTGCCCTCGCGTTTTCACCCCTCCTCCTTCTGGAAGAGGAGGAGGATTTGACGAGCACCAGCGCATTTTCTCTCGTTTCGCGCGAAAAAAGAGTAAAGTCTTTCGCGCGTCGATTTCTGACAAAAGTTTTCATTCGGCTGCTCGTTTCCCTCAAAACTCGCTCATTACGTTTTTGAAACGCAACACAACATGCGACGACGAGGCGCGAGAGAAGGAAACGACGACGACGACGACGACGACGACGACGAAAACGAGCAGCTCTTCTTTTCCGTGTTTGACCGAGAGAAAGTCATAGAGTTTCTTCTCCGAGGCCCGCACGGGAAGAAAGGAAAGGATTTATCGTTTTCGTCCTCCGAGGAGGAGGAGGAGGAGGAGGAAGATGACGGCGGTTTTAGAAGAGGAGGAGAAGAAGACGAGGAGGAGTATTCCGAGAAGGAAAACGAGAAGACGTTTTTAAAGACGAAGAAGACAACGAGCAAAACAAACGAACGAAACGCTTCGATGACGACGATGAAAGCGAAAGAGCGGAAAAAAGCCGAGCGGTTTTACCAGGTGATGCTGAAAGAAGCGCAGAGACTCGTGTGCGAGGAGTTGAAAGAGGAAGACGAACGAAAGCGAGGAAGAAAATGCGTCGTGGAGCTGGATTTACGACGGTGCGAAGAGATTCCGCTTTGGGCAAGGAATCGAGCGCCAGAGACGTTTAGTTTACTCACGACGCGAATTGCGGTCGCGGAAACGTCCGGAGACGCGTCGACGACGAAGTTAATCGTGGAGTTACAAGACGGGCACAGAGTGGAAGCGGTGATTATTCGGCATTTGAAAGGGCGGCGAGCGGAAGGGAAGAAAGGTTTGGGGGCGACGTTGTGCATATCGAGCCAGGTTGGGTGTAAGATGGGGTGTACGTTTTGCGCGACGGGGACGATGGGAGAACTCGGGAATTTAACGACCGGGGAGATTGTGGAGCAAGTCGCGCACGCGAGAAGGATCGAGCCGAGGGTGAGGAATATCGTGTTTATGGGGATGGGTGAACCGCTGAACAATTACGACGCCGTCGTGGACGCCATTCGGTGCATGTCACAAAGCGAAAATCAGATGGGATTTAACATTCCGTGTCCGAAGATTTGCGTGAGTACTGTCGGGGTGATTCCAAACATTTATAGGTTTAGCGAAGATTGTCCGACGGTGTCGATGGCGCTGAGTTTACACGCGCCAACGCAGGAGATTCGGAAGAAAATTGTCCCCATGGCGACGGCGTATCCTTTGGACGAGCTGATGCGATGTTTGGACGATTATTTAGCGAAAAGTGAGAAGAATTCTATGCTGGTGGAATATTGCGTTTTGAAAGGTATAAATGATACTAAAGAGTGCGCGAGGTTGCTCGGGGAGTTGTTGGGTGGGAAGAAGGTTGTGTTGAATTTCATCCCGTATAATCCCACAGACGTCATCGCTGGACACGAAAGGCCGGAGATGGAGGACATACAGGCGATGAACACGATATTAAGGGAAGAGTACGGGATGACGACGACGGTGAGACAAGAGATGGGTTCGGATATTGCCGGTGCGTGTGGACAGTTGGCAATTTCCGTAAACGGGAAGAAACTTTCGTCGAAGGAGAAGAAGAAGACGAACGAGGACGAGGACGAATGCGATGGGGGCGAAGGAAGCATCCCGGGCATTCGAGACATTGAAGAGATGCTGGGACAAGATTTAGTGAGCGCTACTACAAAGAGTAATAAGACTAAAACAACGACGACGACGACAAAGACGATAACAAGAAAAATTGAGACGATAAAATCATCAGAGACGAGCAGCTTCACGCACTATTTCTTCAACGATTGGACCAGAGCAGAAATCGCCATGCTCGGAGTGGCATCGGTGTGCTCGCTCGCTTTACTATCCGCACGATTGGTTAGCAGTAATAAAAAGTAAAATTAATGCTCATGCACTTTATCGGTAAAGCGACGGAATAACTCATCTCTTTAAATCTCTATCCTCTTCTAATTCCCAGTCTAAACCGTGTTTCTTACCTTCTTCTCCGTCGTCGTTGTCGTCGAAATCGTCCTCATCAAAGTCGCCATCCAGATCCTCGCTCTCGGAAGTGAACTCGCCGCCTTCATCTCGAAGAATTCGTTCTGCGCTCAGGCTATCGCTATCGGAAAATAAAACCAAGTCTCCTTCGTCTTCGGAACTCTCTTCACTGATTTCATCCGAACGGGGTTGTTTTTTTACGGCATCTGAACCTTCCTTTCCTCTAGATAAAGCCTGTGAAACGATATACACCTTTCCGAACGTTCGAGAGTGATGTAAGATCTGGTCGCACACCCACCGATGAAAACTTTCATCATCACCATCTCGCGCGCTTTGTTTACCCAAGGGAACTATTCTGGTCAATTCATCTTCACGGAACAGAAATTTTTCTGGTCGCTTTTGCTTTATTTTCTTCTCGCGCGCCGCTTTTTTTGCCTTGTTTTTTATCGTTCGTTCTAAAAGACTTGGACGCTTCAGTTTGATACAAATCGCATCTCCCACGCTTCTATTTTCTAGAGCACTTCTAACATACGCCATTTCAATGTTGCACCATGATATATCCCAACAAATCCGATAGGAGCTCGGAGTATTAACCGGCGACCGCGTTGAATTTGAACTCGTCATCGCGAGCAATAATCGGTAATTCGTAGCGAAAAGGGTGAAATTCGCATTCGCCGGTAAAACTTTGCTCTTCTCGTCACGCATTAAAATTTGAGTAATGTCCATATTCTTTCCAACATTAATTTGCCACGCAAAGTGCTCGTTCGCAAACGCTCTTCTCGAGATGTTCTTCGAACTCGATATGGCTCTCCATAATTTTTCACAACTCAATAGTTCTTTACTGAAAGGTCGCAATATTCCATCAGCTGAAGGAGCTCTCGCCGGTCTGACTCTTTTCGCGAATTGAGCGCCGTGAGATAAGCCAACGAGTTCTTTCGCCTCACGAACACTGCCCGATGCTCCAGCAGCCATGTGACTCATCATTCCAACAGCACCCGAAACTGGCTGCGCCACCGCTCCAACCAGACCTTTGCCAAAGCCTTTGACGAATCCTTTGGCGCCAGATTTCATCGCACCTTTGACTGGTTGCATAAAGACACCGGTGACGCCACTTAAAACGCCTCTGGCTAAAGTTTCAGTTCCATCCATCAGTCCAACGACCGCAGCGCCAGTTTTCACGGCTGATTTATTGGAGTCGTCGTCATCGCGACTGTCTTTCGAACCGATAGCAAACTTCTCGCGAAGTGCGGATGAGAGCATTGTAGGCTTCTTCCCTCCTGCTTGCGAAACACCAAAAAGATCTTCCAACGCGCGCCCGCCGGACAATTTTGACAGCCCCATCGATGCACGATTCAGTGCCAAAGCCACTGAATCTAACGCATCAAAGCCAGTCAACAATCGAATAATCTGTAATTTGACTTGTTTGACGTACGCCTTTGTCAAAGTATCCTGAAATGTTGATTTTTTCGCGCATTGGTTTTCGAGTCTCATAGGACGTAAGTCAAGCGTGGCTTCATCCAAGTTGACAACGGTGACGATACCGGGGAAAACTTTTCTAATACGTTTCGGGCGTTTTTGTTCCGACGCGCGAAATGATATGGCGATTCTTACTTTCGAGATTTTCATCATTTCTATGAATATCTGAGGATCCGCTTGATGGCTTTCTTTTCCTTTCGCAACTGGAGATACCGCGCTCTGTTTCGATCCATCAACGAAATGATCGGAAAATTCAAGCGCGCGCCATAACGAAGGTTCATACGCGGCAATATGCAATGGAGCATTCGAGAAATTTATCAATATTTCTTCGTATGCATTCGTTTTACCGTCCGCCTCGAGATACGATCGCATACCAAAATTCAACATTGGCGGTACTACAAGTTCTTTTGCATCGTGCATGACGCGAAGCAAAACTGGATACTGCGTCGTAGGACTCATATCATCAATTTGCAGCGAGTGTAATACAAATCTGATGGACGAGGCGGACGCACCAACAATTGATTGTTGGTGTTCTAAATCCATTCCTTTCAATGTCACGACAAAAATTTCTTCAACATTCGAATCAATCGTCGATAAAACAAATTCTGGTATAGAAAGAGTAACTCTTCTCGAGACAACGACATCGTTCTGAGCAGAAGGAACCGATTTCTCTCTTTTACTCGCCGCGCGATCGAGGGCGGCATCTTGTTGCATCTTCTTCTTCAACGCCATTTCTTTACTCGGCGGCGAACCGAGTATCTGCTCTTCTAAAACACAATTTCCTACTCTCAAAGAAAAATGCACTCGCGAAGAACCGTGCGTCAACTCAGTTTTCGCGACGTGGACGTGTAAAAAATCATCTAAATCCTCTAACGCTTCAGCTCTTTTATGTATGGGAAGTAACGTATCTCCAGTGTGCGTCGATTTAAGCACAAAAGGCATCACCCATTCTTCGTCACGTTCTCGCTTGGCGTACAGTACTCTCGGCAAATTTGTATCAGTCCATCTCAAAGGAACACCGCGCTTATTCTCGCGTTTAGAGTGCAAAATAATGACATCCTTTTTCTCATTAAACACATGTTCTTTATTTGGATCGACTTGGGTAAGATGAATGTTTTCACCGGTATCGTTGATGAGGCTAAATGCAGGTTCGAGAATGATAGCGAGACATTCTGTGAACATGCCTCGCGTGTGCTCCAACCCATCTCCAATGTTTGCAAGATAATGCTGTTCCTCTGAGCGGATACTGATTGGATAGCTCGTTTGACCATCTTTCGTTAAACACTCTACAACGACGATTCGTTCTGATATGAAATCTCGCTCCGCGATTGGTAACGGTTCAGATAAAGATTTCTTAGAGCATCCTATCTCTAAACGCTCATTCTTGGATATTAGTCTAGCTGCTGCCTGTTCTTGACGCTCGCTCGCACTTTCGGCACCGATGAATGTTATTCTGTCCTCAGGACGTCCCGTAGTCCCTCCTTTGAGCACGTACACTTCGCTCAAATCTGACCCGTTCGTTGGTAGCGTCTTCGAAAGATAAGCCGTCTGCGCCGATAGTCGGGCAGACGAGTCGTCGACATGGCTCTCATCGCTGATTCGCATTTCAGATGTATCATCTATTAGAGACATCGCTACATCAGACATCGAAGGATTACTCGAAGTTTCTCTATTCTTATTTTGCTTCCCACCATCAGATATCGCGGATGAGCGAAATACGATATCATCACCGGTTCGATTGATTAAAACTATGGGAGAACATAAAATAAGCACCCTCGTTGAAGCGACGTCAGTTTCGTCCCATTTTGAACATACAATTTTAACTGAAGATTTCATGGCAATCTTATTTCCAGAAGCTAACTTGCTGGAGTGGCTCACTTTCACCACCTCGAAGGCGTCCCGAGATTTAATACCGTTTTTAGCCGAAGATCCACCGCTTAAGGAGTCTGTAAACTCAGTTCCAAATGTGAAGGAACCACCGGAATTTAAAATCGGCGCATTATTATCATTCTTTGCCGCATCTTTACAACTTGCCGGCGAAACGGGAACTCCGTAATTAAAATAATCAAATTTCTTATCGAGCGGTGTCGCGCAATCTATGAGCTGACTCGGTTCCCATCCACCAGTAATTGACTCTACGCGAGCTACGCACTTTGCTCCTGGATCCACGTAGTGTGTCTTTGCAATTTCACCCGGACCAAGAATTTTCGAATACTTCTTTTTAAAGCAATACATTTCATTTTCGCGTAGTTGTTCGTATGAGTTGAGAGAAATTTCGGCTGACACCGGCAACGCGTTCTTCACACACCAAGGCGCAGATAATGTGACAATCCATTCGCTATTCAGCGCCGCCGCTCGTTGAAAATCGACACTTGTTTTATCTGAAGGTTTTCTGCTCGCTAATGTAGCATTTTCGAGCGGAAAGTGTTCACATCGAACGGATACGAACCAGCTCTTTCCTTTTAAACCATCAGCGTCTTCGCAAACGTGCACTGCAGATTCTTCCACTCCGTCTGCAAGCGCCAATCCCCCACGTTTATTCGCGCGTTTTATCATAGCGTCTTCTATCGCAGACGATTCACTATTCAACCGGTCATCGAAGTTTCTGTCGAAAAAGCCGGATTTTACCGGCTTAGCCCACGAAGAAAATAATTCGCTATTACTCTCCTTATCTGTACCTAGGACACGAAAATACACGTGCGAGGATGCATCGGGTCCAATAACAGCGCTTGGAAGCGATTTTTCGCATCCTGCCTCAATGATGGTCCGGTACGTGACGTGATGGTTCTCGACGTCTACGAAACTTTCTCTATTACTCGAAGACATGCGGTCAGTACTTTCTGAAGATGCGCCAAAGGGGACGACATATCTACGGGTTCGTGTCCATCTTCGCATCCTCACAAAGCTTAGAGCGCTTTTCGTCTCCTGCCCAGCGCGAAAAGGATATTTTAATTCTGGAAAGCTTCCCGCGTACGCAAAACCGTCCTCATCGCAATGAGGATGTGTTGTATCAACTTCCCATTCATCTTCCTCCCACGTCCAGTCAGTCGGCTTATTTGATTCTATAGCGGACAAAAAGTCTTCTTTCAAAGACATGGAATTAGAACCAGTGCGGGTGCACCACGCTTTGCGCTCCGTGAGTAAAAGATGCGTAGAACGCCATCCTCGGAAAGGAAGAAAGCGCTCGTTTTCGAAAGCTTCTTCAACGACACGTCGTACTCTCTCAGACTGCGTTTGATCGCTACTTCTGCTTTTCAGAGACTCGTATCCCAAACTTGTTCCATTCTCATTGTTTGCCTTCATTTCCAAAGATTCAGTTTTTTCCGGTGTCATCCTCGCCGGAACGACAAAAATTTCAATCGACCGATCCGTTTCGTTCCGGAATCGGGAAAGTTCCCGTATAGTTCGTTCAATCCTCTGCGTTATCGGATCAATTGTACGCGCTATAACAGCTTTAAGAACATTTTTTTCCTTCGATTTTACTGCATCATTGTAATCAAGGAACTCGCTCAAATCAATCGCATCTGACGATTCTGAAAGCGTCAGCTCTTCACATATGAGTCGCGTCCAAGGTCCCTTAGGATGCAAACTCAAATAATACGATGGCACAGAAGATGATGATTCCACAGAAATTTTCCTTGAGAGAGCATTTGTTGCCGAGCCACCTTTTGAATCGCCGATGTGAGTTTGCCTAGTCCTTGAAGATAGTAGTGATTTTTGCGCATTACTTTCCCCTCCGGAAGTTCTATCTGCACCGTATCCTTCGAAAGCAACTTGAATTTCAACATCATTCGGTAACTTTATGGTACTCGACCGAGATGGCTCGTCGTCCATATTAATTAAATCGGACAGAGTCACATCGCTCAAAAATGAAATTATCTTACCGTGGCCACCGTTCCCGCGAGCATCTATTATTGAAATGCGCACAGAGCAAGTATCGATCGCATCCGACGGAACTCTCGCGATGAACTTATCCGACCAGATGCATTCGACATGCGAATCTTCCTTCGACGACGATGAGGAGGAGGCTTTGATCAACGTAGAAGCGCGTGTTCTCATTAAATTCTCAGCAAAATTTATTCGAGCATACAATTCAGATTCTCCTACGTCCACCAAATTGCGATTATTTGCTCCAATTCTAATGCGACACTTTGCAAACGTTAGAACGAATGTTGACTGTAATTGAAGCGTTTTCATTCGCATTTGTGAAGATGACGAGATATTCGGATTTAAGTATCCATCAGTGGTTTCACTTCCGAACCTTGAATCCGGTGGCTCGAGACTTTTATCTAGAATAGGTAAAATTTTATTGCCGAAAGCCGTTAATGAGTCCAATGCGATACATTTCTGTGGCATTACTTCAACTACATCGTCTTTGGTGGAGCGTTGATATCGAACATATATCGATCTTCGAAGCTCATTCTTCAGTATTGGAGCGATTGAATCGGAGAAATTACGATCATCGTCTGAATTCGATATGTTCCGAAGAGTCTGCTGCCACCGTGATGACAATGGTGGCACTGCCTCAGAAGACGGACTTATTTCGGAAGACAAAAGCTTATGATCTTCTCGCTGATATTTAACAATCGCATCACCGAGTGAGCTCGAGAAATTTACACCGATCACATTCGCAATCGAAATCTTTAAGCTGTCCTCTAAACAAGTATTGTCCGTCATCATCGGCGCGCGATTGAAACGAGCACACACATCGAATGCTTCAATTATGGGTTCCCAAGATGCAACGCGAGGATTGAAGAACGCTACATCTATCTTTGTACTGGCAGAACCGTCTCTTGCCATACCATTCTCATCGCTGCCTTCAACTCCACGAACTACGACCGCAACGTCATTTATGTCAAGAGCAATAAAAGGGTCGCGCTTACCGGGTTCGCACAAGGTGAGCGCGATTCTCGGCAAAGAAACTTGGATCGAAGTTTCGTCGCTAGATTTGATGGGTATATCACCATCACCTGAATCGCTCACGATTACAGCTTCGTGCGAGACATTTTCGTAATTCTCTTCGATGAATTCCTCAGGAATTAAGGGAGTGCGAAGTTGTGCAGCAAATCTCGATCTCGCATACTCTTTCTTTTCCGAAAGGATAAAAGTCCCGCAGCTGTTCTCTAATCTCCAGAATTTAAGTTGATCATCACCACCGTCATACGCGCAATCTAATATCTCGCACTCTTTCAGTACTTCTCGTCTGACAACTTTGCACCCAATCGTCACAACGTCAGGCATGCTCTCAGTTTCTGTTGCGATGCATCCAAGACTTACGTATTCTTCACTGGGAGGTATTGGAGACCATATAAAACAATCGTTCGAGGGCGAACGCCACGCTAAATTGAATCCAATTGGTAAAGAGGTGACATCAGCTGTGTCACTGATTGAGTGTACTGGAGTTGCGGGTGCATCTGCATCTATGGAAAAGCACACGTCACCGAGAAAAGAAAATCCTTTCGGTGGCACTGGGCGCCAGAATTTCAAGTTCGTATGCCGAGAGGCGCTTATTGGCAGATAGGAATTGCACGCTGCGACCAAAGTAGACAATGCCACTTTCTTTTTGACGACGTCACTAAGTTGCGATATACAATTTCTCGCCACGCGAAGACTCATAGAATCAAAACTTGAACGCACATCAGAAGATACCAGCCGCACTTGATACCCGTGCGCATCCTTTATAAATTTTACATCGAAATCGGTTGGTTCCAAGAAGCTCGTTTTAGGCAAAAACTTTGTTTTAGTGGGATCATTGGTGCTGCGGCAGAGATTTACGGTGACGCCGTTCACAAAGGCGTTCAATTCTGATCTGGTGCTTGATCTCGCAATCTCACTTGGCATTGACTTATAGTCAACCGATGCGTACAGTTGTACGGACAATGCATTTCTACCGGCATTGGTAGTTTTCGCTGTTTTCCCGCGGTTCATCGTGGTATCAGAGTCGAGAACCAAGAGCTCAACGTTTCTTGCTAGGATGGAACACGTTGTAACACACTCTGTAGCACTTGTTGTTTTCAACTCCTTCTTTGTTGGTACTTTCATAAAGTCTCTGGGTTCGTTGTCCTTGCGTTTCGCAAAGGTTACATTATCATAGATTATATTCGAACGCGTACCAAGACTGATAAATCTTTCCACGTCGCCTTCAATAACAGCATTCCTAATCGTAAGCGTTCGAAAATTACCTACACAAATTAGTGATGACGAATGCTTCGTCACAGAATGCGGTAAAACTATTTTTCTCCTGTTCCCATCCAAGGTACACCACAGAGGTGTGTGTAATCCGTCACACAAAATTCGTTTTGCTGGAGAGAGGGTTATAATCTCAGCATCGTCAACTTCACCTTCTTTTCTTGGAGCCAGGGATATTAAATCCTTGTTCGAGAAACTGATATCGTTCTTCAAACGCCGCTCGAGTATTTGTCGTCTCAACTCGTCATCTCTAAGATTAAAAAAGTACAAAACCTCTCTCAGAAATTGAGGATCAACTTTTAGACGGCAAGACTGTAGATTTACTCCAAGATCAAATTTATCGGCTCTAGATAGTAAATCCAGCGTTAAAAGCGTCAACGACCTATCAGCGTGGTCGATTACTTCTGCGACAGCTGGTTCGGTTCCGTCCCGTACATCTCGGACACTCAGAACAGGCAAAGTCAAGTGAACACTGTACGCGTCTGCGTCATTTCGTAAAGTTTCGTAGGAAACCCAGAGGCGACTGAGTATTAGCCTCGCCAACGGCGATGCTCTCGCGTTGAGCCGTGGTGAATTGAACATGGACAAGCACACCTCCGGTAGATTCACCGTAATCACGCTACTGAGAGAAGGCGCAGTATGAATTTCGCCTTCTGCTGTACCGTTCTCTTTCGGAACTTCAATTTCCGCGTACTCAAAAAGTGGTTCCTGGATGAAACCCGTCTCGGAGAAATTTCCAGTCAAAACGGCAAGTAATATATTGTATTCGACGTCATCAAGTTCTACGGTGATCGCGCCATCCGCGCAGAGACGCATTTCTTTTGCGCACATTTTTTCCGTGGGATCCCAAGATGGAGATATCAAATCGAGACTGAAAACTTGAGCAGGATCATTGCTTTCGCCTTTTGCGCAAAATAACGCCGGGTAGGAGCCGCGCTCACCTTTCCCGTTCACCATAAACAACTCAAAGTCTTTTAACTGAATTGACATTGTATCCATCAACACAGCACCTCGAGTTAGATGACTATCGCCGTATTTCCATTGCAAACTGTTGCATACGGAAACATTTTTTGCATCAAGACTTAGTGCTTCCTGAGATGAAGTAGATTTTGGAACAACAATCTTGGCTTGGGATAGCGCTACATCGTACTTAAACGTAGAAGGTCGCGTTACCCCTCGCCGCACGATCTCTGCGCTTCTCTCATTTTCAGGAAGCTTATCGATTGGAATTGCATCGGCAAGTAATCCACCAACGCTACTTAATAGCTGCGAAAAGAAATGCATCAGAAAAGTAACTTTTGACTTCTTCAAGTTCAGAAGCAGATGTTGCTCGTGACCTGGAAAATTCCTGTGCGAACGATTGAAGGTGCGATATTCGAAGTATGACTTCTCTTGTCCAGCACGATCAAGCTCTAGATTTTCTTCTTTTTTAACCGAGACAAAGTATCTGTGCGGATGCGACTCGGGTAACGTTTCATTCATTACGCTCAAGCTACCAAGGGTACCAAACACTTTCATAGGATTCAACCCTGTTTGTGTTAATATTGCGATATCTGCGTCATGGATTCCAATCGAAGCTACTGCTGAATTATTGCCGTTTTTTGCGATATCTTCGGGTTCAACAAATGTTCTCAATGATAATTCTTTGAATCTAACTGCCAGACGAAATTTTATGGGAACATCCTCCTCTTCCTTTTCATCATCATCATCGATATCGCAATCGCTCGTATTGGTATTTTCTACTTCAGATTCTGACGGGGAAGTCTTATTAGAGGACATTACAAGCGATAGCTCATCGTAAAATCGAGAAACGGATGCTATCGTTGGTCGGCGAATGCCCAGAAAACAAATATCTGAAGTAACTTCGAGCTGGCCGTAGCAATTCGTAAAGGTCGGTGAATCTGTACTTGTCCAGCTATCGTATCGCATTTTAACACCCTTGCTTTCGCCATTTCCCGGTAAATTTGAGAGCTGAATGAAATATCCTCCCGAAAGCACGTCGTAAATTTCTAATTTGCCCGCTTCGATGACGTAACTTTCGTCCATATTTGTCGATGTTTTTATTGTTTTTGCACTCGTGGCTACAATTTCAACAATCGCATGCTCCGATCTTGCGCACTCAAATTCGGATAACCTTTCGACTCCACCAAACAATACGCCATCCACAACGGTATTGTTGTCTTTGCACCCCATTTTTTGTCCCCATAAAGCAACCGAGGCTCGCGAAACATCAACAGATACACGCGACGAAATTATTCTACTTATTTTGCTTCCTTCGCTTCTTTTCGAACTTGTCGCTATCTCTGTCGAAGTACCATCATCTGTGCGAGAGTTAATTGCAACACGTTCTGTATCATGCGTTCTATCCTTTTCATCATATTGTTGACTCTTTTTAAAAGAGTTCACTATGTTATATATCATCGCTAGCCGACATGGTGAGAGTGTGAACGCTAGATCTGGGATGTCTGCTTTCGCAATCATTCCCGGATTTTGTTCATCAGACGACGCTGTATTACTTTTCAATTCATCGAATACTTCGAATCCACTCCCGGCAATCTGTAAATCGAGACTGATTTTTAGGGGTTTGAGGATGAAATAAGCTTCGAAATCATTTCGCGAACGATTCTCTTTTGCGCCCTGCAGTAAAATTTCATGTCTCTCTTGGACGTCGAATGTACCAGAGGCGATGTAAGCCGCGAGATTCTCTGCCTTCACAGTGAACGCGTTATACTTTGGATCACCGCGAACCCCACTGTTTGCGCTACCTTGATCGCATTCTGGATCGTTGGAAACTATAAATTTACCTAAATCCAAGACAATTTTTTTATCACAACTAATCGTCGTATTCCCCTCAGCCGACGACGGTACAAGCGCAATTTTAGGAGCATCGATAGAAATTTCAAACTTCATTCGATTCAATACACTAGGCAAACCAGAAGCAGTACGCTTGGCGACATTACTTGTTGCATTCGCAATTTCTTCAGCAAAATCTCCGAGGACTTCTGAGGTAAGTTCGTCAGACGCTGGTTTTTCAAAGAATCCAGTGATTGAGTCGATGAAGCGCTTTTCAACGACTAAGAATGTCGGCGCGGCGATCACGACAGCTTTCGAATCGTAAAATTCCACATCGAATGGTGGATACTCTTCGTAAGACACGGAAAGTGCTCCATTTGAAGAAACTGTGGAGGATGTAATAGTGCCTTCGGCTTTCCTGTCAATGCCGGATTGTAATATTTTTGTTCCATTCGCATCAACCACCCAACCTAAAATATTAAGAAAACTCGTCGCATTTCCATTCTTGTAAACACCCCTAGAAGCTCTGAGATCTAGCGCGACTGAACTGACAATATCGCGATTGTCATTTTCCGTTATCGCGATGAACATTTTCGATACGTTAAGAGAAACTGATAGATCTTTTCCTTTCCAGGAACTTTCAGCAGATTTTTGTTGAGACTCGATCGTCTTCACGTCAAACACTTCTTCGAGTTTTGTGAAATCATCGTCGCTAAACAATGAGCCCACTTGTTCGTTTCTCTCCTCCTTTTCTTCATCGTCCTTGAGAGCGCTACTTCTACTGCTATCACCACTAGTACCACTACCACTACTAAAGTAACTACCAAACCACGCTGAAATCTTTCCCTTCTTTTTATGAGGAAGAACTTCTTTCGCGTAGTATCTCTTCGCGTCATGGACGGCTGCGAGAGCGATAGAATTTGAATTGGTATCATTCATGCGCTCTCTCTCGAGATGTGCGATGCATCGGAAGGTCATCGCTGCGTGATAAGATATTTTTGAGTCTATTTCGTATACTTCATCGAGAAGATCGTCATTGTCTGCGCCGCCCGGTTGATTATAAATCGTCAAAAACCGTCTTCTCTTTCGAGACAAGTCGACGATATCTTCCCATTTCAGGGCGCTAGCGAAAGCGCGCTGCCGCCGCTTTCGAATTTTCATTTGCGCGGCTAAAATAGCATACTTCCACCACAGTTGAGGATGTGTCCGTGGTGACTCCCCTTCAAAGAGATTCGGCCGCAAATGCTCCGTTTCACTTCTCAACTGATGGACTTTGAACGCTTCCAAAACTCGAGCTATATTGTGATATTGTGCACGTTTAAGACGTACGCCAGCAGTATCAACGTAACACTCCATGAGTTGACGAGGTGTTTCGCCATCGTCAAATCTCTCGTCTGCGCGTTTCGTATAGATGAACGAGCCAGAAATCGGTTGCAAAATTCGATTATATCTAAGAACGACCTTCTCCTTTTCGTCGTCTTCGTCGTCTCGGAAAGCCGGCATGAACACATTTAACCATTGCTGCATATCCTTTGCATTCGGATCTGGATTTTCCGTAAAAAACACATTTGGCACGCGCTGCTTCCTATTATTATCATTGCTCGCAGTCGTATTTTTAGTGTTCTTCTCTTCCTCTTCGCTATCAAAGTAAATCGAGAATCCATCCAACGTTAACTTTTTCCGAAATTCTGCAAACGACGCCGATTTTACGAAATCCGGATTCCCATTTTTATCAACCGTGTGCGCGCTGACGTTACGAATCGTCAACCCGGCGGCGAACGCGTGGTTTGGAGTTGTCACTTCATCTTCGTACCGAATGTGTATATTCTCTATCGAAATTTGTAAGTTTGCGAGTATAATTTTCGCATACTTTTGCACGAATCCTCCGTCGTCTCCTCCGCTGTGCTCCCCTTCCCTAAATTCGCCGCCGCCTCCCTCCTCCTTGCGGTGCGTTGGATCGAACAAACGTTTCACGAGCCATAATCTCTCAGCGTTATCTAGTCTCTCAACTTTCTCATCGTTCCTCTTCTTCCCATCTTCATCTTCTTCTCCTTCTTTCTCAACCGCCGCTTCGTCCTCCTTTTTATGCTCTTCTCTCCTCTCCTTCGCCCGCTTCGCGACTTCCTCCGCGCTCAACCGTCTCGCCGACGCGAACACCTCCGATATCGTCACCACCACGGGTTCCTTTCCTAACTTTGCCCACGGGATTTTTACCCTCAAACTCCCGACGACGCCTCTCGTGAGATCAATCGGTAAGTTCAACCGCTCGAACGCTTCCGGTTTCAGTTGTAACCGACGTAAAATCACGTCGCCGGAAAGTACGCTGATTTTCAAAGCCGTTTTATCTATGCCTCGTATGTACTCTCCGGCGGCGCGCTGCAGCAAATCCGCCACTTGCGTTTCGAACATCTTTGATGAATGCTTCTTCGAGTGGTGTTTAAGCAATAACAACAGTAGCAGTAGTATCGGTAGTATCAGAGACTTCTTCTTCGAGCAAAGCTGGGGGTTTTCTTTGCTTAATTAATTCTGAGAAAAAAGTGCAAAAAACAGCTGCATGTCCAATTTGAGATATTTTTTAGGGGTCTACTCTAAAACGTCTGTTAGGGGAAATCCTTATATTTTCTCTGCTTCTTCAGAAGTTGTCGCGGAGAGCAATAGTAGTGCACAGTTGCAGTAGTAGTAGTAGTAGTAGTAGTATCAGAGACTTCTGCGTAATTAAAGGGGTCTACTCCGTCTACTAGGGGAATTCTTTTCTTTCTCTGCTTCGGAAGAGATGTTTGTTGCGGAGAAGATGATGATGATGACGAGGACGAGAACAACAACAACTGTTTTCACAAACTCGAGGAGCAAAAGAAGCGAACGAATAATAATAAAGCGATTACGATTCAGACGACGAGCAAAAGTCGAAGAAGATAAAGAAGAAGTCTTTGACGAAATCCCTGTCCTTTCCGGCGAGCGTTTCTTACAGTTACACCGGGAGAAAAGCACTCCGGATGATGACGATGAAAATTGTTTACAACTCGCCATGTACTCGTCGCACGTTCGGGCCATCACGACAGATTCCGAGTCGTTTGTGATGAAAGTGGACGACCACGGGTTTCATCGCGGGCACGCGGTGTTCGACACGGTTTCTATCGACGCGGAGACGAGAACGTTTCAAGACTTGGATTACCATTTGGACCGATTGAAAACGAGCGCGGAGATGGCGTTTCTAACCTTCCCGAAAGGATTGGAGAGTTTGGATTCGCTGGCGCGAATAGTGAAAGAGACCGTGTCGGCGGCGTTTGAGGAGAAAGAGAGAAGACAACGCGGGAGGAGTCCTTCCTCCTCTGATTGTTGTTCTTCAATGATGCAAGCTCGGTTTTATTTAACAGCCGGCGTCGGGGGATTTTCCCTATCCGCGAAGGAGTGCGCTGAAGGGAGCAATTTTTATTGCGTGGTTATCGAGCGGACGAAAGCAGAAACGACGAAAGCGTTGCGCGCTCGAACGACACCGATTGCGGTGAAGAATAAACCATTTTCGAATATTAAATCGACGAATTATTTACAAAATTGTATGATAACCACGGACGCAGAGATGCACGGCGCTGATGTTGGAATATGGGTAGCAAACGATGGGAAAGTTTTAGAAGGACCGAGCGCGAACGTGGCGTTTGTCGATGACCGGGGAATCTTTATAGCGCCGAAAGTTGACGACGTTCTCGACGGCGTAACGATGAGAAGATGTTTTGAATTCGTCGAGAAAGGGTTGTTGGCTGACGTCGGCGTCGTCGAATGCGAACGAAGAGATTGTAGCTTCCGAGAATTAGTTTTAGAGAGACGCGCGAAAGAGTGCATGATGATAGGTAGCGTCGTTCAATGCGTACCGATCGAGAAGTGGGACGACGTTGATATTGGTCGAGACGAAGGTGAAAACTGTCGAAATAAAGTCGCCGTTCGCCTGAAAGAACTCTTAGAAAAGGATGCGAGAGGTATTAGAGTATCGTAAATAGGAGCAAATCATCATATTTTACAACAGCATTCATTCAGGTAGATCTTAAGAGCCGCGGTAGGTTCCGTACCCAAACGGATTCAAAAGTAAAGGAACGTGATAATGCTCTTTCGTTCTTCCCGAAAACACCGTAAATCGTATAGGACACTCCGGATAGAAACTCTTCTGCCCAGTCGTCATTCGCACGTACTCTTGCACGTGAAAAACAAGCTCGTAATCTCCAGCGAACAACGTATCATCCCCTCCCATTAAATCTGTCACCCTCCCGTCCGCGTCGGTGTACCCTTCCTTCGAAATCCAAGGCGCCGCCGAACTCCGGTTATTCAGAGTAACTTTAATACCTTCCGCCGGTTTCCCCAACGCCGTATCCAACACGTGCGTCGTGATTGGCGATTTTTTCTTCTCGCTATTCGCAGCGCTACTGCTAATTATCGTTTGTTCGTTCAATACCTTCACCCTCTTCTTCATCGAAGACGACGCTTTTCCGTTCCCGTCGCCGAAGCTCAAGTTTAGCTTCTTCAACCTCAGCTCCGTAATCTTCATCTGCTCTCTCGCCGCGACCATCATCTCCGCCCATGGACTGTTCTCCATCCTATCCTTCACGTTCGCCAACACAAACTCCGCCGACACTCCCGTCGCGCATATGATAAAAATCCGTCCAAATTTTTGTTCGTATTTCACATTCATCTCCCCCAACTCTCGCAACGTCTCTTCCGTCGCCGTCGCCATCGCGTTCGATTGTTCTCCCATGGCCCAATCCCCACTCGAGGATGGAAACTTCTCCTTCAACTTCACCGGATCGTCCCCGATTCTCGGATGCCCTCGAAACGCTTCTTCCCAATCTCTCGAAGGGTTCAAGTCGTACCATATTTCTCGCGCCGCGTGCACCAACGCCGGCATAGATTTTTGCATAATCTGTTTCGCTTTGACGTGAGAATTCGACGACGACGAATTCGACGACGCACAACAGCAGTCGGCGAGTCGAGACGCGAACTCGGTCGAGGAGCAACACTGAGAAAAAAGACGGCAAAGTTCCTCGCGCGACAAGGAGTGAAAGTCTACCACTGAAGAAGACATGATGATGATGTGTGTGTGTGTGTGTGTGTGTGTGTTCGTGTTTATGCGCGGATTACTTTGATGTTATTTGAGTTGAGGTTTTCCTTCTTAAAACGTTTCTTTGTCAAGACTTCCCCATTTGCTTCTTGAGCGCTCGCAACATGTCCTCGACGGATTCATCTTTCGCGGCCACTTTCTTATTCGCTTTATCATCATCACTCTTCGGCGGTATCGTCGCTTTACTACTTGCACTACTACTACTTTTACTATAACTGCTGCTTTCGCGACTCGCGCTCGAATTCCCGCCGCCGTTCGTACTGTCGTCGTTCCTCGTTTTCTTCGCCTCTTCTTCTCTGGCGTCGTCGTATTTTTGGAAATCTTTCCTCTCGTTCTCCTCTAAAAACTCCACGAACTCCTCGCCGAGCGTCTCCAACTCTTCCCATATGCTCTTCGGCTTGGACGGGTCTCTTCCTTTGCGTCTTTCGCGCTCTTCGAACTCTTTCTCCACGTCGCGGAAGAAATCTGAAAAGCCGTAAAACGTTTCTTCTTCCTCCGCTTTCTGCCGTTGTTGTTGTTTGGGTGGTCGCGCGTACGACGAAGACGACGACGAAGAAGAAGCGCTCGTCGTCGTCGTCCACGGTCTACTACTACTCCCATTGCCGCCGCCATTCTTCTTCCAAAAAAGTCTTTTCCTATCGTACTCCTTTCTCAAACGATCGTCCGAGAGCGTGTTGTACGCTCGCTTGCACTTGTTAAACTCCTCCGAAGCGTTTGGTTTCTTGTTCCTATCCGGGTGCGTTTCCAACGCTCTCTTTCGAAAGGCGGTTTTGATATCTCTCTTGGTCAATGATTCGTACGGTTGAGAAAGGTTGAGAATCTCGTACAAGTCCTCTGAATCGTCGTCGAATGGAGCGTTCGAAGAAGAAGATGACGCCGCAGTCCTCGCGTTCCTCCTCCTCCTTCCATCATCATCGTCATCAACCCGTAGGGAGACGAAACTCCGACGAATCGTCTCCGTTCTCATTCGGTCTCGCGTTCGAAAATATCTTCGTTCAAATCGTCTGTTGTTGAAGGTGTTGGTGTTGTTTTTCTCGACGCGTGTAGCGTGAGCGTGCGCGTAAAGCGTTCTCGTCGTCGTCATCTCTCTAAACTTCGCGTATTCTGCGGCATTGTCGTCATAAAAAACGCGCATTTAAGAAGTAGTGTTGTACCATTTATTCATCTCTCTCTCACACACACTCTCTCTCTCTCTCTCTCTCTCTCTCCCTGTGTGTGTGTGTGTGTGTGTCTGCGTGCTGCTACTTTTAAAATGAAACGAATTTCGCAAGATGACGACGACGTAAACAACGACGACGGAGAAGAAGAAGACAACAACAACAACAACAACAACAAAGAGGAGAGAAAAAAACAGTTGAAAAGAACGACGACGACGGGGAGGAATCAGATTGCGTCGGATTCGCATCTCGATTTATTCGCACTCGCGAGTCATCGGAGCATAACGCCGGTGTTTTTCGAAGAGTTGGGCGCACCAGCACCGGCAGGAGCAGCAGTTAAAGCCGCGACTGTGACTCCAACAGATGATGCGAAGACGAATAGGATACAGATTGTGACTTCGAAACCGAGAGTGCTGATTCTACACACCGGTGGAACTTTGGGGATGAGAAACGATAGTTTTGAAGAGGAAACGGCAACGGTAGGGGTGATGGAAGGTATCGTTGGACACGGTGCACTTTCGTCGCCGAAAGGAGGTACGAGTAATAACACCTCGGGGTTACCGTCACCGATGATGTCGTCGCAAGGGGGAGCGGTGATATCGGGAGAAGAACAGGTCGGCGCGTATCAGAGACGCGTGAAAAAAGGAACCGGAGGTAATTACGATAACAAATTAGGTCCGCGGTCTTTATTGACGGATATTTTGAGTGCGGTGCCGGAGCTCTCGGCGTTTGCAAAGTTACGAGTTCGTGTTTTGTTCAATAAAGACTCGTGCCAGATTGTTCCGAGCGACTGGGTGTTCATAGCGAAGGCGTTACACGAAGCTCGAGAGGAATACGATGCTTTCGTTTTGGTTCACGGAACAGATACGCTCGCGTACACGACTTCGGCTTTGTCGTTGATGTTGGCGAATTTCGGGAAACCAATCATCGTGACGGGAAGCCAACTCCCACTCGCCATGCCCAGGTCAGACGCTCGACAAAACCTCATCGACTCAGTCTCGTGCGCGACGGCCGGTTTTGTGCCTCCGTTCATTTCGGTGAACGAAGTTGCGGTTTGTTTTGGAGGGAAATTGATGAGAGGGAACCGGGTTAGGAAGGTATCCGCGACTATTTATTCCGCGTTTAGTTCGCCGAGTTTCCCGGATTTGGCGCATCTCGGCGTCGGCATCGATTTCAATCCGCAGTTACTGCTAAACGTGAAAGATAAAGAATACGCGCCGAGATTTAAAATAAACCCAAACGTCATTCGAATCTCAATCATTCCTGGATGCGACCCGAATAAAGCGTACGGGGATTTGTACGAAAGAGGCGTTCGAGGTATCGTCTTGGAGGCGTTTGGCGTCGGTAACATGCCCAACGACGAATTTTGGATTCCTTGGTTACGAGTTCAACGAAAGAAAGGACTCGCAGTGTATCTCTCTTCGCAGTGCGAGAGAGGCACTTTGCATCCAGAGTTGTACATGGCGGGATCGTTCGCTTTAGAAATGGGCGTAAAAGGTGGTCCGATGATGTCGCCCGAGTGCGCCGTCGTGAAACTCATGCTCGCGCTGGCAAACGACGACGTTGATTTAACCGTCCCGCTCGCCGGCGAGTTGTAACTAGTGCGTGTATGTTTAATTATAGCGTATGTTTAATGACCATCTCATTCATATCCTAGTAGTGTATAAAATATTATGAACGTTTCTTTCCCATCTTCTCCGCGGCTATCCGCAACGCGTCTCGAACTTCATCTTCTGGCGCAATCGCAAACAAACTCGCCGGGTACACGCTACTCCCCCATTTCGGATGCATCACAATCTTACAACACCCAACATTTGTGCACTCGTAGTTCAACAGCGTCACCAACGCGTCCACCTCCCCGTACACCCTCTGCGAGTCTCGATGTATCATCGATAACCCAGAACACGGGTCGATGTAGTCGCACCAAAAGTTCTTCTCTCTCAACACATTCGTCGCAATTTCCGCGAACTTCAAAAACCGTTCCAGGCATAAATCCTTCTCCTCGTCCACTCTTTCCCCGGTTTTGATGATATCCACCGCGGTTTTTTGGCACGTCGGGACGACGATCAATTTCGCCACCTTCTCGTCATCGTCTTCGGTAAAATTGAACATCGCTTGCGCTTCCGATTTGTGCTTTTTCGGGCACAAGTGTAAGGAGTATTCCAGCTCCGCGTAAGAATGAGTCGCATTCGTCTCTTCTTCGTCTTGTTCTTCTCGAAGGCCGACGACGACGGTCGTGATCATGTTGTTTTCTGCCCCTAACATTACACCTATTTTTGTTCTGTGATATGTGGTTGTTTGTTCGCTTAAAAAAAATGAGAGAGAAAAGACTGTCTGTCTGTCGTTTTTTTTCCCGCCAAATAAAAAATTCAAAACTTTCTTCTAGAAAAAACAACAACAACAACAACAACAACGAATAACTGAATGCGCGCGAGGGTATCGTCGTCTCAAATCGCGATGATGATGAGAGCAACAACAACAACAACAACAACAAGAAGAACAACAACAACTGCCGCTCTGGAAGGAAGAGGATTTCTTCGTCTTTTCTCCGAGAAGAAGAGCGGCGAGAGGGAGGAGAGATTTTCGGGGCAACGGGGAGGAGGAGAAGATGTTTTTTTTACGCGAGGAGGACGAAGAGGAAGAAGAAGAAGAAGAGGAAGCGAGTTACGACCGTTCGCGGCGCGCGGCGATGGGGGGCAAAAAGGAGTTCTTTCTTCGGGCGAGTATTCTTTTTCGAGCGCGGCGATTGCGCGAGAAATAGGAGAGGAAGATGCGGAGGAGGAGTTGCAAACTTCGGACGTTGATGAAAGCGAAGAAGACAATTGCAGCAGCGCAGAAGCGGAAGCCAGGCACTATAAAAATATGCTCAAAGATAGCGCGAACCGTCCGACGGTAAAGAATATGCTTCGCAGGATAGATGCGACGGATCCGTTAGGCGTCGATATGACGTTGCGAGGATGTTCGAGCCGACTCTACGACGGCATTTTGGGGAAGAAGAAAACGAAGACGAAGACGGGCGGCGCGGGGGGTGCGCTGACGGTGTACGACTTTGCGAGACAGACGCAGGAGAAACATCCGCAGAAAATTTTATTGATTAGAGTTGGCGATTTTTACGAGTGTTTCGGGTGGAACGCGGTCTGTTTAGTCGCGCACGCCGGGTTGAATCCCATGGGGAACACCGGCGTTCCTCGTGCGGGGTGTCCGAAGAATAAAGTTCAAGAAACTTTAGATCGGTTGACGTCGCACGGGCACTCCGTGGTGGTGTGCGAAGAAGTTCCGCAGATGGTGAAGTATGGAACATTGAAAGCGCCGCCGAAGGATAGATTCGTGAGCGCAATTGTCACGCCCGCTTCTCCGATGTACGTTTGTGGTGCGGGAGATCGAGGCGAGGATGTTAATTTCGCGGACGAGCAAGCGTTGCCCCTCTGCGCGGTGGCTTCTTCGTCGTTAGGGTACACTCTCGTTCGCGTTCTCGTCGATGAGCGAGTGTGCCGAGTTGATTACGGTTTAACGGCTGAGGGGTGTGCGGCAATCTTACGCGCTTCTGGGTGCGCGGGGAATAAGTTGTATAAACACAGATCGTTTGGCGCGAATCACGCGAGTAAGAGTAACTCCAGAGGCAATTCGGGTCAATCGCGACGTTTGCGATGGGAGGTTGGTGCCATAGAATCCGTGGTTTCAGAAGACCACTACGATGTTACCGAGATCGCAGATGAAAACGACTTTTACAACGACGAAGGGAAGATGATAAATAGTGAAGATGACCGCCGTCGGCGGCGCCGCGGCCAACGCCGTCTCAGATACGACGGAGACGTCGTTCAAGGATTTTTAGATTTAACGCGTCGCGAACACGGATTAAAACCAAACGAAGACTTTCGAGTCGTCAACATCTCGAACGACCCGCGTTTGGCAGAAGCCGAGAGAGGTTCCGTGCGACCTTTGTCTCTGAATACTGCGCAACAACTCGGCGTGCTCCCTAGTCGAGGCGTTCCTCCTTTGTTAGCCGCAATCGTGAATGATAAGGATGTTCCGGCGAGCTGTCGCTCGTATTTGCAAGAGCTGTTATTATCGCCTCCGCCGCACGACGTTGCCAGGTCAATTCAGTTGGCATGCGAAAAATTCAAAAACACGAACGCATCCATGCCGAACTTGGAAACGTTGCCCGTTACAAAAATTGCAACGCTTCTGAATTCGCGGGAAGCTAGTCATGTTTTCTTCGCAGACTTGTTTGCCATGGCAGATGCATGCGAGCGATTTCTCGAGCACGACGATGCGGATTTACGAATCGCGGCTCGGAGTTTGTTGGAGAAAGCGACCAGCCGTAAACTTGGAACGCGAGCGTATGAAGATGAAAAGAAATTAGCAGAAACATGCAGAAACGTAAAGCAAATTATTGAAAGTATCATTTCGTCGGATGTATTTGATGAGTATCACTTAGGATATTCATCGAAAAGCGCAACGTTGAGTGGTACGATAACACTGCGCGATGATGTCAGTAATGATGATGGTGATGACGATGCGACAGATGATGATGACGAGAATGATTCCACTTTGGGCGAAGATGACGATGAAGTAGACGACCGCATTGTCCGTTGCGACCCTCCTTCTTCGTCATTTTTACGCTTTTTCCCGCGACGATTTGCTTTTGAGAATGAACGCTGGAGAGGCAGAGTCCGAAGAGACACAGTTGCCGAGGCTATCGATAAAGTGGATGCAGCGGCAACGTCGTTACACGATGCGATTGTCGATGATTTACTCCCTGTCCTCGAAAAATCGGACGTGACGCGCAAAGCGCGCGCAAAGCGCTGCGAAATTGAACATTGCCAGCGGAATAATTCGTTGTGGTTGCGCGGTGTTTCTAAAACTGCCGTTTCAGATTTTGAATCTCCTTCATCTTCTCCTACTACATCTCTGATTCATCCTCGCGACCGCTTTGGACGCGAGTTGAGCGATCGATGGACGACTCAAAACGTAGAAGATAAGCTAGAGAGATACCGACAAAGCTGTCGGGAAGCGCAAGCGGCTGTTGCTGGACAACTTCGAATGCTATCTACTTCGCTTCAACCATTCGTTGGTGCATTAATTGCTTGCTCAACTTTGTCAACAATTTCTCTCGCAATAAACGCGCACGTGTCCAAAACGCAATCTAAAGGATGGACGATTCCACGCCTTCTCGATCCAGAAGATTGCAAAACTCCGTTTCGAGTGGAAGACTTGGAGCCTTTCTGGATGGACAGCACCGCCGATCTGAACGTTATCTCAAACACGGTAGACATAGATGGAATGATAACATTAACGGGTCCAAATATGGCGGGAAAAAGTACAATTCTTCGTAGTTTGACTTCCGTGGCGTTGCTATCGCAGTGTGGGTTAATGGTACCGGCGCGAGGAGAGTGTATCGTTCCAAGATTCGATTCAATCACTTTGAGAATGGCGTCGTCGGATTCACCGAGCGAAGGCCTGAGCGGATTCGCCGTGGAGATGATGGAGATCAAGTGCGTTATGGAAGAGTCTTCCTCTTCTTCTTTTGTTTGCGTAGATGAGCTCGGAAGAGGAACAGAAGCGGCGCACGGCACTGCTATCGCAGCGGCGGTTATAGAGAAGCTAGATTATTTAGGCTGTCGAGGTGTTTTTGCTACACACCTTCACGGTGTCTTGGACTGCGATACCCGCTTGTCGCCATTCGCAAAGAACATGCGCATGGGAACAACAACAACGCCAGAAGGTAAGATGAGCCCAACTTGGAAAATAGAAGATGGGGAGTGCAGAGAGTCACTGGCCATACAAACCGCCGCAGACTGTGGGCTCGAGGACGACGTTTTGAGACGTGCGCAGACGTTTTTACGGCAGAATATTACCACTGCAAAAAATAGTATCAGTGTTAGGAAAGGAGACATGTCATCCTCCCCTCCTGTTGTATCCTCCTCAAAAGTTGAGAAAAACAGAAACAGCGGTATTTCCGACCTAGCCTCCGGACTTTTAACCGCTCGGAGTTTCATTCTCGCCGAAGAAGGAGAAAAAGACGAAGAAGATGCTGCCGGCGTGTTCGTAGTGTTACGAAATGAACACCCACCAGCCAAAGTAGCGCACGGCTGTTCCGTCGTCTATGTCATCCGCGACGCCAACGGTTGGACCTACGTCGGCGAAACCGAAAGTATCGCCAACCGTTTGAATTCACACCGCCACAAATATGGCTCCGACATCGACTGCGCGTTCGTCACCGTCGCGCAAGGTAAATCAACCGCCAGAGCAATCGAAACGGCCACCATTCGCGAGTTCAGGAGGAAAGGCGTGCCCTTGAAGAGCGATTTCGACGCATCGCACGAGAATTTCGGCGGCCTAAGCAGTCGGAACAGTAGCATCAGCAGCAGTAGCAACACAACTCGATGAAAATTTTAGAGTTCCGCGCGTTGTAGCCTCGCTGTGCAAACGAGAGAGGAAGAAGTGCAAACCGTGCTCGCCTTCTTAGTCCACGGAGGAAGGAAACTGATGTTGTTTAGGGTAGGGTGGGGTGTTAGAATGTGTGATAACCTCGTATCGCAGTGTCGCAATGACCAAAACGTAATATTTAGGGAAGTATGAATATTCTTCAATAGTAACAAAACGAGTCTAAACTAAGAGTCCTTGTCAAAAAGTGTCGTCTCAAATATGTGCAAAAAGCTGATATACCAAAATTACACATAGAATCGAGTTTTAGATCTAGGTTAAGATTTTGTCTTTTGTGAGAAAAAAAAAAAAATCCCAAGAATCAATTTTGAACCATTCCGCAAAACAAAAGCACGCACAACACACACACGCGCGCAGACACACACACACGCGCACAACACACACACGTAAGCAAAGGAAGACGGCGACGATGAAACCTTCTTCTTCTTCTTCTTCTTCTTCTTTTTCTTCTTCATCGACGAGCAAGAAGATTTCGTTGTTGGTTTTCTTCGTTTTCTTTTCCTTCTTCGTGGGTGGAACAGAGGGCGAAATCGCCGGCTTGGGAGGCATACAGAGAGGTTCGAATCGCGTCGAATACGCGGACGGCGCGTTCAACGTTCGAAGCGGAGGAAAAGGAGGGAGAGAGTTACAAATCAACACGCACCGCGTGAAGACGAGATCGGAGTGGCAGTTTTGGGAGCAAGTTCAGTGTCGAGAGAAGTTGTTCTTGGGGAAAGACGAAGACAAAGTCGAAGTTGGCGAACGATTGGCGACGATATTTGCC